GCCTTATTAGTCCTTAACAACCCAGATAAAGGGGATTGAATCCATATGATTCAAGGATTACATGTGGGATTAATTCATTTATGGTATGATCAAATTGGTTATCTTAATGAATTATTTTAATTTAGAATGGGTCCAAGAAGCATTGGGAGTTGATAAATTCATATCCTATGTGTTCAAGTGAAGTTGGGAGTAGAATTTGTAAACTGATTTCATGAGACCTTATCAACGTCATATCACAAGTTTATTTAGATGATGGAATTTCCTGTTTTAATTTATGTTGGAGATAAAGATTTGGTTTGTGATTGGGTTGGTAATTTAGCATGGGTTAATCAATTGAATTATACAAACCATGAAGAATTCTCCAAGGAATCATTTAAACCATGGATTACCAATAATGGTAGCCATGCTGGTGAAGTTAAAAATTATGCAAATTTCACTTATTTAAGAATCTTTGATTCGGGTCATATGGTACCAATGGATCAACCTGAGAATTCTTTAGATATGGTAAATAGATGGATTAGAGGAGATTTTAAATTTTAAATTCTAAGCAATATACACCTATAGTTATTGTCATTATTAATAATGAATACAGTAATGCGTCACGTGATAACTAAGTCATGTGAAAGTCGTGCACCAGTAAACAGAATAAAATTTTTTTTTTGTTCAACAAAAAAGTTCGACGGCAACTTTCAAAAAATCATTTTCTGTTATTTGCAATTACTTCTTTTTTATTGAACTTCTTTTACTAGTTCATTATTATTTACATGGGATCAGTTTGCAAAAAAGAAAGCCAGCATGTTTGCAACCGGAAATTGAGTTCCGGGGGGTGTAATTCTAATCCGGCGAATACTTGTACTAACATTTTTCATTAATAAATTCTAGCAATTGTTATTTGTATATTTAAATGAATATATTTATTATTGTTATTATTAGAAGACTTTCTTTTATGGTTACTAATAGTAGAATAAATCCCCCCTCTCTCTCTCTCTCTTTGAAGTTCAACCAATCATTCATTCACTTACCCATATGTATATGTATATTACTAAATGCTTTCCAATGATTGGCTCATTTCGCTTATTTTAAAAAAAAAAAAATATCGGCCGAAAGGAAAGGAAAAGGGAATATCGGAGCTTTAACTCCGAGCACTTTGAAAAAACCCTTGCATATGGTAGCTCATTTTAGGATAATGAAAGTAAGTAGTAACAAAACCGGATACATCTTAGGAAAGTATACAGAATGAATGAGAATAATAGGTTTAGAGAACATTATAAGGATCAATGTGGTAATCCTCTTGATTATTGGTGAATAAAAAGGTGATTTTAATTCAAATGAATTGAAGTAATGGGAGAGAAAGATTTGAGTAATCTGTGTGGGGCGGAGTTTCATGATGATGATGAAGATGAATTGTTGATAATTAATCAGTTCTACATAATTTCATTTTAAATAGTATATACTGGAAGATGATTGAATTTACGGTTACTAAGGGAATATTAATATTAACAAAGAATCACACACAGAAATGGATATATTCATATTTAAAAATGGATTAATATATCGAAAAGAAATGAAATGAAAAGAAATTACTATTATTATTATTATTATTATTATATTCAAAACATCTTAATCCGATATTTGATCATATTACATATACGTTATTTTTATTTCAACTTAATTTAATTTAATTTAATTTAATTTAATTCAAATCATTCTGTATGACTTAAAAAAAAAAAAAAATTAAAACAAAGGATGGTAAATTTTGAAATATTTTTCAACGTTAGTATTAACGTTAATGTTAACGTTTATTGAATTAAAGTATCACAAGACCTATTGATGTTGATATTATTTCAAACCAGCTCTTGTTCAACATACTTTACACAAATCAGTAGAATAATGAAATGCAAAAAAAAAATTTTTCATTATAGATTCTTAAACTTGATGGTAAAGAAAGGGGAGGCAAAAAAGGGAGAGGGTTTATTATTATTATTATTATTATTCTGGTTATGCTAAAAAAAATGGTCAAAGGTTATGTGCCTTTACTTTTTTATTTCACTTTCTTAAATATTAATTATTATTATTTATTACACAATCTTGTACATTTGAATTTTATTTCATTTTCAAATTATTGGTTGAAAAATTTTTCTTCTGCTTCTACGTAATACATAAATTTAAGAATATAAACTTAAAAAAAAATTGATTTTAATACATATTAAATACTCAATTTATGAATGTTAACATGAGGATTGATCTAATTACTCTACTCAGGTGTATATATGAACATTCTTCATGTATCCAATTTAACTCAATTTATGTTTCAATTACTTACTTAGTTACTAATCATGTTTCATTTTTTTGTTTAGAACCAATCATATAGCTTTCATTGGTAATAAATATTCATTGGTGAAAAGTTTACGGCAATTTAAAAAAGTTTAGTTTATATTACTTTTACTTTCCTATTGTTTGACTTATATTAAATTAGTAGTTGAGTTGAAGAATGCCTTTTCTTTTTGTTTGTAAACATATTATAGTGATTGTGTAACATATATTCAATCAGAATTTAATCCGATAGATTATATCACAAAACCTATTCATTAACAGCTCTTGTTCTTGTTCTTGTTCTTATTCATATTCTTACTCTTGTCCTTGTTCTTGTTCCTAATGGCAAATTTTAATCATGAACTAAAAAGTCACGTTTCATTTTGTGTTGTGCACGTACCTCGAACCAAATATGAACCCAAACTCAAATTCAAATTCAAACAATTGATTGTATAATTCTACAAGACAACTCTCTTATTGAAACTTATTGAAATATTATTACTACTACTACTACTACTATACAAAAAGACAAGAAGTATAACTATTCTCTTTTCTTAAACAAAAAATGAAATAGGAATTGAATAAAAAAAATAATAATAATAAAAAAAAGATCTAATATATAAATTTAACCAATAAAATGAAATAAAAATAATAATAATAATAATAATAAAAATAAATGAATGCAAAAATATTAAAATTAAAAATAAAAACAAGACTTCAAAATTGATTCTAAATGATAGAACCCATATAAAAAGAAATAAATTTAAAAATAACCAAATAGTAAATAGTAATTAAAAAAAACTAAACGGGAGGAGGTGGATGGAGTGAACAAAGAAAGGTGAAGGGGATGAATGATGTATATCTCTCTCTTTATAAGAAGAAATCATTGATTAAAAAATTACCAGAACTGACCATTTCACTAGCTTTACCATTAATTAAACTGTTTTTGTTTAATATTTTAGATAAATCTTGTTCCAATTCATTATTACCATTGGAATTGTTCAAACTAGATTGATGTTGAAAAAGAGGTGATTGATTTGAATTATTAAATCTACCACCATGATAATAATAATAATGATGAGGATTGATTTTTGGAATATATAATGATTTAATTTCTGTCTTTGGAGTGGTTATTGGAGATACACCATTACCATCGGATTCATCACTATCACTATATTCCTCTTCTGAAGATACACTTAATGAATTTCTACTAGATGATTCCAGTAGACTTCCTGATTCTTGTTCATCTTTATCATCTTCATCATCTTCATCACCATATGAGAAATAATCATCAATAGTGTATTCTTTTGGCTTGTTACCAAAATTAACACTTTTGAAGAATGGAACTTCATTTGATTTATTATTGGATTGTTGTTGTTGTTGGACAGTTTGGTGTTGGGTAGATGATTGATATGTCGGTGTAAATTCATCATCTTTTGATTTATTAAGTAATGAAAAAGTATCTTTATATTGACCTTGTAATCTTCTTTTAACATAAAATTGACGAATATTATCTTGAATAATTTTAGTGAAATTTACATTTTCAATTTCAACAGGATAATCTTCTTCATAATATTCATCATCATTTTCATCATACAGTAGTTGAGATTCTTGTTCACTTATATCACCATCGTTATCACAACCATCTAATGAACAATTGGAACTCTTGTGATGATGGGTATTGAATTCAAAATCCAGTAAAAAATCCTGATTGATATTAGACAAACTTAATAATTTTTCAACAGGATCTATCTTGTCAGTTTTCTGAGATTCTTCTTCTTCAATTCTTGAAATTTTTCTCTTCTTCTTCGGAGATTCATCATCATCATTAGTGTTGTTGTTATCGTTGTCATTTATTATATGCTGTTGTTGCTGTGGATTATCAACTAAAGTAGGAGTGTTAGTTTTAGCTTTTTCAGATAATTTTCTAGCACGAGTAGACTTACGTATATATTGTTGTTTTTGGTTTTGGTTTTGGTATTGTTGTAAGGAAGACATTAAAATTTGAATATATGCAAAGGGATAGAAATGAAGATTTTAATCTACTATAACCAGATTGTAGAATATGTAGGTATTTATAATAATAGTTGAGGGAGGAGGAGGAGGAGGAGGAAATGAAATAATAAGAATTGAAATCTCTTTTTTTTATGTTTTTTTTATTTTTCTTTCTAAATTAATAACTGGTTGAACTTTCTAAGTATCTTAATTGGAATATATGTTGAAAGTAGACCAATGAATGAAAGGATTAAAAAGACCAATAGTTAAAATACTGAATAAAAATTTTCTGTTTGGAAAGAAAGGGAAAAGTTTGCTCATTATATCTTTTTTATTGAATGTGAGATACAATAAAGACATATAAAAGAATTTCCCAGAAAAAAAAAAAAAAAAATTTTTTTTATTTCTTGTTGTTTGGTTTTGTGTCATGTGCTGCACCATCTACTAAGTTAAGCAATTATGCATATTTGGTCAACTGTGCACGACTTTGTACTTTTTCCCAAAAAAAAAAAAAAAAAAAGAAATTGATCAACCTGTGGGAATTGATTGGTATACGTCGATATGCTATAAGGGAGTGGCGGTTCATGATGATGATGAGAGTGATGATAATGAGAGTAAAAGAGTAGGATTGCCATGGTAGTGACAGCGATAGAGTGAAATAGTGTGTGTGTGTGTGTGTGTGTGTGTGTGTGTGTGTGTGATAAACAGAAGTATGTGTTCTCCAAGGTTACATTGATTTCAAAAATAAATAGTTTTAAAATATTTAAAAAATTGCAATCTTTCCACAAGGGGATAAAGAAGAACCAACTAGAATGAATGAATGAATGGTCATGGACATGGACATGGGAGAGAGAGAGGGAGGGAGGGAGAGGAAGAATGAGAGGGCTTTAAGAGAAGTATTGTATTTCATGCAATCAACTACATTAAAATGATTGCTTTTTTTTTTCTATTTTTCTACTTTTCTATACGTCGGGTAATAGACAATAATAAACTCCCAGTATTTCATTTTATTCTTTTCTACATATACTTGCTTTGCTTTGTCTAGTTTTGTTTTGTTTTGTTGATTTGTTGGTTGGTACTGGAATAAGTATTCAAGATTGAAGTTGAAGTAGAAGTAGGCAGTACTAACTAACTAACTAATTACTGTCTAGGTATTCGGATATACTAAAGTCAACCCAAAAAAGTATCACTAAAACAAATTAGTTTAGAACTTACATGAATAATTGAACTTACATTTTGATTGTTAGATATTTCATCTAAGATTGGAACTTGTGGAAATATGTTCCAACAACAACAATAAGAATTAGAAAAAGAAAAAGAAATCAAAGTAATCGCCAAAAAAGGGGGGTGGAGTTAAAGAGAATATAGATTTAGGGAGTAAAATTATATCCCATGTGGTGATCATGATGATATATTATTATTTCAATTTAATTAATTCTACTTTTTTAATTTCGTTTATACTGTATATATACTATACTATATATAAAATTAGCAAGTGAAGGTTGGTTTGGTTAATTCGTTGTTGTAATAATGATCTCAGTTAAATACAACAAGAAAAAGCCAATGGTAATACTTCTGTACAAATGATTAATATTTAAGTAATTATACTCTGAAATGGATATCTTGTTATATGAGTTCACTGCATTGTACACTAAATACATACAAGTGCATACAGAGAAGGTAATAGAAGAATTTACTGGAACTAATAATCGGAACGAACGACAGTAAATTATACATTGCAAAAAGTAAAAGTAGAAGTGAAAAGATCTGGATTTTTAATTTTTTAAATTAATTTAATTTAATTTAATGTATGGACATAAAAAAGCAATTAGTTGATTAAGGAGAAATCTAAATTAATGTCGAATGATAAAGTCATTCAATAACTTATTATTCGACTTTATTCGGTTCCATTCTATTCATTGATGTATATTTCATCTGCAATTATTTTCTTTGTTTTAGTTGTGAAATTCTTTCTATTATTTTTATGATTAATTTCATCTTTGACTCTAAAACTCATAGGGGGGAGGAAAGAAGGAGGGAGAAGGGCAGAAACGTAGATTGATACAATGATGAACTGATAACAATGCAATAATTACTAAACTCCGCAATTCATTTCATTGCAAAAATAATTGCTATCATGTACCTTGTACTATTATTATCATCCATTCGTTCATTCAACATCATCATCATTACTATCAATTGTGCTTCAACACATATATGTAGAATTTAATAAAATTATAGATATATAACCAACGTGGAAATATTCCTATGGTACAAAGATTGATCTGGAACAATAACTTTTGAGGAGTTTTAACAATTACAATAAATTCATATAATTCAAAGAAAGTTTTATTGTCTTCGTAATGATTCATTCGCTCCCCTCTTATGTAAACAAATATTTGAATATTGTCACTCTAGAATTATTCATTCGTGGGGAACACCCACCACCACTTTCAAAAGTGGAGGAGAGTATAAAGATGTGGAGAAGTAATATGAAAAAGAATATACTCCATCAAAGACTATAACTCATACTACGGCAACGCTATTCTCATACATTTTGTATAATCCTCCCGAATCTTCCATATTGAAATACATTAAAAAAAATAACTATAAAAAAAAATGTTACCTTTTTCGTAGATACTGGGCAGATGATGAAGGTTGCAATCTTTAGAAAGAATATACCATTACAATATAGATTACTTAAGCATATGGATTAAACGGGATCATCGTCAACAACAAGTATAATCATGTAATATCAATGATATTACTTTCAAACTTACGAAATGGAAACTTCTTTAACATACGAAACATATTTTGTTTCAACAAATAAGAGAGCAAAGAATAAGAAAAGTCTATGGGGTGATTATGATTACATACAACCTTTTTTAAACTTCATTTACCACATATTACTCTTATTGCTATGCGCCTCATGTTTATCTCTTAAAGGAAAAGGTTATTGTGGGTAGTGTCTTGATCATAGATCCCATATTGATTAAATAGAAAAACCCTTTTTGTTGCAATGGGTTATATTATAATTGCTATCATAAGAAATGAAAGTACTTCGTTAGTTACATAGTACAACTCTTACCGAATTGATCCATGTTATGATAACTATCAGTAGCAATCATCAACAATGAAGGAAAATTGAAAAGGAGTTGCGGATATTTGTCATTTGCTTTCTCTCTCTTTTCATCCTCTCCCCCCCATTCCCACGTTTCACTTGATCATTGGTGGTGATGATGATAATGATAATGATACTGATAATAATGGTGATAGAAGTTGATAATAGACAATTATGATACTGACAATGAGTCTTTGTATTTTGTTCATTATTTACAATTTTCCTTATCTAGATATACCATGAGACATATTTCCGTAACACTTCTAATCTCCATCCAAGTCCCCCCCCCCCCACGCGATTATTTAAAACACCACATTGTGAGTTGGCTCCATTATCATCATCAACGATAATCAATAAACAATGGATTTAAAAGCAACGAGGCTAGCAATATTTCGGAATGACCGATATTCCGAAATTGACTATTAATTGATAATATAATATCTACAAACCATTTTCTTTAGTAAACTCCACATAACATCAAGTAATTTCACCGCCACTTGTTTCATTTATTTCTTTAAACGATTTAAATCAATTTACATGTGTTTGACTATAAAAGTTTATATATATATTGATTAATTCTTTTATCTTGCGAGAATAATTGCTATCTTGATCTTTTATTAGTAGTAATAGAAGTATAGAAAGGGTTTTACTTTCCCCCAGAAAAGATATATTAAATTGCTGATGTAAGATTGATTAATTTCAACAACATTATTGTTTGGTCGAATGTCTTGGATGTATTTTTATTTCAGTTTTGACGTCAACCATTCGGGGTTTCTTTCCTTATTTCTCTTATTTAAACCAATGAACTTTTGATTGCTAACATTAGTTAATATAGCAACGTTACAAGAATAAAATAGAATCAATAATTAAAAAATGTCTCACTATATAACCGATGCAATTATGTTCCTTAACAATCATTGACGTATTATAAATTATCATTTGCAAATTATGAATGTTTGATTCCGGTTAATATTAAATTGCTATAAATTTGCCATGATGTTAGAATATCAGTTGATGAATAAACATGAATAACCAACAATGATGTCAAAACCTCTAAACTATAAACAAAAGGAAACAAAACCAGGAATTAATTGGTATCCTTTGTGGATGATATTCTTTCATCTGTGGTTTCACTCTATATCTGTGGATTTGTCAGATTCTTTAGCAAAATGCAGCTAAAAAGAATAGTAACTCAAAAGAAAAGAACCAAGTTGAAAAGTTGGACTGGGAATAAGTTTGTGTATACATTGACGTATCTGCTAGTTTTGTGTTTGCATTGTTATTCATGCAATAATGCATTACTTCTTTGACCTCTTATTGGCTTGAACTCAACATTTGTGTATCGCCTTGTTCTTATTCTTATTCTTGTTCAATTCAATACAAGCCATAAATTCAAAAGTGAAAAAAAAATTTTCCACTTAGTTTATATTTTTCACACCCAAATTTTTTCTTTCTACTAACAAGTAAGGAAGAAATTCCTTCCTTCATTTACTTTGATTTTTATTTCAAGATAATGATACAAAGAGATGAATGTCTATTGTATAGAGAATAGTCAAAATAAATAAATAAAAAAAAAAGAACCAACTATCTGACACTGCAAGATCGGCTATTGATGGGTTACTTCAAAGAGTTTGATGTGAACTTATTTCATCCCCCCCATCGTATCATTTCTACGTCGTTGGGATTCATCTCCCCCCTAATGGTGCCATTTTTTTTGGAGGGGCGGGAAAAGGCGACGGCTCAGATTTTAAATTAAGGAATTGTAATTTTATATATCATTCAATTCTTCACATCTTGGTTAGAATTCCACTTGGATAGATTTATAACCCACTTGTAATCATTAGTGTAAATAGTTGTGTTTGAATCGGGGATGGATAATAATCTTCTATATATATTTATTAAAGTACATAAAACATGAGGCGATGATTTGAATTTAATTACATATTAACTATTTAATTATACATTCTGTATTGAAATACAGATTATTCTTACCTTGTGTATACTGTAAGAGATAATATGTATTTACTTTACGGTATAAGATATTAGAAATTTCATCTATATCCCGTATTCTATTATTCATCTCACAAAAGAATTTAATATTGATCTTGAATATAAGCTAATGATAAACTTCAACTTCAATATGGAAAAGAAAATCTACCGATACGACAAACGACAAACAATACCTTACACTAAACAATTATAAGCAACGCCTGGGACATGGAAGGACCCAAAATAAAACTTTCACTTGCCTCCTTCCCACGTCGTAGACTCGGCAGTACTTCTTTCTCTCCCCGACCCCTAAATCCGAAACTAATATAAACCAATACCCAAACTCAACAACAAGTAAAATTTCTTTTTAACTCATACACAATATTGATTTGAATAAGTTAAGAAAGTGTTGGATTTGTTTTTATGTTATTCAAGAAATTAGGTCTTGCATTTTGTATTCTTTCTTTCTTTCTGTTTTGCTGTATATGCACGTTTCAACCATTTCACAATGACACTTTGTGAAACTAATGAAATCTCGAAAGGCACAATAATTCTCCTCGATTCATTTTCGCCATTTTATGGTGATTATTCAACTTGTACATGTAGAAGTTATTCATTTATCAGCGTAGGAATTTGCTTGTTTTTTCTTTATTTGAAAGTATCAGGAATATCACTTCTTGAATTCTTAGTTATTCGGTATTAAGAACTTACAATACAAACCAAACAAGTCTACCATTTGAATCAATATTCGACTATACGAAATAACAATTAGCTGCAAAATTTGTTATTTCTTTTTTTCTTTTTGTATTGTCTTTATTGTTGATTATTAATATCAAAGATTCACCCACAGATTGATAAATTTCAAAAGGTTATCAACAATATCAATTTCATCTTTTTTTTTTCCTAATATTTGCCACTATATTGATATCTGTCTCCTCTTCTATCATTATCAAATGGCTGGTTGAGGCATTATTATTTGTATATTCAACGAAACCTAAATGTTTATGTATCTTATCGCCCAATTAATACTCATCAAATTCAATACTACTACTTTTGTTTAAGCTTACTTGCTTGTATACAATGGGATTTAATTTCCACGATGTAAATTCACATGTTGAAACGGTACATATAGATGATCAAGTATTCTCTTTATTGGCAGTAAAGTACAGTTTTGCCTTGCGTTTACTTTTACGTTAAGCTTTGACTTTGACAGTTATTTTTGTTGAACATACATATTTACTATAAGTTGATGGACAAATAGGGGTAGAAACTTTAGAATATGAAATTTTCCATTTATTTCAAATTCCGACAAATTCTGTATATGTATAGGTATAAGTTTCAGATTTTTGATTTTCTTGTAGAGTTTGTACGAATTTCCCACCATTTTATTCAACCATTCTTTTAGTAGGCAGAACAATTGGAAATATGTTTAAAAAATCGTATCTACTTGTACTTTTAGTTAATGGCTACATTTTTTTTAGCTCTTTCACGTGATAGGTAAAAATAACTATGGATTTATATTTTTGCAATCAAAAAAAAAAAAAAAAAAATGCAACAATTCAATTCTTATCATATCATTAAATCATATATCAATGATGAAAAATTCTAAAAGTGTTAAATGGAAATTAGATGAAGAATATATGGAAGAAGAAAGATTTGAATCAATAAATACATTTAAACAATTATTTAATAATAAGAAATCTATTAATTATATATCTTCAACTTCACCAACTTTATTAAATTCAGAATCTGATTCTGATTCATCTATCTCATGGAATAAATTGGAAAAATTATGGTTTAGTAGTTTACCTTCAATATCAAAGAAAGAAAAGTTGTTTCATAGTGAATCAATATTTGCAAAGATTAATAATATTCATAAACCAGCAATCAGAAGTGCTACTACTACTGCTACTGCCACCACCACAACAACAACTGATAAAACTATGGTTGACAACGATGAGGAGGATAAACAAATTCAATTAGGTAAATCATTGGTAAAACCAGAATTCAACACAGAGAACATAGAAGAAGAAGAAGAAGAAGAAGAACAAACTATTGCTATTTCAGAAAATAGCACGAGTCGAGACAATTCAGAGTTTAGTTTTACTGGGAATTCATTAGATGATTTTAAAATCAGAATAATTGATAAATCTGACATCAACCCTATAGTTTACAACAAACAACTTATTAAAAAGAAATCATTCCATGATTTATTAAATATATCAATCAAGAAATAACGAAGAAAAATTGTCACTACTTCTCTTATACTGGACAACGATTCCTATTTTTGAAATTCCATAGCATCTTTAATTACACCAATGATTGCACTAGTTTGAATCTTATCATTACCACCACGACTTATACCATATTCAATATCGCTTAAACCTTTTAAAATTTCTGCTCTAGTCTTCATATTCAATTGATAATTATTTAAAATTTCCACAAATCCAGTAATTAAATCAATTAAAGCTAAACCTTTAACATTTTTATATTTATTCATGGTTAAATATGCTGTTGTCCAATCATCCTTCAATATTGAATCCAAACAAGTTTCAACATCATTTGGATGAGGTGCTCCAATACATTCATAAATCATATCAATGTTAATAATCTCATCTTGAGATTCTTTAGCTGCTTGACATGCTTGTAATACATTTAAAGCTCTTCTCATATCACCTTTTGATAATTTTAATAATGATTCCAAGGCATCATCAGTAATTTTAACACCTTCTTTAATAATAACATAATTCATTCTTTCTTTAATTGATGACTCTTCAATTGGAGTAAATCTAAACCTTGTACATCTTGAAATCAAAGCAGGATTTAACTTGTGACTATAATTAGCTAATATACAAAATCGACAATTCTTAGTATATTTTTCAATAATTCTTCTTAATGAATTTTGAGCAACATTTGTCATAGCATCAGCTTCATCTAATATAATTAATTTAAATTGATTTCCATTTGAACTAGTAAAAATTTGTCTAGTACTTGCAAAATTTTTAATTTGATTTCTAACAACATCAATACCTCTATCATCAGATGCATTCAATTCTAAAACCATATTTTTATAACTTTTAGCCCCATATATTTCTTTAGCTAATGCTACAATTGTTGAGGTTTTACCAGTACCTGGAGGTCCATAAAATAATAAATGTGGTAATTTCCCCGTTTCAACAAATTTTCGTACTGTTGTAACAATTTCTTCTTGACCTTTAACTTCTTCAAGATTATCTGGACGATACTTCTCAACCCTACAATCTCGTTAGTACAATGATTCTCTAAGTTCAATATAATATCTATTATGTAACATACCATGGAAGATTCTCTTTTGATTTCACACTCATTGTGGTTGTTATTGTTGTTGGTGTAAGTCTATTGGTCTTTTCAAGATGGTTGGATTAAATGGAAAATCACGACGCGTTGAATTTTTCTTTTTTTTTTTTTTTTTTTTGATTTTCTTTTTTTTTTTCGTGTAAAATCCGCTGGGTCGTGTTAAAACCAAATAAATCACGTGCAAGCAGAGTAGTTCGTTGTCAATGAAAAAAAGATCACTGATGGCAAAATTACAGTACAGTCGTTGCAGTTTTATCTTGCACTAGTGTGAGTATAATTTTCAGATCAATGTGTCAAAATTATTCGCACTATTTGAAAAGAAAAGTACATAGTAAAGCGCTTAATATTTTTGATACTAGTGCCCAAAAAAATGCTCATACTAAAAATGTATGGTTTAGATAGAATTAATAGTAACGAACATACTACAATAACAAGTACGATTGGATTCTGTATGTGATTAATCCTGAACAGCATTAGTAATAGTTTTATGTTGTTATAACACTAATTGATGGAGTTTTTCTCTTCTTATCTAGTGATTTGCAGAAATGGGGTCTCAATGGTGAAAATCTCAAGGGATGTTCCTTGAAAATTTATCTCTCGACGTAAACTAGTCGATACTTTTATAATTTTAGTCGACAATTACCGCGAAAAAATTGCAAAATTCAAAAAATTGAGAAATAAATTACAGAAATGGTATAATGATACAAATGTGCAAGTTTAGCACAATTAGTATTTTTGAGGATATTCAAACAATACTAGATGAATATATTCACCTTTGATGACTTCCACAATAGATTTAAGTGACAATAAATTGATGATATCACTATAGTACAACTGAAAATATACCATCAGTTGAATTTTGTATGGGGAAAAGAGATTCACGTCAATTTTTGGTATTTTTTCGTGTGTGAACCAAAATTAAAATCACGGGAATAAACCACTTGAGATCATGATGAACCCCTTTGGGAATACTAGATGGCCTAGAAACTGGAAATAGAATATGATAATAGTATATATGTGATAATATTTACATTATTATACAAATTAATACAGTTTTAGTGGTATTGCTAGTGTAATTACTGAGTTATTTAGGAAAACCATAATTCCCGATAAAAAAAAGATACTTTGATTTTTCAAAAGTAAGAATGGATAGATAAGTCCACCAATTGTTAGCCAATCCGTTCAGGAGTGAGTGTGGTAGTATTAAACACTGATATAAATAACATCATGTTGTTTAAGCGATAAGAATCAAGCTAGAACCGATAGATCTAGAGAAATATATGCAACTTTATGAAATTACTATAGTTTGCAAAATAAGAAAATTAATTTTTTGTCGTCGCATTTTTGGAAATTTTCTTAAAATTAATGAAGTTTCTTATTTTCCACCTTTTGGCAACCTTTGGGCAACATTATGATGTTGCCACTTTTCAGCAACATAATGAGGTTTTCAACAAACTAAAAAGAATGCTGCGGTTTCTCAATTTTGGTTATTTTAAAAAGTCTTCCGCAACTTTATAAATACGCCTTTTTTCCCAAAATCTTGCAACAACAATTGGCTGGTAACAGCTTTCATCATATTTTTGTTATTTGAAAAAAGTGGAAACCACAACAATATCGATAAACAATATAGTGGAATGCTATGAAGGTTCTTATAGGCCATCATTATATATAAAATATCGACAAATATACATCAGCGGCAATTAACGAAACTATACTGTATCGGTATAAAAATCCACTCTATACTTCATTCTCCAAAGCGGTGAACTGGAAGTAGATTTGATAGAATATTGTAGTGTACAGCTTTAATAAGCTCGATGGTATAAAATAAACCAGCATCAAAAGCATTTGCAGAATAAAATTGGCTATTAGTTATGCTGAAAAAATATTTGAATGCTTGTTATCGATGTGCAGTTTCCGCGAATTCTCAATTCTAGGTCCATGGTTCCTACGAAAGAATCTGAAGAAGAAAAAAGAAGAATTCTAATATCAGAAAGAATGAAATATATAATACATAAATCGGGTTCTGTTTCATTACTATCACTATTAGTACTTAGCAGGACGATCTATTATGTTATTCTTTTAATATATCATCAAGTTAAATGCATTAAACCCACAATGGATCATGTTTCCAACCAATACAACTGAAAACACATAATCAGTTGAGTTTTGTATGGGGAAAAGAGATTCAAGCGATTTTTGGAGATTTTTCGTGCGTGAACCATTTTGAAAATCACGGGAATAAACCACTTGAGTTGCTGATGGAGCCCTTTGAAAGCACTATATGGTTTAAAACCTGGAAATTGAATATGATAATAGTATAGATATGATTATATTTACATTAATATTCCAATGAATTCAGTTTGAGTGGTCTGACTAGCGTAATTAGTGACTTATTCAACAAAATGATAATTCCCGATAAAAAAAAGATACTTTCAAATTCCAAGAGTAAGATTGATACATAACTCCTCCAATATTTATCCAATTGATTCAGAATGAATTTAGATAGCATAATTTATCACTACAAATCATATACCATTTTCAGAGTTGCAAAAATCGTACTAACAGCGACAAATGTTGCAATTCGTGGAACATTTGCATGTCGCACTGTGATGACCATAGAAAACAGAGGTCAAAATGCTACATTTTTCTGAAGCATCCAAATATTCTACAAATTTGCAACATACAAATCTATGCTGCAATGGAGAGAACATTTGGATATTATAATACAGAGAACAACCATTGGGATATAGAAATACGCATTAATCAAGACATTAAAAATCAGTGAATTAATGAACGGAAAATTTGAATGTATCGATATATATGGCTCAACTATTGGAATATACGAATACTCACCAAATCAGAAACTTAAAATCTATGATTTAATTAAGGGAATATTTGAATATATAAGTTGCAACCATCAAACCCATAAATGTGATCATCCATCATCTGTCTCTTTTTACTCAGTATCTTGTCAAATTGGCTATTTTGATTGATTTCTATTAAATTCAGATGGATTAGAAGATATTTATTTGAAAAAGGTTATATCAAAAGTGTCTAAAATACTTCATTTTTTTCTGCATATCAGATCTATTCTCGCTACATAATAAGCTCACTACAATTTTGTATGGAGAAAAGAGATTCACGTCAATTTTTAAGCTTTTTACGTGTCTGGGCCCATATTAAAACTACGGGAATAAACCAATCGAGTTGCTGATGAACCCCTTTGAAACCGCTAAATACACCCATAATAGCAATTTCCACCTTTAAATCACTCGATTGTATTGGTATTTATATAATTATTTTAATTAAGCCATTTTATGCGAGCCTATCACTGCAATTATTGAGTTATTTAGGAAAACCATAATTCCCGATAAAAAAAAGATACTTTGATTTTTGAAGAGTAAGGTTTGATAGATAACTCCACCAATTGTTAACAAATTCACCCGGGATTGGATGTGACACTATTAAGCACTGATATAAATAACATCATGTGGTCCAAACGACGAGAATCGAGCTAGAATTGATAGATCTAGTAATACATGGACAACTTCATGAAGTATCTTTAGTTTGCAAAATAAGCAAATTAATCTTTTGTCGTCGCATTTTTGGAAATTATCATAAAATTAATGAGGTTTCTTATATTCCACCTTTTGGCAACTTTGGGCAACCTTATGATGTTGCCACCTTTCAGCAACATAATGAGGTTTTCAACAAACTAAAAGGAACATTGCGGTTTCTCACTTTAGGTTATTTCAAAAAGACTCCCTCAACTTTATTAATTCACCTTTTTTTCCAAAATTTCGCAACGAAATCAAGTGACTGGTAACAGCTTTCATCATATTTTTGTTAGACAATAATATTGATAAACAATATAGTGGAATACTATGAATGCTCTTATAGACTATCTTTATATATAAAATAGTAACAAATATACATCAGCGGCAATTAATGAAACTATACTGTATGGTAATAAAAATCCAGTATGTACTTCATTCTCCAAACGGGTGGACTGTAGGTAGATTTGGAAGAAAAAATTTACCTTTTGAATAAAGTATTAGTAGTCGATGGTTTGAAATGAATCAGCATTACAAATATTTGCATATTTAAATTGGCTATTAGTTATGTTCAGCCTATTCTCGACATGCAAGTGGGGAAACTTCTTGAATTTAGGTCCATGGTTCGCATGAAAGAATCCGAAGAAAAATAATTCAAGTATCGAAAGGAATGACATATATAATCTATAATTTGGCTTCTGTTCCATTGATACCACTATTAGTACTTGCCAGAGCCATATATTATGTTATCTGTTTATTATATATTTGAGTTGAGTACATAATACCTATAATGAATCATGTTTCCAACCAAAATAACTGAAAACAAACCCAAATCTACATTTTGTATGGCGAAAAGAGATTCAAGTCATTTTTGGTATTTTGTCGTGTACAAACCGATTTGAAAATCATGGGAATAAGTCAATCGAATCCCTGATGAACCCCTTTGAAACCACTAGATACACCAACAACAGGGATCACTAGCTTCAATGCATATAAATATGTACTAATTTATATGGATATTTCAATCCAACCATTTTCTGCGGGGCCAAACTCATGTTTAGTGAGTTATTTAGAAAAATTATTATTCCCGATAAAAAAAAGATTGTTTGAAATTCCAAGAGTAAGATTGATAGATAACTCCTCCAATATTTGTCCAAATGACCCAGAATGAACATATATAAGATAATCTATTACTGGGAATTGTATACCATTTTCAAAAATGCAAAAATCGTACTAACAGTGACAAATGTTACAAATCGTGGAACATTTGCATGTCGCACTGTGATGACCATAGAAAACAGAGATCGCAATGCTACTTTTTCCAAAAACATTCAAATATTCCACAAATTTGGAACATATAAATCTATGGATAAATGGACGGAACATTCTAATATACGGATATATAGAGGGAAAATTTGTACATACAAATGCGCACCAAATCAGGAACATACAAATCAATGGTTTAATGTATGGATCATTGTGACACACAGATATAGGGCGCGACCAATGGAACATATAAATGTACAACAAAAAGTGACATTCAAAAATATGGTTTCAAGGATGTAATATTTGAATATATATATATATTTATTTTCGGAATATAGATTCATAAGATACCGCCATCAAAATTCATGAATATAATCCACTGTTATGTGTCTTTCCTTATTCAGAATTGCGTCAAATTGATTATCTTGATTGATTCCCATTATATTCAAATGGATTATAAAATATATGTCAAAATGAAATGATCAAGAGTGTCGTAAATGATTCCCTTTTTTTTCTGCTAACAGTGTTTCTACTTTCAGTTCGTACCAAGTTCAAATAAATTATTAATATCAATGCAACAATTTATTTCATAGTAAGAGAGATTAATTGTTCATAGTAGATGGAGTCAAAATGTTCACATCAGCGGGAATAATACTTTCAAATTAGCTGCCCTTTTTTTTTGTTCATACCAAATATCATACATTTTTAGTATGAACAGATAGCGGTCATGGAATATGAACTTTTTTTGTGCACTAGTACCAAAAATATTGACTGCTTTAATATGAACTTTTATTTGCAGATAGTGCGAATAATTTTGACACATTGATCTGAAAATTATGCTCACACTATAGTGAGAAATAAAACTGTAAGGACTGTACTAGCTAAACAGTGTTCATAGGGCTAGAAGGTTGTTACATGTTTCATTACACTGTGTCTTTGAGTCGACGTATATTCCGAATAGAACCGATTTGTAAAAACCCAAGTTGAATCATTCTCATGTTAGTTCATGTAAATTGCCCCCCTCCCTTCTCATCTGTAACATTCTGTCCTGTTAATATGTATAAATCCCCAAAGGCCCCTTACTAACCGCCCGTCTTTGCTGGAGTAATCTCCTAATGGATAGTAGGAGACAGTACTCGGTTACTCTGGCAATATCAAGGCCCTGTGCATTACGTAATCCGCAGCCGGATTGCACGAAGCAAAAAAAAAAAAAAAATTAAACTCGCAGTTTATAGAAATGAAATTGTTTGCTATGGAATTTATCAATTATCATTTTCTTCTTCTTCTTCTTCTAAACAACAATTACTTTCCTACTGGTCCAACAATGGGTCTTATATTCTTTTTATTTGTTTATGTTCTAGGTGGGTTGACATTCCTACCGGGTATTCTTATACTATACATCTATGTTAAACCAAAAGTGGAGACAAGTTATTTACAAGATAAGGACACCGAGGCAGATTCATTGAAAGCTGGAGAATTGGAAGAAAATCATCAATCTGGATTGGAGACTTATAAAAGTGGATGGATATTTGTTACAAGAGATTACATTGAAAGTCCAGATGAAATCAATTCAAGTACTCAACTGATTACTGAATCAAATGATAATAAATCAGCTTATTCAGCTTTATATAAATTAGTTAAAGATCTGGCCACTAAAAAATCAAAAGATCATGACAATTCAAAAGAAAATCGTCTGCTTGATGATTTAGATAGTAGCGATGATGTCAATAAAGATACATTTGTATTACATAAGGATTCTGGTAATGATACCCATGCACAACAACAACAACATAGTCATGCTAATCAATCTCAAAAACAAACCATCAGATCATCACAAAAGAAACATCGCTATTTTGCTGTATTGAAACATGGGAATTTATTCTTATATAAAGATCAAACTTTAAAAGATGTTAAACATGTCATTGTATTGGCAAATTATTTCGCCACACTATGGCCCCGTGATTTAACTGATGCTCAATTATTCACTAAATATTCAGCAATTGCATTGATAAATCCAAATAAATTGATGCAAGAGAATCATGCAAACGGCCAGCAACAACCAGGATCGTCTTCATCTCCTGGATCTTCAGATTCTTCACGTAATGAATTCCCAAACAATCAAAATATGATTGCCCCACGCGGATCATTTTTCATTTATTGTGATATTTGTTCAGAAAAGGAGGATTGGTTCTTTGCTTTAATTAGAGCCATGAAATTGGAAAAATCCGAATTACCTGATATATTGAGTCCAACCAAATTTGCTAAAACTTTACATTTTGAAACAAAGGAAATGATTAATTTAATTCAGACTTTATATAGTTCTGAAGGTCAATTACAAACTAAATGGATAAATGCAATTATAGGAAGATGGTTTTTATCAATGAAAAATACTAAACAATTTGAAGATTATGTTTATAAGAAATTGAGTAAAAAATTAAACAAGATTAAAACACCAGGGTTTTTTGATCAATTTCAAATAACTGATATTCAACCAGGTAATCTGGCACCTTTTTTCACATATCCAAATTTAAAAGAAATAAATCCAGATGGTACAGTTTTAGTGTCTAGTTATGTTACATATACTGGAGGATTATCTGTTACAATTGCAACTAAAGTTGATTTAACATTTGGTACGAAATTTACTACTAAAGAAGTTGATTTGGTATTGAAAATAACATTGGCTAAGTTGGAAGGGCCTATGTTGTTTAAATTAAAACCTCCTCCAAGTGGTAGATTTTGGTATTGTTATGAAATTGATCCAGTTATGAATTTTAAAATTGAACCTTTGTTAAGTTCTAGAACTTTGAATTTTAATTTCATTACCAATTCAATTGAAAAAAAATTCAAGGAAGCCATTAAAGAAAGTTTGGTTTTACCTCATTGGGATGATATTGTATTTTTTGATAGTTCAGATCAATTATATCGTGCTGGTATTTGGGAAGAACCTAAATTGGATGATGACGAACTTTCAGGAAATCAAACAGATGGCACTACAGAAGCTGATGCCAATTCAGATATTAATTCATTAGATAAATATGAAGATATTGAAACAAAATCTGAATTATCTTTTAGTTCAAGATCATTAAGAAATTCTAAATTTTCAAGTACATTAACTGATTTAAGTAAAAGAATGAAAAAGAAACCATCTTCATCTACTTTGGATGATCAAATGACTACCACTACCACCACCACTACTACTAGTAGTTCCAATAATCTAGGACCTACTACATCCAATGCTGGATCTACAATAATGTCCAATACATTTAAAAAAATTGGTAAATGGTATTTTAAAGATGATCATGGTAATAAACAACCTCAAGAAGAAAAACCATATACTCCACCAGAAATGATATCAAGTAGAAGACAACCAAGAAAATCATCAAATTCTTTGGAACCTATGCAAAATTCAACATCAACGGATGAAAATGTTAATATTAATCCACCATATAACAATACTAATCCATTAACAAATCATATGAGTTCAACTGCAACAGCAGCAGCAACAGCAGCTATTGCAGCATCATCTTCAGGATCTTCAAAAAATTCATCATCAACAGCATTAAATCAAACTCCATCTTATAATTTTAGTAAATTGGATAATAATGATAATTTTAATCTTTTTAGTACTTCTTATAAAGATGATATATCAACAAAGGGAATCCAACCTACAAAAAACCAACAACATCAACAACAACAACAACAAATTTCTAGATCTTCTTCAATAACTGGAGTTTTACCATCACAATCACAACCTCCATTGCCACCAAGAAATCTTTCAGTTACTTCTACTAGTCCAGGAATAGGTGGATGTGGTGGTGTTATTCCACCTCCATTACCACCACGTGAAATTTCAGATAATATGTCAATAAGAAGTGAATTATTAGTTGCTGAACCAACAGTTGGAATTTCACAACCTGCAACTCCAAATAGATCTAAAACTGTTCATAGAAAAGCACCACCAAAATCACCATCTTTAAAAACAGAAGAAGAAGAAAAAATCACACGTGATGAATTCTAATTCTAAATTTAAACCAAAGGTAATATATATATATATATATTTATTAAATAATGTGTATATTAGTATTTAAATATATGCTGCCCAACCACAATACATTTGTGCTAATCTTTCAATTGATGTAGCTTCTTGAATTAAAACATCAACTTGACCATGAATATTCATTGGTAATCCTTCATCTTCATTAATTAAACCTCTTAATTTTTTACGAACTTTCATAAGTATATGACGAGGATCCAATTTTTTCCAATCTAATAAAGGATCATGAATTAAAGTTTCTAAAATATTCATTAAAATTTGTTCATTTTCTCTTAATAAACTTCCAGTTACTTCACATGTAATTCTGAAAATACCATCAACTCCACTAATACCCATAGCATCAACCATATTTTGAGTTAATCTAAATGGAACAATTTCTGGTGTTGGTAAAGTTAAACCTTTTTCAAATAAACAATCAAAATCAATATGTAATACAGAACCATTCTCTTTAAAAATCAAAATATTTTCACAATGTCGATCTCCTAATCCAACAATATAACCAACCATTGACATAACTGCACTAGATCTTGTAAATGAATTTCTTGCCATATACCATGCACTTGGATCAGAAAATTGTTCAATAAACCAGTTATGCAAAATAGGTGGATTTTCTAATAATATTTCACGAAATTGTCGAACAAGATCTTTCAAATTTTTAGGTTTGGCTTTTTGTAATTTATCAATCATTGTAAATATTTTATGTTCATTAATTTGTTTACCCATTCGTTTACGTTCTTCAGCGATAATACCTTTCATAGTTTGAACATTCAGGACAAATTCAATTACCCCATAGCGTTCAGAAAGTGGAATAACAGAATAATTCAGAATTTGTAAACCTCTTTTTCTAGCCTCAGTACTAGATGTCAAGATTCTATTCACCATCGTGGTAAATTCAACCACTTTAGCATCCTTACGAGTATCATCATCTTTTACCATTAAGGGATATGCTTTACCATCAGATCCTCGAATAACAACTTGTTTTGGCATTTGTAAAGAATGGAAAATATTCACTTTTTCGTCAAACCCATCAAATGTAACACTTGAGGCTCTATTAAAACCTTTAAAATGAGTTAACCCATGGGTCGGTAATCTAATTTGCAAGTTTGATTGTACTGGTATCACCACATCATTTATTGGGTCAGTTAATTGTAATTGGAAATCTTTAGACAACAGCAATACCTTCTTTTTAGCACGACGATCAACTTTAAAACTAGCAATGCCAATCAATTTTTCAAATAATCTTCTTGCTCCATCTATATGTTTACTGAGTACTTCACAAGAAGCAACATCAAATGCATCTTTATCTTCTGGACCAACTGAAACAGTAGCTACTTCATGCAAGATTTTCTTAACTCTGCTTCTCCTAATCTTATCAGTTGATTTTGTATGTGATAAGACATACCATAATGCATGTTCTGGATAATTTCTAACAACTTTCATAACTATTTTGGCCAACGCTTCGAATGATGGTTCATGTTGATGTACAATTCTTGATAACACTTGAGTAATAACTGTAAACCATGAATATCTTGGGATGTTCTTGATACCAAGAGTTATCTCAAGAATAATTGCATTTAATTTCTGACGTTGAAATGCAGTTGCTGTTTCATTTTTCAAATTTGCAAAATCAAGCCAAATGGTAATCAATTTAGGCAAAGCTTCAAAAACATAATTTGTGCCCACAGATACAGCTCTAGAATAATGTTTCACCGCATACAGTTGGTATAATCCAGACTTGTCATCTGAAGTATCCATCAACTTATTGTAATATTTACCAAGATCATAATGACATTTCTCACTTAGCATATCAAGTTGAAGTGCTGTATTATATTCTTGAATGATCTGTTGTGCCGATAAATGATTCGACTCACCTAACCAATTGGCATACTGAAGATACACTTGGGCTTTACGTTTCTGGTCTCCATTGAACTTGTCTTCTTTTAGAATATCATACAAAGACTTGATTGCTTCGGATTGTTTTCCTTGTTCCCATAACAAATGAGCAAATTCAACATTAGCATTTTCATCATTTAATGCCATTGCTTGGACAATACACCGTGTTGAGATATCCAACCTACCATTCTTTCTTGCCATTTGTGATTCCAATAACAAATTCCCCGATACTTTTAAAGTATCATGAGACAGATTATACGCCACATTATGCAACGTAATAAGACTTCTTTGAGTATCGAAATCTTGATCAACATTACTTAACCTTGCTTTCAAAACTGTATCTGAATCCTTACCTGACATAATCAACTCGATATCATGAATTGCATGCAATTGATTCATTAAAGCGATATTTCTTGTAAAATTTGACGATACTGATGTAACCAATGAGCTACCAATGGTGTTGCACAATTTATTCATTGACTCTGTAAACGATTCAAGGTTCATGTCAAATATAAAGTTGATACATTTAGCAAATTCATAATCAACCATTCCTTCTGTACTAAGTGGTGTCCCAATAGTGTTTGTTATCATTAACCATTTCCTTAACTGTTCAGCATCACCTTTGAAAACCGCGGAACGTATACCTGTCATGGACCAATCTAAAGGAATCGATGTCAAGTCGGTCAGATCCGTTGCTGCGGCTAAAGTTGATAATGCCTCATCATACAAACCTCGTTGATTCAATGATTCGAGCAATTTTGTCTTTTCCACTTCTCCATTGCTTGTTGTTCCCAAAACTTCAAATGATTCATGTGCTAAACTCCAATTGTCACTATATTGGAATGTTGATAATTTCTGCCTCAAGTTATTTGTTGAAAACATTTTTAGAATACCATTCAACGCGTCATAATCATCAAGATTTGCATACATGGATTGTAAAGTAGAAGCACTATCAATATTTGACAAACCAAAATTCCCATCACGGTAACAATTTTCCAAGTACATAATTGTTCTCTCATATGCATCACATTCAGCTGCTTTTGTAGCAATAAGTTCTTGTGGAAATGAGCTGAACCTCTGTACTGCTTCAACTTTGGAGAATGATTTATCAGACAGAGTTTGGGATTCCATTTTATTGGAGTGTTCACGCATAGCACATGTCCATTCATTAAAATAATCAAACACGGAGAATATAGTTTGGTAGCACAATTTCAATTGTTCTGCTCTTTCAGGTGATACTAATTTAGTATCAAAACTGAAAATATGTAAAAACTCCTTGCGCAATGCATCAGCAATTCCATCATTAACAACATGACTTAATGCAACGTATTTCAATAAATGCTGGCACAAAGGAATATCGGGATCTTTGTGAATCAACACCGCACAGGTACCAAATATAACTTTTCTATTTGCTACGTCTTTGCTTTTATTTTTATCATCAAGACTAGCTGCTTTTAGTAAGTATAACGTAATGTCTACCAACCATGTTTCATACTTCATTCCCAATTTGAAATATGGGAACTCAATTTCCTTTGATTTCGGTTTAGGAGCAGCATATTTGGATTTTAACAATGGAGTCAATGTAGATTTCCCAACATCACTAAACGATTTCCACGGATTGTCTTCACTCTTTGTTAATACCCGTTCATCAAGACCCATAACCAGAAGAAGTTTCTGCATCGAGTATGCTGCAAATAATTGTTTATGAGGGTCATTTGATGCCCAAAAAATCTTCAACAAATGATTCTCAATCAAATCCACCAAAAACTTAATAACTTCTTTTGTGCTCTCAAAATCCAGCTTGATAACAATCAGTTGGTTAACTGTTTTATAATGAAACTTGTTAGCATCTAAGGCACCAATAACAGACAACACTCTGGCACATTCACTTGAAATCTTGGGGTTCTTGTTTCTAAACTTGGCAGCTGTATCGAGTATTGTTCGAACCAAAGCAGTCATGATACCTGTCATTGTAGGATCTTTAAAGTATTCGCTTTGGCAATAGTCTTGGTACTGTTGACAGTAATTATACAAATCAAAGAGGGCTTGTTTGACAACGTAAACATTGCTTGTCAGTAACCTTCTGTTGAATTCTTTGAATATTTTTGGTTTTGACGGGGATTTCATGCTTTTAAATTCTCTAACAACTTGATAATCTCTCATGTATGGCAAAAACGGAAGTGACAAATAATACAATACATAGCAATTGTGTCTTTCATCTTTAATTTGCTTGTAAATCGATTGCAAGATTTGGAGAGCAATTTCTCTAGCTTCAGAACCAAAACTTTCAAATTTTTGGAAAATCAAGGAGATTATAATATCAATCAAGGAAATTAAATGTGATTGTGGTAATTTGTTCACCAATTCATTCCAACAACTTAATGACAAAACATGGTAGTCTGGCTCTTCTAAAGTCGCTTGCAAACATGTTGATAGTTGACCCAATGCAGATGTGATTGCTTCTACGTGACCTTGAATTATAAATTGGATTGCAAAAAATGAATGTTTCAATTCAAGAAACGGTTTAGCACCTCTTAATGAATGAGTCACATCACTAAACATCTGTACAAGTAACAAAACCTGATCTTCTATTAAACTAGCAACGTTTAATGGTTTGGCGCGGTCCCGTAGTTTCATATGTGAAGCCACACATTCCAATGCCTTGGAAATATTGGCTAGATTTTTAATCCCACCATTGTCATCAACTTGAATCTCCAATAAAATATACCACGTGATTTCACCAATACGTGTAAATAATTCGTTGGGTGAAACTAATTTATAATCTGGACACACATTACTTAGAACTTTGACAATATATTTTTCATTCACCCCGTCTTTAACCAAATAGAAAGCAAGAATACGGGATAAACAAGATGCAAGTAATTTTCCAATTTCAACTCCCGCGGCATCAGCAATCTGAGAAATCAATGTAGGGTCTTTGTAATACTCTAAAATTCGTGGTACAATATATTCCTTGTTTCTATTCAAGAAATACTTTCTTGTGACTCCCAGAACTTGCAATATCTTTTCCAAAACACGAGAGTTCTTGATAATCATATCGGCAACACTTGGCAAATATGGAGAGAGTAGTTTATGAGGGGGAACAGATTTAGTAGATGCAAGGTCGAGAATTCCACAATAGACGTAATTTGTATGTTGCTGATTTGGCTCACTCAACCAGTCGATCAATTTGAAATAAATCGCACACAACCGTTCTCCATTGGACACAGTAGCCAATTCAGCAACTGCACGTATTGTTGACTCACCAAAATGACAACGACGCGGTGATGAAAAGTCAATTGCGGTGATCTTTTGAAAAATGTACTTGAAGGTTTCATCTAGTTGTTTGTCATTACCCAGTTGGATTAAATAAAGTGGTAGGATTCTCGTGACGAGCATTCGAACATCACGATTATTATCATTTGCCAACAATGTCAACAAAAAATCGATAACCTCGTGGTCCGCCATATATGAAACAGGTGAAAAACTAGCATATAACTTGAAAATTAAAATAAGCACATTACAAGTCAATAGTGAATCATTAGTGGCAATTATTTTGGGAATGAAAAACTGAACAACGATTTGTTGAAGAATAGCTGTCTCTTGCCTACTAGTGACCGGGACTCTTTTTGGGTCAATATCACTGAAATAGTTTTTGGTTAGTGGGGAGGAGCCACATTTGGTACATTCACCGATGGAGTAATCAAAATCATTAATGAGAATGCAAGGAAAATAACCTAGAGTTGTTGCTAGGGTATATAAAGTAGCTTTATCTTGACTAATTCTATCTCTATTGTGGACGGTTAAATCTTTGACACATTCTATCCATTCCTTAAGATCATAAACACACAGACCGTCGATAGGTTCATCCATTTCGCCAGTAACAAAACTTAATAATTCTATCATATTGTTCTGCTCCAGTAATTTCTGGAACTCACGGGTTTTCAATCTGAGTGATTCCAATTCTGGATCACCGAACGGTTCATCCACATAGTTTCGGTAAACACCTGATTTGTAAATTTTCAACTCCTCTGCATCGTGGTTCTTCTTTGAATAAAAACTATGCTGTATTATATTCAAGGTCTTTTTAATCACTTTAGGAAGATTCTCATCGTAGACCAATTTTGCTAGAATAGCTTTGAAATTTAAGAATGTCATGAAATTTTCTACCATATTATTATCAGGGCATTGTCTATCCTTTTCCAAGCAAAACAAGTAAATTTTGAACAATGACAATGAAATTGAATGATTTAAATGGACAAAGTCAAATTGATCGGTAGCTGAATCTAATGCGTTAAAATCTTGTCTTAAAAACTCAACTATCCAATTCATCAATAAACCAATTTCAACCCAAGTTACTTGTCGATTCAACATAATATTGTTAAGATGTAATAATATAAATACTGATTTCAAAGTATCTAACAATTTCAAATTTGCCGGTGTTGATTCAAGACTGATTTCATTTATGGTGAACCAAATTTTCCTACTGTAACTTTCAAATTGTTGTTGATAACTGTTTAGATTCACAGAAAGTTTCTCAGATATATCATGATCATTCACTATGGAAAAAAAATGTATTCCACTTGCTAGTTTGCCTTGATATTCATTGGAATTAGATTCGGCTAAATTTTGAAGACAATAATTCAAATCATCTCCAAGGATGGTTAACAATTGAGTTCGGATATTTTTTATTTCTTTAAAACTATGCAACTTCGAACACACTAAATTGATGATCAAAATTATCAACCTCTTTAACTGATTGAGTATACTCGTGCTTGATGTGAATCTAGATATTTGAAGTCTGGCAAAAATTATACACCATTGGTATAATTGACAATCTGTTCCCACAGTAATGAAATTTTCAGGTATATGGATCAAACTCAATTCCTGTTGTGTTAGTGGTATCTTTAGTAGGTATATTTTCTTCGATAGTACTAGATCTATAGTTGTGATTAGTCTGGATAATAACTCAATTTGTTCAGATGTCTCTTCATGTTGTAAAGTATTTAATTTCTCATTGGTGAATCGGAAAAGGTAAAAAATGAGTTTATGGAAATCAGTGTCTTGATCATTAATATTGGATTCTATATCATTTAAAAACTGAAGTAATTCAGACGAGCTTATGGATTGATTGGAAGTCATATCATTGCGTTTCTCCCCTTTCCTGCTGTGGTGTTGAAGAGAAAGTGGACTTGCTTTGAACTACAATTGGTGGGACGCGTTTTTCATGTCAATGGAAAATTTTTAGTATACTTAAAAGTAAACCGGGACACAGTGCGAGAGAGAGAGAGAGAGAGAGAGAGAAACAAGACGAAGCTGGCCCTGGGCTCGGCTTACATCGTTCGATCAACAGGTTAGATAGTTATACATTTAATTTTCTTATGATTAGATCTAGAAACAGATTATTTTGGTGGGATAAGGGGGGGAGTTAATAATATACAATAAGTGATGCTCTTTATGGATGGATAAGGGTGGAATCAACGTAACTTCATTTACACACTTGGGGGGAATTGATGCCTTTATTGACCCGAAGATAATGGTCTTTTAAACAACAATATATGAGGTTCTGGAGCATGAGTTTCATAATGGACCCAACCTAAAGATTGTGTGATACCTAATCCTCTCCATTCTTCTTCTAATAATATTCTTAAAGTACCTGTTTCTGGGTTGAAATAATCTTGAGGAATCACTTTTAACATATTCTTTGGCAACATCACATGACGGTATTCATGAGAATCATCACTATATCTCGGACTATAATGGATCATATCTTGAAATTCTAACACCTTGGCCCTTTCTGAATCAGTTAGGTATCTTGGTTTCGACATAATGTATTGTGATTGGTGTAAAAAGAAAAAATGATAATTAATGACAGATAGACAGAAAAAAAATTAAATGGATTATGTCTATGTAGGAATATGGAAACAAGGGTTTAGTGGGTACAACAAGTTGAATGAATTGTTGACAATTGGTATAAGAAGGAATTTCTTGAAAACAAGAAAAAGAGGGGGAGTTGGGTAATGGAATGTTTCTTTAATTTATATATGTGTATATATATATACCACTTTGTTCTTCTTTTTTCAAACAAGAAAGCAGTCGTATTGATTATTATTATTATTATTATTAAAGATTTTTTTTTTCTCTCTCTTTTTTTTTTTGGTTTGAGATTTCTGTTGGTTCGGTTTGGTTCGGTTTGGTTTGGTTAGCGAGATATTTTTTTATTTTGGTTCCACTGCAATTTAATTAAGGGCGTATAATATTTTGTACTACATATTTGATTGAACAATAGGGAGGTGATTATATTATATTATGACTCTGCAATGGCGATCACTTATTTATTATCATACTGACCAGCTGGTCCTTTTACTAACCCCCCTTTTCTTATTCTATCATAGACTACACCATCAAAACAATGGAGGTTAACAAATTAAAAAAAGGGGAGTATGATTGGTTATTAATAATTTCTCTCATATAATTACCAAACCCAAGCAAATCTTTTTAAAACATTCCACAGGTTTAATTTACAGGTAGTAACAATGTGCAGAAATCCAAGGTATTCAATTCTCAATTAATAAATAATATTCTTTAAAGGAGACACAATTAAAAAAAAAAAGCAACAGGGGTCTGGACCCAGTAAATAACAATACGAATACACGTATTGTACATCATTTTTGTTGTTGGGATTATATATGCTATTCAATAGAACGCCTCACCTTGTAGGAGATCTATCTCGTTGACGAGGAGTTTTGGATTCATGCCCGCGGCTTCTACTATGTGACTTGTGTGATCTTTCAGAAGAACCGGACTTGTGTGATCTATCTGAACTTGACCTAGACTTATGATGAGAGTGTCTGTGTCTATCGCCATCACCTGGTTTTCGTGACGATCGTTGTGCTTGTTGTTGTTGTTGTTGTTGTTGTTTTATCTTGGCCAATGGATCATCTGAATAACTGGTTGTCTTTTGTGGCTTAGACATACCCACCCCTATGATTTTGTTTATTCTATCACTATGATCACCTCGGTCTCTTTTCCTTGAAACCATATTATTATTCCCATTCAACATGTTCTCCACTTTGGATTTACCTTCGGTGAATTCAAGGCTCGATTCAATAAACCCACTTGAATTCTCTTCAACTTGTTCATTATTTTCAAACGGTACATCATCGTACATCCAGTTCAATTTAGATAATTTAAGTTTCTCCAGTTTCTTCAAATCTTTAGTATCGAAATTGTCTCCATATTGTAGTTTTAATAATTCAAGATATTCCTGTTCTTGTTTAAATTCATAATTCTTTTCTTTAATTTTTTTCAACTCATCGAGTTTCTGTTGTTCTTCTTGCCAGACTTTCTGTTGATTCTTGACCAACGCTGGATTCCAGGACTTTTTCAAATTAAGATCACCAGCCATGATGTGTAGTTATAGATGTGGAAAGAAATGAATGATTGTCGTAGTATAAGCTTTCCATCGGAGTCGATATTTTTCTTTTTCTTTTTTTGTTTGAAGCTTCAATGGGCTGCGCAACAAATTTCAAGGAGTGGCAACAGAGCCAGAGGCAACCAACTTCATGTTGCCAAACCGTAGGACAGCCGCTTCACCAGAGATGTGGAATCTAATCGATATTGAAAATATCAACAACTAGTTATATATATAAATATATATTGAAGAAAAAAAAAACCTATAAGAATAAACAAAATCATTATCTAATAGTTTTCTCGCAACTCCTCCCAGAAGTACAAGTTCTTCGTGAAGCCAAGTGAAATTGGAATTTCCAACGTCAACGATTAACTGTATCCTAGGAGTGCATTGAGAGCTAATAGAAACTTGATAAACCAAGAACTAGCAAAATTGAATGCCATTCTTTCTCTCTGACTTTCCAGTACCATTCTAAAAATAGTTTAGAAACCATGGATTTTGATATTTTTCTTTGGTAATTCTAATTGAGTAGTTAAGAATTCACTAACTTTGACTCTTTGGTCACCTTGTAATTGAATAACTTCACCTAAGTCTTCATCTTTAACAATGTTACCGTTACAAGCGAAATCTTTCTTTAAAACTTTTAAAATTTTCTTTAAATCGTATTCATTTGGAACACCTTGTACAGTAGTCAAAGTCTTTCTACCGTTACGTTGTTGGATACGAATATGGATGTAGTTAGTTGGTTGAGCTTCTGAATCACCAGTGTCGGCGAATGGATCAAATGCGTTTAAGTTTTGGATAGTTGACATAAAATAATAAAAAAAAAATGTGTTAAATCAAATGTAAAATAAATTTGATGACCTTTTCAATGAGCAAATAAAAAAAAACCGTGGAAGTTTTGTTTTTTGTAATGTGATAGGTTATAATTAAATAAGGAAACAAAAAGCTTATAATAGTAGAACTAGTAGCTTTTTGGTGTATTTGGATTTATTCAAAAATGGATTCGTTGATGGAAGAAGAAGAGAAAACTTTATCAAAAAAAAAAAAAAAGAAAAAGAAAATAAATAAAAAAAAAATTTTTGATTGTCTATGACTATGGTCGTGTACCGATGACTAGAAAATCCTTTGGAAAAGAAAAAAAACTGGTGTTACCAGAAAGTCGTGTACAATTGTTAGGAAATGAATCAGTCAGAATTGTTTTGATAATGATTCAATCATGCATTTCTATTGTTGCTGATTATGTAATATAACGTGATGATTTATTTAGTCATAACCAGATCGAGAAGATAACAACAAAGGACACTGTTGTATAGTGATTCCCTGGGAGTCATGAAGAGACTGTATACTGATTGGGATTATACACCATGAGTGGGGATATATTTGATAACATATTATACAGATCTAGTAATAAAAGAAAGATAGAAAGATTATCAATTTAAAGTAATAAACTAAACGCATTAAGGGTTATGAGATATGATCCAGATCATACAAATTACTATTGAAATGTTTAAAATGGTAAAATCACTTGACTATGAAATCGACATTGAATCTTTGGTATTAGTAATTAACCAAACAAAGTAATTATGATTACCTCACAAGACCTGAATAGTCTAATTGTACAGTCTATTGTTTATAAAGAACCATAGCAATTAATCGTAAATATGGAACAAAAAAAAAGTTCTTTGTTTAATATGATTTGGCAAAATAAATTTCTAACTCTGTTACAACGAATTATTATTCGTTAAATGGTTTACATTATTAATTCAGAGTAACCAGTTTAAAAAAAAAATTCGTTGGGAAAATACAAAACAGTGCTCGTGGTATCTTTATAATAATAATCCTTGTCATATTGATGATAAATCATGTATCTACAGTTTCGCCCTACGCTGGTACCACGCGTCATCACAAACTTGACGCAACTTAGGTCGATGAATCTGCCCCCTCCCCCTGTGTTGCTTGCACGTGAATAAGCAAACTATGTAAAAGAAAAGATTTCTACCCAACAATTTTGCGTGTGAATGAAATCAAAAAAAAAAAAACTTGGTTACTTTGTTTGTATTTTTATCTCAAGGTACACGTCTTTTTTTTTTTCTCTCTCTCTCTCTCTCTCTCTCTCTGTCTTTTACTTTCTCTGGCTGTTGAAAATTTGCCATTTCCTCCCAAAACAAAAAAAAAACTAAAAAAACAAAAGTCTCCGCAACAAACGAAGTTGATTATATATTTTTGATTTCAGGATATATTGTTTGATCATTGCCCTCATTTCTGCTTCTTGTTTTAAATTAAGCAATTGAATATCAGTCGTACATAATCATAATGTCTACAGCAGAGAAACTGACTTTACTACAAGAGGACAAGTACTCAGTCAAGAATTCAGCCTTGGGGAAGGAGCCAAACGACAAGGTCAAGTCCTCCTCCTCAACAAATTCTACTGCCACCACTCTAGCTAATGAAAAGGATAAATCATCAGCAAAACAAGAGCCAATTGTTAATGAAAAAGAAAAGAAGAAAGAAGCATTTATAACAAGAACAATTTGGACTTTTGTTATGATTGGCGGTTTCTTTGCTCTTTTGGCATCGGGTCATTTACCATTAATTGGCTTGGTTTTGATGATTCAAGTTTTGGTATTTAAAGAAGTTATTGCTTTGACTTCTGAACCAGCAAGAGATAAGAAAATCCCTTGGAATAGATCTTTACATTGGTATTTCTTGGTTACTACTTGGTATTATTTGGATTTCCCTGCATTGTTTGATTTCTTTCAAGAATCGGTGTACTCTAGTAAAGTTTTAACCTTACTTGTTCTCAATCATAAATTCATCAGTTACACCTTGTATATTTCTGGGTTTGTATTTTTTGTTTGGACTTTGAAGAAAGGTTACTATAGATTTCAATTTGCCCAATTGTGTGTCACACACATGGCATTGTTGTTGGTTGTTTTCCAAGCGCATTTGATTATCGGAAATATCTTGAATGGTATCATTTGGTTCTTTTTACCGGCTACTTTGGTCATTGTCAATGATATCTTTGCTTACTTGTGTGGTATCACTTTTGGTAGAACCCAATTGATTGAAATCAGTCCAAAGAAAACCGTTGAAGGTTTTGTTGGTGCTTGGATATGTACGGGTATTGCTGGGGTTATTGCTTCTCATATTTTATCTAAATCTGATTACTTGATTTGTCCTGCAATTAATTTATCCACTCACTTGTATAATTTCCCACATTGTGAACCAAACCCTGTTTTTATTCCACAAGTTTTTCAATTACCTGCAAATATTGTTGAGATGACTGGTGTTGAAATAATTACCTTTAAACCATTCTACTTCCACACAGCTGTTTTGGCAACTTTTGCATCTTTAATTGCTCCATTTGGTGGATTTTTTGCCAGTGGGTTGAAACGTGCCTTTGGTATTAAAGATTTCGGTGATACAATTCCAGGTCACGGTGGATTAACTGATAGATTTGATTGTCAATTTTTAATGGGTTCATTTACTTATTTGTATTATCAAACTTTTGTTACCAACCGTAGTATGAATTTAGGTAAAATTTTGCAAATGGCCATTATGAATTTATCATTGCCTCAATTATTGCAATTGTCCAAGAGTTTATTAAGATATTTGAATAGAGAAGATATAATCAGTGATGAGAAATTAGAAGCTATTTTCAACTTATTAGAAAATTGATTTGTTAAAAAAAAAGGGATAATGATAATAATTATGATATAAATAATATTGGTTTTTTTTTTATATATATATAATTTCTTTTTAGTTGATTTCTTCTTGTTTTGTAAATGTACATACATATATTAGTAATAATTTGATGCTAGTTTATTGGTTTTTAGTTAATTATCATTTTTTGGGTTTTAGTTCTGGTTCCCTTGATGAACTCCATTTAATTGACACGTACATGCTTAGTGGTATGTTTAAATGTTAACTTTTGTGGACATTTGTAGGTTGTATTCGTTACTGTAGCGAAGTAGACTAGCCATGCTGAAGTTCATCATGACGACAGGGGTGTTTGCCTTATAGCCTTACTTCGCTAATGAAACAGACTAACCAGAAGTAAAATAATAAAAAAAAAGCCCCATGAAAATCACAAGTAATGAGTTGAATTATTGATTCACAAAGAAAACAACCGAAATCATTCTAAGTATATATATATTCCTATTCTAAGTGTTTTGTGATTCTTTAACTCATTATACATGTTCCAATGATCATTATCCAGCAAAATGGGCTTTTTATTCACATTACTTGATTTCCAAAAGCAAGGTACCACAACTAACTCACTCACTCTCTACCGCATATGTCATAATTCTGTACGCGCGCCCCCATTCCCATTCGCTAAAGAAAACAATATACTTGTACTAAAATTCCCACCGCCAGTTGACACGACGAACAGCGAGGAGGAAGCAAAAAAAAAAAAATTATTTGCATAGCCAGCCATCAAAATCAAGAGAATATATATATGCTGGTTATGAATTTGACACCATTGAAATGCTCATCAATCAAGCATCTACAACTGATCATTAATGGAGATTTGTGCCTCTTTTTTGTTGTTGTTGTTGTTACTTTTGTAAAAAAAAAAAAAATCCATCATAATGAGCATTAACATTCCCTCATTGTGGAGTTGACATGATGACCATATGTAAGTATTTCTCAATCCTTCACTTACAGAAGAAAATGTTTGAAATGTAAATTTGTTAGAAATCAATAACGATATAATTAATGTTTATCGAATATAATACGAAGATGATTTTGATCTGTTACAATAAAAGAGAGAAAGTTGATTAGGTCAATTTCCTGATTCGTAAGAAAAGTTAACTTTGATTTGAATGATTTTATTACTTAACAAAGAGGAACTAAAATTAAAGTTACCTGGTTTTTTTATATATATTTTTCTTTAGATCAAGGAACAAGTATCACTAAGACAAATAATGATGATGATGAAGAGCATAGAAGAAAGTATAACAAAAAGTGTATTAGAAGTAGAAAGTTGGCTGGTTCAATGGCCGTGGTGATATTTCGCAGATCTTTTTTTTCTTCTTCATCATCACTCGTATTGTGTTGCACGGACTGTACTTCGCTCTAAATTGTAAGCCCATCGCCTTCCTAATTCGGCCGCTGCTGCATGCAAATCTTGCTATCGCTTCAACGTTGATGAACAATTTTACAAAAATTGCAAAAAATACCCACATGACATTTAATGTTACCACCGGAGTTGATTGATGGCTGAGATTGGGCTTTTGAACTTAATGCAAGTAAAGAATTATATTTTATTTTTATCTAAAGTAATATGGGTTACTAATATGTTTATGATTTAACCAGCATACTTTTTTTTAGTTAGTTAGTTAGTTAGTTAGTTAGTTACTCAACTATCTGTTTATATGTTGATTGAACCCATTGATTGAATTTGATATATCCATTTCCAAGATTATTTAAAGACCATGATTTCCAACCATATTTACCCCTGGATAATTTGATTTAATTTATCAACCAACTTACATTCGTTTTTAGACTATCATTACTGATAAGGATCTTTCCAATCAAACCAACTACTACTTTCTTTCGTTCTATATTCAATCAACATAGCTTAGATCTATTATCACCACTTTCGTTCAATTATCAAATTAACTACAAACACACATATACAAATTCGTTATGATTTCTCAACAGATAATAATATCATTCGTTTTATTTTTACAATTTATAAATGCAGCTCCAATTGTGATAACAAGAATGCATACAGCTGCTCCTACCACACAAGTAACTACTATTTATACAGGTACAACTACAGTTTGGTTACCTCCTGTTGGTATTTATATTAGTGATGGACAAACTTCTACTTCTACTATAACTGAAGCTCAATGGAATACTTATCCAGTTACTTTCACAAGTTTCGTTAATAAAGATCAAGTTGATTCTAAACCAACTACCACTGCCGAAGCTCAACAACCAGAAACTACTGAACAAGCTCAACCAGAAACTACTGAACAAGCTCAACCAGAAACTACTACTCAACAAGAACAACAACAACAGCAAACTACACTTACTACTAGAACTACTGAACAACAACAAGTTGAAACTACTGAAGTTCAACAACCAAGTACTACTGAAATTCAAGATGCTGAACCAACTGAACAAGCTGAAACCCAACCAGAAACTACTGCTGAAGCTCAACAACAACCAGAAACCACCGAAGCTCAACAACAACAAGAAACTACCGAAGCTCAACAACAACAAGAAACTACTGAAGCTCAACAACAACAAGAAACTACTGAAGCTCAACAGCAACAAGAAACCACTGAAGCACAACAAGAAACCACTGAAGCACAACAAGAAACCACTGAAGCACAACAAGAAACCACTGAAGCACAACAAGAAACCACCACTTCTACTTCAACTTCTTCTACTTCAACTTCTTCTAGCTCCAGTTCCAGTTCCAGTTCCAGTTCCAGTTCATCTACTTCATCATCAAGTGGTAGTATCCCAGCTCCTTCAGTAATTGTTTATTCACCATATGATGATGATGGAGGTTGTAAAACTCCAGATGAAATCAAGTCTGATATTACTATGATTCACGGTAAAGGTATTAATCAACTTAGATCATATGGTACTGATTGTTATGCATTAACTACTGTTCTTGAAACTGCTAAAAGCTTAGGTATGACAGTTAATCAAGGAGTTTGGTTATCTGAAGCAGGTGTTGATTCAATTGATGATCAAGTTGATCAAATTATTGAATATGCTTCTTCTAATGGTTGGGATGTTTTCAATTTACTTACTATTGCTAATGAAGCTATTAATTCTAATTTTTGTACTGTTGATGAATTAATTTCAAAATTGAATTCAGTTAAAACTAAATTAAAAAATGCTGGTTATAATGGTAAAATGACAACTGCTGAACCACCTGCTACATTTATTAAATATCCTAATTTATGTACTGAAGCTGATATTGATGTTGTTGGTATTAATCCTCATTCTTATTTCAATGCAAACATTTCTCCAGAAAATTCAGGTTCTTATATTGTTTCTCAAAAAAATCAAGTTGCTGGATTATGTAATGGTAAAGATGTTGTCATCACTGAAACTGGTTATCCTTCAAGGGGAGCCACATTGGGTTTAAATGTTCCAACTGATGAAAATCAAAAAATTGCTATTGCTTCAATTATTAGTGAAACTAATGGAGATTGTACCATTTTGACCACTTATAATGACTTCTGGAAAGATCCTGGTCCATATGGTATTGAACAATACTTTGGTGCTATCCAATTATTTGCATAAAACTAACAAACATAATTCATAATTCATTGTTAAATAGGTTAATACGTTTATATAGATTTATATTCTTCTTCTTCCTCTTTCTGTTTATTTGTATATTAGAAATCAATAATTTTATTTGGGAAAAATTCATCAATTAATTCAAGATAGTAAGGTTTTAATTCTTCAACATTATATTGTTGATCAGATTTGGAATATAAATCATAAGAATTAAATGCCTTCACCGCACGTAACATTTCTTTATCATGATCATCCATCAAGTAACTATATGCCAATTCTTGATGCCATGGATAAAATGAATGATACCTAATCATAGCTAATGCTTCAATTGGTAATGTAGAATTTTTCTTTGCCACATGATACATATATTCATCATGACCCCAACTTAACATTACTTTATCTAATCCACAATGTTTTGAATATATTCCATATTTTGTATTATATAAAGGATTTAAAAAATCAGGATTTTTCTTAAAACTATCAGGAAATATAATTCGTTTCAGAAATTTACAACCAACTGGGAAAGTATCACCAACAACATCCCATTGACCTTTTGAATCAAAAAAATATAATAATTTACCTAAATCATGAATTAATCCAACTAATTGAAACCATCTTGGTTTTCCATCTCTTCTAATTGCTTCAGCTGTTTGTAAAGCATGATCAATTTGTGATAATTCTGTATCGGGATCAGAATCATCAAGTAATTTATTTAATCTTTCTAATCCTTCCCAAACTGACATTTTAGCTCTTGTTTTAGTTTTAAAATTAATTCTTGCTTGAATATTATAAGCAACTGTTTGTTTTTCATGTTGTTCTTCATAAAATTGTTTAACTCGATCACATGCTAATTCATATTGTCGAAATGCTTTAGTATCTATATTTTTATAATATTCTGAAGCTATTTGCCAATTTTCATCCGCTGCTGATTCTGAACCTTGCTCTTCTAATTTAATTTCATCATCAATTGAATGTTTTGGAGATGTGGGTGAATTCTTTAAATTCCCTCGAAGTTTATTTACTTTTAAAATATCATCATCTAGTTTATCTAGTAGTTTACCTTCTTGAGACTTAGGTTTATCCTGACTTGGTTTCGTTATCTTGTGTGACATGTTTATAATCGGTTGTGGTGTATGATGGTGTGATGATTATAGTTATTCCATATTTTTGAATATTCAAATTTTTTTTTTGCTTATTCGATTGCCCTACGCTTTTCCAATTCCTCAAAAGATATCACCAGTATCGACTGCAAAAAAAAGGTAGACCCAACAAGAGACATTCATCCTACAAGATCAACTTCATTAAATTCTAAAACTTCTAGTTAAAAATATATTACCTAAATAAGATAAAGAAAAATCAAATTGAGAGAGAAAAGAAGAAATCATTAACTTTTTGTTATTCTAGTTTAAAATGCAAGCATTGACAATTATTCGTTAGAAAACTATCTAAAAAGCTAAAGCAACCAACAAAAGTGGTAAAGTGTACCAAGCATTGTTAATGGTGTTAACGACACCAGCACCTTCATAAGTGAAGACTGGAACAGTACCATTACCAGCTGGTTGAGTACCATTATTACTGCTGTAAGTAACAGTAGTTGGAACTGGGTATGGAACAATAGTGGAAGTGATTTCAATGGTGGAGTAAACAGTTTCACCGGATTCTTCACCAGCTGGAACAACAGTAGAGGAGACAACAACACCTGAAGAAGAAGAAACAATGACAGCTGGAGCAGAAGTAGTTTCTGGTTGTTCTTTTTGGTGTTCCTTTTCTGTTTCATTTTCAGCTGGAGCTGGAGCAGAAGTAGAAGTAGAACATTCAGTAGTGCCAGTAACAGTTTCAACGTGACCTTCTTTGGTAGTGGTAATAGTAGTGGTTTCACCAGCTAAAGTTTTTGGTTGTTCAGCGGTTTCGGTTTCTTCGCAAGAAGTAGTGGCAGATTTGGTGACGACATCTTTGTTACCTTCTTGAGTACCGGTACTAGTAGTACAAGGAACGGTGGAAATAGAAGTTGATCTGATGGTAGTAGATTCAACTGGAACAACAACTTCACTATTAGTCAATGGACAATAGGTAGTGTAAACAGTGTGGAGATCAGTAACAACAACATAGCCAGTGGTAACTGGAGTAGCGTGACATTTATCTTCTGAACAAGAAGTAACAGTGACAACAGTCTTGTGGATATCAGTGACAGTGATAAGACCAGTACCAGAACCTGGGGCTTTGGTAGCAGAAGATGAAACAACGGTGGATGAACTAGAGGAAACCTTAGTAGATGATTGAGTGGAAGAAACAGTGGAGTTACCGTAGTAGTGAGCAGTAGAAGAAGGTAAAGTAGTAGATTCAACAGTTGGTTCTTCAGTAGTGGATTCTTCAGTTGGTTCTTCGGTAGTGGATTCTTCTTCAGCAGTGGAAGTTGATTCTTCTTCAACGGAAGATGAAGATGGAGCTTCACAGACATTATCATTCAAAACTTTCTTAACTTGAGCAGCGAAATTTTCACCTTCATCATTAACATTTGACCAAGCACCAGAAGCATCCCAGAGAGAAACACCAGCAAAGTTGGCATCACATTTAATTTGATCAATAGCAGTGGATAATTTTTCGGCATCAACGTAACCGGCAATGTTACTGGTAGCTGGAACACCAACAAATAATTGAATATCAGAGTTTGGTGCAGTTTCAGCAAAAGTTTGCCAAGTATCATAGTTGAATTCTTGATCAATAGAACATTCGTTGTTGTAAAATTGAATGAAAGCAAAATCAAGTGGAACTTGATTCATTAAATCTTTAAGCAAAGCATCTGGGTATGGACATTGTGGAGCAGCAGATAAGTAGTATTGTTTAGAAGAATCTTCAGAAAATTTAGATCTCAAAGCAGTAGCTAATTCTGGGTAGCCAACAGATTTGCCATCTTCATTTGGAAGTTCGATATCAAAATCAAAACCATCAATAATGGCATCATCAAATGGTCTTTCATCATCTTCACCAGCACCAAATTTGTTCCATAAAGTAGTGGCGAATTCAGTAGCACTACCAGTGGTTTGGAAACCGTAGTTACCAGCGGCACCACCCATAGATAACAAGACTTTCTTACCTTTAGATTGACAAGTTTTAATATCTTCACCAATTCTTTGACAATGCAATAAACCAGAGCTGAAAGTATCACCACATTGGTTAGCAAAGTTGACGTTTAATGGGTCTGGGAAGAAGTTTAAGAATGATAACAAGATAATGTCAACATCAGTGTTATCACAGTAAGCGGCTAATCTTTCTTGACCACCATCGGTTTCAGCAAGACCAACACTGTTTTGGCCCCAATAAAGAGCAACTTGGTTGGTGGCACTGGCTAAAGCAGTGGAAGCAAGAATAGCTGTTGATAATAAAGCTTTAATTGGTAACATATTTCTTTCAAAGATCTAGATAATAGTGTTTGGGTATAAAACAAATAATAATAATAATAATTAATAACGAGTGACTAAGTTGGATTTATTTAAATCAACTAAAATTGAATGAACGAAAGACTAGTAAGTTGGAGTTTATACAACAAGATATTTGTTTATCTCTTAATTAAAGAATTAAAAACTTGATCTTGAAAGTAAAATGAAAACAGGAAAGTAAACACTGATATTAAAAAAAGTAAAAAAGGAAAAAAGTCAGAATAAGAGAACTGCAAAAAATAATTATAATAAAATTATGATGGGAATAAGGATATTTTTATAGTAGATTTTCTTATATTACAGATTGAATAAAATATTCCCAAATTAATTGACTTATTTTAGTAACAAGTAAAAAGAAATCACGATGACAAATAATAATAATAATAATATTTGCCATAAAAACATTTACAAAATTATTAGAATGTTACTATTATTTAGACAAAAAAAAAGAGAGTACTAAACTAAAAACTATCAAAACCATACAAATGCAACCGCACCAATAGACAATAAATTGGGTATAGTGTCGATAATTTGGATTATGCATTTGAGACATTTCCCTCCAATCAATGACATTCTACGAAGTTAAATTAACACACTGCATTGTTGTGGGGCGTTCAACCTCGAAAATTATTGCGTTGACTAAGAACCAAAACCTATGAGATCTAAAGTTGAAAAAAAAAAAAAAAAAAAAAATTGCTGCACGAGATTTCGTGTTTTTGTTTTGTTTTTGTTTGATGCGCAATATCTTAAGATTTCAATACTACAATGGAAGATATGTTTGATCTATACAGGATTGACTATTGTGTCGAGTAAAGTGTCATTAATTCATTCAGCTAGTGGGTCTGATTGTTAACTACGACGAGCAATTATTATATTCTACTAAGCATGTTTTGTAACTACCTTTCCGCCCCCTATTAATACCAAAGTGAGGGATTAACTTCTTGATGATGGAAATATGAACTTGTTTGATTTGCATACCAAATCTAGAATATCTACAATATTCTCTGTTGAGATCTATGTTACAAGAAATTATTCTATTTCTTTTCTTTTCTTTTATTTTATTTTACGATTTCTCTAAAGAATAAAAGCCTATAAATGTAATTCTTGAATTTAAGTTATCAGTGTGAAGAACAAAAAAATCATCTCGACGCAAGAAAAGCCTTGAATAACGTCAAAAAAAAAAAAAATCATTCTGCAGGTGATGATGGACAGTACCATTATAATGAAACAAATCGCCTCACAACGCGTATATTACCGACTACACGATATTTAGGTTATGTCATTAACTGCTATTGTAGAATATCAAACCAATTATTGGATCTATTGGAAAGACGCTTATGTAATCAGCTGTTATTTCGTGTGAAACAATGACAAGTTAGGAAATGTTGTTTCCATTTTTGTCACACCAATTTTATTTTAAAGTTCGGGAATATTTTCTTGGCAGAGTAGGTTTGTCATTTGATACACGACTTGTGAATATTAAAGAAAACAACCACGCAATTTGTTCATATTGGATATTACTCAATGGGTCTTTAACATAAAAGGATATAGAAGTATTGATTCATAAGGATAACTTGTCCATGGTTTTTATATTTGAGAAAGAGTATGTTAGTTCTTTACAATACAACTGTGTTATTAAGCAGCACATGTGTTAAAGAAACAAGTTTATTATACTAGGTTACGAGAGAAGAAAATATTATATTGCAGAAATTTTTTTGTTGGGTGTTTACATTTCGTCCAAAATTGGCGCGTCTTTTTTAGGGGCCGTAGGCGTGGACGAAGACGTACAAAAAAGTGGTCGCGTCATTTTGTGCTTGTACTTAATTCTCCACAATTTATTATTGGATTCGTCCAATAATTGTAAAATGACTTACATTTATACGACACGAGCTAACTGAAATCTGTCTTATATTATATTTTTGCAAGGAAGCATGTAAAACGTTAGAAAGAATATCAATGATCATCATGAATTTCTAGAAGTATTGATTCAATTGATAAAACAACTTCAATGAGTCAATAGCATATCATTGTCACCGTAAAGTTTAACTTTACTCTCAAGAAGAATTTCCTCAGACGGTGTCCCTTCCAGAAACCAAACATGTACAAAATGGAAGGCAAATGTGGTGATTTCCGACAATTGTGATATGTACAATGGATAAATATTCGAACCAATTTTCTGTCATTAAATTATTTACACGAACAATTACCAACAAATTCAATAATGGGTTGAGTAGAAACAATAAGAAACCTTCTGATTCTGGTTTTACCTTTCAGTACAACTTAATCTCTCTTGATGTCTATAGAACCAGAAATTTTCTTTGGTTTTGGTAGAAAATTGCGGCAAAAAATTTCCAAATTCCAAAGCGAGGAATCAAATTATTATAATGTATTACCAATAAACAAGTTTTACATTACTGAAGTGATAAAATATCACTTATTTAATAATATATATATATATAAATCACCGTAATAAGCTAAAAATTATAATAAATACTTATTCTGGCCATTGAATATCCGAAATATATCAATTTCTATATTTTGTAAGGGGAGAAGAGATTTACGTAAAAATTTGGGATATTTCGTGCGTCAATCAATTTGAAAATCACGGGAATAAACCACTTGGAATCCTGATGGAGCCCTTTGAAAGCACTACATGGTTTAAAAACTGTAAAAATAATATAATAATAGTATATACATGATTATATCTACATTAATATTCAAATTAATACAATTTGAGAGGGTTCAGTATCATAATTATTGAGTTATTTAGGAAAACCATAATTCCCGATAAAAAAAAAGATACTTTGATTTTTGAAGAGTAAGGTTTGATAGCTAACTCCACCAGTTTTCATTGTATTGGCTCAAAAGTTAGTGTGGCAGTATTAAACAAAGATATAAATAATATCATGCTGCCAAAATGACTAGAATCGAGCTATAATCGATAGATCTAGCAAAACATAGACAACTTCATGAAATTACTTTGGTTTTAAAAATAAGAAATTTAATTTTTTGTCGTCGCATTTTTAGAAATTTCCTTAAAATTACTGAGGTTTCTTATTTTCCACCTTTTGGCAACTTTTGGGTAACCTTATGATGTTACTATTTTTCTGCAACATAATGAGGTTTTCAACAAACTAAAAAGAATACCGCGATTTCTCAATTTTGGTTATTTCTAAAAGTTTTTCGCAACTTTATAAATACACCTATTTTTCCAAAATTTCGCAACAACATCAATTGACTGGTAACAGCTTTCATCATATTTTTGTTAGACAATAATATTGATAAACAATATAGTGAAATAGTATGAATGCTCTTATAGACTATCTTTATATATAAAATATCGACAAATATACATCAGCGGCAATTAACGAAACTATGCTGTATCGGTATAAAAATCCAGTCTATCCTTCATTTTCCAAAGGAGGTGAATTGTAAGTAGATTTGATCGAAGATTTTAGTGTACAACTTAAATGAGCTCGATGGTATAAAATCAGCCAGCATTAAAAATATTTGCCGAATAAAATTGGCTATTAGTTATGCTGAAAATCTTTTCAAATGCCTATTCTCGACGCACAAACTCTGCAAACTCTTGAATTTGGGTCCATGGTTCGTACGAATGAATCTGAAGAAGAAAAAAAGAAGAACTCTAATATCAGAAAGAATGAAATATATAATACATAAATCGGGTTCTGTTTCATTACTATCACTATTAGTACTTAGCAGGACGATCTATTATGTTATTCTTTTAATATATCATCAAGTTAAATGCATTAAACCCACAATGGATCATGCTTCCAACCATTACAACTGAAAACACATAATCAGTTGAATTTTGTATGGGGAAAAGAGATTCAAGTGATTTTGGAGATTTTTTCGTGTGTAAACCGATTTGAAAATTACGGAAATAAACCACTTGGGTTCCTGATGAATCCATTTGGAACATTATATACACCAATACTGTGACTTATCAATATTCAAGTACCTTAAAATAATGGTAAACATATGATTATTATAAAGATCTAATTTTCAGAGGGCTAGATAATACAATTATTGATAAATTTATACAAATTTTGTGAGACGTCTCATGAAATGCAAAATTAATACTTTTTATGTACATAATATTGATAGGTCATTGAATACTATCAATATTCTGATACAGATATATATAAACCAATGGAATATATCAAGTATTAAATAATGTAGTGAATTAGATTCCACCTTTTGTTCTGTTAGAATGTATACAATATCCATAGACACAAACTTGATTTTCTATAATATGTTTCAAGTAGTTTATTTATAGTTTGCCATAAAACTAAACAGAAAAAGTTGATTGATTCCAAATGTTTTATACTTCCGCAATGATTTTATTGTTATTTTTAATAATGCTTGTTCATTTGCGTACTTTCCCTTGCAGTACAGTTATCAAGTTATTCAACTAGTATTTTAATTTGGGCCTTTTCATACTCTTAATAGATGGCATGCAACTTAGTATTTGTCCATGATTATAATAATAATTTGTTTTACATTATGAAACACATTTTCATTGTCATCGACAAATAAGGAAATTTTAAGTTTGCATTAAAACTGTCGTATGGAACAAAATGCAACCCTGGGGACAAAAAATTTGCAGCTAATAGGCTTCTTCGGACAAGGACCATGGAATTAGATGCAAATCAGAAACGTATATAAAGGGGTAATCGTCCTGTATCAAGTTGTGGTATTTCTATTTTATCATTATCAATAAAACAAAAACAAATCAACAATGGCTGCTCAACAAACTAACAACAACGCTAACGCTAAAACTCAATCCGCTTCTGCTGCTTCTAAGGATAACGCTGTTATTCGTGTCTTGAATGGTAGAGGATACATGGCTTCCAACTGTACTGTTATGTAAAGTCCCAATGGACTTCATAATTGAAGATATTTGTTTTTGTATTTCCTTGAATTATATTATTTGAACAAATCGTTGCTTATTTATACTTATATCTTTTCAGTATTTTAGAATAGAAATTTATCTTTATTGCTTTCGAAATTTCATCACTTGTAAACTAAGTGAATCTAAAACAGAATATTGTAGTTAATTAATTTATAAATGATAGGTCATATATTAAGTAACCTCCACATGTGAATATTACAAGCAATATGAAAGTACTAGGAGATAATTATTGCAATTCAAGAAATTCAAGAAATATTTGCAGCCTTATGTGTAGAAACCAATTTTTTACTGCATAAATTGTGTCAAATTTATGCTAATAAATAACAAAATATATGATTAAGATATAATTATTTGAGATAGATACAAGCTAATAACACGAAAAAAATTTATTTCCAGTAATAGATTACGATTATTAAGTAATTCTAAGATCAATAGAAATAGTTTTGCTTTTTATTGTTGACGATTTACATATTTGCCGTCTCACGTGAGAAAAACTCAGGAGATGTTTCTTTAGAAATTTACTGTTCCACCTATGTAGTTACAGAGATTTTAAAACCAGGCAACCATGGCTATAGATTATTCTACAATGATAGTAGGAATATTAATATATATAAAAAAAATTGTTTACTTTGCAAAAAATTTAAAAATAAAGCTCTCTTGCGGGGAATCGAACCCCGATCACGCGCGTGACAAGCGCGTATTCTGACCGTTAAACTACAAGAGATGTTCTTGTGGAAGTGGAATGCACATGCTTTTCTATACAGCAAAACATACTGTTACTTCTACAGTTTTCTATTATTTAAAATCTACTAATTCTTTCATTCTAGTATAAGAATGTTGACAGTACTATAAAATTCTTAAGCAGCTGTCAGTACTATAAAACATCGAAACGATTTCAATGATTTGTCAACTGCCAGAAGCATGCACTAGATAGAAATAACTAATCATAACCAATTGGTCTGCAATCTCCCCTTGGTTTATTATTATCAATGAACAGAAGGAAACTTACCTTTTCGTTTTCGATTGATGACAAAGTTGGCAAGTTTATGCCCAATTTATTTCACGTGTTGGCCACCTTCTGCTAACGTCTTCTAGAATATTTCCATGTTTTCTTGGACGACCCGTTGTCTTTGATTTCAAGTGCTCGATAAAATTGATAAAGTGATTTTGTTGAGTAATTCAACCAGTAGCAGTTAAATTTTCAATGAGAATTGATTATCATTGCTAGCTAATTCCGATTGTTATTCCACATAAAGGAATAAACCTCCAAATTCCAGAGGCAGTCTGTCCACCCACCTGTGATAATTTGTACTTTTCCAATGTGTCGGATGTTACGGGAACTCCCCAATTCCAGTTTATATATGTTCTGAAATACCGCCTTGATCATTTACCTTGTTATTGCATCAATTGATGATGGTGAGCGATAATCTGGATCAAGGTAACAAAAAAGAAAAGCAATTCGAGACAACATTCAATTTTGTACGTAAGAGAATATTTGCTGCAAAAAGTATGATGCAAAATCGGATATGCAACATTGCCAACAGTACTTATTCAATTAATAGTGGGTTCCATAGCTCATTTTATTACTAACAAGGCCCTGTCTTTGCAATATAATAAAATGTGGAAATAGCAAACCAACAGTTTCCTCTAAATCATGGAATATTCCCGCATTCCAACAACAACACCAACAAAAAAAAAATGGAAAAAACGCGCGCACACGGAAATACTTCTTATTGTTGTAGTAGCAGAAAACGAACAGGAAAAAGAAACAATGCAAGAACGGAATATGTTCTATAAAACTCGTACATTGGAATATCATCATACAAGGGAGGAAGGCAGTAAAAAGGTCATATATATGTATTAACATCCTTGAAAACATTGAATACAAACAGAATGTGATATAGAGAAAACCCCTCATCATGTAGACTCATGTATGGAAATTTCTTTGGAACAATGCGGACGGAAATATTTAGACCTACTTATACTAAAATTGACATAATGGTGTAATTACATGTGAGGACAAGACAAGCCCCTCAAGTGACAAAGTGCGAAAGCCTAACAAAGGGAAAAGAAGAAATAAGTGAATTAAGGACAGTTTCTTTTACATTTTCATTGATCTTCTTCTTTCATGCTTGATTTTTTTTTTTCTTTTCTTTCTTTCTTTCTGTCATTTTTGCTACAACAATCAAGTTTAACCGAATCGATGATGTAGAATCGGTTAGGAATTCCTTTTCTGGAGATCTAACAACAAACTTCATTAGAAGACCATCTTAATTTTTTTTTCTTTTGAGACAGAACCCCCTTAAAAAAGAATGTCAAACCCCTAAGTAAAAAAAAAAAAATGATTGCAAAAAAAAAAAAAACAAAAAAAAAAAGAAAAAGAAAATTTTGGCGTGAATATACACGCGGATTTCGGATATACAATAAACAATATACACACATACGAAATTCAATATATTTCAGACAGTACCATAATAATATATCGGAAATGATTTATCTACTCACTGAATGAATGAATGAAATTGCCGTGCTTTACGGTTGCAAGAATTTCCCCTAAAAGAATAAGAATACAAAAATAAATTAAACAAAAGTAGCTGATATGCAGCAAAGGGAATAATTTATGGCGTTACTTCATTAACTCACGGACAGGAAACCAATTCCCATTCCGAGAGAAAAAAACCCGTGAACTAATAATCAGAAGATATATAAGCTATGGAGATGCAATAGCAATCTAACCAATTGTAGAGTGATAGAAATGAGATATTAAACTGTTGATATCTAAAGACTATAGACTCTCTGAACCATGTATTTGTAGAATTTCCTCTACATAGACAATATTTGTAATCTTTGTCATCGGTTGATATTGCTGCTTGTCAAAAATAGTTCATGGTAGCTTTCATTAGCCATAAATTTCGGTTTTTGTTGGTATTTGAAAAGTTTTCGACATCAGATACAAAAAAATCACAATAATGGAAAAAGCAATAAAAGACCATCATTAATCATTATGAGTAAACTATAATTACATATTAGTAAATCCTTCTTTATGCTTCTGCCCTGTTTTGTTCTAACATTAGTATTGTTTTCTTTTTTACATGCATTCTTCTATTTCCGAATTCATAGGGGGGTTGAGATTTGAAGTGGTTTGTAGTCTGAGAAAGAAATTTAAACATTATACATTCCTATATAATTAGCATTCGATGCCTTTTTTTTTCATAATCTTGGATGGTCAAAGATATTAAAGAAGAAAAATAAAAATACCATCAACAAATTGAAAGTAAAGAGGTGAAAACAAAATTGAAATATTAAAATTTCATTGAATTATTTATTTTATTTTATTTTATTTTATTCTTTTTTTATTCTCCTTTTGTTAGTATCAATTGTGCTAGATCCTGTTGCTTTTTGAAGAAGTAGTGTCATTTGATTCTGGTGAGTTAGTTAAACTAATCAATTCTACTTTGTATTGAATAATTGCACATTGGTGTAGAACCCAGAAACCTTGAATAGACCAAAAACATCAAACAATCAGAAATAGGAAAAGAGAAAAACAAAGCAAATCAAAGGGGAAAAGTCATTTTGGTACGGAAACGAAAAAAAAAAAAAAGAAACAAAGGAAAATTTACCCTCACCGGCTAAAACCTAAGCTAATTTTTACACTGTGGAAGACTTTTTTTTTTTTTTTCTTCATACATTGAACTAAAAAAAAATTCTCGTTAATAGATTCCGATTTTACACTTTTTCAAATTTATATGGAATATCATCCTCCCAATGATCTCGATATTCCAGCAGCTACTCAATCTAACTGCACGGTTGATGTCCTATTATGTCGACCTCATCAACTATCTATACCATGACCTCAAGAATATCTTGAAATACTCCATCCATCCCGATACTCCTCCACCACTTGAAACCATCAACAATTATATTGGTTTAATCAACAAATATAAATTACAAATTAACCTGTTGACGAATTGCAATCATGTCCAGCAAATATACGCAAAATTGTTGGACATCATCACCCCTGGCCTCACCCAAATCCATAATCATATAAACAATTTGTTTGCTTTGCCTCAACCGTTGTTGAAATCTTCTATTCTTGGTATTTTCATCAGAACTGGGGTGAAAGAAAAGGTGAAATTCTTAATTGATGAAAATAAGAAACCTTTGGACAGGTTTGATAATGACTCCAATCAAGCTCTGGAGTATCTTGAAAGGCTAAACAATGATATTAACAACATTCCTCCTTCATCGTATATTATTCAGTCGGTAACTAGATTTGTTGAGGAATTGATTCAAGAATATACCCTCGACATTCCTTTAATTGAAATTGCAATGGATAAATTACATATAAATTACAAAGAAGAGAAAAAATTCGACAAGTTGAAGAATTCAATCTTGCAACGAATAATTGAACAAGAAGTTGATACGTCAAGTTTATCATTTACTGAGGCTGAAGTTAAGGCCATTGATTTGATGGAATTTTTGACAGCTCATATCGATTTCATCAAACGTTTATTACCAATTTACATCCGCTTTGATCGATTATTCCGTCAAAAATTAAGAATTGACAAACTACCGTTGCCTCGAACCGTGGAAATGGAACCATTAATAGTGCAACTTGTCGATCCATTCATTGAAAAATTGGTTGCTGGTGGAACTGTTGGTTTGAGTACTGAAATCACATATACTGCTGTTTTCAGCTTCCTTCAAGACCTTGCTATTGAATTAATAACTATTAAAAGAACCTACGATGGATTCATACCTAGGAATAGACAAGGTAGATACAGTGATGATGAAGCGTTCTGGACAACAACACAATCTTATGTTGAGAATTTGCTTCGATTGACTTATTTTATACAAAACAAATCAAATGGCAATCATAACATTAGTCTAATCATGGGTGATCTAAAAGAGGAGTTTGAACGATTAGAGAATGAAGCTAGAGAGGATTTTTTCAATTTGTTGTCATTCCAAGATATATTTGCATGCGATGAAAGAATCGTTAAATACCAATTAAGAAAGAAAATAGATTTCTTGAAGTCAAAATAATAATAAAAAAGGACTAGTACCGTTAATCCATACCGGCTTACATGTTTATCACACTTTCACTTCTATTATGATTTAGAATACTTTTTTTTAGAGATGTTTCAGTTTTTCTTCTTTTGATTTTTCTTTTTTTTTTTTTGCAACTGTTGAGGTTTTAGGCTAAAGTTGACTGTTCTTATATTATTAATGTAATTATTAATTATGCTTTCTTTTTTTTTCGTTTTGTCATTAACGTTTATTTCCTTATAAAGAAACTATATCTATCCTGGTGTACTATTACCTAATTCGAAAGTGTACCCGATATCTATACAATACAAAACAAAGTAAAACAAAAAAAATGCTGAATAACTGTCTCAATCTCAGTTGGTGATAATGAATATATAACAAAAGAAAAAAAAAAGCTTTTACAGTAAAAAAATTATTGTCTTCTCTTTTATTACCCTTACAATACAACATTGAGGAGTTGTGAAACCTTTGTGATGTGGTTTATCTGCCTGTTTTTACTGGTTGTCTTATGCTATAATCAACACAACTAAAAGTACACATAGTACTACCACCAATATACCAATACACCAATTACTAGCTGTTTCTTTATTTCTTTCCAAAAAGATATTTATTCTTTTCATTCCTCTTTGTAGTTTATTATCGACATTATCTAATTCATAATCCAATTCATCCAACATAAATCCTTGTTCTTCCAATTCATTCCCCATTATAGCTGCTTGTTGGTTTAAATTCATCATTGTTTGATGAATATCATCCAACTGATTGTCTTGTTCTTGAATTAACTCTTGTTGTTGATACGATGTCATACCTGATTCATTAAATGGATTATCTCCATCATCACCAATACCATCTTGACTTATTCTATTCGACATTGTAGTAACATCTCTATATTGTTTTGTGTTCCAACTATTTTGCAATTGAATAATCTTATTATCTAAATCCAGTAATATCGATTTTCTATTGGAAATATCTAAATCTGACAAATTAAACTTAGCAGGTTGTGCTTCACTTATGGATAATGCTTGTTGTAAATCTTGATAAATCTCTTGTAATTCTTGATAATTATTTTCAAAATCATATTGTTGATCAGATGTTGGTGGTTGACCATTTGGTCGTGAGTTTATTATATTCTCTAACGTTCTTATGGAATTATATGCATCCTCTTTGACTTCATTGAATGGGTCCATCGTTGTATCGTTGTTATTATCCTACGTGTTCATTAAATGTTCACTCTTTAATATGAGGGTTTTTTTTTGTTGTTGTTGTTGTTGTCTCCATGCGGACTGATGTGAAGAACGAAAAACAGACAAAAAAAATTGTTGATTTTGACAACCTATAAAAGACTCAACCCCTTACCATTCACTACACAATGGACATAGACGAACAGCCAGTATCAAATAGTATAGAATCACCTTCCACAAACACGGAAATAGAAAATACAACCAATAATGGTGTTACCATAGAAGAAGACAACAAAAGATCATCAATTACACCACCTCCTGCACAACCACAACCAATCGTAGCTTCCAATTCGGCGACTCCAGTATCAACACCAGCAAAGAAGTCAAAACTGGAATCAACCACATCGACAAACCAACCTCCAATACATGAAATTGTTGGTGGATCTTCAGTAAGACGATACCTCAATGAGCACGTGACTTTGGCATTATTAGAAGGATTAAAAGAATTGGCCCAAGTTAAACCAGAAGATCCATTGAAATATTTAGGAGAATATCTAATTGCAAAGTCAGAGGAAGAAAGGTCATAGAAGGATGGATTCATCCTGTGATTGTATTAGTAATGACATTGTATATATAAGGATTATTTTTTCATAAGAAATGTAGAGCCAATGAACATGTATACCAACCACTTGATAATCATCATTTGCAAATGTTGTCCTTCGTAACCTTTGATGTCTGGTACAAAAGGAAAATCTCAAAGGCGAAAAAACAACAACTAAAAAAAATGGCAGAACCAAACAAAAATAATTAAGGAGAGCAAAAACGAGCCATTTTTTTTTTATTTCTCCTTCTGTTTCTTGCTGTAATCATTACTCTTGCTATTTACATTGATATGGACTACTAATCATGTCCTCTTCAACAAATACCCCATCACATTTAGATAGTCTGACATTGAGACCATACTATGATCATGATACATTTAATCCAGGATATTCAGTCATATTCAAAAGAGGCGTGGGTATAATTGATCCAAAATCAAATAAACCTATCACGTCAAATATATCGGAGAAATTAATTGATCAGAATGTGGGTAAAAATCAAGGTGTAATAGGAAACCTGCTTAATCGTGGTGGACCAATCGGAATTAAAGCCGGTAGTGACAAGAATTATGTTTATGATTTGGAATTTAATGAATATTTTGAATCTAATAATTTAGTTGAAGTTATGAAGAATTTAGTATGGAATTTTGTGAAAAGCTACGTTAAAGTTTTGTTAACTCAACCTTTGGAAATTGTCCGTTTGGTTTTACAAGTTGGTAAATTTAACTTCAATGCAGGACCATCTAGAAAAAGTGACTTGTCTAAATCAAGAAGATTGTTAACTGAAACTGACGGTAGTATTACCACTGATGAAACAGAAGCAACCAATACAGAATACGATGATGATTATGGTGCTGATGAAGATAATGACGAGGACGAGCCAATTAATTATTTCCAATCACAGAATGAACAAAAAGTCTGGTCTGGCCAGGATTATGAGAGTGATCAAAACTTGATGACTTCACCAACAGCAAGACCAACTAGAAAAGCCCGTAATGAACTTAGAAAAAGATCCAGACATAATAAAATCAAACCAAAATCAATACATACTATTGATATAATAACCGCAATTGTTAATAAGGATGGACCATTGGCATTGTTCAGAGGTATCAATGCTTCTTTTATCTACCAAACATTATCACATACCATTGAAGCTTGGATTACGGGATTCATTTCTCCATTTTTGGGTATTCCTGATCCATTTTTCCTCGATTTGACACATTCAAACGATCCATTCAAGTCATTATGGTTATCGGTAACTGCTTGTGTTGTAACAGGTATTATTTTGATGCCTTTGGATTTAATTAGAGTCAAGTTTATGATTACGCAATTTAACACCAAACCATTGTTAAATGACGACATTATTGAAGAATCAGCAGAAGAAATTATACAATCTACAAGATCAGTACGTGAGTCAATACGTAATTTCCCTGTTTATTATTTAACTCATCCACCAGCACCTATCGTTTTGTTAACTACATTCCATCAATTATCCACCAGTATTTTCCGTAAAATGGCCCCATATATTTTATTTATTAAATTTAATATTGATTCCTACTCGGCCCCTAATATTTACACTTTTGTCAATCTTATTTCGTTAATTTTGGAATTTTTTATCAAATTACCAGTAGAGAATTTATTACGTAAAGAACAAGTTAGATTTTTGTTAACGCCAAAGAAAGAAGATGTCAAGAAAGTTATTAGTATAGAAGATCCACAAAAGAATTTAATTGTTGAATTCAATGATCTGAATCAAACTGATGACGATTTGACTTTATGGGAGAAATTCAAGCAATTAGGACTATTCAATGGTTGGAGAATTGGAGTTATGAATGTGATTGGATTCTGGGGTTATAATATTATTAAGAGTAATGGATCTGAACTTAAAGAAGAAAGATTATAAGTTGTTTTTTAAACAATTACCCCAGATTTATGAAATTAAAGCCTGGAATGGGAGAAGCCAATAAAGGCGGTTAGTATAAAATTGTTGTTTTAGTATATTATTTTTTTTCCTTGAAGAAGATTAACTTTTAATTGGCTTTTTTGTTTTATTGTACATAGTGTATTGTTGTGTTAATATAATTTAATTCTTGACATTATCTTAGGTTTAACAATTATTATCGGGTCGGTAATATCAATGCCACAATTATTTATTTCATTGAACTGTCGTGCCATTTTGAAAAAAATAAAACTTGTCGCAAAATTTCTGACTTTTGTGTCCATGTACACGAACAACATCCAACTTATATCGATTATCAATTATACATACTACAAGAGAAGAGCCACAGTTTTCCAGAAATATGTGAATCCCATAATGATTATTCAATATTTCGTGATTTTCATGTATTGTTCATCAATCATGTCCATTTGGTACTTTAATTAACAACTACAAATAACCGACAGATTCCCCCCCCCACTCTCCTTGCCATTTTCTGATTTGTCTTTTTTTATACTAATCTACACTCCAACTACTACTGCTATTACTACTATTACTACTACTACTACTGCCAAGCATGCCAACAAATACCAAAGAAAACAAACCTATAATATTGAATGCTTTTTGTATGGGTACTCTGGGATTACAATGTCCAGGATTATGGAAAAATCCAAAGGATAAATCTATCAATTTTGATAAGATTGAACATTGGATAAATTTAGCTAAATTATTAGAAAAGGGTAAATTTAATGCAATTTTTTTAGCTGATGTATTAGGACCATATGATGTTTATAATGGACCACAAAATTTAAAACCAGTTGCTATTAGTGGAGCACAATTTCCAACTATTGAACCAAGTGCTGCTATTTCTGCAATGGCTTCAGTTACTAAAAATTTAAGTTTTGGAATTACATTTCTGACAATGAGTGAAGCACCATATCATTTAGCTAGAAGATTAGCAACTTTAGATCATTTAACTAATGGTAGAGTTGGATGGAATGTTGTTTCTAGTTATTTGGATTCAGCAGCAAGAAATTTATTAAATGGAGAAGATTTAACTCCACATGAAGAAAGATATATTAAAACTCAAGAATATATTGATGTTGTTTATAAATTATTTTTATCATCTTGGGCTGATGATGCATTAGAATTGAAAAATGGAATTTATACAAATCCTGAAAAAATTAGAGAAATTAATCATGATGGGAAATATTATAAAGTTCCTGGAGTTTTTGTAACTCATCCAACTCCTCAAAGAATGCCAGTTGTTATTCAAGCAGGTACTTCTAAACTGGGTAAAGAATTTGCTGCTCAAAATGCTGAAATTGTATTTATAACTCATTTCACTCCTCAAGAATTAGGTAAACAAATCTCTGATATTAAAAAAATTGCTAAAGAAAAATATGGACGTCCTGAAGGTTCTATTAAATTTTTACAATTGATTACTCCAATAGTTGGTAAAACACATGAAGAAGCAGAAGAGAAATATAAAGAGCTTCAACTGTATGGAGATCAAGAAGGTGCTCAAGCTTTATTTTCTGGTTGGACAGGTATTGATATTGGTAAATATGGACCTGATGAAAATATTAATGAGAATGGTACTAATGCAGTTAAATCATTTTTAAAATTATGGAATAAAAAATCACCAAATGAACCTGAAGGAGTTGCTAAAACTAGAAAAGAAATTGCTAAACAAATTACTGTTGGTGGATTGGGTCCGGTTTTTTATGGTACTGCTGAAGAAATAGCTGATGAAATTCAACATTGGGTTGAAGTATCAGGAGTTGATGGATTCAATGTTACTTATGCCGTTAATCCTGGAACTTTTGAAGAATTTATCGAATATGTAATACCAGAATTACAAAATAGAGGTTTGGCACAATTGGATTATCCTAAAGTTCAAGGTGATCATACTTTAACTTTTAGAGAACAATTATTTGGTACTGAAAGGAAAGATCCAACTTATTTCTTAGAAAGTCATCCTGCTTATAATTTAAGATGGAGAGCTGGTGAATCTAAAGATGAATTTGAAAGAAGAATTACTAAAAAGAGAAAATCTCAAACCCAAACTGTTGAGTAAAAGTTGTACGTAAATAGTATAATATATCCTCCATTTCTGACATTCGATCACGTGATACTGATAATACGCAAAACATTAAATCCCAAAAAAGAAAAAAATATCATCAATCAATCAATCAATCAAGCAAGAATCTCCCGCCTTCCCCCACACACACCATTAGAACCTATTCATCATCATCATCATACCCCATACTTTATCCATCATTATCAACAATACGATATAGAAAATGGATCAATTTTGGGTAAATGTTCCTCCAGTTACTAAATCATGGAGTGGTATGAAATCGATTACAGCAGCACTTATTTCCCTTCAACGAATTAAATTAGTATCATTAGTTTTCATACCTGAAAAAGCATTTGGTAAAGAATTTTGGAGATTTTTCACATCATTTTGTGTATCTAAAGGTATATCATTTGAATTAATGTTTGAATTATTTTTATTACGTACTTCAAGTGGTGAAGTTGAACGGAATTTTATAACTAATGAAACAATATTACCTGAATATATAATTGATGAATTTGATCAAAATCAACATGATTTATTAAACCAATTTATGGAAAGAAATAAAGCTATTGATTATTTATATTTTTTAATTCAAATATCTTTATCAATTATATTACTGGTTGCTTTATTATATTATAAATTGGGAATAATAATTTTTAATTTAGGTGATTTATTATGTCGAATATTGACATATTTTGATTCACAAAATAGACCAAATGTTGAAATTCATATGTTTGGATTATTTACTTTAAGAAGAGTTTATTTCCCTTGGATGATTGCTCTTTTAAATATTATTCAATCAAGAAATATTCAAGATGATTTTATTAAATTGATTATATATGGAGATTTGAGTTTTTTCAATAATTCCACAGTTTGGTTTTTTATCATTTCTACAATTTTGGGTCATTTTTGGTGGTATTGTCGAGAATTGTTATTAAGCAAAGTTCATTATGATCCAATTGATTCAAGAAGACATGCTAAAAGAATTGCCTTGCAAAGATTTGGTGTTTATAAGATAGATTTAGTTAGAATGTTTCTTATGTACTTATTTGTACCTCCATGGTATTGGATTATACTTTCAAGAATTAAAAATAGAAGATAAAAGTTAAAAGAAATCTATTATTATAGCATACTATATATATATATGTATATATTTATTTATGATAAACTCTAATAAAACACAGAAAGAATAGAATAAAATAAAATAAAAGAGAAATATAATAATGATGGAAAATCTAACCAAACCAGTCAGTAGTTTTAACAGGTTCATTATCAACTTCAGGTTCTTGTTCGTCTTGTTTGTCAGTGACTGAATTCCATTCAGCCAATTCCATTTGATGTTCTCTTTCAATAGCATATTTAACAGCTTCCAAGACGTTATCACACAAGTGTTTTGGTTTGTATTTTGGTTCGGTACCTTCTTGATAGACACCAGTTTTAACTAAAATTGAGTGCCATGAAGCATCATGAGAATTAGCAAATCTGATATCAGATTCTGGAGTGTCACCAACAAAGTACACAGTAGATGCTGGTGGTAATTCCAAGGTGATTTTATCAGGTTTTCCAACTTCGGCAATCTTGCCAACATTCAATTTAACTTCTTTATCTTCTTCATCATCTTCATCGTCATCTTCATCACTAGACCATCTATAATTTTCCAATTTAGCTTGATTGACAATTTCTTCACCATCTTCATTAATTAAAATATCAGCATCATCGGCATCTGGATCATTAATAGACAATTTCTTCAAATGTTCATCCAAAACACCTTGTCTCCAATGGGCCAAGACTTTATTGGCAAATTTAAAAGTACCCTTTTGTGGTTTACCAAATCTATTAACTTTCAATTCCTTACCAGTATGTTCTCTGTATAAAGCAGCAATAGAAACTTGCAAGGCACCCATACCATAACGAGATAATTTATAATTTGTAGCCCAAATGAAATCAGAATGAGCAAAATAAATTTGTGGACCTTCATCAAAAGTCTTGGATTCAGTACCCATCACACCATTCTTAGAAACCAACAATTCCAAAATGATTTGTTGATCTGCAGCCCAATTTCTAGAATCAGCAAACACTAAAATAGCGTCAATGGAAACTTTTGAAAAATCCACTTTTTTGGTACAAACTTCTTCTTCTTCAGTTAAATCATGATATGGAGAAACGGCCGGGTTCCATTTCATGATATCCAATGGAGTATATACATTCTTGAACCCATAAGATTCAGCAACATTACGACAAGTGTTACCAATACCACCAACAACCAAGACATTATTGTATACACCAACCAAATCCTTCATTGGAGTATGACCTTGAATAATTTGTTCTTTGGTAATTGTGCAACCCAATCTTTCGGATAAATCGTCAGCACGTTGTTGTTCTGGTTTACCACCACCATTAGTAACAAAAATAGAAGGAACTTTAATTTTGTACTTGTTTTCACCATTCAACATCTTTATGGCTTCCACAGCTTCAGGGATTGTATTTGGACCTCTTAAAATAACACCATCAATATCAAAACAAAAGGCATATGAGGCAACTCTTTCATGATCAATGACTTCTTTCTTCTTTCTTTTAATAATAGATGAATTTCTTGATAATTTAGCCAAAGAATCAACTTTCATTAAATTAGCAGATGATGAATTTTTATTTGAAAGTGAAGTTGACGAAGATAATTTTGTTAAACCATTTTGCCAATTACTTAAATCAGATAAGGATAAGGATGATACACGATGTTTTCTAACCTGGGGAATTAATTCGTCAATACCGTCGTTATTAAGATAGGATTGGAATTGAGCACCACCATCTTCTTCAATGATAGCTTCAGATGAAATATTTTGTTCTCTAGTCATTATTGATTTGATTTGATTTGATTCGTATAAAGGATTGTAGATTAATTAGTTGATAAGTAAAAGTTAAAGTAATAATTAATATAAGAAAAATATAAGATAGAAAAATGGAAAAATCAACATGAAACAAGGGAAATCCACTCTCCTTTATATGATGGATTTTTAATTTTTTTTTTTTGGAACAATAATGAATGGACGATTTGATTTAGCCACCATACACTTCAACACACATCTTGAATAGGTTTATTATACTTTTCTTAAAAAGAAAATTGATCCCGTAACCTGTAAACCCACTTGGGGTGATTTTACAGGTTAGGCTGTTTTAGGAATAATGTATTACGTAATAGATACGGAGTGTAGCGCAAGTCGTGTATTGCATACCGAAAAAATGTCTGACTGACGTCATTTTCATTATGTCGTTCATTGTTTTGTTTGCTACAACACACCAACACCCACACATTATAGAAAAAGGTCTCCGACAATTTTTTTTGTTAGATACGGAGTTTTAGCTCCGATGATACCGTGTCTTGCTACACTGGTAGCATGTACTGTATGTACCATACGATACTCCGAGAAACTGAGGCTATGATGTGATATTTCAGGGATGATGGTGAAACTTTTCACTTTTGCAAAAAAAAAGATAATAAGAAAGTTTCAGCATGTGTCAAATTTTAAACCCCCTCTTCTCCTCGCCCCCCTGGTAGTGATGGTTATCTTCTTAATATGTATGGGTGAGTTGACTTTTGTTTTCATTGTTACTGGAGAGAGTATGGTTACATCATAGTATAAGTTAATGGCGAGTATAAATCAAAGAAGAATAAGAAGAAGTAGTGTGCGCCCCCGATACGTATTACATAATTAGATTATCAAGGCTAATTTAGTGTCGTAGATGTATAACCTGTAAAAAAAAGATACTAATTAAGCTACTGCCGAATGTACGACATTTTTTTTAAAGTTTTTAATTTTAATTTTTTTTTTTTTTTTACAGGTTTTCCCCAAGAAAAAATAAATTAATTAGTTTCTAACCAAATGGGGGTTTTAGGAAAGAATTATTATAAAGGGTTGGTAAGATGTTGGGAACTTCCTATTGTTGATGTTGATTTAACAATGATGATGATAGTATCTGGTCGTAATTATTAGATGATGATTAGTACTAATGGTGGTGAGTACATAATAAGCAATCACACTGGTTAAATTCAGATGACCATGGGGAAAGTTTTTCATGGATAGCAATCAAACGAAAATAGCAACTATATATATTTACATCAAGAATAGTGCAGAGAACGTCTTGAAATTAGTTAGTCCAAATAGCAACAATTATAGACACATACCAAGAGAAGTCGAATGATTATTGATGAAGCACGTTCTTCTTCTTCTTCTTCTTCTTCTTTGCTTGATTTTAGCTTGACAATGTATATAAGAAACTAAATTACACTATTGTTTCTATCTCATTGTTACTCTATTTATTCTAGTTACAACTAACATCCTAATGATACTCTATCTGAGATATCTTGAAGTTTATTCTGGTAGTTATTTGAGGTATACGACTAGCTTTCACTCTACTTTTAATTTTTTTTGGTCGGATTTTATTACCAAAAAAACATTAAAATCCACAAAAACGGCTTATATTTTTTGTACCCTTTTTTTCATGCTATCATTTTCATCATACGACAAGCCTTCTTGATAGGTAAAAAGTTTTGTATTTTACAGCAATTATTCATAATCTCTAATGACGTATCAGTTAGTGCGTTAAGAAATGATATCATTGAAATTTGACATTTAATGACGTGTAGTTCAAAGGATCTGAGGGATATTGAAATATATATCAAAAATAAGATCATAAATAAGAAAAAAAGTATTCTTTCACTTACAGCATGGGTTCTATTGTCATTTATCCCATCAAATGAATTGGTAGCTATACGTAATTTGGGTGGCAAATTTGTTTTAATGAAATCTTGAATAACAAAAAGGCACATCTTATCATCTTTGCAATTATTTGTGCTTTTAACGGTTCATTTCTAACTTCTAAGCGATAGCTACGACAGAGATTGGGGGGGGGGGAGGGGGATTTACACATCCACCCATAGAATAATTCATATTTAAAGTACCTGTACTCTCGACCGAGAACATTGGACTGGTTTGTATAGGCGAAACAATGTGTATACGATTTCTTGTTGTCCAATTCAAGATTTCCTAGTTTGTCAATATCAACATCGTTGTCAACATGAAGTAGAACTAACGATTAACCAAAGTTTTTAATCCTTTATGCATTCCGAGAAAATGATTTAGATTAGGTCTAGATTCTCAAGAATCATACCAAACAATGTAAAACGAAAAAAAGTGGAGGATTAATACATGCGTTCTAAGGTACACTATGTGGGTATTCATTCCACTATGCTACAAGTAGATCCGTTGATCAAGTTGATTCTAAAAATAATAAATGGCAAGGTTTATTGATTTAATTTATTCATAAACGTTTGTTGCACACATTAGAATACAATCAAATGGCTCACACATCAAAAAGATATTAGTCTTTACTTGAAAAGTGCTATGTGTCTAGCGGTTATTCGGATATTTTATTTAGTGCATTGTGATATGGATAGTGAGTGTTGCTGGTTAAAGAAAATTTTTCTATCCGAAGCTTTGGTTCCTCACACACACACACAATTGTACTCAGGCGTGCACCAACGGTTAATTTATTTTTGGCGTTGTTTATATGCCGGAATTTGTATTGTTTTGCTTTTAAAATAGAAAGAAAGAAATATACCATTCATACAGTACATACATTCCCGTACAGATTTCGTTTAACTAAAAAAAGAATAGAATAGAATTGGTTTATTCAGTTACTTTTCTTTTTTAGTTAAATTAAAATTAATTCATTATAAATACCAATTGTTGGAATCATTCATTTATTTATTGCCTCCACCACCAGCCTCTCATTTTGTCTTTTTTTTTGATTTACTTGTCTTGAAGAGAAGATCATTCTAAACAAATACAGTGTATTATACTACAATTCATTAGACGGGCTTAATAATGTCAGTATCAATAGAGGGGCAGCACCAGCATATACTTTCTCCACCTCAATCTACAACCACTTCACCAAAACTAGGGGACCTTCCTTCTCCACATAGAACCAATTCAGATCATGATGTAATTGAAAATAATAGAGTTCTAATATCATCATTCTTGTATAAACGATCAACTCATAGAAAACATTGGAAAAAGAAATGGTTAGTATTAAGAAAATGTCAACTAAGTTATTATAAAGACTCTCGAGAGCATAAACCGTTAAAAGTATATAATGCTTCTAAATTATTATCATTTAATATTATTCCTGATCATCACAAAAATCATCTTGCCATTTACACTACAAATAAGGTCTTACATTTCAAAACAGATGATGAACGATTATTTAATCAATGGAGAGAAGCATTACATGAATTTTTCCATCTGAAGGATAATACGAATGATGCCGATGAAGAAGACGACGAAGATTTTGAAGATTCAGAAGATATATTTAGAAATACATCAACACAACAAGATTTAGAAGAAGATAACACTGAGAATTCTCCATATGAAGGATCACTAAGCTCATCAAATTTACAACCACCACCAACATTACCAATACATTCAATTCAAAATAAACAATCACAAGTTAAACGTACTGGATCGTATACTTCCGATGAAATATCTGATGAATTTTATAGTTCTGATGGATTTACTTCGGATTCTCCATTAACTCCAAATGTCCAATCAAGTGCCGTGTCATCTCCTTTATTCCACCCTTTGGATGTTCCTAAAGAAGAAGATGAAAGAGATAAATCACCAGTTAAATCTTCACCTAGTAGAACTGAATCTCGTGAAAGTCTGACTCACGAAATACCAGAATATACTATTGAAGAAGGTTCATTAGAAGTGCTTCGAAAGAAGTATAATCAACAATGGAAGAAATATCATGCTAGATTAACTAATAGAACATTAACATTAGAAATACCCCATAGTAGTAGCAGCAGCAGTATTAAGATTATTCCAATTTATGATATTGAAGATGTAATTGAATTGGATCCAATAAGTTCCAAAAGAAAATGGTGTCTAATGATAATTACTCCTTTGAAAAGATTACGATTTAGTTGTAATGATGAAAATGACATGACTAAATGGTTTTCTGCATTAAAAGCAGCTAGTCAAACCAATAAAAGGAAAGTAAGTAGATAATTACAATTTGTTATATATGTGTAACTGTGTAAATCCTTAATTGATAGAGTTTTTTTATTTTGTCTAATAATATAATAAAAATGAAAGAGTTTAATAGCTAACTCAAATTTGATTGAAATAGAATATATCACGTGATCCAATTAACGTGCACACCACATTTTATGAAGTAAAAATTTGTATTGTTTCATTTGGTTGTTTACAGCAAAAAAAGAAGAAAAAAATTGAAAGCTTTTTTTTTTATTAAGAGCGGAAAAGGGGATTGTACTTTGGACCAGACAAAACTATAAAGAAGAAAAAAAAAAAAAAAATTGAGGTTCAAGAATCAATTATCATTTTTAAACCAATTCGAATTGAACCAATTACTTACCTAAGAAGAAATCTCACTATCAGAATATAGAGTGTACTAATTTGAAATAATTATGTCATTGTATTTTGATAATATAATTGCCAATGCGGAGACTCTACCATTGCCTAAACCAATCACGGTTTCTCAACTGGCCAATCTACTGAAGAATCAAAAGAAGAAAAGAAGAAAGAAAGAAAAGTTATTATTTTGTTATCCACTTGATAAACTTACAGATTATTCATCAACTAGATCACCACATAATCAAAGAATTTTTAAAGAAAATGAAATTCCACAAATTTTGAAATTACGCGATACTGATCCTGAAATTTATCGTTGTTATTATTATCATCGAGATTTAAATCTTCTTGGTAATTATAAATTGAATGATTCTTTAATAATTGAAAATAGATTGATGGCAAGTCATATTTTGAAAGCATTACAAAGTTTAGATACCATGAAATTATTTACTATGGGTAAAAAAAAATTTAAAACTGACGAGTCATTGGTTTGTTATCTTAGTGGGATGTTGAATCAAAATTGTTCAGAAACTTTGAAGATGTTGGAAACTCGTACTCCTGCTGAATTATTACAATATGTACCCATTGATATTGATGCCCCCAGTGAAGAAGAAGCACAACGATTAGCACGTACAATGGATCTTGAAGAAACTAGACGATTGGCATTATTACTGATTACTAAAGCAGTTAGATATGATGATTGTTGGAAATCCATGTTTTGGGCTATTCTGTGTACTACTCCATTGACAGGAAATATTTCTAGAAATACAAGAGTTAAATATTTAAAAAATGAAGAAGAACCTAAAGTTGAAATTGAAGAAGATGAAGATGCGAAATTTAATAGAATTATGGCAGAGTTACATGAAGATATGGCAAAATTGAATATTAAAACATCAGAAAACCGACAGTATACAAACAAGACCAAACAAAACAAGTCAACAAATACTAAAAGTTTTTCTTTGTCGAGTAATGAACCACTAGATTCATCATCAAAGACAACAAGTTTTGAATTTTTCCAACCACAACAGTTTACGATGTATAAATTAAAGCATCCCCTATTTATGCCTATATCCGAAGAGTTCTTACTGGATTCTTCTGATGATGAGTTAATTTTTGGTGAGAATTACAACTCAGAATCCGACTCGAATTGTTCAGAATCTGAAGTTGAACAAGAACCAAGTGATTCATATTCTTATTCACAAAATCAATTTGAACTTTTGACCAATAGTTCGATAGAGAATAGTAGTAATAATAATTCAGCACAAGATGATCTAGTAGCATCGTCATCTTCATCAAATGGACAAGATATCGGAATTGTTGATGACATAGGTATGACAGAACAAGAATATTCTGAATTTGTTTATGATGAGTTAGATGAAGATCCAAATTTTATTGATTTGGTAGAGACACTTGCTGATTTATTCCCTACTTATGCTAAAACAGATTTAAAATTCCGATTGAAATTTGCTGATAGTGTTGAAGAATTGATTGAAGAGTTGTTTATTGAGACAGAATCTCGGGATTTACTTGAAGAAGAAGAAAAGTTAGCGGCGAATCAACAAAGACAAGTAGAACCGGTGTATGATGATAAAGTATATCAACTACGTGAAATGTTTCCAAATATTGATAATGCAACCATTGATAGGAAATTACGAGAGAATAATAATAGTTTGGAAGATACAACTATGGCATTATTATCATTACCAACTACAGAATTTCTGTCAGTTAGTTCACAAAATAAATTCACAGTCAGTGAATGGAATAAAGTTTCTGGATTGGTTATTAAAATCACCAAATTTCTTGGTATTAATGAAGATACATTTGTACTTGATAATAGTGATATTGCCCATTTTGTGAGGAAAAGCGGGTGTAATTATTATGATGCCCTTGTGGGGATTTTAATGAATTGCCGACCACTGGTTTTACAAACGGTCCGTAAACAACAAGTTGGTGGTCGTGTACAACGAGGAGGTAAAAAAGGAGGACGTTCATCAGTTAAAACAATTACAAAATTAGTCAAGAGTAATTATAGATATAATCCAATATCTAATGAAGCTAAAGAATTATGGGAATTAGTTCCAAGTAATGAACAACTAAAATCAATCAACAAGACATTATTGATTAATGCGTTAGAGTTTTTCCAAGGGAATGTATATAAAGTTATTGAATTGGTATCAGAATTATCAAGTAATCAAACTCCACAACATACAATCAATACGGCTACCCAAAGATTAGAACATCCGGTAATTAAATTTGTACCTAAAGTTGAAAATGATCCGTATGCTCTTATAAAGAAGAAATTTTCCAGTTATGCAGATACAAGATCATCAAGAGCAAGAGCAAAAGCAAGATCGGGTGTTCCAGATATTTCTGAACAAAATAGATTTTATCAATATATTGAATCGGGACATGTTGATTTGCATAGATTTAGATTAACAGAAGCTATGAAATTGACTAAATTAGTATTACAACATTGGTGGGAAGAAGAAGAGAAAAATCGTGAATTGGATGGGAAAATTGATAGATTTGGAGATAAAGCATCTATTGGACCGGTTAGAATTATCACAGGGCGTGGTATTCATTCAGCGAATGGTGTTTCTATATTGAAAAGATATGTGAAAGAATATTTGGTTAATAATAGGTATGTGTTTAATGAAGAAATCGGCAGTTTTGAAGTTATAGGGAAAAAAAGACGTTAAATATACAGAGACAGTGATATTTAAAAGAGATGCCGTATGTGTGCCTGTGTGTGTGTGTTAGTGATTGGGATGATCTTATCCAAGTCTAGAACAATTATATGCTTGTTAGTACTGTGGTCTATGTAAGTCCTTGTTTGATCAACACTTGAAATGTACTGATCAAAGTACACAAAAGAAGAGGATGTGTGTTGGAATTTGTAGTAAAACAGTATTGAATACCACACGATTGTTGATTCTTGATATGATGGTAGTATAACGACTTATAATCCAATAACTGATATATACTCAGCTAGTAATTTCTTGAAGAATATGTATATTTATCTGGAGATATTCGACGGTTAAGTAAATTGAAAGCTTGAACTTTAATAAAATGAAAAATAAAAAAAACCATACGTTGTTTGTTTCTGTTGTTAATGTTGCATAATTCCGATTTGGGAATAAAATTGAGAAAAAAGTTTGAACTTGAGACACGTACCTTTTTTTATTTGTTTTTTTGTTTTCCCTTAAAAAATGAATGAAATTAAAATTCATGTACCTGCCAAATGATTATCCAATTTATCTATAATAGGAAAAATAAAAGAACAATTTGAATTTCACTTTAGATTTTATATTCATTGTTATAAATAATAGTTTAATTGAGAAATAATAAATAATATTCTATGGTAATACATTTCCACACCTTTTCCATTATATATAGATATATATTTGTATTATTGGAGTGAAATTTTGAAAAGCAAGAGTTAATGATAAGAACATTAATTTAGTTAATTAAACCCGAATAACATGGAGAATGTTAGAAAAAGAAAAAGAAAATCACATAATCCATACATATACATTATACATGTACAGTAACAGTAACAGTAACAGTAAGAATCTTTTGTGTAAATTCTCTTAAGCAAAACTAGACCTTTAAATTTATAAGGAATCGAGTGAAAAATTCCTTGGGCAGCTAGACACGCATAGGATTATAAGTAGATTATTTTGCAATTATTTGATTTGTATTTCATAGATTTGGCGTATTTTTTTTTTAAAAAAAGAACTAAGTTAGAATAAACTACAAGAAAACAATCGGGGATTTGAATTGTTTTAAAATAAGGAGATAGGGGGTTAAGGTCTTTATTTTGAATTAGATAACAATAATAATACAGCAAGAATTGATTGGTTAGTAGAATGATTTGTATATATGTATAAATCGTCAATGTGAATTCAAAGTTGTGGATTCAACCAATTCAGAATGTATAGTATATAAGATATAGATGTTATTAATGAAGTTGACTTTATTTGTGTGTTTGTGTGTTGATTAGTTATTATAATTAGACGAGTGGCAGGATAAGTCAAATAGATACTAAAAAAAAGAACAGAAAATACCACATCATCGTCATCATCAGTATGATGGAGCCCTTTTTATATATTTTCGCTAACAATTCAACAGGGGAGGGAAATCGATGAATACGTAATTGAAGAGTAAGACTAAGATAATGTGGATTAAACTAAACTTTATAATCTAATTTAAGTGAACAATCAATTTAAATAATTAGTTTATAGTGTATAGAGAGGAGATGTGTGTGAGTGTGTACCTGGGGACAAAAAAAAATTAGATTGGTCCCAGGGACACTACTGGCATTAAAATTGTCCCAACAAAGAAATTAAAATTGACAAAAATAGTGCAAGAGTATTTTATCGCCATCTGCACGACTAAGTAGACACATTCACACACAGAGAGACAGATAGTGTACATACACACATAATGTGTGGTAAAATAATAATCAGACAGAAAACAACAAAAACAACAGACAGCAGGAGAAACAAAACAAAACAAAAAAAAAGTGAACCCGTTTTAAATTTTTCTCTGAATTGGACAAACAATCACATACACACACACACACACATCTTGAAAGATACTACAACAGCATCAACCACAACATAGTATTACTATAACTATAACGTTCATATTCCGATTAATAGATATACGTATCAATTTTCATTATTGTTTAGTATACAACAATAACAACAAAAAAAAAGGGGGTGGATAGTGAGACAGTTATTATTTTAGATCAATTTTCATTCATTCATTTATTTATTTATTAAAGAAAAGAAAAAAAACAACCAGAGAGAAAGAAAGAAAAAAAAAATTCTACAACAACAATTATATAATTATTAGCAACAACGATTATTTACTCATTAGATTTTACTTTTTCCTTTTTTATATCAATTATCACAACTGGTTATCGAATACATTGTCAAAGTTTGTTTTCTATCATTCATTCATTCATTACTGCGTTCACATAGAAACAAAAAAACAGACAAACAACAAGGGAGTATAAACTTAGACGAAACAGAAAGAGAGAAAAAAAAAATAGGAAGACTTTAACACTCGATATTGAATATTTAGTTATTTCATTATAATTATTGAATTATCATAATGAATGCTATCTCATCAAATACACAGTCTCAACTCGAGTCTGAAGCATCACCTCAGACTCAAAGCCAACAACAACAACAACAGTTAGGTAGAGCAACTACAAACACAAGTTCACGTGTATCTTCAGAGTCATCGGAAATACCACCTCCAAATATTATTTCAACCACTGAAGGCAATACGTCTCAATTAAGTTTGGGTTCACCAATGCATGAGAAAATCAAACAATTCAACCAAGATGTCGAAGATGTACCAGATATCGATGACAATGACGATGATGAAATATCTACAAAACATGGGTCCGGTGATGCTGACGTTTCATATGAGTCTCAAAAATCTTTAAAACACGACCACGACATCAAAGAGCAAGAAGTACAAGATGAAGTAGAGAAGGAGGAGACCGAGGAAAATGATAACGAAAAAGAGGGCGATGATGATGATGATGATGATGATAATAAAGATGAAAGCGACAAATCACATGGTATGCCTCAAAGAATGCCTGGTACTTTTAATGTTTCTGCGTTAAGTCAGGGCGATGATAACGATGAGGAAGTTCAATATAATGAATTGACAAAATCCATAAATAAGCGTAATAGCAAAGATTCGTATTCCCCAAGTGCATTTGAAAGCCCTGGAGCTAAAAGTTTAGCCGATACAAATAATACCTCCCCACAGATTATAATAGAAGAAGATCAAGAGCAACTGATAGAACGTGGATTACCAGGAAAAGAAGACACCAGTGAGACTCAAAGATTAGCACTGGCTCAAATTGCAGAACCAACTTCAAAATCATCATCTTATGATGACGAAAATCTGGAACGTTCATCAATATCTACAACCAATCACCATATTCCTTCTAATCCAACATCTGCTCGTGGTTCTCAATTGTCTAGTTATAAACCTACTTTGGATCCAGGCAAACCACTACAACCACCTGCACCTTCTGATATTGACAATATTTTGAGTAAAACAGAAGCAGAAGCTGATGCAGTTAGTACGTCTACTGGCTCACCAAATCTTTCGAGAAATACACAAGGCACTGAAGATGAGTTCTCCAGGCAAAGAGACACATCTCTGGCATCAACAGTTGTGAGAAGTACCCCGGGTGATTCAAATAAATACACTGCACACAATCAAACGGCAGCAATAACACCGGTATTACCAAATAACAATAAATTTCAACCAGGGAGTCAAAATGGTACTAGTTCATCATCGCTAGAAAACTTGGGTGTTGGCATAAATTCAACACATTCTCCCAAGAATGGCAAAAAGAGGAAAAGTGGTAGTAAAGTCCGTGAAGTATTTTCATCAATGTTTGGTAAAAGTAAAACAGTATCAAATGCCAATTCAAACAGTTCCCCTGAGATAAATATCAAAATTAGTACTCCGTTCAATGCTAAACACGTTGCTCATGTTGGGGTCGATGACAATGGTTCATATACTGGATTACCAATTGAATGGGAAAGACTTCTATCCGCAAGTGGTATTACCAAAAAGGAGCAACAACAGCACCCTCAAGCTGTTATGGATATAGTAGCCTTTTATCAAGATACCAACGAAAATCCCGATGAAGCAGCATTTAAGAAATTCCATTTCGATAACAACAAAAGTAGTTCCAGTGGTTGGTCCAATGAAAATACTCCTCCTCCGACTCCTGGAGGTGGTTCATCTGCAAGCCCACAACAACGTACTCCTACATCATCATATATTGATAAAGGTGGTGAAGACAAACTGATGTCAACATCACAATCCACCATTCAAAGTCAAACCCCAAAGACTCCTAATGGGAACCATGAACACCAATTCATACCTAGCAGACCAGCACCAAAACCACCTTCCACACCAGGCTCAGCCATTACTACTCATCCTCAAAGAACACCATCATCACAAACAATGCCAAGAGCTGATTCCTATACTGATAGACCACAACCTCCATCAACCCCAAGTTCCCAACTGGAAGCTTCTCCAAACAAGATGAAACTTCGTTCACTTTCGTCCAAGTCTTTGAAATCGATGAGATCTAGAAAAAGTGGCGATAAGTTTTCTCATATTCCACCAGCACCAGCTCCACCTTCTGTTCCAAGTATACCAAAATCTAAATCACATTCTGCATCTTTATCTAACCAATTGAAACCACAAATCAATGGATCTGGTTCTACAACGGCGCCAATCCCTCCAAGTGCAACATTCGGTGAAAGTTCCACATTACCTAAGCAAAGATTGAATGAATTTAAAACACACAGGGCTCCACCCCCACCGCCATCTGCTACCACTGACCAACCTCGTTCATCTCCACAACAAGCACTTGCAGATATTACTGCTCCACACAATGTCTACGAAGTTCAACAAACCAAATATCAAGAAGCACAACAGAGATTACGTGAACAAAAGGCTAAAGAAATTGAAGAATTACAAAGACAACGCGAAAAGAGTGAACAACAACAACAACAACAACCAGACACCGATTCTGCTAGTTCTAATGCTCCATCAAATGGTCCTCCGCCTATCCCTCTCCCAACTAAAAAACAATCCAGTGGCCGTGATGCTAAGCAAGCAGCTTTGATTGCACAAAAGAAACGTGAAGAGAAGAAGAGAAAGAATCAACAAATCATTGCTAAATTAAGAACCATTTGTAACCCAGGTGATCCTAATCAGTTGTATGTTGATTTAGTTAAAATTGGTCAAGGTGCCTCTGGTGGTGTTTTCCTTGCTCATGACAATCGTGATAAGACTGACATTGTTGCAATTAAACAAATGAATTTGGAACAACAACCAAAGAAAGAATTGATCATTAATGAAATCTTGGTGATGAAAGGAAGTCTGCATCCAAACATTGTCAATTTCATTGATTCATATCTCTTACTGGGAAATTTATGGGTTGTTATGGAGTATATGGAAGGTGGTTCCTTGACTGATATTGTTACTCATAGTGTTATGACAGAAGGCCAAATTGGTGCTGTTTGTAGGGAAACGTTGAAAGGTTTGAAATTTTTGCATTCAAAAGGTGTCATTCATCGTGACATCAAATCAGATAATATTTTGTTAAGTATGGATGGTAATATTAAAATCACTGATTTTGGTTTCTGTGCACAAATTAATGAAGTTAATCTGAAGAGAATAACCATGGTGGGTACTCCATATTGGATGGCTCCGGAAATTGTTTCAAGAAAAGAGTATGGTCCAAAAGTTGATGTTTGGTCTTTAGGTATTATGATCATTGAAATGTTGGAAGGGGAACCTCCATATTTGAATGAAACCCCATTAAGAGCGTTGTATTTGATTGCCACTAATGGTACTCCTAAATTGAAAGATCCAGAAGCTTTGAGTTATGATATTAGAAAATTTTTAGCATGGTGTTTACAAGTTGATTTCCATAAAAGGGCAAATGCCGATGAATTATTGGCAGATAAGTTTATTCAAGAGTGTGATGATATTTCTTCATTAAGTCCTTTGGTTAAAATCGCTCGTATGAAGAAGGCTAACGAAGTAGATTAAATGCCTTTCTATTCTTCTGCGTATTACTATTAGTTTTCATTATTCTTTCATTATTTTTATTATTAGTATCATTTTACTTTTACTTTTTATAGTTTGTATTTATACGTCGTTGAAAATTATTATTTTATTATTATTATTATTTTGATCATCAATGGTAATAGCAAGTCACACTCTAGTCTATTCAAGTTATTTCATTTTGTATTAATATATGACATTTCATTTCACAAGAGGTTTCATTATTAAAGGAAAAGATTATCATGAGCCGTGCGGTGTTTAACATGAAATTCTTAAACCCGTTTAAGGAAATTAACCTTGATTAAATCCGTATTTTCGAAAGTATACTTGCGAAGTTTTGCTGTTGTAAGAAAAGATTAAGAAGAATATATTTTCTTGCAACACCATCAAGACTGAGTTGTCTTTATTATTCTCACCAAATTCAACAATGATTTCATTGAAAACAATTGGCATTTTTTTAAGCCTCCCTGTTAAGTTATTATGGGTAGTCATTAAATATCCGTTTGTTGGAGGGATAAATAATAAATTTAAAAATGATTTAATTAATTCATTGAAATTAACAATATTTAGACTGGCATTAGGATTTCCAACTGAAGATAAAGGTAAATTATCCATCACAACAAATGAATATCTTATTAATTCAATAATAGCTAAACAATATCCAAATTTAACAGAATTATTAAATAATTATGGTAAAAATTATGATGATAATAGTATTTGGATAGTTGAAGCTGAAAATAGACTGAAGCAAGATCCAATTTTAATTTATCTTCATGGTGGTTGTTTTGTATTTGAATCTGCTCCTTCACAAATAGAAGGATTATTAACATTTTATAATTTAATTGATGAAGAATATCGTAAGAAATTATCGATTTTATTTTTGGATTATAAGCTTGCCAGTAAAGGCTATAACGTTCCTTATCAATTAAATCAATTAATTGAAACCTATACTAAATTAGTTAATGAAGGAAATAACAATTTTATAACATTAGGTGATTCAGCAGGTGGTACATTAATACTTACATTATTACAAAAATTAAAACATGATGAAACGTTAAAAAGTTTTCCATTTCCTAAGAGTTCAATTATGTTAAGTCCTTGGTGTAAACTTGTTCCTGATAATGAAGATTATTATTTACCAAATCATTCTATGCATGATAATTCAACTTTTGATATGATGCAAATCCATCATTATCAACAAATGTTTTCAGTTCAAGGAATAAAACAAATTTTTAGAAACAATGATATTAAATCATTGACTATATCACCAGGTAATTGTAATTATTCAATTTCGGATTGGGAAAAGATTCCTACTTTTAATGATCCTGGTTATTCTACTTTAGTCATTTTAGGTGAAGATGAAACAATGAGAGATGATATTTTACAATGGTGCAAATATGCTCTTGGTTCTACATTAACTCCACAACGAGAAAGTTCTAATGGAGTTTGGATATCTGATATTCATGAATATATTAGAGATGATAAACAATTATCCTATGTTGACGTTGTAGTTGAACCTTTTGGAATCCATGATGGATTTTTTATGTTTGAAAGTGGTTTACTTGGTGATATTAATAAAGGTAAACCTGTTAATGTGAATGAGTTGGATAAGATTAAATATTTTGGAACTGTGAAAATTGTTGAATTTTTAAATAAAGTTTTACTGAATTCAGAAACAAAAAAGACAGTTTGATCTGGTGGTACGTTCGTTTAGTTTTGGGATTAAATAGAGGTGTATTTATGTTTTTTATTAGAATGACTTCTATTGACATTACTTCTCTTAGTCATTTTGCAACTTCTTTGAAGATGTATTCCTGAATATACAATCCCATCAAGACGTGGCACTTTATTATCACAAAGCCAACACCAACGATTAAAATATTATACATTTTACTATTACATATATCTACATACCCAACCTTACTCCTTGATCTCATGACCCTCGGTGATCTTCAACATCTCAAGATCCCAGATATTCCAATCAAACCAAATGAAACTGGGGAAAATCGTCAACAAATGCCACAACGCATGTGCATCCACTAATCTATAGATCGGTGCAAAGTCATTCACCTCTAGCAATATACCCCCAATCAATACAACATTGTTGAGAATAGGTATCAATGGGATTATACTAGCATTGGAGAGCGACACATAATTCAATTTCTGCAACAACTTGGTCTCAAATGGCAACAACTGGATCGAGTTGTTGTATACAATATAATTCCTCTGATACAACTTGTACGTGTGCCACAGATGATAGCACCAGAGAATCATCGCCGAAAGTCCAACCACCATGTTGATCTGTGTGTTGTATCCATAATCCCATTGCATCTTCAACTTGGTCACATGAAACACATACAATATTATCAATCCCAATTGCCACGTATACAATACGACTCTGCGTCTGAATAGTTTGAACACCCTCACAACAATCACGTTCAAATTGCACAAGATGATGGCAAAGGCACCGAAATAATCTAATGTTTCAGTGACGGCCGTGTCCTTGAAATGGAACAACGAACTGAATATCCATCCAATGCAACTGATGATCAACAAGGCCAAATATTGCCCATACATGATTTGCAACTCCAAGTCCGAATTCCTCCTGAACTGTCGGAATATTGGTCTGATGTTTTTATAATTGACATACAAATTAGCTAATGAGAACACAGTCGAGAACAATTCCTGTACTCCTAGTACTCTAACAAATGGCCATTTCCCATAGAACTGAACCATCTCCAAGCCCTGTGACTCTATTTGGTCTGTGATGTATTGTTGACAGTAGTAATTGCAATTGGCAAGACAGGACCAGAGAAATGACTGTGGGATGGTCTGACAATCACACTGGTGAAGACATGTTTGGAATTCTGGAAGTGTGTCCCCGACTGATGCAGTGACAAGTGACGGTAGTAGTACTAATAAAAATGGCAATAGTCTGTTCATTGGTGATACAACTGGTGTGTTTACCTTGGTTGATGCTCTGTCATAATTTCAACTTTTTTCTTTTTTTTTCTTCTTCTACTGTTTCAGTTTCAAGATACGAGATATGGTAAGTGGCTACGCAAACGAGCCAAGTCGCCAAACCTTGGGCCTAAATTATTTTTTTTTTTTCTTGCGCCGGCGAGGGAATCGAGTCAGGGGTATGGGAGGAATAACGACTTGGCGTTTCTTGCTACAACGTTACATCTTAGCTTACGTGTGTGTATATTCTAATAATCTATTAACATTATTTCCTGGTGAATTTGTAGATATAGCCAATAATGGATCCACTGATTACACATGTGACGAGTAACAAGATCACATTGATTGGGATTGGATTCATCTTGAAGGTGGTATGGGTGAGTTGATCTAACAATGCTTGACCTCCGTTGAAAATCCCTGATAAACACATAATAGCACCATAGACGGTACCAAAGTTTTCAAAACCAAAGACCTTGGCACAGAAATCGGAAATTGTAGTGTAGAACAATGGTCTATATGCCACAAACATACAAACTCCAATAACTGCCAAGCCATAGTTAGGAAGTAATCCAAGAACACCAATTGTAAGGGAAATTCCCAGTAACCAAGATAAAACAGTTAAACTTGAATAATTATCTAAAAACAAACCAATAAATGGAACACTAACAATACCACCTAAAGGTAAAGCAATATCGAAAAATTTGTTTAATGAATCTGAAATTTCAATAGATCCAAAAATATATTGATATTGAGTACCAATAGTAGCAACAAAATAATTGATTCTTAACATCATGATAATACTAAACAAAGTAGTTAAAACAAACCACCAAGTTCTCATTTGTTGTTGGGCAGTACGTCCATGTAAAACACCAAATACACCTCCTGAATGTTCTACCAAGAATTGTTCACCTTCAAGTTCATAAGGTTGTTTAATTGCATCACCAATAGAATCTCTACGTGAAGTAGTAGTGGTAAGTCTAGGGGAGGTTGCTTCTGTCAATGGTGTGGTTTCAGTAGCTGTGCCAACAATTGTATCATTTGCTGAAGCAGAAGTTACAGGGGAAATAACATGACCATGACTTTCATCATCATTGGCACAAAGGGCACTTGAATTAATTTGAGTCTGATATGATTCATTTGGCATAGCCACAATTTGTGCTACTGTGATAAAAGTAGGAACCAATAAATACAACATGAAGAATTTTTCTAAAGTGAAATTTCCCATTGAATTCTTGTAAACAATACGATATAATAAAAATACTGCACTTGAAGCATCAAATGCACCTGTGATCAATGCCAAAATAGTTCCACTTCTCTTTGGGAATGAGTTTGATAATTGAAATGATGAAATAAATGCAAAAGGTCCACCCAATGCTAATGATGCATATCCAAATAAATATGGATCAATTATAGATCCTGCCAAGTTTTTAGAATAAATGAATACAAAACATGCCAAATATAAGAAAAATGCTCCAATTAAACCACAAACTTTAGGTCCATATACATCCAATACACGTCCAATTGCAAATGCTGAAACATTAGTTAACATAGCAGCAACTGTAAACATCATGTTTAATTTCAAATCTTGATTAGTACATTTGGCAATAATATTATCGCCATCTCCATTACCACTACCAAGAGTGTGTATATCACATAAATATTCATAAACGTGTTCTTTGATTAAAACTGGCTTTAAAGCAGCAAATCCAAAAATTGGTCCTCCAGATAGTAAACACCAAAAAATGGCACATGTACATTGGATGAATCTTTTTGTAGGTGAAACGTCTGTCGATATCATTCTATGTGGTAAAGACGTTGTGTATGAATGAAATAATTAAGCTTATAAAAAGTGAAATTAGGTGAATAATAGTTAATGAAATAATGGACGAAATTTTGCAATGAGAAAGCATTATCATGGCCAATTTTTTTCTCTCTCTCTCCCTCTCTTCCTCTTCCTATTTCTCCGACCAGCCAACCCGTGGTGGTGGTAGGAATGGAATGTTTTGCCCTTTTCTCGCACGACAAACTGGGCGATAAAACAAGAAAAAAAAAAGAAACGAAGCATTAATCAAATTTTACGTAACTGATAAGAGATTATATGCAGCAGGATCAGACGAATTACGAAAGGAAAATGATTGGTCATTGAGTGCCAGCTCAGAATTCAATCGGTTTGTTTGTTAATAACCAAATGGAAAGTACTCAAAATACAGTTATAACATTACAATTCAAGAAGTGTAAAGTGCAAATTTTGCATCTAAATTTTTCAAGATTTCAATTTGCGTCACGTGAAACATGATAACTCTTAATCAAAGCGGTATCATCCACTTATCTAACCTTATTAAGTTCTGCAAAAAAAAATTCATGAAATTGATAATTGATTTAACTAAGTGGTACAAGGGTATGTCTTTTTTTACCCAGAAAAAGGCGAGTTATATGTAATTTGAACTCATTAACTGCTCAATATCCTCAAAGTTTTAATCTCAATCTATATATTCTAATGACCATATAACATAGTGTGTATAGTATCAAAACCAATGTCTCTATATAACTCCCTTGATATTGCTGAATCTACAAAATAAGGATCATCGGTATAAGCATGACAATTTTGACCAATATAGCAGGCTTTATAACCTTTTTCTAATTCTTTACAATTCTGAACCTGTAAACAAGTTAATTCCAGAATTTTATCATCATTGACTTTGTTTGCTAGCCATATTCCCATCATTAGGAGTAGCATTAGACCCAAGATATACACATGTTACATGTTTACAACTCTTGTGGTCACGTCACATTAGCGTGTTCACCATTGGCACTCCTAGCTACGTGACGCTATAACGGTCCAAAAACTTAGCAACAGAACTGTAATTAACAAAAGAATCTCTATATTCGTCATTTTGCCATCTCCCGTTAGTTTCACTTTACCCATGTTATTGTCAACTATTGCAACATTAAGAGCGGCCCCAAAGAAAAGAAACGCAATAGTTCTTGAGGTTGCTTCAATAATAGCATCAGCACAATCATTCCATGAGATTTCATGATTATTATATCGTTCCATACATTTCTCAATTGCTGGAAGAATAGCATTATACGGCCATACGGAACAACATCCAAAAGTTGCCCATAATGTTAATCTTCCCCATTTAGTTGTGACCATTTTGAGAGCGAAATTAGTGGAATTATACTCCAGTGTGCTCTTATTTGTTAATCCGTGTTCCAAATCCTTTGCATAGTCAACAGATTCACTCATTTTATTAGTCTGTTCCCAATTATTCCTCTAAAGAAAGTAGTGAAACAAAACTTAGTTTTCTTGTTATCCGTGATATCTGAATATATTTTGATACCTTGAATATGTAGTATATTTTGAAGGTAGATAGTAGTGAATAAAGAAATACGAAATGTAAAACTAAATTTAAATATACAGTGGGGGGACATAGATTTGAAAGCGGAATTGAAAAAATAAACAAAGAAAAATTCGTCAAATTGACAAAATTATTTGTCCATCGTAGTGAGTGCGAAAATCTATTAGTAAAAATTAAAAGGAAGTAGTGTCTTTTACAAATATACTCCGTGATCAAACAATCAAAAAATTCCAATAGAAAAAAAATGAATTTGTATGAGAAACAAGCAATGAACCATGCCTTTTTGAAGCTGTTGATTACAGCACCAAAAATTTCTAAAGAGAACTTATGGTCAGACAATATTAGATCTCTAAGTAGTAGGTGTTGGACACCAATGCGCTTTATAGAGTATTATTTAATGTTGTTTGAAATAATTAACAAACTATTAAACTCGGAACGAGACTATTAAAACTACTCTATATTTATCCTCCGAAGCCGTTGTTTATATCAAATTTTGTTTGTTTACATTTTGAGGGATTGTTGTTTTCTTTTCTTCTGATTTCTTAGAATTTTGGCTGAGAGCGGAATTTTTGTTTGTTTATTTTTTCAATTCCGCTTTCAAATCTATGTCCCCCCACTGTAATAAAACTCTTGATTAACTAAATAAACTATATGAAAACTATAAAATATAAACTAGGGATAATCATCAATATATATAGAAAATTGTTACCACTAATTATAGAACGATAGTTTATCCCCTTGTTTCAGCTACAAATCTGCATAAGAGAGGTACTTCAAAACCATGTCGAAACTTTAAAATTAAAAAATTACAGGGGGATATGACTCATGTACACGACTTTTGGAGTTTGTAATAGTTAAGTTGGTGGAATTTCTATATTCGAGTATTGTTGCTATTCATGTAAAAAACAATAGATAGGCTTGTAATTTCAATTGAAAATAAGTCTCTTAATAATATATTTAAAGTTAGAACTATTTTCTACAGTACTACAATTACTGGGCATTAAATGCAAACAATTCACGTGACTTGTACCAAACGATCACAATTTCCGAAATTGAGCACCTTGTTCACATTCAAGTAGACGGCGAAAAAAAAAAATTTCTTTGTCACTTTTCTTCTTCTTATTCTTCTTCAAATCACCATACGTTTTCTATTGGATTGATGTCAGGCCGGTATAGGTGGCCAACTTCGATTATATATTCATGAAAGTATAAAAATTTGGATCTTTTAAAATTACTAACCTATAATCATTTGTTTGATTATTTTTTGAAAGTATTTCTAGCATTTTCATTTTTATAATCATCTAATATACATTAATTTTGTTTTGATTTTATACTATTTTAAATATGTAGTGAAGATTTATTGTTAGAGGTGCTATCAGTAGTCGTTTATCTCTTTCTCTTGATTACGCCTATGTATATTCACTTGACGTGAAATAATTCAATCCAAAATTCTACAATTAATTGTCGAAAATATAGGTGGAGCATAAAACGAAACCATTCTAATAACTACTAGACCGAAAATTTTGCCTCATCAGTGGACATAACAAGGACCTTCAACGGAGGTCAAGCATTGTTAGATCAACTCACCCATACCACCTTCAAGATGAATCCAATCCCAATCAATGTGATCTTGTTACTCGTCACATGTGTAATCAGTGGATCCATTATTGGCTATATCTACAAATTCACCAGGAAATAATGTTAATAGATTATTAGAATATACACACACGTAAGCTAAGATGTAACGTTGTAGCAAGAAACGCCAAGTCGTTATTCCTCCCATACCCCTGACTCGATTCCCTCGCCGGCGCAAGAAAAAAAAAAAATAATTTAGGCCCAAGGTTTGGCGACTTGGCTCGTTTGCGTAGCCACTTACCATATCTCGTATCTTGAAACTGAAACAGTAGAAGAAGAAAAAAAAAGAAAAAAGTTGAAATTATGACAGAGCATCAACCAAGGTAAACACACCAGTTGTATCACCAATGAACAGACTATTGCCATTTTTATTAGTACTACTACCGTCACTTGTCACTGCATCAGTCGGGGACACACTTCCAGAATTCCAAACATGTCTTCACCAGTGTGATTGTCAGACCATCCCACAGTCATTTCTCTGGTCCTGTCTTGCCAATTGCAATTACTACTGTCAACAATACATCACAGACCAAATAGAGTCACAGGGCTTGGAGATGGTTCAGTTCTATGGGAAATGGCCATTTGTTAGAGTACTAGGAGTACAGGAATTGTTCTCGACTGTGTTCTCATTAGCTAATTTGTATGTCAATTATAAAAACATCAGACCAATATTCCGACAGTTCAGGAGGAATTCGGACCTGGAGTTGCAAATCATGTATGGGCAATATTTGGCCTTGTTGATCATCAGTTGCATTGGATGGATATTCAGTTCGTTGTTCCATTTCAAGGACACGGCCGTCACTGAAACATTAGATTATTTCGGTGCCTTTGCCATCATCTTGTGCAATTTGAACGTGATTGTTGTGAGGGTGTTCAAACTATTCAGACGCAGAGTCGTATTGTATACGTGGCAATTGGGATTGATAATATTGTATGTGTTTCATGTGACCAAGTTGAAGACGCAATGGGATTATGGATACAACACACAGATCAACATGGTGGTTGGACTTTCGGCGATGATTCTCTGGTGCTATCATCTGTGGCACACGTACAAGTTGTATCAGAGGAATTATATTGTATACAACAACTCGATCCAGTTGTTGCCATTTGAGACCAAGTTGTTGCAGAAATTGAATTATGTGTCGCTCTCCAATGCTAGTATAATCCCATTGATACCTATTCTCAACAATGTTGTATTGATTGGGGGTATATTGCTAGAGGTGAATGACTTTGCACCGATCTATAGATTAGTGGATGCACATGCGTTATGGCATTTGTTAACGATTTTCCCCAGTTTCATTTGGTTTGATTGGAATATCTGGGATCTTGAGATGTTGAAGATCACCGAGGGTCATGAGATCAAGGAGTAAGGTTGGGTATGTAGATATATGTAATAAGTAAAATGTATAATATTTTAATCGTTGGTGTTTGTTTTGTAAAGTAACGTGCTTATCAGTTTTCACCGAAGAGAAAAGGTTGCATGTTAGAGTTGTGTAATCAAGGTTGCAATTTCTTTTTTTTTTTAATTGTCCATGTTTAGTTTGTACAACCTCTTGTGTAGTGGAGATATCGATAGTATAAAATAGGATAACGTTACTAATATCGGGTTACTACCTTTGGAGTAGTTATGAGCATAAGTTACCCGTGATGCAGTAGCTTAGTTCAGAAAACTCTTATAGGTTGACATTTCGCGACCAAATGTTTCTAATGAAATAAAATGAAATGACCAATTCAACTATTTAACTTCGATGATCATGGTGAAGTTCATACTTTTAAAGCAATCTCATTAAAAGTACATCCAAGTTATGTGTTATCTTGAATTTCTTTTTCTTTTCTTGATGTGAAATCAGATTCATTTAGACCACTGATACAGGAGTTGGTAAAAATTAGCCACATAAGTTGATGCATAATTTTGTTCCAACCTATGGTCTCATCTCATTAAAACAATACAGCTCATCTCAAATAAATGACGAATTGAGTCGGCAACGAGTATACAAAAACTGTTAAAAGAAATCATTACTACCACATATGTATCGCCTAATGCATGTAGATAATTGATCATCTCAAAACTCGTACGGCTCTCTGTTGTAGATTGTATACTATTGTGAATTGAAAACAGCAGGTCGTGTACTCTATACCAGATCGTATAAGAGCATAAAGAGAAATAGGCTTTTAACATTTTTCTATGAGAATTTTTGTTTTAATGAAAAAAAAAAAAAAATTTATTTGCTTGTTTCCATTTTAGGAAACACGAGCCGCACACCGACCCCTAAGTGCATTTTTTTTCTTTTCTTTTCTTTTACTGTATTATCACAACCTAAAAAACCATATGAGAAAAGAAGAACGACCTTCAAGTGCATTGGTAATTGAGTGGTTCAACTGTAACCGGCAGGATCAATTTTAATTTCTTCTTTGTTTTTATTACTAAAACTTTATGCATTCAATAAACTAATCCTCCCCCCCATGACTCGTTTCAGTCCACACACAGTTTCTTTGCAAATAATCAAAACCTCAATCAAATGGTAAAGATTAAAGGTTGATTGTTGTAGATGAGATCTGATGATTGATAATGACACACACTCCAAGACAAACTCCACAAAATCTCTAATTTCCCGAGAAAGAACAAGGAGTCAAACAAGAGTACTCCTTAAAATTTTTTTTTCTTAAAGGGAAGACAATTAAATCTCGGAAAATAGTCCTTCACTCTCTTTGTAAAGCAATTCCACAAATACGTATCTGCATTGGATTTGAAGCAATCTGCAATAATTTTTTTTAGTTGGAAAAAGAAATTATTCTTCAAATTGCCTTGCTTTTGACATATCGAGAATTAATTTAATATATAAATGAAACGAAGGGCTACAACATTTTTCTAATTTTCCTCTTGTTTGTTTTCTTCTTTCTTCTTGTTGTTAGATATCATCAATTAATACCACCGCTATTACTACAATGTTGTCATCACAGGGGAATAATGCCATTATTTATTTGAGTTATGCATTTATGTTATTCACAGGGTTATTCCTTGCTTGGAAATTTGCTTCTAATAAAGATTTCTTAGCCGCTAATGGTACTCAAAAAGGTCTTCCATTAGCTTTGAATTTCATTGCCTCAGCTATGGGGGTTGGTATCCTTACAACTTATGCCCAAATTGCCAATATTTCAGGTTTACATGGTTTGTTAGTTTATACCATTTGTGGTGCCGTTCCAATTCTTGGATTTGCTGCCGTAGGTCCACTTATTCGTAAAAAATGTCCTGATGGTTTCATTTTGACTGAATGGGTTAGACATAGATTTGGTGTTGTTACTGCTTTATATTTATCTGCTTTCACCTGTTTAACTATGTTTTTATTCATGATTGGGGAATTATCTGCCATTAGAGGAGCCATTGAAACTTTAACTGGTTTAAATGCTTTGGGTGCAGTTATTGTTGAAGTAGGTGTTACTACTATTTATACATTCTTTGGTGGATTCCGTGTCAGTTTTATTACTGATAATTTCCAAGGGGTTTGTGTTTTGATCTTGTTAATTATTTGTGCTTGTGGTATGGGTTCTTATATTCATATCGATAAAGATCTTATTGGTCCAAGTGGATTATTGAAAGGTAACAAATTGGGATGGCAATTAGTTTATATCTTGTTTGTTGCTATTCTTACCAATGATTGTTTTATGTCTGGTTTCTGGTTGAGAACCTTTGCTAGTAGATCAGATAAAGATTTATGGATTGGTACTTCCATTGCTGCCGTTGCAGTTTTTGTTATTTGTACTTTAGTTGGTGTTCCAGGTTTCCTTGCTGTTTGGTCTGGTGACTTAACCGTTGGTGATGATAATGGTTACAATGCTTTCTTTATTTTATTAGCTAAAATGCCAAATTGGTTGCTTGCTTTCGTTTTGATTTTCTGTATTGTTTTATCCACTTGTACCTTTGATTCTTTACAATCAGCCATGGTTTCTACCATTTCCAATGATGTTTTCAGAAACAAATTAAACACCAACTGGGTTAGAGGTATGCTTGTTCTTCTTATGGTTCCAATTGTTGTTTTGGCCGTTAAAGTTGCTGATAACATTTTACAAATTTACTTGATTGCCGATCTTGTTTCTGCTGCCATTATCCCATCTATCTTCTTAGGTTTAGCTGATAGTTGGTTCTGGTACTTGAGAGGTTTTGATATCATGGTTGGTGGATTCGGTGCATTGTTAGGTGTCTTTGTTTTCGGTACTGTTTATTATGATAGTGCAAAAGAAGGTGGTAAATTATTATTGATTTGGAATGGTATTTATGACCCAGAAGATTGGGGTGCATTTGGTGCTTTTGTTATTGCTCCAGTTGGTGGTGTTGTTTTTGCGTTACTTGCTGCTGCTGCTAGAATTGGTTCCTTATATGTTTACAGTAAAATCACTGGCAATCAATTCACTGCATTGGATAGAATTCCAACAACTTTTGCAAGTCATGCTGATGAAGGTGAAGACAGTTCAGTTAAAGATAATGTACCAGTGGAATTTATTCCAGTAGAAAGTGATAGCGACAAAAAACTTACAGTTTAGATCATGGGTATATCCATTCATTAGCATTTTTGTTTAACACAATTTCATTCATTTGTTTTAATAGATTATTTAAGTTTAATATTCATTACGTTACTCGTTTTATTTAATATAGACATTCATTTTTTAAAAAAGAAACCATATATTTCAGTGGGGGCGGGGGGTTATAAGAAAATTTGAATAAATAAAAACATAACGAATAATGACCAATTGCAAATTTGTTGTAATGCAGCACTGGTCAGAACAATATAATGACCAACATAATTACATGAAGGCCATTGATCTTGAACTTCACCTGTATCCCAATAGTAACTCAATTTAATTGTATCATTCGTTGTTGGACACATAAATCCAAAATCTGCAGGACAATCTCTCACAATTGCTTGACAAACATTAACACATGGTAGAACTTCATAATAATTTTCAATAGGACTAATTGTATCAGCAATAAAACTATTTCTTTGATTACTTGAATTTCTAAGAATATACCCAGTCTTATTTTTTGTTGAACATCGTGGAATTGTAACAGAACATAGCCAATTCTTATAGCTCTCAGCACAATCTTCACATGTACGTAAATTAGAAAACTCTGCATCAGATGTGGTATTACAAGCAATTTGTTGCAAACCTTTGGAAAAATTTACATATAATGATTTAGCATAGTCATCATATAATTTCTTTGTATAATTCTTATTATCATCAAGATCATCTACTCGATTACCTAAAGCAGGAACACTGTAAGCCACTTGATCACAGAATTCTAAATCATAAATTAATTCACAAGCATTACCATCCATGGTTTCAAATTCAAAAGGATGATATACTGCCCCACCAAACTCAATCCCATTAACATCCATAATTATATAAGCAATATATTTAGTACTTGCATTTAATCCCTTGACAAGAAATTGTTGTTGAAAAAAACCATGTCTATCAGTGAAACTAGTTTCAATATCTGTAGGATTAACAAGAACGGGTCCATTTCTAACAGCACACCAACTATTATTCATTCCTGCAAAATAATCTTTATAATCTTCAGTATATAAATATAATGAAAATTGAGAATCGGTTATATTTAATTCCAGATAATTTCCAGCAACTAAAGAAGATATATTACCAGTTGTAATTAAGGCACTATTATCATCTACATCAACTAATGAACCCCAAGATCTATCATCCCATTGGAAAACTAAATCATTTTGTGAAACACCAATTTGATAAGTCCATTGAGAAGTTCTATTAGTATTTTCAGGTGCTCTAACAGCAATATATAATACATCAGGTGTATTTTTTTGACTATCATCTTCTGGAATAGATAATTGAGTCAAAGCTTGGAAAAACCCATTTTCAAATAATTTCATTTGTCCAATTTGATTATTTTGAAACATTGTTGAATTAAATGAATAATAAACTGCTAATGATGTTTCATTAGGTTGTAAATTATCTGGTTGATTACATATATTTCCACTTAAAAAGATTAATAATTCATAGAAATCACCAAGACCAGATTGTGTATTTACACTGAATGAATAATATTTTGTTTCAGATTGAATTATTGTATCTCTAATAGGAGTGAATTCTTGTAATCCTTCTGATGATTGACCTCTTGGTGTGAAATGTTCAATAATTATACTTGAATCATTGGTGAGATTTGTGGATAAAGTGTTTTGATTTATATCATCAAACTGAAAATAATCTTGACATGATATTAGTTTAACTATGAATAGTAGAAATAGTATGATGCGTGTCATTTATTGTATGTTTAGTTGTGATTTGAAGGGTTAAAAATTAGTATGCCACGGGAATCCTTGAAGATCAATTTTGAGAGTATTTTTTTTTTTCTTTGTTGGGCGGAATTGGTTTTGTCATGATAAACAACGAGGCTAGAAAAGGAGGTTATTAAAGATGTTTCTGAAGAGGTTGTTGAATAATAACATCTACAATATGGATATGTACTATAATCATTATTGTATATATTACAGAAGTATAAATAAACAGTTTTCTGCTAGAATAATAACTGAGGTGAAAGTTAGTAAAATTTAGAATGCGTCTATGAAAATATTGAATTGGTAAAAAAAGTTACTTTCATACTAAATGACACTGTAACGTACGTATTACTTCTACGTAAACAGTGGGGCTTTCCATAAAAGTAATGAAACAACTGCATGGTTCTTGACTGAGTTAGAAAAAGCTTGATTGAAGATGAAAAAAAAAACGAGAAATCAAACCGAAGTAAAAATAATTTATAGTTCTACAAGATTGGTACAATTACATGACTTTCATACCAGTTTAATTAAATAGGACAAAACATTTCTTAGATAGGGAACTTTTATACAACTATCGACGTTATAAGACAAATTGTCCCCATTAATTTCAAAGGATTCATTTAACTTAAGCTATTACGTATCACGACCGTCCGCAGTGTTGTTATTGAGAGTCAAGTAAATTGTATTCAAATCCATCTCTTCTTATTGCCTTTCCCAACCGCTTACTCTGTTTTAGGTAAGTCTGGTTCCATTGTTATACATCTGTAACGTAAAATAACTAGATGATATAGGAAGAAGCTGAATTCTTCTAAATCACTCATCCAAATTTGGCTTGATAGTTTGTTGCATACACAAATACAAGTATACACTCCAAAAATTGTTTGATTTCCCCACATATGGTAGCACTAAGCATATAAAGTACAACAATAATATCTACACAAATATATAAAAAAAAATCAACTATAAAAGGACAAAAAAACAACTTGCAAAAAAATAACTTTTTTATAACACTTTCTTTTTCTTTTTCCTTTTCGTTTTATCAACAATTAATATCAATCACTTTATATATTATATCATTTATATCAAGTAAGTATCAATTGATGTGTTTTAATCATAGCTGCAAATTCTAACTTCTGTATAAGGAACTACAATCCATTATATACATAACAAGTTTACCAAGAATCAAAGGTTATGTGTTCTCCATCAGTTGTTGTTACATGTTCCTTCACTAGTTGTTGCTTGTATCACTTGGTTAAGTCGTTGCAAAAAAAGTCACCAACTGATAGCTCCTTTAGTATGATGCACAAACATAAGAAGAACCTTCCAAATAAGATAGTAACTTGGGAACACATGTTATCTTGAACCTTGTAAAGGGATCAACATATACACAAAGGGGCGATGTTGATTAGTGAAGGTTCTTCAAAAGATAGTGACTGGTCATCACTATTTTTAAAAGCTACTCATCGGGATAGGCTAGTTGAATATCCCGATGAGTAGTAGTGGTGGTTTATTACAAACCACACACTTGTAGAGGACCAGGTAGAGGACAGTCGACCAGTCCCCTTCCCTCCTGGTTCATCCTCTATCTATTCCCCCTTGGGCCAGTAGGGGGACGCGATATGGCAACTCAAGAAGAGGGCCATAGACGGGCTGGGTCGACCCCACTTACACCAGTGGGCCCAGTTCGTCCCTCTCCTTTAATTAGGAGAGGTGGTAAGGTGAGCGGAAGAGCCAACCCTTCATCATTTGGTTCTTCCCACCACTTCCACATTTGAAATGCCATAGTACAATGTATAGTAAAGAGCTGAATGGATCTTAATAACTTTAAGTATGACATTAAGGTCGCCGGAAAACAGAAACAAAGGTTCAAATTGAACGAATACATCTGCAATCAGCAAAATATCCATGTTTAAAAATGAATATTTTAATTATTATTTTATTGTTGAAGGAAATTGTGAAGAACCAAGCAGCAATATCCTAGAGCTAGGATTAAAAACACAAGAAATACAGTGATGAAGTAGATTAGCAGCTTTAAATTGTCTTAGATATTATTAAAATATAATCAAATCAACTTAAAACAAGCAAAAACAATGTAATAAAGTTAGTAAATGGCTCTAAACTAATGGAAAACAACACATTAAACATACAAGAAATTATTTAAACCACTACACGGTGTTGAAAAAGTTATTAAACCATTGAAATGACAAAGAAACAACTGACTAGAAACCAATCAAGCGCGTTCGGCTTCAATAATTCATTTTCATAGATTACTCGGATACCTTGGTTAGTACGGGTATTAACCTTTCACCACGAAAAGAGAAAAGAATATTGTTTACAGTGAAGAATTATATTCATCTTACATGGTCGGCAGTATTTCACTTATAAATAATTATTTATTCCTGATAAACTTATACAAATAAATAAGTAACTAACTGTTTCAAAGCATCTAGAATATCCAAAATTTCTTCTTTTTTGATTTCTTCTTTTTGGAGTCATCCCTAGTATGTTCTAACATACCAGGATGAGACTTTCTTGGTTCTAATTTAGGAGTATTAACAGCTTCATCACTATGACTCAAACATTTTCTCAATGGACTAATTCGTTGAGTCAGTTTTTTCCTATCGGCTGAAGGTTTTTCCAAATTGACAAATTTCAACAGTGACGGTTCTCTACTTGGTGTAGGTGATGGAGATGGAGAAGGTGATGGTGTTGGTGTTGGACTTAAAACATCAATTGACGGAGGGGCTGGCATTGATGAAGAATTGGTTTCCAGTTCAGTTTTTATTCTATTTAATCTCAATTGTTCTTTGACATCCTTAAATGACATTTTATTTTGTTGTGATTCGTTTTGTGAAGTATCAAGCATGGATTTGTAACTTGCTTTACCAAAAGAATTGGATCCCGTGATGGCTCTGGCTAAATTGGCACCATGACCAGTGAAGCTAGGTTGAATATCAATGATATCCGAACAGAACTGTAATGATTCGTCTGAAATGAATTGAGCCATGTTGGCATAATAATCTTGATTCATTGGTGCTGCCTTCAATTTGTCTAACCCTTTTTCAATAGTTTCTTTATATTCAACAAATTGATTTCCAACTTCATAATAAGAGTCATAAGATGCCTGTGAAATACCTGAATTGATGGATCTAACCTCGTCTTCATCTTCTTCACTTTCACTTTCACTTCCATCGTCATCGCTTTTATTTTCTTCCTTATCGGAGACTTTTATGGCCTCTTTCATTTCAGAAAACTTGTGCTTTGGCAATTCTTTACCATGATTGATAATGCTTTCCAAGTTTTCTTCAAATTCATACATATTCATTGCTGGAACTGCAATCACTGGTAATGGGAAATTCTTTACCAATCTATCAGTTAATTTAGAAGATTGCCAAGATCTCAATGGCGCAGCAACTTTTGAGTTAGGTTTTGAACCAGTACACACCAAATTAGGTTCATATAATCTGTACATATCTTTCAAGACTTCCTTGGTTCCACCTTCAACAATTTCAACTGTTAGCTTGGCAATAATTTCTGGGTTAATAACTTCCATGGCATAGTTCATTATATTATCAGCAATCTTGACAACATTGCTTGGTTTGCTTCTCTCCACTAGCCTTCCAAATGGAGTTTCCTCAACTCGACTTCTCAGTGGTGAAAGAGTGGCACCAACACGTCCTCTTGCTGGCGAGAGTGCCCCTATTCTTTGTGGTGAAAGCGATGGTGATACAGCTGAACTTCTTCCTCTTTTGCTCGTTGATAAATACTGAACTAATTTTGGATCAACAGCAGCCACAATAATGACATGATCACCATTCACAATGAATTTACTTAAAATCCAATCCAATGCAACCCAAGTATGAATTCTGGCACTTATGTACACCAAAATGGTTCTAAACATAGGTCTTAAAGTCAATCTATTCTGAGATAATGTATCAAAAAGTTTGTGTCGTTTTCTCAATGTACATCCCTTTTTATTTGTTATTGGGGTTGTTGGATATTGAACCAAATTATTTTCCATATGCATCATATCTAATCTTGAGTCTAAATCTAATGTATTTCTAACAGGAGAAGGAGAAAGTCGAGAAGCCATAGGTGAATGAGAACGAAAGAATTCTTCTCTCCCGTAGCCTGGAATAGCCCCTTCTCTTCCTCTATTTTTCATTCTGTAAAGTTCCCAACCTACATCATCATCTGGATCAGGCAATCCATCATCTTCATATTGAATGTCTATATCATCAAAAGAAACCACTTTTTTATAATCGGATGTGTTCTTTATAGTTTTGGGAGTAAATTTAATGTATTTATATTGATCCGACAGTTTGTTTTTCAAAGCAGCAAATAAATCATCAATTTGTCGTTGTTTATGCTTCTCGGATTCTTCATTTGATGATCCTGTTGTGGTAGTATAACTATCAGAAGGCACACTGCTGTCTTGTTCTCCAGCTTTATCCGGGATATTTGACTCTGAAACGCTTGGAGATAATGCCGGAGTAGATTTCATGTGGTGAGCTGTGGGAAAAGTAGACAGTACGTTCTGATTGTTGTTATCAGTTGAGCTTGACATTTAAGAAACAGGATAAGAATAAAAATAAGAATAAGAATAAATTTAGTAAATAATGTAACAACGAAAAATGAATAATAAAAATGAAAGAAAAAGAAGATTGTATATGTATCAAGCAATGCAATTTTTTTTCTCTCTTAGTCTCTCTTTGTCTTTGTTGAACTGTATGTGTTGATTGTGTGTTCTCTCTTTCCCCTTCCTTTGATTACCACAATACTCTCTCTCTCTCTCTCTGTTAGCAATAAAGAAAAAATTATTGGGCGAAATTTTTCAACTTCCCAAGGCGAGTCAATGAATAAATAGACAGTTCACAACATAACTCTTTCCTTTATCCATGGAAACTACGCAACACTTTAAGGTTATTATAGTATATATAAGTCGAGCTCTACTTGTTGCGCTCTACTAGTGACACTTGTCAAATTTATTTTCCTTTAATGCTTATTTCATCTGTAGAAATCAAATTCTACCATACAGTATTGTATAAACTTTCTTTCACATTAAGACAGTTATTTTTAGTATTTACATATAGTTCTAGACGGTGGAATTAACTGTAAGTTCATGCTGACTTCTTAACATCGATCGTAATGCTACACTTTTTCTCCGTTTTGTTCCATAAAATTTTTCTTTTTCTTCAAGTTTGTGTGTTGAATTACTATCGATAAGAGCTGTCGAGAACGATAGAGTTTAATTGTTTCTAGCCCCACATCAGTCTCTGATATCCAATAACATTCCCTGGTATACCTTACATGTTTGGACAAGAGATGAAGCGATAGTTTCATGGTCGAGATACTTGATACTACATCGAAAGAGCACATCATATTCAAAAAAGCAAATGCAAAAGCAAAAATTTTTTTTTTTTTCTGTATTTACGGATTCATGCATTATTATCATATTACTAAATATGCACATTACACATTATTGTGTTCAATTCATATCCATGTGCCAAGATTATCAAGCTTATGATGAGAGAGTTTCTCTTCTTAATTTCATTACATTTATTGAAAAAATTAAATTGGAAAGCAATGTACGATGGCGCACACCAGTAGTATCGTGTGATCAGAAAATTATTCTCGTACTCACAGCTGATAACTATAATAACTGGATAGGTTAGTGGATACAACTGTAGATTGAGAGCATCTTCTTGCACAACTGCTTGTTCCACGGAAATGTGTTGTGAGCACAATTTTCAAGCGTTTCACCTCAGTTCTCATTCCTTCGTGTACCTACCAAATACTGACTATTTAAATCAGCCGAGAGATGGAAATCAAAAAAAAAAAAATCTCCCTAACCCTCTTTTTTTTTTCTTTTCCTCTTCACCGTTTGTATTTAGTAAGTCGAAATATGAGTGACTTGACAAATAATACTAGCTTTCAAATCTCTAGTTCTAAACCACTGAGACAATCAGCGTGGCAAGACAAAAGAGTTAGATTCAATACTTGCTATAGTAACGAATCTATGGGTGATGCTCTTGTTCAAGAGAACTATTGGAGCTCACCCAAGGAGAACCTGAGTGGTTCGTCCATGGGTCAAGGTTACCCACTAGCGATAAACGGGTCCAACTCAAGAGTAACAAATTTGGTGAAATTGAGTTCAGCAGCTCAAGTGAGTGAGGCTGAAGTAGATATCATCCAAGGTAATAATAGAACCAAGGTTGTTAATCCATCAGACCGTGTTGACGGTTCTGAAAAGGGATATTCTTCTCGTTATATGGCATACATAAATAGTATCAACCCTGATTGGAATGAATCTAATTATGGGGCCATTAGAGAAAAAATGTGTAGAATTCCCGCTGAACGTTTGTTATATTTGACAAGAAGGGCAAGCTCCAATTTCGAGATTTGCGTTGATAGTATTACTATTAAAAACCCTTCACCAGACTATTTCCTCTCTAAACATAGAATGATGAATCCATATGTTCCGGATGACTTGTTGATTGAACCAATAAGAAGCGCTCGTTCTTTAAGGAAATTCCTCGAAAAGAATCCAGATATTTTGGACATGTATGAAGCATCATTTTATATTACAACTATCTCCTATCGTGTTCAAGAAGTATTGAGAAAATTATCGAATGATGATAGAATCAAGTCATCAAATAATATTGGTCAGATTTTTAGTCTTTTGAAACATCCACATCATGCAGACTTGGAATTATTCATCCATACTACACTTGAAGGCTATATTAAAAACACATCGAAAGCAGGTACTGGTATGGAAATATATGAAAGAATAGCATCTGGATTTAGTTTTTATGCCGACAAAGGTCGTTATTTGGATGCAGTGAATAGAAATGGAAAGTTTTTACAATGGTATTCTCAAGTTAGAGGACGTAAACTGAGAGAGAAATTAATTGCAAAAGTTTTGGCTAAGTATTATGAACCATTCCTTAAAACAAACTCAGTTGACATTAATTTAATCATGTCAGAATTATTCAAACTTCCAGAATTTCAAATTACCTTTTATGAAAGATCAATTATTTTTAAGCCATCAAAGAACGTACCATCAAATAAAAAGAGACAAATTGAAGAATCTCCTGACCAAGTCAATAAGAAACCAAAAGTCAACAAAAAGAAAAAGAAGAAGTTTAACAAAGTCAACAAAGATTTAAATAGTCAATGATTTTAATGAGTTGATATTACCATAGTAATCTATATATACACCCATGTGTGTCGGTATATCGTAGGGGACTTTAATAACTCTATGTAAAGATAAAAATACAGCACATTTTTGGATGAACGAAAGTAATTCAAGTTTCATATATTTACCTCTTATAAGCTTATAAAACATTATTTAAAAAATTGACAATTTCAATCATTCCAAAATATCTATCATCATCTAATGATTCAACAGTAGTGTTTGGATTCTCATCTAACAATTGAATAAGATCAGTTTCAACAACCATAGCACCATCATGTATTCCATCTGGTTCAATGACAACTTTCGTCTTTGCAGAAGTTGGATCATTCTTGATAAACACTTTCTCTTCTGGTCCACAACTTTCTATTTTTAATGGAATCGGTGATTTCAAACTGAATTGACACCATCGTAAAATATCATCTCTTAATGCTTCATTTTCTCCAAGTATAACAAATGTGGAATATCCTGGTTCATTAAGTGTTGGAATATCCTCCCAGTCTGAATAATTATAAGTACAATTCCCTGGGGAGATGGTTAATGACCTAGGATCGGTACTACCCATTAAAGGAGTTGGATCAATAAGGAACCCTTTTGAATTCTCCCAACAAAGTATATCAAAAGCATCGTTATCAAAGAATGTATGACCTGGTGTATGATCAGAAGCATCAGGGACAATTTTACACCATGGACTAATCAAAACAAGATTTCTTGGGTATGGCAATTTTTCATTTGAAATACGTAAATGTTGAAGGAATGTGATTGCCAAATTACCACCTGCAGAATCACCAATCAATTGGATATTATCATTACCTTCGTCGACTAACTTCTTATATAAAGTTACTAGATCACCTAATTGTGCTGGCATAGGATGTCCTTTACTGGCCAATTTATAATCCAAAACCAAAATCGATAACTTTTTCCTTTTATTGGACTCCAACAAGTGATAAATTCCCAAAATACCTTCAATCTGGGGAGGCGAAACACCAAAATAATAAACCCCACCATGTAAATAAATCAATATTGGATCATGTTTCAGTCTATTTGGAGCTTCAACTATCCAATAACTTTGATTATCATATTTCTTACCAAAATTATTCAACTTGGTCAATTCTGGATGCATGAACTTCATGATTGTATTAAGAATATAATCCACCGAAAGAAAACTCAACATCCCTTTATCTTGCGGTGGTAATTTCAAAGCAGCTCGACATATCACTAATACAAGGGACCTTTTGAAATCATCCACATATTTACCAGGAACCCCACCCTGGAATGGGTATAGTATGGCAAATATTAAAACTTTGACTGGAATCAATAAAACTTGTAAAAAACCCAATGGAGTGAACATCGATCCGTGATGAAAAAGAATAAGTGATGAATTTGTTCTGTTTATTTGAAAGCAAGGAAATTGGTATGGGTTATAAATAACCCCACCCCTTCGTCTTTGTCGATATTTCACTTTAGTAATATATTAGCAGCAACTCCGAAGAACCGTGCGAACCGGAAATATTTGCTGCCCCCTTTTTTTTCTTTCTGCACGATAACACAAAGGAATCCATTTCTGAAATACCTCTAACATAAAGAGTGGTAGTGGTAATGGATGGTGGACTTTGTGACACGTAGACGTGTCTTGGTTCATAGCAATGATAGGATCAACTCGAAGGAGCAACTTGGTGGCACGTGATTCGATTTTGGTTTGATGATCAATCACACTAATCTCTTTTTTAGTATCATTTCCTTACTTCTTTCTTAATATCATTTCCTTACTTCTTTTTATTCTTATCTAATCCAGTTCCATGATATTGATGAGAAAACTCTTTCCATGCCTTCTTTCTATCTAAAACATTACCCATCCTATCTTTGTAAGTTATTTGAACCTTAGGATTGTAAACTTTCAAGTCATCATCTTTTATTACTATGCCTTTCTCTTTCAATCTTGAATCCAATAACTTTTCAAAATAAGAAGCCTTTTCAGATTTTGGCATAAGAATATACTCTTTATTTTTGGTCAACTCTTCTCGAAGTATACGTTCTTCAATGGAGATTTTCATTTTGAGTAATTCTGATTTCTTGGCTACCTCTTGTCTCTCTAATTCCTGTGATTTGACTTGCGAATTGTTTGATGGAGATTCGATAATATTCTTTGATTTCAAAAACTTCAATGTATCAGCAAGACCACCACTGAACTTCGGAGTTGTACTTTTTTCAACAAAAGTGTCTGTGTCGCCAGATTTTGAAACTCCGTTAGAATGTGGGTCGTCTTGTATATCTTCTCTTGGTTTTTCGTCATCACTAAGAATGTTATTCTCTAGATTATTCAAGAATCCAACAGTATCGTCATATATATTCTTAGTCAATGATTCCTTCTCGAGTTTTCTTTCAAACTCCCATCTTCTATTAGCTGCAATCTCTTCTGCTAGTTTCTCTGGGGTGAAATTTGCCTGTAAATTAAGTTTCTTTGTTCTGAAATTCGCAAGACTTTGAGATATATCACTGTCCTCATCACCAGATTCATCTTCCATTGAGATCAATTGCACGGATACTTCATCGTCTAGTTTTCTTTGTTTTGAAACTTTGGCTGGTTTCCTTTTCTTTATTTTCTTCATTTTAATAACCGGTTTGGGTTCTTTATCCTCGATATCATCAATTTCATCAAACAAATTGTTGAATTTTGCTATATTGCTTTTATCACTTTCAGCTTTAGACGGCTGAACCTGCGGTAAATTAACGGTGTTTTTATTTATAATAACTCTATCATTACCAATTAGGGCACTGTTATCTAGATCATTATCTTCCCCATCACCTTCGTCATCATTATTTCTATAATGTCTCCCATTAAATTTTATACTTTCTGCCTCTTTTCTTTCTGCCAAGTCTCTCTTCAACTTGGCTTGTCTTGATAGTGTTTCACTAGTTAAAATATCTTCGCTATCTTCGTCAAATAAACCAGTATCTTTTAATGTCAAAATTTCATTATCTCCAATAGACCTCAATTCTTTTGCCGAATGACCAATAACTGCCAGTACTTCGTCATCCTTCCTCTTCTTGTTGGTTTTCTGTTTCTTTTTTGCCTTTGATTCGTCATCTTCATTGTTGGTAAGTTTCAGTAGCCAGTCATCAGTGTCCAATTCCTTTGAACGGTCTATTAATGTTTCATTACTAACTAATTTCCGTTTATTTGCCTTAAACTTGGCGTCATTGATTCGTTGTTGAAGTTCATCGTTCTTTTGTTTGTTTGATATCTCTTGTTGATGTTTCTCAAAGTTCTTTACATCTGAATCAAGAATGGTACTTTCTGTAGGTATTAGTGGCAATCCAATCCTAGCTCGAAGTTTGTTGGTTTCTTCAATTGACAAGGAAATGACTCCGTCCTCATCTTTCTTCTTCTCCTGTTGATCATTCACTGGTACGGGTATTGGTTTTAAACCTGCTTTAACACGTAGAATATTAGTCTCCTCTATTGATAATGATATTTCTTGTGACATTGTGACTGCAGTCGTTTTGGTAGATGCTCCGTTGATATCCATCGTGTATAATCTTTTTATATTATTTTATTTTTATTTTTTTTTTTTTTCGTCTTCAACCTTCTCCGTCGAGTTTAATGCATCTCCGCGTCAATAGACGACCGATCCTTCTCTCGGGAAATTTTTTGTTTTGTTTTGTTTTGTTTACCATAAACTCAAAATCAAAACAATAACCAAAAAAAAAAAAAACGTTGAAAGAAATAAACTACAAACATTCCTATACAGACATAGAGAAAAAGAACTTTTCATATTTGAAAATAGTTTACTACATTCATTAACATTACTGGTTGATTTGTATTTGGTCCTTTGGTTCCTTTCTTTTCCTTTCTTTTTTGGTCTTCACCCCCATCCTACAGATAAACACATTTTGCTTGTCTAAATCAAGTTCTACATATCCAAAAATGACTGAAAGTGAAATCAACAATTTGAATACTCATAACTTCTTCAACCTAAATATCAAAAAAATTATCGGTACATCTGCCAAGAATTCACAACAATTCACCATTCAAGATGATTTAATAGCTTATACTGCAAGTGGAGGTGTGGTTGTTTCTACAATAAATACTCAAAATAATGAAGTGTTAAATCAAAGATTTTTCTGTGCCAATATAAGTTCAAACTGTGATCATAATCATGATACTTGCAATAGTATAAATAATAATTCGATATCTTCTGCTAATGCGTATCTTAATATGTTACGAACTGAAAATATGGAGGAAATAAAAAGAGATTTATATGGATATCCTATCAATTCAGAGCCAATTGCAATTTATGGCACACCTTCAGATTCAATAGATGATAGTTATTGCAATGGAAACTCAACATCACCTTCAAAAATGAAAGATAAAGTTAGGTCTATTAATTGTATGGCAATTTCACCTAATAAGAAATTATTAGCCATTGGAGAAATTGGGTATCAGCCTAGAATATTGATATTTTCATTAGCTGATAATTCAAGTGATAATCCAATTTGGGCAATATATGAACATTCTTTTGGAATACATTCATTGGCTTTTTCCCCTGATCTGAGACATTTATGTTCCTTGGGGTTGATAAATGATGGGTTTATTAATATCTGGAGAATGAGTACCGGGCTTCCTAATGGAGTATCATCAACGACAACAATTCCTACTACTACAAATTTCAATTCTGGCAATTCTGTAAGTTTGGCCGCTAGTAATAGGTGTTCAAGTATGGTTCATAAACTAGTATGGCATGAGAATTTAATAATAACCTTGGGGTTGAGATTTATCAAGCTTTGGAAATTTGAAGACGATGTGACGAACTCTAAAAAACCTCAGGTGCTCAAAGGAAAGAATGCCATTTTGGGAAATTTAATATCAGGAAATTTCATAGATGCTAGTATTTTGAATGATGATGAGTTGTTGGTAATTACAAATTCAAACCAACTTTTGTTATTGAAATTAAGTTTCGATACTCCAAAACTTGTTACGTTGAAGACCCCAGAATTTGAATTCTCGTCAATTGTTGTTGATTATTATAGTGAGAAAGTTTGGTTTGGCTCTGACAATTATAGAATTGAATCATGGCCGTTTGCGGAGTTGGTTCCAGGGAGTGTTACTTCACCTGTGCTTGTACCATCTTCGTCATCTGCAAAATTAATAAATGGGTTCACCAGTGCATCTTCTTTAGATGGATTAGTATCGAGACCAATTTTGAGGATATTCAATTTTTCAGAAACTCAACTTATTTTCTTGAACGATTGTGAAGAGATTAAGTTCATGAATAAAGAATCCCAAGATTGTAAAGTCATAGCTACTTCGTTGTTGAAAAATCTTTCTGGACTCAAGTATACACATCTGGACGAATTCCTTGCTTTTTCCAAAAACGGGTGTATTAAAAAACTTGTGGATACAAGTGAATTGAAGGATTTAGTTGAGTTTCCTGTCATTAGTAACGATTCTTTTACCAATGCCACTACAGCAGTAGAGAAAAATGGTGATACATTAATTCTTGGGGACAAATATGGTACTTTATCAATTTTAAAATTAACATCTAACCCGGGAGAGTATGAAGTATTGTATCAAACAAAAGCTCATTCATCCACTATTAATGAGATTATTTATTTTGAATATGAGAAATTTCAAGTTATATGTAGTATTTCTCGTGATAGAATGATTCAGGTGTTTACAATGGTTGAAAATACTTGGGATTTATTACAAACATTACCTATTCATAATGGCAATTTACTACAAATTGCGCAATTCCAAAACCAAATTTATGTGTGTTCCCTGGACAGAACAATTTCAATTCATAAATTGACTATTGAAGATGAAGATAAAAAACTAAGGATTTATCAGGAAAAGATAATCACATTGAAAAGCACACCGCTGTGCATGAAAATATTTGATAAAGATCTTGTTGTTTCAACCAATGATAAATCCGTCTTGATCTATGATGTCTCAAATAATTTTGAATTGAAAAGGACATTAAGATTAGTTAATGAAAAAATTAATGAAAGTTTACTAGTTGAATCATTTATAAAATATAGAAATTTAATTATTGTTTGGTCAAGTGATAAATCATTGCGTGCTTTCCAGTATCTGAATGGTAAAGAAATTGGAGTTGCTTGGGGACATCTGGAATCCATACTACAATTGTATTTGTATCAAAATCATGAATTGATATCTATTGGTAATGATGCTTGCTTGTTCTCATGGGAAATTGTCGAAAATTTGAAAGCATCAGCTGGGTCAGTTATGAGTCAGGCTGAAGATACCACCACCATTGGGAACGAGGTTGCGAACTTGCAGCAGCAGCAACAACAACAACAACAACAACAACCAATGGCAGCACCATTGTATACAAAAGTTACAAGAAAGATATTACCAACTTTGCCAGTTAAACTGTCAGCAGATCTGAAATCGAATGAAAAGGAAAAATCTTCCACAAACACCACTGTTCCTACTCCTAGTGTAACTCCAAAACTTACAGCAGCAACATTGAAAAGAATAGAGGCGAAGAATAATGCTGGACAAGGGACGAATAGTGGTTCACGTCCAACAAGTCCACTTAGATCTACCCCATCCATTAACAATCTTTCATCTTCTGGATCCGTCAAGATGGCATCTCGAGCTGGAGTAAGCACTCAGAAGAATCATAACCTTGCCAAATTACAATCCCCAATGAAAACACCAACGGTAAGTACATCACCAAACAGACCAAGCTCTCCAACTAGACCAATTACAGACACAATCTCTACTACTACAGCAAACAAAGTAAGACCACGAGTATTGATGAGTTCATCTCCAACCCCACCATCGAGACTAATCAGCAGGAGGGAAGAGAAAAACATGGTTGATACTGCCGTTAGTAAGTTGGAAGATGTTATGAATATCCTTTCCAAATGTCAACCTCATGAAAAGCTTGTAATAAGGTCAAAATTAGAACAAGCATTGGCTTTGGTCATAGATAATAGAGCAGAGGAAGAGCAGAAATTGTTGGAAAAATATAGTGATCAATTAGTTGAACTTGTACATAAGAAACTCAAAATTGGAGATGAACAAACCAATACTATTATTAATGACAGCTAAAGAATAATTATATTTTTCTTCAAAGAACCTATGTACATAATAAATAAATAATTTAACTAATTTCATGCTGTTGTGTTTCACAGTCTTGGTTTTATACTTGCTGATTCAATCGGATTTTTATCTTTTGTTTCATCGGCAACTTTCCATGGATCTTCTTTTGTTTCATCAGCAAGTTTCTGGGAATCTTCGTTTACTTCTTTAGAAGCAAGAATCTTCTTTTGATTTTCAAATTGTTGATTTTCTTGTTTAACTCTATCCAATTCAGTTTGTAATTTCAATTTTTGTTCATTTTCTAATCTGACTTTTTCAAGATGCCATTTTTCATCAGCTTGTTTAGCTAAAATTTTTAATCTTTGTTGTCTTAATTGATCATGAATTAACTCATCTAAAGTTGGAATTTCATTTCTTGTTCTTCTTAACCATTGTAACCATTGAGGAGGGATAGTACTAAAATAATCAACTTCGAATATTTCTCTTTGAAATGGTTCCAATTTACGTCTTAATCTTTGCATATTCCCATCAATGGTAAATTCCCAATATGTATTTCCATAAAGATCATATCCAACAAAAAATTTACGTCTAAATGGAATATCTCGTCTTGCTTGCCATTTATGTAGTAATCTCTTCCAAAATGGATACTTGTTTTTTATTATGTCCATGATATTGTCCCAGGTGTTGTCTTGAAGGAAATGAAAAAGAAGAAGAGGCAGCAAAAAAAAAAATTGGTGATTTGATTAAGGGGAGGAAAGACAAAATAAAAAAAAAACTCAACCGCATGGCAATCAATCAATCTTGTACCCAAAAAAAAAAAAAATGCACTACAACAAAATAATCCATAAATCGTTTGTGACTTGCGACAGATTCAATAATTATTACTTCTCCCACTTTAATCCTTGATAGTCTATTAATATTCTATGTCTCGAGATAAATCGAATTCTATATCTCAATTAAATAAAGTACTTCCTGTTCCTATTGAACTTAATAACGGGGAATCATTAGAAGAACATCAAATTAATCATCTTAATCATATTACTAATGTAATTGTTGGAGAATATCATTTAATATCAGGAGAATATGGTAAAAGTTATATATCATGGCAAATTAAAATTACAATTAATGATTTAGATTATTCTTCAATTATTTTATATAAACGTTATAATGAAATTTATCAACTACGACAAGATTTATTACATATTTTTCATGATTCAAGAGAAGTAAATATCCCAGAATTACCTCCAAAGGATAATTTAAGTATAGATAGATTTTTAATGAGTAAAAATTGGTTAGAAGATAGACGTAAAGGTTTGCAATGGTTTTTAAGTAATGTTTTATTAGATCCGGTATTCCAAAATTGCAATGTGGTTAAATCGTTCGTTCTTGGTCGATAGGAGAAAGAGAAGATGTGTGTTTTTAATGTGAAACAGTATATAGTTACTTATTTTAATATTATTAACGATGTAATTAATTTGAATATATATAATAATACATATTGTTTTTAAAAAGAATGATCTATTATACAAACTCCCAGTCGAAAGCTCTTCTGAAAAACAGCAAGATTCTATCATAAACAACTTTTTGTCCATTATGATAATTCATAGCATGATTGCTATCTGGGAAAATCATAAATTCGTAGTTTTCAACTTCTGCAAGATTAAACTCATCTAATAATTGTAAAGTATGTTGCACATGAACATTATCATCCCCACTTCCATGACCAATAAAAAACTTCTTGACATGTTTGAAATTTGTTACATTCTGAATACTACCAGTTTCATACCCGTATGGATTTTCAGCTGGAGTGTTCAAATATCGTTCAGTATAGATGGAATCATAAAGTCTCCATCTTGTCACTGGGGCGATGGCAACACCATAGTTAAAAATTGGGTTCTTGACATCGGTTTCCAAAGTTTTCAAGGTCAAGAATCCACCATAGGACCAACCCCAAACGGCAATTCTTTCAGGATCAACATATGATTTTTCGGCCCATTTGTTGGCTGCAGCAATAACATCAAGCGGTTCATATTTACCCAATTTGTCTCTCACAATAAATTTAAACTTGGATCCTAATTTATAGTTCAAGTTATTAAAACCAGTACCTCTACCGTCAACAGTAACAACAATGGCATCTAATTCGGCAGCAATTAATGAACTGAAAGAAACAGCCCACTTCTTGGTAACAGTTTGGGATCCAGGTCCACCATAGATAAAAAACAATACAGGATACTTTCTCTTCTTGTCAAAATTCAAAGGTAATGTCTCCATGGCAGTGGCCAAAAACTTACCACCTTCTTCATCTGTCAATTCAACCTGTGAATATTTAACTTCTGGGATGATATAGTCTCTCAATTTGGCAACCAACTCGGCGTTGTCTTCAATAGTCTTGACATTCTTGTTCATTTTCAAATCGTTTACCCTTTGGGTTGGAACACCTGGCCCCAAATCAGACAAAAACAAAAATCTAGCACCTGATGAAAATGATGCAGAATACCAACCTTCTTTAGTGGTTATGTCTTTAATATATGGCAATCCATTGTTGGTTCTGTCTAACAATTCAATAGCATGAACATGTCTTTCGATTGGGGATTTTGCTGTACTGGTGAAATAAACAGTGTTGGAAGCATCATCAAATACAACTCCATCAGTTACTTCCCAGTTACCCTTTGTCAACAATTCATAGTCTGGACTATCAGGTGGAGAAAAATAAGCCAAATGATTGTAACCGCCTTCAACGACGATATCTAAATAACCATCATACTTTCTGCCAAGAGTTTCATTGGCTGGAATATGAACAGTGGAAGCTGAGGCTTCAAACCACGAGTCTTCAGCATGTAAAGTTCTAATCAAAGAAACTTTCTCGTTACGGCTGATCAAGAAAATCTCCAACAAGTCACTATGACGGTTAGATGTTTTCACTTTCAAGGATTCGCCGATCCAGACAACTTCAGTAATTAATCTGTTGTGAATATCAATAGTTTTGGATTTCAAATCATGTTCGTGTACCTTGTCCTTTTCCAAATCATATGTTAAAACATCTACAATTGGATTAGGATATCCTGCTTTTGGATACTTAATCTTGACAATCTCTGGATAATCAAGATGTTCCTCTTGTGCATAGAATGGAAGGGTAAACTCTGGAACTTCAGTGTTGTTTGATCTTAAAAAGGCAATCTTGTCACTATTGTGAGACCACCAGAAAACTTTATCTGATCCGTAAACTTCTTCTTCATACACCCAATCTGGTTTCCCATTAAAAATGGATGGAGAGCCATCTGAAGTTATTTGTACAATTTCATTCAGCTGAAGTGATTTATAGTATAAGTTGTTATCAAAAATAAAAGCAATCTTGTTTGAATCTGGTGACCAAGATACTGTTGAAATTTTATCAATCTCGTTATAAATAGGTTCAATTGTCTTGCTCTCAATATCCAATACCCAGTAAAGTGAAACTGATGAATATCTCCAGAGACTAGTCACATCAGTCTTCAAAATAACTTTGGATAAATCTGGAGATGCTATGTAATCTGTAATTTCATGTTCTCTGCCCTTGTATTTGAATTTACTACTTTCAATTAAAACTTTTTCATAGGATTCATCAGCTAAAGATTTGACAACAACCCTAAAACCAGAATCTTTATCCTTTTCTTCTTCTTTAATGACATAAGTACCTTGATCATCGTAAATGGATTCTGGGGTTTTGATCCATTGAATGGAGTGTAATTTTGGAGCCAAGACATGATCATCATAAATCTTCTTGCTCAAAGGAATTTTCCCTTTAAAATCTGTCGATCGTGTAGACGGGCTGGCAAACTCTGGTAGTTCATCATTATTGTTGCTGAATGCTGAGATGGATTGTAATTCAAATGTAGTGGAGAATCTTTCTATAGTTATAAGTAAAAATGAAGTTCCATAAAGAAGTACAGCCAATAAGGTTCCATAATATATGTATCTTTTATATGAAGACATTGATCTTCGAGGTGTAGTTCCCCCTGTTTCTTTAAGATATTCCAGACTTATTCCGTACATGATACTTGGATGTAAGTCTGATAATGTGTTTGTTGTAAATACAAAGTAAGAAAGAGTAATAAAGTTAATCCGTTAATTTCTTTCGTAATTTTTTTTTTTATTATTTTCTCTATGGTGCCGTGTGGGATGTTGGCTGGATATAGTGGATAAAATGAAATTAAAAGGGCGGAATGCACTGTGGTCACTTCTTCTTAATTAGGAAACTTGTGGCTTTTTTTGTCAATGTGCACGCATGCAATTAATTTATTAATTTCTTTTTTTTTCTTCCTCTCTTGGTGATGACCTCATATCTTTTATGGCACCAGTGCCGACCAATTGGGCCACAAAATTGGTCCCAGTTTACCACCATAATATTCTCAATGTTACCATGTCAAATTCAAAACAATCTATATTTAGAAATTACATTCCATTCTGGTTACATCAATAATGGACCAATAGAAAGCAACCAACATGACGGATATACTGTGTGTTGTGGTCTAGCCTTATTCACAACAGGCAGCTCGTGCTTTCTGTGTGTTAATCCTCGTAAAAATGAATATTGTTAGTGTTTAACGGAATTCAAAGTGTCTTACTTAAATTTGGTAGTACATCAGAGAAAAAAAGATGCGCAAACAAAAACGACAATTGCTAATCAGTGTTAATATCATTTACGTCATATAACTTGAATACTAGAAGTGTATAAATTTGCATTCACAGTATGATCCAATTAGTAAATAATTGCCCTTATAATTAACAATAATCTGTTGATTTAATGATTTGCGGATTTAGGGTCCCAATTGCGAAAATCTCAAGGAAATGATCATTGAAAATCAATAGCTTGACTTTAAAATGTTTTGATGATTCTAATTCTAGTCAAGATTTAAAACAAAAAAATTATAAAACTTAAAAAAAAAAGATTCATCATAAATTATAGTAAAATTCTGTTTACATTTTCAAGTCATTGGCGATCTTGGACAAAACTAATTAATTATTATCACCTTATAGCTATGTTAATCCATAGATATTTGTGATTTGAGTCAAAATTTTGGTATTTTTCGTGCGTGAACCGAAATGAAATTACGGGAATGAAACGATTGTAATCTTGGTGACCCCCTTTGGAAACACTATATACATCAATAAAATGAGTTACGAATATTTATGTACATCAGACTTATGGTTAACATATGAATATTTTAATGACACAATTTTTAGTGAAATCTGTAGCACAATTACTGATAAATTTACACAAATCATAATATTGCTTTGGTTTCTTCAAAGTAAATTTTGTCTACAATGTGGACTATATTATCAGCAAATGCATTGAAATCAATTTAGAATGTTGTTAATTTGCTGCATATATTAGGTGATGGTAATTTCAGAGATGTAATCCCATGTCAACACGTTGAAACCACAATAACACATGAATTCGGTCAACGAAATTCGAAACATTAATCCAATGATTCAACCAGATATTTTGGCTAATCAATATTTTACCGAACCGAATCTAAATAGATTACTATTGATTTTGTCAAAGAATGCAATTTGCCCAATAACAGGATTCGTGTGCTGGATATAACATAAAAATTGGTAACACGTCTAACGAATTTAACAGAAGCAGAGAGTGAATTTAGACGTAGTTATATATAATTCTCAGTTTTTAGTCAATATCTGCCGTATAAGCTCAGAGAAATGATGCTAGTATTCATGTCTAGTTACAGGTCATGGCTCTTTACCTAGGAGTTTGGTTTGAATCATTATAGTATGCAGCAAATATCCGCCAAAGCAAAAGAAAATGATGATTGTTCTGTTGATTTGTAATTTCCATGAAATATCATGTCTTTATTCTAAGTGGTGTAAATCATGAACATTCATAACGTAAAACCAGTGTACAAGATGCATGTGAATAAATTTTGTTCCGACAACTTTAGAAGATTGGTCAACTAATTCATAAACAAGTACAAGTAAATTGCTTGGAGAAGAGGTTGATCGCAAATATAATTAAATGATCCTATTATTATATTGCCAAATTTCACCGAAGATTATAATTTATAAGGTAATTAATAGATCGGATGAGTAAATTGCTGCAAAATTGTGAGTATTCACAATTGGGTGCAAGCACTTGAAAGTCGATTCCTTAATTTATATAGAACCAAAATTCTTTGATAGAAATCTAGATTTTCAACTCAAATGTAGAAGATAAGAAAGGGACATTTAAATACAATTTGATTGTAATGTGAGTACTTTCATGAATTTTTGACACACGTTTTGCATCACGTGATACGTTTATTATTGGATCTCGCTTAAAGATGTTCAACAAGGCTAATTATCCTTTGTATTTTTTATTGAGGCAATGTTAGGATGACACTTGTATACTACACGTTTCGACTGTAAGTGCTCTAAAACTACATTCATTGCGATTCAGACCAAAGCCAAGCTTAATTTGAATTTGTTTTTAGTAATTTATTATTGTATTTTTATTACTATCATCATTCCTTTGAAAATGACTTCTTAGTGCCGGAACAATATCGTACCAATTGTACGAGAAGGTATTTGCTCTTGAGCTTCATTTTCTAGTTTAAACTTTTATAATCAACAACAACTTAACAAAATGAATACATTACCAGAATATTTTGAATGGAGTAAGACTGTATCAAAACCACAAGAAATAGAATGGTTATTTATTGACCAATTAAATGCCCTTATTGTGAATTGACTCCGAAACTAAATTTGTTTCTTTTTTTTTCTCTCTCTCTCTCTAAATTCTTATTTAGTACCGATTGCAGAAGATTAACCACATGTGAAAAGAGAGGAGGGAATAAACAAAAAAATATTGAACAATAGAAAGATTCGATTAGATTGAAATAGGGGTAATAAAGTTGATACAGAGGGGTTTTATTGAAACAACTTCTCCTTAAACTAAAAAAAAAAAAACCTGTAACCATTAAATCAACTGATGTGCTTGGTGAAAATCGAACTACTTTTGTTGAGACAAGTCGGGTGTAATTACACTGATTGTTGGGTAACACACACTCACACTCACACACCACTACCGATTGTGACACTTCGGTAGCTTCAATGTCTTTAATTTTGTACGACGCTTATTGATACTCTGCTGCTGGCGGTAGCAACGGGCGATAAAATTATACTTTCCCGGCCCCCAAGTCGGTCTACAATGGCGAACTAATTGCAAAAAAGAAATGTTAATTGTATGCGATCAATCGAGTGTGCGTGCGTGCAGGTCGTGCAGTTTACAATAGTGGGATTAGACAATGCAATGCAATAACAGTGGAGAGAATTTTTTTTTTAAAAAAAGTATACTTTAAATCGATTCTCTTTTGTATTCAGAAATAACTTCAACTAAAAATCTTTTATTCTTTATATATTTTTCTGTGAATTAGGAGAAAGGGTAGAGATAAGGCCTCATTTTCTATCTATTCATACTTTGGATATCTACTATGGCATCTGCCACCACTACTGCTCTTGAAGTACCTGCACAAGATTCCCTCAAAAATAGATCGAACCGATCTCGCAGTCCATCAAATGTTATCGAAACAGCCGAAGAAGTACTTGTTGAGAAACTCGATTACTTCATATCATCTATTGAATCAAGATTAGTTCGATTCGAACAATTTTTCAAGTTCAATAATGAAGAAAGGGAATTTATAGAACAACGTTTGAAGAGTTCCCAACCTGCCGGTCGAGAAGTTGGCAATGGACATAGAAGAACTTCTTCGTCTTCTAGTATTCAACAATTTAGGCAGTTTTCTGCAAATAAACTTGACTTGATCTGTGAAAGGTTAGAGTTGATTAAAAAGTCAATGTTACGTAACTCGTTTTCAAATTTGGATACATTGTATAAATTATTGGATGATCAATATAATTACTTATTTTCAAATTCCGCGGTTATAGATGAGGAAGAAGATCTTGATGATCTAAACAATGTGGATAGCACAAACATAGGACCATATGATGATGACGGATGTACTGATGAGGATTCCAAATCAATGAAGAAACGTGAGATCTTGTCCAAGAAAATCATAACCACTATTCAATATTTTGATGAAAAATTACTTGCCATTGATGATTTTATAAAAGAAAGCAGACCAGCAGCAACAGATGATTATTCCCATGATGCAGTATTTAGTCAACTTCGGTTTTTTAATTTCAATCGTGCTTTACGAAATGCCAGAAAGAGATATTTGCACTACTATGAATTGCCTTTAGTTTGGAGAGAAAACAAGTACATTATAAGTGGTTACAGATTTTCGCTAAGCCATAAAGAAATGTTGAAATCAATGTTCCATTTCAATCATAATGAATCCATGAATATATGGTCTCACATAATTGGCTTGGTTGTTGTCTTATACATTTGCATTTACCATTTCCCATTAACTGATGTATTTGAACAGAATTCCCGTAATGATAATATACTTGTGTATGTGTTCTTAGTTGCAGCTGCTAAATGTTTAGTGAATTCTTCGTTATGGCACACATATTCTTGTTTTGCCCATTATCCTACAAGAAGTGCTTTTGCATGTGTTGATTATACGGGGATAACTGTGTTGATTACTTCTTCAATCCTAACAGTCGAATATTGTGCCTTGTACAAATATCCTAAGTTGTTAATTACTTATGTCGTATGTGCTATTATTTGTGGTGTAGCTGGACTCGCTTTCAATTGGTCTCCATATTTTGATAAACCCGAATGTCGTTCAATTCGAATTGGTTTTTTTGTTGGATTATCTGCATCGGGTGCCTCGTCATTAGTTTGCAAGGCTTTTTATGATGGGGTGCTTTCTTCTTTGTCACTTGTAGCTCCATTGATATACAAAAGTTTTGTATGGTATTGTCTTGGAGTGGTATTTTATGGTGGATTGATACCGGAAAGATGGAGATACGATGTGATTATTGAAGAGAACTTATCAAAATCAAACCGTCATTACCAAGCAACTGATGTTATTTTGGAGAAAACAGGACATGATGGTGAAGAAGAAATGGAAGTATTACATGAGGAATTTGAAGATATTATTGAAGATGAATCGAAACAAAATGGTAATGATTCTATGAACGAGGATGAAAAATTTCAAGATTTAATCAATAAGCATTTTAAATCAAAATTAACTAAATCTCCTTATTGTAATAATTTCATGTCACTTTGGTGGGTTGATTATTTCATGGCAAGTCATAATATATGGCATATATGTGTGGTGTTGGGTATTTTGGGTCATTATTTTTGTGTGTTGGATATGTTCAGAGGTTTGGAAAGAGATATTTGAATAAAAAAAATACAAAATAGTAATAAAGATGTAAGTTTATTTATATAATATATTTATACATATGGATTGATTTTTTTTTTGTTTTTTATGATAGATATTATTTCGGATTTTTGTATGCGTTTTTATTTAATCCTCTCCAAATAAAATGTAATTCAATATATCACTTAATGTAATAACACTAATCAATTTACCTTCATCGTCAACAATAAATAATCGATGCAATCTACTTTTTCTTATTGTATCCATTATCGTACTCAATCTATCATTCAAAGTACAAGTGTGAACCCCTTCAAATTCTTCCAGTCTTCTTAATAATGCGTCACCGATTGATAAATCCAAATCGGTATACATACCACCTTTAACCAACGACAACACATCAAAGGCTTCATAAACATTAATTAATTTTCCTTGGTCATCTACGACTGGAATAGAAGAAACGGACTTTTCTGTTAATAAATGAATAACTTCAATAACCGGGGTATTCATAGTACAAGTAGATATTTCTTTCCTATCACCCAATCCTGTTAAATTCTTGATTGGTTTTAACAACATTTTGGTTTCTTTACAATTCAAAGCAACAAATTTCAAAATTCTATATTGAGTTAATACACTCACAACAATTTCTCTCTTGGTTTTTTCATCTTCATCAATCAAAGGAATTCTTCTTGCTTTAGATTCCAACATCTTGACACATGCTTCATATAATGATTTAAATGGATGAATAGAAACAGTTTCAATTTGATCTACACCGATTGCTTTTTCAACATCTCTTAATCCGTCTAAAGTTAATTGATCAACTAATTCAAATTTCTCCGGAAATTGGAAATAATATTGTATGACATTAATGAAATCACTTGAAGTTAATAACCCAGCAAATTTAGAAGTTTGATTATTCCATAAAGGAGCACTAACAATATTGTTCTGTAATAAGATAGTTAAAGATTTTTTAACCAATAAAGATGTATCTAATACTATTAATCTGTAACTGACTGGTAATACATCATATGAAGTTTTACTTTGCAAAAATAATCGAATGGCTTTAATACCGATCTTTTGATCGTGTTCAATTTGTTCTGGTGATAAGTTTAAAATATAGTCATTAGGAGTTGCTGCTACGTCCGTCATCGTGTGGATTCGTTGAATATATGTGTTTATAAGGTAAGGAAATAGATCTAAAACACCCAGATATTAGTGTCTAAAATGATGTATCGATGATTTTGGTGTCAATTCCAAGTCAACACACAATAATTCCGTTGGTGATTTTTTTTTTTTCTGTCTCCCAATTTGGGTTGTCCGTTTGGGTTTGGTGAGATTACGTAAAAATATTAGAACTCCTCTCACCTCCAAAAAAAAAAAAACTACCAATCTACACGCACTCTATTCATCTATCCATCTCTTTAGCTTATCAACAGAAATGGGTAATAACTTTCCTGAACGACCACCACATCCATCTAGATTAGATCAAATCGATATAAAATCATTAGATCCACGATTGGTTTTAGATAAGTCCACTCAACGATGGTTATTCGAACATAATGATAAAGAATATGAATTTGATTATGCAAAAAATGAATGGATATCAATTTTAAAAAGATCCCATGATGATATTGAAAAAGAAGAAGAAGATAAAGATGAAGATAAGAATAGAGAAGATATAAAACGACAAAGAAAAGAAGAAATGTCAAAGATAAAATCAGAAATAAATCAATTGAAACAACAACAATATCAGAAAAAACGTAAAAATCATTCAATTTATATAACTAATCTTCCTTCAACTTTAACAATACAAGATATAGAAAAATCTTTTGGTACATTTGGTAAAATTCAATTTGATAAAGAAGGTAAACCAAAAATTAAAATGTATCGTGATGAAAAGGGGAATTTTAAAGGTGATGCATTAGTCATTTATACCCTTCTGGATAGTGCTTATTTAGCTATTGAAATGATGGATAATTCTTTGTTTAATGGCCAAACTATAAGAGTTGAGCATGCTAGATTTGATGACAAACCATTGGATAAAAAGAAATCAGAACAGAGTCATTTTCCTGTTGTTATTATTGAGAATATGTTTAGAAATGAAGAATTGACAAGTGATAAATATCTCAAAACTGATATAATTGAAGATATCAATGAAGAATGTGTGAAAATTGGAATCCCCAAAGTATTGGATATTCAATTCGAAAGTGAAAAAGGAAATGTAACGGTAAAGTTTGACACCCTCGAACATGCCAAAATATGTATTCAAAAATTTAATAATCGATATTATGACGGTCTACAACTAAATGTCAAACTAAAAACAAACTAATTTTATTGCTCATCAACGAGTTTCAATGATGCTGTTAACTTATCCTTCAATGCCTGTATAGCTTTATCTTCACGAATCAACCAATGCTTTAACTTACTCAACTTTCTTTCAAGTTCTAATTGTTCCACAGGGGTGACTTCTGATGTCTTGCTATCCTTAGCTTTAGAACTTTCAAGTACTGATTTAACCTGGGATGACAATCGTTCAATCTTCTCTGTCAAACTGACCTCATCCTTAACCCCAGTATTGACTGATTGATCAATACTATCAATTTCTTTAAACCATGAACTTTCGGCATCTGATATTGGCAATGACCTCTCCTTGTTGTATTTATTCAATGCATCGTAAATCTTCTTTTGCAAGTCAACAAATCTTTTATCTAATTTCTCTTGTCTATCGGCCAATTTGGTCAATTTGTCTTCTTCTCCTTTTTTAATTTCACTGTCATTTGGTTCACATTGTGATTTGATTTTGTTGAGTATACTCTTTTGTTCTTTCAAAGAGTCCAAGTTTGACAAAATTCTTGTTTGTAATTTGATTCCAAAAATAGAATACTCCTTGGCTAATTGTATAGTATTAATCGATAATTTGTTCAAATTCTCAAGATCATCGACATTTCCTTTATCCAACCCTGTGTTTCCTTGTATTCCTCCTGTAGCAATCTTAATTTTGGACAAATTTTGCAACTCTGCCAACAATTCATCAAATGGTGAAGGAGCCTTGTATGTCAAACCTGCATTGCTCTGAACCTTATCTGTTAAACGCAAAATTTCTTTCGGCTCGGTTGTTAAATCCTCTGGAGCAGTATTCACAATTTGAATCACTTCCAAATCGTCCTTTGTCTTGCTTCTAAATACTAAAAGATATTCTCCAGTAGACGTGATTTTGTCCTTGATATATGTAAATGCAAGAATAGGCTCTGGTTCTTCAGATGCAACTCCGTAATGTGGTGCAACTGCGACATCATCAACTTTATTTCCAACCAAATCATTCACAAAATCTTTCACCCAAGTACAATCAACAATCACTATTTTTTTCGATGCCATGAAGATTGTAAATCTAAATTCATCAAGACTTCCAAAATATGTTGGGAGTTTTTTATTACTGTTGTTGTTGTTGTTGGTAGTATTAGTGTCGTCTGCAGGAAGTTTGTCGGTGTGTAAGAGGTCCAATACGGATAATTCTTCTTTCCAAAATGAAGCCTGAGATTGAGTTTGTTTCACTAATGCACGTTCTTCTATTTCAGTATTATCAACAAAACCAAATCCTTTTCTTGGTTTGATATATCTTGGGGTTAGGACAACAGGAGTCGATTCTTTAGATTCATCGCTAACATCTCCTGAGGCTCTATATTTCATCAACATTGGAGCAAGCTGGGCATAATAGTTGACAACAGCATTATCACCAACACTGGCCATGAAACTGATAAATGGATTATCGCCAAATGAGGTAATATCTTGAATATCTGAACCGACACTAACAATTGGTCCCTGTAATACAGGTCCTTCAAAATCATTCAAATTTTGTTGGACAACAAATAATTCATAAGGATTATTTGTATAGACATCCCTAACTTCTTTCACAATAGGTACAGTACCACTTAATTGATTTTTGATATTCAAATAGTAATCAAATTGCTTTAACGCAGCCTTATTCATTGGGCTAGTTGCAATTTCTGTTAAATTTGTCGGGTATTTCTCCTGAATTAATTCCATGGCTGCTTTAGTATCCTGAAGAGCCACATCTATGGCTTCTTCTGTGGTGACTAATTTGGTGGAGGAGGTGGTAAATGGATAGACAGCAAATATACTCGATTTTGTTGATACATACAATGTCAATCCACCTGCTAAATTCTGGTCCGATCCAAAAGCAATTGAAGTGGCCTCTTGATTCTTGAAGTTATCAAGTGTCTTCAAGTCGATATTTATAATCGGAACTTCCAAGGATTTTGTCAAGTCAAATGCTTTAATTTCTGAATTATCGTTCAAGACTACCAACATAGAATCATTGGCAGCTGTTGTTTGCCATACACATTTTCTAATTTTCCCTGTTAAATTTTGAATCTTGAACGAACTTCCGTCCACATAAACACCATCTCCTTTCACAACATTTGCAGGTAATGTAACCACATCTATTTCTTGTTCGCCAATAAGGGCCAATAATGTGCCTGATTTATTCATGAGCAATGAAATGATTTCATAGAATGGATTGACAACCTTTAATAACTTATAATTAGTAGTGTCTGGGTTGATTGTACAGCAACGGACCAAATTGTTGCTTACAAAGAATACATCACTATTCCCACGGCACACCAATCGATTATAAGGAAGAGGAGATGACAACTCTTCTTTGGATGTGTTACTATCCAAAAAATGCTTGAAGATGGATTGATTTGTTATTTGGGAAACAAATTGATCTTTTGATCCAATTGATGACATGATACAGTGATGAAAGAGAATTTGTGAAGGGAAAGGATCTTGATATTGTAGTTGGATTGTTTTTCTCCTTTTTTTTTCCTGTTTTTTTTTTCGATTGGTTTCTAAAAAATCATTTTGTTCAGAATTCATCTGGCAAAAAGACAACGTTTAGAATAACAATCACAAGTAATTACTCCCAATTCGTACGAAAGCAATGGGTAAACAATATATTTCTACCGTTAGTGCTTCACAAGCACATAAACTGGATATCCTTGGAGTGGCCATCACCAACAAGTTTACAGTCTCAATTTCAAGTGATGGGTATGCGAAATTTTGGGACAACAAGCAAGATGAAGTTCATCAACCAAAAGAATTCGTTCAATCAGTATTCATCGATAAAAGTGGTGTTCATGCCATAGCAGTATATGAAAATACTTTACCAAATTCAACATTGAAAGTTACTCTTTTTTCATTTGCATGCTTTAATGGTTCTATTGTCTTCAAATACTATATTAATGACGACTTTTCTACTTTGAAAGACCTTACAGACGTTGATGAGTGTTCGGCTGGAAAATCATGGAATCCGGGATTTTATAAAGATCCAGAAGCTAAACAGGACTATTTCATTGTCACCAGAGCAAATGGCACAACTAGTGTGTTTTTGCTAAATATTACCGACAACGAAGGAGTTGCAGAGATAACATTTGAAAAAGCTGGAGAATTGAAACCAAATTCATCAACATTCCCAAATTCTTTAGCAATTTGTCCTACAGAAAATAAGAAATGTGCTGTTGGTTATATTAATGGTGATGTCTTGTTATATGACTTTGCAAGTTTGAAATTAGTCTATACTTTCCATTCCAGTGATTTGGTAACGAGCAGAAATTCTCAAACCACATCTATACCTAGAGTATTGGCATTCTCACCAGATGGTACTTTATTAGCAGTGGCAAGAGATAACCAAGCAGCTGGATCAATTACATTATATGATGTACAACATGGAGAAAATGTTGGTTTCTTAGCTGCACCATCACATTCATCAAAATCAGTAGTTGGTGGATTTGCTCATCAAGGTTGGATATTGGGTTTGAGTTTTGACGAAGAAGGCAAGCATTTAGCTAGTTGTGGATTTGATAAATGTTTAAGAGTATGGAACTTGGAAACCAGTGAGCGTGAAGCTACTATAAATATTTCCATTTCCGATCTAGACGATACAGCTCATGATGAACAAGACCAGAGTGTTGCTAGTGGTGTTACATTTATCAAAAAAGGTATTCGAGGTGGTGCTGGTGGTGATAGTAATGAAGGTTTATGTGTGGTCAGTTTTGATCGAGGTATCAGATGGTATAGAGAAGCTGGTGGTATTTAGATGTATTCAATATATATAGATAGATATGTACTCTATTAATTTATCTTCCCATCCAACCACCGTCAACTAACAATGTTTCACCAGTGATGTATTTAGATGCATCTGAGGTAAGGAAAACAATTGGACCCATGAAATCATCTGGATTACCCCATCTTTGCATAGGAATTCTTTTATCTACAAGGTTCTTGGCATCATCATTCATACTTCCTGTCATGTTAGTTTCAATATAACCTGGTGCAATTGCATTAACTCTAATACCTCTAGATGACCATTCATTTGAAAGGCCTTGAGTAAATTGTTTAATTGCTCCTTTACTAATAGCATAAGGAGTACATGATACACCACCTTGGAATGACATCAATGATGCAGTGAATACAATCTTCCCTTTAGTATTTGATTCCAACATTCTCTTACCAACTTCTTTAGTTAATTTAACAGGAATGTTCAAATCAACTTTTATAATATCATTGAATTTTTCCTGTGGAAACTCTTCAAATGGGTATCTTTCAGTAATACCAGCATTATTAACCAAGATATCAACTTTACCAGTTTTTGAAACTTTAAATGATTCTTCAACAATTTTGGAAACTATGTCATCTTCTTCCTCCTTCAAAAAATCAATCTTTACTCCATCAATTTGAATATTTGGGTTTACTTCTTTAATTGCATTTTTAGCTTTTTCAAATGTCGAGTCTGATCTGTATGTTAAAATTAATTGATCTAAATCAGCACTAGCTAAACCTCTAGCATAGCCTAAACCAATACCATTAGTACCTCCAGTTAAAATAGCAACTTGACCTTTAAGGGAAAATAATTGAGACATTATAATTCTTATCGTGATTGATAATTTTTCAGTTGTTTTTTTTTTCATTTGATTTGAAGAAATTTTTGCGGTTATTTATACTACTTTTGTTCCCCCACATTTTTGGGGGTAAGACCCCCACGTTAAATTAATGTACATGTAATTAATATGATCGGTTAGCAACCCAAATCCAACCCGGATGGTGGTATGCCGTGAACTATAAGGAATGTTGGTTAATTTATGGGGTTGTTGAGGTATTTATTATAATCAAAGCAATATTTGCCCAGATATTTTAACAATTTTTTGGGGAAAATTGTTGATATCCAGCAATTAAATTCCAAATCTGAAAAAAAAGGAAAGAGTTCTCGAGGAAACCTAAACGATAATACGTTAGTCATCGTTTTTAAGTTGAACAATAAATCGCGTATATGTAATGAGTTTGACTCGCTTTTATTGCAGATGTTCAATATAGCAATTATTAGATGAACCTTTTTTAATGACATGAAGGATATATTCAAAATTCAGAAAACCGGGCGTGTGGCGTAGTTGGTAGCGCGTTTGCCTTGCAAGCAAAAGGTCATGAGTTCGACTCTTATCTCGTCCAGTTTAATTTTTTTCTCTTTCTCCTGAATATTTTTTTATATCTTGGCTTTAAAGACTGAAACATTAAGTTGCAATGATTTACAATAGTAGGGAGTACATTTTATATTTTTTTTAAATGTTGTTATGTTTCAACCTGTTATTTGTATGATCAGCAATTTTTAAGATGGCGTTAAACGACCTAATTTCAGTTCTCCTTTCTTTTGAAATTAATTACTGGCATTAATACATTTCACAAAAGTTTTATCCAGGTACATAAATGAAGATGTCAAACTGATGATAATATCTCATCTAAGTTAAGTACAACCACTAGACTGTATCTACGTAGGAAGATAGAGACTATACAAAAATGGAGATCTGATATTTTCCCTTTTTTTTTCATTTTCCATTTTTCAAAACATTCTATCACAGGGTTGCGAAACATGAGAAAATGTTCAGTCGATTGTGTAGCGAAAGAGAATTTGCAATAAATTGTAAATCTTCTGCCCCAAGAAAAGAAAATCCACTGGAAATTGTAAACAACACAACAGAATAGAATAATCATATAAAGAAAGGAATTTTTCTTGGGAGAACTATTGCTTCATCCAAAATTGAACCCTTCACATCTTCATTAGCTTCATCATGAGAAAAGCCATTTTGTTAGCTATCTTGCCTGTTGCTTTGGCAGCAAAAAGAGAACAAACAAGTTGTAACGAATCATGTACCAAAGTTTTACAAAAACAACAAGAGTCATGTCCATCTGGTTCAGATTCAAGTTGTCTCTGTGAATTATCTGATTCAGATTATTGGGAACCACTTACTGATTGTGATTGTATTAATCCAGATAAGAAATTATCTCTTAAAGAAATCAAGAGTCAAATCTGTGGTGCTCCGGAAGAACCACCATCAAGTGAAAAACAATCCACTAGTTCTTCCTCCAAATCTTCCAAATCATCCTCCTCCTCCTCTTCTTCTTCTTCCTCCACTTCCACTGAAGCTAGTTCATCTGATGATATTACTCCAATTACAGAATCCGCAGTTGCTGCTGCTGCTTTACAAGAGACGACCACTGAAATTGCTGCTCCTGTTGCTGAAACTACTACAGTTCCAGGAGAGGCTGTCACTGAAACAGTTGCTGGTCAAGTTGAAACTGCTACCGAAGTTGCTCCTGTTGAAGATGTTCCTGCTGAAGATGCCAACACTGATACTGTTGCCCCATCATTCACCGAACTCCAACCAGTTCCAGCCCAATCAGCCCCACCAGTAATCTTAGCTCAACCAGCTGCTGGAAATCAAACTGATTTGAGTCAAGTAACAGTTCAAGCCTTCGAAAATGGTGCTGCTGCTAGAGTTGGTATTGCTGCTGGTTCGTTATTTGCTTTAGCTTTGAATTTCCTTTAGGTGTATAAGTTTTGTTTAATAATTAGTAAGTAAAACTCAAAATAAGAAATAATATATGTATACCCCATCCTAAACAACAAGAAATATATTTAAATTGACTATATTTAGAAACACGTTCTCAGTTACACATCGATATATAATCAACATTTGCGCATAACCAGTCATTACATTGTAGATCGATGTTCAGCATTGACCGCCCTGAATATAATTTGCCCATATCTTAATACACACACAGCCACTGTGCCTATGTTAACCAGTATTGAAGAGAGGGATTGTATCCCTTGGTTGAAACAAAAATTAATGAAAGATTTGCTGCAAAACAAAACAAAAAAAAGAAACAAGGTTCAACAAATAGATTCTTGAGTTTCAAAAAAATATGTTAATAGCGAAAAGGTCGCAATTACTAATTGCCATCTCCAATAGTTGCAAGTCAATAAAGAGCTGGAAAAAAGTATATAAATAACCACCAATGATTCACCAAAAACCTGTTGAATAGTTTAAAATTTGTTCTGGTTCTTGCTAACTTACACAAAAATCTATTGAATATCCACCAAAAAAAAAAAATGAGAGTTGAAGTTTTATTAGCTATTTTGCCAGCAGTTTTAGCTGCTGAAACCGCTTCAAGTGATGCTGCTCAACCAAGTGAAAGTTGTAACCTGCACTGTAGTTTGGTTGTTGAAGCTCAAAGCAAGTTTTGTCCAAATGATACCACTGGTTCTTGTCTTTGTTCCTTGTCAGTTGATGATTTTTGGAAACACTATGCTGAATGTAATTGCACCAACCCTGAAGGTTTAGAAGCTGAAGCTGCTAAAAGCAAAGAATGTGCCACTGTTCAAGCTGGATCACAAGCTGAAGCTGCTGCTACCAGTGCACCTGAAGCTAGTTCTGAAGCTGCTGCTCCTGTTGCTATAGAAAGTGTTGCTACTGATGCTGCTAGTGAAGTTGCTGCTGAAGCATCAAGTGCCCAAGCTGAAGGTGTTGCATCTTCTGTTGCTGCCACTGTTCCATCTGAAGCTGTTGCTGAAGCTGCTGCTAGTTCTCCAGCTGGTGAAGGCGAATGTAATATGCATTGTAAAGAAGTTGATGCTATTGAAAAGCAAATGTGTGCTGATGGTGATCTCATCTGTCTTTGTCAATTGTCCACTGAACAATACTGGGAACATGTTCACGATTGTAACTGTATCAATGACAAAAACTTGTCCATTGAAGAAATCAAAGCTCAAGTCTGTAACTCTACTGATGCTACCGATGCTACTGATGCTGCTGCTGCTGCTTCTTCTTCTTCTTCTCCAGCTGCTGATGAAGGTACTCCAGCTGTTGCCGGTGGTGATATCCCTACTTTAGCTACAATTCCAGAAGATTCTTCTTATGGAGGAGATTCAAACAGTACAGGATTTGTTCCACAAGTCGCCCTTCAAAATGAAAACCTGGGTTCTAAAAACGCCATCCTTTCCATTGGTGCTGTTGCTGTTATCATGGCAAACTTTTTATAGATTAATTGAGTATTACAGTGTAGTATAAATACTACCAACAAAAAAGGAAAAAAAAAGTTCCCAAACAATAGAAACAATAAATACATCTCCATTATGACAGATACTATATTAATCTGATTGGCTATTCATAAATGGGTATGGACCACGATCGTACCGATTTAATTTATATTTATATTTCGGTTTGGAATGTTGTGAACTACAAAAAGAAAAAGAGGAATTTAAATAGACGTAGACGTATATGTGTGCCCTAAAATTAATTTCTCAGGTCGCGACTTTTCTTTTTCTCTCGCTAGCCATTGTTATGAGAAACTAAGTAGAATAATGTGAAAATTAAACTCGTGGTTGTGAACCAATGAAATCAAGGACCGCCTCACAAACGCAGGTATTGCCATTATTGGGAACAGGTTCTCTTCTCTCCAATAATAAATGCCAGCTACCTTTAATTTTAGTTTCATTCTCTTTTCTTTTCTTTTTTTTTTTTGACTGATTTGCTGAGTCTACAAGTCAACCAATTTCATTTGTAAGGGGTAATCATGAAGAGCAAGACAAGTTTTTGATGTCTTTTCCTGTCATTGTGTATTCATTATTTTTTATTGGTAAGTTTCGTGAAAGTATATTCCTCGAGTCGAGTTTCCTGTCTTATTCAGAAATCTAACTGAATACCGTCAAGACGCATACGATCTAGCAGTAACAGTAATTAGTTTGTAGAATACTTTTTTTTTTAAAAAAACCACAAAACGTATGAGACACGAGCAAATCAACATTAATTTAACTAAAATAACCCTTGGTGATTGTGGTAGTAGTAGTCAATCATAGTTTCATATACGAGAAGAGGGAAAGGTACGCTAACAACCAAAAAAGAAAAGAAAAAGAAAATTTTTGGGTATGAACTAAAATTTGAACAAAGTAACCCCCGGGTTTGCAATTCTTTCTTGAATTATTCTATACAATTAGATGATATTCTCAATTGATTTATCATTTATTGGACAAACAACATGATAACGGTCACTGAATTTACACACACCAAGAGGTACAGTATCGTCACGGCTGAAGAGATAGACCATTAGAACTGTCACGATACTGGTTATTTTTTTGAATTTTGGGGTTTTGCGCGTGTCACGAGGCAGAAGGAAAATCAAAATGGTACAAAATTGACTTCGCAGCAACGAAACAAACAAAGCAAAAATGGAAATTGGAAAATGTTCCAGATCTCCTTATTATTTTTTTTTGCAAAGTTTCCATGTTTCCGTTTTAGAACATCTCCAACACCACGATTTTCACAATAGAACCTGAAATTCGTTGCTTATTGAACTTGTTCTTGTTTTCTTTTTTTTAAATTCGTTCTTGCATTCATCTGAAATTTTAGAATTAGACGCAACTGGCCGTGTATTTTACTAGTCTCACACGAAAATGTTCTGAAATTTGAGTGATCTTGAATCCTAAACAAGAAAGTAACACACGTTGTACCGCCATTATTTTGTTAAATTTATTCTAATTATTGCTGTGGAGACTAATAGAGAGTGACAGAATAATTGTCGGTATGTAATTATCCCTGAAATCATATAAATACATGTCAATAACCCGAGGATTGGAAATTCTTCTTGAAGGTGTGTTGTGTTTTCGTTTTATTTTCGTTTTCGATTACTATAATAATTTATTAATAATTAAGAGAAAAATAAAATGAGAAGAACTCCATTATTCTTTGCCCTTTTGCAAATTGCTCTTGCTGCTAAAAGAGCTGATGACAATTGTAACGAACACTGTAACAATGCTTTACAAAAACAAAATGAATGTGGTGGTTCTGGTGAAGCTGGTACTCAATCTCAAACTTTGCAATGTTTGTGTAATGATGAAAATTACTGGTCTGAATTAGCCCAATGTAACTGTTCCAATTATGATTCAAGTATCAGTGCTCAAGATCTTAGAAGCTACTACTGTGGTATTGGTGGTATCAGTGGAAATTCAGGAAACTCAGGTTCTTCTTCTTCCTCTGGTTCTGGTTCTGGTTCTGGAAGTGGTACTACCACTCAATCTGGTGATAACTCTTCTAATACTTCTAGTGGCAATTCTAACAACAATAACTCGGATGATTCTAACAATGACTCCAATGATGACTCTAACACCACTAACGGTAACTCCAACGGTGATTCCAACACCACTGCAGGTGACTCCAACGGTGATTCCAACACCACTGCAGGTGACTCAAATGATGATTCTAACTCCACTAAAGGTGGATCTAACAATGATTCAAACACTACCAAAGGAGACTCCAATGATGATTCTAAAACTACCAACGGTGATTCTGGTTCTAAAACAACTAATGGTTCAGATTCTAACAACACCGACGATTCAGATTCTAACAACCCCGATGGTTCTGATAACACTGATGTTTCAAATACTTCTGATACCGATTCTGGTTCCAACACTGCTGGTGCTGTAGCTGGAGGTGCTGCTGTTGCAGGAGGTGCCGCCGCCGCTGCTGCTGCTAATGGTGGTTCTAATTCTGGTTCTGGAAGTGATGCTGCTACCGGGTCTGCTACTGCTACTGCTGATGGCTCAGAATCTGGATCTGGTTCCAATGCTTCTGCCACTGACAGTGATGATGACAATGAATCTGGTACTGCTGGATCTGGATCTGGTTCCGGTGCTAGTAAAACTGGAGACGACGACTCCACTGAAACTGATGATTCTGATGAAACAGGTACTGATGATGCTGATGCTTCTAAGACCGGTGATGATGAAGACTCCACTGCAACTGATGATGCTGATTCAACAGAGACCGGAGATGAAGATTCAACAGAGACTGGAGACGATGAAGATTCTACAGAAACCGGTGATGATGATGCCACTGAAACTGGCGATGATGATGCTACCGAGACTGGTGATGATGCTACTGAAACTGGCGATGATGATGCTACCGAGACTGGAGATGAAGATTCTACAGAAACCGGTGATGATGAAGATTCCACCGAAACTGGAGATGATGCTGATGCTACTGAAACTGGTTCAGGTTCAGGCTCTGGCTCCAATACTAGATCAGGTTCAGGTTCAGGTTCTAGTTCAGGTTCTGCCACTAGATCTGGATCCGGTTCTGGTTCTGGTTCTTCTACTAAATCCGGATCTGGCTCTGGTTCTAATTCTTCTGAAACTGGTTCCGGATCTGGTTCAGGTTCTGGATCCGGTTCCAGTTCTTCTGAATCTGGTTCAGGTTCTGGTAATGGTGGCTCTGGTTCTACCACTACTGCTGATGCTGGTGCCGCTGCTCCTGCTTTAGCTTTTGGTTCTTTGATTGCTTTAGCTTTGAACTTGTTGTAATACTTTCATTTGCTATCTATATGATTAATAATTTTATTTTCTTTTTCTTCGTTTCTTATGTTTAGTTTTATTAGTTTATTTTGTTCTAAAAATATTTTCGTTCTATAGTTTTGTTTCTAATTTCTTATCAAAGTACAATGTTTTTGATTAAATATGTATGTAATTACAAACATTACATGTTTGCAACAGCGGTGATAGTCCGATTTCTCTACAATTATAATAATTAACAAAATTGACCCTTTTTTTTTGTATTTTGGTGACAATGAAAATTACACAACTATTTAACAAATAAAAATAAAAATAAAAATGAAAATGAAAAAGAAGAAGGAAAAGGAAATGTAATAAATTAAATTATAATTTCAAAAGGATTGACTATTATTCTTTTAGACAGCCAATGGGAAAGAACCGGCCCATTGAGAAATTTCGTTTCTAACTTCCAGGAGTTTTTCAGAACCGTTGGCAATAGCACTCTTGAAATCTTTCAATTTGTTAGCATCTTTTGGCAAAGAAGCTTGGATTTCCTTGGCGTAGTTGACGGCAAAGTCAATGTATCCAACAATCTTCTTGAAATCTTCTTCACCCAAACCTCTAGTGGTCATGGCTGGAGCACCAATTCTAACACCACCTGGGACCAAAGCAGACTTGTCCCCTGGGATAGAGTTCTTGTTCAAAGCAATGTTGATGTTTTCACAAACAGTTTCAACTCTAGCACCATCGATTTGTTTGTCTTTCAATGAAACCAAAACCATATGAGAGTCAGTACCATCAGAAACCAATTTGTAACCTTTGTTTTTGAATTCGGTTTCCAAAGCCTTGGCGTTCTTCAAAACTTGTTGTTGGTATTCTTTGAATTCTGGAGTGTTGGCTTGTTTCAAAGCAGTGGCCAAAGCAGAAATGGTGTGGTTGTGTGGACCACCTTGGTGACCTGGGAAAACAGAGAAGTTGATTGGGTTTTCCAAATCGTACATGATTTCTTGACCAGTCTTTGGGTTAACAGATCTGACACCTCTTCTGAAGAAGATCATAGCACCTCTTGGACCTCTCAAAGATTTGTGGGTAGTGGTGGTGACAATGTCAGCATATTCAAATGGAGATGGAATAACACCAGCGGCAATCAAACCAGAAATATGAGCCATATCAACAACAAGGTAAGCACCAACTTTGTCGGCAATTTCTCTCATTCTTTTGTAGTCAATCAATCTACAGTAAGCAGAAGTACCAGCAACCAAAACCTTTGGTCTGAACAAAACAGCGGTTTTTTCCAACATATCGTAGTCAATCAAACCAGTTTCCAAGTCAACTCTGTATGGCATAGTTTCGAAATAGGTAGAAACAGCAGAAATTTTTCTGGAATCAGTTTGGTAACCGTGAGACAAGTGACCACCATGTGGCAAGTCCAAACCCATCAATCTTTCATGTGGTTTCATAATGGCTTGGTAAACTTGCAAGTTAGCTGGAGAACCACTCAAAGTTTGGACATTGACACCCCACTTATCTGGAGTCAAACCAAAAGCTTTCAAAGCTCTTTCTTGACACAAGATTTCCATTCTGTCAATGTGTTCGTTACCACCGTAGTATCTAGCACCTGGGTAACCTTCGGAATATTTGTTACACATTGGAGTTCCCAAAGCATCAAAAACAGCAGTGGTGGTGAAATTTTCAGAAGCAATCAAAACAATGGAGTGTTTTTGTCTTTCAATTTCATCCTTGATGATTTGGTCAACTTCTGGATCGGTATCTTTCAAGTGACCTTCAGTCAATTGTCTGTGGGATTCAGATAAAGCGTAGTGGGACATAACGTTCTAACAAATATAAAAGGGGGGGGGTTGGGAGTAGATTATTGTTTGATGAAACAAGAATTGATGTAACAAGAAAAAAGAAAAAGGAGAATTAAAAAAAAAAAGGATAAGAAGAATCGTTGAACTTTTTATAGTTCCTTTTTTGTTTGAGGAGAAATTATGAAGTGATGAGAAAATTTCAATGCATCTCATTATAACAATAAGAAACGTGAGTACCGAAGTCAAAAATCTACGATAGTTATAGTGCGTGTAATTAACGATGAACAAAAAAAAAAAAAAAAAAAAATCAACCAATTGTTTGCTCCCCGCGAATAGCTGTCACGGACTGTTATCAACACGTGACATGTCGCACATGGAAGGCAAATCAGAGTCAAATTCAAAGTTAGCAGGTCCGAATAACCACTGAAGTATCTAAACCTTAACAAGATCTGAAGCTATCGGAGTCAGAAACAAGCGACTAATCACATGGAAGGAAAGTAATCCAGCAGAACTTTACTGTATCATTCTGTATCTTTTCCACTTTATTAAGATCTATTGTTTTCCCGATCACGCGAGCACAATTGCGTCCCTAAAAAACTTATGCAATTGAATGGATTCTACAATGAACACATTATCACTGTAATGTTAAATACGTATATAATTAATAATAATAATAATAATTTAATCAAAAAACTAAATCAAAAACAAAAACAAAAAAAAGTATTTACTATTGAAAGAGGAATAATAATGATAATTAAAGAAGATAAAATAGGCAAATGAAAAAAAAAAAAATCTGCCAAAAAGAAGAAAAAAAAAAGATGTTTTCACCATACACGACTTACTCGTATAAAGCAACGAGCCAAACAATAACTCCGACACTATGAGTTAAACATCATTGCTTTTCATTCTTAATTTTCGTTTTGTCTTTTTTTTTTTTTGAATTTTACTTTATTTCCCTTCCTGATTTATGAGTCTCTTGTTTCTTTAGTTTATGGTTAGTCATTTTCCTAGGTATTAAAAGTTTTTATTTTGCTTTTCGTATTTTTCTTTCATCCAAGCATCAACACTAATATAAAGTAACTCTTAATCTATGGGAAATTGCCAACTTTGGAACCACCACACAGAGACAACTGATCCCATTCACAATAAATAAATTCAAATTGTAGCTTGAATAATGTGTACTGATTAAAAACAATCCAATTGGTACTAACATCAAGAATTTCTTCGACGGAGTATATTGATCTCCATTATCAATTTGTTCCCACATAGTTAAATTATCGTATGCACCACTATTAAACTCAAACGGAGTACCTTTAACTTGATGGAACATGATGTAAGATCCAATATTATAAGTTAAATTAGTCAATGTCCATCTCCAGTCGTTGTTCAAAATACCAATAAAATTAAAAACCATTTTAAGTAACATGATAATAACCACATGGATCACCCATGCACCCTTTTGATGGACCCAATTTGCGTTGACATTGGGGTTTAAAGCTTGATCAATCTTGGTATCTAATGTATCTGGTTCTAAATGTTGAATCAAAGAAGAAGATCTTCTTTGTCTAGTTAAAGCATGGGCAGGTTGATGATGAGAAGGTGTTGGTGTCAATACATTCGCACTGCTACTGTTGCTTCTATTACGAGAAGGTGAACCCGTGGAGCTGTTTATGCTGCTTCCTCTTCTGTGATGACTATTGCCATTGATGGTATAATGTTGTAGTTCAGGTGAGGGAGGGGTTGAGTTTTTTGGAGAAACGGTGTTACTAGCCGGGGTAACTGTAATATTTGTAGACAAATTGGCAGTGTTTGGAGATAATTCAGACATTTGGTATTAATAATAAACGATTTTTGGGTAGATCACTAATTGGATGGTAGTAGGTTTTCTGACTGAACAATAGATAAATAATAATAAAAAAAATGGATATGTCTATATGATAATAATAATAACAATAATAATATAAATGTGGAAGTACTTGTGATACTAGACACTCAATAAACTTGTAAGATAGGTGATTCTCTTAAAGCAAATAAAAGGAAAAGAATATGAACAGTAAAAATTTTATTCAAATGAATTAATGAATGAAGAGAAAGAGAAGTGAGGAATAAAAAGTAAAAAAAAGTGTGAGCAAGAAAGAAAACAAACAAAAACTTTCAAGGGCGAAATTGAGAGAGTCAGACGGACGGAGAAAAAACAACAACAACACACTGGCACACTCACACACTCACACTCACACACTGGCACACTCACACACTGGCACACTCACACACAATTACACGGAAAACAAACAATCAAAATTTCTTGCCACTCGTACACTTCCCCCACCCAAATATAAACTTTCTTAACAGATTAGATAGGCAATTGATTAACATTCTCCCCGATATATAACTGAATGTTGATTCACACTGTGTATATCACATTCTCTATTAGAAGTTACTGTATTTGCAACGTATATACAATGACTCGAAAATTAATACCTTACTCTTGTCAGTTTTCGGAAGAAATTGTTTTACTTTTGTGTTTTAACTATTATCCATCGTATAAACACCACTACAAAAAGATAAAAATATCCCCATCAAGCATCATCTTCTAACGGTACATAGATACCACAGGACTGCCAACCACCAGCAGCAATTGATACCCATTTACCTTTGATCGGTGGTTTTGTCAATTTAAGTGGTCGTAACACAATCAAATCAGTACGTTCAAACTTGATGTCGTCTGGATGTTCATCACGTACCGTCAATTTATAACCTAACCCAAAACATCCACAGCCTCTAGGTTCTAATCCCCAAGATAAAAGTGACCCATCAGCAGTGAGTGCCAAATAATGATAATCACCAATCTCAATGGTTTTGATGTTTTGTCCTTGTAATTCAGGCATGATTATCGGATGTGCACCTTCTTCATTCCCATCCTCAGGATACAAGGAATGTTTCAAATTTCCAAGTAATACTTGATCATGGTTGGTGAACACGACAAAATTGTTAAAACATCCTTTAACTTTGGTGAATTTGACAACGACATCTTGTTCTGCCCTCCAGTTGTTGAAATTGTCCATTGAGCTGATTCTTTGTCGCAATTCATCAGGTTCAATAGGTGTATCCCTGGTGGCAAAATCATGAGCATTGAATCTAATCTGATATAATTTCTCGTCAGACTTTCTGATAAACATAACATAATCTGATCCTGCAGAAAAATCAGCTATATCCCCTTTGCTGAAAGGAACAATGAAATATTTGGCTTCTGAGCGGAAATCCTTGGCTTGAAATTGTTCTCTTGTGATACCAACTCTAGTATACCACACAACCAACCCGACTCCTTCAATCAATGCAGTAGACAAGTTCCAACCAGCAACAATCTTAATCACTGGGGCTTCGGGTGGTATCCCTGGAAAATCAAGCAATATACCAACATTCGAGCGAGTTCCAGCATCCCAAGTGTAAATATGGTTATTGTTATCTAATGCAATAATATGCTCTCTTCCAGCACTTATGGATAAAATTATTGAATCCAGTGGTTCATTTTCTAATGGAGGCAAGAATAATCGAGAAATCATGGCGGTTTCCTTGATTTTGGAAGGACGATGTGACATGGGGTTGTTGCTCTCTTCTGTCTGAGTCACTGGTTCAATTCTACGTCTTGCCTGTGGGATTTCAGTGCTAGTAGGTGCTGCTGGTGGGGTAGTTATAGCTGGAACAGCAGCAATACCATTCTCTTGTTCATTATCATTATCATCGTCATCATCATCTTCGTATCTACCAGCCATTAATGGAATCGGCAATACTCCAGTTCTGAGATTTCTTCTAGATCCAACTGTCTGATTGGTATTGCGTTCCATGGTATAAAGTGCCATTGTACCAGGGTTTGGTCTAAAATCTTTTGTTGTAATGGGACCCGGGGTTGCTACTCCTTGACTTTTTTTCCAATCCAATCCAGTGAACCATAATTCGCCTTCATTGGTTAATACAAAAAATGAAAACCCACCAGCAGCAATATCCACTATAATGTGATCATTGAAAGACGAAACATTAGTCGGATAATGAACTGTCCATCCAAAGGTGTTTGACTTATTCTCCCTAGGAACTTCTGTTGATTTGTGTCCTAATCGACCATTATCTGGAGCACCCCAAGTGTAAAATTTTTGATCTCGATTACAACGTAAATAAAATAATTGTTTCCAATTGAGTTTCTCCTGGAGTGTTAATGTGTAATTGTTTTCATTATTGGTGAATTTCTTGTTGTACAAAATTTGAAAAATAATGGACGAGTTCAGGAATATATCATACAATGATTTTGAAAGACTAAAAAATTTGAAAATATCCTCTGGTGATAAATAAGTGGAGATATGATTTACTAAAATATCATGGCCCAAATCAAGTACTGACACATTCATTATATATGTCAAGTTGTGGTTAAACCAATTCAATAGTAAAAGAAGAAGGAAAAAAAAAATAAAATGATCAAAGGATTTGATAATCGGTGTTATCTCCCGCGTTGGTAAATGATAACTGACCTAATAATCTTTTTTTGTCTCCCCTTTGCCACTGATTTTCCCCTGATTTATATTGCCTTGCGCTCGTGGTGTATTATTATTTTTTTTTCGTTCCGTTGGCACTCATTTGTTGGTCGACGTCGTCATGTAAGTTGCACCCTCAATTTTGATGTGAAACAACAGTGTTGAAACATCCACAAACTACCTCTCGTGAATCATACTAAATGTAGTGTTGTCGAGCAAATTCTCGTCACTGGGAAAAAAAAAACTAGAATCGATTAATCGAGAGTGTATTGCATCATTGATTCAATGTATGCATAGAGTGTTCCAATACAGGGTTGATATTATCGGTATAGTGGTTGCGAACTGAAAAAGCCCATTAAGCGATGATCCAAAGTGGATGGAAGTTTCTTAGCAAGAGCCAAGTATAATTGAGAAATATAATTTGAAACAGCATTGCCAAGATCATAATGACAAGCGGTAGGTTCATAGTACTTTCCCAATTTCATTGGCATAAGAGTATTGGTGCCAGCTGTGATGCTTGGCTGAGGAACAACCATAGAATTTGAAGGGATCTTCTAGGTCTACCTCTGTTTATTCAGAACTATGATTTTCATCCTTTTGGTTTACTTCCCCATTATAACCAACCTAGTGCTTCCCGATCAGTGATTTAATAAAGTATATACAGTTTCAATTCTCATACAAAATGTTATCAGTCTTATACCTAATCGCTTGCTATTCCTTGCAGCTTGCAATCCCGTGTATTAATCTAGGAGTAATGGTTGCAAAAAAATAATACTGTAATTATTGTATTTAACAATTCGTGGAACAAAAAAAAAATAGAAATGCGAACAAGATTGTGTACTAATATATCGTCGAATATTTCATGTTCTTATGAGTCTACACAAATTTAAGTAACCAATGAAAATGTAATTACCTCCCCATGTGTCAATAATTATAATCCAGATGATATTTCTATTTTTTTTTTTTTGCTTTCAAATATCTAATATTAATCGCTTACTAACTCCATTTTCTGTATGTGTATTTATTCACCCCACCATTTTTCTCCCCCGCCTTAGGCACGATCTAAAAAACTTTAGTAGCCCTTAAAAAATAGTAACATAACGTCAAGTAATAATAATAAAAAAAATAGATTTTACCGGTTTATGAGGTACAAAAATTCAAAGACAGTAATAAAATGTGGACATGGCGTATGATAAAAGGGATACAGAAACGATTCGGTGATACGGATGTGTGGATACCTAGTGTTCCCGGGTATTAATAATTCCATCTTTGGGAAAGATTGTATATGTGAAAACAAAACTAAACAAAGAGATAATCAAAAATTGGTACTACCCCGGTTATTCTTAAAAAGGGGGATGAAAAGAAACAACAACAAAAAAAAAGAAAAATCAGGTGGTTATGTGATTGTATTTCAATAATGGAAATTAATCCTCCGATTGGTTCAGTTTGAATATGTTTTCCCCACGAATGACTATTGTTTAAAACTAGAGTCGTATTTATTGTTATATTCCAGCCAAATATCGAGCAATTACTGATCTGCAAGATCAAGAATGAAGATGTGACATTGTTGAAGCAACACAGAAACCGAATTGACAGTGATTTAAAGGACTTAGTTTAGTACAACAGTATTTATTTTTAGTAAAATGCTTTCAATACCCGAATCTTGTTATATCCCATGTAATTTTTGTTATTTCCCAGTATACGTTGGATATCCATTCCCCACTCTCTGAAACAAATTTTATTATAAATGGTTGTTGTCCAAGCCAATTCCACTGGCTCGAAAATCTTATATTTGTTCTCTATGTTGTTTCTTTTTCGTGTCAAGACCAAAAGTTGCAAAATTTACACAGCGGAATTAATTCTCATCCCTTGTTCTTCATAATAATCATATTGTAGTTATACTCAATGGTAAGAAAATTAAAAATAAAATAACTTCCTACGGGGGGGGATAGCAAATCAAGAGCAGAATTTCACCACTCAATTTCTTCCCCACATATTTTCATTGATCAATTTTACAAGGCCCTTTTTGAATAAAGAGATAAGGTTTATTTGAACCGAAAATGGTTGTGTAACACTTGTATACATGCAAACTCCCAATAAAATCAATTCAATTCAGTGTTCTTTTTTCATTTATCATTTTCCACCAACTCACTACACTATCATCCCCCACTTTACATTTTTAAGTTTTAACACATTTTAGTCGAACCAGAATGCAATGTCAACTGTAACATAACGGTGTGTTTTGTGAACATTACCGTTTCTTTTTATTTATTCTCTGAACTTCCTTCTTTCCTGCCTTCTGAATTCCGTTATTATATATGCATAGTGATGTCAAATATAAAACTCTTGAGTAATCAAACTTAAAAACAATTGTAGTTGTGTCACAAAACTGGATTATTATTTTTACACTTTGGATTACCGGAGAAATATGATTGGTCGGAAAAAATTATATTTTTTCTTACAATTTTCTCCGTGCATAAGTTCCGAGGGAAATTTAATTTTGGAAATTTCTTCTTCTTATGATCAAGCCAATCTTTAAATAGATATCATCTATTATACATCAACTTAATAAAGATAACTAAACAGTATCTAACTAAGAGGAATCATCCTCAAATGTAGGTAGCAAAAAAATCAAGAGAAAACCCACACGGTTCCGAGTTTCATTAAATAAAAATCAAGGTTTAGACCTTTAATCAAGCAAACAAAAACCAAAACTGAAAATAAAATGTGAAATTATCCTGTAGTATCTAAAAATCAATGATGAAACAAAGAAAATACCCGAGGAATAAATAAAAGCACAATGTTTAGTAAAATTGTTTCCTTGCTATTTTATAATAAGCCCATCTCCCATAATGACACACACACACACAAACTTTGAGCAATGACAATGACAAAATATTGCTTGCTGTAATAGGTTAGTAACTCATGCAGGCAATAGTCTCTGTCTTTTATATTTCATGATATCATCTACACGACATCACAAAGTTGCTTAGCTTTGTTAAGTTGCTTTTTATCTTTAGGGCTTTTTCTTTTCATGCAAACTTTTTCTTAGTGAATGGTGGGGAAGGGGAAAATTGAAAAATAAATGCTTTGATACCAAGGCCATGGATAAATAAATCCACATTTTTATTTCTTTTGGTGGGGCATGTATCTGTTTTGAATCGAAATTATCTCAAGCTTTCATAAGGTGAATATCTACATATGTCTAGTGTACCCCTCGTTCAAATAAAATGACAGGTTGAATTCTAGAATTGCATATTGTGATGAGTAATAAGAATAAGCTCTATGAATAATGATTTACAAAATTAGTTATTTAAAAAAAATAATTAACTAAAAAAAAAAAACAAAAAAAAACAATCGTCATTTCATACACTTAGTGTTAAATTGTTTTTGCCTTTTTCATAAACTGTTTGTGCAGTGGGTTAAGGTTTGTAGACTTCCGATTTTTTTTTTCTTTTGACAAAGTCTTTGCTTTTGTGTTATATTTAAATTTTCCGGCAGGGAAAATAACTAAGGGAGTGATAAGTCCCATACGTTTTTTTTTTTGATTTCATAAAAAACCACTTAAATTCAATGTGTTTAGATTGATGGGAAGCAACACCTTTCCAAGTTTATCAAATGATCAAATTATGGCTGAAAGGAAGTTTGCAAATTTTCAAACATGCAATGTATAAACCATGAGTCACTTAATCCATGCCTTACATATTGGAAAATTGAAGGCTGACTTCGAGACGGTACGGCGAGAGATGGAACCAACACAAAACTGATCGACGTCATAATACAGGTTCTTAGATGAGTGGGTGTATTTTAATGCATTACTGTAAATATAGATTCCCTAATAATAAAATCAAAAACTTTCGTTATTGTGTTAATTTTACTTTCTAATCTCCTCCACGCTGTATAACAGACTATGCATTGCAAAAACTAATACATGCATGAAAAACCTTGTTTTGTTTTTTTTTTTTTTTTTTTTTTTTTTGGTTCAACTTGTGGTAGCTGTATTGTATAGTAAGAAAAAGTTTTTACAAACCTCTTCTTCCCCCAGATTGATGAACTATAAATATAGAGTGGATTCCACCATGATTCAAAATGATTTGTATTGTATTGTTTCATTTTCATTATCCTATAGCATTTTAAGATCTTCTTAATCTACATCCATATACATGGAATAACTATTCATTAATTTTTCAAATTTTATTTTTTTAGAGTTTTAGAAGATTTACTACTGCTACTACTACAACTACAACAACTATCATTATTATTTAAATATTCAATAAATCATGGATTTTTTGAAAGCTAGAACTAGAACAGCTGGTCTCAGAGGTAGACCATTACGACTTGCCATTACTGCTACTGCAGTTACTGGTTTTTCCCTTTTCGGTTATGATCAAGGTCTTATGTCTGGTCTTATATCCGGTGAACAATTCAACTGGGAATTCCCTGCTACTAAAGATGATGCAACTATTCAAGGTGCTGTTACTGCATGTTATGAATTGGGTTGTTTCTTTGGTGCTATTTTTGCTTTAATTAGAGGTGAAAAAATTGGTAGAAGACCTTTAATTATCGTTGGTTCATTTATTATTATCATTGGTACTGTTATTTCCTGTACTGCTTTTAGACCACATTGGCCATTAGGACAATTTGTTGTTGGTAGAGTTATCACGGGTATTGGTAATGGTATGAATACTGCTACTATTCCAGTCTGGCAATCTGAAATGTCTAAAGCTGAAAACAGAGGTAAATTGGTTAATATGGAAGGTGCTGTTGTTGCCATTGGTACTTTGGTTGCTTATTGGTTAGATTTCGGTTTATCTTATGTTAACACTTCTGTTCAATGGAGATTCCCAGTTGCTTTCCAAATCTTTTTTGCTCTCTGGGTCTTGTTTGGTATCCTTCAATTGCCAGAATCCCCACGTTGGTTGATTGCTCAAGGTAGAAAACCAGAAGCTTATGAAGTTCTTTCTGCTTTACATGACACTACTCCAGATGATGATGCTCTTGTTGCTGAAGTCACTGTTATCGTTGATGCTGTTTCTAGAACTGGTGGCGGTAAGAATAGTTTCAGAGACTTGTGGTCTGGTGGTAAGACTGCTCACTTCCAAAGAATGATTATTGGTTCTTCTACTCAATTTTTCCAACAATTGACTGGTTGTAACGCTGCCATTTACTACTCCACTTTGTTGTTCTACCAAACCGTTTTCGATTACTCCCAATATAGATTGTCTTTGATCTTGGGTGGTGTTTTCGCTACCATTTATGCTTTATCCACCATTCCATCTTTCTTCCTTATTGATACTTTGGGTAGAAGAAAATTGTTCCTCATTGGTGCTGTTGGTCAAGGTGTTTCTTTCCTTATCTCATTTGCTTGTTTAGTTCACCCAACTAAACAAAATGCTAAAGGTGCTGCTGTTGGTATTTACTTGTTTATTGTTTTCTTTGCTTTTACTATCTTGCCATTGCCATGGATCTACCCACCAGAAATTAATCCATTAAGAACTAGAACTGCTGCTTCTGCCGTTTCTACTTGTACCAATTGGTTGACTAATTTTGCCGTTGTTATGTTTACTCCTCCATTCATTGCTGCCAGTGGTTGGGGTTGTTACTTGTTCTTTGCTTGTATGAACTTTTTGTTTGTCCCAGTTATCTTTTTCTTCTACCCAGAAACTGCTGGTAGATCCTTGGAAGAAATTGATATTATTTTCGCCAAAGCTTATGTTGAAAAGAGACAACCATGGAGAGTTGCTGCTACCATGCCTAAATTATCCTTACAAGATGTTGAAGACGAAGCTAAGAACTTGGGTCTTTACGATGATGATTTCGAGAAAGATAACTTTGAAACTAAAGAAGATATCTCTGATGGTTCAAATGATGGTTCCAATGGGGTTTTTGAAAAACCAGAACAAGTTTAGAATAATCGTTTAATGTTATTTATTATAATTTAGAGTTTTCTTTTTGTTTTTATTTTAATATACCTAAATAATTGATTTTTAATTTTTAATGATATTCTTTTTAATGCAATATACACCATAGTTCTTTTTTTAGGTCTTGATAATTGTGTGCCTGTCCGCGATTTATAGCTTTTCTTTTTTTTGTGCACGCACGGTATATTACCTTATTTGGTGAAAATTTCCGCAACTCATCTATTCAAGCGATGAGCTTGAACAATAACTTGCTTATTAATTGCGATTTCCAAAGCAACGATAATGGAATGCACACACACACACACACACACATCTTGACTCACCAAACTAAAGAAGAAGTTATGTTTATTCAAGAGGATTAACTTGCCTTTATTGGATTAAGTATCCTGAAGTATACTTACACACAAAAGAAAACTAGTCACGTGCGATTTTGCAATAGTTTTTTGTCTACAGAATCGCGGGGTTTAATGATACAGCAACCCCGATGTTCTTAGTAATCAAGAAACCTTAACTTCGCAACACACCGAATTAAATATTTTTTTTTTTTAACATCCTCTTCTTGGTATCGTACGCGCGGATTGGTACGAACTTCCCGACCCTACGGCATCAAACCCAACGGCTCCCGAATGAGCAAAGACAAAAGACAAAAAAATCAGAGAAAATCGCAAAAAAATTCAAATAGGGAAAACTATGGCTCAAATTCATATATTTCTTTCTTTCTTTTCCACAAAATAGATAGGAATTACAAGAGTCATTCTAATTTATTTTATTTATTTGCTATCAGTAGTCTGTTAATTTTTGTCATTATTATATAAATAGTCAGACAGTAGCATAATGACAGAACAACTACCTTCATCATCTACTGCTACTACTACTACTACTAATACTGGAGATATGGAAATCCCACAAATACAAAATGATACTTCATATTTGGATAAAGTTTCAATACAACAAGTCACATTAAGATCAACAGTAGTAGGGCTAATAATAGGTTCGATAATATGTATAACAAACTTTCAATTTGGATTTCAAAGTGGTTGGGTTTCAATGATGTCATTACCAGCAGCATTACTAGCGTTTGCTATATTTAAAGTATTACCAATAGGTATATCGAAAAATTTCACTGATGTGGAGAATGTATTTGTTCAAAGCATAGCTGTTGCTGTCGGTACAGGACCATTATGTTATGGATTAGTAGGAATAATCCCAGCAATGGAGAAATTTATGACTGCTGAAGAAAGTGGTATTGGTAGTGAATTGAAACTAAGTCTAAGTCAGTTGATGATTTGGTCACTTGGACTCGGATTATTTGGTGTGTTTTTTGCCATTCCATTGAGAGAACAAGTCATTGTTAAAGAGAAATTGCCATTTCCATCCGGTAGTGCTACTGCTACATTAATATCTGTGCTACACGGCAGTCAGATATATCATGATAAAGAAGATCATGTTGAAAAGATTCACGAAGATCAAGAAAGACAGTCACCTAATGAATCGATGGTTCAAGATACAGGAGATGATATCTTGACCCAGCAATCATCAAAATCACATTTACTAGAACCAAAGGACAACAATGATGATGAGGATGATGATAAAGAGGATTATAATTCTAATATTAGATCATTATCAATAACTTTCACAGTTTCTTCTGTTTACACAGTTGTGTCATATTTCTTGCCGATTCTTAAACAACTTCCAGTATTTGGCACATATCTTTCAAAAAACTACCTTTGGAACTTACAACCATCACCAGCATATGTGGGACAAGGGATAATTATGGGGTTGCCAACTGTGAGTTATATGCTTTTCGGAGCTATTTTAGGATGGGCCATTCTTGCACCACTTGCACAAAAAATGGAATGGGCACCAGGAAGAATAGATGACTGGATCCATGGTGGTCAAGGGTGGATATTATGGATCAGTTTGAGTGTAATGATTAGTGATTCATTGGTATCTTTTGTTGTGGTAAGTACAAAATCCATTTACAAAGTTATTAAGAACATGAGACAGAATAGATTATATGAGCAAACATTAGAGTTGCAACATCAAGAACAACAGCTGCACGCGTTGTTAAGAGGCGACTCTTCGTCAGTATCATCTAATGAGGACCAAACTAATAGTACCTACGATGGAGACAACTCAACGGTAAATACGATCCGAAAGAATAATGTGAAATATGTGGAAGAAGTTCCTAGTAAGCATTTAGTGTCTACAAGATCTACAATTATTGGTGTCGTTGTGTCATCATTAATTTGCATTGTTTCACTAAGAGTCGTTTTTGGCAAGATTGTTCCAATATATGCTGCAGTGTCAGCAATTATCTTAGCCATGTTTTTTTCCATATTGGGTGTTAGAGCTTTGGGAGAGACGGATTTGAATCCTGTTAGTGGTATTGGAAAATTATCACAATTGATATTTGCTTTGATTGTTCCTAAAGACCATCCTGCTAAAATATTGATAAATTTAGTTGCTGGTGGAGTTGCGGAAGCTGGAGCACAACAGGCAGGTGATTTAATGCAAGATTTGAAAACTGGTCATCTTGTTGGTGCTTCTCCTAAAGCACAATTCATTGCGCAGATATTGGGCACCTTATATTCTGTCGTTTTGAGTTCGGTTATGTATAAAGTTTACAATTCCGTTTACCAAATACCAAGTGACATGTTTCGAATCCCAACAGCTGTTATATGGATTGATTGTTCAAGATTAGTTACTGGTGCTGGATTACCTCCATATGTTAGAGAGTTTTCCATTGGTTTCGGGGTAGTATTTGGAATAATTTCTTTATTGAAGAATACAGTGTCACCACGCTCCCAATACTACAAATTTCTTGTTTATTTGCCAAGTGGAGTAGCTGTAGGGATTGGTATTTATAATACACCAAATTTCACGTTGGCAAGATTTATTGGAGGATTGATCAATTATAATTGGCATAATTTCAGTGATAGAGGTAAGATTGGTATGATTATTTTCAGTAGTGGATTGGTTTTAGGGGAAGGTTTATTCAGCGCATTTACTATGCTTTTGACAAGTCTAGGGGTTAAACATTGGTAAGGAAAATAAATAAACAAAGAAAATCATAAGCAATATACACTTAACTATTCATCGTATAATCGCTTTAAGTGTAAATCATTCAATGACCAGGTCTCGTTCTTCTTTTGGTTGCACAATAACTTTTTATTACTTGCAGTTGTTGTTCCTTGGATTGGCAACTGGGTTATCAATCAATATTATTTTTTTTGCTTCATGTATTCCAGGGTTCAAATTGCAACATTTGTACACGACCTGTAATTGAAAATAACAAAATCAGATGAAAATGTAAACAATTTTACACGACCTCTTGTTTTTAAAAAAAATTTCAGTTTGAGTTTTTTTTTTTTTTTATTCCCTTTTTGTTTTGCAACACGGTCTCTAGAGAATGTTGTTGTTGTTTTTTTTTGTTTGTGTCCTGTGATTGTGATTGTGATTCACATTCTATTCTTTACATGTTTGGAATGATTTATTATTATTAAGGATGTTTCTGATTTGACTTCTTTTATTTTAAGCCTGTAGGGAGTCAGACAGGAAGTAACGGGTGTGAATAAATCAAGGGATATAAATTTAATTAAAGAGAACATTTGCCTTGATTTGTTTTCTTTTTGTTTGTGTGTGCGCGTTAAAGTTGTGTTGTCATCGTTGTCGTCTAAAAAAAAAAATCAAAAATTATTCTTTTTGCACTCACTGCATTTGTGTCTATGTGCCGTACTTTGTATGGCAAATCATTATGCGCAGCTCAAAAAAGAAAAAAACAACAATTCTACACGTCCTTTTCTGTGTCTCCGCCCAAAAAAATACTTCATTCCCACTATGAATAGAATAATAATAACAACGTAGACAACGAGAACGTAAAAAAAAAAAATTCACACACACACATACTCACACTCACACGCTCATAATTTTTTGACAACCAATACTCTTTCCAACTCTCTCTTTTTTTTCTTTGATTTACAACACTTTTTCTTTTACTTTTACAACCAGCCCCTTACTTATTTTCATCATCCACTTACCACCGGCTGTTAGAAGAATTACTCCATCAGTACTAAAAACTGTTAAATATAACCAATCTTTATAGTAATAAGTATTAGGATATTTAACATCTACTTTTACCCTCCTCCTTCATCCCACATCCCACATCCCACACTTACCTTACCCTTGTTTTTGTCTGTTTAGTATAAAGATATTCTTGTTTTTTTTTGATTTTAGGAATTTTCTTTTACATTCACCAATTATATTTTTTTATAATAGCAAGGGACACATATTTATCTAGAAGATTATTTTATCGTTTTCTTTTTTTTTTTTATTGATATTCCGTTTCCATTTTTTTTTTTTTTGTTATTCCAAGGCATTTTGCTCTTTTTTTTTCTTGATTAGATAAAAGTTACACGTAACATGCCAGATACACCAGTTTCACCATCCAAGAACAACGTCAAGACAAGTTCTACTCCAGTAAGTTCTTCCACCAAAGTTATTGATTCGTTACACTCCAAAATAGACGAGCTAACTGACGAGTTGACAACTTTGAAACAGTCACACCAGGAATTAACTAAGAAACATTCAATTGTTGCCAAAAAGAATGATTCATTCGTAGATCAATTAGCTAATGCCAAACATGAAAATGACATGTTGTCTGCGTTATTAAAGAGAAAGGAACGTAGGATTTTGGATTTGGAAGATCAATATAATGATTTGAATAGTCAGATTGAAAATTTACTGCTTCTGAATAAGAATATGAAGATTAGGTGTGAAAACTTACAGAATAATTCCAATGCCAGTATTGCAGAATTTGAAAGATTGAAAATCAGTTATGATGCTTTGATTGCTTCACAAATGGAATACAAGAATCACTACCAACAAGAACTCAACACTTTGCAAACTAGTTTTGACAAGTATAGAACAGAGAATACTAAAAGGTATGAAGATTTACAAAGCTCCATTTCCAGCAATGATAAAGATATTGATACATTATTGGATTCATTAACCAACAAGAGAAAAACTATGGACAATATTTATGTCAATAAGAATAACAAGATTTTACAATTGTTGACCAGTTTGGCCAGTTTGATCAAATTACACGCGGAAGACACCAAGGGCCAAGTTGAACAAAATGTAGATGTTATTAAAATCTTGATGGAAAAATATCCTGATTTACAAGAAAAGATTTTGGAGAAGGAAAAAGTTGAAGTTGATTTGGATGAAATCATCAGTCATTCAAACGAAATCTTGGCCAATACTTCATTTGAAGAAGATGCCACTTTGATCAATTCCCCAGATTTGGACAGTCAATCAAATCTCAATTCGGGTGCCGCTACTCCAGTACAAAATTCAGGACCATTCAGAAAGAAGAAGAATTACAAGCGTAATTCTATGATTTTGAAAGATCTGCCATCAGGTATACCGGAAAATTCTGTTCCAAGTTCTTTACCAAAGAAGCCACAAGTTAATAACAATATCATTAACATACCTAAGAACAGATCCAAATTCAACACACCACCAACTACTCCTAGACAATTCAGTAATCAAAGTACTGATTTCGAAGTGACACACCAGTGGAATGGTAACAATAACCAACATAACAATTCTGGTCATTATAATAACAATAATCATCGTCGTACCACAAGTTATGATGCAAGATCAGATAATGGAGGTAACCGTCGTCAGCATAGTCAAGGTAGTAACTACAACAACAACAACAACAATAATAATAATAACAATAATGGTTTTGTTAGAAGATCAGGTTCCGTTCGAAACGGTAGTAACAACAATAACAATAACAACCATGGGAAACAAGCCAAGAGAAGATCTACATATAATCCGAACAACAACAGCAAGAGAAATTCACAGATCTTTGACAGTAATTTTGCATTAAATGTATAATACAACGGAAGGGTTTATTAAATTGGGTTCTATTTTTGATGTGGATCGTTGCTTTTTTTTTTTCTCTTTATACTTGTTTGTTTTTCTTTTTTTATTTTTTGAATTAGAGGATTTTTGTAAATTTAGGGAAATATATACTTATATACCGATACATATTTTTCTGGGAGATTATACCTTATATGCCACAATACTTCCATCTTCATATCCAACAAGTAGAGTGTCTGTGGTTAAGATCTTCTTGCCTCTAATCAACTGAGAGTATTTATTCTTACCCGTAGTTGTAGACTCAACTTTCTGGGGAACTAGTAGTGTCATGAACGTTAGTTTTTTAATTGATTTTGATCTATCATCGTTATCATTATTCTGAATCATGGGCACATCACGTTTAATCACATTCTCGTCATATCGTATTTCTCCATTCCAAAATCCAATTATTAAATTTTCATTCTTGTAATTGACTATGGATTGAACTCCTGAATGGGTAACTTTAATAATTTCAACTGGATGTTTATGTATTACAATTTTATTAGTAGTTGAACCAGAAACTAAAATATCTTGAAATGTCAGCATGGAAATAATTGGATTTGGAACATGAATTGAATTATGATATTTTACAATTAATTTAGGTGATTGATTTATAATTAGTTTATCTATATTTGAATTTTCTTTCACAATTGGTTTTGGAAGAATTAATTCTAATCCAACAATATCACCACTTTCAAATCCAACATATATTATATTATCCACAAGATGAATTTTCATAATTATCCCGTAATCATTCCTACTTCCGATTTCTTCAAATTGAATACCTTTCTCAACTAATTGATAAACATTAATATCACTTATTAATCTTGTAAGTTGCCAATCTGATGTAATTTTATAAACATCTAAATTATTAGAATTGATACTTGCTGGAGTAATCAAGATTTCATCATGTACGACAACGACATTACTAAAATTCAATGAATTACATGGTATTTCCATGATACAATCTGTATTGTTCCATATTTTAATAGTATTATCTCTTGAATGTGTTAGAAGATGATTATGTATTGTAGACATAGAAAGTATGGTATCATTATGAGCTTGCCATGTTATTACTGGACGTCGTGTAATTAAATCCCATTCAATTATCAAACCTGTTGAATCAGCAGTATATAAATGTAATGATGATGTTGGTGAAGGATATATGAAAGTTATTGATGAATTATGAGATCTTAATGTGAACTGTTGTGACATGATCTATTTTCAAAGTATTTGTGGAGGAATCCCATATTGTTAAATTGTGTCAATTCATCAAGACAAGATGAGCATCGACAAAATAAAAAAAGAAAAACACCTACAACAGGTGAAAACGAAAAAAAAAAAAAATTATCGTTGAATCGATCTTGAAAGTACTGATTTATTGTGGACCCTTGAAGAACATATATATATATATAAAAGAAACTGATATAATGTCTGTTCTGAGAGATCATTATTTTAAATTGGGTTCTGATTTACCTAAAGAAAGACTTTCAGCAGCAACACAATTAATTTCTGAACTTATTAAAGTTAATGATTCTAAAGAATGGGAATATGCTTTGAATAGATTAATCAAAGGTATAATAACTACTAGACAATCAGCTAAATTTGGATTTAGTATGGCTTTAACTGAAGTTGTTAATGAGTTGATTGAAAGAAAAGAATTAACCGTGGGTAAATATTTGGATTTACTTGTTGAAACTACTAAAATAACTAGTTCAATGAAAGGAAAAGAACAACGTGCAGTTTTATTTGGTAGATTATTTGGATTACAAGTTTTAATTAATTCAAAGATTATATTACAAAGTTCTGAAGATGATGTTATTAAATTTGTTGAAACTTTGTTGGAATTAAGTAATGTCAAGAATTGGATTCGTGAAACTGGGTTTTTCACTTTGATTCAATTCATTAAATTAGTTCAAGATGATGATTCCATTGATTATAAGAAAAAAATTTATATCAAGATCTTATCTACTGTTAATGATTTGGGATTGAACTTGTCTACTGAAGGGTTGGCCGTTTATTTGTCTATTCCAAATAGTGATAAATTATCACAAAAGATTAGTAATTTGAAAGCCAACTGGAAAAATGGTGATCCGTTTCATAAAGGGAATTTGCCAGTTTTAGCTAAAGTTTTGAAAGATGTTGAAGTTATTAATGATGAAGAGAATGATGATAATAACAAAAAACAAAAAAGTAGTTGGAATTCTCGATTACCATTTGTTTGGGATTTAATTGTATTGAAATTTAATCAACTTGAATCATCACCAAATGAAGATGATGATATTGATGCTGTTCCAACCAGTGAAACTTCCAAAAAGAGAAAAAAGAAAGACTCATCAAAGAAATCATCCAAAAAGGCTAAAACTGAACAGGAATACATTTCAATTAAAGAATTTTGGAAAGTTGTTATTGATGAAACGTTATTTTCTGAAAAATCATCATATGAACGTAAATATTGGGGATTTGAAATTTTTGAAAAATTTGTAACTTCATTAATCAATCTTCAACTGGTTCAATATTTATTTACACCAAATTTCATGCGTTGTTTAATTAATCAACATGCGTCATCTTCAAGAATGTTGTACAAGATTTCTCAACAAACCATCAAATCACTTGTTAAAATAATTAAAGAAAAACAAAATCTTGCTCCTATTGTTTTACTGTGTTTATTGGATGAATCTAAAGGTGGTTGTTGGAATTTTGACTTGATTAGTAAATCACGTACTATTGATGAAATATTACAGGTTAAATCTCAAATTAATCTGTTTATTAGTATTTTGTTGAACAATTTTGAATCAAAATTGGAATCACAAAATGTTGTTGAAGATAGTGATAAGAATTCAAATGATAATATATTAAAATGGTATTTGGATAAAATAGTCAATTTGATTAAACATAACAAACAAGTTCAATTATCTGATTCTATAATTGAATCTATCTTGACTAAAATGATCAAATATGCATTTTTCCAATCTAAAGAAATCAATATTTCCAAATTTTTACAATCAGTAGCTAAAGAAAGATTAAGTTCTATATTGTCAGAATTAATTACTACTAGACTTTCAAATGAGAACAACTTTACCACTTGGTCAACTTTCTGTTTTCAAACTATCAAAGAATTATCACAAACTGAGAAATGTCTTGTTGAATTTGATGAAGACTTAGCACTTGTTGAACAAGAAACAAGTGATTTATTAAAGACAATCATTGAATTAAATAAATCATCTGATAAATTATACATTTTTGAATTATTATTTTCAATGTGTTTGATTCAATTGTATATGGAAGATGAAGAAACAGTTCAAGTCATTAATGAAATCAAATTAGTTTTTGAAAATCAATTCACTTCAAAAATTCAAGACCAAGATGAGGATGAAGATGATGATCAAGTTGATGATAGTGTTGTATTGACTGAAATTGTTTTAAGTTTTATTTCTAGAAAATCAACTTTATTTAAAAAATTATCCAGTTTAGTATGGGAAAATTTCTTGTGTAAGAGTAGTGAAACAGATGGTAAGTTACGTGTCAATGATGCTTGTTTTAGATTATTATTTGATGTTTTAGAAGCCAAGGAAAATAAGCAAGGTCAACAAAAGCTTTTCGAAGGTGAAGGTGGAGATATCGAAGGTGATGATGATGAGGAAGAAGAGGAAGAAGACGATGAAGATGGTGATGGTGAGGATGACGACGAAGAAGAAGACGAAGAAACCGAAGAGAAAGACCAAGATAACGATGAAGACAATGATAGTGATAGTGATAGCGAGAATGACAGTGATCTGGACGACGTTAATGATACTATGACTGAACTTGATAAACAAACAAATTTAAAATTAGCACAAGCATTGGGTATTCCAACTAAAGAAACTGGGGAAGTTAAATTTGATGAACTTGATGATTTGTCATCTAATGAAGATATGAATCTGATTCATGGATGATGAACAAATGATGGCTATGGATGATGAATTATCAAGAATTTTCAAACATCGTCAAGATACTTTGAATAGTTTACCAACTGGTAATAAGAGACAATTGGAAGTTTTAGAAGCTAAGGAAAATATGATTTTTTTCAAGAATAGAATCTTGGATTTATTAGAAATTTTCATTAAAGTTAATCCTTCGCTGCAGTTCAATTTAACTTTCATTACTCCTTTAATCACTTTAATGAATTTAACTTTGGATAAAAACCTTGGTGTTAAAGCTCATAAATTATTGAAAAATAAAGTATCTAAAACTAAAATCGATTTGAATGATTTAACCAAATATTATCCTCAACCAAATGAATATTATGAAACTTTAGTTCAATTGATTTCTGAATTACAAGACAAAGCAAATACTGTTAAATCATCTAATCAAGCAGTTAATCAAAGTTATAATCAAAGTTGTATAATAGTTGCAAAAAATTTAATTGTTTTAGATGAAAATAACATGGAGAAAGTGGTTGAAATTTATTGTGATTCATTGAAAAAGTGGTGTTTATCCAATGATAGTAAATTACAATCATCTTTGTTTTTTGATTTCATTAATTGGATCAACACCAAGAAGAATAACACCAACAATAATAAAAAGTAGAGTTATATCACACCAGATTTGATTTGATTTGATTTAATTCCATCAATATATACATATACATATCTGCATGTAAATATAAAATCAGTAAAAGTCGTGTGTGGTTCAATACTTCTCTCTCATCCAATAGAAAACTATCACCAACACCGAACAAAACGAGACAGAGAGAGAGAAAAAAAAAATTCAAGCAAAAGAGAAATTATTGTTCATTTCATTTCTTCCATAACTAAATTAACTACATATTCATTTTAAAACATAAACATATTACGATGTCTGCAGTTAAACAAGCTGGTATTTCAGTCAACAAAGCTTTTGCAATTGCTGCTCAAGCTTTAAGAAACTCATTAAAAGCAGAATTCAAAGCTGCTGCTGAAAAAAGAGGTGCTGTTGAAGCTAAAGTTATGACTTTTGAAAATGGTAAACAAAGTGATCCAAAACCATTGAAAGCAATTGATATCTAAGTCAAATGATTTTGATCTAATATGATTTTATTATTATTATTATTATTATTATTTGGAAAGTAAGAAAAGAAAAGAATAGAAAAATGGTTACCTACGTTCAAACATAATTCATAGTCAAGATTTAATAATGAATGAATATATATATTTACATTAAAAAAATAAATAGAATGGTATTTTTTTTCCCTGGTTTCTGTACATGTGTGTTTGTGAGTTGATTTCTATTGATATCTAAGATGATGGCTTTTCTTTTTGCTCTTCGAGTTGTTGTTGTTGTTGTTCTTCTTCTTCTTCTTCAAGTCTGATTTCATCAAGCAACTGTTGTTTCAAATCATTTGGTAATGATTCAATCAAATTTTTGGCTTTACTAAATGCAACTTGGTCATTCTCAATCTCTTCAGCTTCTCTATTAATATGTTGAATATCTTCTTCTGTTAAATCATGTTCTTGTTCTTCTTCTTCGTGTTGTTCACCTTCTTCATCTTGTCTTTGTTCTTGTTGTGAAGTAGCTGATTCATCTAATAATTTAGATAATTCCGAATCTGGATTACTAAACAATTCAACAAATTTACCAGTTTCGACAACTTGACCATGTTTACCCAATACAACCACGAATTCTGATTTAGAAATAGTGGATAATCTATGGGCAATTGAAATTATAGTCATGGACCCTTCATTAGTCAAATTTTTCAATGTTTCATTAATTAACCCTTCTGATTTGGAGTCTAATGCTGAAGTGGCTTCATCTAATATCAAAACTCTCGGTTTCTTGATTAATGCCCTAGCGATGGCAATTCTTTGTTTTTGACCTCCAGATAAAGATGCTCCTCTATTACCGATCACTGTGTCATAACCATCAGGGAATCCAACTATGAAATCATGACAATTAGCTTGCTTTGATACATCAATGATATCTTGCATGGTTAATTTACTAACATCTTGCGGGGTTAACCCATAAACGATATTCTCTAATATAGTACCTGACAATAGAACTGGTTCTTGTTGAACAATACCAACAATATATCTTCGAAGTTCACGGACTTGGAAATCTTTTATATCTTTACCACCGATGAGGATTTCTCCCAGTTGGATATTATAAGCTCGAAGTAATAATGATGCCACAGTGGATTTACCAGCACCACTTGGTGCAACAATACAAGTACTTGTACCACCTTGAATCTTGAAATCACAATGATTGAAAACTATATGATTTGGACGTGTTGGATAACTGAATGTGACATCTTTGAATTCAATATCATTTTTACCCAACAATGGATGCAGTGGAGTTACTTTTTCACCTTGAACAGGAGGAACTTTATTCTTGTAGTCCATAAGAGCAAACAATTTAACTCCCGCACCAGCACCTTTCATTAATTCCAAATATGTGGTTGTTAAACTGTAAAGCGCCATATTGAAGAATTCCAGGTACATGGTAAATGCAACCACATCACCAGCAGACATTGTTCCCTTTGTCATCAAATAAACACCCAAGGCAACACAAGATAAATATCCAACATGATATAAAGAATAAATAGATACAGAATAATTTGATTGAGCAAATGCTTCTTGTTTGGCAACTTCCACAACTCTTCTTAATCTGCTAGAATATTTGCGTAATTCTTTTTGTTCTCCAGTAAACGCATTGACCAATTTAATAGCATTCAATGTCTCTTCAGAAGCTTTTGTTAATCCTGCTGTTGCATTCTGTAAATTAGTAGACAATTTTCTAATTTTTTCACCATACCATACAGATCCAAGAGTAATTGGTGGTGAAATTAACAACATCATACCAAACAAGATTGGGTTAATCAGATACATCATATATGAACTAATAATCCCAAATAAGAAATTCTTCAACCCATCAGGTAAATTAGCAGTAATTGATCGACTAACAATATATGCATCACTTGATAATCGACTAATTAAATCACCAACTTTATGTTTATCATTATCAAAAAATTCTTGATCATGACGTAATAAATTCTTCATTACTTTAGCTCTTAATCTTGCTACTAATCTTTCACCTAATAATTTCAATACCCAAATTCTTGCCCAAAAACATAATGCACTAAGAGCCATAAATGGTACCATAAATCCAAATAATGTAGTTACACTATAACCCCAAACCATTAATTGACCATTTTCATCCTTAATATTATTATTAAAAGAATCCAATACCGATCCAACAAGTTTTACTGCCGTGGTCGGATATAATACAGCGCATAAAATAAACCCCACAGCTAATACAAATAATTTCCAATCTGGTTTACCTAATTTAACAATCCTCCAAATTGTGGATAAATTCTCTCGAAAAGTTTTCTTATTTTCTTGTTTTTGAAATTCTTCAAGTCTTTCTTGTTTGATTTCTTGTTTTTTCAAATTAGATGCATCAAGATGAGTTTTAACTGGGATTTGTGCCGGTGTTAATTCTTTCTTTTCTTCAACTGATGATGATGATGAGTATGATCTAAGTTGTTCCTGTAATGTGATTGATGAGCGTAGTAGTGTAGTAGTTGGATATGACGGAAGTACGTGAAATTTCAATGGGGATGTACTTTTTAATCCTCTTGAAAGAAATCTAGCAGTAATAGTCAGAGTACACCCACTACTCCTACTTATCTGTAGTAATGATTGTCTTAGTGATGTGATAAGTACCATCTATTCTAAGGATCCTGTTAATTATTCTGAATCGTTTTGACTTTCCAATTTCTTTCTGGCCGGTGCCTAAATCAATCGAAATTCCTGGTACAAGTTTTGTTGGACGGACAAATGGTGAATGGTTGATAATGCGAGCGATCAACAAAATTTTTTTTTTTTTCTTTTTCTCTCTCTGACTCTCTCGCTGCGTCGTTCTTACTCATTTTGCTACAGGAGCCGAAACAGGAAGTGCAATCAAAAAAGAAAAACGCAGCCTGCCGTTGAACGAGTCAGGTTCGTCCGCTGATCGGTCGAGGTATATTAAATCATTAACCATCTTTTTATACATTCATTCTAAACATTAACTACCAGGTATAACTATTTTTGCTTTCTATGCCTATATAAAGTCTAGATATTTCTATCATAGTAACTTTGAATCATACCAACTTCACTTTCTTCATATTCAACAACAGTAATTTCACCAGTTTCTTCATTCAAAAAGGTGTTGGCTTGAATAACCTTCTTTCTTGGTCTCTTTTCTCTCAATACAATATCTCTGAATCTACTGTATTCTGGATCAACTCTGGATTTTTCCAAGTAGTAATCAGTACCAGCTTTAACTTGACAAGTACATTTGAATACATGAAGGTTCGATAAGAAGTCACCGAGTGCATTGACAGCAGTGCCATCATTCAATTTCAGTTCATCCATAATAATAGTAAGATTTTCACCATCAAATTCATACTTGAAAACACCAGCCTTGTGTAATTGTTTCATAATGGCAAATCTGGCTTGCATATGTGGTTGACCCCATTTTTCGGATTTAGGATCCCAGAATTCCAATCCGAGTAAACCAGCTCTGATCATCATTAAAGCAGAAAAGAATTTAACCTTGGTTTGGTCTTCTTCGGTAACAATATCAAAAATTGGCAAAACTTCTTTTGGTTGGCTCAAAATCAAGTATAAAGCAACCAATTCAGCACGACATTCTTCATAAGAACCAGCAATTTGACCAAATGCGGAACCCCAAGTTTCGTTTGGTTTGTAGTAACTTTTAACATCCAAATCTTTTGGAAAGTTGAATTCACCAGGAGCAACTTCTTGTAAAAGTTTACAACTACCGTGACCCAATAATTCGTGCAAACCAACTTGGACTTCGAAAGCGATATCACGCCATTTCTTAAATCCTTCTTCCAAGTCTTCGCTAATGAATGTAATAACTTCTTTGGTTTTTGGATTTTTTGGTGAAGCTGACAAGACATTACCCAAGGAGACGTTCTTGAAACCATAATTTAATCTAACATCATCATAATTTGGAATGTTGATACCAGCTGGAGCACCAGAACCGGCAAAAGTTAAAACTTCCAAAGAAGTGAAATCAGGTGGAGTAAAAGTATCCTTTTCATAAATTTTATCCCAAGGCAATTTGGCAATGAAAAATCCAGCATTGTCAACCAATTTGCTAAATTTAGCAGTTCTTTCATGGTTGACCATGGCAACCAAACCTTCCCATTCACCTCTAACACCAGATGGGTCTCTGTAAGTTTCAATGAAACCAATGTTGGATTCAACTTCTGGTTTCAAATCTTTAACCCATTCAATTTGTGATTTCTTGTGGGCATTCATAGAACCGGTAGAAAAGGATTCAATATAGTATTTGAGTAATCTTTCTTGGGTTTCATTAGCAACATATGGTAAAGCTTTCTTGAAATTTTCAACAATCTTGGCAAATTCAGGACTGTGATCACCAAATTTAAAAGTAACAGAGAATTTACCATCTTCAGAAGTCAATTTATCTTGAGGATAATAGTCAGTTTTGTTGGTGGTTTCAGCAGATGCAACATGAACAATATATTCAGAATCAGATATCTTTTCAACTCTGGTGTTTTCTGGCATAATTCCTTTACTGGCCAATAATTGGTTAACAGCAACAATTTCAGCTTTGGTGATATCTTCACTGTTTGGGTAATAGTTGGAAACGTGTCCGGCAGCAGGGTAACCCAACAATCCCTTTTCAGTGCTAAACATTGGTTCCTTAACTTTAGCATACAAGTCACTAATTTGCTTGTCATTGACAATTTCAATCAATTGGTCGAACTTTTCAACAGATAAACGTGGAATGAATTTCTTATCCCCAAAAGATTTGAAATTACCAGCATTATCCAAAAATTGCAAAGCATAATCCAAGTAATATTGAACGTCTTTGGCATCCAATGGGGCCAATTTTTCAGTGTATTCTTCGGCAGATTTAGGAGTTCCTAATTTGGCATGAATGGCTAAAATCATATCATAAATATTTTCACTTTCTGGAGAAACTGATCTCAAAACAGCTCTTGTACCGTGGAATGAAGCTCTAGATAAATAATGAGCGTATTTTTTGGCTTTGTCTGTTGATAAGGCATTGAAATGTTTCAAAGCAGACAAGACGACGATTGGTGAATCAACGTCGGCATAGAATAATTCCTTGTTGGCTGACATGATTGATAATAAGGGAAAGGTGTAATAGATATTTATTCAAAATTTTTGTAGATAATGAATAAAAAAAATTAGTACAATTACTAACAAGCAAGTTCTTTCTTATTCTTCCAAAAGAAAAGGTATTGACTAAAACTGGATAATTGAAGGAAGATGAATGGGTATTTAAATACTTATTGTGGCAAAAAGAGAAGTCAGAGAATTGGATTGTAATTTTCTGTTTCATTATCAATCGCCCCACGACTCTCACAAACTCGGAGCGTGCCACACGAAAAAACGGCCCACGCAAACAAAAAAATCGTCGCTTTCTTTTTAGTTGGCCAAGTATCAATAAAGGTTTCCAATTTAAATTATCGAATTAAGCTGAACTATTTTTGTTGTTTTTGAGTAACTTATAAATAGAAATTTTTTTTGGAAAACTAAACGGCACGAAGAGGCACAGATTTATTTATTTATACACCTGACATCACAGAGAGAGAGAGAAAGAGAGGCATTAAACATCCATGGCAAAGAAAGAAACTAGTGATGAGCATCAAGTAGTGGTACTTGATGAAAAAGTCAACAAAAGGCAAACCAGTCTAAATGAAGAGGGTGAGGATGAAGATGATGATGATGAGGAGGACGAAGATTATGACCCAGAAAAGAAACAACAGGACGAAGAAGCAATAAGTGAAGATGAAGATGAGGACGAAGATATCAAATCTTCAAAGATTCCGGATTATTCAACTATTGAATCCAATACATCACAAGTAAGAACGCGATCACAGTTATTAAATGCAAAGATATCTAAACAAACTAAATTCATTGGGAATTTCGAAGTGGATCAGAAAACTGGTTTGGTGAAAGAACAATCAGATTTGGATATTAACTCGATATTTGATAGTTTGAAAACAGCAAAACTGGTGTATGATATACTAGATTCTGAACGTAACGATGATAAAACTAAGGAAGGTAAAGAGGAGCAGGTTGTTTCAGAAGTGAGAGATCCTCTGGCACCAAAACAAATCAAGATCCAAATAAACTATACATTTGCCGGGAAACTAATAACCGAAACTAAAATGGTTGATGAGAATTCACAAGAGGCTAAAGCTTATATTAATTCTACTAGTAGTATATCAAGTGCCACTGTGGATAATGAAATCCCATATAGACGTTCACATGTGAATGTGTTTCGAACTGATCCAGTCACAAAGGAAACTAAAGAATTGAGAATTAAACTTAAAAGACCATCATTGATTGATAGATTCTTGGAAGTAAATTCAAATTCAAAGAAAATGAAGTTATCTACACTTGAAAAATCACGTTTGGACTGGGCAAGTTTCGTTGATAAGAGAAAGATCAATGAAGAGTTGAAAACACATAATAAAGGTGGTTATTTGGATAAACAAGCATTCCTTGAACGTATGAATGTCAAGCAGGATGATTTGTATCTTCAAGCAAAAGAAGAAGAGAAACGTAGGAAACAGCTATTGCAAAAGTAACAGTAAATAGGGTTTTGTTAATGTAAATATAAATGTTTAATACTACAGGTAGTGTACCACTCAAATGCAAGGGAAGTGACACGCCAAAAAAAATTGAATTTAAAAATTTTCAAGTGGTCGTGTCGACAGTGACAAAAAAAAGAGAGAGACAACCCAAATTTGCTTCCTCTCCTCCATCAACCAAACAAAAAAAAAACCCATAGAAAGGGAAGGAAAAAAAAAAATAGAAGGCGTGAAGTAAAACAACTTTTCAATAACAAAATAAAAAAAAAAACCACAACGTTAGCGGTCTTTTTGTTGTTTGTTGTCTATTTATAATCATGTCAGATAGTAGTAGTGATTCTAATCAGCTCAATGTTGATGAGCCTAATGATTCAATTGTCACTCCACCTCCAGAAATTCCATCTACAGAAGTCACCAGCAATCCATCCACTACTTTGAAAAGAAAAAATGAAGACACTGAAGATAATGATAGTTTAGAAGACTCTACAGCTCATAATAGTGGTGATATTGGTAAAGCATATTCAGCCAAGAGAGTTGCATTAGATAGTGAACAATTGGATTTGCATGATAAAGAAGAAGAATTACAACATACTGCTCCAAAGATTAATGATAATAACAACAATAATCATTTCACTAATGATGAAGATAATGGAGAACGAGATGCACCTGTTGAGAAGGATCCACAAGATGAATCAGGTGAGAAGGATGAAACAAATGACAGCTCTGCTAAGCAAGATGCTACTCTCGAGCCAGCTTATGTACCAGAAGCATCTACCGAATCACATGCAGAAGAACCTTCATCATCTTCCAAGCCAATTTCCAACCATCGTGAAAAGGATGATCCTACATTTGTCCTGTTTAGAATGTATTGTCCTGTTAAGGAAGCCAGTGCAATTGTGGGGAAAAAGGGAGAAACCATCAGTCATCTCAGAGAAAAGGCGGCTGTTAGAATCACTGTAAGTGATAATTTGAAAGGTGTTCCAGAAAGAATTGTTACTGTTAAAGGACCTGCTGAAAATGTTGCTAGAGCTTTTGGATTGATCACCAGGGTTATTTTGAATGAACCTGAAGACGAACCTGCTAGTATCAATTCACTACAATATAACTTGAAATTGTTAATTCCACATCCATTGATTGGGTTTATAATCGGTAAGCTGGGTTTAAAATTTAGAGAAATTGAAGAAAATTCTGCTGCAAAACTAAAAGCTGCAGAAACTCCGTTGCCATATTCTACTGATCGTGTCTTGTCTGTTATGGGGGTTGGTGATGCTATTCACATTGCTGTTTATTACATTTCCCAAGTTATCCTTGAACATCAAGAAGTTTTAAAGAAAAACAAGATTATTTTGTACAATCCAGAAAATAATAGATACGGTGGAGATTCTCGTGACCAGCAACTTGGAGGTAGAACTGGTAATCATCATCAACAACTGCAGTTACATCAACAGCAGCAACCACCACGACATTCATCAAACCACTCATCATACAATAACCCAATGGCTTATCAACCAAAGATGCCACCATATGGTAAATCACTGCATCACCAACAACAACAACCGCCACAACAGCAGTCTCCTTATAACTTTTCAATGATGTTTCAACCTTCAGTTCAACCACAACAGTTTGGTACATCCATGGTGTCTAGTCCTAATCAAATGCCAACTCGTGGAATGCAGCCTTCAATCAATGTGCCACCTCAAAGTCAGTACACTGATGAATTTGGAAACACTTTAATTGGAGAAGTTATTACTCATCAACCAGTCCAAGCTGGTCCTGAGAAATTCAATCAGGATGTATTTGTTGCTAATTCAAGTATTGGTTCCGTCATTGGTAAAGGAGGTAACAATATCAAACATATAAGAGAAACAAGTGCATGTACATACGTCAAGATCGAACCAGACAAAGGTCAATCCATAATGTTGGGAGGAGGTAGAGGTATGACCAATATCAGAAAATTAACCTTGACAGGATCGATGAATTCTATTCAAACTGCGATTTATTTGATAAATCAAAGAATAAATGCCGATAGAGAAAGAAACACACGTTGAGTGTGAAACGGGTGATATTGCATCAAATGTTTAATAGTATATAGCTCCAATTTTCTCCAATAAAGTAGTATTAGTAATGTATAAGTACACCTTTGATTAGCATTGACATAGTAATAGTCATGTGGACTCTCTTGCACGTGCCTCAGTTACGAGATCTAAGATTTTTTTTTTTTTGCTTATTGGGTAGAAAACCACGAGATTTCGTTTATAACGTGTGACACAAAAGTACTCCACACAATCGTAGCCCAAACAACGACGAAAAATTTTCATCCAACAATTTTTTTTTTTTTCTTAATGTTAACGATGAACAGAAATCTACTATTATTCAAATCTACCATCTTTAAAAGATTACTGAGTACTGCAATGTCTTCATATAAATTAGTTTGTTTGGGTAACCCATTATTGGATTTACAAGCCAATGTTGATCAAGAATATTTGAAAAAATATGAATTGAAAGACAATGATGCTATTTTAGCTGATGCAAAACACATGCCAATTTTTGAAGAATTGATTAAAAGAGATGATTTGGTTTTAGTTGCTGGTGGTGCTGCTCAAAATACTGCTAGAGGTGCTCAATATATTTTACCACCAAAATCTGTTGTTTATTTTGGATCTGTTGGTAAAGATATTTATGCTGAAAGATTAAATCAAGCTAATGAAGAATATGGTTTAACTACTAAATATCAAGTTCAAGAAGATATTGCTACTGGTAAATGTGCTGCTTTGATTTATGATCATCATAGATCTTTAGTTACTGATTTAGCTGCTGCTAATCATTTTAAACCAGAACATTTGAAAAAACCAGAAAATTGGGAAATTGTTGAACAAGCTTCTCATTATTATATTGGTGGTTTCCATTTAACTGTTTCTCCAGATGCTATTAAATTATTAGGTAAACATGCTAGTGAAACTAATAAACCATTAGCTTTGAATTTTTCTGCTCCATTTATTGCTCAATTTTTCAAACAACAATTAGATGAAGTTTTACCATTTGTTGATTATGTTATTGCTAATGAAAGTGAAGCTGCTGCTTATGCTGAAAGTCATGATTTGAAAACTGATGATGTTGTTGAAATTGCTAAAATTGTTGCTAAATTACCAAAAGAAAATAAACAAAGATCAAGAACTGTTATTTTCACTCAAGGTTTAGAACCAACTGTTACTGTTACTTATGATTCTGATAAAGATTCTTTTGAAGTTAATCAATATCCAGTTAAAGAATTAGCTAAAGAAAAAGTCGTTGATACTAATGGTGCTGGTGATGCTTTTGCTGCTGGTTTCATTGCTTCTTTGGTTGAAGGTAAATCTTTACCTGATTCAGTTGATGTTGGTCAATGGGCTGCTGCTTTGTCTATTCAACAAGTTGGTCCAACTTTCCCATTCCCAAAACAAACTTACACTAAGTAGAGGGGATTGGTATGTTTACTTATTCATTTCAACATGGGTTATAGAATTATTAATTACTTTTATTATTATTTTGATTATTATTATTATTATTATTATTATTGTATCTCTATACTTCAACAGGTTTAATATACTACATTTATTTCATTAAAATTATTAATTATTGTTGCACCCCTATTCAAATGTTCCAGTTTTTCCTAACTGATATTGACCATATGCTTGACAAAAGTTACTAGAGTATTCAATGACACATTTCATTTGTCTCAGTTTAAACTCCTTTGATGTCCAATCAATTCTTGATACTCCATTCCTCAAATCCTTAATTGTTTTGTTTAAATTATGAATATTTATAAGTAGATTTTTTTCATCAGCAACCGATAATGACATGGTTAAAACATCTTGATCACCTTGAGTTTCCCAATTAGAAATACCATTTGGAATTAAAGCACTTGGATCTTTAGTTGCACATTGAACATCGGGATCTTTCCAACCTGGAACAGGGATTTCCAATGACATATATGATGATAAATGAGTAACTTTAAATTGTTCCAATTGTTTTTCCAATATAACCAAGTTGGGTCTATACATGGCCTTACCACAACCACAATTATCAATATGAGCTCTCAAGAATCCAATCCATACATTTGGATTCAGTGGAATTGGGATCAATTCTGTACCTCCTCTAACTGGACCAAAAGCATCCTGAATTTCAGTAATTGGTTCTTCAAAATCAAGTCGACATGAACTATAATTTGTAATTCCACCATCTTCACTAGCTAAATTATCAAGATCACATTTCAATATCTGTAAACCATCCCATTGATATACCATATGAATTGCTTTGGAATTTTTCTGGTTTGTATCAAAAAATGGAGTCCAGTTTTTTTCAACTGGTTTTCGAGGTTGGCCCTCGATTTTTAATTCCAATGCTTTATTGTAAATGACTTTAGCAAATTCCTCATTTGGAATACCATCCATGTTTTCTTTGGCCAATTGATATCTAAATGGCCATGTAATAAACATTGAACGAAAGAAATCAAAATTCAAAGTAACCATTTTATCATTGGTTGGAACCACTGTTTGATTATGAACTTTTCTATGGAATGCATTGTAGATAATCACTGGTTCTTCGTCACCATCTTCATTTACTGAAAGTAACATACGAGCATCTTCAGGACCGTACCATCTTTCTTTAGTGAATTCGGAATTATGATAAAATGGAGTTGGCAAAAAACGTGGAAATGATAATTTTTGCATTACTTTCTCTCCATGGATATCACGGACAGGTAATACTAAATCAACATTGGTTAATTCTTGCCAATTGTTGTCATATACTTGGGCATATAATAATGAAATTTGTGGATCACCTTTTCTCCCTTTTAATGAATGGATAACTCTGCTGACCATTAAATGAACACCATGATTTTTCAAATAAACTGAAGTTCCAGCAAACTGATAAAAATGAAAATGATATACTTTCCATTTCAAATAGAAATCCAATTTGTCTTGGAAAAAGGAAGCTAATTTTGAGATGGCTTGATCGTTTTTCAATTGATAATCCAATTTTTGCAACATGATTTCAAAATCTTGTCTTATTATTTTATTATCAGATATGCTTAATTGTGTTTCGGTTTTAAAATCATCACAATTTTCTGAATCAGACATTGAATTGAATACTTTGATCTTGTGAAGTGAAGTTTGTTCATCAAATACTTCTTTTGGAACAATGGTAGAGTCCTGGGATAAGATTTGTTCAATTACATCATCTTCGCTGATATTGAATTTAACGCGTACTTCTTGTTCATTAATTGTAAAATTCTGTGGGAATATAACCAATGAATAGTTTTCACCCTTTTGTATACTGGTATATTGTCGAGATTCATCATTGAATGGGTCCACATATTTGAAATTAACCATGGAATCCAAAGGATGTCTTGATAAGTAATGCAAGGGATAAACCAAGATGAATAGTATTATGATACCAATAGTCAATCTTCTATATTGAGAAGTTGTTAATTTTCGTAAATTGTTGAACCCTTTGATCATACCAGGTTTAATGTTCTTTATCCCTTGAACGGAATCAATGGAATAATTAGGAAGCATCTTGAGAATAACAGATGGCAATGATGACTGGTAGTAGTGATAGTAGTAGTAGAAGTAACTGCCTTAAGGGGAACTATCTCAATTGCAAATGGAATAGGTTAATGCACAATACCGACGTGATTTATCAAATCAAAACAAAAAAGTGAAAGTGAAAGTGAAGATGAAAAACCAAAATCAAAATAAAAATCAAAATAAAAATAAAAAAAAAATTCACCTGAGCAGAAGAATGAAAACAAATAAGAAAAAGAAAAACAGATGAGTTCTGCTTGAAAACAAGGCACATTGTAACATCTAGCTTCTGTGCTAACAAAAAATAAAAGTTACGAATATAATAATTAGCTTTTACATTCGAATAAGAACAAGAAGAACATCACAAAGAATCTTGTAGCTTAGTAAAATGCAGTTATTACTATTTTGTACCATTGTTTCACTCTTCTCACCCTCAGCCTTGCTTTCTTCTTCTTCTTCGTCATTTCTTGTCTTATCTTTATGCTTTGCTCTTTTAGATTATGGTCAATAAGTGTATAACACAACAGAAGTTAGAACCATCTTATCTAACAATCTAGGAGAAGTCAGTTTCTGATACGAGTCGGGTCCATTGACGGTTCCACTCTGTGTGTATATGTTTGAGTTTATTGTGTTTGGTATTTTTCGCAACTTGCAGAGAATGAAAAATTCCACTGCCTGTTTTGAAACGCAACAATGGTTAAATTTAGAACACATAACACAGAGACAATAGCTCACGTACATTTCTGATGATGATGATCCCCCCCTCCCCCGTTATCCAATGATTTGTAGCAAATTATTAATGAATATATTCTGTTAATGTTCATCCATTTGCAGTTGTTGTAAGTCAAAAAAAAGTCACTATTTAAATAGATAGTTATATACACCCACACGAGTAAATCTGTTGTGGTTCAACCATGCGCCTCTAAACGTATACTCATGTTTCTTATTCTGCATTTCCTTTCTTTTTTTTCTCTCTCTCCCTTTCTCTTGAACCCCTTCCCTTTTCTTTGTCTTCACTTTACTTTACTTCACATTAATTCACTTCAACACCTAACTTTTTATTTTTAGACCGGCAATTCATTCAAAATCTGGTGATGACAAATACGTGTTACAAAGAGAAATAAAGGTAGTGTCACAATGCAAAAAAAAAAAAAGAAATTCACAATTGTACAGCTGAATCATGGTCTAAGATACACGACTCTTATCTTGAATATTGTTCTTTAAACAATTGAAACACATCATTGGTAATGGTGGTTATAGTATTATTACAATACTGAAAGGTCATGAATTTTTATCATTTACGAACCAGTCTCATTGTAAGTTACTCAGTGTAAAGATCTCAGTTATAGCAAAATAAGAAAAATAAAAATAAATAATAATGTAATGGCAATTGAGATTGACTTTCTTTGGTGATGCATTGCACCAATACATGTCAATGTACTTTGCCTCCTCACTATCAATTCAATGATTGTGAACATTAGATTAGACAAAGTATGTTAATCATAGAGTCTATTGGATGTTGGCTATGACTCTACATGTCATTAATATTAATCTGATCCATCTCGTTTATTTAGTTTCTTTGGGGTAACTTTTTGTAAGATTTCAGTTTGTGTATTATGAAGTAAATCAACAAAAAAAGGGGGGCTGACATAGAGATCTACTCCTCAAATAATATTTTACATTGCTCCATCTCCCCCTTTCCTCTATGATCCGCACCGTTGATTGGCATTGATTCTCAAGGAAATTGATAATATCAATATTTAGTGATTTGACAATGAAAATATGGTATTCTCCCGACTTGTGTAAACATGCAAAGTTTTAAGTGTTTGGTTTTTTATTATAATTTGTTTATTTTTTGGCAAATTGATAGTAAGCATGAGAGGAAATACAACGGATATTTGATCTGTGTTCTTATTCTGCCACTTGATCTTTTCTTCCTATTAATTTTGATTTTTTGCAAAAAAATTGTTGCAAAATAAGGTTAAAATTAATACACGAAAATTGCAGCACAATCATCAAAATGGAAATGAATTATGTACTAATTTATTACCACATTGGTGATTTTATAATGTTCTCATATTAAAAGGTGAATTAACTTAAATATCATAGTCGAATCAGCAAGTTGTAATCTATACTCCCCATCAGTTGATGATTTTTTTTCAGCAAACTTATATTATGACTGTGATTGATTATTAGAATATGTGAAATGAATACATCTCAGTTGTTGTAGCAACTAAATAGACTACTAGAATAATGCAATTCATAGTTGTTTGTTGTATACAAAAAAACACTTTGTCACGTGCACATGTTTGAAATGGGTAGTGCGGATGTGCAAAATTCTCAACAATTGAAAATTGAATTGCAAAGCCATTTGAATTCACCCAATGTTCTTATCCCCATAATTTATAGCAAATAATTTGACATCTACTCAATTGATTTTTAGATTCAAGTATACTCACCAATTCTTTATTCTAACTGTCCTTATCATACTTGTGTATTGTTAAATTTCCATTCTTACCGATTTTTGCAATTTTGAAATTTTTGTTCCTACAGAAATTACCAATTCTCCAATAATACATTAATTTTTTTTTAGAATAATATATATTTCAACTAAATACCATGGAACAACCTTATGAAAATCCCAATTTACCTGTGAAATCCAGTAAAGCAAGAGAAGGAAGAGAAAATCAACGTTATAATTCAGAAACAGGAGCTAGAATCGTAGCTGGATGTATATGTCTTGATGAAACCAAAGATAAAATAATTATGATATCATCATCTAAACATAAAAATAAATGGATTATACCTAAAGGAGGAAATGAATTAGATGAATCAGAATTAGAAACAGCAGTTAGAGAAACATGGGAAGAAGCAGGAGTTGAAGGAATTATACTTAAAAAATTACCAGTTGTTCTTGATTCTAGAGGTAATAAAGCTCCTATAATTAAAGGAGAATTTAATCCTGATATTGCAACTCCAAAATCTGAATTTCATTTTTTTGAATTACAAGTTGATAAATTAAGTACGGAATGGCCAGAAATGAATAAAAGACAAAGAAGATGGTGCACTTATTCAGAAGCAAAACATGAATTAATTAAACTGAAAAGACCAGAATTAGTAGATGCATTAGATCTGTCTTCTATTATAAAGGATTCTGATGGAAATAATTATTAGAAATATATGTAGTATTCAAAAAAATATACATTCATGTGGGTATTGATGATGGACATTTTTTTGCAATCTGTAGTGGTTTAAGGAAAAAGGGCTCAAAATATACATTGCTTTAGAATTTTGCAAATCTAGTTCGGGTTCCAAACTATTCATTTTCTAACATATGTGTACAATTTTACAGTAAGCCTACAGTTTATTTTCACAGTTAAGAAAATTCAGAGACGGATGTGGTAATTATTTCCCAGGTAAAATTGCTTTGATGTATATGTTCATTTCAGCATCTTCAAAAGAAAGAATCTCTACTAGTTTATTTCTTTTTTCATCAAATGGTACGTCTTTCTGATCAACTTATTATACCTTAATGAGAACGGTTTATCCTATATAGATTCCCCAGTTCGTCTTTTCTGGTTGTAAAAAAAAGAGTCTAATCCGAAGGAAAAAAATGAAACGTACGGGAATCGAACCCGTGTCCTCAGCTTGGAAGGCTGATGTTCTACCACTATACCAACGTTCCCTTAGACTCTGCAGTTTTCGAACCGCATGTTCCTCGGTGAATGTCAAGAATATCTCCTAAGCCTGAGTGTTTCAACTCGACCAAATTGATGTTCTTATTGCCTAAGCCAAAATTTTCACTTTCTTTCGTACTGACTATGTCATCGCAACACGCCACCTTATAAATAGTTATATTTTGGTTAACTATCATAAAGTAGCAATAGGAAGCTCTTTTATCACATTCCTAAAGTAACTGGAGTATATTCATAGAGTCGTTTCATGGATTTTCTTTGGATTAAATTTTAGATGCCCTATTTTATTTGAACTTTCTAGCAAAAAGTTTTCAAAAAAGATAAATATTCAAACAAATCATAATATAATCCTAGTTAAATTTCCCCAACTTCCAAAATCCCATTACTACATCATTTCATTTTTATATACAACTAATACCCATCAACTCTTAAAACATCTACAACCGGTATTGATCTTCTTAGCACATACTTAACCAGGTCGTGTGCTATCAACCAAATATTTTTTTTTTCTTTCTCTCTCTCTTTCTCCCATTTATCGCATCTCATCTGTAATTTTTTTTTTTTCGAATATGTAGGGAATAAAAACCCATAATCTACTTTATTTCAATCAACTACATATCAAACCATGGGTAAACAACAAAAGAAACATAGTAAAGGTCGTTTAGATAGATACTATTACCTTGCGAAAGAAAAAGGGTACAGAGCTCGTTCTTCTTTTAAAATCATTCAAATTAATGAAAAATATGGACATTTTTTAGAAAAATCCAAAGTTGTTATAGATTTGTGTGCTGCTCCAGGTTCTTGGTGTCAAGTAGCTTCACAATTATGTCCCGTTAATTCATTAATTATTGGGGTTGATATTGTACCAATTAAGCCATTACCTAATGTTATTACTTTTCAATCAGATATTACTACTGAAGATTGTAGAAGTAGATTAAGAGGTCATATGAAAACTTGGAAAGCAGATACTGTATTACATGATGGTGCTCCTAATGTTGGTTTGGGTTGGGTTCAAGATGCTTTCACACAATCTCAATTAACTTTACAAGCTTTAAAATTAGCAGTTGAAAATTTAGCCGCAGGAGGAACATTTGTTACCAAAATTTTCAGATCAAGAGATTATAATAATTTAATGTGGGTTTTCCAGCAATTGTTTGAAAAAGTTGAAGCAACTAAACCACCAGCTTCAAGAAATGTATCTGCAGAAATTTTCGTTGTTTGTAAAGGATTTAAAGCACCAAAGAAATTAGATCCTCGATTATTGGATCCAAAAGAAGTTTTTGAAGAATTAGGAGCTGAAAAACAAAACAATGAAGCAAAAGTGTTCAATCCTGAAAAATTTGCTAGTACCAGACAAAGACAAGGTTATGAAGAAGGTGATTATACATTATATCATACTATGCCAATTATGGAATTTATTAAAGAAGAAGATCCAATTGATAAATTAGGTACTTTGAATAAATTTGATATCCCTGATAAAAATGAAGATCATGAATGGAAAATTATTACCAAGCTGAAGATTTTCACTCCTGAATTAGCTGAATGTGCCAAAGATTTGAAAGTTCTTGGTAAAAAAGAATTTAAACATTTGATCAGATTCCGTCAAAAGGCTAGAGATTTATTAGGATTGAATGATAAAGTTGACAAAACACCAATTGATGTCGAAGAAGAATTGAATGATGAAGAAAAAATTGATAGAGAACTTCAAGAACTTATGCAAAAAATGGAGAAACAAAAACAAAAAAGAGTCAAGAAATTAAGAGAAATTAAAGCTCAAAGCAAACAAGCTAGTAAGAATGTGTTTGAATTTGATTCTATTTTCGCTGGTTTGGAATCTTTTGGAGATGATATTTTCATTCAAAATGAAATGGATAATAAAGCTGCTGCTGAATCAGGAGATATCGATGCGGGTATTGAAATTGATGAAGATGATTCTAAATCCAAAAATGGTGCTGACGAAGAAGATGAAGAAGAACTTGAAGAATTTGATGGACCAGATCAAGATGATTTGGGAGATCTTCCAGATATTGATCCTATTCCATCATCAGCACGTGGAGCTACACTTGATGAAGATTCACCAGAATTTTTCACATTGGCACATAAAGTTGCATTAGGACAAAAACATGATGTTATTGATTCTTCATTTAATAGAAATTGGGGATTTGAAGATGAACGTGCTATTACTGATGGTATTTCCAATGCTGCACTTCTCTCTAAGAAAGCATTAAAAAATAAAAGACTGTTATCAAAGAAGGCACTTGAAGCAGTTGCTAGAAAGAAGATGAAGATGCAAAAGAAATTTGAGAAATTGAAGAGTATTGAAGATGTATCTGATTATAATAAGATGGTTAAGAAGATTAGTAAAAAACCACAAAAGAAGAAAGTTACTGTTATTGTTGCTCGTGGGTCGAATCGTGGTTTATCTGGACGTCCAAAGGGTGTTAAAGGTAAATATAAGATGGTTGATGGTGTGCTGAAGAATGAACAACGTGCATTGAAGAGAATTGCAAAAAAGAGAAAGTAAATGTAATTGTCATGTGATATTACTAAGTAAGTAAGTAAGCAAATAAATAAATTAATTAATTAATTATCAGGTTCACAAATTAGGAGATTATCAGTAGCAGACGTTATAAATGTAAATCTCTTGTTAAGTTTAAAATCGTAAAATGAGGCGCGCTATATTTATTCCCAATTGGGAAATGTTTGTCAAACGGAGAATTTTATCTAAATTTAGACGCGTTTTCAGGGGGCGCGGGACGAGGAGTAAAAAGGGGACGGCGCCAAACCATGCCCCCAGTAACAGCACCGACCACGCCCCGAACACCACCACCACCATCGCGCACACGAACAACACATTCACCAGAAGATGTTATTATCTACAAGGCTGACAATAATAAGTAGTACAATGAAACTAATACTAATAGTATATGTAAGTAGGTATACGACACATTTACCATGGCTTTGATATATCTTGGAGGAGTAGTTTGTGGAACCAACTAACAAATAAAAATAAAAAAAGGTCCATTGCAATGTTGCAAACAATTTTTTCTGTCTGTCTGTCTGTCTGTCTTATGTTGTGCTGTGCTGTTCAGAGCTGTTCTGTGCTGTGCTGCGCTGTCTGTCGGGTTGGCTAGGAATTTCTTTTTTCTTTTTTCCCCTTTTGGATTTCTCTGCACCAAACAAAATTTAATAATAGAACATTTTGGCACAGAAAAGGGAAAGGAAAAATTTTCTGTTTGCTTTAAATAAAGTAAAATAAAAAAACTTGATATTTAAAAACTACATCAATTTGAAATCCTTTTTCTTTAAATCAACCAACCAACCAACTTACAATAAAGACCTCACCTAGACTAGTCGCTCCTTTCATTCATATATAATAATCACATTCGCTTTCTTTTTTTCTGTCTTTTGTCATTATTTATCTCCAGTTCTAAGTGGTCATTATTTATCTCCCTGTTCCTTACCCTCTCGTACAAGAAAGAATGTCTTCCCTTCCAAGTTCAAATTATCTAGTTTCTCCAACTGTTAGTAGAAGAAGAGGAAGCAGCCACAAAAGATCAATGTCGGCTGACTTTGATGCTATAGGTCTAGGAATAGGTTTGGGGTTTGGCAACTCTCCTCGTTCCCAACAACAACAGCAACAGTCTCAACAATCTCCTCAAACTCCTCCTCGACCACCACCAACGTTATTTTCCATGCAAGATGATTTGGACAAGGATTTTTCATTCCCAAATTTCAAAGACCCAACTAGCACGCCTCCTCCCCCACCACCATTTAAATTCAATCAGTTCCATCGTCCTTCTAAGTCATTGAACTCTCCTATTAGATTCCAAAGAACAGATAGTTCAATCAAGGAAATAGATGAAGATGAGGATGTTGACGATGATGTTGACTTGGTGGATGACGATGCATCCTCGTATTCCTTTTTTGCTACACCAAGATCTGCTGCAAATGCTAATAGATATCATAGAATTATTTCAAACGTTAATGGCGTTGAAAGAGCAGTTACTCCACCAACCGCCTTGACCACTCCCGAGATTGTTGTCACAAATGATGGTGGTGGTGTGGATAACAAAGAGTTATATATGGTGGCAAGTTCTGATAGCAGTTTACCGGAAAGAAACAAACCAGGAATCGTGACCAACAAAATGTCATCATCTTCATTGTCAAAAGAAATTCCATTATCACCAACTAATACCCAACGACATACTTCGGATTCCCCAACGCCAAATCCGATCATACGTAATAGTGGTGATGTCCCCAAGTTATCCAATAATGACATTCCTGTTTTGAATGCAGCCCCATCAAGGTCTTCAACTAGTACACCACCATTGAAATCCACCACTGATTTACCATCTCCAAGAAGACCTGAATCACCAGCAGAAAGAAAGATTCTTAAAGATACAAAAATTCCAGCATTTAAGAATGCAAAATCGCTTACCCAACCATCGTCTTCATCATCCTTATCGACTGCTAGAACAGCAGCAACATCATCTACAGGTGCACAATCTATTAATACCGCAACGACTGCATCTCCTTATCATTTGAGTAGAAATGAATTTAAGCATAGAGGATTTTTACAAAGAAGAGGATCAAATTCAACCGATACTTCATCTATTAGTTCAATCAAATCAAAATTGAAAAGAAGTTCAAGAATTTTTGACTGGCTCAGAAAGAAGTGAACATTATTATTGCATTATCAATCGCATTGATTTAATCAACAACCATAAAAATTATAGATTACCCCCCCAAAAAAAGCAAAAGAGGATATTTACTTTTCTTATTTTTTTTTTTTTTTTTTTTCAATTTCATTTGTTATTATATGTTTTCATACATTATTTACTTTTAGTTTTCTTTTATAGAGGTGTTTTAGTATTAGTTTTAGTTTTAGTTTTAATTTAGTTTTGCATTCTTTTTATTTTATTTTTTAATTATATAATTATTATATTCATGAAAGTAATTTTTGTCTTAATTTCAGTTACCTGTGCCCGCAGAAGGATGCGGGTCCAGAATCGTTGTAGAATCGGTCGATAGATTCCAAACAAGGCGTATCATCACCGAATTTCATTTATGTAACCAGTTCCAAGTTATACATAAGAGTTTCAAGTCGGTTATAAATACATAGATTCAAATCAAACGCGTTTAGAAGATACTAATTATAGAAAACAAACCTTCTTATAGTATAAATTAACGTATTTTATTTCTAATTTGCCGATAAAATTTGACTAACAGTATCATAAATTGAATCATCAAGTGAATAATAATCAAAACCTAAAATTTCTCTAGTTTTAGAATCATCAATTTTAGCTAATGTTTCAGTACCATCAGTAATATCATCTGAAATTGAAGGAAGATTTAATTGAGGAAATTGTTTTATGAATTAATCTAATTAAAGAAATTGCTGAAAATCTTCCACTATTAACTAATAATCGTTTATTTTCAGTAGAATCTTTTTCAAATGCCAATACATGAGCTTTAGCAACATCTCTAACATCAATCCAACCTCCTTTAGTTGGAGGAATTTCAGAATTTGGATTTAATTTTAATAATTTATTTATAATTTCCGATGATGTATTTAAATTTTTATTATTATCAATTATTGGAAATGCTTGTGGTCCAAATACAAATGATGGATTAATAAATGAAATTTTAAATTTAATAGTATCTTGATGATTTTTAATAAAATCCCATGCTGATTTTTCTGCAAATGTTTTAGATCCTCTATAACCTTGAACTGGATTAATTAAAGCTTGATCCCAAGTAATTTCATTCCAACTTTCTTCAGTTATAATTTCTTTATTATTTGCTTCTTTTGAAGCAGTAGCAATAGCAGCATAAGATGAAGTAATAACTACTTTTTCAATATTAATACCATATTTATAAATTGCTTCTAATACATTTTTAGTTCCATTAACAGCAGGTAATAATAATTCTTTTTCAATATCAGTTGCATTAAAATGGAAAGGTGATGCTAAATGTAAAAAAATTGTTGCTTCAGGATGTGATTTTAATACATTATCAAATGCTCCTTCTGATCCAACATCTTCAACTATTTCAAATTTTAAATTGGTTGGATTATTAAATAATTTCAATAATCCTTCACCTTTACTTTGTGATCTAACTGTACCAATAACTTGATAATTCTTGGACAATAATAATTTAACAACATGTTGAGCAATAAATCCAGTTGCTCCTGAAACAATAACTGTAGTCATAATGATAATAATAATAGTAGTAGCAGTACTAGTGGTGGTGGTGAATGAATGAATCAAAATGATATTATTCCTAGAAAGAATAACTTCATGGGGGGAGAGGGAGGAAATTAAGGGGCAGTATTTATATTCTCCGAAAAAACATTGAGCAATTTCCAATGTGGAGATTTTTTTTCGTTTTTCTTCCGTTTAGCGGACATTTCCTAATTGGTATCGGCAAATACCGCATATTATTACCCAATCAGGTATCCGCGCTTAATCGTTTGAGCACGTGATCATACACACATACATATATATATACATTAAAGAATTATTACTACTATTATTATTATAAACCTGTTTATTTTAATAAATCACCTTTATTGATGACAAATCCATTGATGACGGCCATAGCGGCATATAATCTATTTTCAGCTTCTTGAAAAACAACAGAATTGTCACTATAAAATACATCATCAGCAACTTCTTCTTGATGTCTTGGTAAACAATGCATGAATTTCCAATTTGAAGCAACATTACCATCTTGACACATTTTTTGATTAATTTGATAACCTTCAAATTGTTTTAATTTGGCAACTTTTTGTGCTTCTTCCCCCATTGAAATCCAAGTATCTGTTACTACAATATTAGCATTATTTAAAGCAATTTTTGGATCATTAACAATTTCAAATTTTAAATTTTGTTCAGTAGCTAATTTTTCAGCAATTTCAGAAACTTCTTTATCAAAAGTAATGCTATTTGGAATTGAAATGGAAACATTTATACCCATTTTCAAACAAGCAATAGCCAAATCATTAATAACATTATTAGCATCACCAATCCAAGTTAATTTTAAATTTTTAGTTTCACCAAAAGTTTCTTTTATAGTTAATAAATCAGCAATAGCTTGTAATGGATGATATTTATCACATAAAGAATTTATAATTGGAACAGAACTATCTTTACATAAATCCAAAATATCTTGATGAGAATTAACACGAGCAAAAATACATGAAGTCATTGAACTGATAACTTTAGTAGTATCATACATTGATTCATTAACACCTAATTGAATATCATCTTTACCTAAAAACATAGGTTGTGCTCCAAAAAATGATGCGGCACCTTCAGTACTAATTCTAGTTCTAGTTGATCTTTTACTAAATAACAAAGCAACTAATTTACCTAATAATTTTTGATGATTTTCAATAGATGGTTTATCTGATTTAACTAAACTTTTAAAATATTGTGCTTTATTAATCAAAGAAGAAAATTCTTCATTTGATAATTGTGCAATATTAATTAAATGACGTGGGGTAGCTGAAGCTTTAACAGCAGAAGTAGTGAAAAGTCTAGTAGTTGTAGCGGTTCTAACAGATGACATCATTTGAATATTATTTGATTAATTAACTAACGAATAACAAGAAGAAAAGGAAAGAAAAGAAAAAAAGAAAAGAAGAATATGAAAAAATTTCCAACAAGGAAATTATGGGATTATTTATACCGTTGAAAATTTTTTTCTTCTTTCTATAAATTTTTTAGTTCATCCTAATTGGGTAATTGACTCACATTAAGCGCGGTCTGCATATAAACTGCACCCATTTTTTTTTTTTTGGCGGTGTAAAATCTTTTTGACACATTGTACACTACTTGTGATATTTACATCATATGACTAACCTATTTAACTCTTCAATAAGATCATGTTTCTTTTGAGATAATTCTTCTTTTTCAATCTTTAAATTTGTCATCAAATTTTGTTTCTCTCGATTAGTGATTTCAAATTGTTTGATTAATCCAGTAATATTTTCAATTTGTTCCTTCACAGTTGGAATTTTCATCTCTACATTAGTATTGTCATTCCTATCATCATCATCATTATCTTCTTCATCATGATCGGTTTGAATTTCAAAATTGAATTTATTATCAAAATCAATTTTTGTATTTAAAGTACCCATATCTTCATCATTTAATTGTATATCATCATTATCAATTTCAATTTGTTCTTCCTTTTCTTGTTTTTCTGTCCCATCATCATAATTTTTTTCATCTTTATATTCATTAATTAATTCATTGGCATATTTTCTAACTGACATTTTTATATCTTCATTAGGATCTCTATTAGTTTCAATAGGTACATATTTCTTTTGTTCCTGTGGAGGAAGAGGGGGTAACATATCTGAGTTGTACTTTTGTCGAATTTTATCAAGTTTTGGATCTTTCAATTCATCTATATTTACAATAGTTGGATTATTCTCAGGATCTTCATCGTCTAGTTCTAACAACAACTCTTCTTCGTCTACCTTTTGATTTGTACGATATTTATCTAGATTAATAGGTCGTCTTTTGGTTTCTGGAGTTGTGCTCTTTGTTAGTTTCTTTTTAAATAATATCTTAGATGTTGGAATGATTGTAGATGTATCGTTGTAATTATCATTGTCATTGTTATTCTCCACATCATCATTATCATCTTGGAAAGATAATTTCGATCGCAGGATTTTTTTATTACTTGTGAGCTTTTTCTTAAACTGAACTTTACTATTCTTAGTTTTATTCAACTCTTCAATCTCATTAAATAGATCATCATCAATATCTTCATTAACCATTGCTGCAAGTATTCCTTCAAACTGATCTAATGGTTATTGCCGTGTTGCTAACAAACAAACAAATTTTTTTTTTGAATCGCATTAAATTTCGTTAACCAAAAAAAAAAAAAAATTTATTTGATGCAGCCCATCTTGATCATCATCAACATCATCAACATCTCCATCTTGTATTAGAACCACCAACTATCTGTTGATCCACTATGTCAGACGTGCTTAGTAATGATGCACGGAATCTTTACGCTAAAATGCGTGAATTTCCAAGTTCAAAATTATTTGGACAAGAAGAAATTGAAACAGCCCTGGGAGTTAATAAAAAATCCGTTTATATGGATCTTTTACAAGAATTAATTGATCATAAATTTATTAAAGTTAGTAGAACAGGAGATGAATTAAAATTTCAAGCTGTTGCTGAAGAAGAAGCTAAAAAAGTTTCATCTATGACAGATGATGAAGCTATGATTTATTCATATATTGAAAATTCTGGACGTGAAGGTATTTGGACTAAAACTATTAAAGCTAAAACTAATTTACATCAACATATAGTTCAAAAATGTTTGAAAAGTTTAGAAAATAATCGATATATTAAAAGTATTAAATCAGTTAAACATCCAACTAGAAAAATTTATATGTTGTATAATTTACAACCAAGTATTGATGTTACTGGTGGTCCATGGTTTACTGATTCTGAATTAGATACTGAATTTATTGATACTTTAGTTGAAGTTTGTTGGAGATTTATTGTTGCCAAAACTATTTATATTCAAAATCCAGAATCTGAAGATTATGATTCTTCTTCAAATCCATTACAAACTTCTCATCATAATCATCATCGTGGTGTTGATTTGGACCAAATTGTTGATTATATCAATAGTAGTAATATAACAAGTGTGGAATTGGGTATAAATGATATTAGATCTTTATGTGATGTATTGATTTATGATGATAGAATTGAAGAAGTTGGTGGTAATCAAGAAAATAGTGGGATTTTTAGAGCTACTTGGCAAAGTATTATTGATAAAGGAAATACTGTATTTCAAAATAATTATCAAACTATTTCTGAAGCTGTTGATAAAGAATGTTTGGACTATTTACAATCTAATCAATCAAATTTCAGTATTTTCCAATATAAATCAACTATTCAAGATTTACAAGATTCAGAAGATTTGGTTTACTTGGATAGTTGGATGAATGAATAATTCTCATTCTTTCTTCCATTTGTATATGTACAAGATATAGGTTGGTTAATATATATATATAGATAGTTTTAAAAAGTTGATTATTGTTTAGGGACAAAACCAACTCTCCTTTGAGTACCGTCAGATAATGGATCACTTAAAGCATCTTTAAGAGAGATAGTTTCACCTTTATATTGATCATTACCATTCTTCAACATATTAGCAATTTTAAATTTGGACATTTCAATTTCTGTTTGACTTTTTTCATTCCAAACATTTTGCATAATTTCTCTACATTCATCATATTTTTTACCTTCTTTTAATAATTTATAAAACATTTCAGTTTCAAAATAATCTTTTACAATATCTTTAGTTATACTTGTTAATATATCATATTTCCCAGTATTTTCATCAAATTTAACAATTATAGTATATTTCTTAGTATGTGGTCTTTTAATCAAAGTTTCTTCAAATTTATGAATCTTGAATTCTTCTTGAGCTTTTAATTTAAGTAATTTTGCTTCTTCTCTTGCTTTTATCTTTGCTTCTTCTTTTAATCGTTTTTCTTCTTGTTTTAATCTTATAGCTTCTTCTTTAGCTTTCTCTTTAGCTAATTTTGCTTCTTCTTTCTTTTTATTTATACCCATTGCATCATTAAATAAATCATCAACTGCTTTCTTATTGACTTTCTTTGATTTTTTAACATCTGGAGTAATTGGTAAATTATGTCTACACCATTCATCAATATAATTTTGAATTTCTGTATGAGGAGTATTTTCATCAACTCCAGCATTAATTAAATCTTTAGTTAATACAATTTCAGATTTTTTGGATTGATTATAAATAGAAGGAATGAAAAACCATCCAAATTTAGTATATATTGCACTTAATGTTGTTAAATTATTTTGAGGATCATAATCTTTAAGAAATTCTCCAGTTTTTAACATTATTTGATCAAGTTCATCTTGTGGAATATTTGGTGGATAATACTTAAGACCATAACTTCGAGTAAATGAAAGTCTATTTATAATACTTGTGATTCGGTAAACATTGTGAATTCTAGCTCTTAGAAGCATCGTATGATGTAGTTAATAATACTGACTTACTTGATATATGTTAGTGTGTGGTTTCAAACGATGAGAGTTCAAATTCAAATTCAAATTAAAAAAAAAAAAAATTAAAATAAAGGAACAGGTCGTGTATCTGTGACTGAAAATACATGTGATAACAAACACGTGCACGATATATGAGATGAGATACCAAGAAAAAAATTTGGGCTTCGGAACAATACCACAGTTGCATTGATGATAATATTATTATTTCAGTTAGATTATAAGCATGACAAGTCATACGACTGTTAACAAATATACCAGAGTGATCTAGTCAGTCATGGTGTTATTACTTTATAGGTTTTCTATAATGTATGAAATATCTTAGATAAAAAAAGACAAGAATTTGTTTCGGGGATTAATGGAGTTACTGCGAAATTACTTAGTAAAGATTTATTCATCTTCAGTTCTGTGACAGATCAACAAGAAAATAATGAAGAAGATCATTAATCTACAGTGACGTAAAAAAACAAAAAAATCAAAAGAATAGAAAGACATGCATTGGTAGATAGAAGAATCAATTGGCTTATGATAAAGTAATAAACGAACGCCTCGTATCAGTGATCATGGATTCCAAACAAACAAACAGAAAAAAAGGAAAACGAAATAGCTTGTGGGGTTACAATTTATATAAGAACTAATGTATACTAAAAAGAAAGGTAAATTCCTATAAAAGAAAGAATCATTAAATTTCGATTACAAAAATGAAAAAAAGAAAAAGAAAAGCATAAAATTACCAACACCCATTCCATCCGAAATCAATAGATACAAGCTCGACGTTGAAGTTTGAAGTTTGAAGTTTGAAATTTGAAATTTGGAACTTGGAAGTTGGAAGTTGGAACTGGGCGAAGGGATGAGAATATGCCGTTTTGAAGAATCATATTTGTGATTAAACAAAGCACAGAAACAGGATTAATAATAAATGAGTATAATTTTCCTATCTCTCCCCTTTTCTAAATTACAAAATAATAATAATAGTAGACACGATTTAGTAGCATAGGTCGAGAAATTGTTTATGCTCACGAAGGGAGTGAAAGAAGAATACATACCTGCCCGCATGGAAGATATGCATTATTGATTGCACTATTGCCGTGTAGTTGTTTTAATGGTTTACAATTGAAGTAATATGTAATATGTAAAATGTGTATAGTGGGTTTTAAGGTTAGAACACGGTCGTGCACACATGGCTAATTACTTTTTTGTTTCTCCGTTGCACGAAAAATAAAATATTTTTTTTTTTTTCGGTGTGCATGGTTATGGGGCGCCGGTTCAAATTTTTATTTAAAAAAAAAAAAAAAATAGGGGACAGAGACAAACAAAGCCACAGAGTACATACGATTATAATAGAACAAGAGGGAGAAGAAGAAGAAGAAGGAGTCATTAATAATAATCTCACCACTAATACATACACACATACATACAGAGATGAATTTCTGTGACTATTCTCTATTGTATTCCAAGCCAATGAATACATTCACACACACACACAGGCTTATTGTGCAAGAATAGTACAATGGACAAACAGAGAGATAAATGTCGCGGCATTGCATTGTGGAGGTTGCTTTTGATAATGTCGCACACTATTCCCAATAAATCCGAGATAATATAAATTTCAACAATTAAAACAATCAACAACTTTCTCTTCCCTTTTTCTTTTATAGATATATATATCAATATATATTAATTTATATTAATATACTAATAGAACTAGAAGATCAGATTTCATCAAATCAACTTAATTTTTTGATCAATATCTTTGAGTTGTCTAATTAATAAATTATATTATTTATCTAGTTCATCCGTCGCCGACTACTTGATCTTACCTCCTGATTTTTTTTTACACATTATCACCAGCTGCATTCCCAAGTGATCTAACAACTTTTTTTTTTTTTTTGGTTTGGTTTTGTTTGGTTTGTACAGCAAAGATGAATATCCCAAATTCCCCCCTCTTTGCACCGCTGCAATTATCAAATCCTCTTGGTCCTGATTCACCTAACGGTGCCAATAATACTGATTCTTCAAATCAATCTCCAACCCAGATCTTGCTTCCAAATTTACCCGATAAGCCGACAGTTTCAACTTCTTCATTTGCGGCATATATTATTCCATCGGAAAGAAATCTATTTGTCCAGGGATTTGAGCCTCATGAATATATGGCAAGACCTCCTACTTTATTAAGAGGTTCATTAGTCATTAAAGTGTTTAAGCCAACTAAAATCAAATCAATCAACTTGACTTTTAAAGGTGTTCAAAGAACAGATTGGCCTGAAGGTATACCACCAAAAAAAAATCAGTATAACGAAATAAATGAAATTGTAACACATACATGGCCATTTTTCCAAGGAAATTTAAATGAAAAAGTTAAAAATCATGGTGCCGATTGGTTTATTGAAAAGAACGGTACCCATCATCATCAGAATACAAATGAAGAGGACACTGTAACAAGTAGATCAGGAACTCCTCCTCCTCCTTCTCATTCTCATCCACAACCACATCATCAATCTTCAAATAGTAGTATCCCCTCGTTGACACTTTCTCCAACTAGAAAATCCCACCGTGAAGAAACTACTGCAACTTCAAACTTCTTTAGCAGAACATTATCTCCAAGTTTTATGAGAAGAGCAAAATCTCCTTCAATAGCGTCAGTTACAGATAGTACAAGAAATGGATCGTCTCTGGATTTACCATCAACTTCTTCAAACGGAAGCACAGATTCCCATGCTCATATGCAATTTGCTCCTGGTGATTATATCTATAATTTTGAACATCCATTACCTGCTTCCATTCCAGAAAGTTGCGATGTTACCTTCGGTACTACAGCATATTTTTTAGAAGTCAATATCACCAGACCAGGAACATTTAAAAGCAATATATCAGGAAAATTAAATTTAAATATAGTTCGAACTTTATCGGAAGCAAGTTTAGAAGAAAATGAATCTATTGTTATTTCAAGAGATTGGGAAGATCAATTACATTATGATATTGTTATTGGTGCAAAATCAGTTGTGCTAGATCTGTATTTACCATTAGCATTTAGATTTGTACCGCTTTTTGGCAAAGTTGCTTTGCATAGAATTAGAATCTATCTTACTGAAAATTTAGAATATTATTGTTCAAATAAAAAAGTTCATCGAATGGAACCATCCAAGAAATATTTGTTGTTGGAACATAAAGCAGAAAAGGGCAGATCTTTGTTATCTTCGACAAATGGAGATCAAACTGCTGATTTGAATAATTTTGATGAAGATATATTACCTAAAGAATTAGAATTCCAATTATTTGTCCCAACTGAATTGAATGTGAGAACAAATAGTAAACTTCATCCTGATACTTCCTATGACAATATTCAAGCCCATCATTGGATAAAAATTTGTTTACGTATCAGTAGAATAGATCCAAATAACCCAGAAAAGAGAAAACATTATGAAATCAGTATTGATTCTCCATTACACGTGTTGAATAATTTGTGTTCCCATGGTAATACTTTATTGCCAGCTTATGATGATTTGATTCCTCAATCAGGAAGTTCACGTAGTTTATTGGCTAATCATAGTCATGAAGCTGCTCCATTATCTCCAGGAGTTATTCCAGTTGAACATTCTGCCCGTTCTCGTAGTGGGAGTGGTGCTGCAAATGGTATCTTTGGAAGATTCAACAATAATACTAATGGTGGAAGTAATGGTCTCAACACAAGTATCAGCAACAGCAGTAGTGGAAGATCAAGAAGAGGAAGTTCTACACCTGGTGACAATGGAATTGATAGACCTGTGACGCCTATTGATTTCCATCATATTACTTCTGGACTTGAAAATGCTGGTGTTGTTGAAAGAGAAGCAGATATGCATTTAGAAGCTAATTTGTATCAACCAAAAGATGAAGCAAATATTAGTGCTATTAATTCACCACAGGCGGTACCACATCCAGGTACATTTACAAGTCCATTAATGCTGCCTGTTCAACGACCAATTCATTTATTAAGAAAACCATCTACAAATCCACCTCCATTTGAAGCTGACAGCGCACCTCCACCAGCATTACCACCATCATATGAAGAAGCAGAGTCTGAATTTGCGGAAAATCTGACTATTCGTCATCATCTTAATACTGATAATAGTAGATCTTTAAGTTTGTCACCATTAAGAATTGATGAACCTGCGCAGGCGCCACTAACTACTAATACTAATGAAACTTCAGAGTCTGAAGGTGTTGGAAGTACTACACTGGTACGGGATTTGTTAGTCCTACAATTGGGTGGCAGAAGAAGTTCTATGGAATCAGCATTCAGAGGATTAATTCCAACAAATACTATTGATGAAAATATCCCAGAAAATGAACCACAGCCATCACAACAGCAACAACAAGAAATACCAATTCCACATATAGAAATATCTAACCCAGTAGGAGAAAGTACAACTGAAACTAGTAGTTCTGATAATATTACTACAAGTGACAGTAGTTCACATAATCAATCAATATCAACAGGACCAAGTGAACATGAAGTACAACAACAACCACCTCCACCTCCACCACCACAGCTTCCAAGATCTGCAGTAGAAGATGAAGATGAAGAAGATATAGTTGATTATCCATCATCACCAATTCTTCCACCATCACCAATAGTTCCACCATCTGGAATAGCTAAAGTTTCAAGATCTTCATCAATCACATCTACTGGATCTATTGATTTCCCAGTTGAACAAACATTACCATTATTAGGTTCAGTAGCTTCACAAAATTCATTATTACTCAACACTGCTAATACAACAACTACTACAAATTATAAAGGTAGAAATGAATCTGTTGGATCATTACTTTATGAATTTGCTAAACCTACAGAATTTGTTGATGAACTTGATCCAAGTCCAGAGTTTTATAAAATGATGAGTAGTAGTTTAAGCAAATTAAGAAATCCAAGATTACATAAACACTATCAAGATCAAGAATTAAATAAATGAATAAGTTACATATCATTTGTATACGAATTATTGCTTATTACTTATATATATATATATATTCATGATTTTTACTTTATTTTGACATAACTTTTTATATGTAAGATTCTTTCTTTTAAAAACAACTAAATTCATTTGAACAATCTTGAATACTTAATTGTAAAATTTGATCAAAATCTTTTTTGTTATAAATGAATTGATTTTCTTTATTAAATAATTCATTATTTTTATTTTCAATATCATTTAATAAAATTTGTAAATATTTATAACTTGAATCATTTAATTTCAAAATTTTAGAATTTTCAAAAATTAATAAAATGAAATTAACATCTAATTTTAAATTAATATAATTTAATGAAGATCTTAAAGGAATTTGACGAATATTATCAATTATATTTTTAAGTAAATTTAATTGTAATTCATTTATAATTGTAATATAAATCTCTTGACTTGTTAATGGTTTAATTTTATTAATTAATTTAACAAAATGAATTAAAATTTCATAAATAAATCCATCAACTTTTAAAACTTGTGGTAATGATTGTTTTGAATGGAAAAATTTATTAACTTGTTGAGCAATAAATAATTTTTCAATATTTAAAATATCATCAATTATTGTTAAACTTGCTTTATCAATATCTGCAAATAATTTCAAATTTTGTTTCAGTAAATCTTTATCAAAAAATTTATCAAATTGATTTAATAATTCTGGATAAATAACTCGTGATAATTTATCAAAATTATTCATAGTTAAAATCTTGAATACTTGTAGGTTTTTGTTATTACTATAACTATTGTTGTTGTAAAGATCATCATTATTCCCACTTTCTTGTCTATCTAAATTGTATTTCTTCATCATGGAATCAACAATGATATTTAAACTTCTCATGAATTGAATTTCAATCGAAACCAACATACGTTTACTTGGATAAGCAGCAACTATTCTATATTCTGATGATTCATTATAAACCACCAATTCACTAATTTTTAATAAAACATACAATTGATAACATTGAATAATACTCATAAGTTTAGTACATTTCCCATTAGTAGTCTTATACTTCTCTTTAATTGAATTATCTAATGACCAATCTTCCAATTCATAAAATTGTGAACAATCATTAACCCATGTGGCACAAACTGCTTCCAAGATTTTTTGATTAATTTTAAGTGATGAACTCTTCATATTTTTAATCACTTTATTTGTATCGGTAAATTGACTAGCATTACCAATTGTACCAATAACATCCCCAAAACTATTCATGATTTTATTTACTTTATCATTAACTCTTGATAAATGATAAATTGCCGATAATGAATTACTATAATATGGTACAAATTGTTTATAATTCTTGGGTGTACTTTCCAATTGATTATTATCACTATTTTCATCATCAAATAGTGCTACTAATATCAACACCACTTGATTGATTAATTTAACACATAAATCTCTAATATTACCATCAGGATCAATACCTAATTTAGTATAATGAACATAATTGTTTAAAAATTTAACAATATTTGTTACTAAAATATTATCCAAATAATTAATGAAATTATACAAAACCAACCAAGTTTCATTAATTAAACTTAAATCTAACGAATCATTACTTTCAAATGCTTCTTTAATTATAGTTAATTTTTGATCTATTCTTGAAGTCAGACCAATATCATCTTTATAAGTATCATATTTTTCACTAATATAATTAATATGAGATCCTTCTCTTCTTTCAGGATTCAATGAACGAATATAATCAACCAATTTATTTTGAGCAATCAAGAATTTCCCATCAAATTTCTCCACTTGTTTACTAAAATCTTGATCAACAACTTCAATTTGTTTAATTAAAAAATCAGCAATTGGATGTGCCATTTTAGAATCAACATTTAATCGAGATAAATTATCCACTAAAGAAATAAATCTTGAATTTGAATGACTTTTAGATACTTCATGATCTAATGATAAAAACTCTTGATATGTTTTATTTCTATATTGTTGAGCAATAGTATCAATTTCTTGAAAAGTTTTAGAAATTAAACTCAATTTTAATTTCCTTTCTTGATCTATGGTTTGTAATGCTTGTGTGTTGTTTTCTTGAGTTAATTTCAACACTTGTTCACTATATTTATTATTGAAATTGGTTAAGAATCTTTCTTTATCATGAATATATCTATTATAATCATCAATGAATTTATCATTATCACTAATAGACAATGAATGAACTAAATTTTTAGGTAAATCAAAAAAATGTTGATTAGCTTTAATAAATTCCGTCATTTTTAAAACTTTATCTTCTTTATGCTTACTTTCATTAATAGGTTGAATCAGTGCTGAAGTACTATTCATTAAATTACTAATATTTTCTTCCAATTCAGAGGTTAAATCTTCTTTACCATTTGAATTTGTTGATACCATATTACGTCGTTGTGGATTAAAAACTCTCGAATTTGATCGATCTTGTTGTGCTTTAGTTTTCAGTCTCATAAAATCAATTAACGAATCATCAATTTTCAGTTTTGTATTTATAAAATGAATAAAATTTGATTCAATTGCCATTCTTAAATTTTCACTTTGTCCATGAATTTGACGTTCCATTCTTGAATATGATTGATTCAAATTTTGATTATCTTTATGTTGAGATATCAATTCCATTAATATACTTTCTTCTCCTTGTGAAGTTCTTCTACTATCAACCACTTTTTGTTCAGATTCAATTAAATCCAACAACATGTTGTATTGTTGTTCGGTACTTAAATCAGATACTTCATCAGGTGGAGTATTAAATTCATGATAATTTATATCTTTAAGACTATTTGGTCTCATGGTTGTCAAACCATAAGTGGCCATCAATTTGGCTTCATTTGGTTGCAAATCAAACATTGTATGCCCTGCTGAGTGTGTCGTAATGGTAGTTGCTGATCGTAGTTGTTAATGGTGGAACCACTGGAATATTGAATCGTGGTAACAAAACAATCGACAAACAAAAAAAAAAAAAATAAAATATTGAAACGAGGTCGTGTGAACACGGACAGCAGAATCACGTGACATAAGTTCGGTTAATGGCAACTCAAATATCTGACATTCCTAGGTTTGATTCTACGGTGATTAAGCTATAAAGGATGTGTTTGCTACTCTACTATAAATATATAAACTGTGTTAATGATTCAACTTGCGAACTTTTCTTGCTTGCTCTTTATATGGATCCGGCAAATCAACACATAACCTTTGCTCAACATTAAGGATATCAAATTTTGGTTTGTTAGATAAGTCATCCAATATTCCTGCCACGTCATATTTCAGTAAATGATTATAAGTGACATCCACAAATCTAATGGAAGAACCGAAAAATACCTTTTGTTCCTTCCTATTGGAAAATGAATTCCTTAAATGATTATGTTGCAAGTATAATTTTGCAAGATTTGTGTTTGAAAAATCACCCACCAAAGTTTTAATTTTATTGGAGGATAAATCTAATATCGTTAAAGATTTTGGTAAACAAGCAGTATCAAAGGAAAGTAAGTTATTCTTGTTAAGGAACAAAGATTTCAACTTTGTACATTCCAATAAATTCAGCAGGATTAACCATTCAATATCGATTTCATTTTCAGATAAAACCAAATGTTCTAATTCTTTGGGGAAAACCAATGATTTTTTGGATATTCCTAATCGATTACGACTAAGTGACAATTTTTTGAGATTTTTGGGAAGACCACAGACTGTTACTAACTTGTTACTATCTAATCTTAAAATTTCCAAATTCTTTGAATCGATTCTGGTAACTTTTGAAATGGCATTATGTTCAAGCAGCAACTCTCTAACTGTATTTGGAATAACAAAATTATCCTCTCCAATGGATTTAAAATTATTCCAAGCCAAGTGCAAGTGTATTACTCCTGGGCTAGTAATATTAATCTTGGATAGACCACAATTTTCTAAAGCTAAAGTCCTTAGAGAATCTGGAAGGTTGAATGAAAACCCGGTTTTTGACAAATCATATTTAATATTTAGTTTGTTAAGGTTGTGCAATTTAGTCAACTCATTAAAATCAAATTTGGACAAATTATACATAGTTAGTGTTGATAAAGTAGTAGGAATATCCAGAATGGACAACGGTTTCGTAAAACCAAGATGCAATTCTTGAAGTTGGTAAAAATCACTCATTGTAAAATCAACAACCATCAGTATGTCAGTTTGATAAATTGGTCTAGTTTGCAATGATTTAAGTCCAATTGGCAATTGTTGCATTTCTTTTTTGGATAAATCTTCATGACGATAAAGAAAGATTTCTGGAATTTCTAATATCTCTAATGTTTTAGGAAGAGACAAAATATCCAGCCAATTCTGGCTGTATAATTCTGAACCTTTGTAATGCACATTTGATAATGAGACACGAGCTGGAAAGGTCATCGTGAATTAAAGTTGGCCAGTCGATACTAAGCGATTTAATCGAGCTTGGTACCATCCACAGACTAGGCGAATATCTGGTATCTATATGAAAAGCAAGTGACAAATGCTTAAGATTTGCCAACTGTGTAATATCATAGCAGTTGATGTTTTCCTGACCATTTTGTCTTTGATCATTCAATGCAAGGTCCAAATGAATTAGACCTTTGGGAAAATCTAATTCTACTTCATCAACGTTTTCACATTGAAAACAGCAAGATAATGATTTAATAGTTCTAGGAATAGTATCGATATCAATTTCTCTAAATTTGGCCCGAGTTTGCAATGATGTTAAATTCTGAAAATAATCTGCAAAAATAATTCTGTGATGTTCTCCTGTGGAAATAAATAATGATGAAACATTTCTAGTCAACTGTATGGGCAAAAAGTCCTTTCTGGACCCGTACACCGTTAAATGCATATGATGGACAACAAAGGGTGATTTGTTGTATTCTTCAATAAAGTGTTTTAAATTAAAATACTTTGATAATTGTAAACGAAGTGTGATTTTTGTGTTTTTCAACAAATTTGGAAATGACTTTGCAATTTTAAGAAGTTCATTTGCTCCTTGAAACACCAACAGTTTAGGAGATATGAAAGCATTTGACTTTCTCAACTCCAAATACTCAGCAACTGACACATCTGGCAATCCCTTGTAAAGTAAATGCAGAGATTCTCCCTTGAGTGCCCCCCAGGATGGTTCAGAATGTTCATATTTATCAGAAATTGATATAGTAGAATAATACCTTCTCACTGCATGCTTACCAATAATTGGGAGTTCGAAAAGTCTTTCTAATTCTGTATTCGGAATATAACTGATGATAAGTTCAACAACTTCAACTGGTAATTCCTGAAATCTAACCATTTAGTAACGCGTCTTGTTGATTGTTGAATATATTTATTAATAATCGTAGGAAATGTCCTCACTTGATGTGAACCTTTAAAAGTAAATCTATAAAGGAATAATCAGTTGGTAGGAGGGTTTTTTGTTGTTGTTGTTGTTGTTGTTGTTGTTGTTGTTGTTGTTATCATATTGCAAATCGTTACGGCGAGAGAAAATTAAAACGGTAACAAAGTACACGACACTTTTGTGAAATGTAATGTGATGTTTAATTTTTAAAGACAATAAATCAGCACAAGTTATTATGAATGATATTGATATTCATGCTATTACTTATCATCATCTTTTTCTTCTCGCGAAGCTACCTTTTCAACGATGGCTTTACACATACGTTGTATCACATATCATCTAGTGCGGTCTGTGGTGTGGCTGATATTGAACATTATCACACACGACTTATTCAATTAAACTATCCAGCTAATGTACGGTTTAAATGCCCTCCACCTCCACAACAACCAGATCAATGATAATGGGGTGGGGGCGGGGGAAGTATAACAGACAGATTGTATAGTCGGGAGCATCGAGTTGTAGACGCTGCACAGTCTTGTCCACACTCACACGACCATTTGTTATCTTTTAGTTAAACAATGAAGATTTCCCACCACCGTTATGAGAAGAAGATGAAGCCGAAGATGTTGTTGATATTATTAATATTATTAGAGCACACGTGGGTTGGTACACACAAGGAGTTAATTATTAAACTATTACAGATACGAAACTCAGCCGACTCACACAGACACGGACACATAATAATCCACTGTACAGTACCATAGTTTAACTGGCTCATTCAAGTTTTGTTAGCCTATCGCTTCAATATGAACCATTAAAGGGATATCGGAGGGTTTTTTGTTTTTTTTTTTTCTATACACCAATACGAGGCTTAATCTTGTTTTGAATTCTATTTATATACTTGGAAAGTAAGAGGTTCTTTTTGTATATATATAAAGACCACGTAAGCCAACTATCAACTACTTATACCAACCAATCAATCAGTCAATCAATCAATTGTCTATTGGTACTTCATTTTCTGACATTCCCCCTTTATTCAATTTCCGAGAATTAATCTTTTCATTTCGGATTTATCGTATTTTTTTTTTCAACGGATTCATCAAATATCACCCAATAACCATTAACTACTATTTATAATTTTTGAACATACCCATTCCTTTACTGTTTCCCACTATTATTCAATAATGTTAACTGCACTTAAGAGGAAAAGACACATATTGTTGCCAATACTTATAATATTATCGATTATTGGATTTGTTCATTATTCAAGTTCAATTCTGTTTAATACTTCATCAAATTCCAACAATTCATCATTTTTAAAACTGCAAATCCCAATTTCATCAAATACTAATGGGAAAGCTGCTAAATATGTACCAAAATTTAAAAAATTAACATTCATTGATTATGATTTTGATTTTACTAAAGTAACTTATACTTCAACCAATGATAAATTCACATCTACTTATAAATCAATGAATCGTGATGATGGGATAGTTGAAGATAGTTCAGTTAATTATTTTCCTGGTAAACAAACTATTTTAATCATGTCAGTTATTGGAAATAGTAGTCCATATGGAAGAGATCGAAATTTTGAACAATTTTTAAAAACAATACTTTCAATAGTTGAAGATCAATCAGATTATATTATATCATTATCATTATTATGTAATAATCCTGATGAATTTAATAATATTCAAAAATATTTTGAAAATGAATTAGAAAATAATTTAGAATTATTTTCAACTTTATTTGAATCCATAATTATTGTATCGGCTCCATTTTTAGATGAAAATTCAGGATTTAATAGAAATGAAAGACATAGAGATTCAATTCAAAGATTAAGAAGAAGATTAATTGCAAAATCAAGAAATTTCTTATTATTACATTCTTTAAATAATCAACAATATATTCTAACTATTGATTCAGATATGATTAGATTTGATAATCCTGAAAAATTCATATCAAGATTTATAAATTCTAAAAAAGATATAGTTGTTCCAAGAATTGAACGTCCAGGTTTAAAAGATTATGATAAAAATTCATGGAGAGGTGAAAGAACAAAACCAAATCAAGAACAATTGGATAAAATGGATAATAATCAATGGGATCAATGGGATTATGTTCCAAGAGATGTTCAAAATAATATGTACCATTTTCAAACTTACATTGACAACAAAGATAATGAATTTGAATTACATAAAGATGATCCTGATTATATCATTCCTTTAGATTCTGTTGGTGGAGCTGTATTGTTTATGAAATCAATTGTCATTAAACAAGGTGTCATTTTCCCAACTAGTTTAATTGTTGGTACCACTTGGGATAGACAAGAAGGATATGATGGAATTGAAACTGAAGGAGTTTGTTATTTAGCTAAACCTCTAGGTTTTTCATGTTGGGGTATGCCAAATATAGTGGCTCATCATACTGGATAGAATCGACATAATGATTATATATATATATATATATATATTTATACAGACAATAGAAAAATACTTACGATTAGAATACACCAATCCATTCCCAGACTTTCATGATTTCGCCATGATGTTCAATAATTCTATGGGAGACATTACTGTTTCTTTCAACTTTATCAACAACTTGTTTCCATAATTTCAATCTTTGATTTAAGTTATTCTCATTACTTAATATTGAATCACGTAATTGATTAGAGCCAATATATGAATATGTTTCTGGATTATTGCTTTCTTGTCCAATTTTGGATTGTGTTTTTAATTTATTCAATACTTCTTCATAGATAATATCAATTTTCGCCAATTCCAATTGATAATTTTTATATTTAATTTGAATAAATTTAATCACCAATGCTATTAAAACAATGGTGATTATTCTCGACTTGTATTGAGTCAATCCTCCCACAATGCTATTATGAATTTGACACTTTAAACTGATGTTTGATAAGGACGTTGATCGAAAAATCTTGTACGTCTCTTTCTCCTTGGTTTCAGCGTCGTTAATGTCAAAAGTGAATTCTGCTGATTGTAAATTTGGAGATCGTTTCTAAATTAATTAAAGTTAGTATTAATCAAAGTTCATAAGTGAATAATAATAATAATAAATAGTTAAAAAAATCTATCGTACTTGCCTTATAACAATATCGGGTTCTTTTTCTAATTCAATTACTGATTTTTCCCATAATTCTTCAAATTCTTCCAATGTAATATATGGTGCTTTAATAGATAACAATAAATCATGTAAATCTTCTAATTTGATTCCACATTCTTCATCATCTGTACCCAATCCACATTGAATTGCTGCATTTTTACTTCTTAATAAATCCAATGCCACATCAATCATAATTTCCAATTTCTCAGCTTTTTTAGTATCAGGGATACACTTCTTATGACCAGGAACAATAAAATCATACCATGGTTTAGATTCCATGAAATTCTCCATACAACTCAATTTCAAATTTGGATGACATCTACTGTATTTAGGGCAACTAATACAATTCGGTTTAAAATTATCATCCAAGAATTTACCAATGCTTTCTAAATAGATATTATTAGAATCAGAAAATGTCAACTGATCAATTTCTTGTCCACAATATCCAACGGAATATTTTTGTTCATAATACCACAATCCAAATAATCCACTACCAACAACAAAAATCCACAAAATCATGGACCCAAGAAATTTGGAAAATGAAATTGATCCCTTGTTGGACGCGATATAAGAAGTCTCTGCCTCGGATGTTTTAGATAAATTTACTTCCGAATTATCTTCATCTTCATCGTCCTCGTCACTATCAGTTTCATATTTTTGAGATCCCAAGGATAATAATCTTGGTTTAGGAGTTAAAGCAGATTTTCTAATCAATGGAGATTGTTTCTGTGGAGTAGATTTCTTACTAGAATTTACTGATGATTTCTTTGCAGAACTAGATACAGATTTTCTACTAGAAATTGGTGTCACATTGTCCTTGGAATGTTTTGGTGTTGACACTTTTGAAGATGATTTTCTTGGAGTGATTACCTTTTTGTTATCCTTCATTGGTGTGGAAGCATCTTGTGCTGGTTGTCTCTTTCTAGCCAATTCTTCTTTCAAAGGGGTCGTAATGACAGGAGGTTGGAACCCTTGGATGGTAATACCCAACAGTTTTGCCATATCTGGATCAACTTGTCTGAAGCTCTTTTCCATGGATGTATCCTCCTCAGCAGACTTGAACGATTCATCCTTAGAAGATGTTGGAGAGCTTACTGAAATCTTACTAGGGGTAGATTTTCTAGACGATGATTTTGATTTTGGTTTAGAAATCTTGGAGCTTGATGAACGTGATTTCACAGATTTCTGCTTGGATGGGGTAATTATAGTTGAACTTGAATCGTCTTTGGTGGTTTCTTCTTGTTTGAGAAATTTTTCATACAATTCTGTATCACTGTCATCACCCTCTTCCTCCTTCTTCTTGACATGGGATTTCTTAACGCTTGATGGGGTTTCACTATGTTTCAGTTTCTTTGCTGAACTAATAGTACGTTTTCTCACCAGACTTTCTTTCTCATCTTCCGGATGTTTTCTCTTTTTAGCTGAAGAAGAAGCAGAAGCAGAAGGTGATGGAGATTGGAATACATTCTCTTTACTAAATGAAGTTTCTTTCTTTTGTTCAGGGCTTAGAGTTTTCTCCTCTTTAACAAAAAGAGATTCCTCTTCTTCCTCTTCTTTTTGTGCTTCGACTGACTTGGTAGTTTTGGATTTTGTCTTTTTGGCTTTTCCAGATGTCTTTCTAACTTGCAATACTGAATCATCCAAATCAAACAAACTATTCAATTCGGAATTCCCGTTACTTCTATTTCTAGTAGCACGAACAGAACCAGTTTCTTCATCAGTATCGCCAATTTCAGGACTTTTAGTTCTACTAGATGTTCTTCTACTAGTAGAAGTCTTCAATTTTGAAGCTGGTTTCTTAGCCCTAGTTTTGGCAACTTCAAGAGTTGGTTCCTTTTTATCATCTGATTCAACTTCTGGAGTGCTTTTCTTTGATTTGGTTTTCTTCTTATTTGTTGTCGATGACACCTTAGGTTCTTCAGAGGCATTCACAAACCCCTCATCATTGGAGTTTTTAACCTTCTCATTATATTTCTTAAGTAATTTCTTTGCATTTGGAGCAATCTCAGAATTAAATACTTCAATTAATGATGATTTGGTAGCTGAAGAGGAGTATTTAACCTCATGTCTGTTTAAAATATTCCTCAATTGAGCTGATGTCAATGATGATGGGTCAAAATCTAGAAAAAGAAAAATAATTGCTGTTAGTATTTTTCAATACAAATATACAACTAAATGATTGTAAACTTATGTTACATACCGTCCTTTAAATGATCCATGGTATCTATTAAATACAACACTAATCCAGTGGTTGGTCAGGTGGAAATGACTTTATGGTTAATGAATGAATTTCAGGTTTGTTGATGTTTATGTTTTTCTTTTTTTTTTTGCCTTTTGTTTTTGTTTATGTTTTGAATTGTTTTTTTTTCTCTTTTGCTATTGAGGGTCGTGTACATTGACACTCTCCTGCATGTACCAGACAACAGCGAGATCGCCAAAAAATACTACCAAAGCCGATTCCAAAATCTCCCGTCCAACACAGAGGTGGTACGGTTTAGGTCATTGTAAAATTATTAACAGACTTAGATTATCATGCCAGATTCACCAGTGTTATCATATAAGAAGCCAAGTCAGAATAATAACTCTTCCCGAAGAGTGTCTTCATCAGTTCCTTCAACACCAAATTTGTCACAACCTGATTCTCCAATTGGGTCTCAACATTTTCAACTGCCATCATCAATAGATTCACCAAGATCATCTATTTCAACCATTCCAACTACGAGAAAAGTATCATCTAGAAGAAAAGCATTACAGGAATTTTATCATTTAAATCAGAATAATAATCATGATGATGATCCAAATTCATCATCTTCTTCAAGTTCTCAAATTGGTGTTACATCTGTTGAAAATTTAGATATTTCCAATCCAGAGAATATTGAGAATATGATTAAGAATTCACCTATTGAAGATATATTAAAATTAAGGAATTCCTTGTCTTCAAAACTAAATTCATCTAATCAAACTAAAAAATCAATTATTTATGATAATTATTATGAATTGATCAAATTAAGCAATACGTTAGCAGATTTATCGACAGCTAGATTGCCATCTAAAAAAGAATCAAATTTGGTATTTAAACTATACACCGATGATGATGACGACTCTACTACTAACAAGAAGGAGAAAGAGATGACTAAGGAAGAATATGTTGATAAAACACTTGATGAATTATCAGATTTTGTATCTACAGAGGGAGACAAATTTAATGGTTCATTTAAAGAAGTACTCGATAAACTAAATAGTTCTGTTGCATCAGATAGTGCAAGTATACTAACTTTAAGAGACGATGACGATGATAATGATCAATTAGAACAATCTGAAAAACAAAAAATAATAGATCACATTAATTATATATTAGATTTACCCAATCAAGCAGACTTGGATGACACAACAAAAGAAGAAGCTATTCAAGATATAAAAAATATACTACAGGAAAATCCAGATAACGAATTACTTGCATTACAATTAACCAAGATTGAAAACACACTTTTATAGAATATCATCAATAGAATGATTTTTAAATTTCTTACCTGCTCTATCAACAGATCTAAATTCAAATCTTGATCCCACTATAGTAAATCCAATATAACTCTCTTCATCACTTGGATCAATAACTTCAAATCCAAAAATTGTATGCTTTTTCGGTACAACTTTTAATCCTCCAATTAATTCACTTGGAGTAAAATTTGATTTATCTTCATTCCATTCTTTACTATCTTGATCTTTAGGTACTACTATAGTGAAAGAATGTTGAGAATCCCAAATTACAATTCCTCTAATTCCAACAACACTTGTATTTCGTGATTGTAAAACCGTTATTAAACATCCATTAAAATCAGCACTTGATAATCTAGGAAGTATAGCTGATAATGGTTGTAATTTTTGACCATTTTGGAAAATTAAATCTTGCATATATTTCTGCCATAATTCATTCATTGTTATAAAATCATCAAAATTTGGAATTTTATATTTTTGCAATAATTTATCAACATTCAATGCTGATGAAGATGATGTTTTGTTTCGATTGTAGTGTTGGATTTTTTTAATTAATTTACGTTGATTGATAAGTGTACTTGAAATGAATTTTTTAACTTCAAGTCTGGTTGTAAGCTTTCGCTGTTTTGAAATACCGTCATCTGTAGAATCTTGATTCAATAAAGATGTTCGTTTCTTTGGTTCATTATTAGTGATATTTTTGAATAATATAGTTGGCTTTTGATCTCCATGTAGGGAATATCTTGATTCTAACAATTCAACTATCCTAGAGTTTGAATCATAACATCTAGAAAGAAGATGCTTCTCAATTTCATTGTTTGGAGTTAATGACATGGTTGATAATAGTACTGGTTGTACTGATTTGATTATTTGATGATAATTTTTTTTTTTTTAGACATTGAAATTTTCTCGATGCAGTTGATGAGGTTTATGAAATTTTGTGGGAATATTAATGGAAATCAAAAGATGATGTTACTACGAATCGTCCGATTAAAACCACTTAGAATAGTACCAAAAAGGTATTTCAATAACATTAGTGTTCCATTTGAAGATGATTTAACAGCATTTGAAGATGATAATTTAGCTGATTTTCAATACTATCATGAAGCAATTGAAAAACAACAACAACCTCAACCACCAGTACAACAACAACTGTTATCTGAAGTAGCACAACAACATAATCCAGTTGTGTTTGTTTCAAAATTGAATAATCCATATATCAATCTTGCCATTGAAGATTATATCTATAATGTCATGCCAAAACCAGAATCACCAAAAGACAATACCTTCAATCGATTAATGTTTTATATAAACACACCATGTGTTGTTATTGGTAAAAATCAAAATCCATGGCAAGAAGTTAATTTACCAGTTTTAAATTCACTTGGAATCCCAATGTTAAGACGTAGATCTGGAGGAGGTACAGTTGTTCATGATTTAGGAAATGTAAATTATTCATTTATGACAACAAAGGGGAATTTTGATCGATTTAAATTTATTGAATATATAACTAATGGAGTTAATAAATCCAATCCATTATTTAAAATTCAAGCTAATGAACGTGGTGATATAGTAAGTGAAGAAATTGATGGGATTAATTACAAAATTAGTGGGTCTGCTTATAAATTATCAAAAGGGAAATCATATCATCATGGTACAATGTTATTAAATCTGAAATTAGATGTATTAGGGAAATTATTACATAGAGATGAATCTAAATTAGGTGTTGTTGATGCTATGAATTCTATTTCTTCAGTTAAATCTAAAGTTATGAATTTAGAAATGGACTCTGAGAAGTTTATTCAAGTTGTTAGTAATGAATTCAAGAATATTTATGGATCCAATGAAGAACAAGATAAAGAAGCAGTTGAATTTAATGATATGCTTGGATTACTGGATTTTATGGGCAATGTACCAGTTACTGTTTATACAATTGATGAAAATACAGAATTACCTAGTGAAATTAAACAAACTTCTGAAGAATTGCAACAATGGTCATGGAAATTTGGCCACACGCCAAAGTTTACCCATTTATTAACCAACGAAAAACACAATTTTACATTATTATTTGAAGTGGAACAAGGTTTACTAAAAGGGTTTAAATTAGATTTTAAAGGTTCCAATGATGCCAAAAGTAAAGAGATTTCACAATCATTCCAATATCTTCAATTACATATCAAGAATCATCCTTTGCAATATACAGGTAGTAATGTTGCAGGGTATGTCCTCGACGATGAGATCAGTGATTGGATAGGAGAGTCAATAGATGGAACTGTCTAGATGTATATATACATATATAATTTGTAAATAGCGCATTTACCCCCAAAATGTACATCAAGTGTGGCGTTCTTGAAATATACCTGATTTGGTAATCAGAGTAGCGCATATGATTTAGGACGAAGTGGCTCAGGGCTTGGCTTCCTCTACCACGAGCGTCGACCCAAGCGCAACGCAGCAGCAATCAAAAAGAAGAAACGCGCCTGCGCGCGCGCGGGGGAGAGAGTGGGAACACACACAAAGTTTCCGTGGATATTACGTAAATCTGGGGTAAATTTATACTAAACAACAATTGAATCAACCACGGTATAATGTAGTTCAGATAATAGGAAGTAGTGTCGGTATGGATGTCAAATAGCCTTATATTTCGACATCACCATGACTGTTGGCTCCTTTCTGTAACTATATCATTGAGTGTCTGTAAGAATTGTTAGCATATGTGTGTCTTTTGCAATATCATGGTGTATACCAAATGAGGTTAAATGTCACAAGCACTTTAATGAGAAAACTTCAACTACACATAAACTACTAATCATATACACGTCTTGATATAAGTTATTTCTCTAATTACACACGGGTACTTGTACCAGATTGACTCTGGCAAGCCCGGTGAGAATGCCAATCCCACGATGAAGCAATGTCCCTTTTTCTGAGTTTGGGCGCTAAAGTGGGGAAAAGCATTTGTTTAAACTTGTCATTAGACTAGCCCGAGATTTAACTGACATTTAAACAAGAAGAAGGCGGGGGTAATGAGGATGGGGGATCAGCATGTAGCAAGAGGGAGTCAAGATTTTTTTTCATCTCCACAATTGAAAATGATAATACAATCAACAATAACCGGTCGGTTATTCCTGGATTGTACTTAAACCAATAAAATAGGTTAAACAGAAAAGGGGAAAATTTTCATTTCTTATTCTTATTCTTTCATTAAACAAGGTGTATATAAATATCATCAGGAATTCTTAAATTTCTACATTAGTATTTTTTAGTTATATATATAAAGCAAATTTCCTTATTTTTATACTTTTACCAAAAAGTATTTCAAATCACTTATTCTTTCTTCTTTAAATTATTCATTCATTCCAAAATGTTGAGATCATCTATTCGTACATTTTCTACTCAATCAAGAGTATTGGCCAACTATGGTTTTGTCGGATTGGGTCTTATGGGACAACATATGGCAAGACATATTTACAATAATTTAAAACCAGTTGATAAATTATATGTACATGATGTTAATCCACAACATACAAGTGATTTTATTACTCAAGTAACTAGTCAAAAACCACATAATGCTTCTCAATTAACTCCATTGTCTTCATTGAAAGATTTCACTACTGAACCTGAATCTCAATTAGATTTCATTGTAACTATGGTTCCTGAAGGTAAACATGTTAAAGCTGTTGTTTCCGAATTAGTTGAACATTTTAATAATTCAGGTAAATATGATTCAAATAAACTTTTAACATTTGTTGATTCTTCAACTATAGATATTCCAACATCAAGAGAAGTTCATCAATTTGTTGCTGATAATTTAAAAGGTGCTACATTTATTGATGCTCCAGTTTCTGGTGGTGTTGCTGGTGCAAGAAATGGTACTTTATCATTTATGGTTTCAAGAGATACTGTGGAAGATATTGATCCAAATTTAGTTACACTTTTAAATTATATGGGTGTTAATATTTTCCCATGTGGTGGTAATCATGGTACTGGATTAGCTGCAAAATTAGCAAATAATTATTTATTAGCAATTACTAATATTGCTGTTGCTGATAGTTTTCAATTGGCTAATTCATTTGGTTTGAATTTACAAAATTATGCTAAATTGGTATCTACTTCAACTGGTAAATCTTGGGCAAGTGTTGATAATTGTCCAATTCCTGGTGTTTATCCTGAAAAAAATTTAACTTGTGATAATGGTTATAAAGGTGGATTTGTTACTAAATTAACTAGAAAAGATGTTGTATTGGCTACTGAATCAGCTAAAGCTAATAATCAATTCCTTATGCTTGGTGATATTGGTAGATACTGGTATGATAAAGCTTGTGAACAAGAAAAATATGCTAATAGAGATTTATCTGTTCTTTTTGAGTTCTTGGGTAATCTTAAAAAATAGATTTATTTAACTAGGTTTAATACATGTCTTTAGGAGCTGTCAAGATATCTAAATTTTAGAGGTATTGTAACTTGGTGCAAAATGAAAAAAAAAAAAAAGGTTAACAGAATATTCATCACATCATATGTAGAGATAATCACGTACTTCACTAATCATTGCATTCATTATTAGATTTTATTAGAACATATCCTATACCCATGAAGAAATTCCTGTACTTGTAGCACCTTGTTGTTGTTCTTTCTTATCATGATAATTCATGCGAACTACTTTTCTTATCCATCTCCTTCTTCTGAAAAGTTCATGATTATTAGCCAATTTTTCAATCTGATCTAATGTTAATTCATTAATTGTATGAACCTCAGATGATACATCTTTTTTATCTTTATCATCACTATCCTCTTCGCTAGTGATTACATCATAAGCCCATTTTTCATCTTCATCGATGATTACTAAATCTTGAATCAAATTATTTTCAACCCATGCATTTATATTATAATCAATTTTCCATTTTTCTGATTCCAAAAATTTATAATTAACTGGAGGATTAATCTCAGATAAGGTATCTCTTTTATTAAGATTTAAAAGCTTAGCATCATCTTCTTGATAATATTCGTCCTCATTCTGTTTTTCCAATTCTAGAATAGCATTATTGTATCTTCGAACAACCAGGTTTGTAGTATAAAAATTCTGAGTAAATCCAACTAACTCCCATATCTTTGTCTTTGTATTCATTTTCTGTAATTCATAAATTTCCACCATTTTTGTATCATTATCATCTGTACATTCAAATCTTGCTTGATCTACAGTTGGTGATCTAACCAAGTGCTTGGTGAGCCTATCTTCTAGCTTATTCATGAATTGTTGAATATTCAATCTGGTGTCTTCTTTATAAATCCATTCCAAAATTGAACCACGTATTGTTGGATGTAACAATATAGTTAAACTCCATACATTAACAATCAAAAATAATTGCACAATGATAAAATGATTCAATAAAAATGGAACCAAAATAGGTAAGAAATACAAGTTACCAAATATAAACCCCACGCACATTAAATATATAACTGATGTTACTTGTTCATTTCTAAAATACAAATAATCTGATGTCAACCACACAGCAAAATCAAATAGTTTGATGTTTAAAGTCATAAAATTCTGGGTATCTGTTAAATTCATGAAAAACTCCCGTGAAAACAACGGTGCTGGTTTTGGTAAAGAATACGTATTTAATGGTCTGTCAGATGGAATTGGATTCACATCCAAATAATCAGAATTTAGATTCGTATCAGGAGGATAAATATTCAAATAATGTGGGACAAATGTTGTTGCAATCAATTGAATAAATGGAAATATAGTAATTAAATAAGGATTTAAAATAGCATGAGTGATAAGTAACAAAATACCTATTGTATAATAAGTATCTTGCCAACTGAAAAATTTTTCAACATAATCAATAAATATATACATATTTGAATTTCTTTGATGTAATTCATTACTATTACTTTGCATTAAAGCAATACTTAAACTTGGTCGTTGTTTTTGCATTATTGCTCTTTCTTGTAAGACTTTACTAGTTTGATCGTCAACAATTTCATTAGATACCATTACTGAAATCACTTTTTCAACTAATTTATCCGCCATATACTGAGCAGATGAAGTAGCAGAACTAACTGCTGGTTTCTCTTGTATTGTTGGGGTGGTAGCAGTAGTTGTTGATTTAGCATTTGTGGAATTCATACTAACAAAACTCAGTTGACTTTCAGATTTACTTATTTGATTAGGATATTCTTTCTTCCAAAATGATGAAAAATCAAGATCCATTGATTTCCGTTGTGGTTTCTTTTTACTCATTTCTCCCATTGCATTCACAGTTTCCGTTTCAGTTACTGTTGTTGCTTCCAATGAACTTCGCTTCAGTTGTGGTTGCAGAGAAATTGTTGTTTGAGATGGATTCTCCTCAATTGTTAATATGTTTGTTAATAATGATGAAACTTGTTCCATATTCCATTGATTGGCTATTCTTTAATAAACCATGTAACTGTATGCTTGCTAACGTAGGTGTTGCCTAGATGGAGATTTCAAGTAGTAATCAAGATTATCAACAATGGCAATAATAATTTAATTGGGAGATAAATGAATCTGCTATATATGTGTGTGTATATGTATATGTGTGGAGTAATGATTGAATTGGAGACCAAGGTAAATGAACGGTGGAGCAGTATGAAAATTTACAAAATGGGAAACTAATGTAGCAACACTAAGAACAAGGGAAATCCGGTCTCTACTTTTTTTTCATTTTTCTCTCTCTTTCTCTGTTTGATTTCTGTGTTTGTCCGTGATCCGGAGTTACACTTCCATGCGCGTGCCGAAAGTTGTGAAATAATCATCATCACTATCATCATCAAACTCATTCAATTACTATTAATTATAATACATATACAACACTAACTATGTGAGAAAATCCAAGGATTACTCAAGTACAAGAACTTCTTTACCATTAGTAAAATGTACTTCGTAATTATCTTCTTCTTCACTACCATTAATTGACGATGTTGGTGATCTCAATTGACCTTGTCTTTTACGTAATCTTTTAAGTCTAGTATTAACCTCTTCAATATTCATTTCACTAGATGACTTTCTTTTCAAAGTTGGTCGTTGTTTCAGTTTATTTGGAGTTGTAGGAGGTGATGGAGGACTTGTCTCCTTTTTAGTTTTGCTAGATTTTGATTCTTTTTTTGGTGTTGGTTCTTTTTTAAGTCTTTTGGTTTGTTTTGGAGTGGGTTCTTTTTTAAGACCCAGTTCTTGTTTTAATCCTGGTTCTTGCTTTAGCACTGGATCATGATTCAATCCGGGTTCTTGTTTTAATACTGGTTCTTGTTTTAATACTGGTTCTTGTTTTAATCCTGGTTCTTGTTTCAATACTGGTTCTTGTTTCAACACTGGTTCTTGTTTTAATACTGGTAGAGGAATATGAATTCCAGCAGCATGTTTCAATTTCTTTGAATCCAATTGTTCTTGAGTTAAAAACAAATCAGGAATCTCTTTCTTCAAAATTCTAACAAAGTCATCACAATCGGAAAGTATTTCGTAATCAATATATTGTTTCCATGAACTAGCACTTAATTTAGTTTTATTAATATAAATAACTTTCCCACCTTTATCATGAATGATTTTACTTAAATTTTTAACCAATTCTTTAACTCCAGCAACTTTTAAACTTGTACCCATGATAATTAAACAATCTGGTCTCAGTCTCAAATCTGCATTTAAACCTTGTGTTAATATTTCCAGTTGTGGATGATGCTCACCGTATAATACAATATTTGGTCTTAATAAACCTATAGTCTGGCCCGTGAGTCTTTTACCTTGAAATAATCTTTCTTGATATTTAAGCATACAGTTGGAGCATTCTGGGTTTAAACCATTTGCCAATAATGTTTGGAATTCTTCATTCCAATTGAACTGACTAAAACAATTGGTACAAGATAATTTATGTAAGTTTCCATGGAGTTGAACAACATCTAAATTATTCCAAACTTGTCTGAAACGAGTATTTCTATCAAATTCTTCTAGATTTATTCCCATATTTAAATCAATACGTTGCTCGATACAATCAATATTTTGAGTATAACATCGTAATAGCTTGTTCTTATCCTTTAAAGTTTTGATGAATTTGTGAGTCTCTGTTGGTTTGGCATTCAATGATGATTTGTATAGGGATTCCATAAATGTACAAAATATCGAAAGGGATATTTCATCTCTAAATAAAGAAATATCAAATAAATCTTGTCCTCTTACAATTGATTTTGGATATTTGGATTTAACCATATTATATAACCCATCGGACGACCTAAAATCCGGTATGCCTGCATTACATGAAATACCAGCTCCTGTTAACACAGTCATTTTCTTACTTTTAGAAATGAATTTGATAACTTCATTTAGTTTAATAGAAGTTTCAGAAGGAATATCATTCGGCGAATCCAACAAGTCTATAGGTATCATGATTGTATGTTTTGTGTGTGTGTGTGTGTATGTGATAGCTAGTAAATGTCCTTTTTAGAATAAAATGAAAAAGGTTGTCAATGTATGTGAGTTTGTTCTTGACTAGTTGTTAAAGCTATCAGTATATGATGTTGTAAAAGTCACCTTGTCTGCCAATTAATTAAATATGTAATAAAAGGAATGTTGCACAGACAAATTAGTCGTAATGTTGCTTGATGGTTCTTTTTTTTTTGCTGTTTCTTTCTTTCTTTTTTTGTTTGGTTGTCTGGCTGTCTGTCTCTCCTCGAATTTCACCAGATGGTTTCGATTCGTTGGTTGGTTGGTTCAAGGTTTAAAACTAAAAGGAAAAAAAAAATAATTTACAACCAAGTACTAGCAAAAACTGTATTGCTAATTTTCAATATCCTTTACCTGTTAATAATTATTGTAGTATTAATACCGACTTATCCTCTTGTAGTGATGTCAGTATTGAATCTCAGTTGTTGAAATGTACTCGGATGCTGATGCTGTATCACGTGACTGGTGTCTAATGACGTATTACTTTTTTTTTCTTTCTTGCTGGATTAGCTAGTCTGAGTGACAATTGAATTGTACAGTTGTTGATTCAATTTATAATCAGTGAAATATGAGATAAATCTGATTCAATGAGATTACTATGATCAAGTAGAAAGAAAAGAAAAGAATCAAAGGATGATGGTTTTTTTTTTAACTTTGACAAAAAATTTTTTGTTGATGGTTAATTGATTTTGATTGACTTGATTTATCTTTGTGGTATGAATCTCTGGTGGTAGGGCCAAAGATTTTTAGTACGGGATGGGCATGCAAGTAATGCGGAAACAGAAATTGTTCGCGCGGTGGGTTATTTGTTCCTGCCAGAAATTATGAACACAATGTTGTATTTAATTTGCCCCGATTAGGAAATACCGAACATTTCTGCAACAAACATAAACACACACAAAAAAACAACCAATTCTGTTCACTAGAAATCCTTTGGCAAATTACTGTGCTGGATCCAATGTACAGGAAAACACGAAAATGAAAATGATAATAATAATAACCAACCAACCAATATGAAAAGAGACACGTTAATATCGGCATTTCTATTTATTTAAAAGAAAAAAAAAATGATAACATTCTCATCCTACACCATCTCCTATATGTGACTTTATCCACTTTGACTATTTACTGCTAATTCCATAATTAACCTTGTAGCTAAATGTAAGAATGGATAAGCTGAAAATGAACCAACTTCGTCTAAATCTTGTTGTTTATGATCTTGTGATGTATTAGAATGGTTGTTATTGGCATTATCATCATTCGTTTGTTCCCAACCATCAAACTTGAAATCAACCAAGTAATTATTTGGCTCCAATTGGAATAATTGGATTTGCATCTTCATCAAATTAGGAGCATTTCCACATTCATATTGTTGTGTGGAATCGTACTTCCATCTTACTCTTATTGTCCACAATTCTTCTTCAGTTGGCTTGGCCCATTCAGCACCCAAATTTTTCAATGCACGGTATATTTCACCCATAACATCTAGTGGGTAAGATCTGGATCTAATACCAAAATGCCATCTGGTTTTCAGCTTTTTGGTTGGTTGTGGAGCAGGAATTTGTTGTTGTGGATCATTCACCTTTGTTTCCATCATGTACGCACGATGAATAGATGGTAAACTTGTAGGTAATATAGCAATGGTAGAGTTAGGCAAAGTAGACAAATCTGGAACAGTAGCCAAAGTTTGGTAAGTCAATGATTGTTGAACACCAGGTGCTGAACTGGTGGATCCCGGATGGGGGAAAGATGAACTTGGTGGTGGCGACAGTGACAAGAATGATTCAATATTCTCTGATTTGCTCTTCTTTAAATCTTTAACTAAAGTGTGATTTTCTTTCATTAACAAATAAGCATCCAAAACCTCGTTGGTCGATTTGGATTGGTTGTTTGGGGTAGCACCACCGGCGGCAGCTTCTCTGTTTGCTTTTTCAATAACATTGATAATTTCATCGCGATCATAACCCATGGTAAGTGACAAAGCACTGATAACATCTTCATCAATGTCAATTTTGCTAGTCTTGATCTTGGACAAGTCTGGAGGCAACAAGTAATCTGGCATTTCTTGCTTAAACCATTCATCTTCCATGATTTCATGGATAGTGATTCTATTCAATGGATTGACAACAAGCATTCTTGTCAACAAATGCTTAGCACCTGGACTCAAATAATTTGGCAAGGTGTAAACACCATTACTGATCTTCTTGAACAAAGCAGGGATAAATTCATCATCAAATGGTAATCTACCACACAACATGACATACAAAATAACCCCTGAGGACCAAACATCAACTTCTGGACCAGCATATAATTTACCAGAAATAACTTCAGGAGCAGCATAATTTGGAGAACCACAACTTGTTTTCAAAAAGTTACCATCAGTCATGATATTTGACAAACCAAAATCAGCAATCTTAACATTCAATTGATCATCCAATAATAAATTCTCTGGTTTCAAATCACGATGAACAATTTTATGACGATGACAATATTCCACAGCAGCAATAATCTGTTGGAAAAATCTTCTGGCTTCATCTTCCGGCATTTTACCTCTTTGAACAATATAATCAAACAATTCTTTACCAGCAAATTCAATAACCATGATAATTTCATCCTTGGATTTTATAACATCATACAATTTGATGATATGTGGATGTCTTAACAATCTTAAATAAGAAATTTCTCTTTCAACACGTCCCTGCATGTCAGATTTGGCTAATGTTTTACGATTAATAATCTTTAAAGCAACTCTTTGTCCTGTTCCCAAATGTTGAGCCAATTTAACTTTCCCAAAAGAACCTTCACCCAAAGTCTTGATGATTTGATATCTACCTATTCTATTGGCAGGATTTACATTTGGATCAATCGGAATAGGTTGTTGAGGTTGAGAATGGGAATGGTGGTGGTGATGATGATGATGGTGGTGGTGTTGGTGATCACCACTTTGCTGCTGTTGTTGATCGTTATGTCCTTGATTTTGATCAGACATGACTATATTTTAATGGGATTTATGCTAACAAACAAATGGAGATAATAACTAATTGAAATATCCACGAAAATAGTAGTAATAATAGTTTTTATTATGTTGATTATTGAACTGAATGTGTAAGTACGACTTAGTTCGTTGTCATTCGCTCTCCCTAAAAATTAGTTCGACACAGTTGAACAAAAAAAAAAAAAAAAGTTAAAAGAAAAAGAAATGACAGAAACATTGGTGGTTGATACACGACTTCTGTAATGACAATTGATATTGGATTGAACACAGATGGAGAGATGTCTATCTATAACGGGAATTACATCATCAAAACCTTAGTAAATAATACATATAACACATATACAACCTATGACCTTTTTCTATATGAGTCCTTACCTCTATTCAGTCTATAATATGATTCATCTCGATCTCGGCCAGACCTAGAAACATAATTATGTTCATAATCTCTCCTGGATTGATATCTATGTTCGTATTCCCTTTTAGTATACGAATCATTAACATTCTCTAGTCTGGGGGAGCTTGATGTTGTTCTATTGTAATTTGTTTTCTTTCTTGGTTTTGATTCCTCTGGTGTGATCCTCTTCAATGGTTCCTTCTCTTGAAACACTTTCGGAATACCTGATTTCTCATTCGAGGCTTCTATAATCAACTTCCATAGTTGTTTGCAGAACTTGCGTGAATCTTCCTCTCCTAAGAAATCAGTTACTTGTTGGTGTATACTAAATATATCAGGGCATCCACTATCTGTATCAGAATCATCATAATTTTGTAACAATTCATAAATATAATCGATTGCGATATCATCATCAGGTAAGTGTTGATTAATTTGATCCTCTATCCACAGTTTTAATTTCAGTAATTTGACATTCTTATAATTTGTTGGTTTCTTGTTGAATATTTTCGGAAGTTTGGTTGAAGTATTCAGTTTTTCCTCTTTTAGCTTGGATTTTAGATAGTCTTCATCGACTTGCTTTATCATGTATGCCATTCTTATCTGTTGCTGTGGTATGTACTAATCTTCAAGCATTGGCAACATAATCAATTTTGGTTGTCTTCGCTTGAATTTTTTTTTTTTCTTGTTAATCTTTGGGATAACATGTAAAAAGGAAATAATTTCCCAATTCGGTAGATTTACAGGTTTTATGGTTGCAAAAAAAACATACACACAGAGAAACTCACACACCGACAACCATACACACACACACATTTGATAAGTTATCATTCATTTTCACTTTTTGCTTTCTCCACTTGATTTTCACATTTTAATTAAACCTTTCACCACTTCTATCAACTCCTCCTTCAGCCCTTCAAACACTCCTTTTTACCACCAACACCACCCCTCTTTCTCCACAAATTCAAAAGAGTATAAATAAAAAGAAAAACACACATTTGTATAATTGAACTAATTCCATTATCCTCAAACTCATAAATTTGGTCTACCACTTTCCCAAATATAGTTCAAATAAAAAAAGGTGGAAACCCCATTTCGTCATTGATATTGTATCAGTTCGTTTTTTTGGAATCCTTCTACGGCTGGAGAGTTTAAGGTTGCAAGTATCCCCATCATCCAATCATCAATCAATATCTGAGTAATCTCCGGTCATACTTCCCCCTTGATCGTTTTAGAGCCTAAACCAAAAAATCACTTGTCACTCAGTATCATCCAAGGGTTTCGTTGTTCTTGGTTTCCTTTTTCTTAGATAGTGATATTGGTATAATTTAGTACTCCCCTCCCCGTTTATTATTCTCAACATTACGGTCTTATCGGAGAGATTTTAAACTATAAATACCTGTCACCACAAGCACCCTGAACTATTTGTTTAAGCCTTTTTCATATTTTTTTCGGCTCGAATTCTTACTATCCTATATATCAAGAAGTACTGGTCACTTTTTCTTGTCCCAACAGTCCTACTTCAATTCATTTCTTTTATTCGCTTTTGATGTTTGATATATCCGACACTCCAATTGACTTTGCTATTGATAGCACGCAAACTTTTACGCTCAATGAAGACAATACAACTGGTAGAAATGACAATGATAACAGTAAGATCAATTCCGAAAGCTATTATATCCCTTCATTAGATGATATTTCCACTACTTCTTCATCGTATGGTACCGCTACCTATAGTTCACATTCTCAGACTCAGTCAATTAGATATTGCACACCAAGATCTATCAATAAAGTTCAGTCAATAGAATCTGAAATCGACGACTTGCCATTAATTTTTAAAACTAACATCTGGTCCAACGACTATCTTACATCCTTCAACAAGAATGCTAATTCATTTAGTAACTTTAGATTGACTAATACTCAGAATAATACTAACAACAATGCTGCTGGGAGTATGTTCCCCGTTTCTCCTTCTTCTGAGATGGGTGTATATGTTCCTGAAAAGGAACCCGGTTATGACTGTCAACTTCCTTCACCGATTGCTGTCTCTTCTGCACCATATATTTTGCCAGTCACTAGCCCAGGTTTGATAACTGCAAATCCTTCTCCTTCTACTGGTTCTCCTCCTGGTCCCGTGATACCTACTTCGTTGTCTGTTACCGCTCCAGCTAATTGTCTTACTTTCAGAACTTACACAGGAGCTATCTTTACCGTTCCAAGAACTTCAAAGTTTTTTGTCATTAAATCCTACAATATTCTTGATGTTAATGCTTCATTTGTTCACAACATTTGGACATCAACCGAGTTGGGAAATAAACGGTTAGATAAAGCTTATAATGAATTGGTGTCGACAGGTAATCCTAACATTGATGGAAAGATTTTCCTTTTTTTTCTGGTTAATTCTCTGGGTAAATTTTGTGGCATTGCAGAAATGAAGAGTGCTATTGATTTTACAGCTAGTCTGGATATTTGGTGTGAACAAACCAGATGGAAGGGTATTTTCTCTGTAGAATGGTTATTAATCAAAGATGTTCCTAATAAGTTTTTCCAACATTTGAAAATCCCTGCTAATGAATTTAAGCCAGTGACAAATTCAAGAGATACTCAAGAGATTCCTTTTGAAATTGGAATCAGTATGCTCAAGATTATCAGTTCATTCAGATCAAATGAATAATAGATTCTATAAAACCTACGTAAAAAAAAAGTTAGCCGTTTGTCCCTTTTTTGATATTTTGGTATACCAACCCTTTTATAATATATAACCATTGATTTCTTTTATATACGACGAAATGAAATGAAATGAAAAAGGAATGTTCTAACCATGCTTGTTTTGTTTTTCAATTATCACCTTATTTTTTTTTTTTCTTCTTCTCCTTCCGTTCTCTCGTTCCTGCCTTTTCAATTCTCCTATTGGTGTGAAAAATTCAGTTCATAATTCTTTCTTTTTATACCAAAGGGAGATCCCTAATTGAACCACACTACATTATCACAACCCCATGCTTTCAAGAACATCTACATTGAGATCTATAAGACAATTTTCAACCACATCGTCAGTACTTACCAAGTCAACCAAGTCTACCAAGAAGACCAACCATACCAAGAAACAAAAAGATGATATAACTTATGGACCACTTTCTGAAGCTCAAAAGGCATTTTTAGATCGAGTTATTAGAGTAGATCAAGCAGGAGAATTAGGAGCCAATTATATTTATATGGGACAATATTTTGTATTAGCCAATAAATATCCTCATTTAAAACCAGTTTTAAAACATATGTGGGAACAAGAAATTCATCATCATAATACATTTAATAGATTACAAACAAAACGTAGAGTTAGACCAAGTTTATTAACACCATTTTGGAAAGTTGGAGCGGTTGGAATGGGAGTAGGTACTGCATTAATTGGGAAAGAAGCAGCTATGGCATGTACTGTTGCTGTTGAAACTGTTATTGGTGGACATTATAATCAACAATTAAGAGTATTAATGAATCAATATAATGTTGATTTATTTGATAAAAAATCAGGCGAAAAAATTGATATAAATGAAATTGATAAAGATATTAAAACAAGTGATGAATTAAATGATTTGAAAAATAAAATAAGTCAATTTAGAGATGATGAATTAGAACATTTAGATACTGCTCTTAATCATGATGCTGAAAAAGCTGTTCCCTATATTGTTATTACTGAAGCTATTAAATTGGTTTGTCGTGGTGCTATCTGGGCTGCTGAAAGGATCTAAGAGTGGTAATATAACTATTCTACTATATATATATATGTCTAATATAATGTAATGTGATTTCGTGATAATATTGAATATTTCGGCCGAAGAATGAGTAGTAGTAGCAGTGTCTAATTCGGCCGGTCTCCAAGATTGTGCGAAACTCAAAACCAAAACCAAAACCAAAAAGAAAAAAAAATTGAAAATCAAAACAAAACAAAACAAAACATAACTATAAAGAATATTCTAATCTACTAGATTACATATAACCATGTCTCGACTTAGCATAATTGGTGATATAACAAATGGCACACGACAACTTAGACTTCGAAAAGATTTGTTTCCATTACTAGATGCCACCGAAATCACTGTTTGTTTAGAAGAATGTGGATTTCAAGTTACACAAGAATTAATCATTAAACCAACACCTGATTTCGTTACCAAATTATATGAAGAATTCATAGATACTTTTATGGGAATTGGATTTGGAGTTATTAGAGAAAAAGCTAGGAAAATGTCACAATTTAATCAATTAGAAGAAAATGGATCATTTAATGGGAATAGTGAAGATCAAGAACAACAACAACAAGATCAAGAAAATGGGAATTTAAATTTAGAAAATGACGATAAAACTGGATATATATATTCCACATTACCTACAACTTTACTTCTTAGATATTTAACAAGGTTTTTATATGCCTGTGGAATTAATGATTTTACATTAATGGATTTAGGTAAACCTGATGGATTTCGAACAAGAAGAATTTTAAGTGCAGTTATTAATTTTATTAGATTTAGAGAAGATCAATCAGCTGGAATGGAAGAATTGGCTAAAGAAGCAGAAGAAAATGCAGAAAATGTCAATTTAATTCAAGAAGAAAATGTCAATATATTGAAAAAAATTAATGAAAATAAAGAAAAATTAGAAATTGATTATGAAACTGGTGATAAACGAGCTAATTTACAATATGTTAATTCATATAATCGTAAATTAGAAAATAAATTAAGAGAATTGAAAACAGTTCAAGAGAAATTAACTAAAGAACATGATGATTATAAACAGGAGAAAACCAATTTAGCTCAAAAATTATATGATTTGAATTATTTATATAATGAAACTCAAGAATCTGTTGAAAATTTAACCAAATATTCTGATGCTGATTTATCCGTATTAGAAAAGATTATTCAAGATTTGAATAGTGATTTAGTAAACATGCAAACAACTTTGAAAAATTTAGAAAAAGGACATCAAAATATGGGAATCACAATTGATTCAATACAAGTGAATGAAATTTCATTAAAAGATTTATTGAAATTAGCTGAAGATGTTATTAGAAACATTGAAAAAGAACTGATTGAATTAAAAATATTAAGAGACAATCAAGAGACATTAGATGAATTAACTAGAAAACAAATGGAATTAGCAGGACAAATCCTAATTGTACAAAATCAACTTAATAAACTGAATAAAAAATATCAAGATTTAATAAATCAAGCAGATAAAAAGGAATCAGCTATTAAATTAAGATTAGAAGAAGCTAAATTGGAATATGATAAAATACTTGGTGAAAAGGAAAAACATAATGATGATCATAAACGTATAATGGATCAAATATTAAAAGTTCAACAAGAAATCACTGAATTAGAAGACAATTTCTCTAAAGAAACAACAGAATTAGAATTAAAGTTGGGTAATTTAAGAAACATTGTTAAGAGATATATGACAGAATTAAACAAAAATATCAAATAGATATATATTTATATCACTAACCTGTATAGACCAAATAATTTGTAACAATAATAACTACATAATCTTCCCGCCATTTTTTATGAATAACCCATTTGTATCTAGCTACTTTTCTCCTTCATTAGCTGTTGGTTCTTCATTATCGTCAGATTCTTTAGTTTTAATTTCTGATGATTTAGGTATTCTTTGATTAGTAGTGAATATCGAAGTAAAGAAACATAAAATAGCAAATGCTAAACCCAAATAAAATACATTTTTTAAACCTTTCATAAATTGTTCCAATACTAAACTTCTAGTATTTGAAGGTAAATTTTGAACCAATTCAGGATTGGATATTAATGATGATGCAGTATAATTTTTTAAATCATTATATTCTTGAGAATTTTTATCCAATTTTTTTAATAATTTATTAATATAATTTTGACCTGTTGTTTGATATAATAATTGTGATAATGTAACTGCAATTGTTGATGCTATATTTTTAAGAAAATCCAGAAACACCGTAACTAAAATAGTAGCCCCTGGAATATCTTTAGGTACTGCCAATTGAGCCGATAATAAAGAACTTTGAAATTGTAATCCAATTGAAATACCACTAATAATTAATATACCAATATGTAAACCAACATTTCTATCAGTATTAAATAATAATATTAAACCTGTTCCCAAAGGTGATAAAATGCCTGAAACAATCATGGTAATTTTAACATTTTTAGTAAAATCAATGAAAAAACTATTAGCTAAAGAAGCCAAAGTAACAGAAATAACTAAAGGTAATAAATCAATACCAGATTGTAAACTTCCATGATTGAAAATAACTTGAAAATAAACTGCCAAATAAGTTAAATTACTTATAAAAAATGCAAAATTAAACATTCCTGCTAAACAAGCCATTAAAACTCTCCAATTTTTTAAAAATTCAGATAAGATAATAGGATTTTCTGAATATTTAAAATTCCAAAGTATAAATAATAATAATAATGCTGAACCAACGGTAAATAAAGCAATTATTGATCCTGAATTCCAAGGATAATTAATACCACCAAAAGTTAAAGCTAATAATAAAATAACTAAACCAGAAGTTAATAATATAAATCCAATAAAATCAATTTGTGATAATTTTTCTTTAATATTACCTTTAGTTTTAGGAGGATGAAAACCAAATAATAAAACACATAAAGCAATTCCACCAATAGGTAAATTTATATAAAAACACCATCTCCAACTAATTTTTTCTAAACCTCCACCAATAATAGGACCCAATACACTAGAAGTTGAATAAACTACTGAAATAGATGCAAATACCAATGATCTTTTACTCATTGGTACAACTTCAGTTAAAATAACCATAAACAATTGCTTGAATTGCTCCACCTCCAATACCTTGAATAACTCTACCTCCAATTAATAAACTCATTGAATTACTAACCCCACAAACTAATGAACCAATTTCAAATATAATTATACCTGCAACTAATGTCCATTTTCTACCAAATGCAATACTTATATTACCATAAGATGGAACTAAACATGCCATAGGTAACATAAATCCTGAAGTTAACCAACCTATTTTTTCAAATGATTTAAATTTATCACCTACTTTTGTTAAAATTGTAGATACAACAGTTTGATCTAAAGCAACAAGAAATAATGAAACTATACATGATGTAATAGTTAAAAAAAGGGGAACTCCATTAAGATATTGTTCATGTGCTTTGGTACCATCACCTGCATCTGCTTCAACATATTCTTCATATTTTTTATTTTGTTGTTCTTGTTGTTCTTGTTGAGCTGTTGGCAGAATAGCTAAAGTATTTGGTGTTTGAGGAGGATGAGAAGGAGGATAATATCTTGAATTTGAAGTTTCTGGAGAATAATTAGTAGTTGCATTATCAGGATATTGAGATGATGTAGGTGAAGTAAAAGGATTTCTATCATGAGTTTCAAATGAACTTCTAATTGGTGATCTAAAAGGATCAGATAAATTGGTTGGTTCAGGTAATAATTCCGGAAGTGTCATTTAAATTAATATAAACTACTATGGAAATGATGAAATTAATACCAATTAGAAATAAATCAATCAATCAATCAAACAATCAACAACAAAAAAATTTATGAATATCTTCCAATCCTAAGTTTGAATTATATATATATATATAATGTATAACCAGGGATGATGATTTTGTTGGTTAAAACCTAAACGGTAAAAATAAACAGATTCTTCAATGAAACTATCTTTGTAGATCAATCATATGAACAAGATGAACAAGAACAAGAATAAGAAAAAGCGTTGAAACAAAAAAAAAAAATTCACGTTTGTTAAATATGAAATATATAGACAAGTGTGAAAAATTAAGGAATGTTATAATTCAAAATCTGATCTTTGTAAATCCTTCCTTTTCCACTGTCGAATGTTGTCCTTTCATTCATTCATTCATTTATGAAAAGGATCTACGGGATTTAACAAAGAATTTTCTTTCTGCGCTTTGTTTGTATGGCAAGTAGTGTCGCAACCAAAACATGATGATGATGATGATTTCTGGAGACGTGTACTTGTGTCAAAATTGCTGCACATGGTAGCCCAGAGCACACGTGACTTGAATACGCATAAACCCATTAGGTATAATCATGAGTGTATATATACATATATTCAATTAATAAAGTCAGTATTAACTATAATTTTGCCATAAATATCATAATTTTCTAAGAATAAATTTGAACTAAAGATTAAATTCAGTGATAGATAAATACCAACGAAATTTTCCAGAATATTCATTAATAATTTAGCAATTTTGAAAACAACTTTTGAATTTAAATTTGGATTCATTTCTAAATAAATTTTAGATAAATAATGACAATTTTCTATAGATAAAAAATTTAAATTTGATAAATCATTTAATTCATTTTTATTTAAAATTAATTCATTTATTGATCTTGGTAAATTTAAAATTGAAATAATTTGATTTTGTTCTAAATTAAGAATTTTCAAATTTTTAAAATTATTAAAATCACCAGTAATATATTTCAATTTCATATTTTTTAATTCTAATTGATAAATTGATTGATTTGGTAATGAATTTAAATTAAAATGTTTAACTATTCCTCCTGTTAAATTACAATGAGTTAAATGTTCACAATGGGAAATATTAAAATTATTAATTATATTCTGATTGAAATTCCCTGAGATTGTAAGTTTCTCTACACTAGCAGGGATTTTAATTTGACAATCTTTAACAAATATCAAATTTAATAATGTTAATTCATTCAATGGTAAATATTGTATCATATTGAAAAATTGTATTGTAGTTGGAATTTTACCATAATATGGATGATGTATCAGTAATGTTTGTAATGTATTTGGTAATTGGAAATTATCAGATAATTGATTAACTTGAATTGACATTTGTAAATGACATAATTTATTAGGAAATTTAATTTCATTATCATAATATCGAACATCTTTAATAAGCATTAAATTTAATTTCCATAATTCCAAATCTTGATTCAATTCAAATTGATTTATTAAATTACTTTGTAAACTAAGATTTTTCAATCCAATTGGTATATCATTTTTCAATACAAAATTATCAAATCGATTCCTCAGTAAATTTAATTCTTCTAAATATCGTAACCTTTTCAAATTTGTCAGTTTACTACTAATATCAGATAACTGGTTTCTTGCCAAATCAAGGTATGTCAATTTATCAGGAAACTGAACTCCTTCAATTGATTCAAGCATAACATTGTTTAAAGTTAGTCGATATAAACTACTTGGAAATTTCATATTCAATCTATTATTAACAAATCCAGGTATTCTTTTAATTATCAATTCATTCAAGTTTGGTAAATTCAATAATAATAATCGATGAATTTTAACATATGGAATATTATCAAGGATAAATTTTTGTAAATATTTGGGTAATTGGAAATTTTCATCAATTTTTAAAAAAATCATTTCATTTGATTCAAATATAAGATCAGTAGTTTGAAAATTATTAATTAATTGATTTTGGAAAAATGTTAAATTTGGAATTATTGACTGAAATTTATAAACCAATTTTTTCAAATTATCAGGGAATTTACTATTGAAAAATGATAATAATCTAGGACAATCTATTATTTCCAATATTGTAAGATCTTCAAGTTTTTCAATTGCTTTTAAATCAATTAAATTGATACAATTTAATGATATCTGATCTATATCTTTTGGTAATTTTATATTTGAAAATGTTGAAAGTCTATTAATGTTTAAATTTCCTTTATATTTGAATACTTTCAATGGTAAGGTTTCTAAATTCATTATTGATAAGGATTCTTGATTTTCAACAATAGTTAATCTTGTTATATTTTTAGGGAGATTAAATTTTGAATTATTTATAAATCCAATTATTCTTAAATCATAAATATTAAATTTGGTTAATCCTTGAAATATATCAAAATCAAAATCAATATTATCAATTTCTAATTTATACAAATCATTATTAGTAGTAGTATTAATCAATGAGATTAAATTTTGAGAGATTTTTAATTCTTTAATATGTTCAGGTATATAATTAATTAATGAATTATAAGATGATTGATCAACAATTACTAATTTAAATATTCTTTCATTATTAATTATGCCGCCAAAATATTCAAATCCTTGATAATGTAATTCAACAAGAGGACAATAATTCAATTGATTTAATATCAATTCATCACCTTGATTATATTCATAAATTATCAATTTTCGAGGAAAATATTCATGTTTGAATTGGAATTTCTTAAAATCTGATAATTTTTTAAATATCTTACTATTATTGATTGTCGAAGTTGAAAGATCATTATTATTATTATTATTATGTTGTTGTTGTTGTTGTTGGTTAGTTATTATACATATGGGAAAGAGATGATTGATAATGAATTTATGGAATATACGGATATTAGATAAATTAGATAAGGTCTCTTTGGGTATGTAGTCAAATATATTATAAATTAACTCTTCTGGTAAATCAAATAATCCTTTCATCTTGTCCATTGACAATTCAATTGAAACTACCTTAAAACAAAAAACAAAAGGAATCTTAGATGATGGAATGACGATGATGATAAGGAATGATTTGCTCTTTATGCAAAATTATGTAAAGTGTGGAGAATCATTTCAAGAGAAAAATTCATCTGCACGCGTGCGTGCGATAACCGAATTAATCCTAAAATAAATATATAGAAAAAGAGGGGGGCGGGCGAGGAGGCGAGGGGGCGAGGGGGCGAGGAGGCGAGGACGGACGGATGACTCCGCCATAGTTTAATACTATCTCTCGCCTCCACTCTCCGCTCCTCACGCCCACCCCTCACCACGAAGAAACAAACTGGTATCCAACCAATCGTTCATCCAACAACAACAACAACAGCAACAACAGATTATCAATAAATAAATAATTCAATTTCTATTAATAAATACAAATAACTATGTCTTACAATAGAAAATGTCCATCAATCAATGCAAATAGTAAATAATAATAAATTATACAAATTAAAAAAATCAATCAATCATTGTAGCTAATCATATCATAACCAACATTGTCATTAGGTTTGTGGACCCCTCTTTAAAAATTCCAAGAAATCCAACTCGGTATCTTCATCTTCAATTGTATCATTCCCCATAGGAGAAATGCCTTCTTTATCATCAATTGGTGAAAAAGTACTCGATGTTGGAGAGTGTACAAGTCGATGTGGTGTACTTAAAGTTGAATTACTTCCAGCAGCAAAACTAGAATTTCTTCTTCCTATCAGTGACTTCAATACAACAGGATCAGGTGAATCAACAACACTAGATCTTTTTCTGTTAAACCCAAGAACTGTACTACCCCTTCTACTTGTTCCCAATGTTGATGATGACCTTCTATTAAATGAAAATTTACCAAAATTTGGTTTGAATCCAGGAATATCTCTTGTTTCAAGTGGTGCAATCCCACTCGTGTTATCATTTAAAATATCAGAATAATCATGAACATCTTGTAATCCTATAGTATCATAACTTGTGCCCGCACTAGTTGCAAAAGGATTAGTTTCATCACCAGATGATGTTCTATACTTTTCCGTTAAATTTTTAGGAATGGACAATTCAAGTTGTTCATTAGCAGCTTCTTCTAAATCTTGTGGAGATTTGTTTAATTTCTCATCAATATACTTTTTTTGAAATTTGGCAATGTTTTTCTGTGTAGGCAATTCATAAAATGGAAGATTCAAGTCATTCAAGAACCGTCTCCAGCGGGAATATTGTTCTATATCTACCAAACCTGAACTGGCACTCAATGAATTCTTTGCAATTTTCGCACTAGTTGCTGCCATACTATATGTCGAGTCACCCCCCTCACTATATTTGCGGTGTTGCAAATTGTTCATAATAATAGTGTCCACTCTTTGACGGTGTTCTTTTTCAAATGTCTTCATAGTGGTATTTTTCCAAGGCCTCTCACGGTAGAAGAAAACCAACGCATCAACAAACCCATTAAATGGTTGCATAAAAGCTCCCAATACATTTAACCAATATACTGGATGATGCTTAAGTTCATAATTGAATTGGGTAGCCTGTAAAATAAATGGGAATAACCAAACAAAACAATATGCAAAAGGATATATAAAAATAGATTTCATTTGTTTTTGAATAATCTTTTGACGTCTTCTAAAACTTTCTAAATTAGCTTGTTGGATCTCCTCATTAGTGTACATAGCTCCATTTTCCTTTTGATTCTCAACATCTTGATAATCAACAGATTCTGGTTCTAAAGCTTCTGCCAATTCTTCGGAATCATCATCGTCATCATCTGTACTTCTGACGGAATCATGTTTGCCCCTTTGTCCATTATGACGCTGACTATGTTGCTGATCTTGTTCCAGTAGGTGGTGCAGTCTCAGTGGACGTAAATCATTTGTGCAAATATTCATATCTGGGAATAAAGTATTTTTAATTGAATGGAAAAAGTACCTTAGTGACGAAAAAAAAGTTGGATTTTCTGGTTCGTGTAATTCGTGTTGGTTAGTATGACTTGATCCAACACTACTAAATACACCACCCAATGTTTTGAATTCGCTTATAACATGAATGTAGATAAGACCATAAATAACAAAAATGGCCACAATAATACAATACCTAGGAACCCAACTCAATACTAATCTGGTCCAAACAGGGCGCATTGGCAAATAACACCAACAAACTAATGGTTCATATCCTCCATCATTAATAAAGGCTAGACTTGCTAGGATTAAAGGAATGAAGAATGACAATGAATAGACATAGAATCTAAACTTGTAAAGGCCACCTTCGACACGATTTGTATTTTTCACTTTTGAATTCAATGAAGGTTTAAAAATTAATAAAAATGTATGTATAGCAAATGCAAAAATGGCAAAATCCGCCCCTTCTATTGCAGTTGCCGTGAAAAACCCCACAACTTGACAAAAATTATGATTATAATATGCAGAAGAATGAGCCAAAACTCTTGTTGGATACAATAATAAAATACAAGCTTTGACTAAATCGAAAAAAAGTAAAAAGAAAATCAACTGATGACGGAAAACAGTTCTTTTGGGGTCAATAGCAAATAAAAAGTACATTGCTATTAATACAGCTGCTATTGATCCACATGATGATGATATGGCAACCACTCTTTGAACAAATGCTTGATGGCTGGTAAATTTGACTAGTTGGTTGATTACTGGATCGATAAGGGCTTCGTTTAATCTTTTGAAGAGTCTTGATAGTACTGATTCTGTCACCATATTGCCAATAATAGATGTTGTAGATGTTGTCGACAGAATACTATTTAGTGGGTACGATGTAGTGGGAATATTGATTGTAGTTGAAGGTGAGAGTGTAGATGATGCCCATGACACTAGTAATGATGATGCGTATGATGAAGCCGATAGTAGTATTTCAGTTGTTGTTGTTGTTGTTGATGATGTTGTAGATGAAGCCATGGTATATATTGATGACAGGGTTGTCTGTAGTAGCCCTGTGCCCATTAAGTTGTGATTATCTAGTGACATCTTTGATGATCAATAATACTAATTATTATTATAATAAGAAAAAAAAAAAGGGTGGGACTAAGTCAAAAAGTCTATTGAATGATGCTGATGAAGTAGCAAAATGAATATGGTGAAGTAATGATGTAAATCTGTTAAGATATTAATAAGTAATAGATGTATATCAACCCTGGTCTGTCCGTCTGTCTTTCTGGTTCTTTCTGGTTCTTTTGGTTGAATTTTATTTTTTTTTCTCTTTTGGTTTGTCTTGTCTTGTCTTGTCTTGTCAGTTAAGGAGGGTTAAGTTAAGTTAATGATGCGGAATTAATAGGATTGATAAAACCCGAAATGATGAAAAGTGACAATGAACAAAAAAAAAAGATAAGTAAAACTGATGTATCAAACAAAAATAGCCAATAGTCAATAGCCAATATAATGTTTGAATGATGATATTGATGATGATATTGATGATGATATTGATGATGATAAAGAAATTAGAAAAATCCAGTGTGTGTGTCCTGGCCAACAATATCCATTTACTTTAAGGCAAAGGACGAAGAAAAAAAATTTTTATTATTTTATTTTTTATTTTATTTTATTGTGTGTCTCTGCAAAAAAAAAAAAGAGAGAATTGAGTTGGTTGTAAATATTATGTAAGCAAAATACTTGCAGTAACAAATTTCACAAGGAAGGAAGCTGGAATCAATTTGTACACCCAACTACGTGTGTGTCGTGTGCCACCCATGACGACATTTTTCTTCTTTTTCTTATTATCTATTATTATCTTCCCGCCTTGTGTTAATTCTAATCGGCTTATTCTCCATCCCCACTCCCGCCCCCTCGTCGACCCCCCTGTCAGTCTGAATTGGACCTAATCAATAGAGCTCGTCTGAGGGAGGGGAGGAGGAACGGAACAAAAATGATAAAAAAAGTGTCGCCACATTATCGCCGTAGCAATTTTACATTTAATCCCACCGCTGACTCCTTCTTCTTCTTCTATTACTTCTCCTTCTCCTACAGTATATCCCCCTACTGCTGCTCTCAACTTCGTGGCGTATCAACCAGAAACCTTCTTTTACATTCTTCTTTACAATCATTTCACATAACCATATCCCGACTCAATCCCGCGTGACTTACCGTGCATACGATGTCATTATTTCGTCATACTATCTCCCCCCACCACCACCTCACTTTGTTCTAATAGATATATCATAACCCAATAGAGAAATTTCATTCACCGTCTCGGGGGTGGACTTTGACATTCGTGTTAATCTTTGATAAGACATATAATTTGGCGGCAATAAATAAATTAAAAAAAAAAAAAAGACAAGATTAATCAATGTATCAACGTGCATGACAGATCCAAAACGCCGCATAATTTAAATGCACACTGTAACTCTCGCATTATCATTATTACAGATCATGTGTTTCAGGATACACATTATCATAATGGTTCTTCATCATAGTGAAACACCTTTGTTAGTATATTTTACCCACTTGTGGTTTTCAAAAATAACGTTGTTCAAATCCCGTCACCTATATATTGACCCAGTTAGAAAGCTCCGACTTTTTTTTTTTCTTTATTAAGAATATAATATTAGCTGCAAAAAAAAAATAAATGGCAGAATATGAAACTATCTCCAATAACGGGTATAGCAACCAGATACACTAAACTATTCAATGTTAATATGATTTACACACTTAGAGAAGATACCACTTTACTAGATAAACTATGATTCTTAATATTAACTAATTTAACTAAATTTTAAACTAAAAAAAAAATAATAATAACTATATTTATAATGTACAATAATAAGTAATGTAGAACAGAAGCATAAAAAAAACCATTTCAAGAAAATAACACACCATATTTTGGAGAAAATAGAATATGATAAGAAAATCAAATTGAAATTGAAGTTGAAACCTTTGAAAATGAATAAATTCTCTCTTATTAGTTTAACAATCCATGTTTTAACTATCAAAGCAGAAAAGAATACCGAAGTTAATAAATCAAAATGTTAATTTATTTTTTGCATCAAGCAATAATAATTAATCAACAGAAAAATGTAAAGGGCATAACAGCATGAAAATTTATAGTGAATAATAAATAATGAATAATAATTATTAAAACCGAAATTAAACTATAGTAAAAAAAACACTCCAGAATGAATGAAATAAATAAATAAATCAAACAATATCATATAAAAAAAAATATGATATTCAAATCACATCATCATCATAGGAAACAATAATACCAAAGCAGTAATAATTGCACCAATAGAAGCAGATTTGACAGAATTAGCAATATTCTCAGCATCTGCTGGAACTGCTGGAACTTCTGGTTTATCCCCACTTGGACCTACTCTTGGACCAGCTGGACCTTCTGTTTCTACCACTGGTACAGTAACAACTTGTTCAACTCCACTAATGAACTTAGTAATAACATAATAAGTAGTCAATGTTGTAGTAACTTCAGTGTCTTCAACCACTGTAGTGTATTCTTCACATATAGATTCTTCATCACATGTAGTAATAGTTATTGTCAAATCAGTAATACAAGTTTCAACTTCAGTGGTAGTGACAGGAACTGGACAATATGTGGTGTAAATTGTTGTACAAATGGTTTCTTTAGTAACACAAGTAGTTTCTTCATCACAATCAGTAATAGTAACAATAACTTCATCGGTAACAGTAGTCAAAATAACTTCGACGGTTCTTGTAACAACTGAACAACTACTCAGGCTATCACAATCAGTTTCAGTAATGGTTGTAAATACCGGTTCTATGGTAGTGGTGATGACTGAGCAACTGCTATCACTATCACATTCTGTAGTAGTAATCACACTTGGGACAGTGGTGGTTGCAGTAATTGTAGATGTTTCACTATCAGATCCTGGAGCAACAGTACCTGTTCCTGTCTCTGTTTCACTTTCAGTTGGATCTTCAGCAATAGAAGTAGTAGATGTCTCACTATCAGATCCTGGAGCAATAGTAGCTGTACCTGTATCTGTATCAGAATCAGTAGGTTCTTCAATAGTAGACGTTTCATCACCAGTTTCAGTAGGTTCGTCTTCGGTGGTTGATTCATCACCAGTCTCGGTTGGTTCGTCTTCGGTGGTTGATTCATCACCAGTCTCGGTTGGTTCGTCTTCGGTGGTTGATTCATCACCAGTCTCGGTTGGTTCGTCTTCGGTGGTTGATTCATCACCAGTCTCGGTTGGTTCGTCTTCGGTGGTTGATTCATCACCAGTCTCGGTTGGTTCGTCTTCGGTGGTTGATTCATCACCAGTCTCAGTTGGTTCGTCTTCAGTAGAAGTTGGATCATCCTCTTCGTCTTCAATATTCTGAACAAGAACTGATTCTAAAGCAGTACACATTTCTTGGTTGACGTAAACAATTTGATTACCATCATCATCCAAACATGTTGCAAATAAAACTTCATCTTCATCGAGAATAAATAAATCATTCAACAAACGCCAACCTTGTGTACTTTCTTCTCTGTTACTAACTAATACCAATTGACCTTGTTCTGGCGCAACATCTAATAACTCAGCTGGAAGAACTTTAACCCATTTGTCTTCACCGACTTTCAAGTAACCATCTTCATCAATTATAAATGAAGCAACAACATCTTCCTCATTTAAGGTAATAAAATTACCATCAGTTCTGAAATAAATTTCTTCATCACTAAAGATAACGGTTACATTCATTGGTTCAGCTGGATCAACTGTGTTCTCTGGTGGTGGTTCTTCGTAGTTTTCAATGACAATCTCGGTAATCTCATCACAGCCGCTCGCATCAACGTGGACAATCTTGACGTCATCAACTTCACAAGCAGTGTATACAACAAAGTCATCATCGAGTTTCAACTGGTCTCCAACTAAGCTCCAGCCATCGGTACCTTCTTCCCTGGCGTCAACAAGAGCCAATGTACCGGAGTCAACTTTAACCCATTTGTCTTCACCAACTTTCAAGTACCCGTCTTCGTCAATAGTAAACAAAGCAGTGTCTTCTCCTCCAACAGTAACGTATTCTCCATTAGTACTCAAAGTAACATCGTCTTCACCCAACTTACCCTTGACTTCCATAGGTTCAGCTGGATCAACTGTGTTCTCTGGTGGTGGTTCTTCGTAGTTTTCAATGACAATCTCGGTAATCTCATCACAGCCGCTCGCATCAACGTGGACAATCTTGACGTCATCAACTTCACAAGCAGTGTATACAACAAAGTCATCATCGAGTTTCAACTGGTCTCCAACTAAGCTCCAGCCATCGGTACCTTCTTCCCTGGCGTCAACAAGAGCCAATGTACCGGAGTCAACTTTAACCCATTTGTCTTCACCAACTTTCAAGTACCCGTCTTCGTCAATAGTAAACAAGGCAGTGTCTTCTCCTCCAACAGTAACGTATTCTCCATTAGTACTCAAAGTAACATCGTCTTCACCCAACTTACCCTTGACTTCCATAGGTTCAGCTGGATCAACTGTATTTTCTGGAGGTGGTTCTTCGTAGTTTTCAATGACAATTTCAGTAACCTCATCACAGCCGCTCGCATCAACGTGGACAATCTTGACGTCATCAACTTCACAAGCAGTGTATACAACAAAGTCATCATCGAGTTTCAACTGGTCTCCAACTAAGCTCCAGCCATCGGTACCTTCTTCCCTGGCGTCAACAAGAGCCAATGTACCGGAGTCAACTTTAACCCATTTGTCTTCACCAACTTTCAAGTACCCGTCTTCGTCAATAGTAAACAAAGCAGTGTCTTCTCCTCCAACAGTAACGTATTCTCCATTAGTACTCAAAGTAACATCGTCTTCACCCAACTTACCCTTGACTTCCATACGTTCAGCTGGATCAACTGTATTTTCTGGAGGTGGTTCTTGATATGGAACAGTGTTAAATGAAACTATTTCAGTACAGATGTCTCCACCTTCATTACCTGGGTATGTGGAAGCATCAGTAATAATATGAAATGGAGGAGCATCACCACAGTAATATAATTGACTATCATACATCAAATCATTGTCGTCCAACAGCCAAGTATTTGGTGTATGAGCATCACCAATTTCAATTTTCTTCAAAAATGGATCTTCAGCAGTACTTGAAATTGCATTAGCTGCATCACCAGAAATACGTAAATAATTTTCACCAGTAAGTTCAAATACATCAAATTCATCAGCATATAATTGAATATTGTCGTCACCTTCGTTAACTTTAAAATAATAGTCAGTCTCTTCAATGGATAATTTGACTCGAAATTGATCAGCCAAAACTGGAGTGAGAGCCAACAATAGAGACGAAACGAGTGAACTGGTCTTCATTGTCAGAATAAAATCAAATTAGTTTGAAACAATTTTGTTAAGCGAATGTAATAATTGATTAATAAATGAATCTCTTGATATAAAAAAGGAGGGGGAAAATCTTTTAAATTCTGAAATGAACTTCAACAAAGTGGGAAATATATCCTCTTTATATAATTATAATTTTAGGAATATATTTGTTACTCATATGTAGAAAAGTCTTTGTCTAATTAGAATTCCTCCTGGCTTGATTATTCATCTAATAATAATTTCATATTCATATGACGACTGTAAAAGAATGTAAATAATAAAGATCTAAAATAATTATTTTAACCTTAGATATCTCTCACGATTGACGTGACAATATGCAATAAGAAGTACAATTCCGTATGTTTGGGGAACAACCCAACACTCCAAGTCATAATAAAAACTAACCGCAGTAAAGAACTCTTAAATAATATTCACCATATCTATAATCCTAATTTCATAAATGTACAATAATGCAAGAAGGTGCAACTTTGAAACCATACATTTAAATTTTGGAGAAGGATATAATTTGAAATAATCAAAATTTGTTCTATTAATAGAACATATGAATGAAGCACCATTTTCGTGATTTATTATTTCATGAAAGTAGTCCATCCATCCTTTTCAGATGTATTGGCGTCTTTTGTGCAAGGATCTTATAGTATGCATTAGATCTGGGGACGCATAAGTGGATCTTGTGTCAAATAGTTGAATGGATCGAAAAGAAAATGAACAGATATAGATCACGATCAAATTCAAATATCAAAAGTAAAAAGGAACTAGAATGGCTTGTCAATGTAACCTTCGAGAATTGATTATTGCTGGCTGCTGGTTCACGCTAATACAAATATCAAATAACTCTGCCAAAAATAAATAAATAAATAAATAAATAAAACCAAACAAATCAACAAACAAGTAAACAATAATATTAACTGCAAAAAAATAAATAAAAAATAAAAATCATAATAAAGCGAAACAAATCTGTGATGAGAACGAACGAAGTCACTTATTGATCTTATGAAACATTTGCAAACTAGATCTAGTAATTATTATTTATGATCTTATCTATGACACCATAATCACGGTCTCTGCTTTTTTTTTCATATTTCTTGGGTGCAAGGAATGTAAACAAACACTGAAAGATAAACAACGCCTAAACCAATATCAAAACAACCCTCTACTCTTTCCTGTACATGTACCGTGACGCGAGTCACGATATCAAACAAATACAAGGATATCAAAGCGACGAAAAATTAGACATGTGTATATTAATTATTAAGGATGATTTAAAATATTAAACAATACAGATTGAAATAAAAAAAAAAACAGGAAGGAAGTAAATCAGTAAATAAAAAAGGAAACCCATTTAATGATTATTAGTAGATGCGGCATTTAAATTTGACTAAAAAACAAAAATAATTATAATTGTAATTGTAAAAATAAAGCAAGTCATTAGTGTTATGTATGAGTCTTAATAAAGAAAAAAAAAAGACATTAAATTTAAAAAGGATATAGTTATTATATCCTTTTTGACTCTATTTCATCTAAGGAAGTGGTTGACGAGACTGTATAAGTACTGCTTGGAGGTTCGTCATCAAAAACAGAAGGAGTATTGGAGGACACTTCGTCTCTATCTTCTTCTGTCTGTAGATCGGTAGTAATAGGATTCTCAGCCATTATCGGAATTTGGTTCTTTGAACTTTGTCTGGATCTAGAAAAATTTGACATTTCAAAAGCTTCTGGGGTTGCAGCCCTTGGAGACATGGATGTTTGAGTTTCTTGGTATAATCTGGTGTATAATCTACTTTCTGTGTCGTTAACAGCGACATAATTGTTTGACAAAGGGTCAATCAAATTAATATCTATCCTTTCAATCTCAGTGTAAGACCAACGACAGAAATAGCCGGTTTTAATTCTTGGCAAGTATTTGTATTTGGTAAATTCAAATACAACTAATGATAACATGGCACCACCAATTAAATCAACAAAGTAGTGATGGGTCAAATACATCGTACTCCACCAAAGATACGAAGCATAAGTAACCCATAACGCTTTGAATCTTGGGAATAACCAACACAAGAATAAAACTTCCATGATACAACAACCAGAATGCAATGATGGGAAAGCTCCAAAAATAACTGGAGAATTTGAAAACCCAGTGGTATACATATCAATTCCCAATAATTTATCAATTCTGCCCAAGCCCCCTGGTGAACCATGCATGGAGTAATTAGCTGGTTCCAAACCATGTAAATTCTTATACCAAGGAGGAGCAGCCGGGAACATCATTTGGATCATGACACCAAACAAGTTCATGTAACCAAAGGCAAAGCCAAATGATCTTAAAGCGGTTGGCGGGGCAAATAAAAAGATAATTGCTGCAAGAATGAATGGGAAACTGAAATGGATAATACCATATGGCAACCAAGCAAAAATATCCAAGACACCATTAGTGACTGTTGCTAAAACATTGGATAAATTATCACCATATAAGATGGTTTCCATAGCTGGTAAAACTCTAACGGTGATTGCAGGTTTCCAAGATTGCGGAATAGTTGCACAGTTGAAATATAAAGCCAACCAACTAAATACAGGTAATGCAGGAAGAAAAAATTGGGAAGTTAAAGGAATCAAAAAACAAACACTGAATGCTAAAACTATTGGTAATTTGATTAAAAATGAAGCAGGATAAACGATAAAGACAAACAATAGTACTGAGATTAAAAACCCATAATGAAAAACTTCTCCCAAAGTCCAATGATGATGTTTCAATTTACGGATAGTTGAGTTGATATTGGTATCGAAATTCAAATCACTGATGGTTGAATTAGGAGCCTTTTCCAGGAGAAAGTAATAATGAAATAGTTGATACGGTTTCTGTATAACTTTTGATCGTAATAATGAACTCATGATTTCTGATAATTAAAACTGGTTGTCAATCTGTTGCAAGAAAATATATAAAAAAAAATTTACGGATCAAAATAAACACACACACAGACACACAGACAGACAGATTCAGAAGGGGAAAAATAAAGAAAACAAATGAAACTCTAGTTTATGAATGAATACAGACCACCAAAGTATCTAAAAGGCTGGCTCTTTTGAAATAAGACAAAACTGTTATGGATGATCGGCAAGTAGGAATGGGCGGTGTATTTACTGAGTTAAATATGGCTTCTTCTCTTTGTCTTTGGTAAAGAGAATTATCAATAATCAAAAAAAAAATAGAATTTTTAAAAAAAAAACCGCAATAATATCTGAAATTACTTCCAAAAGATGATGATGATAATGATGATGCTCGTGGGTTGATAGATAAGAAAATTATTCACCTGATTTCACTCCTTTATAGATGATACTTATAAACAATCACAATAACACACACACAAGGGTCTATTTTATGTGGAAGGGAGAAAGGTCTTTCTGGTCTTTAGTTTCTATGAAAAATTAAAATGTTTGATGATGTCTCTCTTTACTCTTGTTTCATACCACTGAGAGAAAACTAAAAAAATAGGGGCAACACTATGAGGTCGTGTGAATGTGCACAGTAATTATTCTGTTTAAATAAAATTTCTTTTTTTTTTCTTTACAGTTGGGGGGTTCTGATTCTTCAATAGCAACAAGTTATTATTTCTTTTTTTTCATTATTCTTCTTCTTCTTCTTCTTGTTGTTGTTGTTGTTCTTGATGATGATGTTACTGTTGATTCTGTTCTCTTACTTCTAGGTAACATTAAGGCAAGTGAAGTTATACACTATTTTAAGAACCGGATGTATTCTTCCTCCTGCACAAACCACGGTACTTCCGGTCTCGCGTTTGTTTTTTTCTTTTTTCTTTTTTTTTATATAATTTTGGTTCGAGATATTTGAAACTGCATTGGGATTAATCCCCCCCCCCAGCGTAAACTATCATCTATTTCGTAGAGAAACTGCCCATGCCCCTTCCGAGGAATCCATGGTGGCAGGAAATAAACTTAAGCTTATAGCTTGATTTCATTTGGCTTGGCTTGATTTGGTTCGAGATGTGAATTTGAAAGGCTGAATTGGACAAGAGAGAAACTCAAGTTACTCTCGAAATCTATTGAAATTTATGTTAAAATTTGCATCAAAATTACTGCAAAATAAACCACTGTAGACTTAAAGATCGATAATATTTTTTTACACTTACAAGAATTGCTTACATCGATGAAGGTAAAATCTAACCAGACGTACATTTACTATCTGATCATACATCACTTTCCCATCCATATTTTCCTTCGTCAAATTATCCAATACTAATTGTATATATATAAAAAAAAAAGAATGGCCCCTGCCCACCCATTACCATTAATAGTCTTGTCTACTTCAATTCATTTGCCCCTATTTTATTTCTTATTTGCTTTAATTTCTAAAACATAACCAAAAAAAGAAAATAAGCAGAAACTTTTGAATTATTACTAAATGGTTATTAATTCCCCCAAATTGAATAAATTGCTTTACACCGCACACCCTGTCCAAATTAGGAAGGTATTCGGTAATTCACCATCAATCCACGTGATCAAGAAATGTACCAATCAACTTTACAATAAGACCTATTTATCAATGAAACGATCCTATTAAGCCTATTCTATGATAGTAAATTATTATCGGGTCGTTGATTTCATTTCAATTTCCCCTTCCACACACATACAACTACACCAGATGTTACCCTTTGGTTTGTTTGTTTGTCTGTTTGTTAATTGGATTGATTGATTGATTGTTAAAGTTTTCTGTGTTTTTTCTTCTTTTTGTTTTTGTCCTCATGTACACGTCACCACCCAACTTTTTTTTTTCCAGCCTTCCAACGCGGAACACGGCAACAATAAATAGGAGGACTGATTTCCACAGATTAAAATGAATTATTTCATTCTTATTTCTATTTTGATAGTTCTTCTCCCCTTTTTTTTTTACTTTTTTAAAAGTATTCTCCAATATCAATTGATTTATTGAATTTATTATTACAAGCCATGCCAGTCGAAGAACTTGAAGATCGTGTCATCATCACTGATCCATCTGATTCATCCAATTCAGTAACTATTTTGAAATTTGGTGCTAATATTATTTCATGGAAGAATAATAATGTTGAAAAATTATGGTTATCAGATGCTGCTAAATTAGATGGTAGTAAAGCCGTTAGAGGTGGTATTCCATTAGTTTTCCCAGTTTTTGGTAAACAAAAAGATTCAAATCATCCAACTTTTAAATTACCACAACATGGTTTTGCTCGTAATTCAACTTGGGAATTTTTGGGTCAAACTACTGAAAATCCAATTAGTGTTCAATTTGGTTTAGGTCCTGAAAATGTTGATCCAGAAACTTTAAAATTATGGAATTTTGATTTCACTTTATTATTAACTATTACTTTATCTAAAGATAAATTAATTACAACTATTGATGTTGAAAATACTGGTAAAGAATCATTTGATTTCAATTGGTTATTCCATACTTATTATAGAATTGATGATATTACTGATTCTTTAGTTAATAATTTGGCTGAACAAACTTGTTTTGATCAATTGGTTGGCGAATCTTATATTGAAAAGGCTCCAATTATTAGTTTCCATGAAGAATTTGATAGAATTTATTCAAATGTAAGTACTGAAAAAACTTTACAAATTGTTGATAAAGGTAAAGTTTTATTTAATGTTGATAGAAAAAATTTACCTGATGCTGTTGTTTGGAATCCTTGGACTAAAAAAGCTGAAGGTATGGCTGATTTTGAACCAAAATCCGGATTTCATCAAATGTTATGTGTTGAACCTGGTCATGTCGCTACAATGATTTCTTTACCTCCAGGTGATAAATGGTCAGGTGCTCAAGAAATTACTCTTGGTGGTGAAATTAAAGTTCAAGCTAAGATTTATTAGACATTGAAAGATAGTATATATATATATATATATTAATATTATATTTCTTTACTAATTATTAAATGAATTTATCTTTGAATTTTTTTGAAAATTATTTAATGATTTTTGTGATGATGAAATTGTGGGTTTATCATATAATGAAAAAGGTTGGGGTATCGTTACTGATTTTGATTTTGGTAAGGTATTTAAATTAGTTGAATTGTACAATACACGAGAATTGATTGATCTTGTAGATGAACTAGTTCCAAGTGATCTTGAAGGACTTACTCGTGATAAATGTGGGGTATTCTTATTAGTAATAGTGTTATGATTGGAATTATAATTATTAAATTGTGATATTGGTTGTTTCTTATCAAATGAATCACCATGAGGTGGAGGAATAGGAACAGGACCAGTTGGTGATGTTGGAGTGTTACCACCAAAAGGTCGATTTAATGAATTCATTGATGGTTTTTTTTGTAATGTTGGAATTGATGATTTTTTATTTAATGTAGGTATTGAAGATTTCTTTTGTAACGATGGTATTGATGGTTTTTTATTTAAATTTGGCAATGACGGTTTTTTATTTAAATTTGGTAATGATGGTTTTTTATTTAATGTTGGAATTGATGATTTTCTTTGTAAACTAGGAACCATTGGTTTAATAAATCTTGATTGTTGTTGTTGTTGTTGTTGTTGTTGGAAATATTGACTATTGCTACTAGGTTGAACAACACCTGCCATTTCTAATGAACTTTGTCTTAATTTAAAACTTGGTGGATAAGGTTTGGCAAATTCATCTTTATTTGGGGATCCAGTATCAGTAGTTTGTCTCAACATTGAATTCAAATTTCTTGAACCTTTAGATGGTGAAATTTTTCTACTTGGACTACTATTATTATTACCCGTAATACTACTAATACTAGTACTACTATTAGATTCTTTTATAGTAGTCTCTTTATTTTGTAATATTGGTATAGCAATAACTTCATCATTACCATTTAAAGTTCTTCTTCTTTTGCTTGCAGATTCTTCTAATCCATGATGATTTTGTTGAAGTATAGTATCTTTAGATAATGATCTAACATGTGTTGATTCATAATTAGATTTTTGTGGTGATGGAGTTTTAGTATTGGTATTATTATTATTATGTATTGAATAATGTTGATTTATTGATTCCATTTGTTTAAATTTATTAAAATGTATCCCACTATATCTTTTATTTCTTCTATTCATGACTTGATTTCCCCCATTTCTTGACGTATCACCTCCAATAAATAGATTCTGTTGATACTGTTGTTGTTGTTGAGAATATTGACTTCTATTTGACGCTATTTTTGTTGTTGAAGGTGATGACATTGATTGAGTTATCTCTTGAGCTCTTAAATTCAACTCAGATAAAACATTATTTGTCAATCTTTGAGAATAACCTTTTTGTAACATCGTAGAAACAGTTGGTGATGTTTGTATATCATCAATACTTGGATATAATTCATTATTAATACTATCATAATTACTTTTATTTCGTTTATGTTTATTTTCACTATGATGATGAATTCTATCAGGTGGTGAATTTAATGTAAGATTTCTGATTTTTTTAATTGGTGTATTCAATGATACATTACTTGGATAATTCATAGTTGATTCCATTTTGATATTCCCTAAGTTATTAACATTTATAGCCCACTCCTAACAGATAATTCAATTAACGTCTTATCTGAAGATGATGGTGATGATGATGGTTATTCATCTATTTTTTTTTTTTGTTTGTTTGGTCTAAAAAAAAAGAAAAATTGTTTTAAGATTAAAATGGCCCCCAATTCTCGCTCAATCTCCTTTGGGACAAATTGTAAACAATAAATAGCGATGTCGTGCAGTTACCAATTATTTAATCATTGACTGAAAAATGAATTCAATTTTTATTTTCAACATCACAACCAAACCGTTCAAAGATCAAATCAAGAATAAAAATAATATATCCTATAATGAAATTACAGGAATGATCTACAGTAATTAACAACAAGGAACAAAAAGTAGAGTCACACAAATATATATATAAATATTAATTAAGTAAATATAAAACTGAATAAACAAAAGATACATTCTCTCAACATAGATTGCAAGTTGGTAGGGGATATAAATTCTCTATTAATTTTTAATTATTCATCAAAATAATAATAATAATAATAAAAAGCTAATCAATTCTAAACACTGGAAACAATTTCACTAGCATTCTTCAACACTTCAACCATTCTAATACATTCTTTTCTCTTTTGAACTGTAACTTCATTTTCTTTAACCAAATCCTCCAAATCTGGACTACTGTACATCTTCTCTAATAATGTCTTTTGAATTTCATCTTTGGATTTATTGATCAATTTCAACATAATAGCTTTTGGCACAATGTCCGAAACAGTACGTTTAACAATATTATAATAAGAAGAAATCAACAATTTGATAACTTCTGTTTCCATGGTTTCTCTTTCACTCATAGTCCCAGTGGCTCTTAATACTGGAGGTGGTGCTTCCATTTGTTGTAATCTCTTTTTGTTCTTACTAGAGAAAAATCCACCAAAAAATCCATTGGCAGTGCCATCTTCAACTTTTGGTGAATTTGGATTTTGTTGCTGTGGTTGTTGACTTGGTGGTAATGGTTTACCGGTCTTTGGATCAACAGCAACTTGTGGTTTTGGATGGAATTTTTCTTCAACTATAGCCATGGCCTGTGAACCTTTTAACAAATCTGGATGAGCAGTGTTAACATAAGTTTCTTCAGCTTGAATCAAATCATTAACAAATTCATTAGTTGGAATTAAAGCTTCTCTTAAATATTGAATAAAATATTGTGACAATTGTTCCTTCAAAGCAGGATATCTTGAATATTGTGGTTGACTGATAATTTGGGACAAAATTCTCACCAATTCGTCAAAAATCAAATTGATACATCTAGTAGAAGGTTCTTCCATTCTTTTAATTTGTTGTTTAACTAAAACTTCAAAAGCTTGAGTACCAACAAATAATGAAGGTGCAGAACCTGAAGTATTGTGCATAATAGTTCTAATATCACCATCTTTAATTTGATCAAATGGATCAATGGCATTGATACCATTCTTGTAAATTTCATGGAAAACAAATGAAATACGAGCACCACCACTTAATTCTTGAGAACTCAATTCATTCGATTCACCATCCAAAATTCCAGTATAATCTTTAGTGAAATTGGTAATCATACTCAAAGCAATCGAAGCTGGAGATTCCGCCATTTCAGGTCCAAGTAATGCTAATTCTTGACTGTATTTTTTCAATGAATGTTCTATTCTCATTTTAATATCTGGTAAAGTTCCTTTAATATGGTGTAATAAAATACCATTCAATTTCTTAGCCAAGTATGGAGTACCACAAAACTGGGCTTTAGCTCTATAAGATGGATGATTTTCAAAAAATGCCCTTTCATCCTTTAAAGCGTCTCTAATAGTCTTTTTGGCTTCAATATCTTTTTGACCTCTGTTGATAACTGGAACATAACCAAAACGTAATGGAATAACTCTACCGGCCAAGATATCAATAACGTCAGTACCTTGATCCATTAAATCAACTTTAGTTAAAACACCAATAGTTCTGGCACCTTCAGGGTCAACTTCTCTAGCTAATTTCAAACCATCTGAATTGGCCAAATCAGTATTGGCAGCATTGACAGATAAAATAATAGCATTTGGTTTGGAAATAAATTTCATAATCATATCTTTGATTTGTCTTTCAATATCTTTTGGTTGATCACCAACTGGCACTTTAGTTAAACCAGGTAAATCAACCAAAGTTAAAGTTAAAACATGAGGTGAATAAATTCTTAAATTGATAGGAACTGGAGAAATACCCAAATTTTTACCAGTTTTAGCATCAGTTTCCCTAACAATTTCATTTCTAATATCTTCAAAATTGTAGAATTTTTTCCCAGGTAAATGTAAAAATTCACCCCATTCTTCGGCATTATTTTCACTTTGTCCTCCAGTAGATTCCGATGAATTAACATCAATTAAATCATTCTTTTTAGAATCTGGTGGTGGTCTTCTATTAATTAATTGTAAAACCAATGGTCTTCTAGTGACAATACCAGTACCTCTAGGTAAAAAATCTCTACCAACGATATTTTCCAAAACTGAAGATTTACCACTTGATTGAGAACCAACTACGGTAATTTGTGGTAAATCAACTGGGGAAGATGACCCTCCTCCCAATGGTGCCAAAGCATCTTGTAATTTGTTAATGGTTGCAATCAAAGTTTCATCCATCTTGACTATATGTTTGATCTAAAAAATGAATGGTGTATGTCCTTATTAAAATCAAATAAAGAAAAGTGCTGTCAAAATTTTTGTTATCGTTTTCATGTTGTACAAGAGAGAGAGAGAGATCGTTGTTGTTGTACGTTGATTTGTGTGGCCACCGAAAAAAAAAAAATTATTCTCAAAAAAATTTAAACAATGGTCAAATGTACACGACCACCAAGATCATGTTTTTGTTGCAGTCAAAGACCAACACTGCCACCACCATGATCAATTGGAGAGGATAAATGATAGACATGAAGATAGACCAAATTCGTATTGTTTATTTTTTATTATGAAATTATATAACGTATACATTGAAATATAAATCATTGATTTTCTTTATCACAGCTTCGGTGTTTTCCCATGGAACACCAAAGATACCAGCATTTATCTTTGGCATATTAATGACGATTTTACCATCTATAGTTTCTAAATCCTCGTATGATTTTAAGATTTTATCTAAATCATTTATAGCTTGTTCAGTATGATGAACAATTTGTGCTGCAGATTGGTTAAAGTCACTTGTGAATAAACAAGCAATTAAAATTGATGGATTATCCGATTCAATAAGCAATGATTTACCCAATAAATTGTTATTTTCATGACAATACTGACTATATTCTTTATTTGCTTGAGGGAACTTTTTTCTGAAAATTGCTGCAATTCCACCACCCCAAGATCCTTGAGTATTACAAGCATGAGCAAGGATTATCTTTTTACCAGAAGGAATTGAATGAGTGAACAAATCACCTTGGATGTATTTAATGACCGACATTGTCAATTGAGTTGTATTTATTAATAATTGAATATGTACAAATAGAGGAAAAGAAAGAAGAATCACAATCAAGGGGGATTTTTTTTGGTTGTCAATTTTTTTTCTTTTGTTTCACTGCTACCCATACCGATGATTGTTGCTAGATTTTTTTCTCCTTACTTCCACCTAACTTCAAAGTGATTGATTCACCAGGGGAATTGTGTTTAATGCCATTGAAAAAGAATCCATGTTCACTTCCACAGCCAAAGACATTCTCATAAACTTTCTGTTCTTCGGATTGATGATCTTCATATCCTGTTTGTTCATAAGAATTTGTAAATGTAAATGAATTGACATATTTATCAACATTTCCATCGTCATGACGATTCAAATATCTATCCTCTGGAGTAACCATATAAAATTGAATTTCACTTCCATTCTCTAACTTAGCCTCTGGAGATAAGGCAATTATATCTGCTTTAGCTCCCCATCCTCCACCTCCAGCAATAACTTTAAATCTTTCCATAGTATTACTATTTGGTTTCTTAATCTTCACATAAACTTCAGTTTCTTTAGACCCAATACTCATTAATTTATTATTATCTTCAAGAAACTTGGGCTGCTGGTTTATTATCAACTGTTTTCAACAAATTACCAACACATTTAGTAATTTTAAATGAATTTTCACCAGGATATAAATCAGTCCAATTATCATGAATAGACGCATGTGAATGTCTTGGAACCACGCCTCTTGGTAATTCAATTTGTAAATCACATAAATGTTGACCCAGATGATTTATACCACCCTTTTGATTGTTAATATGTGAAAAATAAAATAACGTAATTATCGATCCAGTAGAAAACACAGTATTTGCAAGATTTAAATTCAAATTCATATCATTTCTTAATTTAATATTCAAATTAGATTCAATATTTTTCCAATTCTTCTTAGCTACTACTATATTAAGTCCATCTGATTCTCTTGGAGGTTTATTTAAATCATCTCGATCTTCCAATAATAACGATTGTCCAATTTTAATAGGCTGATTCATCCAAAGTTCAGAAACTCCATTACGATGTGAATATGGAACTACTGTATCTACACCAGCAACCACAAGCTGAAGATCTGAAAGAGATGGATCTTGATGAAATTTAATTGAATCTTCAATAACTTGGGGTAAATTATTTGGAGTTGATAAAACAAGTAATGATTTGGGGATGAAATGTGTTGGTTTTTTCAACTGAAAATCATTGGGATTGATAGTTGTTTTTGTTAAATATGAAAGAGTAGAATTTGTATAATTTAATCTTTGAAATTTCTTGATCATTATTGGATATTTCATTTCTATGAACAAAGTCTATATAATAAAAATAAAGGGATTTTAATTTTTTTTTTCGTTCGTTCGTTAGTGCTCATTGCTCAACATCATCGATTGGTCTCTTTTGTGGGATGGATTGATCTTTATCACCATCTTGTTCACCTACTTCGCCTTGTTCTTTCTCTTCTTGTTCTACTTGTTTGGTCATTTCTTCAAACTCTTTTTGTAGGTCTATAATTTTATCACCTCCTTCATCAAAAACTTTCTTTAAAACTGGACCCCATACTTTTTCATCTCTATCAAAATCTTCAATCTTAAATACATTTTGATCTAATTTCCATTCAGATTGTTTAACTCTAATCAACTCAACCATATATGCACTGGATTCCATGGCTCTTCCAATATCACTAATCAAACTTCTAATATAAGTACCGGAAGAAACATCACTTACGAAATGAATCATTGGCAATTTTTCCGGTAATGATTCACCATCCGGTAATAATCTAGCTTTACCTACTTCTTTTGGTAAGTTTTCCTTTTCTGCTCTTTCTAGATATTGACTAGAAAAATACAATGGAGAATCATTCAAAGTTGGGTTATTCATTAATCCATGTTCTTTTGGTACACCATTTTCATCCAATTCACTTTGTAATTTAACAAATTCATGATCGGTTTTCAATGAATCTTCTTCAATAACTTTAATATCATTAACAGTAACATCTCTGACTTTAATACTTGTAGGTAATGGTAATCCTTCTCTTGCGTATTCATATAATGGTTTCCCATTAACTTTCAAAGCAGAAAAAATAGGTGGAGTTTGTTTTATATTCCCAATGAATTTTTGTACAGTTTCATCAATTAATTCTTTAGTAATATGATCAATTTTATTTTGAGTTATAATTTCCCCTTCTGAATCACCAGTAGTTGTAGAAATCCCCAATAATGCTTTAGTTTCATATGTTTTTTGACATTCAGCAAGGTAATATTGTAATTTTTTTGTACCTAATCCAATACCAACAACTAATACCCCACTAGCTAAAGGATCTAAAGTACCTCCATGACCAATTTTAATCTTAGCTGATGATACCTTTTTATCAATTCTCTTTTGATTCCATTTTTTATTTGTACCTAAATCTTTTCTAATTTTCTCTTTCATTTCTTGTAAATCTTTGGCAAAAACACCAGACTTGGTGAATTTGTCTTGAATTTTATCAATAAATTTGGCGGATGTTATACCCGATGGTTTATAAACTGCAAATACTCCGTTCATTCTGCGTAATAGCATATACGATTGACCTGATTCAAATGGATTAATGATATTAAAGGAGTTGATATTTTTTGTTTTCTTTTTTTTTTCCTTTTTCCAGAAAATTTTCGCTTCGGATTTCGCATGGATATATCTCATCCCATGTTTGATGGTCTAGGAATTTGAATATCAAGCTAGATAGGGGGAAGATTGTTAGTAATCGGAATTGTCATACTTCCAGTGAGTGTTAGATGATACATACTGTTAGATAACCACTGACTCTTGGAGATATAACCTTATAATCAATATTCTTTTTGAGATTCTCTTGATTAATTCCATCAATGTAATCTTCCAATTGTTGAACTTTTCTTCTAGTATAAGAATAAATACCAATTAAGTTTAAGATCTGTAGGAACAATCCACCAGTTAATAGCTCAAGTACATTCTCTAGCAATGTCCATTTATTATACGGATTAAAGGCTAATTGCAACATTAAATTAACATGATCAACAATCTTTTCAAGTTTTTCTTTACTAATAATATCTTCTAATCCTTGTATCTTTGAACTTTCATTGAATATTTCTCCATCATCATATTCTCCACTAATATATTCGTCCGAAGTTATTGCACCTGATTCATCACCAGGATAAAATTTTGAAAATTGGGGAATTAAATCAGGATAATCTAAAGTATCATAAATCCTAGGAATTCTAATTATTCTAGTTTGTTTATAAATACTAGATTTAATATCTTCATAAATATTAGGAAAATGATTAATTACTAATGATATTTCTTCATCGTTCCCCATGCCTTTAGTTCCAATAGCCACATATTCATTGTAATTAAAATATATTAACTTCTGTGGCTCTTGCTCACTGATGTCTCCTTCTCCCAGTTGTGAAGCACTCTTTATCTTTTCATTCATATCAGTCATTTTTCTAATGGTATATGTGTGGTGATATCTGTATGTACAGTTGATAAGGATAATCTTATTAATTTTACTAATATTCAATTTTTAGTTTAACTTTTTTTTTTTGCTGAATCCCGTTTTTGTACCCCAGACGTGATCAATGGCACGTGATAAACTTTAATAATAACCATATTCAATGACAGATGACTTTTCGCAGTGCCTATGTGCAATTGTCCAAGTATTCCATGAGTAGATAGGATATCTTCTAGTAATGCCACCTTTTTTTTAACTTCAATGCAGTTTTGGTGATATTCATCTTCAGTATGGTGATTTATTTTATTAGGGTTTTATAAAACACTGAAAAGTTCACACACACACACACAGGGGCGTGTCTCGCACAACTCTGGGATTTTTTTTTTTTTTTTTTCTCCTGTGAGTATAAATTCATCACAAGAAACAGAAATTGGAAAAAAAAAAATTTTATTAAAGGTTTTCTTCTTCTTCTTCTTTTCGTCATTCCTTTTGTTTGGATCATCGGTATTAGCCAGGTATGTTATTAAGAAGATATTACCAGCCATGATTATTGGATGTATGTTGTAAAGCAATATATCATTTTCAGTAATCAAGGTTCAAAACAAGATGTGGGCGAATGTGTTCTTTTGGGTGGTTTTCTTTGTTTCATGTATTAATTTATAATGATGATACTGAGTCGTTATGGCTCCATAGCATAAACCCAGCTCAATTGATATTTATTGTTTATGATAAGAATTGTTTAAGTATATTTTATATACCTGATCTATAAATGATGATGAAACAAGAAGACCCAGAAAGAAATATTCAAACAGTCTACATAATTTAATAAGACTTTTAATATTGAATACTAACTGAAAATCCTGTTATTATAGAGATCGGTATTTGGGAAGAAAGAATCTTGTTTGTCGTGGGGCTTTGTCGCCGACTTTTCCAGGTACTAACTTCAATATCAATGTAGCATCTTTTTGTTATAATAAATATATATATATATTATTTACTTCTGTTTTATCTATCAATAATGTAGCAATATTGATCTCTTGTTTTACTCGCCGACCTTGAAGTACTATTCTCTAGTTGAATATCCTCATTGGTTGTTCATCTCTTTCGTTGGACCCGTTGACAATCACTTTCGACATAGTCGTGCGAATGTGCCGAATTTTTGGTCAATTTAACCAAAGAGAAAAAGTTGAAAATTTTTCGTGGATCGAAATTGAATGAAGGAATGGATATCAACAGTAATTAGATTCCTTGTTAATAGATCATAATGTTAAGAAAAATAGTTGGTAGAACTGCTTCAAGTAGTTTCAACCAATTAAAGGTATCAACTCCTAGAATTTCAACCAGTCTTTTAGCATTACGTTATCAATCATCTTCATCAACTACTACTACTACTACCACTACTGCCACCACAGGTACTACAACTACCTCATCTACTCCTGGTTCTGAACAACAGCCTGTTGTTAAACAAGAAAAGAAACAAGAAGATATTAAAAAGAAATCAAAAAGAGAATATGTTCCAATCAATCCAAAATTGCAAGACATCTCTGAACAAATTAAATCTGCAATTTTAAAAAATGAAGATTTAAGTGAATCGTTTGAAATATTAGAAGAAGGTATTTCATTTTTAAAATCTATTCAACAAGATGAAAGAATTAGTGATTCCCAAATTTTCTTTAAATTTTATCCATTAACTATTGAATTATTCAGATTAGCTCAAAATCAACCAAAAAACAATCAACCAGTTTTTAAGAAATCATTAGATGAATTATTGGAATTTTTTGTTAATAATAAAATTGCAACTCCATGGCATTTCTTACAAATTGGTGTTAAAGATTTAATGGTATCACCAGGGGAAGAAATCACAGCAACCCATTATCAAAAATTTTTATCACTTTGGTTTAAATGTTTTGAATATTGTAAACAAAATGAATATGTTTATATGCATACAATTTATTCAATTAGAGGTAAAAAGGGAGAAATTGATTATCAACCATATTATTTAAATAATTTAGCAGTTTATTGTTATGTTCAATTATGTTCACTTGGAGAAATTAAATATTCACCAGTTGATGCTAGTAAATTTTCCAATAAAGAAAACCATATCCCATTGAGATACAATATTCAAAAGACATTAAATCATTTGGGATTATACAATAAAGGAAGTTTCCAAAATTTTGCTAACTTCTTGAGAAATGATGAAAAGAAGAGATTTGATCCAAATGGTGCTCAATCATTATATAAAATTGATAATACTTTTGATAAGAAACAATTGGATATGGTCTACTTGGAACTTGTTGAAGTTTGTAAAGAAAGAAAAATTCAAATTGATGAAAAGATTATCTGTGCATTAATGGAAAGATATTTGAAATTTGAAGAATATGAAGAAGTTTTCACCCTTTTCGAAAATATCATCAATTCAGGTATTAAACCAAATATTGAGTCCTGGAATGTTGTCATTAAAGCCATGACTAATCCAACCAGAATCAAATCTGAACTGAAATATTCTAGAAAACAATTGATGGAAAATTTCGAAAGAACCATTAAAACCATTCAAGCATCAGGATTGAAATTCAATGCTGGAACTATTGGTGCTATTGTCAGTGGTTATGCCAATTTTGGTGAATTTGAAAAAGCCAATGAATATATGAAGAATTATTCATCTATTCCAGGAGCTACTAACTTAGCTAATGATGGGTTATTGCGTGGATTGATTTCCAACAATAAAACTGATGAAGCTGAACAAAAATTACATGAATTCATTTCCCAATCCAAAGCACAATATAAACCAAGTACAAATGTTATGAATGATTTCCTTCATTACTATATCCAGCGTAAAAATTATAGTGCTGTTAATGGATTAACTCAATTTATGAGACAACATGAAATTGAAGAAAATGTCACTACCAGAACTATTTTAATCAATGCCTATTTTGAAAGTTTACATGCTATTGGTAAAACTCCAGATTTATCATCATACTTAAAACAAATGGAACAATCATCCAAGGCTAACAAAAAAGGATTCAATGAACATATGCATTCTACTTTATTGAAAGGTTTGATTCAAGGTGGAAATATTGAAGCAGCAAGACAATTGTTTGATATTTTAAAGAAGAGATATCCTCGTTCATCTTGGTTAAATACTCAAATTATCATTGCCGAAGTAACTTTAGGTGATGCTAAATTGGGTGAAGATTTATTCAACAACTATATTAAAGAAATTAGAAATGATAACATAATTTGGAACACTTTTATTCATAATTTATTACAAAAAGATGAAAGATTAGCTGATGTTTATTTCAATAAATTAAAACAACAACAAGCTCAAGAAGGTAAAGTTGGTCCTAATTTTTACACTTATTATTTCATGTTGCAACATTATAGAAGAAAAGGTAAGAAGGATAAAGTTCAACAATTAATTAATGAATTGAATGAAAAAGATTGGAAAGATTTTGGTAATGTTTTACCTAAATTTATCAACAATTTAACTGGATTTGTTGATGTTCCAGCTACTTTATTACAAAGAGTCAATGCTTAAACGAAAATCATCTGTAAATAAATAAAATCAAAATATTATTATTATTGAAAAAAACACAGTTTAAAAACAAAAAAAAAAACACAATTCTACATAAGAATATTAATTTATATATATATACATGTACATATTCAAAGAATATATTAATTATTTCTGTTTGTTCTTATTTTCTTTATTAGTAATCATCATCAACGTTAACTTCACCCATGGCTTTTTTCCATAATGGAACAGCCCAATGAGTGAATCTATCTTTAGCATTTGTAAAATTATCCAAAGCAGGACGAGTATCCAACATAAAAGCAGGCATTCCAGTTTCTTCATCATCAGGAGCACCATAATAATCAATAACATAACGAACTTCTTGCCAACCATTATTTTTACCTAAACTTCTTAAAACTGTCCAATCATGTCTATCAAAAGGAGGGATAGTATTAAAAGTTTCAGGAAATAAATTACCTAACCATAAATACATTCTTGCTTTTGGACTTAAATCATGAGGTTTACCAGTGAATTTTTTCAATCTTGGTTCAACTTGACTTTTTAAAGTATATGATTTTTCCCAAGATAAAATTTGTTGCCATGCTCCTTCATTTAAAAAATTATGAACTTCAACCATACTTTCAACTGCATCTTCAGGTATTCCATCTCCTTTACCTTTTTTTAACATAGCATTCAACATCTGTTGAGGACTTGGATATTCCCATAATCCTTCTCCTTCCAGTTCTCCTCTTGGAATGGTAGAAATGGTACGTTCTGTAGATAATTTGATTTTTTGACCTGGTGCCAATTCAGATGATATAGCCATAGGCATGTTATTTAATGGATTTAATACTTCTACATCATCATCATTATCACCACCATTACTTGGTTTAATAGGACATGCGGAAGATGTGGAAAGTTTTGTATGATCTATTGGACAAGCTGAATATGTAGATGATGTTTGCAACTGTTGTTGCTGTTGTTTTTGTTGCTGTTGTTGAGGTGTATCGGCCCAGAACCAACCCATGATGAATATTTATTGTAGTATTTGTAAAGTTTAGTTTATGATGAATGAATCAACCACTAAAACAAGACTTGATTATTCTTATTTTTTTTTTGATGAGAGAAAAGGCAAGAGAAAAAAAAAAAAAAATAAAAAGAAAAAAAGAAATTTTCCCTACAATATGCTTATGTAATAACGTGTGTTGACAATCACGTGACTGTTTTTGCATTTGCTTAGAAATTGAAACAAACTCTTATCAAAGATAATACGTCAAATTGAACATCCAATAATTTTCTAGATGATATTTTGTCTGTGATAATGATTTATTATTAATGACAATGTACCGAGAAAATAGGATGAACGGGAAGTATGGTTTGATAGGTGTCAATTGAGTACCACGGATGATACATATATATATATACATCAATGTAAATTGATTTGTAAGTAACCTCAAAAACCAAAAAAAAAAAAGTATATTTATTAAGGTTACAGTATAATTAGTTTGTGATCAGATATTCCAACTAATTCATATCTAAAAAGTATGAACTAAATACCGTAGATGATATTATTGAACATGTTGATTATTTGATAATAATATTTTTGAATTTGATGTTGTAGACCTTTTTTTTTTTGTGAAAATAAGAATAATTTAATTAGAGTATATGTTCTATTGAAGACCCCGAAATAGTTTAAAAGTTTAGTTCCTTTTTCCAAATCAAGTAAGTATAGCCAATTAAAAATAAATATATTATTGGTTGATTTCTTCGTCTATGTCTTGATTGAGTTTGGCTAGTTGGTTGATTTGTTGATTAGGTTTTAGTTTAGAAAATTCACAATCTGACATTTAAATCATTTAAAAAATTATATGTACATGATTAACATGTGTCTGTTTTTTTATTCTATGATGATTCTAGTCTTGATATCTTTCCCTATTATTTTTAGTCTAAAACGTTCATTATACATATGATTCATTATCATTCTTTACAAAAAAATTGGTAATGTTTTAAAATGTTAAATATGAAAAATAAAAAGTGGAGTTTTTATGTTTCGATTGGATATTGTTTTTTATACACAGGATAAATTGAAAAAATAATGTGGTTCAACAATATCGTCAATCTTTCTTTTTTATGTATTTATTTATTTTAGCATTATAGACTTAACTTTGTTATCAATAAGTTCATTCTTTCAGTTACTTGTATATAATGGCTTATTGCGATTACCTAAGTCAGTAATATCTACATTAAGTAACAAAATAAATTCAATAGAGAAAATTAGTTTCTACATGTCGAAAATTGTAACTCTGACATTTTTTTTTTTATTTCATTTATTTTTCAATTATATTATCGTGTCATATGGATTTAATAGAACAAACCACGATATTCCCCGTTGGACTAATATTGATAATTTTCTATTTTTATTACGTATCATTATTATTTTGGTCTTATTAGCGTAGGTAGTTATGTTCTGTATGTTCCCTTGTAAATTAATGATACGTATATATTTTAAAATTAATGATATTACTACGAGAAGTACCACCAGTAATAATAATAATAATAATATTCATGGCAATTCATTCAAGATACGTTGCATCTACCGACCTATTTATCTATCTATCTATCTAATACAATTTGCATTGCTTTTACCATTTTGCAACTATTGCATAGGTTCAATACAAGTTGAGAATAAAATCGTACGGGGGATTGAATATTTTAGTCGTGTGTCTGTGAGAACTTTGTTACAACACAAACCTGTTGTAATCAGGATTGTTGTCGTGCTTTATTTCCATTTTTGGAAAGCCAATCCATGCGCCGCATACTACCACTATTGAGACTGGCAAGACACGACATTTTGGTTTTATTCAAAGCCACCAATACATGATGTTAGTTTTGTTTTTTCATTATGGTCGAATAGCAAAATTACAATGAACAAATGTACTTATGAATTTAAACTGATTTTAGTCGTCTAAGTTTTTACAAAGATCAGAAAGAAGAAGAAAGCAAAAATAAAAAAAAAAGAGTGCTTATAGACATGCAATCTATAATCCCGTAAAGATTGTAACTTAAACAATAAATACATGAACATATGGGCGAGAGAGATACCAATGCAATTGACATTGAAATCATTTCTCTTTCTCCTCCATTTAAACATGTAACAAAAGTGAGAACTACGAATATGGGAGTATTCAGGGAGGCTTATCAATTTATTTTTAATACTATTTTCTCCTAAAACACGTAAAATGAATTTCATCTTTATTAACCAAGTAGTAGATATTTCTAATACCAATATGTTTAGATATTGCATTATGAACCTTAATTTATTTTCTCTAATATTCCAAACCTTTTCTTTTCCTTTATTTTCTTAGAAAAAAGGGGGAACCGAAGTGGAATTGGTTTCTAATATAGGGACCAGTGTTCTCTTTCCCGGGAGTTACTATTCCGTCTGCATGAACCCATATACCCTTAGTCTTTTTACTCTTGACTCCCTTCTTCCCCTACATCCACTAATTCTTCTTCGATTTAATAGTTGGACAGGAAGGCTTGAATAAGAAAAAATCTTACGACATTAAAATTTAATCTTCATATGGGTAATGATGGGGAAGTTCACGTGGATAATGGTTTTGAGAATAAACAATACTTCTTTAAAGTTTATTACAGACCCAATAAGTGTAGACATGTAGATTTTTTTTTCTTACATGGTAGGTTAATTCTTGAAACTTATACCGAGGAATCTGGTTAGCGTAGTACGACACGAGTGGTATCATAACTTACGAATGAATAAGCCAACACACTGAAAGTATAATCAATTGTGTAAATGAATAAATATCTATGTACATTGTAAAGCACGATCCAAAAAGATAAAAAAAACAACCACAGAGACTCCGCAATCGATGGTAAGTGGCCAATGTTCATCGCATAACTCCATGTAAGAAGAATATTAGTTGATACTTGTATCTTTAACAAATGCAAGGACACGAATTGATGGAGGCTTTTCGTCCAATGGGAGTAATGGTTAACTATGAGTAGTAAATTGTCGTTAGTGCAAATGCGAACAAATTTACTAAAATTGCCTGCATTATCATCGACGTTTCAACACGGCATGTACTAACACACACACACACACACACACACACACACACAAGACAATTGACCAATCGGTATTCAATTGAAAAATTAATTAAACGATACATTCAACATGGCGTGTAGGTCTGACTCTGTATATAGCAAGTCATTGATTGACCAAACAAGAAAAAATAAATTATGGACTAGATAAGGTACAAAACAAAGAGAAGAACCGCCCCTTCTATTTAACACCAGCAAATCTCATCATCATCAACATCATCAACTACAACGGCACCTAAATAGCAAGTAAAGTATAGGAGAACTGCGTCAATGAAATAAGCCATTAAAAATAAAAAATTTTCCATGCATATTAATTTGTTCATTATTGTGGATTGAAAAAAAAAAAATCACACACACACACATTATTCATTGTCGATCCTATTTCAAAGGATAAAACAATCCACGGAAAACAATCAACATGGAAAACGGATAAAAAAAACTAAAGACTAATAGTCATATTGTAATACTATAGATTATTGTTAGGTTTAGATAAGGTTATGAGAAATACTAGTGTACAAACATAAAGAGGTACAATGCAATACTAAGATAAAACTAAAAATAACCACAGCGCCGATTTGATTTAATTAATTGTAGGATTGAAAATTTTTGATTCTTTAAACAGCAACGATAATAGGAAAGAAAAAGTTTCGATGTCCAGGGTTATGAATATCAATTGAATGAGTTAGAGATTAGCCGCTGCAATAAAGTTTTCAATTTTTAATTTGTACATTTAACATATCGGATGATTACTTCTACTCTTGAAAATAATGGTTTTTTACGAAATATGATACCAAATGCTTTGAGAATGTTATACAAATAGTCAATAAACCAGCAGGTACAGATATAATGTCTATGACGAAAGTTGGTTTTTGTTTTTTTGTTCTATATTGTTTTATTTCACGCTTACATAATTGATTAGATGTTCACTTGTTAAGAGTTGTAGTGTAATAACCAATTGGGTTAATAATACGCCTTCGTTGCCTAATCTATTGTTGAAAATTTCAAGAAAACGTTTTTGTTCTTATTCCGATATCTGTTTCATGTATAACCAAAATCCAGTTTAATTCATGATTGTGGAACAACTGCTAAACCAATTAAACAAAAAGACTGTCTTGATTCAATATTCAAAAGTAGGGCTTGTCTCTGTTTTGTATATCGACAATAGTTTCCTCTCTAATATTTCTTTTTTTTTTAAAATCCTTGAATAGGGAAAAGTTTTAATTCTTCACTCGTCTATTTCCAATGTTTATTGCTATACATCTTCTATCCCCATGTATTTCTCGATCTTTCTATCTCCCTCTCTAGTCCCTTTCCCCTTCCCCCACTCTGACATTAAATCTTCTTTATGTTCGTTTTTGTTTTCCCTTTAGTCCAAGGAAGTAACCAACAGGTTGATATTTCTCGGTATTAATGACTAAAGATGACAATATCCCTTGACGTCTTTCAGTAGTGGAATTGATAATCCACTTTTATTTCATCGCAAATCATGGTTAATCATAATGTGACAAAAAATGGAATAGTTGTGTTTAATAGTTGCTTGCATTATCTATCAAAATTCGCAATATAACCCCAAGAAAAAAAAAGTTTATCTTGAAATATACAGTTAAACGTATTTCAATTGTTATCAACTTTTAATATTGAAACTAATCCATATTGTAAGTAAAACACATAAATTGATCGATTATAACCTACAACATCATTACTATCGCCATCACCATCACCATCACCATCACTATTATCATCATCTATATGGTTGTCGTGGAAACCAATAATGCTAACGAATATTTCACTTCTCTACAAGAACAATTCTTGTCGTGTGGTGCATATATGTGTGTGTTAATGAATGAATAAAGATAGAAATAGAAATAGAAAATATAAAAAAAAGGAAACAACTCTATTCAACGCAATGTGTGATTTAAAATCAGATTCTTTTTATTATTAGCTATTGTCGTTGTAAGTTGATTTTTTACATCCAAGATGGTTACTAGCAATGATACACACGATAAATCTTGCTCATGACTAAAAAAAAGAAAAAAATAATTATTTTTATAACAAACCATTGATTTCATCAACAAAAACTCCTTACCCACATGGCTTAATACTTTGGTAGTTATTCACTGTTCATTCAACTAAGATATTCACACACTCATAGAGAGAGACGCTTCTTGTATCCTAGTTTTGAAAGGTTTACTAATAATATTGGAATTTTTAAAATATCTAATCAATCAAGAGAAATCAAAGAATTTAAAAAACTTAGTTATCAATTTACATCTACACATAACCTATTGGTAAGTGAAAAAAAAAATGTCTGATTGAATTAAATAATTATAATCCTTAGGTTCAACTTAGATTTCATTATAGTTATAACTTGTTTGAAACAACGACAACTGGTATCATATAAAGTGAAGTAGTGTATTGGCGATAATGTGAGTGTTTATATGCCGGACAGATTCAATTGGGCGAATGAAATGGAAAATTTTTTTTTTTGCTTTGAAGATTTGTCGATCAAAAATTTTTTTTTCTTTTTCATTTTACTTTACTTTTTCCTTCTTTCTTCTTCTTCTTCTTCTTCTTCCATTACTTTCATTATACAACCAATGATACTCACACAAGCATAAATTATGATGAAAATATTACTAACTAAAGACTATAATAGTATTTAACTAACATATCATTAGAGACCATTTCAAATCATTTCAACTCATAACTTGAATTTTCCCCAAACCAAAATTGGTTTTCCCCATTACGTAATTACAAAATGAAATTTTTTTTTTTTTGGTTTCTCCTTTTTTTCTTTTTCCTTCGGAAATGACACCCCCCCAAATGGAAAAAAAATATTTTCTTCGTCTTATTTAGCCTACGTTTTCCGTGTTTGTGTAACAGATCGGATTAAACATTTCTACCCCGGATTATTTGTCGTTGTAGAGGTTACACAAAAAACTTTAGAGTTAAATTTACGAGGCAAGATCTAGAAAACTGTAATATGCACGACTGCTTAAATATCGCATTCACACACGCACACTCCTTGGTAACTGGAGAAAAATGTCGTATTACGACATTGTATATATATGTATAATATTTGGATAAGGAAATTGGTTTATAAATCTCTTAAAGAATTATAATGTTCACCTAAACCATATGAATGTTTGAAATAACCCAAATTTAACTCTTTTAATTCACCATCAGGATTAATTTTCAATTCTGAAGAACCTGCCATGTATACAATAATTGGACAATTGAAGATATTAGCAAGGGCAAGAATTTCCATATCTGACCCCCACATTGCTGTTGATTTTAATTCTTCAACATAATCATTTATATTTTTTAATTCACCTGTTTCTTCATCAATTAAAAATGGAATAAAATCATTTTGATTTTCTAGGATATAATCACCTGCTAAATTTCTTAATTCTTGAATTTCAACTGATTTATTATGATGGATTAATAATTGATCTTGAATTGAAGCAAATAAACAATGTCCATCAGGTTTAATTTCATATAATTGTAGATTATTCATGGATAATATTTTCTCCATAGATTCTTGTTCTAATTTTCTATAATCTATACTATTTGCAGATTCTTTAATTGCTTCCTGTTTGATTTTTTCAATTTCTTGTTTACGTCTTTCTAATCTTTCCTTTTGTCTATTTCTCTTCTTCTTTGGTTCATTACTCGTTGTAGTAGTTGTCTGTTCTTCTTGTGGCTTGTTATCTAATGACATTTGTTCGAGTAATTTCTCAGGAGTCATTTCTTCTTCACCTCCATCATCATCATCATCAACAACATCGCCACCACCGTCAAATTTCTTTAATTCACCTTGTTGTTTTTGATTTAACTTATCTTGTAATTCTTGACATTTTTGAAGAACACTCTTCCTTGTTTTCTTAGTTGCTTGTTTTTTCAACCCTGTTACAGTCGCTATTAAATCTTTTTGTTCTTTTTTATGACGTTGAATTAATGCATCTCTTGTCTCTTCAATTGGTAACTGATCTTCAGACATGATTGTGTTTTAATTTGTGCTGTGATTATTCAACAATGATGATTGAAAAAATTTTTTTTTGTTGGTTAGGTATGAGATGAGATGAGTAGTGTGAGTTGACTATGTGTATCTCTATATATGTCTGTGTGTGAGTGTGTGACTGGGTTACGGTGATTTTGAGATTAGGGCTGGAAATGAACATAAAAAATTTTTGTTGATTTTTTTTTTTTTTTTTTTTTTTGGATGAGGTATTTTCTCAGTGTGCGAGTGTGAGTATGTGTGTATGATAATATACAGGAACATCGTCAATTGAAACAACACAACATCATAAACAATTGCTGATTGTACCAATAGTAATGGATTGAATTGGCATTATCACAAAGCAAACCTCTTAATGTACGATGATGATGATGCTAGGGTTTCTTCATTGTAGTTAATTAAACTGTTGAAATGACAATTACCAAGGTACACAACAAAAGCCCAAAAAAAAAAGAAACTATTTGACACATATCTGATATGATTACTAAACCAGGTACCACAATTACAGTTAGGACAGGGTTAATCCTCGGCATCACACACACACATACATACACACATACATACATAAATACTTAAACACACACAGAGAGAAACAGTGACTTACAAACATAGAGAAGTTAAGAAAATTGCCGTGGATCAAGATGATAGTTTTGAGTTGAGATGGTCACATTTATAAATTTTGTGGAGAAATTTGTATTACGTTTCACTACGAGAAAGAGCAAGAGATAGAATACAAAAAACAACACCGTCATTCAAAACATCGATATACGGCAAAAGAAAGAAAGGCGAGAATGGAATGAAGCGAATATGTGAGGCAAACAAAGTGATGATGATGATGATGACCAATTTACTAAAGAGAATGTTTGACTGTTGAAAATCATACAGCGTTGAGCAACAGACCATGTAAAATGTAAGACAAATATAGCCCGTGTCGATGTAATCTCTCTTATCTTTCTTAAATTTTATTAACCCCGTCTATATTACTACATCAGGATTTAATTGGATGAATAGCAAAAAGAAAGAAAAAAAAAATCCGAAATAATTACTGAAATTTATCCACAAAATCGAAAGGGATAGAGTGGACAAACAAACCCACTTTTTATTTCATTCATAAATGGGACAAAAAGTCTTGTTTTAAATCCTATTAATAGTAAATGCATGGAAGACACAATATATATATAAATTACATGCTTTGTTCCTATTCCTTCTTCGGATTTCTGTATTAATTATTGAGAACAATCCCGATTATTATTATTATCAAAGGTTAAAATTATTTGAGAGGATTGTTTAGCGATTTCATATTATATTTATATTAAAGAAATAAAAACTATCGCCTATCATTGTAACAGTAATACAGAAATGTAACTATCATCATCGTCACCATCATCTGTTGTAGTACAACTTGTAGAGTAATGTAGGTTATAATTACAGAAAAGAAAAAGAAAGAAAGAAAAAAAAATTTCATCAGCATGATGTACATCACCACCGACGACCAAAAAAAAGAGCCAACTACAGCCGTCATACTGAGTGAATGATTCTAAAATTAAAATCTTCAACCGTCCGACTTTTAACGGTTGATGTTTCCATTATATTCTCTTCTAACCTATTCGGAATTCTTTCCGGTATGAATCAATTAATGGTTATGTGTATGAGGAGGAGGAAAAGGAGGAGTGTGTCTTGTCCTCCGACTCACGAAATGTCCGAATTCAACAAAATTTTTCAAGCCTCATTACAACCTTACATACAATTTTTCCATTATTGCGCCATGCACATTCATAACACACACACACACACACACGCAATAATCTAAAGAGCACTAAATAGATAAATCGCCTCCTATTTTTTCAGCTTTTGCTTCTTAATTAATGAAAGGGAGGTAAATCATGTGACAAGCCATAAAAACAAATCGACATATATCTATTACTAAAATTCGGTTTTGTTATTGTACACAGCATAATACAAGTGTACATTAAGTATTCTTACAATAGTAAACTCAAAGTGTCTGCGTTGTATTTTTTTTGATTCGTCAAATCGTCAAAGGTCAAAACGTTTTCCCCATCTCTTTATCAGTAAATTAATCAAATTTGGACTATGAGTTAATGAGCTTTACTTGGCTCATTGTAATTAATTTTATACGGCACTAAGAATAAGAATAAGAATATGAAGAAGAGGGGGTGACTGATTGGGGGCAATTAAATTTGTTTGTTTGTGAAGTATTTATCTAATTGTATATATCCGACCGGTGAAATTTATATAAGAATAGTAGCAGTAGCAATAGTGCTACTACTAATAATAACAAAAAATAAGTGGTTGTAGTTGTAGTTTATGTACAAAATTACAAAAGACAAAGTTGGCGGGAAAACAAAGATGACAGTGAAAGAAAAAGATAAAGTCAATCAATGAAGAATATACTCAAAATATTTTGTGATAATAATCCACTAAACAACAACCGTAAAACAAAAAAGAAACAAAGATCAAGAGATAAATTTTCAACTTCTACCAAAAAAATTTTATATACCTCTCTGTCTATTACAACTGCAATATATATATATATATATATATATATATATATATAGTGTGTTAGAGAAAAAGGTCAAGAAAGGAGTTATCGCAATTAATGATAATTGGATAATATTCTTTTTTTTGTATATCGATAATTTAACTTTACTTAACTTTACTAAATTGAATAGCCTTCTTTGTTTCTTGGTTTTAAGTTAATAGTGGAAACTTAATCTCACAGTGAACAAATGAACAATAGAAAAGTCTGAATTGTTCATCTCTGTTTAAATTTTATTCAATTCAATTTAGTGGTACAAGTGATTCTTTGATAATAAAAAAATCAAAAGAAAAGAAAAGAGAAAAATGTCGTACGGTTTTTTTTTGCTCTTCTTCTTATTCAGTTTTTATATTTTGTGAAGTTTGGTTATATATATGTATACATACAAAAAGAGAAGAAGAAGAGGTAAGAATGATTGCATTTTCATTTACTATGGTCAATTATTATTATTGTAATCATTATCATCAACCAATTAAACAACCCCACTCAACACATGTTAATGTCTGGTGATATTTAACAAAAGAGCGACAATATATGGAAATACAGGATCATTTATCTCAGGCATAAAGGAGATATGCACCAACAGAGTAATATGAGTGGAATAGATAGATAGATAGTTCACACATCTATATTAAGAAGTTCTAATTATTAATTTTGTGTGGAGTATACACAATTTGTACCATCAACAATTCAATGTAACAAAAATCACTATGAAATTTTTTTTTCACTCACACTCACACTCACACTCTCTCTTTTCTTTTTTATTTTATTTTTGGGTAATTGGATTGTTAATCGGAAGGTGGCATTGTTGTGATTATATTGTTGATGATGAAGATGAACAATATGGTTCAATCAAAAATTTGTTTCATAACCAACCAACCAACTGATGATTGAGATCAAATATTTAACGTACTTCTCTCACGTAATTGAGTAGACTAAGATTTATTTCCGATGATTTAAAATCTACATTTTTTTTTTAAAAAAAAGCACTATCTAACTAACTAACTAATAGACTAACTAAATCTTAGTAGACACAAAGGACGTTTTATTAGTACCTACTCATGCATCACATCACTTTACCATTTTTTCTTTCTTGAAAGACGGTTAATCAAATATCTTGTAGACGAAAATCATCAATTGACAACTTATAGTATCACCACCAACAGTTGTTATGTATACACATTAGCCAACCATTCATGCCGTCAATCTCATTTTTATTATTCTATTTTCTTTTCTTATACATATATTATCAAATCTCAATTATGAAGTATCCCGTATCTCTCATTGATCTTTCTTTTTGTATACTTTTACGGTTTCTTGTTGGATTTTTTTTTTTCTTACTTTCTTTCCTTTTTGAATAAAATTACTAAATATTTCTTAACCACTATTACTAAACTTGGGTTAACCAAAATGTACTCCTTGTTGAAGCATCTAAACAATTATTCACATTTGACAGGAATAACTTTCATCTGACAGAGAGGCATCATGAAATTCAATCATCGTCTAATTGGAAATAGTACTAAAAAAAAAGGGGGGGGACACACACATATCAATTGACTGACTGATTAGTGGGTCTTGATTTATTCATATCAATGAATTACTTTTAATAAAATGCACATAAAATCGTCATATTTATTATCGCTAGTAATTTCAACTGCTTGTTCAAACTATTACAAAAGAAATATAATAATACTCACCAAGGTATTACTATTTAGATAACGCTAATCAATTAAATTCGACTCCTACTTCTACTCTTTCTCCTCAATTGTAGAATTGTGTTCCAATTGAAGATTTGAATTACCGCCACGATTTTCCTGGTCCTTTTTCTATATTTTGTTAGTCAAGACATAATAACATGATTAATAATTACACTTAGTGCTAATTCAAACCGGGATTATGATAATTATTATAAGAATTGTATGTTTATGTAAAATGAGTTAAAAATTTCAAGGAGAAACTGAAATTTGGCGGACCTTTCTGTCCTAAAGAACTCATTTTTGTTTTTTTTCAGTATATATTTTCTCTCTCCCACTTCCTCTCCCTTTCCCTCTCCATTAATTGCTATCTATGGGTTCTATTATTTAGTTTCCATTTCATTATATTATTAATTTAATATTCGTTATTGTTTAATGTTATTATTATATTCTCCTGTTTCCGCTAACTGATTTCAACGAATTACACTTCCTTACTGTATGCCGTCATTCAAGTAAGGAAAGACTTCCCACCTCCTTCTCTTCCTTATATATATTGTATTCCATGCCTATTGGGTTAACTTACCGTACGAAATTTAAGAATAGAAACAAGGTACTGTTTGAATTAACAACCATGACAACGTGACCTCTCAATCAAGAAAAAGAAAAAAAAAACAGACGAAGGAGATTCCGTTTTCCTATTATTTCATCAGTAATGTAAGTATCTGTATGTCCATGCTTCCGATGCTGGTAACTGAAACCTTCTTTTATTTTTCGTATCAAAAATCTTCGTCTATATGAACATACCTTGCCACATTATAGGGAACACCTTCTTTTCTTTTTCTTATTCTTATCCCCTCTTACAAATCAATCCACTTTTCATCTTGTATTTGTTATAGATCATAGTTTCACGATACAACCCCTTGACTATTTCAATGAAACATGTCTATAAAAAAAAATAGCGCCGAAAACTTATTGGGTACATCAGAGAACTTAGGGCTATTAGGAGTCAATAATAAAAATATTCATACTTTTTAGTATTGGGCTTTGTATTTCCTCGATTCTTTTTTTTTTTTTTTTGATTTTTCGTTTTCAACCCCCCTGTACACTGTAGCTTCAATTGTTGACTTGATTTGTTCGTTAATCGTGGTGTACGCTTCTCTGTAATGTATAGATAGGTATCCAAGTACATCCAATTGTATACTGCTACAACTATTCAGGTGCTTGAGTCGTCACTATTAAAACCACATTTTAATCAAACCCACACGACAACGACTTTTTGTTTTTTATTATGGGATAATCACAAAGTCGTTTTCTTCTGTACAAGTGTTGTAATTAATGATCCGTTTTAGGAATAATCCTGATAAAACAAGTTTTTAATTTACTCTCTCATTTAAATTTAATTGAAAAAAAAAAGGGGAACACACAAAAGTGATAAAAAAAAGTCGGGCAATTATTATTTTTTTTGTACCATTGTCTTCCTAGTAAAATTCAAATGCACGTTATTTGTCCTCCTTTTTTTTATTATTATTAACACACAATTTCTTTTTTACCACACATTAGTTTCTTTCTTTTCCTTCCTTTGATTATTTTAATATTTTGTGCAGCCCTGTGGATTTTTATTTAATTCAGTCTTTTTTTATTTTTGGCTTATATGCTTTGTACTTTTGTGTAATCATGATCCATTTGTGTAAAATTGGCATTATTATAATGTGGTACACTAAAAAATGTTAAGTTGATTGAAAATTTTTTTTTTACTTTCTTTTTTTTATGTCTTGATTTTTCATTTTTAAAATTCCCATTCTTTATATATAAAGATATTCAATTATCACCTAGTTCTACTTTTTTTTCATTTTTCATATTTTTCCTTTTTCATATTGATATCTTATTGAGTTAAATCATTTTTATTTATTTTTTTCTTTTAATTGATTTTCCAATTTGAATTATATTCATCTTCCTTTCTTTTTCTTTTCTATCTCCCTCCTCCCTCCTACTTCTTTTTCTTTTTCTTTTCTTCTTTCCTCAATCATATCTCCTAGATTTAAGAGACATTTGTTTCCTTATAGTTGGTTGCTAGTTAAAGTTAAGTTATACCTGTGTGTGTGTGTTTGTTAGTTTGATTTTCTTTTTTATAACAGACTTTAAGTATTTTCATTTTATTGATTCCTTTCAATTAATTTTGAATATATTAAGAAAGATTTGCATTTATCAACTACCAAGAATCCTTTTTATTTTCCACCAGCTACTTGCTACCAAGTCATTACCAACCACCAGTTCATTCATTAGTATTATTATTAAGGAGAATACCTAGATCCATTGCAAATAGAAATTATAAAGTATTGACACCTACCTATATTCTCATTACTTAGTTCTATTGCTCCCTTATTCATTCACTACTATACTCCCAAATAGAATCATTATTATTACGTCCTTTTCTTTCATACTCATTCACAATTGCATATATATATATAATTCATTCTAATTGTGATTTGAAATCAAGAACATACAATACAATCAAGGGAATCAAGTACATTCGTTATTAAGTTATTACATTTTTAAATAACATTATTTTGCATCCATCCATTCATTTTTATTTTTTTTTCTTTTTGTTCATAATTTATTCATTATTTAATCTTATTCCTTTGGGTTATTTATAACATACATTCATCTAAGGGAGTATTTATTCATCAATTGTTATTATAAAATAAAAAGTTACTGGTTTAATCTTTTTTGAATAGTATAACAATTAGCCATTATAAGAATAAAAGTTGATTTTCATTATTTTTTGCATTTGGGAACAAGAAAATTGATTCATATATATTTATAATTTTACAACCACCAAAAAGAAAAAGACAATCATATTTTTTTTCTATTACAACCATTTTACAACCATTTTACAACCATCAAAGACATTAAAACATAGTTTTTTTTTATATATATATAAAAGATGTTTCCAGGTTCTCCAGATGCTTTTCATCAAGTAAGAATGCTTCAATCACTGGTTAAAGCAAGTAATTTCAAATTACAATCAATGGAATTCAAGTGTCATTCAAACAATGTTTGTGAATATCAATTGGAAATGTTGCATCATTTATTGACAATTGAATCAAAGACTTTACCAAATTTATCATTAATTGAGCAACAACCTGAAATCAAATTGGGTATGAGACCTTTGTTGTTGGACTTCTTAATGGAAGTTATAACTATCCTTAATTTATCAAGATCCACTTTCCCATTAACTGTCAATTTGATTGATCGTTATTGTTCTACCAGAATTGTTAAAAAACAACATTATCAATTGTTGGGATTAACAAGTTTATGGATCAGTTGTAAGAATTTGGATTCCAAGTTTAAAGTTCCAACATTGAATGATTTAAGAAAAATTTGTGTGGATAGTTATTATAAAGAATTGTTTGTTGAAATGGAAAAACATATTTTGAAAAGTTTAGAATGGGTGATTAATAGTCCTACATTTGATGCTTTTATTGATTTATATTTGAATTTGTTGATTTCAAATAGTAGTAATTTGGATGTTTCCAATTCAATCAAAAAATCATCCCATAAATTGAAATTATTCTCAAACTATATTGGTGAATTGTTTCAATTCTATCCAAACATTTACTATGATTACACTTCTTCACAAATTGCATTAATTGCTATTCTAATTTCAATTTTAACTTTAAAGATTCCTGTTGATTTGATTAGTTTGTTGAAATTTTATAATGGATTGGTCAAGACTGATATTTTCCAATCTAATGTTAATGATGGTGAAGAATTTGAAGAAATACTTTCTATTGATTCCTTCCATTCATTGTTTAACAAAAATTTCTTCAAGAACATGATCAAGATTATTGACAATCCACCAAGTAGTCTCAAGATTAAATATTTTGCTGAAAATGGTAAATATTCTGTATTGATGAAACAATTGGTAAGTCAAGCCACAAATACTTTGACTTTAATGCTTGAACCAACTCCTTCAACTCCAAAGGTTTCCATCAAACATTACAATCAAGGAAACTTTGCTGGTGATAATTCAATGGCTATTCCTTTAACACCAGTATCTAATAGTACTAGTCCAAATAGATTCAGTCCACCTGATCAAATATTTGATTCAGCAAAGAATAGTTTTATTGGTACATTGACACCTGATTCACAATCAACATCACCTGGTGAAAAGAGAAGTTATGATTGTATTGATGAATTGGAAATAGGTACCAGTTCGATTGCCAATTATACCATTGAAGTTCATGATACCATAAAGAGATCAAAGAGTATTAATCGTGGACCAACGTTTTATCTTCCTCATTAGATATCTAATCATTTGATATTTTACTTTTTGCATCTTCGTTGAGGGGGAGAGTTGAAGGAGTGATGAAAATGTATTAAAATTATGTATGGGATTGAGTTAACTGGTTAACTCAATAATATTATTGTCATTAATTTCAATACAACTTTGTTCAGACCGCCCTAGCACACACACCCCATCTCAAACTAATAAATTTACCTATAATTAAGTGGTGATGATTATTATTCTTTTTATGATTTTGTTAATTGTTTATGTTTAATTGTATGGACATTGTTTATTCTCCTTTTTTTTTATTTTTCCAATTATTATTATTATAGAGTTTTTATTCCAGGGAAATAATGGTGTTTATTTTTATTATTATTATTATTTATTCAATTCTTCAAGTTTTTAGGAATAAGTGATTATCATTTCAGCTATCTTGTTCTTTATTACTATTATTCATAAAACATATTTAAAAGAAAAAAAAAAAGTCAATTTACGTTAAAGAAAAAGTATCAAAAAAAAACAACAAATCTACTTATTACTTTCATTTTACACATATATCATTGAACATAATCAATTTTACATACAAACACATAATGTTTGATAATCAAAACCCTTGTTTGCATTACGTCTTTCTTATTACTTTATTGTGATATATACATATATATATATTAAATATTTTTTATTAGAGTACATATATAAATACAACATATACTTAGAGTTAAATTCACCCTCTGTGTGGTATATATTGTAGTTTAAAATTCCCCGTAAAGAATTTATAGAATTTGGAGATGAACCCTGAAAATTTCATATTTTTTGGTTGAGTAAATTTTTGCCTTTTTCTTTTCAATAAGAATATTTAGTTGGAAATGGCATACATGAAGAATGTTAGAAACAATATTTTAGTCAGTTGCTTCATCAAATATTATTCATTCCTTTCCATACATTAATTCACAAAACATTTTAATACCATCATCTTCACCCTCATCATTCCTGCTCAATTTCATCCAAAATGTCTGAAAATTCTTTGCCTTGTTGAAATCAAATATAGTTCATTTCTTTCCAAGTTCGCTTACTTTTTTTCTTTTCAAATATTTCTCAATCAAATTGTGTATTGTATATTTTGTTGTGATGACAAATTCTATTAAGATACTATTCTGTTACAAATATCTTGTTTACTACTATCAACACCTAAAAGTAAAAAATAAATAAATAATCGAACTAACGGGGGGTAAAACTTGCTTTAGATGTAATGTACTGTATAAATAAATAAAAAAAAAAACCAGTTTCATTTGTTTCAAATCTAATGGTCATTGATATGTAACTTACAGACAATTTATTCATACGTAAATTAAATAGAACACTAAGCGAAATTGTAACTAAGTCATACACACATATACAATATTTGTTGCTGCTTACAACAAGAACTAAAAGTAAATGGTTAAGGAACCCGTTCTCTTACTCTTGCCAATCTATCTATCTACGTGTGTGTATATATATAATTACCTGAATTTACATTTTATGCTTTCTTTCTATGATTGAGTGTTGTGAATTAATATCATTTGAAATTCACCTTGGAAACAAAACTAAACTGAACTAAAAAAAAAAAAAGAATTAAAGACTTTATTCTTTTCATACGCCTCTTTTGTTGACCCTGTATTGATTCAATGGCGGATAGAGGAGGGTGGGAGTAAAGAAGGGTAGCATATATTATTAGTGATTAAGATAATGTACAGAATAGACTTTATTTATTGCTTATTCAAGTAACTAATAAAAAATATCTCATAACTTAGCAATAGATAGAAAATTTTAATAAACGCAAGGTACGTTCATTTACTATTATTATTATTATTATTAAACCTCCTTATATATGAATGGTTATTAAACTGATTTTTCTGAGTCAATTCAAGAGGTGGTTAGATACTGAAGGTAAATAACAATTATGATAAGAAAGGTTTTTACATTTGTCGTCGTGTTTTAATTTTTGTTTGACGAATAATTGAAATGAATTCAGACATGACATGACATGACTATAGATAATAAAACAACGGGTTCCTTGCTTTTAATATATACGTCATTGATTCTAGATTTTTTTTTTTTCCTTCTTTCTTTCTATCACAGAATAGTTTAATTGCTGCTTGGTGTGGTTGTTCTATTAAATTGTATTCAGTTAGAATTTCACTTCAACTTTTTTTGTGAGCAGAAAGAAAAATTCAGTTGCAAAAAAAAAAAAAGAGAAAATTATATGGTTGCGTGTACCTGATGACAAAAAAAATATTACTGAGTGAGAGAGAGAATGAGAGAGTTAGAGAAATTAGACTACGATTCTTGTATCAAGTTGGAATGAACAGCATTAAGAATTTATTGAATGCATGAAAGAACCAGAACGAATAAACCACAATGTAGTTGTTCTTATTAAAAACATTGATTACGTATTTCGATGAAGTCAATTATTTTCTTCTTTTCTTTTTTCTTTGTCTTTTATTTCTTGTTTCTTTGTTGGCTCTTTTTTTTAACATTGAAAACTACCTTAGGCAATTTTTTTTTTATTTTAGTTTGATGATCGGCTAATTTAATAACGAAACCTAGAACAAGTACCAGGTTTTGTTCCTTTCTATATGTATGTAATTTATAACAATACATTACTGACGATCATCACTTTCTTTTTATTTTTCCTGTTTGCTGATACGTACATGAGAAGGGGGATTTACTTCTCTTATTTGGGACAATCCAAATCCTGATCTTCTTCAAATAACCTTTTGTCTTTTTATTATTTGCAAAAGTTAGCGTTAATCATTTTGAGATCAGGAAATGAAATGATGTGAATATTTACTAGTATTAACTATAACAGCAGATTGAAGACACTGTGCTTGTGTTTATTCCCCCCTTTTAAAGTAGTCGACAGTAAAAAAAAATTTTCTCTTTAACGTAGAGGGATATAATTTTTGAACTGGGGGTTCTAACGCCTGAAAAACTACGTATTAATGATAAAAAGGAAATAAAAGAAGACATAAAAAAATCAGAACATAATATAAAGGGCGGTTTTATCAAAGTATTTTGTATTTTTGTTTAATATATATTTTAGTCTACCTGTTAAACCCGACCAACAGCGACTATGAAGTACAATAAAGAATAAGGAAACAACCAGTAACTCTGACATTTTTTTTTTTTGCTTTTTGTCAACGAATAATCATATAATCTACTATCGTCAAGATAAATTGTATGATTTTTTTTACTTATTCCTGGAATTATGCTTGACAAGGGTTTTTTTACTCTTTAGTATAAGCAAGCACTTCTAAGCATGGCTTCCAATTTTATTATCCACACAATCATCGTCTCTCTCTCTCTCTCTCTCTCTCTCTCCACAATTTATTGTGATCTCGATAGGTATCTTGGAAGTGATATTACTTCCTCGAATGTGGAGGTAGGTATAAACGGAGCCACGATGGAACCCAATACAAAACCGCAGGAAGAAACGGTAAATTTTCAGCCTATTGTTGAATTGTATTAAAAATAGACCAAAAAAAGAACGAAAAAAAATGAAAACTATTCATAGCAACAACCTTAACATAACCATAAAAATCTCAACGCTCGTGGCTTTGTATTCGTACTACTCATTCATGGTTTTAGTTGTGTTGGATGTCTGATATTTTGACTGTCAATGAAATAGAACTACAGCCACTACTACCACCACCACCACCACCAATCGCACAATATTGTATATTAATCCATTCGAGAATCAAATATTAACTATTTACATACTAACTTGAGAAAAAATAAAATAAAACTAACGAATCCATACATTAGTTCTAGAATTCAAATAGGTCTCCTCAATAGTTCTAATATCAAGGAGGGTGTACCAAATTACAAAATTCGCTAATCTTTTGAAATTTTTCATCACCAATTCACACGACCAATTTTCAGTTAATTTTCATTTGAATTAAAACCATTGGTAAACTTCCTTTAATCCATTATTATTAATAAATGAAAAAATAAAAAAAAAAACACGGAGGTTGTGTTATCCTTAATATTGGAAATACAACAATTCCTCTGTAAATCTCATGAAAGATACCAAAAGGAGAGGATCCTATTAAATAACTATATGCGCCTCCCCCCTGGCTCCTCCTCCTCCCCTGTATTATCTTTTTGTGCTCCAAAAAAAAATGAAGAATTTGGCCTCACTAAAATTTTGCCCAATTGGATTGCAGTCGTGTGTGAATCAATCACTGGATGCAAAATTTATTAAATATATTGGGGAAGACATTTTTATATATATATATTTATATTCATTTAATCATATAATTATTCCACTATAGTGTGGTTTGAAAGTATGGGTAACAAAGTGAAGTCTCACATATTATTTGGGAAAAGAGAATTAAAAGATAAAAAAAGAAGGTACAATCAATTTATATCAAAGATGACGCAAAATTTAATAAATTCAACATATGAAATTTCAGAATTATCAAAATAATACTGGATAATGAAAATTTTTATTTCGGAAAATATAACAATAATATATACCCGTGAACTAATCAAACAAAGGAATTGTAATTCTAGTTGTTGTCTTTAGTAGTGGTAGTGGTGATGATGATAATAATAATAATGGTAATGATGTTTGAACAATATAGGAGTTAAGCTGGTCGTTAACAATCAAGTGGGGATATTTATTATACCAATCGAATGAATAAAATATACCCAAAATTGGAGAACAAAAAAAAAAGGAGTTGAATTATTTCCTCATTACAATAGTTATCAACGCAGACGACGATTAGAGTCAATTTTGCATTATTATTTTTTTTTCTCTTGTCTTGAGTTTTCGGAAATTATGAAAACTAACATAAATGATTAATTATCGGGCGAACTTCTACGGTAATCCGAATTAGAGGGGAAATTTACCATTGACCATTTGTTAAAGCTCAACTAAACTATGGGAAAACAATTAGACTGAGAATAATTATAGTGGTGTTATTTTTTTTTTCTATGATCTCTCTCTCTCTCTCTCTCTCTTCCGTAAATTATTATCCGGTCTGAAATTGTCAGCCCTATGAAGGAAAGTGTCTAGACCCAGGTGGATAAATTAAATTCAATCTAGTGTTTGCATCTGTATAATCTACAAGATTCTGATCCAATGGTGGTCAATCAATTACATACGTATAAGAGGAGTGACTGTACTGGTGTGTGAGAATAAGATCAACGAATCTATCCAGAAAAAAAAATACATATCGTACTTGATCAAGGGATGATTTTCAGTTTCTCTTTAAGATGTCATAGTGCATAAGAATAAACTGAAAAGATTAAAACACTTTCTGTAAAAAAAGAAAAACCTCCCATTGCTATTTGCAATTTAATGCATTTGCAATTTAATACTTGAAAAATGGAAAAACAAAAAGCCTACTCTTTTCCTTCTTTCTTCTAAGAATATGTATAAAGTATCGTAATCTGTGCATGTGGAGGTGTATTAAAGAAATATGTTACTTTATTTCTAGTTTATTCTGTATGGAAATTCAATCTGTTGTGATGTCAATATAAGATCTTTCATGAATCCAGAATTAGCTGAAATACTTACTAAATAAGTTGTATACATTAAGGCTATCTCATACATTAATTTCACTGCACTTTACAACCTCCCCAGAATGAACTTTTGTCTTTTAATGATTTTTTGCTTTCAATTATCAATGTTAGCCAAACACTAAAATACATTGTATTTAGCTGAATCACATTGCAGTATAGTAGACAAGTCAACAATCAACTATATCGTTTAAAATCAACTAAATAATGTAGTATCATGGGTTAAAACAAGAATTTCATAATTACGTCGAGAATAATACTACCACCGCAATTGCTTCTATTCATTATGTTCTTTTCTTTTTTTATTATTATTATTTTTTTAGCCTTTATGTTATGTGAGAGTCTAAGTTGTCACTGTTACAATAGCATCACATTGGTTATCTCCCTCCCTTTTTAACATCCACTTCGTGTTTTCCAGCGTCATCAATTGATGTCTATGACGTTACCAAGTAACAACCCACATCAATGACTTGCAATTATTGTTGTATCCACTTTATACAGTAAGAAATAAAACAACAAAAAAAAAAAGAATGTATGATTCTTCTTGAATCTAGAATTTCTTCTTTGTTTGGCTTTATTTGGCTTTTTATTCATTAAAGTTTTTCACTTGTTCATAAATTCGATCTACATATTGAACTAAGTTTTATAATAACTAACTGTAACGTTCGGATTCTAATTCTTAGTTATGTACAAAGACTATGTAACACACACACACACACACACGCATACACTGGTTATCATTATTACTTCCATCTTCTCTCCCTTTATTCTAGTTTGTTTGTATTGTTTGTTGGTTCTTTTTTTTTGTAGTTTTTGCATTTTTCACTTTTGTCATTTTGATTGTTTAGGACGGAATTGTAAATCAAACAGACACAGCAAAATTATAAACTAAAGATAAACCATAAAAACAAAGCAGTCTTTTTATGATACTTGTGTATTAACAAAACGTGGCTCATTGATATATCACATCATTATACCCTCATTAGTTTAAAATCATAATCAATGCCGTTCGCACATTAATTCTTGCGTATACGGCACAAATTGAATATTAAAAGAAAATTTACAGGCAAGTGAAGGCCGAGATTAAAGCCGATACCAGCAAAAAAAACCCAACAACATATACTATTCAAAGTCGAATTAATATGAGAACCACCACATAAGTGAACCAATTTACACTGCGGAGTATAGATTATAGATTATACATTATGGAAAGATGGTTAATCATTGTTAGCATATCTAGATTAAATTACAGGATATATGCAAAAATCCATTTATCAATATGGTCATATCAAAACGACATTCAGACGTTTTGCTTGCGACATTAACACCTCTCATATACGGATCACAGTAGTGTAATGTGACGACGACAATGCCCGAAATAGCAAAGGTGTGTCTGAATGTGTGTGCGCGCGTGTGAGTCGAGACACGACAATGTCGCACGTGGTGAAGAGAAAGGAAGAAGAATTGTGGTTGGTAGTTGAATCACATATTTCAAGGACTCTTAACCGCGTAGTCAATGGAAGAAGTTATCTAACCGTTTGATCGTAAAATGAAGGATATATTTGATTGCTGTTTCTTAAATTGAAAAATTTGTCGATGTTTCCAATTTAGTGAAATTAAAACATAAAGATTCACATAGTTCTAATTCAATACATTCAAGTAATGCTTGATTAAGTAACAAATGTAAATCGTTCAACAATCAATTGAAAAAAAAAAATTTCTTTATTCATTGAATTTTTCAATCAACAATCAACATTCAACACACATTACACACGCAGCGAAATTTTTCACTTTGTATCAGAATAATTAACAATCTTACAATCCAAACCACTACTTATATCTAATTTCGGAGATATTTTTATCCATTGTTAGAGAATTAGTTCTTCATTTCATTATATTTCATCACAAAAGCTGGCATATACGTAACCACAACCAACATAGCAAGAACAACAACTAGAATCCTTTCAACTTGAAATAATCAAAGTTATTCCCGATTTATCCTTGTCCTTATCCTTATCCGTGATTCATATTGTCCCCCTATTTTTTTTTTATATAAACATTTTTCTTACAATTAATTCAAGTTATCATGGGTATTTCTCAAAAACGTCAAAAAACTGGAAATTTATATTCAAATTATTCAATTGATAGTAAAAATGAAAAATTAGATGTCATTAATGATATCTCATCAATAAATTCAAAAAATTTTTTTGAAAATTATATTAATATTAGAAAACCTGTTAAATTTGATATACCTGATTCTCAACAAATCATTTCAATTGATAAATTCAAATTAGATCATTTATTAGATACTTTGAAATTTAAAGATGAAGTACAAGTTGAAAAGAAATTCAATTCTGGTTTTGGATCAGGTCAAGAAAGAATTAAAATGAAATTAGAAGATTTGATTAAAGAGATTAAAAATGGTAGTGATGAATATTATAAAACCACACAATATGATTTTGATGAACCCGACCAAGAAGGTGATGACGACGACGACGACGATGATGATGATGATGATGATGATGATGATGATGATGATGATGATGATGACATTGAAGGAGTTCAATTTGATAAATTTTCAGATACTTCATCAATCGATATGAATAATTTCCATGATGATTTTGAAGATTTGCAAGAAGACGAAGATGATGAAGATGATGAAGAAGAAGGAGGAGATCGTGCTAATATTGAAGGTGAATTGATAAAACAATTAGAATTAGAAGAAGCTGATTATAGAATTAAAGATCTTTTTCAAGCACCATTAACCAATCTTATTAATCATCCAGATATTCTTCCTATAAAACCATCATTTTTCAATCTTATCCCTCAACAAATCAATATTTGGTTAGGTTCAAGCGGATCTAAAAAAACTTGCTCGAAATTTACCATTGATTCATCTAAACCTGATTTAGGATTAGGTAAAAAATTACCTGGTAAAATTCATGGATCATCATCTGGATTACATCATGATCATGCCGATAATTTATATGTTTTAATTCAAGGGAAGAAACGTTTTACAATTTATAGTCCAAAAGATGCATTTAAATTATATACTGTTGGGAAAATTTATCAAATTTATAATAGTGGAATAATTGATTATGAAGTTGATGAAAATTCACCCTTTTGGAAACATGTTCGAGATGATGGTGCTATAATTGAAGAAATTATTCATTGGAAATTAGAAAATTTAAAAGATGATGAAAATGAGGAAAAATCTAAACTTATTGCTGAATTACAATCTTATATTAAACAAAGAAAACAAGTTAAAAAATCAACTACTAAGAAAAAATTAGATCCTCCCAGTTTTTCAAAAATTCCTCCTGCTTTACTTCATTTAAATGAAATCACAAATAATGAAGATTTATTAAAATTGAAAAAATTTGCTGATGAAAAATTCCCTGGATTTTTGGAACTTAATAAAATTGAAATTTGGTTGGATAAACCAGGTCAAATGTTATATCTTCCAGCAGGTTGGTTCCATGAAGTTTCAAGTTTTGGAAATGAAAAATATGATGATCAAGGAGTCCATATAGCTATTAATTATTGGTTTATTCCTCCAAATAAAAATCAAGTTGATAATTGCTATCAAGATGATTATTGGACGGAAGATTGGAAGAAAACGGAACTGGCCATAAAGTTGATCAAAGAAGAATAGATTAAGATACATATACGATTTATATATATATATATGACAATAGATGATTCTAAAAATAATTTATACTTTGTATTAATACAATGTAATATCGTTACTATTGTTACAGCAGCTATTGTGTTTAAATCGAAATTGTTACCAAATTTGGATAAAAAACTCTCACTATTATCAAAAAGCAAATAAATGAATAAATAAATAAATAAAAAAAAAAAAGGTTACAAACATACAGCAACGCCTCTTTGAAGCCAGCTATTCTTGTATGATTCGCATTGATTTTTGATGATATTAGTGCCAACTTCATGATTAGATATTATTTACTTACATTTCATTACATAAGAAAACGTGACTCCGTAAACAAAAATGCAACACACATGGTAGCCTTCCAAACAACATTTATTATTTTATTTTATTTTTTCGCGTGCGACCTGGCTGCAAAACATTAGGGCTATAGCCCTAATTCTCGTGGATAGTACACAAAATCAAAACGGGTGTAACACATTTATAAAAAAAATTCAGGTTTTCTCCTCGACGCTTTATGAAATGCAACAAGCAAAAAAAAAAAAAAAAAAAAAAAGAGAACAAAAGTGGTTATGGAATTATTGAACGTGGAGTGATTTTGCGTTAGGTTTTGAGTAACTATATTACTACACCATGCGTTTAATTTCATTTAGAACAATAATGGAGCTAGAACAATTATTTCATAGATAAAGGAGGGGTGATAGGAGAAGAAGAAATTCAAAGAAATGCCAGTAGTTTTAACTGATAGCAATTTTAAAGTGATCAATTTGATCTTGAATTTATCATTAATTGTGGCTTTAGGTCTTGAACCCTAATCAGACATTTAATTCCCATATTTGGAATATAAGGGTTTTTTAATGTCAAATTAAAAATAAAAAGAAATTAATCTCGTGTTGTTTCAAGGTAATTTGATCTAAATTAAATGAGAAATATGGGGACCGTAAGATACATTTTCACAACTGGGGCACAGAGATTGAAAATGCTTTGGTAAAGTATAGTCGTGCACTGGTGTCCAAGATCAGGCATATAACGCAAAGAAAAAAAAATGCCGAGCAACAAAAGGAATTAATTATTCATGAGATAAGGTGAAGAATAAAAATGGAACACAAGAGTATCTACTAAATATACACATATTTGCTTGATAGTGGTGAGCGATATCGGGAACTAATGTAGGATGTTTGTTTGTGATGGTTTTTTTTTGGTTTTAATTCATGTATCACGTAATGAGATTTTACATAATTCTTCTATTATATTTTTAAAAAAAATTACGTAAATGTCAATTGCTATTGAAAAATAAAAAAAATATACGGTGTCTCAGTTATTCTCAACTTTGATTCAGAACACTCTTACTCTTAATTATATGTGATCCATGTCAAACGTTCTGAACATTACAATAATGGTGGTATTGCTAACAAATAAATAATTTGTAAATCCTTATTTGAACTACTTGATTCATACCAATTCCTGTATATTATTCGCAACAGAAGTAAGGATCACCGGGTGTAAAATCAACCACACCCCATAAATTTGAGAGTTTAAATTCTGTCTACTCTAAATCCAGTTCTTGTTCTTGTTCTTCTTCGCCCCTATTCATATTCATTTTCATACATTGTGTACAGTTGAAAAAAAAAAAAACAGAATCAAATTGTGCAGATCGCACGACCCATCTCTGGAATTTTTTTTTTCTTCTTCTTCTTCTCATTGTATTAACCTCACATGTGTATAAACTCAAATTGTTTTTAGGCTGAAGAAAGAAAAAAATAAAAACAGATAGTTTGTGTAATACTTTTTGATTCTTTAATTAAAAAAAAAAACCACACGTTTATATTACTTTTTTTTCACGTCTTTAAGAGTGATATAAACAACTCACATTTGAATAATAAACAAAAAGTCTGTTGGTATTTATTAATTTAACATATCAACAGCTTTTTATTTTATTTTTATTTTTTTTTTGTCTTTCTTTGATTTTTTGCTAATAACTTCAAAGGAAAGAAGAGGTTAGTCCATTATCGGAGATCCCACAATCATAGCACTGAAACCAATATTGAATTGAAGAATCATTTAACAAACCCAGGATGGATGAAAGTACTTCTCCTTCACCTTTACCTTCTCCAGTAGCTTCAAAAGAAAGCACTCCTCCAACTCCACCTGACAATGAAAATAGTAGTAAGAATGACAATACTAGCCGTGCTAGTTCTATAACTACTACCACTACATCTACAAGTGGGGCCAAAAAGGTTAAAAAAATCAAACCAATTTCAAGAGCACCAATTGCAACAGGTATATCAACACATATTCCAGTAACGGGTGAAAAACCAAAACCTATTCAAGAAGGAGATGCATCTTTGGAAGATAATGTATTATACAGTATATTTGTAATTTTATATGAGAAGGACCCTAATGAGGAAGGAATGACAGTTAAGCAATTATGTGAAAAGTTGGAAACTTTACATCCTGAATTAGTTAATATGTCTTCTAAAACTTCTAATTTGGTATCTGCAAAATTGAATGCTTATATTAAGAAATTGGAAAAAACTGACAGTTCTCTTAAATATGCCATTTCAAGAGAATGGGCCGATGCTTCACCAAAAAGAATGGTTTACAAGTATAGAGGACTTTTAGCCCCAGGTTGGGAAAAAGTTATGGAAGAATTGAAGAAAAGTGAACAATATGAACAGATGCATAATAATAACAATGATTCCATGAAGAAAGTTGAAACTTCTGTTAAGAATTTAGATCTTTCAGATAATGATAATGATAATGAAGATGTTGGACCTACAAGTAAAAAAGTGACCAAAAAGCAACAACATCAAGAAGAAGTCAAAGAAAAACTGAAACAAAAACAAAGACAAATGTCACAATCAGCATCTGTATCACCAAAACAACAAGTTCAACAAAAAGGGGACCCATTAGAACAAACACTACAACTACAAGTCCAACAAGAACAACAGTTACCACAACAACCTACCAAAAGAAGAGCAACTATGTTTGATTTTGGTAGACGTCCAAGTTTCTTGAATTTAGATGAGTTCCCCGAACCTCCACCACCATATTTGGTTAACAAGAGTAAGATTACACCAGTTATCGATGACGATGAAGTTTTCATTGATGTTGATGAAGAAGATGACGAACAAGATGATGATCATCGTGTTGTTGTTAAAAAGAGAAGAACTATTTCTTCTATCAGTAAATTCAACTGGGGTAATTTGGGAGCTACCGAATTAGATACAGCTGCAATTACCGCAATGAGAAGAGAATCAGTCTCAATGTTTGAAGTTGGGGTTTGCTTTCCATCTCCACTGGACACTAGTCTTCAAGATTTAGATAAAATGTTTTGAAGTGCCAGAGTAACATCCTTTTCTTTTGTTGTTCCATTTCAATTCCACATTTCATGATTCATGAATAAAAAAAAAAAAAACGATTAAGACAATGAAGAAAAAGCTGAATAAACCAAAAATTTTATAGTTATTTGTATTAGTAAACGAAACAGTTATACATTTTTTTTTATTTATGTATTTCAAAATACTGTAGCGTATATAAAATCACTCGATATTTAAAGTGCACAACATGATTATAGATTTGCAGCCTTTTTTTTTTCAACTTTTGACTTACAGATAGAACAAATGAGATGGGAGTATGTAAAAATAGATAAAGTATAAGTCTTTACACATTGGGCCGAGAGTTCCCCGAACTTTGCTGTTTATTTTTCTTCTTTGTGTGGTCTATAATGTACTTAATTCACTGACAGGAACGGAACATATGGAATCAATAAATGAAAACAGCAAGACAAGAAAGAAAGTAGTTGTCACTACTACAATTACTTAGAAAATAAGAATGACAAAGTGTAACATGAAGAGAAGTGGATGCGTACGCAAATAATAATAAATTATTGTAACAAATCCTACAAAGTACTACAAGTTGTATTTTGAGCCATCGGTATTAAATGGCAAAAAACCATTATGGATGTTTTGATAAGATCATCTCAAAAATCAAAAAAAAAAGAAAATTCATGAATGCAATCTGATTGGTTAAGATAAATCTTAAAGATTATCATCATTGATGCTTTGTCTTAATTAAAGGCGTGGGGGCAGGGGGGCAATGGAAAAATTAGCGGAAAAACAACCTGTGGTGGTGGGGGCGTGTGTGCTGGTTAAAAAGGATGGGATATTTGTGCACATCCACACGACTAACATAACTTTCCCCTTTTTTTTTCTTTACTTAATAATAAATTTCTAATTTGGGAGATTGGGTAACAAAAAAGAAAAAGAAATTTGCATTTAGATCAGTCGTGTCCCAACCACAAATATATTAAAAGATAAAAGAAATTTTAATTATTATTAAAAAAAAAGAGACAAAACCACAGAACGGCAATTTAAATTCTATAATACCAAAAATCATCAATTAATTTCATCTTAATTGATTGATATATAATCTCCATATTTCCACCCTTTTTTTTCTATTCTTTTCTTTTCTTTTAATCATTATATTCAGTTTTACCAGTTCTTTATCCATTTAGTTTCATAACTAACATTCTTTAACTACCACCACCACTTGTATCAACCTTTTTTTTTATTTACTTTTTTTTTTGTTTATTTGTTTTAATTTTTTTTTTATTATCATTAGTGTATATTGGGCCACCCCACACCTTAACATCCATCGCCCATATTATTCTACTATTTTTTTTATATATAAATATAATTCTACAAGTTTATCATCATTTGGCTAAATATTTAATTATCATTTGGCTACCATAAGTGAGATCTACTACTACTACTACCACTACTACTATATTTCCATTCTTCATATATGTATTATACCATATTTAACCTTTGAAAAAAAAAAAGATTATCTACGAATTTAACGACACCCAATTTTTTTTTAAACTATCCATTGTTATTTCTTTTTATTATGATTTTAAATGAATTAGAAAGTAAAAGTCCATTCAGTACCACATCGGTTTCTGATTCATGTTCAGAATTCTCATCAAGGGGAAATTCAAAAGAAAGCACCCCACCAACCCCACCGGACACAGAATTTGATACGGTCACAAAAACATCAGTTGCGGTTGCACCTCCAGTAGTGGCACCACCAACTCAACAACAACAACAACAACAAACAAATCCTAAAAAGACCAAGAAGAACAAACCATTATCAAGAGCACCTATTGCAACTGGTATTTCTACCAATATCCCAGTTACAGGTGAAAAACCAAAACCTATCCAAGAAGGTGATGCATCATTGGATGATAATGTTTTGTATAAGATTTTCTTGATTTTGTTTGAAAAGGATCCTAAGGAAGAAGGTATGACTGTCAAACAATTATGTGAGATGTTGGAAACATTACACCCAGAATTAGTTAACATGTCATCCAAAACTTCCAATTTAGTTAGTGCAAAATTGAATGCATATATTAAGAAATTGGAAAAAGCCGATTTGACTTTACAATATGCTATTTCAAGAGAATGGGCCGATGCTTCTCCAAAGAGAATGGTCTATAAATATAGAGGACTTTTAGCTCCTGGTTGGGAAAAAGTCATGGAAGAATTGAAGAAAATTGAAAATGCTAAACAAAAATTGGAAAAACAACAAAGAGAACAAGAAGATCAAGAAATTGCTGAGCAATCTTCTGATGTCTTAAGTGCCGATGATGAATCTTCTGATGTTTCTCCTCAAACAACTAGAAAAAATTCTACTGTTGCTGCGATTATTAAGGAAGAAGAAGAAGGCGAAGAAGTTCCAGTTCAACAAATTCCAACTCCTCTCGATTCACCAACAACCGCAAATATGACTTCATCTGCTCCTATTCCTCCAACTACTACAACAAATGTTGCCAAGAGAAGAGCAACCATGTTTGATTTTGGAAGACGTCCAAGTTTCTTGAGTTTGGATGAGTTTCCTGAACCTCCACCACCTTATTTGGTTAACAAGAGCAAGATCACACCAGTAATTGACGATGATGAAGTTTTCATTGATGTTGATGAAGAAGATGACGAACAAGATGATGATCATCGTGTTGTAGTTAAGAAAAGAAGAACTATCTCCTCAATTAGTAAATTCAACTGGGGAAATTTAGGTTCCACTGAATTAGATACAGCTGCAATTACCGCAATGAGAAGAGAATCAGTTTCAATGTTTGAAGTCGGTGTTTCTTTCCCATCTCCACTAGACACTAGTCTTCAAGATTTAGATAAAATGTTTTCAGTATAGATTCTTTTTTTTTTTATCTTACCATACATCTAACTACCTCCTACTCATTCACGCATGGTACATGCTTATAGAGACGATAAATATAAAAAAAACATAAAAACTAAAATTTATAGTTACATCTGTATCACTAAAATCAATAAATAAATAAAACAGCAACACATTACAAATGAAATGTCATTAGATAAACTGTCAATGTATTGGCCTAGAAAACAGAATGAAGGAATTGAAAATTAATGAATTGTCGTGTCTGAAGGCCGAAAAAAACGTACTCCATGGGGTAAACTAAGAGAAAAAGGAGTATTTAAAGACAAGGAAATCCAAGAAAGTAAATGTTTTTTTTTATGTTTCATTTCTTCTTTAGTTAAAGATATAATCGTAGAAACTAACTTCCTGAGACGCATTTAGCAAGGTTTGAGGGCTGTCTAGTGTGAAATGTATTAATTGATATAATTACTAACACTATCAATTTCTAGCATGTTAAAATCATGATATTGATTTTAGTTTTTAAATGTATACATTATTTAATATATATACACTATGTAATTTATGGTTTACACTTTAATTGATGATTAATGTAGAATTCCATTGACTTTATCATGATATCAAATACCAGTATTCTTGAAACTACCATTAACTTCTAACAACAAGAGATTTCAATTTATTAGAGGGTGTCGATACCTCTGTAATGCCTCTAAAGTATACATGATTGACCTGGTTACATAGTTCAATGTCTTTATTATTAAAGAATTTTGAACCTTAGAATTGTGAATGTGTATATCAATCATGTGTGGAATGATCATTAATATGAATGACCATCAATCGTGTGTGAACCAGAAAATAAAAGTGAAGAGCAATATAGGTTGAAACAGAGCAAGAGAAAATTAAACAAAAACAAAAATAAAAATAATGAGATGAGTTCATGAAGGTTCATTTGTCTTCAATCAGCGTTATTGCATTTTCGAACAAAGCTTCTCTTCGATAGAACAGAGAGTTGAATTTTTTAAGCTGTCCAATATCAAGTACTTATTATTGTTGAATACTAACGTTATAAATAAATTCTAGCATAATTCATTTCTGTTTGATTTTTTTTGTATTAACTTGTGTTGTATAATTGAATATATGTATCTGAAATTGTTATCGTATTATACCTATGAATATTGTAGAATCCATATGTTATCTATGTGATGCATACAGTCCGATTGTAGTGTCGACAGTAGAGCTAGTAGCATCACCAAAATAATATCTAGCATTTTTCATCAATGTATAGTAATCGAAAATGTATACTCATTCTATTTTGTTACAAATCAATTATTGACTATAGTTCGACCCTCTAATTACTCTCAAGCATATAACCACTATTGAAATATATCATTGATGTCATTCAATTTGCAGAGTAACTCTGTTTCTCCACTACAGATTGCTCTTGAGAATACTGAGTTTTTTTTTTAATTACGCGGAATACTATGCCGATTCTTCATAATCACTCGGATTATTTTTACCCCTAAATATTTCACTACTCCCCGCTATTATCACCACAAACTCCTTAACTCCCAAATTAGTAGATACTAACTTAATGTCATGTATGAGCTATCTATCATGAACATCAGCAAACAATATGCAATAGTCATCCAGTATCTATCAGCAAGCAGACCAATTGAACTAGGAGACAGACCAAAGGAATTCCGACAACTCCACAATTCATATTAACTGTCAATGCAAAGAACTTCATACGTGTTTAGAAAAAGCCCCTGAGCCGCCCCAAAATAAACATTTGAAATCTCCCCACAAATTGAAATCTTCCAGATCCGAGTGATTTTTATTCTGAAAATCTATACTTCAGCCAATGACTGCAAAACTGTAAAAACAACACTATAAATATCCAAGCAATTTCCTTCATGATATCTTCAATTTCATTCTAATCACTAACAATCATCCGATTGATAAATATTCCCTATACTAAAAACTACTACAAATTAATTTCCAAACCAAAAATGTCCAAACCTGTTATTTTAATGGCTCTTTACACTGGTGGTCAACACTCCAAAGAAGAAGAACGTTTGTTGGGTACCATTGAAAACGAATTGGGTATCAGAAAACTTGTTGAAGAACATGGTTACGAATTGATCACTACTGATGATAAAGACCCAGAACCAACTTCTACTTTTGATAAATACTTGGACAGAGCTGAAATCATCATCACCACTCCATTCTTCCCAGCTTATGTAACAAGATCAAGAATTGCTAATGCACCAAACTTGAAATTGTGTATCACTGCTGGTGTTGGTTCTGACCATTATGATTTGGATGCCTTGAACGAAAGAGGTATTGCTGTCTTGGAAGTGACTGGTTCCAATGTCCAATCAGTTGCTGAACATGCTGTGATGACCATGTTGATTTTGATCAGAAACTACGGCGAGGGTCATCACCAAGCCATCAGTGGTGGTTGGGATGTTGCAGCTGTTGCCAAAGATGAATTCGATATGGAAGGTAAAGTTTTCGCTACCGTTGGTGCTGGTAGAATTGGTTACAGAATCTTGGAAAGATTAGTTGCCTTCAATCCAAAGAAATTGTTGTACTACGACTACCAAGCTTTACCAGATGCTGCTGTCAAGAAGATCAACGATGCTTCTAAATTGTTTAATGATGTTGATGATATCCTTGAAAGAGTTGACACTTTGGAAGAATTGTTCTCCCGTGCAGATGTTGTTACTGTCAACTGTCCATTGTATGAAAAATCCAGAGGTATGATTAACAAAGATTTGATCTCCAGAATGAAGAAAGGTTCTTATTTGATCAACACTGCTAGAGGTGCATTGGCCGATCCACAAGCCGTTGCTGATGCTGTCAACTCTGGTCATATTTCCTATGGTGGTGATGTTTGGCCAGTGCAACCAGCTCCAAAGGACATGCCATGGAGAACCATGCACAATCCATATGGTAAAGACTATGGTAATGCTATGACTGTTCATGTTTCTGGTACTTCTTTAGATGCTCAAGCTAGATACGCCAATGGTGTTAAACAAATCTTGACTGAATATTTCAACAAGACCTACAACTACAGACCACAAGATATCATTGTTATTGATGGTCATTATGCTACTAAAGCTTATGGTCAACACAATAAATAGATTATTAGTCTTTTGTTTATATGTTTGTGAATGAATAATGTTATGTATATTAAAGTTGAATATTGTTATTGCAAAATCGCGAAATCAAGACCATATTACTTGAAATTTTCTGAATATTTTGGAACCAAATTACCATGAAAATCAATCAATTTACTTAGGAACTATTAAATGTTAGTGATACTATCAGCTATACGCAAGGTATGTTGTATTACACGCAGTTTAATGAAAGTTACAATAACTGGATTGTGTGACAATCTACTCTCCAGCTCCAATTACGCTAACTGTTGATCGCAAGAAAAACCACCGAAGATCTTGGATAGAAGGAACGAAGAAAAAAAACCTCAAACTTGGAAAATCTTCATCGAATACATTCCCAGATCAACATAACCTAAACACTCCATTAGATACGTAAAAGAGAACACTTTGTCCTTTATTTGACTTTCTTGTTTTCTTTACTTTTTCTTTTTTTTTTGAATGTTCTTATTTAAGGGTAATATTTTCTCAACATTTAAGAACTTTAGAACCATGTCTACAGAATCATCAAAAGGTATGAAAAGAGCAGCATCTCCACAACAAGAAAACCACCGTTCCAAATTGGTCGATTCCCAAGGTTTTAGATTACGTCAACAAGATATTGATAAACATAAGATAACTTCAGATGGCGATGGGAAAAATTCTAAAACTATTCATGAAGAAGAAGCAGAAGGTGCAAATTATGTAATTGAAGGAAGATTACGTCGTGTTACTCCATATTATTATACTTATTTAACATATTGTAAATTACGTTGGATTGATAGAAAATTAGTTGATGTTTTCATTGATGAATTTAGAGATCGTTCTGCTGAAGCATATAGAGAAGCAGTTGATACTGGATTAGTTAAAGTCAATTCAAAAGTTGCAAATTTGGAAACTGTTTTGAAAAATGGTGACTTGATTTCCCATAGAAGCTACAGACGTGAACCTCCGGTAACATCTAGAGATATAAAGATTGTTTATGAAAATGATGACATTTTGGTAATTGATAAACCAAGTGGAATACCTGTTCATCCAACAGGCAGATACAGATACAATACTGTAACCAAGATTATTGAACAAGAATTTGGAAAAACTGTTCATCCTTGTAACAGATTAGATAGATTAACTTCAGGGTTGATGTTTTTGGGCAAACTGTCAAAGGGTGCAAATGAAATGATGTCACAAATTAGAGATAGAAATGTCAGTAAAGAATATATAGCAAGAGTTAAAGGTGAATTTCCAATTGAAAGAATTGTCATTGAAAAACCATTATCTACTATTGCTCCCAAATTGACATTAAATGTGGTTGATGAAGAAAATGGCAAAGAAGCCAAAACAGAATTCCAAAGAATCTCCTATGATCCAATCACGGATACTTCTGTTGTCAAATGCCATCCATTAACAGGTAGAACTCATCAAATTAGAGTACATTTACAATACATTGGTCATCCAATTGCCAACGATCCTATGTATTCAAGTCAATTCATCTGGGGTGAAAACTTAGGTAAAGATGGTGAAGCAGATCTTGAACAAGTTAAACAGAAATTAGATTTGATTGGTAAATCCAAACCAGCAACTTCATGGTTTCATCCTGAAGGTGATGGTGAAGTTTTATTAGAAGAAATTTGCCCAATAACTGGATTACCATTATATTCTGATCCTGGATCTAATGATTTGGATTTATGGTTACATGCTTATAAATATGAAGCTGATAATGGATCATGGAGCTATAAAACACAATATCCTGAATGGGCTCTTGAACCAAGTAGGAAATTCATGGAAATGGCAATTGAACAAGCAGAAAAATGTGGTGAAACTCAAACTCAATTTAATGTGGGTTGTGTTTTGGTGAATAATGGGAAAGTTATATCTACCGGACATTCCCGTGAATTGCCTGGTAATACACACGCTGAACAATGTGCATTAGAAAAATATTTTGCTGAACATGATGGTGTCAAAGAAGTTCCTGAAGGAACTGAGATTTTTACAACTATGGAACCATGTTCTTTACGTTTGAGTGGGAATTTACCTTGTGTAGATAGAATCCTTGAAACCAAGGGCATCAAAACCTGTTTTGTCGGTGTTCTAGAGCCAGATATTTTCGTCAAGAACAATTCATCATATCAAAAATTGCTAAAAAACGGAGTGCAATATATTCATATCCCTGGGTATGAAGAAAAAGCACTCGAAATTGCTAAAAGAGGTCACGAGAAAATTGGAACTACTGCCTAATCAATTAGACAAACGAATAATGTACATTATTTTAATTTGATTTAATCATCACTAGACGTATCTAAAACTACTTCTCTCCTGGAGTAAACGTAGATGTTTCTTCTTCTATTGTTATTAGTACTGGTGTTTGTTGAAGCAATGTTATGAACTGTAGAAGATTCAGTTGTATTTTCGTTAGTGAGATTCTCTCGTTGTTCAAACATTTCAGGATTGAAATCTGGAACTACTTCTTGCATCTCATTGTTATGTCTGGCAACACTATCTTTTGGCTTACCAGTTAAAGATTGCGTAGAAACACTTACTGATCGGGGAATTGCAAAACCAGCAGCAATAATATTATCAGTAATGGTCAAAAATGTTCTCTTGGTATAACTCAAAGCGTTTCTGAACTTTTCAGCAGCAGTCAATTCGTCTTCTTTTCTTGCACAAATATCGTCAGTGGCAGGAGAATTTCGAACTAGTCTATTTTGTTCTTCATTAACATCACCACCACCACCACTACCACGATCATTATCATCATCATCATCATCATCATGTGCCCTAACCTCTATGTCATCTCGTCCATTTTCACCTTCGTCATCATTATCAGGAACCTGCTCTTCAACAAACAATTCAAATCGATCCAATTCATACAATTCATCCTCATAAAATCTCCGTCCAAGCACACCTTCTTTCTCCTTAGCTTTCATAATTAAATTGAATTTATTACACCATTCCCACGGTATAACAACACCGATAACATAATTCACTACAGAAAATATTTCTGATAATTCATAAACAAACGCATTCGAAACATCAGCAATGAAAAAGGCAACAGGACTGTATATCAAAATCGAGGTCAACAATGTCAATAACCATATTTTTTTATTGGCAAGAATGACTTGAATTTTAGAAATGACAAACACGGTGATTATAGCAGCATAGCATAACGCCATTGCTATTCTGACCAAGTAAATAAATGCCGGTAATATATCACCTGCTTCGCTGTTTCTATCAAAATTATAAAACTGGGCCACTCCCCAAATCACTTGTGAAGTCAATGAAGCAATGAGACCAACAAAAAATGTCATTCTTTTATCCTTTTGTCGTTGGAATATTCTCATGATAATTTGTACTTGGTTGATTTGTAATAAAAATACCACTATTAGATCAATAATATTTATTGGTTTGTAAGAATTAATACCATCAAGAAGCTTTGTCCCATGAAGATACCCATCTCTTTGTTGTCCATGTAAAATTACTATAGATTTAATAACAACCACTAGAATATAAACGGTCGATAACAGGGTACTTGTTTTCAATAACCATGAGGGCTTGATTGTATAGTTTGTTAAAACGAAAATGGTCAAAAACCAAATGATAACTGCCAGAACGGATATTGCATAAATAATAGATACAAAACTGTAGGCAAAGGAACCTCGTAATGAATTTCGTGTATAATCATACCAACTCAGTGATATTATGGGTAGCGGTGCTGCAAAATCATCCATGACAAATCCAACATTAGTATTCATAACAGGAACACTATCTTCATAACAAATCTGTTTGTAAACTGCTTTAGAAATAAATGACACAGGAAATCCACCAGTATCTTTTGATATGATCATGCCTTCAGGTAGTAGGATATCCCTACATGATGGATAAACTGTACCTTCCCACCATGTATTTTTCCAATACATTTTTCAGGTTTTCTTTGTTGTATATTATATATAGTTGATCGGAGTTCCTTTCTTGTATTGATACTGATATATGTTTCCAATACATTTTTTTTTCCATGCTGTGCTGCATTGCTTACAAAATCTTACAAAGAAAAAATGTCGTCACTCAATATTTGTACTCATTTTCACCAAAGTCTCTATCTGCAGTCCCCCCATAAATTTTTCTCATTGGACCAACTATTATGCGGATATTGAGAGACATTGTATTGTAGGTCTATGCACTTTTGTATTCTAGACTTGAACACTAGGTAATAAAATAAAACATCATATTACTCTATTGGTTTTTCATGATGTCAGTTCTACACCCTAGTTTTGAAACTATGGGTCGTTGTTGATTGCTCTTCTTTTATTTTTTTTTTTTCTTATGGTTTCGGGACATTTGCCATATTCGGTTAAAACAACACGACTATTCATTACTAAAGAGTGCCCTTTCGCAGAAAAATATATTAATTTCAGGTTAATCATGCTTTAGAGTAATTTACTGGCAACTGATCAATAAAACCACCACCATGGAAGTAATAGACATATATACAGAGGTTTCAGAGGATGAAGTACCAGTGGATAACTATGGGTTCAAGTACAGTTCCGATAATGAGCCATATATCGATAAAAGTATAGAGCACAAATGGAAGCAACTTATGAAATCAAGTAAAACTTTCCCTCCAAAATCCAAAAAGACAAAGCAAATGATTAGAAAGAATGGATTCCCACCTTCCATGAGAGGAGAAGCCTGGTTCTTCTATGCTGGTGGTGCAGAAAAGATGAAAAAGGGCGTATACCAAAAAAGTTTAAGTGAAACTACTAATAAGTACAAAGATGTCATTGAGAGGGATCTTTATAGAACGTTTCCAGACAACATATATTTCAATAGCATAGAAAAAATTACATTGGATAATAAGACAGAAGTTGAAGATCCACCACTTATCAAGTCATTACGCAGGGTATTAGTTGCGTTTGCTCACTACAAGCCAAAAATAGGTTACTGTCAATCATTAAATTTTATAGCTGGTCTTTTATTATTGTTTATGAACGAAGAAAAATCATTTTGGATGTTGGTTATACTAACGGAGAAGATTATTCCTAATGTACATCTGGAGAATTTAGAAGGTGTTCATACCGATCAAGGAGTTTTAATGTTGTGTGTCAAGGAATACATACCTCAGTTATGGCAAGTATTGGGTAAGAATTTTGACGGAGAAGCATTATCAGAAGACAAAATTTTAGCACGATTACCTCCAGTTACATTAGTTACATCGTCATGGTTTATGTCATTATTTGTTGGTGTATTGCCAGTTGAAACTACATTAAGAGTATGGGATATAATTTGGTACGAAGGCTCCAAGACTATATTCAGAATTTCATTGACGATATTGAAATTATGTCTCGACTCAACTGAATTCAAGGCCAAACAAGTACAGCAACAAGATATTGGTGGCACAGAAACTGAGCTGATCGAATTGATTCAGTTGTTACAAAATTTCCCGAAAAGAATAGCTGACCCGAATTTGTTGATAGATTGTTGCTACAAGAAGATTGGTGGATATGGATTTGGTTCCTTGTCACAAGACGAGATAAACAAGTGCAGAGATTTTGTTTCTAAACAAAGGAAAAGCTTAAATAAAAAATTAGAACAACAGAGTTTGACGGGAACGACGGAGGAGGAAAGAAGAAAGTTAATGAACGGAGATTTGGATATCCATGAAGTTTATGGATTTCATCGTCGTCCAATGATGAGTGGAATGGTTTGGAATAAAAACATTACAAATAAAATGAAAAAGAAGTTTAATACACCAGGGAAAAACGAAATAGCCTAGATAGACCTATATATAGCATCGCTTGTTAGAACAACATCTTTCATTTCTTTAACATCATGAACTCTAACAATATCCGTATTTTGCTCTATACTTGCAGTAACAGTAGCAGCAGTGGCAAGAACTCTATCCAGTGGATTGGTTTCTTTACCGGTCAAAGTTCCAAGGAACTTCTTTCTTGATGTTCCAACCAATAGTGGCATACCATTAAAGCTTAAATAATTATGTCTTATTTCATCTCCAACCCTTTCATTAAGCTGGATTGAGTATTTCTTGAAGAATGATGCGTGACGGATAATATCCAAGTTTTGTTGCAAATTTTTTGCAAATCCAACACCAGGATCAACAATGATCTGCCATTTTTTAACCCCTTTAGCCATGGCTTTGAACATTTGCAAACTTAATTCTCGACTGACTCCATTGAGTAAGTTCTTTGAATCTGTCGAAACTTCGAGATCACCTTGTTGTCCCAATTTAGGATCAATAACAAATTCTACTAAATCATCATTAGTGTTTGATTCATAACTAGTCAACTTGGACATAGTCTTTGGAGTTCCCCTGGTGTGATTCATGATATAAGGACATCCGTATAATGCAATGACATCAAACATCATGTCGTCATATTTACCCATAGAAATATCATTAATAATATCAGCACCTGCAATTAAACTTTCTTCTGCAACATTACTACGATATGTATCAATAGAAATTAAAACATTTCTCAATGCAGGATTCTTAGATTCACGGATCGCTTTAACCAAAGGTACAACCCTTTGCAATTCTTCTTCTTCGCTAGGTTCAGTACTTCCTGGTCTTGTGGAAACACCTCCAATGTCAATAATATTAGCTCCTTCGGCAACCAATCTCTCGGCATTTTTGACAATATCCTCTAAAGCTTGGTCATAATACTTACCGGCATCACTAAACGAATCTGGAGTCATATTCAAAATAGCCATAATTAAAGTAGGTGATTTTTTATTAATGTGATCAAATCTTAAGATGTTATCAGCTGGTGATAACGATAATCTTGGAACAGGTACGAACTGCAACAAATCAGAAGATACTTGCAATGTTTCATCTTCCTGTGGTTTTTCATTCAACAATTGTTTCAAATGGCTGTGGATACTTTCTGCACTGATAGGATGAATAAAATCTGGTGGTAAGATCTCGCACAATGGTTGCAACACAAATGTTCTTTCAAGCAATGATTTATGAGGAATGATTAAATCTTCTGTATTCAATGTAAGATCATCGTATAAAATAATATCTAAATCGATAGATCTAGGTCCGTTATCAAACTCTTTGACTCTCTTTAAATGGGAATATTCAATTTCTTTAAGAATCTCCAACAATCGATGAGGTGAAATATCCATAAAATTGATTTTGATGGCACCATTGAAGAAATCTGGCTGATCCAAATAATACATTGGTTTTGAAATGTACAACGAGGAGGTAGATTCAACAATGATATCATAATTCAGCAATAACTTAAGTGCATCATTGATGTTTAACATTTGGTCACCAGAGTTTGATCCAAATGCAATGTATGCTGTGTGGTAGCCTTCATATTTATCTGTTTTTTCTTGTTCAACTGGTAAATTGAATGATGTAACTGCCTTCGCAGCATTTTCATATTCAATTGGTTCCATGTCTTTAAAATTGTCCAAAGTCATTGTTGATGAAACACCCACACCTTCGACGTGGCTAAATGCATTTGGTTTGGTCACAATTGCTAAAACCTCTTCAATACCAGAACCATACTTTTGAAAAGTCAATTGACCTATTTTGGAAACCAACGCTTCAACGGTTTTGAAGTTTGATGATTCTACGTAGTTGACAATATCCTCAATGATTTTATGGAAAAACAAATTAGAATTGTCTTTGATTTTAAATTCTAAATCAACATCAACGATTTGTTTCTGTAATCTTTCAAAAGTGAAAACACCAATAATAGTCAACAATCTCAACTTGTTAACTCTGAAAACATCTAATGGAGGGGTGATTCCCAAGTTATTTCTCAAAATTTTGTATTCCACACTATCAGCTCTAATTTCAGATTTGGTACTCTTTATGGTAACTTCCACAGATGAGCCACCACCTCTACTTTCATTCAAACCAATATCACCGACGGCTTGGGCGATATTACCCAAAGATTTGAAATTTAAATGCTCATTTGATTTCATAAATTCGGTGACATTTCTGGTAATAACTGCATAATTAATCGAATACTTCAAATTGTCAAGCTGGGATGCTTTATGAAAATCAGTGTTGAAATTTAACGATATGGTTATTGGCTGTGGAGTTGGTCTATTCCAGGCATCTTTCCCGGTAATGGCCGTACATGCTATATCTTTAGTGAAAACCGTATCTTTATTATACATTTTAAATGATTGGTGAAAAAATTTGCCAAAAGTTCTGCTGTAATGTGTCGGGTTATTCGCCGACCTAATTGAATTAAATAACGAAATTTTGAATAATTGTATCGGTGGGGGAAATAATATTCAATTTTTCAATGATTCACTCCAGATTATATTCTTGATAAAGATTACTTTTTTTTTTTTCCAACCAAAAATAAAAAATTTTCTTGTGAGTAATCCGTCGCCTGTCGGGCAGATCTTTGGCGTAGTTGCAAAATTTCTACATCTGCTTCCTGCGATAACAGAAGACGGTTGTGTGTGGGGTGAGATATGACTCGTCTATTATCACAGCTTATCTACTCCTATAAAATATCTATACTTTCCTCTTCTTACTAGGAACAAGAATTACATCGCTATCATCTGGATTAGTTTCAGATTCACTCTCATGATATTCCTCATTCACAACTTCTATCGCATCTGCGACCATTGTCCCGTAATCTGTAGTCTTCTGACAAAATGTTTCAGCTTCTTTAAAATCCATATTCATGTCTTCCATAATCATTCGAATAATAATCTCATTTGCTAGCACGTAGGTTGAAAACTGGGGTACTGTCCAATAACTCACTGTTTTGTTTCCATTACTAAACTTGAGTAGCTTGTTTTCATATTTTTCTAAAATGTAACTTCCTATTATAGATTGACGTTGAAAACCGTAATAACCGCCAAAATATGATTCCCATTCAATAGACCATTTCTCTTGTGCCGACATAGTTTCATGCTTGGATTTATAACATTGTTTTCGTGCAAGGTAATAATACGAAGAAGGTTCTTGTTTTTGCTCTAGAATTTTCCTAATGACCTTCATATGCTTATCTGCTCTTTCCAATAACTTCGATTTGTATTTAATTGGTTTTGGAATATTATACCTCTTGTATTTCTGGAGTACGTCCTTATATTTGTCTTTATTATGTTCTTCCAATGAATGAAGAAGGTTTTTAGGATCAAGTTTTTCAACAAATGAAGACAATCCCGTTGTTTTGGAAGATTTACCCCCATCATCATCGTCGTCATCATCACTGACTTCAATTAAGCCTTCAATTTTAAATTCATCTGACTTGGACATCGCAGGCTTACGCGTCTTTTCTGGACTCGGTGTTGATTTTTCAAGTGCTTTCACATCAATTAAGTCAAATGCTTTACTTGCCTTCACTGGCGAAGACATTTCTAAATAGCTTCCATGTTTTTTGGGTGAATTCGACTCAAAGAGATGCAGATCATCACTATGTACAATGACTTTCAGTCTCTTATAAGATGGTTTTCTCTTCACTGGTGAATTGGTAGGTGAGAAAATGCTATGCTTAGTAGGAGATGATGTAATTGGTTGAGGATCTATGGGTTTTCCTATTGTTACAGGTGACGATCCTGTATTTGGCAATCGTTTATAACGATTCAAACTTTCGTATTTTTTGCTTTTAGAAGACATTATAATCTGTAGTTGACTGTATTGTTTGATAGTTTTCCTACAATTTTTTTCTTTTTTTTTCGATTTTTTTTATTTATTTTTTTAAAAAACCTTTTTTTGTATTGTTCGCTCTCATAATTTTTACGTGTCTTGTCTTGTAAGTACAAATCAACAGTATCATCTACCAGATTCCTACAATACGATTTAAATATACTATAATTAAATCTTTTTAGGTATATATTTATTTAGTATACAGTTAATCTACGTACATAAATGGACCCTATTGTTGTTGGGAGTTTTGCATAAATGCTGCTAAAGCTGCTAACGCGTCACTTTGATTCATTCCACCTTGAGGTGGTGCTGGAGGTTGTTGCTGTTGTTGTGGAGGTGGTGGTTGTTGAACAGGTTGTTGTGGCATATTGTTACCAAATAAACCTTGAAGTGGGTTTACAGATGATTGTTGGTATATACTGAATTGTGGTTGAGCACCATGTGTCATTTGGATACTTTGTTGGGGTATCAATGTAGTTTTAACATACTCTTCGTCAGGTTCACCTGGTCTGTTAGATCTAGGACCATTTCTTGCAGAATTGGTTGGCATTTTCTTGGACATTGCCTTTGATGAAAGACCTGATCCAATTTCAATATCTGGTTCATCAACAACCATACCACTCAGAATTGGCTGACCACCAGTACCTCCCCATTGTGCATTAACCATCCAGTTTCTATCTGCTTCAGTTAATCTTTGAATAGGAATGATTGATATACCATGTTGATAATTACAACAATCTCTTGGACCAAACCCAACACCCCATCTTGTTCTCAAAGGCAAGGCACCATCTTTGTTAAATGATGTAATCACTTGTTCTGCCTCTCTTCTAGAATATACCTTAACAAATGCATGTTTTTTCTCACTGTTTAATATAACCGATTGAATTTCAGCATATGGACGTAAAACCTGAGCCAATGCTCTTTCATCCATGTTTCTTGGAACACCACCCAAGAACAATGTTCTTGATAACACCTTGACCGTGGCTTGTGGAATAGAAGAATCAAAATCAACATTTCTTGGACGATAATGAGGGTTTCCAGGTTGGTTAATCTCTCCTCCCATATCAGTAGGTGGTACAAATGCTGGGTTTCCCTGGTTATGCTTAGCTTGGTGACCATGGTGATTTTGCTGTTGTCTTAAATTCTGCATGTTTTGTTGAAGAGCTTGAACAGAAGCATTTGGTGGAGATCTTATATACTGGTTATTACCGCCACGAGAAGGTGATCTGGATCTGTTTCTTCTACCATACGATCCATATTCATTGTCACGAGAACGTCTACCACCATCATAATTATTAGTAGGTTGAGGTGGTTGTTGATTATTCATTTGCTGTAACATATTAAATAAAACCTGTTGTTCAGAGCTAAGTCCTTGCTGTGGAAATGGTGAGAACTGTTGTTGTTGTTGTTGTTGTTGTTGTTGCTGTGTTGCTGGTGGTGGAACAGGCAAACCTGGGTTGTTGTTATTGTTGGCACCACTACCATTTGCACCTAGAGTGTTAGATAATTGGGATAAAATATCAGTAGCATTGGAACCACTATTATTATTAGTGGTAGACGACTGTGAAGTAGCTACAGAGTCACTACCACCATTAGATTTAGTTAAAGAAGCCAAAGCCAGTAAAATACTATTCGACTCTTTAGAACTTTCAGTGGCATCAGGTTTTACAGGTTCGACACTAGTTCTTGGAGGAGATCCAGGTGGTGTGGTGGACTTGAAATACTTATTTCTGATGCTTCTAATAATATCTGGTGAGAAAGTTTGCAGCTTGGCCCAAATGTCAACTAATTTTTCAATCTTGTTATTGACAGAAGGGTTAATCAGTAATTCCATGGCGTCATCTACGATAGATTCAATCAACTCATTGGTTTTAAAAACAGCAGAAGCAAATGTGCCTTCAGGAGCATCTGGTACCAACGGTTCACCTTTCTTGTCGGCTTCTTCGATGAATTTTCTAACTATCGAATCAACAATATATAAAGTACCCAATTTGTTTGTAGATGAATTTGCTTTACATTGAGAATATAAAATCCCCATCAACTTTGACTCTGTTTCTGGACTAATTTCCTTAACAGCGATTTCAGTCAATTTCTTAATACGTGAACCTGAGACACCTGGTGGAGGTAATGTTGGTATCTCTTTCAAAATCTTTTCAAATTCCGCTAAACCTGGTGTTGACATCGTTGGTTTTTACTTTTTAGTTTCTCTGAAGAATTACGAAAGAATACTGACAAGTATTAAATAAATAGTAATAAAATACAAAATCGAACAATAAGAATACGAATTGGTTTACTTTTCTTTGTTTGTTTTACAAAACTCACTCTTTAAACCTCTTGCTTTTTGATGATCTTCTTTATAAAGGACAGTTAAGGGAAATGTTGTTGTGATGGCTATTCTGATAAATGCTGAGCTCTAAGAAATTAAATAAAAAAAATAAACACTACTATTACTTTGTGGTGAAACTTGAGCTAAACAAAATAAAAATAAAAAGTACGAACGTTAAATAAAATATAAAGAACAATCAATAAACTAGTGGGCTACGATAAAAAAAAACACTATTAGTGAAACTCTATTCTGATGTGCCTGTGTTTGAATTTGGTTGGTTATCGTTTTATTAACGTCTTTATTGAAGGAAAGAAAGAAAAAGGGAAATGAAAAAAGAACGAGTGACATTTTTTTTTTTTGCTGTTGTTGTTCACACAAGTGGCAAGATGAAGAAGAAGAAGGAGTGTGAGAAGAGAAGACGGGAAACAAAATTGCACCAATACTTTCTTGTCAAATTGTACACTACCAAATTTTTGGTCGTGCGAATGGGGAGAGAAACTGGGAATTGGATTGAGAAAAGAAAATTTTTCAGACAACCCAGAAAAGCGGTTATTAAGGTACTACGAGAGATCAACTTCAATACACATAGACACACACCCAATGAGAAGTTCCACTTTTCAAAGAGCAGTAAAGACTTACTCAACTGCTGCATCATCAGCCGCCACACCATCTACAATTTCCCTGACCTTGGTGTTATCTAGATTGCCTGTCATCACACAAGATGTTCCAAAATTCGATCAACAATTTTACAAATACCAATCTGAGTTATGGAGAAGATTGATGTGGACTTTCCCAAAATGGTTCTACTTTAGACCAGGTACTTTGTCTGAACAAAAATACAAAGAATTAAATACCAATCCTGTCAGTTACGAAAAAGGTGTCCTTTATCCACAAGGTAAACCAGACTTGAAACATAATCGAGATCGTAGATTCAGACAATACATAAACTTGCCAAAAACTTATGAAGAGAAAACCGAGTTAACTGAAGAGGATGAGGTTAATAAAGAAAACGACATTGCCAGAAAAATTGTGCCTAATTCAAGAATCACCGATGCTGATAAGAAGAATGATTTGACCAGTTTGGAAAGAAGATTGAGCAGAACATTATATTTAACAGTCAAGGAAAAATCTGGAAACTGGAAATTGCCAAACTTTGAACAAAATGAAACATTAGTTCCATTGCATGAATTGGCTGAAGATGGTTTGTATTCTATTGGTGGTAAAAAGATCAACTACTTTAATGTTTCAAAGGTCCCATGTCATGTTTTCAATGAATCATCAAAGAAACAATATTTTATCAAGTCACACATTTTATCTGGTCTATTTGAACCACAAGTTGAAGGTTTGGAATATAAATGGTTAACCAAAGAAGAATTGGGTGAAGTTCTTCCAAAAGAATATTATCAAGATATTGAACATTTGTTAAACGATGTTTAAAAGGAAGAGAGCATTAGATATTTATATATATAAGTTACAATTCTGTACATAGTTATTTACCTTTTTTTTTTCTTTTTTTTTTTTTCCTTCTATTTGTCCATTTATACATTCTAATATAAGTAATAAAGGGTTCGTAAGAGAAGACGTTGTAAGTGTTTAGAGTTACATATTCGTTGATTTGCTTTATTTATTTGCATATCTATAGAATAGTACATAATGCAATATATTTCATTTTTTGGAGGGGTTCCTTTTCAGTATTGAAACTATTTTGTTTGGTCTATATATCCTTCTTACCTTTGATAGCTTGTTGGGCAGCAAATACTGAACGATCTAATAATGTACCAACCATTAAAACACCAGCTATAGAACTGACAACACCCAAGATAAATCCAGACCAAGTTTTGGCATATTGTTGGCGATTAATGATTTTCAATGGAGAAATATCAAAGTTAAAATTGACACCTGGAATACCACCTCTAGCATGTAAAGTGTGTTGATGATCTTCATCCTTGCCACCAATTAATGGTCTGTCATGGGTAATTACAGAAAATTGATTGGTATCAACTCTCTTACTATAATCCAAACTTTCATATCTGGTAGCAACAACTTTTAAAAAGTAAGAAACGACATGATCCTTCTTGTGCAACATGAATTGGTAATCATCTAATGGGTGAATGGAATCAAACATTTCCTCGGCACCATTATTAGTAGGCACTTCACCAAATGATAAGTGATTGATAACATGATCAAAGTTAAACTTGTCATTGTACTTCTTGTATAATGACAAATCGTGGAAATGTCTACCATCGTGGTTGAATGAAGAACCAGGAGCAAAATCCATAGTACCAGAAACACGGTTGATCTTAGTGCTGCCCTTGATTCTACAACCTTCATTGTTATTAATTCTTTCTCTCAAACGTTTGACATAACCTTCTTTCTCACATTGTTCAATATTTTCACCATCAAAGAATTGCCATTGTTTTTCAGCATAAGCTCTACGAACAGTGTTACAGTCATTACAACAGAATTGTTTCTTATCTTGAGGTAAGGCTCCATAACATGGTCCACAATAGGCATTTTGATCAGATCCTTCTGGCAAACCCTTGGCTAATTCTTTCAATGAAACATCACTGTTCAAAGCAGGTTTATCATCTTCAATTTCGTTGATTATAACATCACCTTGCTTATTCTTCAATAATCTGACTTTTTTCAATCCTGAATCAATGATATCTAATTGTTGATCACCAGTAACATCCAACAAATCAACAGAAATCAAATCACATGGTAAATTTATAAAACTAATATCTAAATTAATATCCAATTGTTTATTGATATCCCTGTCCACCACCAATTCTGGACGAGTAATAATAGTCGTATAGTCAATATACTCATTTCGAATCAAAATGAGGGTTATTAACACACAAATCAAAGTGATGATCCCACCAGAAGCTGTTTTAATCCTAGCATCTTCGACTGTCTTTGCAAATGCATCAAAGGAAAGTAATTTAGGTCGAGATGACATTATGAAGATCTATCGTGGTGAATAAAGATTATTAGAAAGTAACTTACGTGGCTCGAAATTTGTCGCTCTTTTTATTCAGTCTTCCGTTTCTTTTTTTTTTTTTCGCTTCGTTTTCATTTCTCTGAACCTGCAGTTTGTCTCGTTTTTCTGCCGCAGCCAATATCGTAAACCCTTGGTTGGATAGATTCTCGACTCCTTATATTTACTATACTAATAAAACTTTATCAACATTTCTATAGGGGAAAAAGTGAAAGCACAGTAAGATATTACCATGCTTATAGGAAAATATCATACCGAGTAAAATGTAGACTATATCCATATTTGCAGCGCTCTTCTGTACGGTTATTCTTCCATTTGATAACTTTGAAGATAGCAGACATTTTAGAACCGGATTATATAAAGTGATTAACTTTAGTAATTGCTACTCTCCTGACAAGTTAGTCAATATACCTTCGTTTCAGTCATCGAATGGCACAGTGAAGATTTAAACGTATCACGTGAAGTCGTGTACGTTTTTCAAAATAGTAATAACATTTGGTGGTGAATAATTTTTCTTTTTTTCAAACAATTGTTTTTTAATAAATTTGTTTAATATCAACAATCGAAGGTACCATGACCACCACTAACGTAAATGATAACAATCTAGCTTTTTTTAAGAGTCTCACTCCATATGTAATTCGAGATAAGCCAGTGGGAAGTTACATGGGAAATTCAGAAGTCATTACCATGGCCATTAATCCAACAGGAAATAGAATTGTATATTCTCGAACTGATAAAACCATTAGAATATGGAAATCAACTCCTGATTCTGCAGTAGATCCTAAGATTATAATTGATCCTCATAATAAAGCAGTTGAAAGTATTTCATTTAATCCAAAAACTGAATTTCTGTTTGCAACTGTTGGTAAAGATGAATATGTTAAAATCTGGAATTCCCAAAATGGTGATAAAATTCGTGAAATCAAATGTGATTTTGATACTTTGAAATTGGTAAGATATTCCAATGATGGTAAATTATTGATTGTTGTGGATAGAACATCAAATATTATGATACTTAATGTTGAAATGAATTACAAATTGGTTCATACATTCAAAGTTAATGAACATGTTTATGATTTAAAGTGGTTCCATCATGAACATCAATTCTTTCTTATTGCAATGCACGACGGGAGTGTTCTTCTATATGAAGTAGCAGAAGAAACAAGAGAAGATGAAGAAGAACGTATAATATATTCAACCAAATTGAGATCCAAAATTAAAGGACACAATTCATCAATTACTTCAATTGCAATTTCACCAAGGGGAACATATTTCTGTCTTGGAAGTAGTGAAGGTGTGGTTAGTGTCTGGAATGTTGAAGGAACATTAATAAATCTGCATGTTATCACCGATGTTGATCAAAGTATTTCACATTTGAGTTGTAGTAAAGATGGTGCTTATCTTACAGTTGCTTATGATTCTGATAGCAACCTGCGAGTTTATGATTATGAATCTGGACAATTGATGTATGAGATTCCTAATACCTCAAGTGGAAGTCAAACATTCAGCAGTGCTAATTGGTATCCTAACAAAACTGGTTTCATATGCACCAGTGATCATGGAACTACAGTCACTATAATGAAAAAACTCGATGATGGACGAAAACTTGAAGATGGACGAAAACTAGATGATGGACGAAAACGAGTCCAAAGAGATCAAAGAGACCAAAGAGATCAAAGGGATCAAAGAAGAAGGATATAGATATTTGTACATATTGATTTAGACACCTCTACAGTGTATGTATATGCTTGTGTGTATATATATATGAATGTAAATCTATTAGAATAAATACCTAGGAATCGATGGTATCAAAAGCACAATCTCTGAGTCCTTTTAGATCATCTGAACATTTCTGAGTGTTACTCTTGTTCATTCTTAGACAGGCGTCATAAGCTTGCATTTTACCAGCACATTGATTTTGAATTCTTTGGAATGATGGTACCGATGATTTAATACATTTACTTAGATTTGCTTGCTCTTGTGCACAAAGTTTTGGATCTGGTTTTTCTTGACTCATACATTGATGGAATGAAAGAAATTGATGAGGGCAATGACGAGCAATATCTTCCAATAAAAATTGATCTAAATATCCTGGTTTAACTTGATCCATATTATCTTTATTGTTGTAAGAAAAGAAGACTGGGGTAGAAACTGACAAGATTCTCTATTTTTTTTTTTGCTTTATTCCCAACGAATGGCTGCTTTTTCAATTCCTAGGAATAAGAAAACGTAGAGAGAGAAAAAAAAAGGAGGAAGAAAAATCATTGAGTCAATAATACCTGTTATAACATAATAGAATCAACGTTCAATATTACAGCATTTATAGAGAGTCATGGGGGTTTCACGAGGGATTAGAACAACTTTTTTGACATTGACATGGTTTCCTGTGCTATATTCGTTTACAAATCACGTATATCAACCATATCAAGTAACGGGATCCTCGATGTCTCCAACATTCAATCCCCGAACATCAAATATGAGTAATGATATTGTATTAGTACAGAAATTTAATGTTAAGAGTCCTAATTCATTGTCAAAAGGTGATATAATAATGTTTAGATCACCAAAAGATCCAGAAAAATTATTGACAAAGAGAATTGTTGGAACGCAAGGTGATGTGATCCGACCTAAATCTCCACCATACCCGAAATCAGAAGTGAAAATTCCAAGAAATCATCTTTGGGTTGAAGGTGATAATAGTTTCCATTCAATAGATTCGAATAATTTTGGTCCAATTAGTCAAGGATTAGTTGTGGGGAAAGTCATATCAGTAATTTGGCCATTAAACAGATTTGGAACAGATTTAGAAAGGCAATTATAATATCAATGTTTGGTTGCTTGAATAGTGTTTTGTATCAATAGAAGTCATTATGACTTAATTTGAAAGGGTTGAGTTTTCTGTATATATATAAGAATGTCTAGAGAGGAGTGTCAATGTGCTTGGCAAAATTAATACACACACAGCATTACTAGTGAGACCACCACAACAACAACATGGGTATATAATCATTAATCTTGACGAAACTCGGTTATATGTATTCTAAGAATCTATCTTCTCTTATAATAATTGCATGACACTAATTGAACGTTCAATTGCTTTAAACAACCGAAGCAATATTTTCCCATTTATTTTTAACTCTTTTATTTGCAAAGAAACAACTACAGTATATTAAATATTATACACTCTTTTGATTGATTTTAATCTCATCATCTTTGCCAACGGATTCCGAACTATCAATAATAACATCACCAGCGATTTGTGTAACCTCTCCACCATCACCCAATCTTCTAATATCAAATCCGTTTTGTTCTAAATATTCTTTGAATAATCTATCTTCTTTATTAATTGAATCTTGACCAACTGGTGGAACAAAGAAAATAGTCAACAATGCACTGAACAAACACAATGCAGAACTGACATAGAATGGAACTTGTAATTCCAAATCTGGATTTTCATTGCTTGCATATTTTCTTTGAATAGCTGGGAAGACCCAAGTACCAACAAAAGCACCGATTTTACCAATAGCAGCAGCAATACCATAATATTGACCTCTGATTGAAGTAGCACTTGTTTTTGACGCAAGTAAACCGGTATTGTTACCAGGTCCAAATTCACCAAATGCAGTGAAAATACCAAAAACAACAACAAACCCAGCAATATGTTTTCTTAAAGTTCCTAAACATGCCGACATTGCAATTCCAATAATACCTTGGGCAGCAACGCCTAAAGCTAAAGTTAATCTTGGTCCGATATAATCAGCTGAAAGTGCACCAAGAATAGTTCCTGGCATGTAGAACAAGTTGAAGACAACAGACCAACCCCAATTTTGATAAAGAGATCCATTAGGAATGATTTGTTCAATTATAATAGTGTTAAATGTACCAAAGGAATAAACTGAGAAATCATAAATAAACCAAATCAAAGATACAATAGTTAATCTAAACCAATAAAATTTTATGATTAACCACCATGGATAATCTCTATATTTGACTCTTTTCATGTTCATCTTACTAAATGAATTAGAATTACTCATCTTCAAACGAAGGAAAAATAAAATCAAAGGAGGTATTACACCTAATCCAATAGTTAATCTCCAAACTGCTCTTAAATGTCTTGGTGTAAAAATCCATAACAACACCAATGGAACAAAAGCAGCAACAACAAATCCAAAATCAATACAACCATTGGTAAACCATGCAAAATATCTATTTCTGTGACCTGGTGGTAATTGGTTGGCAAATTCAGACGCAATGACCGATGAGGTTGGATATTCAGCTCCGATAGCAACACCCAAAAAGAATCTCCAAACGGTTAAACATGCAAAGAATCCTTGTACAGTGGCCCCCTATGAACCAACAGCACATAAAAGGGTGAAAATGATCAACATGACATTTGCAGCCAACATACCTCCTTTTCTGTCTATTCTATCAGATATGTAACCAAAACTTAATTGTCCAACAACGGTACCCACGAAACCAATGGAACCAATATTGTTGATAGCGTTTGATTGGGTGAATTCATCACCATAAATTTGTTTCAAACAAGATAAGACAATACTAATCCCAGCATTAACATATCCATCACTGAACAATCCAGCACCAGATGTGAATCCACTCCAAAGAGAATTAACGGTAACTTTTGTTTCTATTGTTTCATCATCTTCAACTATATCTTCTTTCTGTAATTGTTCTTTACTTTTACCTAATGTGATTTCTTGTGGGATAGTTTTAAAAATTTCACCGAAACTAAGCAAATCTCTAGTAGCCATTGTTGATTTGATTATTCTTGTAAGTTTTACAATTCATAATTCTCGAGAGTATGTTGGAGGATATGTTTGTCCTTTTATAGACTTCTAAAGTCAAAACAGTAGGAAATTTCAATATCTATGAAAATTAGGCTTAAAAGCAAAAAGATAAGCATTATATTAGACGCACAAAATTATTTTAAAAATGTACATTATTTGTTTCTGCATTGTGGAACGGGAGAATTCAGTTTGTAGTTAATTCATTCGTTGCTATCTTTAATGAATATTATGCCGTTGGTATAAAAAGGCTAATGTACCACAAAAGACAAAAAATATTATATACTCTAAGCCAAACAACGTGGGATAAAGTTTAGATCAATGGGACCCACTAGTCCTTTGACCCTGAATCCATATAATTTTCAAATAATCCAATAATTACTGCAAAATAGAAGAGACAGGCATGTTGATATTTCTACTAATATGACAAGAAATGATTATATCATTATATATATATATATATATAATCAGATCTATTAGATTTCGTTGCCAAGTTATCTGTCAAAAAAATTGGGTTTGCGCGGTTTGATCAAGAAACCATAATTTAAAGTTGCAATTAAATTGAATCATAAGTGAGACTAGCATCTTCATTGTATTCTCATCGGGTTTAATTCATTGGTTTGAAACAATCATAAGGCAATGGGATATGGTCTAATTTATGAATTGGGTGCCATCTCATTGTTCTTAAGGAATATAATGTGAAATGGATGCAATTCTACTAACGGTTTTGCCCTTTAATCTACGGTCAGTTCATAATTTTCAGAATAATTAATAAACGTTCACTTCAAACCATATTTTAAAAAAATTCAAGCGCATGGGCGCAATAGGACAACTTTGACATATAAAACTGTGAAAGAACACTTGTAGCTCAATTGGTTATATAACTCATGGTGGGGTATTTTTATTTAGACCCACGTTGTCTCAAATCACAAAAAAAGAAAAAAAAAAACATTCTCTGGAACCCCAAAGTAAGTTTATTCAAAGTATGAATTATTATTTATTTATTTATTTATTTATTTATTTAAATTATACGTAAATTAAAAGGAATGAATATACACACAAACTAAGTTTAGTCTCTAATAAGAAAAACAGATGTTATTGTAAATGGTAATAGAACGGTAACGATGGAATGTGGTAAGTAGAATTAAAAAAATGGAAGAACTGATTCCTCTGAAACCGATTCTATACAGAGTCATTATCGACTCTAATGGTGTCAATTTTTTCTTTATCGAATGAATCTGATTCATGAGTAACTTCACTAACATGACCAGTTTCACCCAATAAGTTGATATCGAAACCATTTTCTTTCAAGTATGCAACAAAGTCACGATCTTCTCTATTGATGGCATCTTGACCAACTGGTGGACAGAAGAAGAATGTTAAACCAGCACTGAATAAACATAAAGCAGCACTAACGTAGAATGGAACTTGTAATGCCAATTCATCATCATATGCATAATGTTTTTGGATAGCTGGGAAAACCCAAGTACCTACAAATGCACCAATCTTACCAATAGCAGCAGCAATACCATAATATTGACCTCTTATAGCAGTGGCAGAAGTCTTGGAGGCAAGTAACCCAATATTATCACCTGGTCCAAATTCACCAAAGGAAGTGAAAATACCAAAAACTACAACAAATCCAGCAATGTGTCTCTTTAAAGATTTCAAACAAGCAGACATAGCAATACCGATAATACCTTGGCATGCAACACCAATAGTTAATGTTAATCTTGGACCAATGTAATCACCAGCAATAGCACCAAGAAAAGCACCCGGAATGTAGAACAAGTTGAAAACAACAGACCAACCCCATTGTTGCCAGATTGGTGCATCGGGAATGATTTCATCAATAATAATGGAGTTGAAGGTACCGAAGGAATAAGCAGAAAAATCATAGATAAACCAGATTAATGAAACAATAGTCAATCTGAACCAATAAAACTTGACAATCAACCACCATGGATAATCTCTATATCTAACACTTTTCATGTGTAATTTCTGGAATGATTTTGAATCATTCATTTTTAAACGTAAAAAGAATAACGCTAACGGTGGAATAACACCCAATCCGATAGTCACTCTCCATAAAGCTCTTAAATGTCTTTCGGTAAATATCCAAATCAACACAAATGGAACAAATGCAGAAATAACAAACCCCATATCAATCATAAAGTTAGTAAACCAACTGAAATATCTATTTCTATGACCTGGAGGTAATTGATTAGCAAACTCTGAAGCAATGACCGATGAGGTTGGATATTCAGCACCAATACCAACACCCAAGAAGAATCTCCAAACGGTTAAACATGCAAAGAATCCTTGTACAGTGGCCCCCCATGAACCAACAGCACATAAAAGAGTGAAAAGGATCAAGATCACATTTGCAGCCATCATACCTCCTTTTCTAGCAATTCTATCTGAAATATAACCGAAACTTAATTGTCCAACAACAGTACCCACGAAAGCAATCGAACCAATGTTATTAATAGCATTAGATTTTGCAAATTCATCACCATAAATTTTCTTTAAACAGTAAAGCACTGTACCAATAGAGTTATTGACATAACCATCACTGAATAACCCAGCACCAGCAGCAAACCCATTCCATAATGATTTACCTCTAACTCTTGTTTCCACTGTTTCGTCATCATCATGGATATCTTCTTCGATTAATTGTTCTTTGCTTTTACCTAAAGTAATTTCGCGGGGAATTGTGTCCCAAATATTTGTAAAGTTTAGAATATCTCTAGTAGCCATAGTTTAAAATATATAGTAAAAGAAATGAAGGAACTGTTGATTGAAAGAGAAATCTACGTCAAGATCATGGAACTCTTTTTTTTTTTGAAAGAGTTGGGGTAAAGAGGAAATTTGCATGCCTATTTATATTGTTGTGATCTGTAGGTAAGGCAAAATGAATTTTTTTTTTTTTTTTTACAAAAAGAAAAATTTTTGTTTCATCCGAATTCCACAAAAATTATTATCAAGATATACTGCTTTGTCTTTTAATAGATATGGACATTCTTCCGTACACGATTTATAGCTCCTATAAAGATCATAATTATCCATATCCATAGTCTAATATACGCATATAAAAATACACATTATCTGCTATCACACCAACCCAAATAATAGACTTAAAATTTTTCAACTGTTCTATTCTAAAAAGATAAAGGGAAGCAAAAAAAAAAGGTTTTGAGCTCTCGGTCCCCTCTCTTCTTTTTTCCCACTTAAGAATCGGTTTACACACACAGGGGGGAAAAAATAGCCAGAGAGAGAAACGTGGGCTATCTTTAATTAACTGCGTTATGAAAATGGTGTCATTGGGATAGTAAGTAATGGTTATGGACTGGTGCTGATTGATTGAACCAATCAGGTTATTATCAAACCAACTGAGATTTATAGAAATTTCTAGAACTTTTTGGTAGTGTCCTGATTTTCGCAGTAATGTAAAATTTTTTGTTGTTTTTCTTCTTTCTTTTCCACCTAAGAAAAAAAAAAAGAAAATAGCGTAATCTGTCAAATTGTTCCATAACGATCAAAAAGAACAAACGAAATAATAATAGATAATTGATCATTGCCAAGGCCTGTAAATGTACGATATTCAAGGTACACACTCATGGTCTAGATTCAATATAAGGAACAAGAATATATATACTGAAAACTAAATAATTCCGACATATAAATATATAAGTCCGATTAATTTTTTTTTTTCTTCTTTTTCATTTCATTTTTTTTTTTTATTAATCTGTAACTCATATGCATGTCCATCGTTTCCGAAATTTCACAAATAAAGCCGGGTGTACTAAAGAAGAAAAATCACGATATTCAAACTGGGATTTTTGTTTCTGAGGTGCTTATACGGTCTATTCTACAGAAATACTTACGTCATTGTAGTTACTAAATGCCGTCGCTGTATTATATGCTACATTGTCCTACGTTTGATGGTATGGCAAAAGATTTATATTCCAAGTTTAATTTAATTCAGTCACACGAGCCGTGGATGGAGGGAACAATAAAGAAAATAAAAGATTACTACTTGCTATTATCATTGGTTAATAGCGAATCAGAACAATAAGAGATAATTTAAAGCGAAACAAAAAAAAAATTTGTGATAATGCAGGGTGTGCAAAAGTGTTCAAAATAAATTTTCTTGAATAGGAAGGTGGATGATTGCCTTATTCAATTTCTCCACTCCATTAAACTCATCACACGATTTGTAAATCTAGATCAAATATTAAATAACATTAAATAATAAAACATGTGTATATCTAAAGTAACTTGTAAAAATATTAAAAAAACAAAAAAAAGAAAATACAAAATGAATTGAACAATACAGGGTCCGATTTGACTCCTTTTCAATTTAGGCCAATTTTTGACTGGTTTCAACTTTTTCGTTGATCTTTTCAACAGAATCAGATTCTTGAATAGCATCTGATTCTATTTCGCTAACAGAACCTTCACCCAATTGAGTGATATCAAACCCATTTTGTTCCAAATAGTTAACAAAATCTTGATCCTCTCTGTTAATTGCATCTTGGCCAACTGGTGGACAGAAAAAGAAGGTTAGCAATGCACTAAATAAACATAATGCAGAACTGACATAGAATGGAACTTGTAATTCCAAATCTGGATTAGCTGGATCAGCATATTTTCTTTGAATAGCTGGGAAAATCCAGGTACCAACAAATGCACCGATTTTACCCATGGCTGCAGCAATACCATAATATTGACCTCTGATTGAAGTAGCACTTGTTTTTGACGCAAGTAAACCAATGTTACCCCCTGGACCAAATTCACCCAAAGTTGCAAAAATACCAAAAACAACAGTGAAGCCAGCCACGTGCTTTCTCAAACTGTTCAAACAAGCAGACATAATGATACCAATAATACCTTGCAAGCCAACACCGAGACCCAAAGTTAATCTTGGACCTAAGAAATCAGCAGAGAAAGCACCAAGGAAGACACCAGGCATGTAGAATAAGTTAAAGACAACAGACCAACCCCATTGTTGCCATAATGGAGCATCAGGGATAATTTGACCCAAAATTATAGCGTTAAAAGTACCAAAAGAATAAACAGAAAAGTTGTAAATAAACCAGATTAATGATACAATTGTCAATCGGAACCAATAGAATTTGACAATCAACCACCATGGATAATCTCTGTATTTGACCTTTTTCATGTGTAATTTTTCAAATGACTTGGAGTTTCCCATTTTCAATCTAATGAAAAACAAAACTGTAGGAAGCAATGCACCAATACCAATGGCAACTCTCCACAAAGCTCTCAAATGTCTTTCAGTAAAGATCCACAATAAAACAAATGGAACAAACGCAGAAATGACAAACCCGAAATCAATCATGAACCCAGTAAACCAGATAAAGTATCTGTTTCTGTGACCAGCAGGTAATTGATTAGCAAATTCAGATGCAACAACTGAAGACGTAGGATATTCTGCACCAATAGCAACTCCCAAAAAGAATCTCCAAACAGTTAAACATGCAAAAAATCCTTGTACTGTAACACCCCATGAACCGATGGCACATAATAAAGTAAAGAAAATCAACATGACATTAGCTGCCATCATACCTCCTTTTCTGTCAATTCTATCAGATATGTAACCAAAACTTAATTGACCAACAACAGTACCCACGAAACCAATGGAACCAATATTGTTGATAGCATTTGATTGTGTAAACTCTTCGCCGTAGATAATCTTCAAACATGACAACACGATACCGATGGAATTATTGACATACCCATCTGAAAACAACCCAGCACCACTGGCGATTGCTGGCCATAAATTTTGGAATCGAACTTTAGATTCTATTACTGCATCTTCATCAGGTTGAAAATCTTCTTCAATTAATTCTTCTGAATTTTTACCAATGATAATTTCATTTTTAAGATGTTTAGTCCAACCAACAGCAAGTTCGTTAAATGAGTGGGGTAAATCTCTAGATGCCATTATTCAAAAACAAAAAAACAAAAAAAAAATTAGGAAATTAGGAAATTAGGAAATTACTAGGGAAAGAGAATATGTTGGATCTTGTTGATTTGATAAAGAGAAGCAAAAAAAAAAATAAAAATAAAAACATAAGTTTAAAGATGTGAATAGCAGGAATCTTTTGGGGTATTTATATGTCAGAGGTTTTAAATTACAGTACAATTCATGGGTTTATCAAAAAAAATGAATAGTTGAAATTGTTGAGTTTTTTCTTGGTAACTTTCAATCAGTCAATCAGTCAATCAATCAATCAATCAATCAAAAAAATGTAATTGTTCACAGGTTATGTATAATTGTTATTATTATTTCCCTTAATTTTGCAATTCATTAAAATTCCATTGTTCATACTACACTAGAGTCAGAAAAAAAAAAGAGTACATAAATTTCTTAGCTTACCAAGAAAAAAAAATTTTTTTGTTAGTGTCCTTCCTTTTCAATGTTCCAGTTGTGGGTCGTGTATTGCAATTGAACCCCCCTCCCTTTGTAGTTCAATAGTTTTGAATTAAACATGTTTGTTAGTGTAAAGTGGAATTTAACTTCCTAAAATAGCAGTGTTTCTCATATTGAATGTATATAAACCTCGCCAATTATGCATAAACGCATGATTGTGAAATGTGGAGACGAAGAAGACTAAGAAAAAAAGGCAAACAGAACGATACTATCTGAAGCAATCAACTATTTCCTCGCTGTCTTCTTTGATAGATCTCTGAAGTTCTGATTAGTTTGAATGTTACATTTCGCATGTTCTATGAGTGTTCACGTGGACGTGATCTATATAAGTAATTTTGCAACCTAAACTAAGAAAATTTAAGCCCATCGATATTATGCAAGCAAATCAGCAACCCTACAGAGAAAAAGGACATTAAAACTATCAATCGATAACACAAAATCAATCTCATATAACTTCTAAGGTATAATTACAATACTAACGTATTAAGTCAACGCTTAGGTTGATACTAACGGTCTACCAGTGTTTAAAGCCGGGTTATTGTTCTATGGCTTAACAAAATTTTGATCTTTCCATAACCATCAATTTAAGTACAGGCGCATCAACGCAACATGCTATTATCAATTCTTGTTTTTTTAGTTAACACCCTGTATTGAGCTCATGACTTATACACACGTGGGGAATCATAACTAGCCCAGTTCTTCTTGATGTTCTTTTTATTATTATTATTACTCTTTTGCGCTTAACCAAATTTATTTCAGGTTATGAATACTTCATGCATTATACGGCAAATTAAATAAAAAAAAAAAATCAGAATTAGAGCTTTTTATTCTCATTAATGCACGTGGGGACAGTATCATCATGTGGCCAATATAAATTAAACCACAGTGTTGCTAATCACCTCTAAAACAATCGGATATATGGCTGCAAATATGTTAATGTTTACCTTCGTATACTAACAACTATTTACAACCTTAACCTATGTTTCTTCATCTCCATTCAACGGTATATTTCAAAGTTTCACCAGCTTTAAATGGAACAACTTCAAGTTCTCCATTGGCAATAGCTTCAGGAACCTTGTTTTCTCTTTCAACTAACCACACAGATTCATTTTTGTGTTTATTTAAAATTTCATCTGTTAAACCATAAAAGTTGATACCATTATCACTAACAAATTTCTTTAAATTTTCTAATTTACCAGCTTTATCAAAAATTTCTGCAACATAAGCAATTGCATGACTTTGAGTATAAACACCAGCACATACACCAACATGAGTTTTTTTAGCATGAATTGGATGTGGTGCACTATCAGATCCAAAGAAAAACCATGGTTCTCCACTTGTAGCTGCTTCAACTAATGCTTTTCTATCCTTTTGAAATTTAGCAACTGGTTTACAGAAATTAATTGGATTACCTGCCCAATTATCAATAATTAAATATAAATGATGAGCAGTAATAGTAGCACCAACAGAAATATCATCACCTGGTTTATAATTTTGATTAATTTCACGAATAGTGGCAATAGCATCACTAGTAGTACAATGTTCCAAAATGAATTTCAAACGTGGGAAATCAGCATGTAATTTTTTCAAAGCAGGTAAGAATTTTGGTTCTGCTGTAATAACGTTGATTTCTTCATCATTTTCATCAGTTGATGGTTTTTCACCATGAAGATTTAAAACAATTCCTATCTTTTGCATAACTTCAAATAATGGATAAAATGAAGTAAAATCATTTGGATCAACACCATATTTGGAATTAGTGGTGACACCAGCTGGATAACATTTAATACCATGGATTAAATCAGAACATTCTTCAATTAATTCAGGAGTTAAATCTTTACTAAGATAAAAGGACATTAAGAAAGTTGTTTTTGGTGATAATTTAGAAAGTTTGGCATGATAATCAACAACTTGTTGTTTAGTAGTAATTGGTGGAACCAAGTTTGGCATGACATATGAAATGGCAATACCACCTTGTCTAACAGTTGGGGTAATCAACTCACACATTGGTCCATCACGAAGATGAACATGCATATCAGCAGTAATACCTAATTCTATTTCACTCATTATAAGATGCAGGCTTGTATTGTTGATTTTTATATAGTTTCTGGTTTGTGGGGTAGTTATATATCAACCTTATATATTTGAAATGAAATTTTTCGTTTTGTCGCTGGAAAATTTTTCGTTCTTTGAAACTTTGTATGCTCATTGCATATAAGACAGAGAGAGAAGAAAGGAGGAGTTGCACAAAATAAATTTGTGTTAGTTCATAGATTGAAATGTTTATTTTCGATACACAAGTCATAAGTAGAATATTAAATAAAGCTATATCCAAAACTTGATGATTATGGAAAAGAATACTAATAACAAAAAAAAAAAAAAGGAAAAGAAAAAAACAGAATCAGACCATCATCGTAATCAAATTATGAAGTTGATGATTGAGTTTGACGAGTTGAACCAGAAGTTCCGTGAGATGAAGTACCAGTAGTTGAAGACAGTAAATCCTTCTCTAAAACCTTCTTAATTTCATTAGGTTCAGGACCAACAACTTTATCAATAATCTTACCCTTTTTGAAAAACAAAGTGGTTGGAATTGAAGAAACCTTATAATCATCAGCCAATTCTCTATCTTCTTCAATGTTCACTTTATAAAATCTAATGTTTCTATCTTCATACATTTCAGAAAATTCATCCAACTTGTCATTCAAGCCACTGCAATGTGAACATTCATCAAAGAAATCAAGAACAATCATATCATTCTTGTTTTGTAAAGCAGAAGAAAATTGTTGTTTGGTTTGGATATTTTGCAACATTTTTGGGAATTGAGAATTATTAGTTGATAATATAATCAATAATCATTGAAAGAAATAAAGTTGATGATTCTTTTGTATATTCTCTATTTATATACCTTTGGTGATAATATGACAAAGGGGGGGATTTAGAATATAGCAATACTTGGACATCCCTTGGATCCCAGTAAAATCATGTTGAATCAAGTTATTGCAAAAAAAAAAAAAAACAATCCCAAATACAAGTCTAGAACTTATTCTGTAGAATAATGTAAGGAATGAGTATTGTGTGATGTTAGATCATCAAATTAAAATAAATGAGTAGATTAACTCAACCTCCTTGATTTATCATTCATTGTGGGGATGGTTGCTAGAATATATGATTGTAAAGGAAATTTCTTTCATCCCTCATTTGAAAAACTGGCTGCATAAACGTTACCAAACAAACAAAGCAAAAAAAAAAAAAAAAAATCAAATCCCACGGCCAACTCCTTCGACAGAAAAAAAAAAAAAAAAAATAATAATAATAATAAACATCTAATCATCCTTTCAATTGTTACTCCCTTTACATCATATTAACTTTTTATTTTAATAATGGGTTCAGTATTTCTCCCACATCTTAATACAGCATGGCACGTTGATCAGGCGATTCTTTCAGAAGATGATAGATTAGTAGTTTTACGATTTGGTAGAGAAGAAGAAACTCAATGTATGATTATGGATGAAATTTTATTTTCAATTTCTGAAAAAATTAAAAATTTTGCTGTTGTTTACCTTGTTAATATTGATAAAGTATCTGATTTTAATGAAATGTATGAATTAGATACAAATCCTTTAGAACCTTTTACAATTATGTTTTTCCATCGAAATAAACACATGATGTGTGATTTTGGTACGGGGAATAATAATAAACTAAATTTCATGATTCATGACAAACAAGAGGTGATAGATATAATAGAGACAATATATCGAGGTGCAAAAAAAGGTAAAGGTTTAGTAGTAAGTCCAAAAGATTATAGTCGATCAGCTAAAGATATATAAAACGAATATACATATATATATACTATTCTTCTCTGATGATGAATTTAATTATCAGCATTTTGAGCATAAAAGAAATTGACACTTAATAATTTAGAAGCAGGTGCATTCTTTTTAATCCAATCTCTAACTCCACTAGCTGGGACACCAGTGCCCCAATTTGGTCTATCTTTTGGAGCAGTCAATTGACCAGCATTTGGATCTTGTTTATATAATAAAAACACATAACGATGTTTACCAGTTTTTGGTGGTGGGCCTGGACCCATATAAGGAACCAATTCTCTACCTTCGCTAACATCAATAAAATGGCTGATTTCTGGTTCACCATTTGAATTGGTTGAATGTGGCAATTTTAAATCAGTAACCAACCAATGTAAATATTCTGACCATTTCTTTTCAGTATAAGAAGGAGCATCTGGATCAGTCATAACAAGAATAAACTTATCATTTTCACCAATTGATTCAATTTTACCATCCTGAGTAGGAGAATTTAAGGTCAATTGAATTTTTGGGATTTTTTGAGTACCTTCAACAGATAAGGTATTACCTAAAGTGACTAATTCAGTTGGACCATATTCAATAGATAATAAACCTTGAGTATCGAATTGGTCAACAACTTCAGGAACAACTTTACTTTTGGTGTAAGCTTCATCTAAGGATTGGGAAATAGTAATTAAAGTCATGGCTGATTGTTTGAAAAATGTGGAGGGAGTCGTACGATTTAGTGGTAATTTAGAAAGTAATGTTTGAGATCTTAATAATGAACTTCTGGTTAATAGCCCGATTGATCTACTAAACATTAGCTATAGGAAGGGAAGAAAAAGGGGAGGATTATGGCAATTATAAGTAAGTTCTATAATTTTTTTTGTATTGTCTGTAAGCTAAACGACGTCAATGAAATAAATGTGAACGATTTTTTGCACGTTGGTGGTGGAGTTCGACTGGAGTGGAAAGTCAGGTAATATCCCACTAAAAAAAAAAAAAAATTAGGGAGTTAAAATTGTAGTAGAAAAAAAACCGAGCAACCTTAAATTACGTGCAATTACAAAGCAATCAATTACAGAGAAAATGATATAGGAGAGAGAAATCCATAAAAAAAAGTTAAGCAGATTGCGTAATGCTGCAACTTTAAATACAGCAACTATGATGGAAATGTTTTCACTTGATTTGGCTTATCTAGAATGGTTTAAGAGCAATGGTTGGATCAAATGGTATGGATCAAAAAACTGGGTAGAGAACGACAAAGAAATAAAAAGCGGAGCAGGATCTTTGGTCGCACTTAAACCCGATGGAAATGATTCCGGATTTCGGAGACTCCTGAAATTGAGAATATGAATGCAAAAATTGAAACAAGAACTAAAACAATTATAATATTACAGAAATGTCTACAAAAGAAGGAACAAAAAATAAAGCTATTTAAACAGGATTATTCAGAAGTGTTTTTAGAACTCACCTTGATATCCATTAAAGTTTTGATAGTTACTCTCATCATGTTGACCATTGGCAGTATCCTCTCCATTAACAGTATCTCCTGTAGCTTGTTGTTGTGCTGGTGGTGGTGGTGGTTGTTGCTGTTGTGATGCAACAGCCGCGGCTGCTTCTTCATTCAACTGTTGTTGGATCATTTGTTCGTGTAAAAGTTGTTGCTGTAATAATTCTTCTTCATTTGCACCTCCATTAAGAACACCTTCATCTTGTTGAACTTGATTTCGGTTAGAATACGAACTATTATTCCCACTGCTACTAGACTTTTTAGGCTTTTCTTCCTCTCTAGGAACAACATCAATAAGGAAATCAAACATATCACTCTTGGTTAAAGCAGCAGCAATATCAGATTTCTGTAATGTTCTTCTTTTATTCTCTTCAGCATGTATCCAAGCTCTCATTGTTAATTCTGTAATGAATACATCACACCCTTTAGCAAACAATATTGGTGCTTCAGCACTAATCATTCGTACATCCTCATCAGTTTTCATGACTTTCTTGATTCTAGCCAATGGTAATTGATGGTTCTTAAAGTCGTGTTCATCATGTTCAATCGAATTGATGGTTTCCTGCCAGTAATGCATCATCATGTCTCGATGTTTACCACTCAAACCTTGAGCAACATTATTGAATACATCTCCTGGTTGTTGTTGTTGAGCAGCTGCTTCAGCAGCAGCTTGTGCTGCTAATAATTCTTCTTCATCTACTATTGTTTGTGCTACTCCCATGTGATGATGGTGTTGTTGTTCTTCCTCTTCTTGTTGAAGATGCTCCTCATCTAATTCTTCTTCATTTATTTGACCATGCCCATGATGTTGTTGTTCTAGTTGATCTTGTAGATCCTGATGATGCTGTTGTTGTGCTGCCAATAACTCCTCATTACTCACTTGTTGCTCTACGTCAAGTTCCTGATGAAGCTCTTCCTCATTTAATTCATGATTTTGAGATGGTAACTGTTGGTGTGCTTGACTATACTCTGCGAGATCTTCACTCGCCAAGTAAGCCGATTCATCATATCTTTCCATTTCTATATTTCTATGAGCTACTCTTTTAAATCTTCAGCGCTGTTTCCTTGTATTCACAAAAGGTCTTGTTTTTCCTTTCCTTTTTTTTATTTTTATTTTTATTTCAAATTAAATAAATAAAAAAAACTATTCGTAATATCACGTAGTCAGGATTACTCGTAGGAAGTCACGCTCTTCTTTGTTGTTTAGTTACTTGGGTTAATTAGTCTTTGGTTATTCTTTTTTTTTTTTCCTCTCTTTGTTTTGTAGTTTCTGTGCGATACAGAAAATTTTTCAACGACACCCGTAGTCGCATTGTTCACAGATGAAATGACAAAACTTGTTTAATTCATGTAAGACATTTTTTTTTTCATTTATTTATTTATTCATTTATTTCTAAAACAGAATCTATTTACTCTTTAACGGCAACAACTTTTTCATCAAACCTAACGGATTTTCTTCTTTCACCATTGAACTCTGAAGGCACCTCTAATTCGATTCCTTCTTCTCCAACAGTTTCTTTTGTTGCTTTTAACATGTTTCTAATGCTACTAGCATTTTGCAGCCCTTGGTGTGATGATGATTTTCTACGTTCATTCTGCTTCAAGTCTTCTTTACATTTAGCACACCCACAAACAAATCCCCAGTTTACACGTAATTCTCTTTGTCTTTGATGAACAGTATGACTTGGGTTGACGTATGTGGTGGTCAACTCTTCACCACTCTTAATATCTCTCGCAGCAAACACCTTTAAACCATCGGTTCGTTGCATTTCCGTTTCAACTGATGTATTTGGACTACAGTTATGATTCAAATGTGATTGGATTAAGAACACATTAGAATCCAAATTGTTGATATTGTAGGTTCCCATCATGTATAAAAACTCACGATAGTCAACTGGATTTTTTGGAAAAACACGCAAGAACTTTTCATAACCTATTCTCCATAAACTTTCTTGTTGTTCTTGAACAAATAATGCACCTCCATTCAAACTGTCAAATGTACCGGCAGATGAATTTAATGCTTTGTATCTAATGTCTTGAGAAACTCTTGCCATGGCATTGAATTGTTTTTGTTTGACGCCAGTTCTATCAATGACACAGTTGGCATATATCAAAGTAATTGCATAAAGAGCATTCCATTGTTCTTCTAAACAATATTCTTGTATTTCTAAAAACGCTTCAGCATCGATAGTCTTACTTCTCTTAGAACTTGGGTTATAAACATTATGTTTCAATAATCCATGTAAAGTGCCTTCCAATTGTTTACACTTCTTAGAACACCATACTTCTGCACAAACATTACAGTCCAATCCTTTTAACACCGCACTTGCTTCAGATTGCTGTAACAATTTCCCACAATATGTACAGGCAGATGCATTTTTCATTAAATGGACATTAGCTAATGGTGGAACAAAAAACAAGGGTTCTTCTGACCACATCAAATCTCCTTTTTTAATATCTTTTTTAGCATATAATCCCTTACCCTTTTTGGAAGACATAATGATGTGAATATTTGCAGGTAAATCGACATCTGGTGTCATTACACTGGTGATATCTTTGGCATATGTAAATTGTTCTTGATTATTGAATGCTAACCCGAATTGTTTTAATAATGCTTTAACTCTTTTTTCAGAAATACTCCAATTTGGATGTTTTTGTTTAACTAATGCATGTAATTTAGACATTCCTAAGGATTCAGTAGATGGGTCTTCTTTCCAAATGGCAATCACACAATCAACCACTTGTCTTTCATGAGGAACTACTGGACCTTGTTCTTCTGGTTGAGAATCATTAATTGAAATAACTTCAATTTTTTCAGAAATATCCTGTGTCATAATTGTCGTTAAATAGATACTATCGAATTTACCAAAAAAAATTTTTGAAAAGCTTGAAGATGAAAAATTAGCTAACAGAAAATTTTTTGTCTCCAAATTATCGATGGGGAATATTTTTTTTTTCCTTTTTTGCTTGGTAGATGTTGCGGCGCTGAATCTTGAGAGTGGTCTTAAGCTAGTTAGATATCATGAGATCTGAAACCAACAAAAAGAGTATAGCAATATTACATGAAGTATATTAAATTAATTAGGTATACATGGATGCTTACTTAAAATGTGTTGTTCATCTCAAGAAATAATCATAACTAGAAGCTCCTAAACAGGTAGATAAACTTTGGTTGCAAAATCACGTAATACATAAATCTGATTAATTTTATTTACTATATCGTAGTACTGGCTCATATACCTCTAGTGATTACAGAATGACTGCAAACAAGTTTAACACTCAGTAGCATTAATAATAATAGTATGAATGAACAAATAGGAAAGATCAAATTACTCTATATGGCACCGGTAAGGCTCTAGAGCTGTAAATCCACTATTTCCTGGATTCAACCATTGGATACACGGTTTCCAAATATTTAATTCTTGTCAGTATCAACAAATCTAAGAGGATGAAGCACGAGTGGATTTGATATTTAGACAACCCGGTTAATCTGGGAGTTCTCGTCTTTCAAGAAATCTCCTTTATAGTGTAGTGGCTATCACGGTTCGCTTTCAAATCTTTACGGGTTTAAAGTTCCGAGCAGACCGGGGTTCGATTCCCCGTAAGGGAGTTCTTCTTTTCCATTCTTTCCTTTATAGTGTAGTGGCTATCACGGTTCGCTTTCAGATTCATTAGAGTTTAAAAGTTCCGAGCAGACCGGGGTTCGATTCCCCGTAAGGGAGGATTATTTTTTGCATTTTTACTTTTTGATAACTAGTGGAAAGACGATGTTAGTTTATGGCTTTCTTAGTACTGTGGTTCTCTTGTGGAGCCTACACGTACAAGCATGGTGTTAGCTTTTTAAAAACTCCAACTGGTAGCATCTGTTTCTGTTCATATCTCACAGGATGAAAAATCACACTTGCAACACAAATTTTTTTGTTTGTTTGTTTGTTTACCTTTCATTCATCAATAATAATCCATATAGTCAATTAAGTTAGAGGTAATGAAAACATTATATTGAGTTGATCTGCATTAATAAAGCTGGTTTTGCTCAATTGCATTCAATAATTCAAGACATTGGTTATTTTAGCATACCAAGTTTTGTTTAGTTATTCCAAGGGATAAGTTATTGTTACCATCCTTTAAGTCAATAAGTGTTTACTTCGTGATATTTACCCTCTATTCCTGTTGGTTATTTCATGCAATACAATCATTAGGTACAATATTAATAGTATCACTGTTGTTCAATAAAATATGTAACCAAGGGACCTCGCAAATAAGGTGGTGCTAGTGCACCCACTGTATTGAAGCTCTCAGAAGGGATCCACAACTAAGGACAGTTTGGATTAGTGAAGGTCTTTCATCAAGTTGGTGGCTGGTCATCACTATCTGAATCATTGATTGTGATGTATATTGCACCCGATTACATATAAAGTGGACCAACTTCGAGGGCTACAGACCAGGCCCAAGTGAAACGCTTGGTCCTAAACCCCCATGGGCCATGGGAGACTATTGCTGTCCTCAAGATGAGGACCGACATGGACTATGCATGTCACACAACAACCACTCGCCTATTCCCCCAGGTAGGGAGAAGGAGATCAATATGCCATCGAAATGCTGACTGATTATTCACCGAGTACTTTGCAAACCATGTATGGAAATAACCCTTGCTTGGCTCATAATCATTGCGGAGGATATTAATTGGTTTATTGTTGAAAGACAAAGAAGTTCTAATGACAACAAGTTGACGTGCATCTAAAATTCGTATGTCATGATCATTGCCTAGCCACGTGCGGTATTGACACAATGTGTGACTTGTTTGTTTCTTTGTTGGAACAAACCAGCCGCCTTGCCCTGGCCCCAAATAATAGGGAGAGAGAGAGAGAAGAAGAAATCGAAGAAAGCACACGGCGACGCGATAAAGACAATTAAATTTTTTTCTTTGTGCGAAGAAGAAAAAAAGAAATGTTTATATAAATCTTTATATGGAGATGATAAAAAACGAAGTGGGAACCAAGAAAAAAAAAATTTTTCCCTCTTTTATAATACTTGTTGTCGGTATTGACATTGACTTTTGAAGTTGCAAAATACGGCTAGGAACTCCTTAAAGAATATTGAAGTCAATATTGAGGTGGATTTGGTGTTGGTTATGTTTTGATAAAGTTAAATAATTATTCCATCTAATTAGAAACACATACACACACGAAACATGAAGTTTGCAAAAACATTAGAACGTACCTTAGAACAGCAAGAGATCCCTCAGCAATGGATAGAAGCAGCTATCCAGTATAAGGCCCTCAAGAAATGTATCAATAAAGTGGTTAATGAGTTGGAATTCTTGGGGTTACAAAAAAACACTTTGAAGTTGTTGCTCAACGACAAAGTGGTAGAAGTGAATGATTGTGAGACCAGTCCTGGGAACCCAATAATAGCAGAGTATATTTTAAGTAAAACCTCACTTGAGTCCCATAATATCAAACCTATGTTGAAGATTACTTTGGATTATTCAAACGATGAAATCTCCCATGATCATGTTGTTGAGTTAGGCAAAGAGTTGAAACAAAAACTCGAAAATTTTTTGAACAATGATGATTCTGACTCAGAAGAAGAGAATAGATTCATTGAGTTGCAAGAAGATGATGGAGGTGATTTGAAAATTGTTCAAAGTAGGGAAAACTCGTTATCTCCACCAACTTCACCACCTGTTTCTCCGCCCGTTTCTCCAAAGTTGAAAGTTACAGAAACATCAAACAATAATATCGATGAAGCATTATTAACCCCAGTGGATAATCACAAAAAGCATGAAGTTTATATTATGTTGAATTCTGATTCAAAATTTTTTGACATGTTGGATGAAGAGTTGCATAGTTTGGATGAGTTGAGACAAAATGAAGAAGAGAAAATCATCCAAGAAGTTAAAGTGCTTGCTAAAAAAGTTGAAGGCTTCCGATCCAAACAATCAGAATTGTACAAATGGAGAGAGTTATTCAGAATGTATCTTGATTCAGAAGTATATTTCAAATACAATGATACCGAATTACGATCACAACAAAGAAACGGTGAACAAATTAAACAAAATTTAGATCAGTTTATGACTAATTTAAAGAGTACAGGTGTTATCACAAAATTTAACAAAAAGAACAGTATGGAAGCATTTAACGAATTTATGGCGATGAATTACCATTTATTAAAGTTGATCCAGTTCCAAACCATCAACAATGAAGCATTGCGTAAGATTCTTAAAAAATTCGACAAGCAAACCTCATTAGGTATCCAAACTACGTTTCCCCAGTTGATTTCAAATGACCATATATTCATGAGTGGTAAATCGTTAGCTCAATCGATTTGTTATATTGTTCAACAATCAGTAATCAGTATTATTCCACAGTTAGATGACTATTCGTGCCCTATTTGTATGGAAATTGCTTTCAAACCAATCCGACTATCTTGTGGCCATTTATTCTGTGTCAGATGTTTGGTAAAACTTAAAAAAGGTGACAAAACAAGCTGTCCAATGTGTAGGTGTGAAAATGCCATTTTGTATGCTGATTCATCGAATTTGGATTTGGAGTCAATGGAATTAATGAAGAAATATTTTCCTCGTGAAGTTAAAGCAAAAATAAGAGATAGAGACAAAGAACGATACAATGAATTGAAGGGAAATGCCAGAGGTGGTGATAAATGTGTAATTACATAGTAGTACTGATTCTTAATAAAAGAAAATTTTTTTGCTTTATGATAAGTATTTAAGAGTATGACTGTAGATTTGAAAAATTTAGTGAAAAAAGAATACAAATTTTAAACAAAAAGGATACACACCAAAACAAAGATAAAAGCGATTGAAAAAGATAGAAACATATCAAAAACGTCATACTAGTATTTATTTACATTTTAATTTGTAAATTCCCTATCAATTGTATGATTACCATGATGATCATAATTTCCGAATTAGCATTTTTAACATCATAGAGACATTTCTCAATCGCGTGAAAATCACAATTTCTGGGTTCAGTAGTGTAGTGGCGATCACATCGGTTTCTGATTCCGGTAACCTGGGTTCGATTCCCAGCTGAACCTGTGTTATTTTTTTCTTCCCTGTTTTTTATTTCCTTTTTGCAAATTATCATCTCTGAAGAATTTTCAACTTTAATTAATAAGCTTTTTCATAAATAGATTAATTCGTATATATACTTGATAGGCATTTGGTAGTTTGACTGTTTCTCTTCCTTTTCTTTTTGTTAAAAAAATACAACATCTATAAACAAAAGAAGAAATTTAATAATACATTCTTATCAGGTACTTCTCCTTCACTTTCGTACAAGCACGTATATTCATCAATTTTCTTCCATGACTTGTTGAACATTGTTTTCATTAGCAATCTTATTAGCTAAAGCAGCATCTTCTGAATCAGCATCTACACCTTCAACATTTTTTGAAGCCTTTTTACCAGCAACAACATTATCTTCAGCATTACCGATTGAAGCTTTGTATCCTTTTTTACCAGCATTCTTGGCTTTGTTTCCACCAGTACCAACTAATTCGTCTTCATCAGTTCCAACAATTGGTGCTTCATTAGCAATTCCACCTTTTGGAGCTTCCACTACACCGATTCCCTTTTCACCTTTTGATCCTTGGGCTAAGTTTCCAGCCAAATCAATATTTTCACTTTCTTTGTCAGCTTTCGAACCAACTGCATTCACAATGTTATCCAAGTTGGCATTATTCTTACTATCTATATTTATTTTGTTGTTGTTCTTTTCTTGATGATTGTTGTTAGATGAGGAAGAAGAACTAGTTTCATGACGAGCCAATTCATATTCTGGATCAGGTTTTATCTTTATATCTTGAGAAATCCACCACATCAAAGTACCGATCAACATAAACATCACTAGGTATCCCATCAACTTTCTCTTTGGATTGTTGAAAAACACAATTGGTTCCTTTAAGTTGGAATAAGGCAGTTTCTTCTTTGTTTGGGTTTCATATAGTATGGTCTTGGTAGACCGTTATTGTTATAACTTCCTTGCATTATTTAATAATAGTTGATCTAAACGATATGGTTTTGAATCCTGTGATCTAAACCAAATGAAAGTTAGAAAAAAAAAAGGTCTAATCAAAGGAGCAATTACTAGTTTACTTATGTACTACGTGATTCATTTTTTTTTTCTCTCACTCCTTCTGGATGTTGAAGATTTTTTTTCTTTCTTTTTTTTATTCGCAGGCGTGTTTTCTTCCACAAAAGATAGAACATGAAAAACTAAAAAAAAAAGAAAAACTTCCGTTTTCCGTTGAATGAAATCGGTAGAAGAAAAAGATAAAGTAGATATTGATTTTAGAGGTACATACAACTACGAGGCCATGTTCTATACTGCATGAATGTATGAATTTGAGCAGCATTAGGTAACAATTCACTCATAAACATTCATACTTATCGTTTAGAACAGTATTGATAGACAGTCTCTCATTTAGATTGCATTCACTTGAAAGTATGGCAAAGCCCCTCCTCATCTACGTCGTAAATAATCATCAAGATTCTATTAATTGCGATAACCAAAATAATACCTTCACATTCTAATCATTACTTGACAATACTTTTCATTGGTGTTATTTGGCAACCAAACTGTTTCTTACGATCTTTATACATTATGTAAAAAAAAATAGAGTCTCAAACTTAAAGAGAACAAAAAAAAAGTTTATCGAATTCTACAACCGACTTTGCAACAATAGCGACCGATCCACAAAAAACATGTACATTGTAATTATAATCATTCTATTTTCTACTGTCCTTTCAATCCCTCCAGCATGTTTCATAAGTTGTACTAGTGAGATTGCCAGAACTTGTGCCAATGGATTGACTGATTTGACATGTCTTTGTAATAAAGAAGACGAAATTGTAACTTGTCTAGTTGATATTTGTCCATTTGGTGTATTTGTGAGTGCAAGAGATCATTACATTGGAACCTGCTTAGAGCATGGCAGACCCACAGTCACGAATCCATTTCCACCAGATGCAATTTGGCCACCATATCAAGATCAAGAACCCGAGGAACAACCACAGGTACCGGAAGTTGTTGAACAACCTGGGGAACAAGAATCAGTGGAGCAGCCACAGGAGCTAGAGCCAGTTGAACCGCCACCATCTCCACCACAAGAGCCAGCCCCCTTTGAGCAACCACAGCAACAAAAACAAGATACTACTTTTAGAACACAATTCACTAAAACCCCCAATCTTGCAACACACACGCTTGCGTTACCAACTAAAAGTAAAGTTCCTTCACATTCAAAAAACAGTAACCATCCTGCATCCGATGACTACAATAATGGACCCAACAAAAATTTTGATAGCGATGGTTCTGATGATGACCTATACGATCCAAATTCTGTTTGTGAATGGGAGGAAACTGATGCCTTAGACGAGAATGGAGACTTCATTATCATTCGAAGACCAATCAATGTTCCCAAGAAATATCGTAATCCGTCCAACGTTGGAAACACCAGGAGAGTGTTTATCAAGCGGCCAGTCAACTACTATTCACACGGAAATATAGAAGATTCGGATCCACCACGTAGAGCCCAACGTGTCAAAAAGATAAACACCCTGAAATCAAACAAGAAAAGCAGTAATGGCTCGTCCAATGTCTATTCAAAGTCTAAAGCATCTACCAAGAAGACTCCTAAAAAGCCACCCCAAACTCTTGCTTCCAAAATGAATGAACAAAAAAAGAGAACAAGGGTTAATAAAAAATCATTATAGAATGAATAGCAAAACAGCACTAACCAAATATACTTGCATGAGTTTTTTCATCAACCTTGATATTTACTATTCTTTCCCTTGGGACACTAACTAAACCAATTTCTCTCACATGTAATTGTCGGCAATTGAGCCTGTCTATTGAAGTTTCAAACACATTAGACAAAAGCAAGTTTCCAAAGGGATCCACAACAGTAAGAGTACCTTCAAGTAATCGAGAATCAGTCAACTTAACATGTAAGTTAGCACCAATGAATTTTTCAGGTTGAACAGGAGTAGTCATTTTTATTTGTTTGAATATTCACAGTATTAGGGCTAGAAGTGAAGAAAAAATTAAAAAGTCAAGTAAAAAATCTTGAAAACTTTTGGGGCGTGCGAGTTGGCCCCAAAAAACTTTTCGTTCCAGCCATTGAAAAGGAAAAAAAAAATCACTTAAATTTTTTTTTTTTAATTTTTTTCACTTCTTTTTTTTTTCTTCTTTAACATCAATCGCAGATTCACCCTTCGCTATAAAGATTGGCTTTGCTTTTCGTCTATGGGAAGCCAATTTGGAGGTTTACAAGTGGATATAAGCGTAGATTAACCTTAAATGGAGCACGTTTCTGGGCGCCTGGTGTTGACTAAAATAATGGAACACTGGGAATCAGTTGTGACTACAATTTTTTTTTTTTTTTGATTTTATGATCTTTAACCTTGTGGTTAATGTAGGTATACTCTCTAGTTTGACTGATCTGAGTGAATTGTTGATGATTCTAAGTTGAATTGAGCTCAATTGAAGAAGAAAAAAAAATAAACGAAAGTGAAAAAATCGTCGAGTATATGACGCTTCTTCGTTTTCATCTCATGCCTTAATCATGGAAGGATTTCAACAAGTACATGAATTAACTACACTTTATAATGAGTATAAGTCTTTCTTTCCATTCTGCGAACTTAAATTAACAGATGCATCACCAGAAGGTTGTCGTGAAAATCATATCAAATTAACAACACATGAAGGGTTGAACACATCAATCACTGTTGGCCTTAAAGGCTGGTACGAAATACCACATCCACATAAATCATACGAAACCTTTGAAGCCCTAATGCAAAATATCAGTCCTGATTTCCTAAATCGATTCGGTAATGAACTTACAAATAAATTAAATAACTTGTTACAATGAATATATTAGTTTCCTACCTACCTATCTATTTACAAGAATATCAAGTATTGCACCCGGGGATCACACTTATTACTTGGAACCCTTCTTCTTATTCTTCTTGGAGTCACCAAATTGTTTCTTGATGAAAGCTTCAACATCACCAACGTCCAATCTCTTATGTTCTCTAATGTAAAACTGTTTACCTCTTGGTAAGTATTTCTCTGGTTTGTACAAACATTCGATATTTCTGATATTTGGGTTATACACAGGGATTCTAACTTCAGAACCAACTCTATTCATGGTAGTTCTGATTAAAATATTAGTTCCCAAGTTCAAATCTCCTCTTTTAATACCAATGACTCTTCCAGTAACATCGGATCTGTCAAGATAGGTGACTTTAATGATGTCACCTGCACGTAAACCAGTACTATCATTCTTCACTAATGCACGTCTCTTACCTGTTGGATCATGTTTGGCTAATAATTTTTGTTGAACATATTCTAAAACTGGTTGTCCGTTTCTTTTAGTTGGCAATGGTTCATAAACAGTTGGCAATGCTAATGAAATAAACAGTTAGTAAAAGGATCCAATAAAAATATATTCAACCAAGTAAGGTAATACTTCGGAAAACACAAAAAAACAAAAAACACATTACATACTTCTCTTCAAATAATGAAAAAGTCTGACATTCTGTATGACAGGTCTAGCGCCAATAGATCTAGATATGAGTCCAAACATTGTATGGTTTCTTGATATATTGATTGGTTCGTCTTACGCTCAGAAAATTTTTCTTTTTTTTTTCTTTTCTTTTCACTGCTTCTTTCTTTGAGTCTGTACTAATAAAATCGTGCGAACGTGATATTACATAATCACAGCAGGAGTAATCAAACAGCCTACTAATTGTCCGTAACGGTATCAGTTAATAGCAACACCTCGTACAATAAAAACATTTCAAATTAATAAAATATAATACTATAAACTTTGTTCTAAAATCTTGGACGTCTTTTTCTACCTGTGAATTTAGAATCTTCAGCAACTTTTCTACCTCTCTTTCTCATAATGTCCTTCTTTCTATTAATAAACTCCTTCTTACTTTCCATGGCTCTCTTTCTCTTTCTACTCAAACTCTTTGTCTGTTGAGGAGCATCCATTTCTGCACCAGTCAAATTAATTTGTCTGTCGGCCATACCAGCTGTTAAAACCAAATAGTATTTCTTGTGTCTTTTAGATTCTGGATCGTCAATGACTAAACCACCACCGAAACCTGCAACCTTGGCAGCTCCCATTATACTTTCTGTTTGAGCATCATTCTTTGGATAAAATTGGGCAACAAACTTCCCACCTCTTTTCAATGATGCATATAATGTATTGAAGAAATTCAACAATCTCTTTTTAGGATCAAACCCTGCAACATCTGCATTACATAACCATTGAATGACTGATATAGAAATGGCTGCATCAAAAGTACCTGCCCTGAACGGTATCCCATTACCAACATCCCCTAAAAATAAATCTCCTTCAACTCCTCTATCCAAACCTGTGGCCAACATACTTGGTGCTATATCCATACCTATCCAATTATATCCTTCCTCAGTCAATATTTCTCCTGATAACCCAGACCCACACCCTATATCCAACAAAAAATGTGGTGCTTCTTGCTCTAGATTTAACAACTCCAAAGCTCTTAATGTCATCTTTGCTTGAATGTGTTGCACACGTGTAGATGATGTATATTTGAATGATTCAGTGTCATTATAGAACACTTCCGGTGGAGCAAGTTCTTCTGGTCTTGACATATTGTATGTTTAATTTACTATTCCAAAAGTGATAAAGGGGTTGGTTCTGTACAGAAAAAGATTCTTGCGATGATTCTAGGAATTTTTTTTTTTCTTTTTTCCTTTGCGAGTTTCTCATTTTTTTCTTGTGATCCAAGGTTTCTTATTTTCTACAATGAATAGTTGCAAAAAAATAAAAACAAGTTAAAAAGCACAGAATAATCAATAAATTTAAACACTAGTATTAAGTCATCATATATTAAAATGGTATTAAATTAACAAATTCTATAAGGTCATAAGTTTACAAATTTTTATACACTTAGAAACGGAATTCAGATGGTGAATCTGCTTTTTCTTTGTACGGATAAGGCAAAGCAGTGTCTGGTTTTTTATCGTCATGGAAATCAAATTTATCTTGTCCCTCTTCTTCATCTTCTTCATCATCTTCACCAGGTTCAAAAAATAAATCTTCATCATTATTTTCGTTATCATGATTTGAGCTATCGTCTCTTATTTCATTTCCAAGTTGTCTGGATGGCTCGTTATCAACAGTACTTTGTTTTTCATTCGAGAAATTGTTGTCCAATTCTGGATCACTTTCAACATCGGATTGTTCAGCGGTAATTATACTTCTGACATCTTTTGGTAATCTATCTGGTCTGTAGAATCTCAAATCAACACGACCAACAATATAGAGCAAATTAACAATAAATTCCAAAGCACCCCAGAAAACATACATGACTGGAGCAGAACCGACTGGAGCAGCATCATATTTCATACGTGCTTGGAAACAAACAACAGCACGCAAAATAGAACTAACCAAAATAATCAATGTAGTAACAGTAACAATAACGATGGAAACATTATGCTTCAATTCACCTCTATCATTGGATAAGCCTTTCACTGTGTTATGGTGGGTATCAGTGGCGGCAATAACTCTTATAGCATGACGATGATTACTGTTTCTTTTCATGAATGAAGCAGCAGCCTTTTGTGGTTCACCTTTTTTAACAAAGTACAACGGGTTGAAGGATTCAATCCACCATGGTTGATAAGTGTACAAATTTTCATCATTTTTAGTTGGTTTAAACAACCAAGCCAAGATAATCAACGCCAGAGCACATAATGAGTAAAGAATAATCAAGATAGAAGAGGTCATGACGACTTTCTTGTATCTAGCGTAATTGGCTTCTGAAAGCAAATAGACATTCAAACCAGCAGAAGCAACAATGGTCATTACAACGACACCAGCAACTAAAGCATATAATGTAATCATCAAACTCCAGAAAACTGGTTTAGAACCACCAACTGGATGTCTCCAAGTAAATATACGCTGTGCCAATATAAGGTTGAATGACGCAACTAAGACAGTAGGCAAAACCAAGAAAACTTCACTAGCGATACCTACTTTGGTATTGGTCAAGTCATGACTCCATTGGATTCTTAAACCAAAACCCAAAACTCTAATAATAGAATAAAAGACCCAACCGATCGATAACCAAAAGTAATGTCCTCTAGAATAATTGATCGCAAACACGGCGAAATGTAAGATTGTGATAACTGAAAACAAAGCAGTAAACAAAGCAGATGGACCGATATCACTACTGTCAGGATAATCACCAAATAATGCCAATTGTGTAGCTGCGGAGTATTCCACCATGATTGGAGGAAGTTTAGGACCAAGCAAGTTCTTAGCTTGTGCTGCCAAAGCCATAGCTCCCGTACCATCTGCAGGGTAATTATTCTGATACTTCAATAAAGTCATAAGACCATGAATAGCCGTGTATTCATGTGGATTTATCATCTTGAGATATGAATGTAAAAAAACGAGTGAGTGGGCGGATAGGGAAGGATGGTGTGAAGTGCCAGTACTCGAGAGAGGAATTCAATCAAATTAACTCAAGTAAGAACAAAAATTAGCAATATAATGAATTATTTTGAAGTTGGAACAAACAGCCACTTTTAATAGGATTTGTATTTTTTCAGGTTCATCAAAATTTTTTTTCTTTTTTAAACAATGAAGGGAAGAGCCAATACAATAATGAAACGACAACTAAATGAATTAATAATAATAATGTACAGAAAGAATGCAGAGGGTTATACACATTATAAAATCATCAGGTTTATTTTTCACCTTTTTTTTTTTGCGGTTTTCCCAACAATTATCTTTGTGTGCATAAGTCATTTCTTGAAGTTGACTCAAAAAACTATCACCTGCCTAATTTGGCCAATGATTTGCGGCGTATACATCTTAGAGCGGAATTCATTAACAATATAACAACCACAAAATAGTAACATCATCTTAAAATAGCTAAACATTTCGACTTTGTAAAATTTTGGGCTTTTGCTAATTACTCGTATTCTGGTGAGGCAGTAGACCCAGGAATTCAGTACATTAAGATGGAACACAACTCTTGATGATGAAGATAACAAGGGAGGGAGAGTAAAATGAAGGCTCAAATTCATCAAGGAAGAATGGTTTCCTAATGTATCATATGTTCAAGAATATAATGTTTCCTATTTCGTCATACTAGGAAAGTTGATTTTTATGCCGTTCGTCAAATAGAACAATAGGAAAATGTTTGATATCGCCCATGACATATGCACAGAGAAAAAAAAGAAGAAAAAAAAAAAAGGAAAATGACAACTGAGAAGACAGTTCCGCTTTTTTTTGTCTCCCTCTGCGGAACAGGGGTCAACATTGCTAGAAAATGATCAACAGCAATATATTGCTATCATAAAATTCCAGACGATAAACAGAAGAAAGGAGTTCGATGTCTTGTTGGTATTATGATGAACTGTGATTGTTAGAGCAATGAAATCGGAAGCCATCGTGGTTATCTAATTCATGTGATTTAAGGTACATCCGAACGATGCGCTCAAGCTGAATAATAATAATAATAATTAAAAAAGAAGGGGATAGCTGTACAGGGAGTAAATAGAACGGGCCACGAGATTTGTAAAATATAATATATCATTGATAGCATCCAGAACAGAAAACAATGGAGGATTTTTTAAACTTAGCCCCGAAACTGGCATGAGACAATAATGTGTAATGCGGGAAACTCTAAAGTATTTCCTTTTTAGGACTTGCAATTGACATTCATAGGTTTCAACAAATATCTTTACAAAGTATACCGAATGAGAAGAAATAAATTCATACGGCTCGTTGTTATTCTTAATTAACAAAAGGAAAAAGGTGGGGAGGTTATCCACAATAAAGGTAGAATTGATAAACAGGTATTACTGTTTGTTTTTCACATTTTCTACAGAATAAACTACTGGTAACAGATAAGAACAACCAGTGTACATGATCACAACGTTTCCTTTTAGACCGTTTGTGTATTGTTCAATTCATAATAGCACTTGATAACATCAAAACAGGGTAGAGAACCTGATAAACGTAATGTAATAAATGGTACATCACTCATTAGTTATTTAAAATGATATGGGTCTATCGGATCTCCCACATAATACGACAATACTCTAAATAAATCAAATCTACAACATTTGAACCAGTGACAAACCATGTTCATTCATTGTAAAATTTTCCATTAGTAACATCTGAGCGCTACCACTTTGAAAGTAGTGTCCATAAACAAATATTCTTCTCTACGCAGAGTTGTTAAGGAAGTAGAAAAAAAAAAAAAATAAAATTCCCATCGCATGTATATCTAGGTTCAATTCCTGCAACCAATCTACTACGACATGAAGAAATCCGTAAAAGAACAACACAGTGCATCAGAATCAGAAGCTGAAGATGTTGTTATAGAAAGAGATAGTGATTTTGATGATGATGAAGAAGAAGACGACTTCAGAGGGAAGGTATTCAACTTAAAATCTAAAAGCAATGCTCCTTTCGACCACAATGTATCAGATGATGAAGTACAAGGAGAAGACGAGGACGACGATGAAGAAAAGATAGATACAAATGATGTTGAGGAACTACCGGAAGATTTTGAGGAAATCGAAGATGATGTACCAGCTACTGAGTCTAAACTCAGCAAGAAGTTAAAGAAACTTACTAGTAAAGAATTGGCCAAAGAGCAGAAAAGAATAAAGAAAACCGGGGTATGCTATCTTTCTAAAGTTCCTCCATACATGAAGCCAGCTAAATTACGTTCTGTGTTGTCTAGATTTGGTGAAATTGATAGATTATTTTTGAAACCAGAAGATCCAAGTGTATATCACAAAAGAGTCAAATATGGAGGGAACAAGAAAAAGAATTTCACTGAAGGATGGATTGAGTTTGTAAATAAAAAAGATGCTAAACTATGCGCAGCAACATTGAATGGGAATAAACTTGGTGGTAAGAAAACATCTTATTATTATGACGACATCATCAATATTAAATATTTACTGGGCTTCAAATGGCTTGACTTGACACAACAAATAGCCAAGGAGAATGAAGTAAGACAAGCCAAACTTGCTTTGGAATTATCTCAACAACAAAAACTTAACAAGGCATTTGTAAGCAATGTTGAAAAATCCAAGATGATTTCAAATATTCAAAAGAAGAGAAAAACTACCGGTGAAGACGAACCTATTAGAAGAGACTTCAAACAAAGGAAGGTGGCCACCTCTAGAAGTGATGCAAAAGAGGAACTTAAAGTAAAATCAAAACCAAATGAAAAATTGAATGATATTTTATCAAGAGTTTTTTAGATAAATAGTACATATATAATTACATAGTTTTTTTTTATTTTTAACATATTTTATTTTGGTAGTTAATGGGAACGTTTGGATATTCGACCTGAATTAATTATGCGGTCTGGTTTTGCTCTCTTTGTTTTGAAATTAGCCAAAAAATCGTACCGTTTTGTAAGTTCCGCGAGATTCACACACTCAAGTTCATTCATCAAGAATTTATTACTTATGGCTTCCTCTCGAGTTATTTCTTTCAGCATGACAATTTTCTTAAGCTTAGCCCATTTCAGGTATGGCCACCATGCAGCTTGCAATTCAGTCTGTTCAGAATCAGAACTAACAGTCTTCAACACTTTATGAATCGGAGTGGAATTACCTAATAAGTCTTGACCCACAAAATCTCTTGGTAAATCAGAATAACCATTTGGTGGTGACTTTGATAGTAGTTTTCTTTCTTGTAATTTAGGTGACACATTCTTGGACGAGGGGAGTTTTGGAGATTGATGTTTCTGTTCGGGAATATCATTGCGATGGAGCTCTCCTAAGGTGGAATTGACTCTATCAATAATACTTTGACTATGTTTATCATTGTTATCTTCAGAAACTTTTAATGGAATAGATTCTTGAACCACTGGTGCTCGTCGAGGAGGCGATGAAGATTCGACCACTGTTTTGGGTATCTTCATCTGAACTGAATTTCCCAACAGTCTTTTCCTTAAACTTTCCATAAATCGATTTTTAGTAGGTGATGAGCTACCAGTACTACTTCTATCAATACGTTGGTTCTTATTGCTTGTTGGAACTTCTAGATCATTACTCATTCTTTTATTAAATCTAATACTTGTAGGTGGTGAATTTGGAGAGTTTGAAATGGGTGCAAGATTTTCCAAACTTTCAGGTACATTCTCTTTAAGTGAATCATTTACAGTAGGAGTAATAAAGTCTGTTCGATTGATTGGTGGATTTTTCAATGGACTACTACCTTTTGGAGCTCTAAAAGATGTGAAATTGGTTGTTGATTTCTCTTTACTGGCGGGTCGAGCAATTTGTCTTTCTGGAGTTACTATATATGTATCATCAAATTCTTCTTCAAACTCTGTATATCTCGGCTCAACCATTTTTATTGGCTAATTTGGATTGTGGTTGTGAAGTAGGATACAAATTTTGGTATTACTGTTCTTGTTCAATTGAAAGTTTGGAGTTCTGAAACGCAACAACCAAAAAAAAAAAAAAAATAAAAAAATTGTAGAAAAATAAAAAAAAAAAAAAAACAGAAAAAAACGCGTCACAAATACAACACAAACAAACTCAAAATAATCGTTATATACACTAAGTACTTATTATTCTAATCTATACTAATAAATCATCCAATACATCATTGTTGCAAGCGGTGTAATCGATTGTGTATAAACCATATGTTCTTTCATAATTAATTAAACCTAAGGAATCAAAGAAGAGTCTCAATTGGGTAATCAGTTCAATATTCTTAATTCCTTCTAGTAATGGATGCAATTCTCCCAGAGGTTGATCAATTTTCACTGGTTCATCTTTTAAGTATGTCAAATCAAATTTCTTTGATATCTTATCAATTATTCCAGTTGGGTCTTTGTTATAACTCTCCTGAGTTGTTGTGACAAACAACCATTCTTTCAAATTGAATTCATCATAACTCAAAATCAATAACTGATCTAATAGTTTGCACCCAAATAACACAAGTTTCAAATATTCTTTTGGTAAACTACTCAATTCTTTAGCAGTCTTGTTTGTCAAATTTTCAAAAACGGAATATAATTCCTGACTGATTAATGTCCACTTTGATAAAAGGTGCATCTCATTAAACTTCAAAGTAATTGCACGAAACAATGTGGTGATCTCAATCCTGATAAGATCAGGACAACTTCCACTCAAAAGGATTGAAATTTTACTGAATAGGCTCTCCAAATAATTCAAAAAGAAATCTTTTGGCAGTGATAACAACAAATAGGTTAACCTCTTTATCAAATGTGCATTACTCTCAATCTCAGACATCTCATTCCAAACAAACAAATTAGAAGGAGATGAGCTGGACGTGACAGTAATCTTTATTATTATATCGCCAAACTTTTCCCTATCGTTTGCAACCCAGTTCGACAATATTGAGGTCCAAATTGTAGAATCAGAGAGCGAGGTGCTAAAGAAGCTTTTGTCCATAAACAAATCAGAAACTAAATTCTTCCATCCACGAGAAGATCCACTTTTACCAAGCACATCTATCAACAAAAGAACTTGTCTTGGAATATCCATCACTTTCTTCAGTTTTGTTCTTGGAACAATAAAATTTGTTACGATTGAATTAGTCATCAGCATAGCTTTATCACTATCCTGCAAAATGTCATTGATACGTGGAATAACCTTGCACAAGACATCAAAGTTGTATTCTAATATGGAGGTACCCTTTTCTGCATCTTGGATATCACAAACTAAAACCGTTTTCATATTGATGATCAGGTTGAGAAGACGAGAGAACATATCAGCCAACTCCTTTTTATATCTAGTGTCGCGTGTTTTAGAAGTCGCCAACTTGCTTGCTAAAACATCACATATTCTAAGGCAATCCAGTAATATGTCTCCAAAATCAACTATATGTGCAACCACATCCTTTAAGAACCCCATGGTCATATTCCAAACATCAGTAACAGAATCATTGTCCATAAACTCGAAAAAGGCGATCAAAAATCTGGAGAGCTCCAGAACTTCAACCTCGGAATCCATAGTGGTCTTGGGTAACTCTGGTAGTGATTGTGCGTTACACTTAGACAAAATTGAGGTGAATAAGGAAGGTAAAGTCATTTGAGGTCTACCTCCATCTAAAATATTCAATAACTTTAATCTTGCATTGACGGTTCCCTTCAGAATAACCAATGTTTCAGTAACTTCTTGTCTTTCCAATTCAACCAAAGACTCCAAAAGTTTTCTGGCTCTGAACTTCAATTTGTGGGAAATATATGTCAAAGACTTTTCAGAATAAAAGTCTACGTTATCTGGAATTGATGGTCGAGTATCAGACCAATACCAAATTTTATAACTGACTCTTACAACGTCATGGATTGCAAGCAATATCGAATAGAGCTTGTTCTGTTCGGAAGATCTAATAGCAGGAGATTCAATCTGAAACACACCCAGGATCACTGAATTCAAAAACCCATTCTCCGTCCCAGTTATGGCTTGTTTTTCGGCTTGCTGCTTGAAATTTGCCGTTAGCAAATAGCCATGACTAATAGATAACAAGTCCTCCAAACCATTAAACAATATATCTATGGAGCTTTCAAAATCTTCTGTATTTTTAAAATGCTCCCAAGTGGAAAAACGGGTAAATAAATCTTCAACTTTCTTAACTAAAGTATCATTCAACACAAACAAAACACTGAAAACTGATTCCCCAAATAAGTACAAGGACTTGACGAGCAATGAGATCCATTTCTCTAGAAGAATAGAAGACTCGGATTTAGTTACCCCGAGAATAATGAAATTAATCAACATGGGGTTCTTATTCAGTTCTTCAACATGCAATAAGTTCAAATTCAATTTCAAGTCAGCGGCAACTTTGAGGTGGTAGAAAATATAATGTAAAAACTTTGACTGAACAGCCTCAATTACTTGCGAGTTTATATCAGATTTCAAAAGCTTAGTTGAAACTTGAATCAACGACATCAATATTTCTCCAAAATTACTCTCACTACCTGTGACCAACAATTCTAAGAGTACCAAACAGTTATCCATACAAGAATAATAATTTTGTAACTGGGTTTTATCATCGAGAATGTCCTGGATAAGACTCAACTCAAAAAACTTTTCAATCACCGACAAAAGCAACGACTTGTAGGTCGAAATATCCCAGTGATTTTCATGAACAAGGTCAATTTTCTTTTTGTTATCCATAACCGCAAGCTCGTTGTTGAAGCATTCCCTTAACAACTTCACATCAGATGAAATAACTTTGACAATCAAATTCAAATAATAAGAAAATTGTCCCAAATCATCCTCAGTGACAAACAAAGCTCTGTTACCATAGATACAATCAAAATCAAGTAAGGGATTAGTAATTAACTTAAGTAATCGATTGGAAGCTCCACTTTTAATAATTTTCTTTAAAAAATCATCAATGGATAGTTTGTTCTGCGAACTGGAATCCGAAAATCCATCTAACAAAATTTGAAGTGGTCGTTCCAAAATCTTGTCGCTCTCCCCAATTGATGTAGAATGGATCCATAATGTTTCCCAAAGGCAATAACACGTCTATCTTGTGGTAATTCCAAAAATAATTCAATTAACCCTGCTTCAATTTTGTCAATTGGATAACATACTTCTAATTCAAAGATAGCTCTCACAGCTTCAACTTGGTAGTTAGCAGGATCAGAAGAATGAATCGCTGTCCATAAATTTGCTAATATAACTTTAAATACCCTTTCATTTGTTTCATGGGTCAATGTGGGAGACAAAAAGTTGATCAACTTTGAAATTCCAAATGCAACCAAAAGACCGGTTTCATCATATGGTATAGAACTTTTCGGCAATTTCATTATTCTCTCCACAAGTTCAATATCTTGTGGCAGTGGTACCTCCAGTCTTGGCGAATAGTTTCTAATTTGACTCAACAAGGTGGCAATTTGAACGCAATATCTTGTATCAGTTAAAGTCTCAAGATAAACATCCTGAAGATAATAGATAATCAAATAGGCTGTTTGCTCTTTTGAAAAAGGAATATCAGTTTCTTCATCGTGGATCCTAGACGAGTACCAGCTTTTAATCTTGTTAACAACCCCATCATTCGAAAAGTCGTCTACTGGCTCCAAGGCTTCAAATAACCGTCCTGGAACTAAACTTATCAATAATTGCAATGCTTTTAATTTGGTGGTATCGAGTGTTGCGCTAGAAAGGAGACACAAAACGGTAAATGGCAAATGAACTGTTAACATTTCTTCTTCATTAACATTAAAGTCTTTCAAAATGAATTCAAGAACATCAAGACAATTCTCATCAGAATTATTATTGTCACCATCAATGACAAGGTGCAAAATATCACTCCAAATATAAACAGATTCGATTTCGTCAAACAAAGCCTGTGCCGAGTTCATCAAATCGCGCTTATCACGGTTTTGGTACGCTACTTTTAAGAAAGGGGAGAACAATCTTGGTGTCAAAACAGTACTGATTTCCCACTTGTCCATAATCAAAGGCAACAAAATTTTAAAAGCTTCGGTTTGCAGCTCTATACTATCTGAATTGACCAATTTCAATAAGCCACAAATTAGTGTTGATTCGGCAAAATTTTTGAAATATTCTGACCTTGATATAGTCTTTTTGTGATCACCTTCAACTTCTGGTCCCAAGAAGTATGTCCACAATCTTCTGTTCAAACTCATGTCTCTTCTCAAGGTAATTTTGCAACATGACATGACCAATTCTTCCTTGTCCTTGGGGGTTATCTTATTTGTGATAACATCACTATCCAACGGAACATGCGATAAGAGTAAATCAAAGAACCCTCTAACAACAACAATATCAAAAGACTTTGAATCGCCAATAGAAATTGCCAATGCCCTGACTAGCAAACCAGGTTCAGGTTTCAAGCACAATTGTGCTTCTTCAGAAAGAATTGGATTTCCCTTTGAATCTTTGGAATTGATAAACAGGGGGAGTCTTCTACTACACCAATGCAAAGCACCAAGTCGTCTCTCTGGATTTCTAATAATGCAAAGAAACATGCTTTGCCAAAAATGGGAATCATCACCAAGTTTTAACTTAAAGAAATCCATCAAACTGAGCACATCATTGAAAACCTCCGAATTTTCATCATCCAATCCTGAAAGTAGACATAAAATAAATGGCTTGGAGATACTCCTCAAAGTTGGCTGAGCCAATTTCGATAATATTTGATCATGAAATATTTTGATTTGAACCGGTTTGACCAGAATCGATGAATATGAAAAAAGGGGCAACAAACCAGGTAACCAGATATTTATATTCTTGTTCAAATCTGTTGCTGATAACTTTTCCAAAATATATTCATAAACACTAAGTGCTTTTTGATGAACCCCGTTGGGTAATGTTGGTGATAAACACAACGATAATTTATTGGCAACTTGAGACGCATGAGGCACAAAATATGAGTCCATTGAGGTACCTATGTTCAATTGAAGGGATTTCTGTAATCTGGATAAGAATGCAATATAATCGGCCCATTCTTCAAGTGCTTCAAATGATGCAAGTGCTTTTTCAACCAGTTGGATATATTTCTTGTCCTGGGACGACAATTGTCGTTGTGGCGTAGATTTCGAGTCTTTCATGAATCAGGATAAATGGAAGAAATGCTTTTCTGAAATCAATTATCTTAGAATGATACACCAGACAATATATAAGTCGTTGAATTGGATTTGTAAGAAAAAGAACAACAACTACAAAAGAAAAAAAAAAAAAAAGAAATAAGGTCTAAAACCAAAACTAACATGCAGCCAGATCGAGTTCGTCCTCTTTTTTTTTTGTTGTGTATCAAAAGCCCTGTTTCGTCGTGTTCTGAATGGAAAAACAAAAAAATACTTCAAAACAGTATCACGTGACCAACATAATTCTGACTTATCATGGATAAATAAGTGTATATTTACAAAATAATTGCATTGAAAACTATTTACATCAAATCATCATGTTGGTGATAATTGGTTATTACGTTTCTTTAACCCGATATACTCAAATAGCCTATTCCATTGATCCTTTTTATGCAACATTGCCAATATCAAAACTGCAGGTAAATGCCATACAGAACACCAAAATAACTTCTTTGCTTGGATACCGGCCAATGCCAAACCTTCTGCTGTTGGTTTAGCTCCATTTTTGTAATTCCTTTCTTGTTGCTTCCAAAACACATATGCTAAATATGCCAACCAACCATTCGCAATACCTGAATCTATTGGGAACACCCAATCAGTGACACCAAAGTAACTTAACCCAAAACATAAAGGAAACATCAATATGGAATAACGCAAGGCAACTCTTGCATTTAATCGAGGATTTTCAGCAGCAGTCATTACATAACCAGCAGATTTATATTGTTCGGCAATTCCATGAGATAAAGCATTAAAGTGGGGAAATTGCCACGCATATAAAAGACCAGCTAGACACCAAGCACCAGGGTGAGACAAGGAGGAAGATGCAGCCCATCCCATTAATGGTGGAATAGCACCAACAACAGCTCCTACCCATGTGTTTAGGATCGATTTTCTCTTCATTGAGGTGTATATCCATGCATACAACACGATATTGGCAAAGCCTAGCATCGAAACAGTAGGATTAACACCAAACCATAACATTGTACATCCAATACTTCCACTTAATGCTGCAAAGTTATATGCTTGATTAGGAGTGATCAAACCCCGCACAACAGGACGTCCCACGGTTCTCGGCATTTGTTTATCAAACTCAGGTTCTCTTCCCATATTGATAGCATTTGCAGCTCCAGAGCATAATGCTGTTCCCACAGTCAAAAATAACAACTCATGTAATGACACCGACAATGGAGATATCGCATATGAGCAAATCGAACTCAATGTTACTAGGACAGTTAAATTTGGCTTTGTTAATTTGAGATATGCCGTGAATGTATTTTTCAAATCCGATTTAGTCTTAGGAAACACCGAGACTGGTTGAACTTTCCCACGATTCAGATCTTTTGGAGTAATCTCAAATGGAATATGTGTGGTAGTGGATGACGTTGAGTCAATGGACTGTGCCAGTTTTGCTTCTGGCTCTTGACATGATAAAACTTTACCTAATTTAGAACTAGTTACTGTAGCAGATGTGGTGGCATATGAGTTGGATGTCCTTGAGGCTATATTTCTAAATTTTGGGACTAATATTTTTCGATGTAAATATTGATTATTTATAAAATTTTGGTTGATTATTAAATTTCGTTTAGTGTTCTTGAAAAAATAATTGAAATTATTTACAGAATGTAACTTGGGAAAAGTTACAATTCTATGTGACATGTTAGAGTCCTAATGAATATGTAGGAAGAAGTTGATATAGCAATATGACGAAAATTTAATCGTTCTGTCGCAATTGGTTAAAAGAATCAGAAGGCTTTTCGCTTTTTTTTTTCTTTCGTAGTTTCATCAGTTACTAACTGGCGAAAGAGAGAGAATTGAAAACGAGAAAAGAAATCTCCAAGATAGTTTGATCTACACGACCTGATGGTTGCGCTACGCACACCAAAAAAAAAATGAAAATCTTGCAGAATAATAATATACGTGTATATGTTTGTACTATCTACTCTTCTATGGATTCCTTTTTATCATCATTCAATGATAAATCAGCTAATGTGTTTGAGTTTTTGTTTTCATTCAATTTCTTATTTTCCAACTTGTTTTCAATCAAGTCATGGAATGCTATAATAGCTCGAACCAAGGTACTAATGTATATGATCATCAATTCGTCGTTTGTTTTAATTGTAAAAGCACTTGCCAAAGCATTACTTGAATCATTTGACTTATCAGCACCCAATGGTTGTACTAAATTTGGTAACAAGTTAAACACATTTTGTAATTTACCCAAAATAGTATGATTTATAGGTAATTTCTTAGAGTAAACTTTGTCCAAATAATTAGCAATTTCTCTAAGTTTCTGATGTAAACCTAATAAAGATTGATAAGTCTGGGTAACTCTCAAGGATAAATTACCAGCTGCTTGATCTCTTATATCTCTTAACAAATGTTCAACACCAATTTCTTCAGCTTCTTCAGCTTCAATTATGGATGGTACATGAACAAATGTCTTTTCGGTAGTTGAAGATCCATCATTCTTAATATCATCAACTGCAAAATAGGCGTCTGTAGGAATTCCAACTTCTCTTGGATGAACATCAACAATTAATAATAATGGATCTGTAGTATATCTTCTGAAAACTTCATTAATTTTTAAATCTGATGATTTTAATTTTGGTCCTGAGTGGTACCAACCAATTAACTTTTCTTTAGCATTGATCTTTTTAAACATTTCACCCATAGAATCTATGAAGTTATGATCCAAAAACCAAACACCTGGATTCTTGTCGTCTTCTTCAAATGGAATTGCATAAGAATTGGTCACTTTGATAGTGTCTGTTGAATTATCACCTAATATCACACCAACTACTCTTTTCTTGGAGTCTTTGGCAACTCTGTTATAGTGGTCCACTACGGATAATAAAACCAATGGTGAAACAACAACTGTTTTATCCAAAAGTGTCAATTCATTTGTGCTAATTGCTGCGGTAGACATGATTGTATAATATTGATTCTAGATTATCCGTTGGTTAAAGGTTTGTTGAAATTTGTATTCATGTTTTTGCCTTCCTCACCAAAAAAAAAAAATCGAAAAGAAAAATATAGAAAAATAACTAGAAAAGTTTGCTCGTGCGTCTACCGAAAAAATAGAATAATAACAAGATGACAGTAGTACTTAGAAATTCATCTCTACCATTAATTTTCTTTTTCTTTAATTATTATTCCTTATCCCCCAATATCTCATACAATTTAATATTGAATCACACAAAATGTATGGACAAATAGTGATAGGACCACCAGGTTCAGGTAAATCAACATATTGTCATGGTATGCACCAGTTCATGTCGGCCATCGGAAGAAAACTGTGCATCATTAATTTGGATCCTGCAAATGATCGATTACCATATCCATGTGAACTAGACATAAGAGATTTTATAAGTCTTGAAGAAATTATGGAAGAATTGAATTTGGGTCCAAATGGTGGATTGATGTATGCATTGGAATCTTTGGATACAGATGAAAATGTTGAAGAGTTTGTTAAGAAAGTTGATGCATTAGTCCAAGATGGCAATTATTTGTTGTTTGATTGCCCCGGTCAAGTAGAACTATTTACTCATCACAATTCACTTTTCAAGATTTTCAAGAAACTAAGTAAGAACTTGAGACTTTGTGTGGTTTCATTAGTCGATAGTATTTATTTGACAAGTCCTTCACAATATATTTCTATATTGTTGTTAAGCTTAAGGTCAATGTTGCAATTAGATCTACCCCATGTTAATGTTATCAGTAAGATAGACATGCTTAAGAGCTATGGTGAGTTACCATTTAGATTGGATTACTATACAGAAGCGCAAGACTTGCATTATTTAACACCATTATTGGAAAAAGAATCTAATTCTGTATTGGGCCAGAATTACGTCCGATTAACTGAATTGATTGGAGAGTTAGTTGAAGATTTCCATTTAGTTGCCTTTGAAGTGTTGTCTGTTGAAAATAAAAAGAGTATGATCAATTTGCTAAGTGTAATTGACAAAGCTAATGGTTATAGTTTTGGGAATGAAATCGGTGGAGACATGATATGGAGTGAAGCCACACGCCAGAATGGAAGTGGTAATAATGGTATTCAAGATGTAGATATTCACGAGAGATGGGTAGAGTATAAAGATGAGTATGATGCGGAAGAACAGAAAAACGAAGAAGAGTTTAGAAAAGCTATGGCTGATCAGGAAGGCGATGAAGACAAACCAATGAATGAAGAAGAAGAATGGGAAGCTGCATTGAAAGATTGGGAGAAGAAACACGGTGGTGAAGGTGCAATGTTGAGATAGTTTTAGAATAAATTCAATTTCATAGATTTTTCTAGATTTTTTTTTAATACTTGTATTTATAAGCACATGCACGTGATTCTTCTAATAATATTTTTTTTTTCTATTCGGGAAACTCATCAGAGCATTCGATTTTTTTTTTTTTTTTGATTTCTCTTGGTACAAATGTTTTGCTTTTTCATTCTGAACTTGTATATCCCCCATTCTATCGATCAATTAATACTAGTTAAATCATGGAACATATAAGCAAGACGTTAGCGAAGGAAATTAAAAATACCGAAACCGATGAATTCAATCAGTTGAATAGTCAAATAGATACAACGTTATCTAACTTGCGTAGAAAAAGAGGTATCTTGGAAGATCAGATCAAACAGTTTGAGGAAGTGGAACGGAACTTAGCAGAAAGCCCTGCTTCTTCTAATGGTACATTAAACAAGATTCAATTTAAACTAGATAATGGAAATACCATAGAGAAGACCAGAGAAGAAGCTTTAGAATTTATCAATAAAAGAATCGGTGAAATTAAAGAAGCAGTGACACAATTCAATACCAAAATCAATGAAGGAGAAATGACCAAAGAGAAGTTGAAACAGTTTAATGAGATCATACAAAATGAAGCCAATGATACCGAAAATCAAGGTGATGCTTTTCATGAAGAAAAATTGAACGAGGAAGGCTTACCATTCATGGATATCCAAGAGGAAATCGACGAAGATGGCAATGTTGTAAATGTCAAGATCAACGATTCTAAAGTCAATAAAGAGACACCAAAAGTAGAAGTTATCGAAGAAGATATTAAAAAGAAGACAATTGATACAAAAGAACAATCCGAGAATGAAAACTTAAAGACGTTGTTTGAGGAAATGGAAATAATTTCGAAGAATGACGATAAGAATAGAGATTTGAATTTCGACCAGGATGAATTATTGGAAAGAATTGATAAACTAAATATAAGTCCCGAAGATAAATTTAATTTGAAGAAAGTTTGTGTTGAAGAATTTCAAAAATTAAATGAAGATGAAGATGACGAGGAAGAAGGACAAGAACACAAAGGCAAAGAAAATGTTGAAACAGATACTACAAACGACGATTCATTCCAGCATTTTTCAATTGACAGAGACAATATGATAGAGTTAGAACTATTAGCAGATGACTTTGATGATTCAATAGTTGAGAATAACGAAGGGTATGAAGATGACCAAGAGTTTGATTACGATTTTGAAGAAGAAGAAGAGGATGACGATGATGATGCCGCAGATGAACTATTGTACGGTGGAGGACGGGCTAAAATTATTGGAGGGGATGTGAAATCAAACAATATGTTATGGGATCAAATCATGAACCTTAGAAAGGGAAGACTAGGAGTCAATGAGAATGACGAGATCATCATCGAACAAGAAGAAGTAGAAGTAAAGGATGAAGGTAAGTCAAAGAAAGGTAAAAAAGCAGTTAGGTTTTCAGAACAGTTGGATATTAAAGAAGTCGATAATATAAGTGAAAGTTTAAAGAACCCACCACCTGCACCAGCAAAGATGTCATTATTCAAGCAAAACCGTGTCTTTAACAAATCAAGATCAGATGAAGGGAAAAACGAGCAAGATAATGAAATTATGGGAGACATCATTGATAGGGACGATATCATGACCGATAGCATCGTTGAAAATGATGACATTATGAATGATGTCGTTGAAAAAGAGGATGTGATGACTGATATCATTGTTGAGAATGATGATGTTATGACGGAAGTTATTGATAGAGAAGAATTCATGGAAGAACCTGAAAGGAAGACAACTTCTAGATTCAAGTCTATGAGAAACCAATTGAATTCACAGAAACCGCAAAACTCGAAACCACCAGCGATTATTCCAATTCCTGGAATTGAGAACAATCAAATAAACGAAAATCCAGAAGAAGAAGATCCTGCTCCAATTTTGTCGAGATCTGATTTGCAAGAGATGCAACTGGATATGGATAAAATGGCCCAAGCATATGTTGCAGGAAAGTACGATGATGATATAATGACTGATGGTCCTGTGGTTCAAGAATTGAATGATTTTGAACATTTAAATGACATTGTTGAAGCTAGAAAGAAAGATTTGATGGGATTACAAGAATTTGATCCTACGTCAAATGAAGTTGGTATGGATGAGGACATCGAAGATAACGATGAAGATTCAGATGATGGTGATATTTTGACTGAAATTGTGGAAAATGATTTTGATGAGGATGATGAGAATAATGGTGTTTTTGACGAGGATGCTGTGTTAGATCGAGAAATCACTGAGAATTATCATAAACTTAGAAACAAATTGATCTTGGATAACAATGGTTTCAAGAAGTCACAAGAAGAATTAGAATTCGAACCAACTGATGAAGACGGCAACCTTATTAGAATGAGTAGATTTAAAGCTGCCAAATTGAACCATAGTATATAGAATAACTCCGAGCTTATGTAATAATTTTTTCTTTTAAAGTTCCAAAAAAAAATTGTATCACGAAATCAAGGAGTTACAGTATCGATCGTCTTAGGACCGACAATGACCCAAAATCTGGGGTTTTGAATAAATGTCGTGATATGATATCGGTATAAATTTGTGGGGGTAATGTATAATTGACTCAATCGTCACTTACAAAGCCACAATAACTGTTATGCAAAGTAAAAACTCCGACACAATAGGGGTATGGTCTGAAAAAGTAAAAAGTAATTCAAACTCCAGCAATTGCCTGCAGTTACCCATGGAAAATACAAGTTTGATTTTTCATTATTTCAACTTTAAACTACACAAAAGATGAAACTCCGGGGAAATCTAAAAACTCCGAAAAAAAATAGTTGAAAATAATTTCGCGATTGACGAATCAGAACTCATCTAAAAAAATACTGAGAAAGAATACACAATAATCATAGTGATATATGATACTTCCAGTATTTCATAAATAAATAGGATATATGTAGTCGCAACTGATGAATACCTCCACAGGATGTGAATGTCCACACAGATACTAGTATGTGCAACCATAGGTACTCAAAATTTCAATGTTTTTCATAGAGAAACTCAATTTTTTTTTTTCAAAAGTCCGGAGTTGGAGCCGGGTTTTCGGATCTTTGGGTCAAACAATAATCTTCACATAATTAAAGAATAATTTTTAGTTGTGGGTGAATCAAGGAATCGGACAAAACGTGGAGTGCATAAATGTCGTTCTCCAGACAGAAAAGTTGGTTCAATGATTCCATAAATCAGACAGAAAATTCGCCAATACTTTGAAACGATAAGACCAATAATTAAATAAAATGGAAATAGTTGAAAGAAAAAGAGCCACGAATAACGAGAGCATCTCAACTGATGCTGCAATGAACAATCTTCTAGAAAACCGTTGAATAGAAGGATTTGAATTACCCCTCTAAATCATCTATCGTGCCTGATCTGACTACCCCTCCTTTTCCCTATTTGTTCTTAGTATTAACAAAAATGAAAAAAAAAATGAGGAGAACAGCCAAACCCGAAGTGAGAATTAACAGATGAATTTTCTGTTGGTTTTCGTTCTCCTTCCTCGCGCGAATTCGTTCCACATTTCAACCAATCGGGCGACTATTACTAAGAATTTGCAACTTTAATTTTTTATTTATTTATTTATATTTTCTTGGATAGGCACAATTTGTCCATTTGTTCTAGTTAACCTTCCAGGGTCACGTAGTTGCATCTGTATATGTAACTACAGAATGGATGGAAAGTAGTCAAATGCATATTTTAAACCAAGTTCCCCTTTTTTTTGCAGTACTATTTTCCTATTATTATCCGTGAATTCCACATTTACAAATAAAGATGATAACGATTGTTGGCCGAAGACAACACACATCGCCAACAAAAAAAAAAAAAAAAATGAGGAAGCAAAGATAAAACAAAATCAAAAGTCGCAATAAAGTCGTGCAGTAGTTGGGTTTTACTTTAAGTGGTTGTTGAGTTTGTGTGTTTGGTTTCCATTAAAAAAGAATAAATAAAATAAAAAAATTCGCTGTTCTAATGTGTTTGTGATTTACTGTCAGTATTGCGGGGAGGAGAAAGGAAATTAGAAAACTGAAATTCATTCAAGATTACATGATGAAAGAAATAGGCTATGACTTGTCATCCTGTTGGCTAGTTGGTAGCACAACAAAAAACTCCACGTCCTAAACGAAACAAACATTAGCCAACAGATTGTCAGGTATAGGAAATGAAATGAAGAAAAGAGGAGAAATAGAGAAAGGAGGGGAAATGTCGCACTACCAACAAAAATAAAAAAAATAAAAACGATGTCGGATTACATGATGTGCACGACATTGGTTGGTTCCGATTGTAAACACGCACAAAGGAATAAAAAAAGAAAATAATTGAAAATTAAATATAGCATTAAGTTTATTACGGGTACGACCACTACCACCATACATGCACGAAACAGATAAAAACGGAACAAGTAAAAAAATTTTCAATCTATGCATTAAAAAAGAAAGCAAAAAAAATTGACTATAAATACAATCAAAAATTCCTTAAAATTGAAAAGAGACTTGTTAGAAAAAAAGAAGAGAACCCCTACATTTCTGTTGTTTTATTTGTTGTCTTTTTCTTTTATTTCAATTGATTTCAATTTCACATTTTTATTTTAATTTCATTCTACTTTTAATTGCAAATTTATTTATTTTCATTTGAAAAGTAAGAACCAACTTTCCACCGAATTTATCAACTATCCTTATTTTATATACTCAATTGTACATATTCCTATCAGTCACAAAACTTACTTGTTTCAATAATACTATTACTTCCCCCTTTTTTTTCATTCTAATAGATCTTTAACACATATTCAATTACATTAATCATGTCTGCCATTTTGAAACAAAGAGTTAGATATGCCCCATATCTCAAAAAATTAAGAACTGCTGAACAATGTATTGACTTGTTCAAAAATGGTCAATACTTGGGTTGGTCAGGTTTCACTGGTGTTGGTGCTCCAAAAGCTATCCCAACTGCTTTGGTTAACCACGTTGAAAAGAACAATTTACAAGGTCAATTGGGTTTCCACTTGTTTGTTGGTGCCTCTGCTGGTCCTGAGGAAAGTAGATGGGCTGAAAACAACATGATCTTGACCAGATCTCCACATCAAGTCGGTAAGCCAATTGCCGCTGCTATCAACGACGGTAGAACTCAATTCTTTGACAAACACTTGTCTATGTTCCCACAAGATTTAACCTACGGATTCTACACCAAAAACAAACCAAATGGTTCTAACTTGGACTACACGATTATTGAAGCCACTGCTATCACCGAAGACGGTGCCATTGTTCCAGGTCCAGCTGTTGGTGCTTCTCCAGAAATGCTTTCTGTTTCTGATAAAATCATCATTGAAGTCAACACAAAAACCCCATCTTTTGAAGGTATTCACGATATTGATTTGCCAGTTAACCCACCATTCAGACAACCATACCCACACACCTCAGCAGATTTCAGAATTGGTAGAACTGCTATCCCAGTTGATCCAGAAAAAGTTGTTGCCATTGTTGAAACTACCGAAGGTGACAAAGTCCCACCAAATACCCCAAGTGATGCTCAATCTCAAGCAATTGCTGGTCATTTGATTGAATTTTTGGAAAACGAAGTCAAACAAGGACGTCTCCCAGAAAACTTGCACCCATTACAATCTGGTATTGGTAACATTGCTAATGCTGTTGTTGAAGGTTTGGCACAATCCAACTTCAAGAACTTGACTGTTTGGACCGAAGTCTTGCAAGATTCTTTCTTGGATTTCTTTGAATCTGGAAGTTTGGATTTTGCTACCGCCACTTCCATCAGATTGACCGAAGAAGGTTTCAAGAAGTTCTATGACAACTGGGATGTCTACTCCAAGAAATTATGTTTAAGATCACAAGTTGTTTCCAACTCCCCAGAAATTATCAGAAGATTGGGTGTTTTGGCTTTCAATACTCCAGTTGAAGTTGATATCTATGCCCATGCCAACTCTACCAATGTTATGGGTTCAAGAATGTTGAACGGTTTGGGTGGTTCCGCTGATTTCTTGAGAAATGCTAAATTATCTGTCATGCACACTCCATCTGCTCGTCCAACTAAAGTCGATCCAACTGGTGTTTCCTGTATTGTCCCAATGGCCACTCACGTTGACCAAACCGAACATGATCTTGATGTTATTGTTACAGAACAAGGTTTAGCTGATCTTAGAGGTCTCAGTCCTAAAGAAAGAGCTCAAGTTATCATTAACAACTGTGCTCACCCAGATTATCAAGCACAATTACAGGACTACTTTGACAGATCTGTTTTCTACGCTACCAAGAAGAAGTGCTTACACGAACCACACATGTTGAACGAAGCCTTTGCTATGCACTTGAACTTGCAAGAAAATGGTACTATGAAATTAAACAAATAGGGAGTGTGTATCTTGTAAATTACTGTTAATATATTTAATTCTTTGTAAAGGTAACAGAAAAGTAACCAAGATTATGCTGGGTGTTCATCCATTGTGTATATTGAGATAGATAAAAAAAAGCAACGAGTCATTTTGCTTATATCACCAAAATAATATCTAGCATTTTTCATCAATGTATAGTAATCGAAAATGTATACTCATTCTATTTTGTTACAAATCAATTATTGACTATAGTTCGACCCTCTAATCACTCTCAAGCATATAACCACTATTGAAATATTTCATTGATGTCATTCAATTTGCAGAGTAACTTTGTTTCTCCGCTATAGATCGCTCTTGAGAATAGTGAGTTTTTTTTTTTTTTAATTACGCGGAATACTATGCCGATTCTTCATAATCACTCGGATTATTTTTACCCCTAAATATTTCACTACTCCCCGCTATTATCACCACAAACTCCTTAACTCCCAAATTAGTAGATACTAACTTAATGTCTTATATGAACTATCTATCATGAACATCAGCAAATAGTATGCAATAGTCATCCAGTATCTATCAGCAAGCAGACCAATTGAACTAGGAGACAGACCAAAGGAATTCCGACAACTCCACAATTCATATTAAGTGTCAATGCAAAGAACTTCATACGTGTTTAGAAAAAGCCCCTGAGCGGCCCAAAAATAAACATTTGAAATCTCCCCACAAATTGAAATCTTCCAGATCCGAGTGATTTTTATTCTGAAAATCTATACTTCAGCCAATGACTGCAAAACTGTAAAAACAACACTATAAATATCCAAGCAATTTCCTTCATGATATCTTCAATTTCATTCTAATCACCAACAATCATCCGATTGATAAATATTCCCTATACTGAAAACTACTACAAATTAATTTCTAAACCAAAAATGTCCAAACCTGTTATTTTAATGGCTCTTTACACTGGTAGTCAACACTCCAAAGAAGAAGAACGTTTGTTGGGTACCATTGAAAACGAATTGGGTATCAGAAAACTTGTTGAAGAACATGGTTACGAATTGATCACTACTGATGATAAAGATCCAGAACCAACTTCTACTTTTGATAAATACTTGGACAGAGCTGAAATCATCATCACCACTCCATTCTTCCCAGCTTATGTAACAAGATCAAGAATTGCTAATGCACCAAACTTGAAATTGTGTATCACTGCTGGTGTTGGTTCTGACCATTATGATTTGGATGCCTTGAACGAAAGAGGTATTGCTGTCTTGGAAGTGACTGGTTCCAATGTCCAATCTGTTGCTGAACATGCTGTTATGACCATGTTGATTTTGATCAGAAACTACGGCGAGGGTCATCACCAAGCCATCAGTGGTGGTTGAGATGTTGCAGCTGTTGCCAAAGATGAATTCGATATGGAAGGTAAAGTTTTCGCTACCGTTGGTGCTGGTAGAATTGGTTACAGAATCTTGGAAAGATTAGTTGCCTTCAATCCAAAGAAATTGTTGTACTACGACTACCAAGCTTTACCAGATGCTGCTGTCAAGAAGATCAACGATGCTTCTAAATTGTTTAATGATGTTGATGATATCCTTGAAAGAGTTGACACTTTGGAAGAATTGTTCTCCCGTGCAGATGTTGTTACTGTCAACTGTCCATTGTATGAAAAATCCAGAGGTATGATTAACAAAGATTTGATCTCCAGAATGAAGAAAGGTTCATATTTGATCAACACTGCTAGAGGTGCATTGGCCGATCCACAAGCCGTTGCTGATGCTGTCAACTCTGGTCATATTTCCTATGGTGGTGATGTTTGGCCAGTGCAACCAGCTCCAAAGGACATGCCATGGAGAACCATGCACAATCCATATGGTAAAGACTATGGTAATGCCATGACTGTTCATGTTTCTGGTACTTCTTTAGATGCTCAAGCTAGATACGCCAATGGTGTTAAACAAATCTTGACTGAATATTTCAACAAGACCTACAACTACAGACCACAAGATATCATTGTTATTGATGGTCATTATGCTACTAAAGCTTATGGTCAACACAATAAATAGATGATTGATATATTTGATTTTATATAAATGTTTCTATATTGTTTATTTCTAATCTATGTTACAGTGATCTTCTCCTGACTTGTTATTTACACTGTTTTTAATTGTCATAAACGATGAAATGAACATCACCGCAAACCCAAACAATATACACCCAATACTAGGAATAGCTTTGTAAATAATGAATTTTCTTTTATCTTTTGGCATTGCCAGTCTGTACTCAACTTGGTCCCATGACAATTTGAAATAACACAAAGGTGGTAATATATATGCCATTAATGATGCCGAAGTAGCACCAATTAACTCTAAAATCATACCCAAGTTACACGTAAATAATGATACCGACATTGAACTGAAAACCAAAAAAGTGGTAATGGTAAAATGTTGGATCGTGCTAAGCTCTAAACCAGCAGTGCTTCCATCCAGATCGGCCTTTCTTGCTAATACAATTTCTCGCAAAACATCCCTGACCACAAATATCTCTAATGGAAAAGTTGTCAACATATTCAATCCAAAACAAAATCTAGCCACGTTGATCCAATTATCATTACTCTTGAAATTGTTTAAAATATTACCCTTAGTAATGTCACCAAAATTAATAAGCCCGTTGATTGCCATGAGCATACAGAACAACATGGAAACAGCACATGAGATATGTGTCAATTTGGAGAATTTGGCCAATGTCGGATTTTTCATTGATTGATATATAAACATAGTGTTATGATGGCACACCAATGCAAATGAAATCACCGAAATCCCTTGAAATATATTACTATTAAAAGTCCATTCTCTGATTGTCATTTCTCCCTTCTCTGCAGTTGAAAAAGGCCCTCTGATAATTGTCGTTACCACAATAATAAACATACCCACCAATGCAAACGCAGATGCCTTTGCAAGTTTTGAAATGTCTCTATTCAATGACAACGGAAATGAAATACACGTTGTGAATAGTATAATAATGGTATTTCTCTGAAACAACCAACTCACACCAGACGCACTTGTAACAGAATTTGGTATGAAAGCTTTCAACACATGAGGTATAGTGTCCCCGATAATCACACAGAATGCCATACATCCACCATATGCAAAACTGCTTATAGCTATCAATAGTATAATTTTACCCAGTAGTCCAAAGCAATAATTAACAGTATCTTGATAGGATTTAGTCTGGGACAATATTGAATTTTTAACCATCAACCTCAAAGTCCAATCAATAAGAATAGTTAATAATATCATTACGAGAATACCGCCAATTAATCCACTATTTCTGAATGCATATGGTTGGCCAATAATACCAGCTCCCAATATCGAGTTGGCCATATTCATAAATGCCATTCTCATGGTTGAAGTCCCTGACTTTTCTTCTTCCATTTCTTCATCTTCACTTATACCATGAAGCTCGGCGTTATTATGCAGCGGGGGAAATTCATATTCATAATCCAATGTTTCTAGTTCAAATTCCTCATTTGGTTGAGTTGATCTTGTATCATGTGCTACTGTCCCTTGTGGAACAGAGCTATACCCATTCATATTGGGTTTTCCTTTTGACATTGGAACTTGAAGTTGATTAGAACCGATGTTGTTATTACTATCTTTATTTGGAAAAACCCTTTCTTCAGTGTTTACGTTGCTTCTTTTTTTCTCTCTCTCTCTCTCTCTCTCCTGCCTTACCAGTACACGGTTCACTCTAACACCTTGGAAGAATAAAGAGCTGCCAGCTTTGTTGATTTTGCGTCAGAGAATTTAATTTGTGCTCCTCCTCCTCCTCTCGCCCCCTCTATTTCTTATTCACTATCTAGCAGGAGATATGAATACTGCAAATATCATAAATCTACCTCATGAAATAATAAATCAAATAATTGGTTATTTACCGAACTCACTTTTAGTGGAATTGAAGGATTTTCCTTTACTTAAGAAGTATACATTGCCCCAATTGTATTCTACGGTTGTAATAGAAACTAAGAATATAAATTCAGCTGATTTTCAAACTGTCAGAATAGAAGAGGTAAGATTCCGGAAAGATGGCTTTACAGAAGACGAAAGTACACCTATTTTTGGCGATATCGATAATTTAATTTCATTTGTGAAGGATAACCACATTCCATTCCCGAAATATATCTATTTTAAAAACCCAGTTGACATCATATCGACGCATAAAAGTTATTGTGGTATACTAGACAATACCCACCTTCAAACAACATTAAGAGATCTCAAATACAGCGGGATTGACATTGCCTATGTAATGATGTTAAAGGAATTGCCATACAGATTTGATCGACTTGATGATTTTTATGTCATGGACGAAGAGATCTATGGAGATAACAAAGCATGGTGTAAAAATTTAAGGAGATTAGAAATATCATTTGAAGCCGACTTTACTCCAGGTAATTTCTTCCCAGATATGGAATTTGAAAATTTAATTGATCTTGTTATTGGACCAAGAATGTTAAATGAAGATATGCGATATATTCCGCGTAGTGTTAAATATTTGCTGTGCCCATTGGATCTAAGAGGATTGGAGAGTGCAATAGATGCAGAAAGTCAGATACAACTACCGATAAATCTACGAACATTTCAAACTAATGCAAGACACGATATTGAATTTACGATTGATTTTCGGAGAATGTCACTGCTTATGAATTTGACTTTTTTCAGTGCCAAATGCATTGCGATAGATTTCCCTTCAAGTATGAGAGAAATGATAATATTTTCAAGATTCGATGTATCAAATCTCACACAACAGTGTTTGCGATTGACTACTTTATGTCTTAATGAAGTATTTGGAACTTTTGTTAGTTTCCCCCAAAATTTGAAAAGTTTAAACATTGACATTCAAGCACTTCAATATATGCTCACTGAGATGGGGTTGGGATACACTGCATTACCTTCAAACTTGGAGGATTTAAGAATATATGGTTCAAATGAAAATGTTGACGAATTTCTGAGTATCTTTAATTTTGATTTCAAGCCGTGGAAGCAATTGAAACGTCTAGATTTGTCATTTGCGTCAGGCATACAGCTAGAGAAGTTTTCTCTCCAGAATTTTCCCAAATCTATGACCCATTTGAAGATGGGGAACTGGGGAATTGGGAATATAATTGGAAAATTTACTGATCTCCCTTATCTTCAAGACATTGACTTGTCTAATAATAGATTGTCTGGCTATTTCAGTGCACAGAACAACTTGTTATATGATTCAGAGGGTAATATTTTTGGTCCCAATATTAAGTGGGTTCAACTAAGTGGAAATAGATTCACTGACGCCAATCTAAGAATTGTTATGAATGATCTCATGAAGAAACCGCATTTTCAAAGTTTAGTGATTGATCAAGAGGTTATCCCAGAAGATATGAAATATTTAGAAGACAAGACTTATATTACTGCTTTAAATAATGAATGGTATCTGTGATATTTTCAGTCTTCAATTAATGACAACCTTTCTTCGAAAGTATCTATAAAAGATCTATCCATAGACATAGTGATACTGAATGAGTCGTTTTTGTACAGAACGGTATATGTTGAATCACCCTCGTCACAACTCAATACTTGCAAGGGTTCAGATCGGGGTATGAAGCATACCGACAGACCACAGTTAATACAATAATCATTTCTTAAAAATGCGACAAAACTGTAGTTTTCTGGCTTGACAATACCAAGGTAATAACCTCTCCGTTCGTGGTTAGATGAAATTGATAAAGGGCTCGAGTTGGGACTGGAATTCACTTCCGTAGTATTGTATCTAGATCCAATTTCATATTCATACATTGCCCTAATTGATTCATCATCTGAATTTGAAGCCATTTGGTCGTTGAATTTATTTAGTTCATTCATAGATAACAAAAAGAAGCTGGAGTAAAAGAAGAAAGAAAAAAAAAAAAAAAGAGGAGTATAGGTGTGTCAATTTCTTGCAGCCACATTGGGACGAATTGATGACGTAGCCCACATTGAGTGGGAAATCCTTCTGAACCCCCATGTATACTGAATAAACTGCTCTTGACGGTAAGTTGTTAACGTCTTATACTTGTTGGGCTTATCTATCTATCTAAGTCTGTGACAATTCTGTATCATGTGGCGCACCAAAAGAATAAAATAACTTAGACGTTGCAGATTTCATCTGATTTGGATTTCTCAAAGAATTCCAACCGATTGAGATCAAAATCAACAAACTGCAGCAAGAAAAAAAAAAAAAATAGGCTAATGAAAATTTGTTGAAACTTTTCAATAATACTAACTACAACACAACATATTAATAATGAGGTTATCGGTATTGCTTTCTTTGGTATTACTCCCCCTTATATCAGCTCATGGTGATCATAATCAAGAACCTTTGAAAGTTAAACCAGACGATTTATCATGGCAGGATTGGCACATGAAGGAAGAACATGGATTAGATGAATACGATGGTAAGACATTCTTTCTCTTACATGATTTGGATAACAGTGGTTTGATTGGTGCCAAAGAAATCTTAAACTTATATGGGTTAGTCCATAAAATCATTGTTGGAGATGGATCAGGTATGGGTCAAGAAAACATCGAAGTTACTCCCGAGTTACAAGATGAAGTCGTCCAGAATGTTTTGCTGTTAATTAAACATTCGAATCCCGACGGTATATCACAAGATGAATGGTTAGAATTTTATAATAATGGAGGTAAATTGCCAGATTTTGGATACGGATCTGGTCATCATTTAGGATTTGAAGAGGAGTACGAAGAACACCACTGGAACAAATACCATGCCAATGAAGATCCAGATGTAAAGATCAAACACAAAGAAGATATTGAACATGAATTATTGCATCATAAACAAGAGATTGAAGAAACACACGACAGATCGACTCAATTGAAAGATTTCACCAAGAATTATGTCTCACCAATCAACATAGACAACCTTAGGCCAAAGTACAGAAAAAACTAGATTAGTGTTATACAGGTAAGTTATTTAGACGCATGTCCTTTTATAGTGCTATTATTCGTAGCCACGAATAAGTCAAAAATAGATATACAAAAAAGAAAACACAATAACCATGTATCCTGTACAAAGTAACAGTCCAACTAGAAATACAGGGTTAAATTGTCAACTGACAAGTGAGTTGACATCTATCGTCTGGATTGATCAAAAAGGTCGTGCGTATAACTCCTTTTTCATTTGTCGAAATATGCAAAGTTACCTTTTTTGGTTAAATTCGTGTCCTGCCGCCTCCCCCCCCCCCTTTTTTTCTCTTTCATTTCTTTTGTTGTCATTGACGTGTACTGAGAGAATAAAAATTGAAGTAACGAAAATTAAACATTTACAGTATGTACTTGTTCGTGTATTGGAGGCTAAAATTTTCATTCTTCCTTTTTATTTTTGGTTTGTTGTTCTTGTTTGAGTTATTTTTTTAACCCGTTGCACACACAATTCTAACACCAGATACACTACTTTTTTGTTTCTTTGTTTCCCTTCTTTTTTTTTTTTTCACACATAATATTTTTCTTTATATTTTTTTTTTCCCTTTTATATAGACGTAGAAAAAAAAAAAAAAAAGAAGACCGAAAAATTACCACATTATTTAACATATTTATCTACTTACATATTCGTTTGTCCCCTACTATTCTCCTAATTAAGTGGTTTTGAAGTCCAGATAATAGAAGCTTAAGAGAGTTCTGTATTTGCATTAGCAGCATTGACTTTGATTTTGATTTTGATTTTTTATTTTAGTTGTTCTTGATTACACGAAGTTAGAAAAGAAATCACATCTAAACCACAACAACAAAACACGATTTAGACACAGCAAGATCCTGACAATACTAGTATCCCTAATTTATCCTTTATCATAACGGTTATATTACAGCTTTATACCATTACAGAGATCTAAGTCATTTTACCTGAATTCACATTTTGACTATCATATCTTAGTTATAACTTGTTCAGTTCATTTATTTTTTTGTTCCCTTTTTTTCTTTCTTTCTTTTTGACGGTAGAACATTGAAGTTATACATCACAAGGCTATATTAACTATGGAACATCCAACACCATTCAGGACATTTTCACAACAGTCCACGATGTCAGGGAGCTCATCAATTGGTTCAATTCCCCCATCCAGAACCGTCTCACAAAGTACACTTAATATCAGCAACTTTAATAAACAAAGTACACCAAAAGATCATTTATATTACAAATGTGAATCTTTAAAGAGAAAGCTACTGAAAATTCCTGGTATGGAACCATTTTTAAATCAAGCATATACCCAAGCAGAACTGTTTAGTGAACAACAAGCATTAGCATTGGCTCAGGAAAGAAATAATGCAAATGGTAGCATGCATCACCATTCATCATTAGATGGTGCTATGAATAGACTTTCTGTCAGCTCAGATAATAGTTTAAACCAAGGTTCTTTGACAAGATTAACTACCAATGTATCTTCGTCTTCATCTATTGCCAATTTGCCTACCAACAATAATTTATTTACATTTACTGCAGGGATATTACCTGCAAATATTAGTGTGGACCCAGCTACTCATCTTTGGAAGTTATTCCAACAAGGTGCACCTTTATGTGTTCTCTTTAATTACATCATTCCAGATTATCAGATCCCAGTTATCAGCTCAGACGATTTGCGAATCTGTAAGAAATCGGTTTACGATTTCTTGATCGCTGTTAAAACCCACCTCAATTTTGACGATGAAGATATGTTTACCATCTCCAATGTATTTTCCGATAATACTCAAGATTTACTTAAGATTATTGTGGTGGTCAACAAATTATTATCAGATTATTCCAAAAACAGTGACTCCTCTATTGATTTGACGAGTTGTGACGATGTTAACATGGATGTCGCAATCACAGATGAGAGGTCTAAAGTTTTCCGTGAGATTATTGAAACCGAGAGAAAGTATGTTCAGGATTTAGAATTGATGTGTAGATACCGTCAAGATTTGATTGATGCCGAAAACTTATCTTCAGAACAAATTCATTTATTGTTTCCTAATTTAAATGAGATTATTGATTTCCAAAGAAGGTTTCTTAATGGGTTAGAGTGTAATATCAACGTACCAATAAGATATCAAAGAATCGGTTCTGTTTTCATACATGCCTCTTTAGGTCCGTTCAATGCATACGAGCCGTGGACCATTGGCCAATTAGCAGCTATTGATTTAATTAATAAAGAAGCTGTCAACTTGAAGAAATCTTCAAGTTTGATTGACCCTGGGTTTGAGTTGCAATCGTACATTTTGAAGCCAATTCAGAGATTATGTAAATACCCATTATTGTTGAAAGAATTGATCAAACATTCACCGGAGTCTTCAAATGAGGAATTGCAAACAAATGCTTCATCGGCAGCTTTCAATGAGTTGTTGGTTGCCAATACTGCCATGAAGGAATTAGCAAATCAGGTTAATGAAGCACAAAGAAGAGCAGAAAATATCGAGCATTTGGAGAAATTGAAGGAAAGAGTTGCCAACTGGCGTGGTTTTAACTTGGATGCGCAAGGTGAATTGTTGTTTCATGGAACTGTGGGAGTTAAAGACTCGGATACTGAAAAGGAATATGTGGCTTATCTTTTTGAAAAGATCATTTTCTTTTTCGTAGAGATAGAGGAAAAGAAGACTGAAAAGGTTGAAAAGAAGAGCAAGTTTTCTACAAGAAAGAAATCATCTGCAAGTTTCAGTTCATCTACTGCTAATTTATTGGAAAGTATAAATACCAGAAAGAATAACGCTTCACCTTTGGAATTAAAAGGTCGAGTATATATCTCAGAGATTTACAATATATCTGCACCAAGCAACCCCGGTTCTACATTAATTATTGCATGGTCAGGCCGAAAGGAGAGCGGATCATTTACATTAAGATACCGTGGTGAAGAGACTAGAAACCAATGGGAGAAATGTTTACGTGATTTGAAAACTAGTGAAATGAACTCCCAAATCCACAAAAGACTACGTGATTCAGATCTGTCACTCAACACCAATGATTCGTCTATCTATGATTATACAGGAATGGGGTCATCTCCAACGACACAACAAATGGTGCCACAACATTATGAACAACGTGGATCTCAGGGATCACGCCATCATTCTTCATCATCTACATTGAGTATGATGAAAGGAAATCGTGTTAAATCCGGAGATTTCAGCAGAGTTTCATCTTCGTCAACTACTTTAGGTTCACTGAACAATACCTACAATAATTCTCCAAATACAACAGCGCCATCGTCATCTTCATCCGATTCCAGTAGAGGATTACTGGATGTTGCATTGAAACTACTTTACAAAACAACGGAATTATCTGAACCATTGATTGTACCAGCACAGATTGAATTCAATGATTTGGTGCAGAAAATCATATCTAAGGTAATAAATTCAAATTTGGCTAGCCAAGATGTTACAATTGGAAGATTGAGATATAGAGATGATGAAGGAGACTTTGTTAATTTGAACTCTGATGATGACTGGGGTTTGGTTCTTGACATGATAGCAGGTGACGAGTCATACCAAGACTTTAGTGATGAAAAACGCTTAGTTACTGTATGGGTATCCTAAGAATGTTAATAGAGAATGACCTTAGGTTTGATCATTGAATGATTTTTATGATTAATTTAATTTATCCGTTGTATTATTTAAACATAGCTATATGAAGGTTTCACCTTTTTATTATTCAACCTATTTTCTTTCTTCATTTTGCTTCTCATCTTTTTTTTTTCAATTATTATGTCTTTTTTTTTATATAATTATGATTATAGTGTATAATGTGAATACTGATTTATGTTTTTTGGGATCAGCTAGATGTAGTTGTTATTTTATGTATATTGAATTTTAATGAGTGGAATAGTTTTGAAAACCGAAAATTAAGAGCACAAAATGGTACAGATATACCTGGTCAGAGTCAAATATTTCATACAGCTTTTTGAGGACGACTAAAATAAATGTTCACGAAATACGATAACGATAACGGTTTGTAGGTTATTGCATATGCTTTTCGCAATCGATTCTGATGATCGAAGATCTACAACTCCATTGCATCAAACCACTGGTATGATATATTAATCCTGGTGGTCCTATTTATTGATAACAGAATCGTACTATTTAATATTCGTGGTCTGATGAGAAAAGTTTTTAACTGATTACAAAATAGGCAAATTTAATTGGTGAGTAATATGCAGGTATTTTTCAGTGCATTTTTATAACATCGAAGCTCTTTGAAAAAAAAAAAAAAATGAGTCAAAAACAATAGTATTTGTATAAAAAGGACCAACAAATATTCATTTCTGAACATTCTCTATAAATTTAACTATTCAGATCATTCTACATATTCCACTTTATCTATAGAGGAAAAAGAAGATGTTGTTCAAGCAATTGTTGTCAAGAACAACTGTGAAGAGGTTTAATATACCAAGAAGACAAACATTTCAATTTGTGAATATCAATGCTTTAAGAACATTTCATTATACCCCAAGAATATTACAACTCACGGAGGAACAACAAGAAATACTAGATCAAGAAAGAGCAAAAGATTATGTTGATGTTTGTATTGTTGGTGCTGGGCCAGCAGGTTTATCAACTGCAATTAAATTAAAACAATTGGATAATGAAGAAGGAAATGGAGATTTGAGAGTCGTTGTTTTAGAAAAAGCGGGTGATTTCGGTAGTCATATAGTTAGTGGTGCAGTTATTGAACCACAAGCATTCAAGGAATTGTTTCCAGATAGTGAATTGACTGAAGAAAATGGAATTCCTTTACCACTGGATATAATCACTAAAGTTACTTCTGATCATATGAAATATTTAACCAAAACTGCATCATTCCCATTACCTGAACCACCGCAATTAGCTAATAAGGGTAAGAATTTCATTGTTAGTTTAAATGAAGTTGTCAAATATTTGGCTGAGCAAGCCGAAGAATTGGGTGTTGAATTGTATCCGGGTATTGCTGTTAATAAATTGATTTACAACGAAGATGAAACCGCAGTTAATGGGGTTATCACTCAAGATATGGGTATTGATAAAGAAGGAGCTCCAAAGGATAGTTTTGAACCGGGTATGGAATTTTATGCCCGTGTTACAGTTTTAGGTGAAGGTTGTCATGGATCTTTAAGTAAGCAGGCTATTTCTAAGTTCAATTTAAGAGAAAATGCTCAACCTCAAACCTATGGATTAGGTATTAAAGAAGTTTGGGAGGTTGATCCAGAAAAATTCCAAAAGGGTTATGTTGGTCACTCATTGGGATTCCCATTGACTTCTAATGAATATGGTGGTGGTTTTATCTATCATTTTGGTGATGGCTTAGTTGCTGTTGGTTTAGTTATTGGTTTGGATTATGCTAATCCATACATTTCTCCGTATCAAGAATTCCAAAAAATGAAAACTCATCCATTTTATGCTAACGTTTTGAAAGGTGGTAAATGTATTTCTTATGCCGCCAGAGCTTTGAACGAAGGTGGATATCAATCAATTCCAAAATTGCATTTTCCAGGTGGTATCTTGGTTGGTTGTTCTGCTGGTTTTGTTAATGTTCCAAAAATTAAAGGTACTCATATTGCTGTTAAAAGTGGTATGGTTGCTGCTGAAACTATTTTCTCTACATTTAAGGAAATGGAATTGGAACCATGTGATGAAGAAAATTTCGAGGAATTGTCTACCCCAATTGATTTGAAACAATATGAAGATAATTTCAAAGAATCTTGGGGTTATAAAGAATTGTACGAAGTTAGAAATGTTCGTCCTTCATTCAACACTCCATTTGGTATGATTGGTGGTCTAATACATTCTGGTTTGCTGACTATGATTACCAGGGGTAAAGAGCCATGGACATTGTCCCATCATGGTACAGATGCAAGCTTGACCCAAGAAGCTAAAAACTTTAAACCAATTGATTATCCAAAACCTGACAACGAATTAACTTTTGATATTTTGACATCTGTTTCTAGAACTGGTACTTATCATGATGAAGATGAGCCTTGTCATTTGAAGATTCCAAACCAAGACACCAGAAAACATGCTGAGTTGAACTGGGAGAAATATAAAGGTGTGGAACAAAGATTTTGTCCAGCTGGTGTTTACGAATATATTGAAGATGAACTGGAACCTTTAGGGGTTAAATTCCAAATCAATAGTCAAAATTGTATCCACTGTAAAACTTGTGATATCAAAGTTCCTTCACAAGATATCAATTGGAGTGTCCCAGAAGGTGGGGACGGTCCAAAGTACTATATGTCTTAATATTTCTATGTATATATGTACGGCAATGTTTAATTTAATGAACCTTTTAATAATTATAGGAGACGGGATGTTCTTGTTGTGGAGTTGGAAGTGTTGGTTGTTCAGTTGCCGATTTCACCAAATCCTTGTCAAGGAAATATTTTGAAAACGTCAAACTTTTTCTTAGCATATTTGTGCAAAATTTGAACAAAATGTTTAAATTCAATTGGAAAGTAGAAAAACAACAAATTTACAAGAGAAAGGTAATCTTAGATCTATTATATGTTCATGTTGGTCAGACATATACTTATCTTCCACCAGTTTATGTTTGATTCTACCACACAAAGGTCGTGTGAGGATCAACATAAATATTATCTAAGTGGCGATCATCATGTAGATCAACAAATCAAGTGTTTTCATTACATTTCCCAAAGAAGATTTATTTAACTTCCTATCAGTTTGTTGCTACAATCAGTAGTATTCAAATAACAAAGCAGCAAACTTTGGTGATCATTAATTAACACCCTCTTTTGTATGATCGAAAAACCAAGCACTTGCACGACCTGAATTTTCAAAACCTCCGGATTTAATGGTACCTTGGAGAAGTATAACCAGAAGGGTTGCCTTTGTTTTCCGGTTGCAAAAAAAAAAAAAAAAAAATTCAATACTTATTCCAAAGAAACAACCACTATAGTTGATATCAGAAAGAAGTATAGTGGTTATGACATTATAGGTAATATAAATACAAACAAATTTCGCTAAAAATGAAAATATATTTTTTTTATTCGTTGGAGAAAAAAAAAAGATAAAACTAAAATTATAGGGCTATATAACACAATTAAGATGAAGAAGAACAATCTCTAGCAATATGGCCAACTTTACCACAGGTGTAACAAGTTTTAGCATCACCGGAGCTCTTACAGTCACGGGCATAATGGTTTGGACCACCACATTTGAAACAATTAACACCAGTGTTTTTAGATTTTGGTTCTGGACAGTCATTTGATTCATGTCCAGATTGGTGACAGTTGTAACAGAGTCTTTCGGTTTGTTCACAGGCAGCAGCAATGTGACCGACTTGACCACATTTGTAACAGCTACGTGGACCTCTGTTAAATGAACGTTGTTGACTTGACATTTGTAATTATCTTATTTAATTTGTCTATGGAGTGGGAACTAAAAGAAAATTTTTCACCACGACTTTTTTTTTTTCTCTCTTCTTCAAACTACTCCCACTAATTTTCGAGATCGAGAATTTTTTTTTTTGCTTCTTTTTGGTAGTTTTAAACTTTTTATTCTGTTCTGTTATGTTCGGTGTTTTTTTTTTGTTGACACTAACACTACCAACAACAGAAAATTTAAATTTACACGCAATAAACTCACTCACTAACTAACTTTGCTCGCCCAGTCCAGGAAGAGACCCGATCAACAAACCGACCTGCGAGTGGAGTGGAGCGAAGCAAGTCACACAAATATTTTCTATTTTGGTTTCCTTCTTTCCTTTTTCTGCTGTCATTCTCCATTATTTAAACTCCCCAACGGAATAATCTTAAAACTACAGACTCAAATGCAATATCCATATTTGATCTCCAGATGGATTGATCCACTTGTTGGTATTGGTATTGGTGTATTATCATATTATTCATATGAAAAGAGAGTAGGAAGACCAAGAGGACATTCATTGAATGAATTGTTGATACAAAAGTATACAAAATTAGAGAAAAAGCAAACTTTCTAAATAGTTGATTTGAATTTATCAAGGATTTGTTTAGCTTTGGTGTCGTCTTTGACATCTTGTAATATAATATCATATATCTTATCCCAAGAAATTGTAGGAGAAACAATTGTTGATGTTTCTGGATCAATTTCCTTCTCTTCTTGTTTGACAACCTTTGGTGCAGAAACCATACAATTGAACGATGTATCGTCTAATGTAGAAACAACTGCTGAATCTTGTACAACTTTTGATTTAACCAATAATTTCAAATCAGCTGGTGTAAGTCCCTTTAATATATCCACTGTTTGAATCAACTTGACTTTAACTTTATATATAGTATAGTTAGATGGGATTTCACTCAATTCAGTCAGGAATTTATATGGAGGTTTAATAGATTTAAACTTTAAAGTAACAGTGGATACTTGTTCACTTTTGCCTTCTGGAGTAGGGAATTTGTAAGTGAATTTCGGTAAACTTGGACCTAAAGATTCCAACTTGTTGTAATCTTGTGTTGAGTTGAACTTATCTAATGGTTCATTTTTAGATAATTTCATTAATTCTAGGTATGTGTCAATGAATTTCTTCTCATCGGAAACATTGATAACAGCAGCGGTAGACATGGTTCTATTAATTGCAGGCTTGTTTTATTATCACCTGCTCATGTGTTCTTTTTTTTTTTTCATACACTTTTTTTTGGGCTGTCTAAGACTTGCTTTAATATTCAGAGGCGCAAAGTAGAAGGACAGAAAAATAATCCATACAAACCTTCTTTTCTTCTTTACTGATTCAAACAACCCATGAGTTTCTTCACTTCATTCAAGAATAAATATACACCATTGGGTCAAAATTCCGATGGTGCTCCATTACCACCACCGGTAACTCAACCGGAAAATACCAATTCTTTTTCTGCTAAATTGCAAAAATTGAACCCATTTAGATCACAATCAGTTTATTTGGAAGATGATGAAAATTATGTTACTTCTGACCCAGGAATGTTTGAATTACTGAGATGGGATAGAATGTTAATTTTTGCCTTATGTTTTGCTGGTTCAGTTTGTTGCTATTTAATCTGTATATTCTTATTCCCAGTCTTGTCATTAAAACCTAGAAAATTTGCCTTGCTTTGGTCAATTGGATCCATTTTATTCCTTGTGAGTTTTGGTGTATTGCAAGGTTTTCAAGCTTATATGGTACATTTATTTCTGGGTACAAGAATTATATTTACAATTGGGTTTGGCGCCAGTATTATATTGACAATCGTATCAAGTGTTGCATTAAAAAGTACATTATTATCAATATTATTTGCAGCTATTCAGTTGCTTGCTGCAATATGGTATGCCGTTAGTTATTTCCCATTGGGTCGACAAACATTAAATTTGGCTGGCAATGTCGCCAGAAGCCAGGTGGATACATGGATAAACAATTAACGTTCTAATATTACAAATGAAAGCACTTTTTTTTAAAAAAAAAGCATATTATACATTTTCTCTATTGATTATAAAGTTCAATAAATCCATCTTTCTCGAAATCTGGAAATGCAGCTTGTAAACCTTTCTCTACGACTTTGATAATCGCAGGGTTTGCATTGGTATCTTGCTTGGCAGTGTTGGACAAAGCAACAACTTTCTCACCAATAGCTTTCAATTTCTTTGAACCATCTCTGTTTAACACCTTCTCCAAATTCTTGATTGCTTGTAATGCCAAAACATATTTTCCTTGCAATAAGTACACTCTAAATAATACTTCCCAAGTCAACCTCAAGTTCTTTCCTTCTTCAATCAAAGGCTTAAATAGTTCAAATAATGCTTCTAAAATATCCTTTTCGGTCAAGTCGCTGTACAATTTAAGACCAAATGGATCAGCATCATCCTTTTCACTCTCAACTTTGTTGGCAAATCCGGATCTTTTCTTGTTCATTTGTGCTCTTTGTTTCTTTTGCTTTTTATTAGCATTGATGCTGTTATGTTTCTTTTGTTTGATATCACCATCTTCTCCATTTTCTGTGGCATGCTTCTTTTGTTCTTCATAAATTTCAAAATACAAATCAGACAACCCCTTCAAAGCTCTGGTGAAAATTGGTGTGGAATGGATTTTGTCTTCCCATTTCAAAGTATCAATATAATCTCTTGGTGTACCACGTCTCAAACAATAGGAATGGAAATCGTATTGATCATTGTAGAAAATATCAAAATTCTTAACTACAGCATGGAATCTCTTCAAGGCTAAACCTCTGTAAATTTCAACATTTTCAGCAAGTTCTTCGTTATCTTCTGCATTAGCCAATTGTTTTTGATAGTCGTGATAAATTCTGGCATATGCTTCAGCTGATTCAACCATAACCCAGTTGACTTGCATTGTGTGCAAATCTTTACAACCATTGATGGCCTCCTCATCCAACTTGGTAAACAATGAAATACAATCAATTGCTTCATCAACTTTATTGGCACGCAACAAATACTTGGTAGCCTTGGAATTGATAAAACGATCTTGCAAATCTAATAATCGACCTTCGTTCATGACTTCACTAGCTTTGACCAAATCTCCTTGGTGTTTAATAATTCTGGCTTTAACAATATACAATTCAACTAAAGTAGGAGAATGTTTGATGGCAGAATCAATATGTGCTAATGCTTGTGGCAAATCATTCTTACGCAAGTAATGTTGGGCAAGATAATAGTTAGTCCAGACTTTTATTGTTGGATTGGTTAATTTTGGCACGTCGTTTTCGTAAAAGTCCAAAACAATTGATTCAATAACATCTAATTTCTTTGCGTTCTGGTACAATGGTTTAACATTGACAAAGGTAGCAGGAACACCACGTAATAATTGAGGGATGATATAGTCACGGGCAGCCTTTTCAAATAAAACGCTATCAGATGGCAAGAAAGTTAATGGCAAAAACTTTGGTGGATCTGAACGAGGGTAGAATTTGCTCAATTTTTGGTACAACTTGAATCTAATTTCTGGAGATTTATTAGTTGTTTCCAATGCAGTTTCCAATAAATTGTAGTAAGAATGATTATCTGGATTTCTCTTCAACAATTCACGATAAACTAATGATGCTTCTTTCTTTTGGCCCAAAAGTAACAAATATTTGGCCTTGTATTCCAAATAAGACAAACGATCTCTAATGCTATCTTTATCTTGTTCCAATACCTCCAATGCTTTGGCAAAGTTACCCAGTTCCGAAATCAATTGATTTTTGTACAAGACACATTCATTGTGTTCATACATATCACTTTCAGTCAAATGTTCTTTAATGATATCCTCAATTTTGGTCAAAGTTCCCACGGCAGAGTTATAGTCCTTGTTCAAATGATGGGCAACAGCAAGACCGGTCCAATTGGCTCTGTAACCAGGGGCATGCTCCAAATATTGTTGTCTGCTATCCTTCAAATTTTTATAGTCTCTGTTTTGGACTTGCATGAATGACAAATCTCTTAAAATAGCCTTGTTGGTAGATCCATTTTCCATGGCAGCAGATAACCATTTTGATGCTTCCAAGTAGTCCTCATTAGCTCTATAGTACAACCCGATCAAATGGTCAACCAAGAAATTGGTTGGGTCTTTAGCAGCTGCTCTATCAATATAAGACTTTGCATCGTCTTTGTTTCCATTGGTGTGGAAGATAATACAACCTTTCAAAGCCAAGGATTCAGCATGGTTTGAATTCTTTTTCAAAGTAGCATCAACTAGTTTAAGGGCTTTCTTGTACTGCTTAGAATCGTACAATGACAATGCCTCTCTAAAGTTGCTGTCTTCTTTGGAAGTGAAAATTGGACTTCCCTTTTTGTTCACCATTTGTTTTATTGCTACTAGTGGTTGGTTTGTAGATTTGAAAAGTTGATAGAGAGATTTTTCGGAATCTAATCATACTTCCCAAAAGAACAAAAAGAAAATTTTTCTACGGCATAGAAATATGACAAACGTGCACGACTATTTAATGATTTCCATATTTTATTTTTCAGTTGAATTCGCTGCTGCTCCTCATTGTGACAAGTATAGAAAGAGGGACTGGGTTCTTCATTTTTTTTTTTGCCCTCACTTTAAATGATTAAGACAACATAAACAAGGAGTACAAACTGTCTTTTTTTTCTTTCTTTCTTGAATTTGGTTTGTTGTCGGTTGTGTAACTGCCACCCATTAATTTATATTTGATTTGATAATTTCAAATGATGGAATCCAGTGAACCATTCAATCCTGAGTTTACACAGGACGGTGAAAGGAGAATTCGCACCAAAGTAGCCTGTGACTATTGCCGTAAACGGAAGTCAAAATGTAACGGAGAGCAACCTTGTTCGAAATGTATTGATAGAGGCAGAGAATGTGCTTATACATATGTGCCCAAGGAAAGAAAGAGAAGAGAACGTAAAACCACCACTAATGGATCGGTTCGAAAGAAGAAGCAAATAAATGATAATAATGCAAATATTCAGCAATTGACTAGTAGAATAGGGTCACTTGAAAATTTGTTGGGCAAGTTAATATCCAGGTTGGGACCCTCAGAACAAGTCGCATTTGCCAAAGAATTGAATACCGTGGCTGATGCAGAACTTAAAGAAGGACAAAATAATTCAGAAGATTCCAGTGGACAAGATGACGACGATGATGATGATGATAAGGAGGAGGAGGATAATTATCATGAAAATGATGAATACCATAATGACCGCGATAGTGATGAAAGCGAGAATGGGCTCATGATCGATAGACAAGTGACAGATCCAAAACAATTAAAGGATGTGATGGCGCCAGCTGAAAATGGTTGTATAACAACTGCAAATATTAAGCGACGTTTACTTCAATATTTTGGTTCTCATGCTTTATTTTATTCGATATCGGCGAGATCCATTGAATGGTTAAAGGCTAGAATTCTGAACAGCAGTTCTACAAATATGAATGATATTTTTGCTCCATTGAAACATGTACCTTTGGCATTGAATGATGCGGTTCAAAAATCAACCACTTTGTTAAATAAAGAAGGACCTGTTGTAATTGACAAGAAAATATACTTTAGCCTCGATGAAAAACTGTTAATATTTGAGATTCTTGACAAGTATTATAACCAATTGTCACTTGCTCCGTTCTTGTGTGAAGTTTCTACCATACGTGAATTGTTCCAGAGATATTATCTTGGTGTGAGCAGGAACGATGAAACAATAATCAATGCTATTACATACAGTGACTTGTTGATTATGAATATTTCTGTTGTTTTATGCCTAGCAAATATTCCAGCTGGGGACGAAATCGAAAGTCTACTATACCCAAATTTATCATCTAAATCCATCATTTATTTACAGAATGATATGCTTAACCGCTTGTTTGATAATGCAATGGAATGTTACGATAAGGTCTCTCGTGTATGTGAAGGGGTTAGATCAGTGATTGCATTGTCCTTGCTTACATTGTACGTTGATATCGTCTATGTTACTGATTTTCATATCAACTACACCATTGCTAGTATTTTGATCAGGTATGCTAAAGAAATTGGTATTCATAGAGTGGATTCGCTAGTGAGGGATAATGAAATTGATTCTTGCACAAAGAGAAAATTGTGGTGGTTCTGTGAGTATCTTGGTGTTGATATAACATACCGAAGCGGTAAGCCTATGTTAATTAATATGGACGATGTGACTACATTGACAGAGCTTGATGAAGAAAGTTTTATTTCAATTCCAACCACGTTGTTTTTCGACAATAGTTATTTGAAGAACGCTAATGAAATTGCTGCAAATAGTCGAATTCATGGTCCGCATTACTATTTTGCTTATTTTCTTTTGATGTTGTCAAGAATAAAAGCCAAAGCATATAGAAAGATCTACTCCAAATTACCATCCAGTATAAATGTTCAAGGGTTATTAACTTTTGTTAATGAAATCAATGATGATTTGAAAATTATGAACAAACTTATGCTTCCTGAAACAGCACCAATCAGCAAGATAGAAGGTGGTGCACGATATGACGAGAATCCATTTTCATGTAATCAGTCGCTTTATAATTACTACGTGGTTCAAATCAAGATGTCGTATTTTGCCCATTTATTGGCTGTGAATAGAGTTCCTTTTGTAAAGAATTTTGAAATCCAAGATGAAGGATTGGTCAATTATGGGAACTTTTCTCTTAGTGGAGCCAGAAGAATGTTGGAGGTTGCGAAAGATATCCAATCGTTCCATATCCCAAATCGATTGTATTCAACAATATTGTTCTATCCAATGGCTGCATTCTGCAGTTTACTTGGTAATTGTTTGGTTCTCCCAACAACGGCCAGTAGTTTAGATGATTCAATTCTAATATGTGAGGCAACAATTGCGTTTTTCACACTGAATGGTATGTCCGAAAGAATGGATACAAAGAGAGCCATCTACGATCTTTTATCAAGGCTCTTGTTGCGTGTTCTTATTGATTCTATGGATAAGCAAGCAGGTATAAATTTATACGAAAAAGTGCCTGGTTTACAAAATCACATCTCATCATTATTCACTTTGTTTCCAGAAGTGTTCATTAATGGAGAAGATAAAATGATCAGTTTAATTCCAGAGAGCCCGGGCCGTACTTACAGTAGTGGTTCATCCCCAGTAACGAGTCAGAAATATTCAAATAGTGAAGGAGGCAAATATAGTGCACCAAGCAGTGCCACGATGGTTGACCATTTGGATGCACATGGGGTGTCTAGATCACCAGTGACAACGACACCTGGATTTAATTTTAATAATGAGAATATGATGTTGATGAATGGGAACTATGATCTATTCAATAATGTGAATTTTGAGTCCATTCTTACAGATGATGCACTTAGCAACATGTTCTTCAATGAGTTGAATGAGTTTCCTAATGTGTTTGATAATGCTAGTACCAATAATTCAAATGGATATAGTGAGCTGCAGGGTGCATAGAGCGGGTATACGTTATTTTCTTGGGGGCGAGTTACCCGTCGGAGAGCCCCGATGAGTGACACTTTTATCCGTGAAAAAATATCCGGTGTACCCAAAGTTAATTATCCGTTCCGAAAGTTAAATTGATCAAGCATAGCCTCGCATCGGCCGTTATGTAACGATTCAAAATATGGCGCAAAATGGCGTTCATAGATGTAAGATTCAGATGTGACATAAGTTTTCTTTTAGGTATATAAATATTTGTGTGTGATGTTTTCAATGTATATATTCTATTGCAGAACGAAATTGTTTCTAAACATAGTTGGGTTTTTTATCACATTAGGGAAAACTAATCCCGCAAGTTTGAAAATTGAAATCATTGAACATCAAACGGAATGGAACTTAAAAAAAAAGCAAAACACGCAAATAGCTGACGCTGATTAATTAAGGTTGGTTTAGCTAGTGATTTAAAATATGTGGGAAAAAAGATATGTTCTGATGAATTCTGACAATTGAAAGTGCTTCACATGTCAATTTTCCTCTCTTATTATATCAGGACTGTAATTGACACATAAAAAATGTTGCATCTCTATAATGTAAAAGGTAGTATTAATATTAGAATAAGAATTAATCTTCTGACAAAAAGACTAAACAAAAATCAGGTCTATAAACTTTGAATGCATATCACTAAGCCAAATAAAAGTGCAAAATTTTTCAGGTCAAACTTGTCCAACAAAATGATCATTGGATATTCATATGGACTACATGACGGGAGGGAATAATAGACACTTGTAGTCGGTGTAAAATACCTCTAAATATTTTATTTATTAAAGATGCTTATATAAAATTAATATCCCTTCATTCAATAATAATTATAACAGTAGTTTAAGATTTTTTAGATCCATATGATTCAATACGGAAATAAGGGAAGTCGTGCAGATTTGACGCGGAGCAAATTTCCTTTTCACAGTTAGATTTTTTTTTTTTATTTTATTTATTTATTTGCTTCTGGACTTGCCATACTTTCTATTTTTCTACTTCTCACCTTTAAATACGACATTGAATTTCTCTAATCATTTGGGGCTTTTTTTAAAAAAAAATTTTTTATGTCATTTTAATTTGGGATTATTCATTAGGAATTGATTTATAATAGAAATGTCATTTGAAGAAACTACTATGGGTGATTCTTGTAGTGAGTCATATTCTGAAAATTATTCCAATCAAATCGAATTAACAGGAAATGATCCAAATGATACAACGAGAAAAAGAATTCGAGTTGCTTGTGATACATGTCGAAGGAAAAAGATAAAATGTAACGGGACATTTCCTTGTGCAAATTGTGTTCAAACTAAAAATGAATCAAGTTGTCATTATACTGAACGTCCTATGAAGAAATCAAAAATTGTCAAAGATAAGAAGGAAACTCTGATATCTAACAAAAAAGATGATGTAATATCTGTTACAAGTAGTAATGGCGACAATAATGAATTAAAACCAAAAGATAAACCCACAACAAAGTCTAAATCCAAATCTAAGAGTCATTCAACTGGTGATATTGAATCTAGACTAAGCTCAATAGAAAATTCTATTCTGAGAATGATGTCAGTTATGGAGAAACTTCTGGGGAAGCTAACTTCTCAAAGTAATGGAGAACAAAATATTACGGAAGATGAAGAACCTGAAATTCGAGATCACACAACAACACCATCAGATTTACAAAATCCCAAGAAAGATTTTAATGATTTAGTAAATTTAAGAAATTGGGACGAGTTTGTGGGTACTCATTCAATAGCTTGTATTTTCTCAAGGGATTCTTTAGCATGGATGGAACGTGCTTTAGGAGAATATGGAGTGGAATATCTAACACCCATAAGAAACTTACCACTTGTATTTTTCTCGGAGATGAAACCGTATATTTTAAAATGGGTGGATCCTCCTGTTGTTGATAGACACCAAAAAAGAAGGTTGATGGAGACTCCATTCCCTTTGGATGAGAAGTTGGTCATGGGATTGGTTAATTTGTATTATGAAGAAACATCAATTGTGAATACAATTGTAGAGGAGTCTTGGATGAGAGAATTGTTTACTAGTTATTTTAAGAATTTAAAAGAAACGGATGCCCGAAAAAGGCGAAGATACAGGTTACCAGAATTATTATCTATGACTTGTGTTTTACTTATAGCATTGACTTGCAATACAGAAGATGGTTTGTTTAATTATGATCCTAAAAAATTCCCCAATGAGTATTCTCCAGCTGGTGCATTATTAGATGGTTATAGCAGAAAAATGTTGACAGAGTTGCAGGAAAAATTATTTGATAATGCAATTTATTATTACCAACGTGTATCAGTAGTTAGTGAAGGTATTGAAACAATTGAAGCCTTGTTGTTGTTGATTATTTGCATAGAGTCTAATTGGTTGACAAGTTTTCTTAATAGTTCTCCAATAGCGGTTGCCATTCGATTTGCACAAGACCTTGGATTACATCGTGCAGAATCCTATTTAAATAAACCATTGAAGGAACAAGAAAGGAGAAGAAGAGTATGGTGGTTCTGTTATTTCTTTGATATTGAGTTTTGTTTCAAGTCAGGTAAACCGCCAATGATTAACTCAAGTGATGTTACTACGAATAGTGATGAAGATTTGTTGCAGTATTTCAAACTAACTGCTGCTGAAGCACCACAATCTTCGGCATTGACTTCGGTATTTCAATCGATTGTCGATGATGTATTAAGATCAACCACAGAACAATCGTCAATGAGTTTAGGCATATTGCGACAGATCCAATATGGAGGGTACATCAATAATCCGATGTATTTTCATTTCAGTGTTTTGTTGTTGTCTAAAATTAGGTCAAACTCGTATCACGAACTTTTTGTTGCATCAGCTCAGAAAAAAAGCTTCAATGAAATATCAAATACTTTGGAAAAATTGAATCAAGAAATGATGCAGTTGGCAGCTCATTCAGCAGAGGCAATCAAACCAAGATTTCATAATGATTTGAGATTCCAAGTTTCTGACACAGACAATTCTATTTCAAGAAAAGAGACAATTTTGTCATTCAAGCTTTCATTTTTCTGTCATTTGATGATTATTAATAGATATCCATTTATGATTAGTACCAAAGATTCATTATTAGATGATAGAATTTTACAATATAGAAATCTTTCATTAGACTCGGCAAGAACCATTCTTTTGCTTGTCAAACTGTGGGATAGATCATCAGCAACGGCGATTTTCTTCAATTGGGCACTTTATTTTCCTGTTGCAGCATTTCTTGTATTATCAGCTGCTATTTTGAATCATCCATCATTAGCAGAATCGCAACGAGATTTATACTTGTTGATTGATATTGCTTTATCTTATTTCAGTTGTTCCAATGAATGGAAACATAGTGATCTGTTCATCAACAAGAAGACAGTCATATATACAAATAAGGCATTGTCGATAGAATTAATTATTAGATTGATGTTAAGGATAGTTATTAAAGTGTTTGAAACTCAAACTGGTATTTCAATTTTGGACAACAATCAAATTTTGAAAGATTATTTGAAAGAAGCCGAGACAAAGTTTCCTGAAATTTTCCAGAATCATCAAGAATTCACTTCGCGAATGATGCAGGTAGTTGGTGCGTCGCCATTTGGTAGTTCTGGTGATGAGTATACCAACAAAAGAACTGGTGCTAGTCCAAGAAATGCATCAGCATATAGTGCCAAATCTCCTAGTTATAATCCTTCTTTGTCAAATATTATTAATAATGATGTAAATGGAGTCACAAATGGAAGTTCTGGTAGTGTTACAGGAAGTAGTAATAGTCCAAATAATGGTGTTAATTTGCAACATGCATCAACTCCGAATGGAGGTATACCCATTTCCAACGGTTATGATTTTCTAAATGAATATGTGGGTGGCGATGCATCGTCGTTACCGTTTGGGCAATTTGATAATTTACCGAACTTTTTCTTTGATAATAATCTTGGTGTATAATCAAAGGCATGAAAAATAAAAATAAAAATGAAAACCAGGTCATAATTGCATTTGGTATGGATATTGTGTTGGTTGGGTTCGGGATATATTTTTTTCATTGATTATAATTCTTTTTTTTGTCCCGAGATCCGTATACGCAAGGCTCAATGTTTGTGTCGGAGATTCGTATATGTATGGATGTAAAATATTTTGCAACTATAGACGATATTTCATGATCATCCCTGCCGCATAATGTTTTTCCTTTTTTTTTTTTTGTATTTTCTTACTTCGTCTTTTATAATGTACTGCCCCTTCTATGCTTCTCTTTCTGTTTTCCCCAGCCCTTTTTGTTTAGTCCATTTTAGTTTTCTTCTAATTGGAGTTCTGGAACATGTCACATATATGTGTGTTCCTATGTCTGGATGTGTATGTGTCTCTGAAAAGTGTAGATCTCGTAGTTAAGGGATTCGATATCCTTCATGAAACATACATTATGGGTTAATTTTTGAGCACTACCTTATTGAATCAGGTTTTTTTCATTTTCTGTTCTTACGTTTCGTTTTTTTAAACTAATTTATAAGAAACGAAATAATCTAACTAAATCTTATTCCCAGGAGAACTAAAAGTCAGTGGACATGTCTTTTTGAATGAAATTTAAATGATAACTTGAACAATAAAAGCAAAAATAAATTCATTTCGTAATATCAAAAACTATTATTAAAATAACACCCAGACACACATACAGTCATCACAAAGAGTAAAAAAAAGTGAAACAATAAAAAAAAGGCAGAAGAAGGGAAAATTTCACATCTCTGACACAGTTGAGATAAGTGTCACAAAGCTTAACAAGTTGCAAAAAAACATGGCAAGAGTAAACGAACTTCATGTAATGCAAAAATCATTAAATATGAAAAAAAAAAAAATAATGATAATTGTATTCATTCAATTCGGTTATGAAATCTTAAACAAAATAAAACACCATATGCATATCAATGTGTAAAAAAATAGACAACAGAAAAAGGGGTGTAATGAAATATTCATGCAGTTATTTGTTTGGAAATGTGAAATCCTTTCGGTAATTCATGCCATTTTTTACGATTTTGATTGAATATTCATGTACTTGCTTCATGTGTTTTTGATTAACAATAGGTTTTCGACTTATGGTTACGAACTCTTTAAAAATTTTGTATTCTTTTCTTCAAAAATATATATGCATGAAATTGTCATGGAAACTTAAAAAGTTAGAACCCCCACCCAAAAAACAAAATAAAAAAATTATTATAACTGAAAGTTATTCTGGTTATATGTTGTTTGAAATGTTTACTTTCTGAACAGTGTTCCGAAATCCTCCTCCAAAACAAACTCTCATACTTGAACATTCTTCAAAGGAAAGAGGGGCTGTAGCCAATGAATGATAGTCAGTGTGTATGGTCAACAAAATTAGCTTTTTTTTAAAGAAAACCTCTACGGAACACAATATCATTAAGTAAAGTTGCGTTTCAGCAATAGAGATGAATTTGGGAGATTGGGATTTTTCTGATTTTTTTTTTTTTTTTTTTTTTTTTCATTAAGATTTATTTATTTTTATAACGATTAAGCAACTTTAACTTTTCATATCTGCTTGTTTCTTTTTCCGTGCTACATATTACAATCATTTCTTTTCCCACAATTTCGGTTCATCTCCTCTTTGTTATTGGTGATTTATGATGTCCTGTGAGACAATTGTTATGGAAATACCATTGATTCATTTCTAGAAACCTTCCTGAATAAACACTTACCTGGGAAATATTCTAATCATTTTCTTTTTTTTTTATTACAAGTGCATGGAAGAATCATGCAATCTTATCACGTTGTATAATTATAAAGAACAAGGGTTAGTCGGATATCTATCTACTAACACAATGCATGCAATTTATCAATAGGGTAAACCTTCTAGATAGAAATATTTTGTTTCACTTTTTTTTTTCTTTTTCTGTTATATTTTTGACCAGGGTTACTTTCCTCACCATTAGAACAAGTTTATAGGGGGGATATAGGAGGTCAAAGGAAGTATTAGCGAATATGGGTACCACGAAGATCAAGACTGGAACTAAAGTTTTATATTTTTTTTTCATTATAAATTGTGTATTTGTTTTGATTTAGGAACATGTTTTCAAGATTTCGCCTATTTTTTATTCCGACCCGAAGATGATCGAAGATAATTATGGACAACACAAGAACAACTGCTAGGTTCATTAAAATTTGAGGTTTTCCGAACTCCCTTTGGTGAACCTAAAACTCTCGAATCGAATCGAAATGAAAAAAAAAATCAACTCCTTTAATTTTTTTTTCTTCAGTTTGACCTTAAATTTTAGAGGTACATGAAGCCACAAAGCAGTGTATGTTAAGTATATACAAGCAAAGGAAATGGAAATGGAAATATAGGAAATTAGGAAAATTGATAATATGAAAAGATGTAAACTTAGTGGAAAATCAATGATACTCAAGTGGGGAGAAAATTACCAAAATTAAATGGGCGTATACAAAGGAAATTGGTTCATTTGATAGTAGAAACAGTTGGTACGTTTCTTTTTTGGGGGAGAGGGTTAGTTTTGTCTATTCAAAATTTATTGCTGAATAATATTCCGAGAAATCAGTGTTTTTGCGCTTGATATCTTTATATATATCTGTACATATCTGTATATATGTATATATATATGTGCAATAAAGTTAAAGAGAATATCTCAATTCTGTTTCACAATTGCTCCCGTGGAATGTATTAACGAGTTTGAAATTTTTTTTTTTTTTTTTTTTTGCACAATGATAAAAGAAACAAGAAAAATTGTTTGTCATAAATAATTATAAGCAAGATTACATAAACAATTAAACGGCGAGACAACACAAATGACAATTCACACTTTTCCAAAAAGCCACATGGAATCAACCATGGATTTTTCTATTCCATCGGGAAGAAGCAGACCATTCACGAATTCTACTGTAATGGAATGGGATCAAGGAGTTGTCTTGCCGTTACGTGATATATATATAAGACAAAATCAGTGTATCATTGAAGTCATTAGGTAATGAATTGGGCATTGCTATGTTTCTCTCTTGTACCTACCCCTTTTTTAGTTGCAATTTTTATTATAATTGTTGTTGCACTTGTCGCCACTTTCTAAAAAAAAATATTATATGTGTTGATAATAATGATAATAATTATAATAATATTGTTGCATAAGGTGTATCCTTATTGTTTTTGTTGCTCTTGATTCCTCTTCTTCTTTGTCGCAACTTTATCTATATTTGGCAGTTATAAAACGGAACTTGGCCATTATTCAAATTTAATTAAGGTTTACAACAAGCGAGATAACCGGATATATGATTACAAATAGAAGGATCATAGTTATTCTCAATGCTAACCAATTGAAAGTATCTTCCACTATTAACCTCAAGTCTTTTATAAATCAAATTAATGATGCATCAACTAAAAATCATAATTTTATGCATTCTGTATCACAGACTAAGCCAATTTCAGGTAAAAGTTGAAAGAGCAAGAAAACTTATAATAACCGCTGAGCAATCTAAATGTTGTGCATTGCATATCTATTTTTGTATTGTTGTATAATTTTTACAGGTTCTTATGCTCCTAACCGCCAATAATTCTCTAGGCAAAGAGTTTGTTAGTTGAAAATACACACATTTTTACTGAAAAAGATATACAGTTCTGTCTAAAGTTTCAAGCGCCCTTGATACTTTAGGATATACACTCTTTTATTTTTTTATTTTTCTAGTTTTTTTTTAAAGATTTGTCCGCCGAGGTTTTTGCACCTTTTAGTAGGGTACTAAATCACACTTGTGATCTAATTAATGAGGTGCTTAATTTTGCTTTGGGTAATAGGAATTAGCGGACTTTCAATGGCATATGGTTCGAGCATTTCCGTCACAATATCATTTTTATCACAAGTAGTTTGGAATTCCAGTTTTTACTCAACACCGCACTTGTTGATCAACCATTTTGCCCAAGTTTTTTTTTTTTTGGTGGTTGTTCTCAAACAATGTTGAGTGGAATTTTAATTGAGTTTTTGGTTACAGGTATTGTTTTCACACTGAGTTATTGTCCTTGGCAGATTAAGAATGGGAGAATACACAGTACTGATGTGTCATGTTCACTAATTTTTATTTTGTTTTTTTGCTTTTTTTTGACAATGACAGCAAAAACATTAAAATTTCATGGGTCTAAGTGGAAAAACCAAATAGAAGAATAAGAAGGCTGTGAATTTAATTGGAAATGTGTAAACTCGTAACACAAGACTAAAACATTATCAGACAAGAGGACGGAAATGTAATATATTTATAGTGATAGGCTAACCCTAAAAACGTCAAATTGATTTTGGATGTTCTTGGAAGAGCCCCCAATGCTGTGATGTTAATAAAGGCATATCCAATATTATTTATTATTTATTATTATTATTATTTTGGGGATTAAATAATAATAATAATAATAAACCACACGAAAAATTATATCGCACAAATTATTCGCCACAAGAAGGGGGCGGACGTACCTCCCCTGCCTTACGCTGCATTAATCCTCATTTAGAGTACAACCTTCTGTCCACATAGTCGTCTTGAATATAATTACAAAAGTCTATAATAGCTTTCATTCTATCAGAAATTTCAGTTCAAATTTTACTTTTTACTTTGGCTTGCTTTGCTTTTGTTTGTCATTTTGCATTGCTACTGTGAGTGTATTGTTTGAAAAAAATAATCATCGACACAGAAAGTAAATCGGAAACGCTCGAGTATTGATCGATCAAACGCGCATATCCATACACGGATATGTATCTAGGAAATGTATCTTGGACATTCATTGGAAATATCAGAAATTACAATGAGTATTTCCAATGGATAACGACTAAGGGTAATGGTATAGAAATCTTGAGGAGTTGGTCATTCAATTCGGTTCAAGTTGATTGCTTCAAAGGGTCTTTCAGTATAATGAAGTAATTATTCTTATTATTAATATACAGTCGTTGCAGTTTTATTTCGCGCTTGTTTGAGCATAATTTTCAGATCAGTGAGTCAAAATTATTCGCACTATTTGCAAAGAAAAGTTCATATTAAGGCGGTCAATATTTTTGATACTAGTACGCAAAAAATGTTCATATTACGTGACCTCTATTTGTTCATACTGAAAATGTATGATATATGGTATGAACAAAAAAGGGCAGCTAGTTTGAAAGTATTATTTCCGCTGGTGTGAACATTTTGACTCCATTTACTATGAACAATTAATCTCCTTTACTATGAATTAAATTGTCGCACTAGTATTAATAATTTCTTTGAACTTGGTACGAACTGAAAGTAGAAACACTGTATACTTTTTTTCTTTCTTTTTCAGTAAATCCGACAATCCAAAATGTCTCGTGAACAACGGCTATTAAATACCAATTTAAAAAAAAAAAAAAAAAAAAACACAACAGAAGTGACTTATTGTTCGTTTATAGTGTCAAAGTTCATTAAGCAAAAGCAAATAACTAAACTAAATTGAAGCCGACTCAGATTTTTCGTTTTTCCATCAATTTTTTTTTTTTTGCCCAAATATGTTTGCTGTTGGGGGATAGAGCACTTTGGCTTAGACCTCACAAGCTATATTTTTTTTTGTTTCTTTCTTTCTTTATTTTATTTTCATTACTCACCAAGGGTTTTTGTTCTATTTTTTTTTTTCATGCAATATCAACATCGTTTTTTATTTGAGGAATTACTAAATCTGTCATTGACATACTTCTGATTGGTGATTAGTTTTCAATTAAAAAAAAGCCTTTAAATACGCTTTAAATACGCTTTAAGTCGTTTCCTTTTTTTTATATGATCCTAGCTTAGATTTACTCACTACTGTTAGATACAAGAAAACTAAAAAAAAAAAACCTAAATCTAAACCTAAAAAAAAAATTCCAAACAATAACAAATATTAAAATATAATAATAATAATAATAATTATAAACTATGGACCCCCCTTCGGGTGTCTATTTGCACCATTCACCAAATGAAAAGTCTACAAATAAACTGTCTATGAAAATTATAGAACCTAATGATTTTCCTAAACCTTCAAGCCATGCCCCGGAATCTCATGCAAGTTCAAGCAGTAGTACTATAACTCAATCTACTGCATCTTCATCTGGTGAACTACCAGTTCCTCCTCCTAAAAAGAGAGCCAGGATATCTAAAGCTTGTCAGCATTGTCGTAAAAAGAAGATTAAATGTGATGGTGGGAAACCTTGTAATAATTGTGTTCAATCCAACGGAGGTAATTGCGTTTATGAAGAAGATCCTGAAAGAAAAATCAAAATACCAACAAAAAGAAAAACCCCGGGTACTTCAAAGACTCCAGTTAAACAAACTCAAACTATTAAAGAATTAGATGAGAGATTGCTGCGAATTGAACTCATGTTGAGTGATTTAACCACTGAATTACAAGCGTCAAGAGTGAAACCACCTGTTGTATCTGATACTACATTAAGTGAAATAACTGAAGAATCAGAAGCAGAAGATCCACAATCAAACCCAGAAATTGAATCCAATGCATTGAGATCATATGCTGCTAGTCATGTATTTTCCAAAGAATCGGTTAGTTCTATGCTACTGTTTCTAGATGGAAAAGACGAAACTGCCAAACAGAAATATGAAGAAGATATCAATAGTATGGGTGAGATCTACAATTACTATGCCCAGGCTTTCCTAGATACGGTCTGTCAACCAATTAAAACAAGACTCCGGAAAAGGTTTGAATTGATGGATAGTATATTTACCGATGAGACTTTACCATTAGCCATATTGAATCACTATTATGACCGAATATTTTTCCTTAGATTAATTATTGATAGAAAGTACCTTGTGGAGCTTTTTGAGAAGTATTATAAGGAGAAAAACATGCCTAATAGACAGGTATTCAAATGGAGTGAATTACTAATCATGTCGGCTGCAATTGGTCTTACTGTTTCCTTGATCCTAGATGAAAGAAATATGGGTAAAACTGGAGAGTCAGAATTGATCAACAATTTGAATGATGTTCAACTAGTCGAGATTAATTCTAAATGTTTCTACTCAATGGTTCTTTATTATAATCGATTGTGTTTCATAAGTGAAGGTCTTTCAAGTATACAGGCATTGGTGTTTTTTGTTATTTACTTGGAATCCATCATTTCCTCAGTTAGAGTTAACTTGATTCCGTTAACAATTGCTGTCAAATATGCTCAGGATTTGGGATTACATCTACACGAAACATACCAAGGCTTAAGTTGGGATGAGCAGGTGATGCGAAAGACACTTTGGTGGTTTTGTGAGTACTATTCAATAGAATATAGTACAAGGGCAGCTCAGCCACTTAATTTGACATTAGATGAAATTATGAGTTTAGAGGATGTGTCTAGTAATGCCGTCATTAAGTCGAATTGGAGCTTACTTGAATCTTATTTCAAATCGCCGAACGATAAATCTATCCTTTCAAAAATTCATGAAACAAATTCCACGCATAAATGCGTATCCTACATGATGTATTGTCTATCTAAAATTAGAATCAAATCGTTTGATCTGTTGTACAAGTCAAACTGTAAGATGACCGTTGCACAATTGATTAATAATCTTGAATTGTTAAATGAAGAAATGAAAACAGTCAATAATGCACCTTTGTCCTTCAAGTTTTATGATGATGATCAATTCATGTTCAATTCTAAAAAATCGGTCTCATTAGTTAAGAGATTGGATAATGGTTATGAAAATTATTTATTTCTGAATTTTGTTTATTTTCAACATCTAATGACTATCAATAGGATCAAAATCCCATCAACAGCTGCCAGAAAATACATCGAAAAAGTGAATGAATTCACATCAATTGCAAACAAATCAGCAAGGACTGTTTTACACATAGCAAAATCGCTTGAACTTGATGAATTGCCTTCCACTACATACAGCTCGATTTTGTATTATCCTTATTTTGCATTCTTACACCTTGCAACTTCTTGTATTTCTCATCCTCATCAATCTGATATTGAGCAAGATTTAAAATTACTTATTGATGTGTCTATGTTCTTTTTTGCCTACAAACTCGATTCTAAAACTGTACGAATCAAAAGAAATTGTGTACGTCAATTGTTTTATGATTTATTGACACGGTACTTGTTAAATATTGTGATTAAGTTAATTGATGGTGAAGTATCAAAGAGATTATTCAAAAAGTATAAAAATCTTAAAAATCATCTTAATATGTTGTCAAATTTTAAAGAATTTTTCATTGAGGAAAATCAAATTGGTATAAATAAATCACACACAAATCAAGTGTTGCGGAAATGGTTCAGTCCTTATGAATTAGTTAAAACGAATACTGGTAATATCAATATTCGTAACAATTCTTCCACTCCTGTATCAATATCTGAAAACATCACTTCACAACATCATCAATCATCAATACCTCAAAATTCTCAATCTATTCCAATTAATGAAAATAATCAAAATAATAATCATACTTATCAACAATTAGGATTACCTCCTCAACAACAGCAACAACAACAACACTATAATGAATACAATTCAGAATATCGGGACTCTTCAGCATCTTCCATGCAACAAATGTTTCAATTTCCAATTCATGGACCTGATCCAAATTCAGCTTCTAGTCCCGGTCAAGCTGCTGCCCGTGGACATACAGCATATAATAGAGACCAATATCCAACTGAATCTTTATTACCTACACAACAACAACAACAACAACAACATATATCAAATCATCAGACACCTATGAGCATAACTCCACAACTTCCTCAACCTCCTCCTCCTCAGGTTCCACAACAACAAGGTATGCTTCCCGTTGAAAACATATTTCATCACACATTAAGTGGAATTGGTTTAAATACAAATTTCATTAATTTTGATGAAGTAGATGATTATAATGAGAATTTTTTCAATCCAAATACGAGTCAACAACAACAACAACAACGACCTCTGTGATATCATTTATAATTTTTTTTGGTTTATTTATGTTGAATTATTATTTATTGATTTTTCTTTTTACTTTAGTATTTACAATATACAAATAACGACAATATTACTTTATATTCTCACGGTTTGTCTATCTAGTACGAATAACACCTGCAGCAATCAACATGTTGATTTTCTTTGCAACATCTGGGTTTTTCATATGATCTTGTAAGGCAGCTGGATTATCTCTTGCTTGGGCCAAAATACCATTCATGACTGGATCTTGTAAAATAGAAACAATTTCTGGATCTTTGGAAACTCTTTCCATGGTTTGTTCTGGAGTTTCACCTTCAATGGCTCTAAATCTTTGGAAGGTGATTTTATTCAACATTTCATCAATTTCATGAATTGATTTACCACCAATTTCTAAATCAACTTTTCTAGCTTCGGTTAAAGTTTCCATAGCTTTTGAATATTCCTTCATCATTAATTGACAATTAGCTTTTCTAATATAAGCTCTGACAAATTTAGGATCTTTTTCAATAGCCAAGTTACAATCTTGAATGGCATCTGGGAATGATAATAATTTGGCCAATGCAGCAGCACGATTAGAATAACCTCTAGCATCTTCAGGTGCTCTCTTGATCATTTCAGTATAGGATTTAACAGCATTTGGCCAGTCACCTTTGGTGAAATATTCCTTACCTTCTAATCTGGCTTCTTCGGCCTTTTCTGGATCAACATAAGCATTTGCTTCTCTAGTTTTGATTTCACGTTGTGTAGCTCTCAATTTGTTTAAAACATCAGGAGTACGGTGTTCAGTTAAAGATTTATCAAAATACTTAACAGCTTGTGGTAAATCATCCATTTTCAAATATGTATTACCCAATCTGGCAAATGATTTAGCAATCAATTTATAATCAGCACGCATATCTCTACCTTCATCGACTGCCTTTTCACAAGTGGCAATGGCAGCTTGGTAATCACCCTTTTCATATTCAGCAGCAGCACGGTTGTTCAAATAAGTGATGTCTTTATGCAAATCCCAAGCTTTTTCATATTGAGCAATAGCTTCATCAAACTTACGTTGCTTGTACAAGGTGTTACCTTCAGCTTTAGCTTTATCAGCTTCAGTCTTGTTATCATCAGAAGCATCAGTCATTTCAACATCTTCGTCTTGCTTTGGTTCTGATTTGACTTCTTCTTTTGGTTGCTCCTTTGGTTGTTCTTTAGGTTCTGGTTTGGATTCTTCCTTTGGTTGTTCTTTTGGTTCTTCCTTTGGTTCTGGTTTGGCAGTCATATCAATATCAAGACCCATCAAAGTGGCAAAGACAGTTAAAATTCTTGGATCACCCAATAATTCTTTTGGATCACCACTATTTGGATTACTTCTGATTTTTTCAATTTTTGCAACAAATTGAGGATCATTCATAAATTCACTAGTTTTTGGATTATTTCTCAATTTAGTGTATAATTCTGGATCATTAAACATAGTAGTTAATCCCAAATCTGGTTTATTGTTTCTATTAAATTCAGCTTGTTCAACAGATTTAAGACCTTCTTTAGCCATGTTATTGTTTGGATCCAAACTTAAACATTTATTATAAGATTCTTTAGCGGCTTCCAAGTTGCCTAATCCAAACTCGGCAGTAGCTAATCTAGTATATCCTTTTGGCCAAGATGGATTAATTTTAATACATTCTTGAGCGTCATCTAAAGCCTTGGTGAAGTTTTTCAATGAAGCATAAGAACCAGAACGGTTAGAATAAAGAACGTGATTTGGTTCTGGAGAAACTTCAATAGCTTTGGTGAATGAGTCAATTGCTTTTTCAAATTCTTTGGCAGCAAAGTATTTGTTACCTTCTGCTTTATATTCATCAGCTGTAGTCATGTTTGATCTAAAGAGTTGGTGTTAAAAGAAAAAGTGGGTTTAGTCATTATCGTTGAATGATTTTCTTTTTTTTTTTTTTTGTCTCCCTCCTTCTAATTCCTTGCGCAGAATTTTCACGCTGGCCGATTTTTTTTTCCAGAATCTTCTACAAATTCAACACTAAGTGTACTTTCAAATATGACTGCAAAATCAAACACCAATTGTATAATAACGAAAGAAGTAATGTATAACCTATGAATTCTAAATAAAATAAAAAAACCAAGGATAAATAATATATAAAGGAAACTATTGATATATAGGAACTAAAAGAGAATCTAAAAAAAAAAGCTAATAATAATGAAAAAAAAAAAGAAAATACTAAGAATGATAATAATAAAAATAGCATGCACACATTAAATAAAAGGTCAAAATAACAAAGTAACAAATGGTTGACTGTGTCAATTTAAACTACTTTCAATAGCTTGATTCACTAGGTCTAATGGATAAGCTGGGCCATAACCATGGCATCTTTCGGCACCTTTCAATCTTTCCATAACATCACTAAAATCAATGGAATTGAAATCCAAATCAGCTTCTTCAGCTTTTATTTGTAAATAATCCCATACTGCTCCAAGAGCCAATAGTTTACATCCATCATTATCAGCATAGACTTTATTTTTATTCTCTTCTTTTAGTTTATGATCAGTACCACGTAACACATGTTTGATAAAATCATCTTGGGTTTTAGGGAAATTAAATTTGTTTACTGGTGTGATATGCGGATGACGTGATGGAAATGCTCCTCCACTATGTATATCTCCACTACTTCTTAAAATTTCATTTTCTGTTGTTATCGAGATATTTTGTTTTCTAATAATCTCCAACTGGTCCATTAATTTTTGTCGTTCTTCTTCACTTTGCAATAATTTAGCTTCCAATTCCTTCAATTTTGTTTCTTTACGTTCTCTAAATGCTCTTTGCGCAGCTCTATTTTGGGCTTTTCTTTTTAATTGCAACTCTTCCTCAGTCAACTCTGAATCGTCTCTTGCTATTAAAATAGCGTCTTGTTCATCCAACATTTGTCTCTTACTTCTTTGAGAAGATCCTCTCTTTGAAGGTTTTGTGATTCCAGCAACTTCAGTAATACTATTCTGGCGACTAGAAAGACGTGGCCCGATACCACCTTGGATACTTTCGGACAAACTATTCTGACGGTAACTAGATGTGGCATCAGTGAGACTGTTTTGGCGGTAGGGACCAGGAACAGACATTTGTGGAGAAGTAGATAACGAAGATGGTACAAACATATTACCATTGGTTGGTTTAGTATCACCATTAAAGGTGCTGGCAGCTTCTGATGCACCTGGGGATATGTTCAATCCATTCGGTGATGATTCTGAAGATGATCGAGGATAGGTTTGAAACGTCTCACTATCATTAGTGTATGGCTGTGGAGGAGGTGAGATATTAGCACCACCTTCAAAATAAAACTCATCATGAATATCATTATTATATTGGTACCCGCTTTGACCATGAGCTTGTGGAATGTTTGTTGTGGAACTAAAAGCTGGATTGAAAAGTGATGCATCTGTTTGTTGAGGATGAAGTTGATTTGCTAACGCTATCGTTTCCAGATTTAATTCAGAATGATCATCAAATAGTGGATTGATAGCAGTTGCTGGGTTAGCAACAGACTGGTCGTGATTCCAATATTCTGTCTTTGGTGGCATATCGGTATTGAAAAAAGAATACATATGTATTCAATAAAAAAAAATCAGGTAAACTCAACGAAAAAATAAAATTCAATGACAAATGCAAAAGATATCAACAAAAATCAGTAATTGATCCGGATATTTATAACAATAGGAAAATTAAAGTCCAAAAATGAAAATAAAGAACAGCAAATATTCCAAGGATGATCTATTTCCGGATGTGTTGCTCTTGTTCAGATGACAAATTAAATTTTTATTCTCTCTTCTCAGAAATAATAAAAAATAAAAAATCTCGGAAAAAGCTTTAAATACGAAATGAATAGATACTAACCGCGACTAGACAATGATTACCTAATAATAATGACCACTAGAAAATAAAAGGAGGGAGTATCGTCTAAGAATGATTAATAACAATAATAGTTCAAATTCTCTATCGCTAGGTAAGGAATCTTTTTTTTTCTTCTTTTTTATTTCTTTGTTTTTGCTGTATTGTTCTTGTATGCTTGTGTTCCCTATGAAGAAGACTTCTGGAACTCTGAAATTCTGAAATTTGTGTGCTTGGCGTATGCAGTACAGAGGGGGGGATTCACTTTTCTAAAGTTTGTTAAAAATTGATTGATCCTTGCGACACTTGAAATAAATATATCAATATCTGGAGGAATGGCTTATAATGAATTGAGAAGGATCGTAATGGAGTGTGATTTTTATTCTTTATTTTTTCTTTGTAGAATGAGGAACAACTTAGAAAAAGTGAAGTGTATAAACCAAAATTAAACAGGAATATAAATGAAAATAAAATTATGGAGGTAAAAAATATATCTAAAAAGACTTTTTGAAGGAGATCAAAGTATCAATTTATATTAAAAAAAAAACTACAATTGATTTGGAATTGGATAATCAATAAATTTTACAAGTAGGGGGGAAGACAATGAAAGCATAGGAAAATGGATTTACTGGGGTGTGACAAAATTAAAATTTCTTCTTTACCAAAAAAACAACTAACCGTTCCTACATAAGTGAACAAAATCCAATACTACACGACACACGCATAGAAAGCATGAGTTCCTTTATACTTCTGAATAATCGGTAGTTCCCCAAAGTTTGCAAGGAAATTTCGGGCGTACAAAAAGTAAAAGTTATAAACAGCAACACCGGCAAATGTTTCTGTTTTAAAGCAGATGTGGAAGTTCTTTTTTTTTAATTGTTTAATTTTAGCCCTGCTTTCCTGCTCGTTTTTTGTGATTACACCCTCTGTTTTTCCCCTTCTCTACTTGTTGCATAGAGTCTCCTCTTTGATATGTGCCAAGTACCTCATTCAATTGTTTGGAGAACAAATTCAATTGATAATAGAAAATAAAAAAAATAAATTCAATGATGATCCATCAAAAAGTGCATCTATTCGCGTTAAAGGATAACTTGACTTGCATATGAAGGATTAAGACTCGATATTGGAGATTTAACAAAGTTTACGTTAGGTAGTATCTTTGGTAATACCACTAGAATTCGACTTTTTCTTCTCCCATTCTTTAAATCTCGAAAAGCAGTCCTTATCACTACAGTTATAGTTGTTCTATCAACAACAAAAAAATGTAGCGCCCACCAGCCAACTTTTCTTGGGATATCAAAAAAAAAAATATACAAAGCAATCTTCAACACTGGAAAAACGATACAAAATTGGATTCTTGCACCATACTTGCATTGATTCTGATGTGGGAAAAGAAACAAAACCGAAGGAAATGGAAACAACTATTTTTTGTTATCCCTTATGAACAATTCACTCTTCCAACACTTGTCTGGAAATCGTTAATGAACCAGGAAACGAGAAACAAAAACAAAAGAATAGAACTTAAAATGTACAAGTTATGCACACGCATTGCCAATTATTCCAAAACGCGAATAGCTGTCTATGCATAATGTACATTGCATTTTATGTTGTATTATCGTAACCATCATGTTGTATCATAACCGTTTAGTGTTACCTTTGTACTACAGCTACATCCAACTAGTTATCTGAAAATTGAAGAAAAAAAAAAGGAGGTTTTTTTATTTGATTTTTTTTCTACTTCTATATCCGCAAGGAATTTACGGGCACTCAAGAATTAGCAACCTGTAAGTGGTGGGTATGATCAATACATCGCAAGCCATTGGAACGGAAATATGATTCCTTTTTGGTTTTTGAGTTGCTTGCTGTGGTTTGCTTGTGAGAGTATGATTCGGTGAACTGTCAAAGTTGATTTTCGAGACCTTTTGTGATCAATTCCTTCGCTTTCTTCGGATAATGGTGGCTAAAGACCGATGGAATTCCACACAATGCACCTTCTGTCAACTGAATATTTCACGGCATTCCGGAACAAATGGTTTAATGATTGAATGTTCACACTTAACGGCGCTATAAACATTTCATACAGATGGGTCAATTGGCTGCAAGATTGAATAAGCTGGTTTTTTTTTTGTTGTTGTTGTTGCTTGTGCTGCCTCCTTCTCAGGTCTTGTCCATCTGTGTGCAGGAAACTACAAAAAGGTTAATTTCTCAAAGACCAAAAATAAAAAAGAAATCAATTTTTTTTTTTCGGTTTTTTTCTCCGAGCTTGATTGTTTTTGTTCTGTCGCCACACTGGTTGTGGATATTAACTTCCCTATAGAAAAAGAGGTAGCAATTGTAGAGAATAAATCACGGAAATATCAATTAAACTCTCTTGTAATAAACGACGGATAATTATTCAAAGGAATAGTGAAACCATCCTTGTACGATGAAACAGATGGAAATATCCCATTAAAACATGATCAATTCTACCCGATTCTAGATCTGGTTTTTCTCTTATAGTTACATTTTTTACAAGAAAAATTGCGAAATTTGGCTTAAAACTTTACATTAAAAAGCACGTTGTTTAATGGTTTGTTAATATATACATTATCTCATGTCACGATTAATGTATAAAATCATAACCTTAACAGGAGATCCTACTCCTCTATATCTCCACTTGAAATCAATAAATAAAAAGTACTTCCGTTTTGTAGTGAACACACTAGAGGATTTTGTTTTGGAAAAAAAAACTATCACTACTGACCAAAATCCATACTTCGGGTTTAAATGTACCATCTCAGTGCTTACATGATGAGATTGATATTGGAATTCGTACAAACCAACAAATCATACCCGCTATTTTGAATGAGGCATATCCCCAAATAGGAATCGTGCGGCGCTTCCCATGGTTTTCCGTATATAAGCGTGAGATTTTGGTCGTGTATTCCTAACCATGTCGTGTATATTGATTCAAATAATGAATTTACAATAGAATGGCACCAACCAAACGGCTGTGTATAAATACCTTCCTGTTGTAACCTCCTTTTTATTTTTTTAATTTTTCTTCCCCTGCTTCTTCATCAGCTCCTTCTAGAATACCATTCTTGTTGACTATGAATCATAGGCCATTCAAACATCATCATCATTGATTTGACCAACAGGTCGTGTGTGTTGATCTCATGAGAAATTTGCGCTTTTTTTTTCCCACGGCGTTTTTTTCCTTCATTCATTACAGTGGAACATAAGGAAGAAGAAGAACAAGGTTAATGATACTTGACAGTAAAGAGATCCAGGAGATGCGATTCATAAGGTTGAGGGAGTCATTAGTTATCAGATACATCATCTAACGGTGATATCACACTTTCCCTCCACATTAATTCAGTTGTTTCCTAAATGTTTATTGCTTTTTTTTTTTTCTCATTTCTTTTTTCTTTTTCTTCTCTTCTCTTTGACTGCAAATTGCCGTAAGCAGCTGTACCGGAAGTCACCAATGAAAATTTTTCCAATATCAACTGGTGCTTTTTAGTTTATATATACTAAAAAAAAAAAAACTCTTGTTGATTAATTCGTTCTTTTTTTATTATTATATTTTCTTCACTTATCGTTTGTTTATTTAATAATTATGGCAAAAGACAACATTGAAAAAGTCAGTACGGTACTGAATGATTACCTAACCAGCCCGACCCCACAATCGAAATGGCAAAAGTTTAAAGATTCATTTAAACCACCTGTTTCGGGACAACAAGAAGAAACACCGAACGATGATATTGAAAAGTTTCAAAATCCAGAAGATGAAGGTGCCGGAGGTTTGAAACGTCAACTTAAGAATAGACACGTTCAAATGATTGCATTGGGTGGTAGTATCGGTACAGGTTTATTGATTGGTAGTGGTGGGGCATTGCATTCAGGAGGTCCAGCCGCTTTATTGATTAGTTATGGGGTAACTTCCATTATGGTGTTGTTTGTTGTTTATTCATTAGGTGAACTTTGTTGTGCATTCCCAGTCAATGGTGCATTTTCTACTTATGCAAACATGTTTGTTGATGAGTCTTGGGCATTTGCTGTTGGTTGGAATTATGCCATTATGTGGTTATTCGTTTTACCTTTGGAATTGGTTGCAGCCACTATGTGTGTTACTTATTGGAATGATGACATCAACCCTGCCAGTTGGGTGGCTATCTTTTATGTATTCGTATTATTGGTTAACATATTTGGAGTCAAATATTATGGTGAAGCTGAAGTTGTCTTGACTTTGGTTAAATTGATGGCTATCGTTGGCTTTATCATCATGGGTGTTGTCTTAGTTTGTGGTGGTGGTCCAACACATGAATTTATCGGTGCTAAAAACTGGCATACCGACAAGGGTGCTTTTACAAATGGATTTAAAGGGGTTGCAGCAACTTTTGTCACTGCCTCTTATTCGATGGGAGGTACTGAAATGGTTGGTTTAACCGCTGCAGAAGTTGAAAATCCTAGAAAAGTGTTGCCAAAAGCCGTTAGACAGGTTTTTTGGAGAATTTTTTTATTCTATTTCTTGAGTTTAACTTTTGTTGGTTTATTGGTTCCTGCTGATAATGAAAAACTTTTAGGTGCCAGCGGTACTAGTGCCTCTCCATTTGTTATTGCTATTCAAAATGGTAGTATTCATGCCTTGCCTTCTATTTTCAATGCTTGTATTTTAATTTCTGTTCTTTCAGTTGGTAATTCAGCCATTTTTGGTGGTTCCAGAACCATTCAAAATTTAGGAACTCAAGGTTTTGCTCCAAAGATATTTGCCTATGTTGACAGATCAGGACGTCCTTTGGTTGGATTAGGAGTTTCATTCCTTTTTGGTCTTTTATGTTTTCTTTCTGCTTACCATGATGAAGGTACAATTTTTGCCTGGTTATTGAGTGTTTGTGGTCTTGCAACCATTGTTGCCTGGATAAACATTGCCCTTTGTCATCTCCGTTTCCGTTTAGCCATGAAGAAACAAAATAGATCATTGGATGAATTGACATTTGTTTCATTTACCGGGATCTGGGGGTCTATTTATTCTATTGTCTTTTTGATTTTTGTTTTGGTGGTTCAATTCTGGACTGCATTATTCCCAATTGGTAGTAAAGGAAAAGCTAGTGCTGAAAACTTTTTCCAAAACTATTTAGGTGCAGTTGTCATTTCGGTATTCTATTTGGCTCATAAATTATACAGTAGAAGATGGAGAATTTGGAAGAGCTTGGATGATATTGATTTAGACACCGGTAGAAGAAATGCAGATTTGGATTTAATTAAAATGGAATTAGAGGAAGAGAAACTTGCAAATAAGCAAAAATCATTCCTTGTTCGTATGTTCAAATACTGGTGTTAGCAATGCTGATATCCGTAACAAAAAAAATAACTGATATGTTTATAGTCTTTATATATATATATATATACTTGTTATATATATATATATATACTTGTTACGATTAATGAAATGAATGTTAATTATTATTATCAAGAATAGTTGTAGGTTGTTAGTGAAAAGAGTTGCGAGGAGTGAAAAGCGGAGAGATTCAGTTGGACTTTATTGGTTGATAATGTAAACGGTTTTATTAGTGGGGAGGGTGGGTTAATACACTGCAAATTTTGATCTGAACCCCCCCATATTTAGATAATTTTAGTAATATAAATTAAAATATTCATTTACAGTTACATAAATAATCAATTAGGGACCACTTTTCGGCCCGAAACAAAATAACAATGACAATATCACCACCAACAGCAATTAAATACGTGAAAGGTTAAATAAGTTTTTATCATCATTGTGACAATAATTGAGCAAGTTCCGGAGACACCTTAGCGTTCTTTTCCTTTCTTCTTCTATTTGAAATCCTAAAAAGCGTGTTAGTATTCTTATCTCGAACTTCAAATGCAAAATGTAAAACATACCAATTTTGGACTTGCGATTTAGAGAGATTTGTAGATTTCATTAAGAGATCAGTTTGATCCTTTTGCAGATATGGATGTTTCTTGTTTTTCTGGAACCACCCTTCCAATATTTCAAGTTGGTTTTTGCTTAGTCTTTTATTTTTGCTTTTCAGTGGATCACTCTCAAGATTCTCTTCTTTTTTTAATTCTTCTTCTTTCGTTTCTGTTTTAATCACAATTCTCAAAGTATTCATCGAATTCCTTTGGACTCTAATTCTCTCAGATAGAATATCCCTTAAAACTTTTGTGTAGATGTTAATATCCCTAATTATTTCTTTGTCCTCTATGCTTAATGTTTTAGTACGGAGAATATTATTTACCTTTACTATACTAGCATCAAACTCTTCCCTGATTCTCTTTGAGTCGAAAACCGGATAAGTGGATAATGTCGAAATATGATCAAGTAATCTATTTTTGACTTGGTGAAGGGTATCCCAGTGACTAATCATCGCTTAAGGTGGACAATTCAAAAAAACTGCGATTGATTTAGAAGGGAATACAGGAAGTTAAATAGAATTCAAAAAAAAGGTTTTGAACATGATACACTACTTCATTCAAGTGAACGCGGATTGATTTAGAAAACACTAAAACTTTAAGTTCTATAAGTTATATTAACTATAAAAATAACTGTTTCAAAATTGTGATACATCACAGGTGATGGAACACAAATTTTACATTCAAATAAAGTAGCAATATCATGAAACTCTCGCTAATTGAATTAATAGTCATTTGCAGTTTAGTATGTGGCAATAAAGTTTGTAGCGGAGAGTCAAGACACATTTTTTTTTTACTACATCAGGAAGTATTTCAAAAAATGATACTCATCAATTTTCTGAAAGGAAAGAATTAAATCACAGGTTTTACAATTTTGTAAGAAAATATTAATAATACTGGACAAATTTATTTCATATTAAAGGAAATTAATTGTTCATCGGAAATGGATCCAAAAGATTTATATCAACAGAAAAAACATATTCAAGCTAGATGTTTCTATTCGTTAATATCACATGTAATATACTTTCATTATGAACTAAAAGCGGTCTCGTAATATGAGTATTTAATGTGTATTGCTCTGAAATACTGACGGTCATAGTATAAGCATTATCTTACAAATAGTGAAAATACTTTTGACATGCTGATCTAAAAATTACGCTTACACTATTGTGAAATAAAATTGCAAGACTGTATCTTGTGTTGGCGATAAAAAAACGAATTTGTAACTCTCTCGAGCAAACGGAAACGATGGAAAAAAAGGGATGTCAGAGAAGTCGTGTAGTAGCGCGCAACTTTTGAAAATAAATTACCAACGACTCAAACTTTAAGATTTCGATTTATCAGGCATACCATAACTATCATGGGATTAACATCGAAATTGGATAAATTAAAGTTGAAAGGTGCACTGGAAGATAGTGAAGATGAGGTGAAGCACTACAGTGCTGATAACTCTGATGATATTGACGAAGTTGACAGTGAGGGCCAAAACATTTTGATGAGCATTATTGCTCAATTGAGGCCAGGAATGGACTTGTCGAAGATCACACTTCCAACCTTTATTTTAGAGAAGAAGTCAATGTTGGAAAGGATTACGAACTTTTTCCAAATCCCTGAGTTATTAATTGAAGCCAACAATACTCAGGATCCGTTGGATAGATTTGTCAAGATGCTCAAATGGTACTTGGCTAGTTGGCACATAGCCCCCAAGGCAGTGAAGAAGCCATTGAACCCAGTGTTAGGAGAAGTATTTACATGCTACTGGGATAATTTACCAGAAGGTAAAACTGCCTACTACTTGGCTGAGCAAACTTCACATCATCCACCAAAGTCTTCATACTTTTACATATCACCAGAGGAAAAGATAAGAGTTGATGGTGTCGTTATCCCGAAGTCTAGATTTTTGGGAAATTCTTCCGCAGCTATAATGGAAGGATGGGGATATGTTACACTCGGTAAATGGGACGATGAGGTTTATGTTATGAACCAACCAAACGTTTATTGCAGGGGTATCTTGTTCGGAAAAATGAGAATGGAGTTGGGTGATCATATGATTGTCAAATGCGAAAAGAACGATTTCGAAGCTGACATTGAGTTTAAAACAAAAGGTTTTATAAGCGGAACATATGATGCAATTGAAGGTGTTATCAAGGATTCTAAAGCTGGCGAAGAGTTGTTTCGTATTTCCGGAAAATGGAATGAAATAATGTATATAAAAAACATAAAATCAGGAAAAAAAGAAGTATTGTACGATACCAGCAAAACTAAGAAGAGTATGCCTAAAGTTAGACCATTGGAAGAACAATGGGATTTTGAATCTAGAAAGCTTTGGAAACCAACTGTTGACGGCTTGGCTCAGAGAAATCACGAACTAGCCACCGAAGAGAAACTGAAGGTTGAAAACGACCAGAGAATCAAAGCAAAGAAACGATTGGAAGATGGTGTGGAATTTCATCCGAAATTTTTTCGCGAAGTGTCGGACAAGGACGACCAAATTAAAGACCTCGAGTACATCATTTACAAACATTTTGATTTAAACGACAATCCTGAAAGTTTAAGAGAAAGATTGTTTACTGTTGCTCCAATTGTCCCAGGTCAACAGTTCGACGAAAAATTTCATTATCCAGCATTCAAAAAGCCTGCACATAATTGAGTGCCAATTCCCTATTTAATAATTAAGTGGATAATCTAGTTTGTTACATTAGATTTTGAAATAGATTTGTTTAGGTTTATGTTGTTTTCATACTGCGAAAGTTTTGCTTGAGTTGGCTCGTAGGTAGTGCTTTGGAAAATAAACACCGATTTTCATATTTCCTGCATGTACTCTGGAGTAGAAAAATAGTTCGCGAGTGAAAGTTTCTTCAAAAATGTCGACGTAATACTCTTTTCACTGTACACGAACCAACATAATGGCTTTTACGGACAATAGAGATCTCTTAGAAAAGATCCATTCTCCTCAGTTTAGCTTGTTCAGCTGTATTTTTGAGTTAAAGAACTACACTGAATCAGTTGGTGTGCAACATGTACTCGTTCAAAAGTTGCATTCATTTCCCTATGAAGAATTAGAATTTTTCATTCCTCAGTTTGTACAACTATTAGTTGTTTATGAAACGGATTCAATGGCCCTAGAAGAGTTTTTACTACAATATAGTGAAAAATTTCCTCATTTTAGTTTGATTGTGTTTTGGAATCTACAAGCATACATATTTGAGTTAAGGAATGAACCCGAGTCTAGATCATTTCAAACTGTGAGAAGCTTGATTAGCAAAATTCAAAACATCATGTTCAATACGGACAGTTCGTTCAAAAGAAAAATAGAGTTTAGGGAGAATCTCCAACCAGGTCTAGTTTTATGTGGCGCCATTGCATCTTCTTTTGCAATCCCAAGTCTTAGCAGCTACTGTTTGCCTATTATTCAAACACAGGGTCGACAACAGAAGTCATTAGTCTTCAAGCTTGCAAATTTTCAAAAATCCTTGACGAAGAATTTGACTATGAAGAACCAAAGAATGTCTGCTGAGGTCCAGAAGGGCTCACATTCTGACAACGAATCGCCATCTTCTTCATTATTTAAAAACTCCCTTCATAGATCTGCATCCGTTCCAAGGTCAGGGGCTAAGAAAGTCAGTATGTCTGTGCTGTCGGACGAATCAGAGGCATATACGACTGATGATGATGATCATAAAACCAGCATCGAATTAGAAAAGAGCTTGAATTCATTGGATTTAGTTGATCCCCATAAAAATAAGTCTGACAAGTACTCAGAAACGGAAGACAATTTGCGTATTAGCACAATTATAAAATCTAAGAAAAGGGTTTCAAGCTCATCAAGTAAAGCACCTGAAAGATCATGGACAGAGATCTTGAGTACTGATGATTATAGTGTGAACTCTAAATCATTACCTGATTTAACCAAAGTTAAAGGTGATGAGATAACACCGTATTTGTCCCCAGCAGAATCAGAGACATCGTTAGTTTTCCATCACACGACTATCGGAAATGATTTACTGAGAAGCAACTCGGTTTCCTCCATTGCTCCTAAGTCTGATCGTTTGGTAAAGGCACTTCAAGTCAATTATGCCAGAAATGTAACACAGTTTATGATGGCAATGCAGAATATTTCAATCAGACTTTCTCAAGTTCCAAAGGAAGCCAGACTTTCGGCATTGAGAGCAGAATTATCAATCATAAATGAAACAATGCTTCCAAGTGAAATTGACATCCCTCAACTTTTACCTATCACCAGCAAAAGAAACAAGAAGTACCACAAGATATTGAAACTAAATATTAATGAAGCTTGTGTTTTGAATTCTGCTGAAAGAGTTCCTTTCTTGTTATTAATAGAATACTTAAGTGATGAAATAGATTTTAATCCATTTACGGAATATAACCAGAAGATTATTACTAGTATGAAACTGAGAAAAGCAACGGATACCAAACAACGAGACAATTCAGAATTTAATGAACCAATAGAACCGAGTAAAATGAATGGAACCGATTCTAGAACCAGTGTTGATAAACTGCCAGTTGAAAATCTTCGCAGCTCGGATATTGAAGAAGCTGATCTAAGTGAGATGTCAATGACCAAAAGATCATTGAATATATCAAGAAACCTAACTTTAACTACCACACATTCGGATATTTCAAAAGAACAGAAAGGAATCCCAAATATCCCAACATTGAATACTCGTGAAGTTTCTACAAAAGTATTAGCTGATCAAATGAGGATTGCTTCAGTAATGTTGCAACAATTAGATAGTTCTGGACAAGCAAACTCCGAGCAGTCATTATCCATTAAAAGTAAAATTGTGCAATCTATGATTTCCCTTCAGAATCAATTTGATTCAATTGATTATGAAAAGTTAAATCAATTACAGGGTGACAAACCAAGTGCCGGGGAGCGAAAATTAGAAAACGACTTCAAGCTTGCAGAAGACTGGAACACCAAAAAACAAAGAATAAGAAAAGCAAGTGCATACGGGCACTTGGCTAATTGGGATCTTTGCTCAGTGATTGCTAAGAATGGAGATGACTTACCACAAGAAGCTTTTGCCTGTCAATTGATTTCTATGATTTCTAATATTTGGAAGAGAAACGAGGTTCCAGTCTGGACCAAAAGAATGAAAATCTTAATTACTAGCGCAAATACTGGGTTGGTGGAAACTATTATAAATGCTATGTCAATTCATTCAATCAAAAAGTCGCTCACAGAACTTTCAATCAAAAAAGGTGAAAATGCTAAAGGGAGAATTTTTACGTTGTTGGATTATTACAAAAATGTTTTCGGTCCTGAAAATTCCGCAAAATTCAAAGTTGCTCAAGAAAACTTTACTAATAGTTTAGCTGCCTATTCTGTCATTTGCTATGTATTGCAAATCAAAGATAGACATAATGGTAACATAATGGTCGACGGGGATGGTCATATAATTCATATTGATTTTGGATTCTTGCTTTCTAACTCGCCAGGTAGTGTTGGTTTTGAAGCTGCTCCTTTCAAGCTCACATCAGAATATGTGGATTTGCTTGGGGGATTAGATAGCCCCATGTATGCAAGATTTGTGGATTTGTGTAAACAATGCTTCAAAATACTAAGAAACAATAGTCAAGAAATTGTGGATATCGTTGAGCTAATGCAAAGAGAGTCTAGTTTGCCATGTTTCAATAATGGTGAGAATACAAGTGTTTTATTGAAGCAGAGATTGCAATTGGACCTCTCAGAGTCTGATACTGATTTGTTTGTTGAGAATGTTTTGATTGGAAAAAGTCTTGGAAGTATGTATACTCGGTTATATGATCAATTCCAGATGATTACACAAGGGATATATAGTTAAGACCGGAATACTTTGTAGATCTGGATACAATATATGATAGCTAAATATTTTAATTTCCATAGTGTATCATCTCATATATATGTGCCAGTTACATTCACATATTGGAGATATGCGCGTCAAGAAATTTAGTTCAAAATATTTGTTGTCTGCATAATGTCTAATTGTTTTAGTGCGTGTTAAATATTAACTCTAAATTTTGGTCTTTTTGTTACATATACCTATTTTTCTTTTTTTTTTCTTTTCTCTTTTCTCTTTTCTCCCTTTTCCTTTTTTTTTTCTTATTTTTATGACCTGATATATATAACACTGAAAGAAACCAATTGCCATGGGTTCTGAAAAGGTGTATAAGAAGGCGGTTCCCAAGGAACTAACATCATTATTTAGAGTGACCAAGAGTAGAGCACCAGTACCTAGGGACAAAAGAGTGGTGAAGGAAAGCCAGAAGCACGGATTTAGATTGGACTCGTTGCCAACTCTCCCCTCACCGTCAAACGAGTTACATCAACTACTACTTGAATACGGAATGTTGAATGACATTCAATGGGATGAAAACAAAACTAAAACAAAGAAGTCAAAGAAATCTAAGTTGAAAGCTATCAATTCATTCATTGCTTTCAGGTCATTTTATTCACGTACAATATCTAACCCAAACCACCAGAGAGAGCTTTCATCAAAACTTGCTGACATCTGGAAAACTGAACCGAGCCAGGAAATCTGGAATCAATACGCTCAATCTTATAATAATTACTTGTTGCTTCCAGGTATTAAAACAAATTTTGTTGACTGGTTATATACGGTCCTAGACCTCAAAGTAGAACCGGCACTGGTGATACTCGAAACAGAACCGTTTGATGACAACTCTCCTATGTTATCCGGCACTATTGAAGATGTTTATTTAATTAATTAGAGCCTTTACTATAATATATACATATATATATTCATCTATATGCTATTCAGTTCCATTTACTGAGACAGGCGATGGTATTTCATTCCTCACTCTTTTCTGACGGTCTTCTTTCACATTCTTCTTTCTCTTCTTGCTAGTTTTCTTTGGTCGTTCCTCCCCTTCTACATAAACATCGTTTGGCAAATCAAGCAATTTTACATTCTTAATCTGGATAAAATTGGAATTCTCATCATATAAAGCTGATCCTTTGCATAAATTGTAGAACTCAGTACAAGGATACTGCAAATCAAGTTTTCTTGCTCCATCCGAAGACTTCGACACATTAAGTTCTAATGCAATGTAAAACCGAGTTAAACGGATATTCTTAACTTCAGCATTTTCTTCCCCAGACTCAGTAACCTTCAATTTCTCTAAGTGCTTGTCACCATTTAATGTTCCGTAGCTATTAATGATGTCTTGTGGATCATTGTCATCTAGGACATATGCCGCTGAAAAGTCCTTAACATACGGGTGAGCGAATTCTATTCCATCAGTGACTTCTAATTTCAAAACTAATTGTCTTAGTCTACTTTCGACAAATCCTGACCATTTTTTATGCTGTTCTGATGTATCAACTGTTGCTGCAACAACACAAAGATAAAATTTGTACGCGTGGAAATATTCATGTCTTTTAAATAAATCAGACCATGTTTTATTTCCAGTATTTATATCATTCATTATAGAAGATCCACGAGAAAGTTCTTTCAAAATGACTTTTTGAGTGGAGCTGGTAATGTTATGAGTTGCACACATTGAAGGATAAGCAGGAGTGATAACAGGCATACGGTGGAGTCTATCATGAGGATACAATCTAGGGTTCCAAACACGTACTTGAAGGGGTCCATCCTCGATCAGTTTCAATAAAACAGGTTCTGGCCAATTCCATTTGGTGTAAATGCTGAAGAACTTCTCAACAATGACAGCACTCACTGCATTTGGGTATAATTGACAAATCCTAGCAACCAACATTGCCCAGGCAACACCACCTGGGAATCCATAAACGTTACCATATACTGCTCTTTGTTGTGCCCATAATTTTATGCAACGTAAAGCATGTTTGAACACAGTAGGTTTTGGAACCAACTGCAATATTTCATCTGTCACTCTTGTACCGTTCAAGGATCTTAAATCTTTTTCATCTAAGTTCTTTAGCAAATTTTTATCATCTAATGTCATTTCCAATGGAACCCTAGGAACGTTCAATCTAGCCATGATTAAATCAATAGATATACCATCAAATTCTAGTTTTATAATTGGAACAAACGCATCTGGAACACATGCAATTTCTTCTAATTCTGGCCTTTTTCGAATAATATCAGGAAATACCAGAAAGAAATCATCTCTAGTAACATGCTTTGGAACCACAACCAATGTATCAATATCAGATCCTGGACCATAGACACCCAATCTATAGGAACCAAATGTAAAAACCTTTCCTCCTGAATCTTTCGCCATACCATCTGACATATTTTTACTCTTTGATACAGTGTAAACAAATTCCTGCACAAGCTTTTGGAAAAGTGTCAACACCTCAACTCTTTTCTTCGTTGCCTGTTCGCTTTCGAATGATCCCCTGTTTTTCAATTCCTGAATAAGAGAATCATTCAATGCATTTTCTTTCACAGTAGGATTCGCTGTGGAAATAGGATCAGTGACGCCATATTTTCTGGTGCTCATCATAATAGTTGTTACAGACCAGAGAAACGTACGTTCATGTAATTTTTCGATGGTTTCAAGTATCGCCCTTGGTCGTTATTAAAACTTTGAAGACGAGAAAATTATTGTACCAAGACACTACCGGTTTGTATGCAGGCAATATACATGTCGCACATGGGTCTAAGGAAGTACCAAACGACTCCAAATACCCATCAGTACGACACCGACAAAGTTTCCACTCGTCACGTGAATGTCACAGATATACAATCACTGCAGCACATACAAATAATAATAAATCACAAATGATGCGGGAATCACAGCTCAATATTCCGTTATTTTCACAGTAACTACGCATTATTCAATGAAGGTGAAAGATAAATTATACAGTTTTCTATTTACTTCTATAGGCTTAAATAAGAGAATAAAGAAAGGAACAAAACTCATACTTTACTGCTATAAGCAGTGTAGTCACATACGGAGAAAGAGAAGATTCTATTAATACAGTGTTTCTATTTTCAGTTCGTACCAAGTTCAAAGAAATTATTAATACTAGTGCGACAATTTAATTCATAGTAAAGGAGATTAATTGTTCATAGTAAATGGACTCAAAATGTTCACACCAGCGGAAATAATACTTTCAAACTAGCTGCCCTTTTTTTGTTCATACCATATATCATACATTTTCAGTATGAACAAATAGAGGTCACGTAATATGAACATTTTTTGCGTACTAGTATCAAAAATATTGACCGCCTTAATATGAACTTTTCTTTGCAAATAGTGCGAATAATTTTGACTCACTGATCTGAAAATTATGCTCACACTAGTGCGAAATAAAACTGCAACGACTGTATAGCAGACATCATCAACTGGATGAATATATAACTAATGAAGCCAGCACAAGTATTACATTTTTTCTACTTTTAAATATAAATGTATTATGTATGCTTTAGTAATATCTGTTTATACAAATATTCTAGGTCCACGTATCGATGTCAAGAATGAAAAACATTATTGAAAAATTATTAGAGTGTAATTTGCGGCTTATTTATATCTTATGCCTAGCTCACGAAGAATATACTTTTTCACAAATAGAACTTGTAGTCATCACTATTTCACAATAAGACCATTAATCTTTCATTTCCTCTGTGATTTAATATAACATTTCGAGAATCTTCAAAACAGTGAAGATTTTCCGCTCTAAAAATGAAGTAAGGTTGGGAAGCAGTCACTAGAGTTAAACTAACTATTCTTATACGGAAAGGGAACTTTGACGTCGGTTTTATTCGTGGAATGAACCAAATATCAATAAACAACGGTGGCTTTTAAGAATTTATTGGATCACTCTTCTCTCAAATATCATCCTAGTTTGAGTTTCTCATTTTATAGACTCTATTTGTACTTTAGTTGCCTTTAAACTGCAAAAACTATGCGTTTCATTATAGCAAGGATCTTATGAAATAAATCCGGACTATGTATCATTTACTACACTACTTCTAAGACTTCCCCATTTGCTATTTACTATTTAATTTTCTATTATATTGTTTATTTACAGAGAAGTCTATTAATGCGATATATTTTTGTATTATTTTACCCTTTATTATTCTATTGTAGCTTCTTATTGAATTTATCACTTCGACCTATTTCTTTTAAAACTCGTTTAAAATTCCGGTCGTTAGTGGAAAACACTTTAACCAACATCCTTTTAACATCCTCACCTTTATCTTCTTTTAAACAAATGTTGACCAATTGATAACATTCACGTTGCTTCATCGTATACTTCAACCCCTTTTCCTTGATCTTATCGAAAAACATCAATAAGAACAGTAATCTGTTTATCCCTTTTAGACTCTTATTATCAATGATCCCTGACACAATAGGGGTTAAATAATTCTTAATGGCTGGCAACTCTAACAACTGTAATGATTGTTTAAAATCCTCAAGTACAATTGATTTGAATAGCCAGTGCTTAAACCAAATGCTTTTGCTATTGAATTCAACAAGGGAATTGACATATAAAACTAATTCTTTGGGAGATAGTCTTCTTTTAATAAATTGAAAAGTTTCACGATGTAGTAACTTTAAAAGATACTCCTTTGCCTTACGGTCTTGGGTGTAGTAAAAACTGTTGCTATCCATATATCTGGAGATTATTGACATGATTCCATTTAATTGTGATGGATTAAGCAATGATAATGTCTGGCAGTATGCACGCATTGTGTTGTGGAAAATTTTCCTATCACTTGAAAATTGAAACTGTTGATTGAAATCACCATTTTGCTGGACTTTAGGAAGGGTAGTCTTAATAAGAAAGTTAAACACTGTAGTTGTGAATGTTTCATCTATAATCCCAGCTCTTAGTAAAGTAGATCTATTAAGCTCTAATATGGTATATTTAGATGTGATTTTGGATGCCAAGTAAACAAGTTGGTCTGCTGTTGGACTGTGTCGTGTTGTAAGACAAGTGATTAACTTTCGTGAAATCATACGGGTTCTACTAAATGGGATAATCATGCTGTACACTTGTTCACAAGTAAACTTCTTCAAAAAATACTCGAGAACCATCTCTTGGGTCTCTGGAGTATGAATTCGAAGTAATGCATAAACATCAACTTGCAAGGGGAGAAGTACATCAAGGACTTCTATGAGCAAATTTTTGTCCAACAACACCGCAGTAGGTTTATAAATAGTCATTAATTCATTAGGTTTATTCAACAATGCCCTTGTTAAATGATTGATAATTGGTTTGTTTAGGGTCGTTACCGTTCTAGTATAGCCAGTAAATATAGAATATGGTTTGATTACACCACCATGGAGTATATACAGGGTATCTAATTCATTTAATTTTGCCTGGTGGTTAATCAAATAGTTTAAACTGGAAATAAATGGTAAAATGTATTCTGGTGCATACAAATTTGATATAACCGTAGATGATTCAAACTGGGGAAATATCAGATTGATCCAACCACAACGGGATGTAATGTTTTGAAAATTGACAAGATACTCTACTATAGTCTGATGTTTGAGGTTGTCTTCAGATTTCAACAATTCCATAAGTCGCTTCAAATATAGGGTATCATTTTCAAAACTCTTCTCTAACCCATGGTGGTAACTAGTCAACTCGTCGATGGTGTTGATCTCATTCATCAATTTCCAAATTTCCAATACATGACTGGTGTCAAACTCAGGTTTGATGGTATATACAAGAGAGTCAATAATTTGGTTATGGAAATTTTCATTCAATTGCAACGGTAGACTGAGTACGAAATCCAAAATGGCAAACTGATAATTATCTTGCTGTAGTAGTATACTGTTTATCAACTCGAGGAAATCATCAAGATCAGAAAGGGTATCATAATTTTCAGAAAAATGGTTCCAACAAGCAGCGTAACATCTATGATATAATAATCTTTCAAAATATACCCTCTTCATATTCTTTGGGATCTCATCGTTGATAAAATGTAGATATAATCTTGGATCAATGAGTATAGGATCATAAGATAAAATAGTAAACAACTTATTCTCTTGATCTAGACACTTTTTCAACTCCTCGGATAACTTTGGGACTTGTTCAATAAATGCATGGATTGGTTCATCGGCAATTTTCTGGCCCTCATTTATTAGAATGTCAGTAAAGTATTGTGATATCTTCTCTGGAATAGACCTTTCTTGATATGAACAAGTTTCTTCAAAAAACGGCTTTTTCGATAGTAGTCGTATGCTAGACGTTTGTGTTAATGTATTTAGTATTATAGGTCGGCTCTTATATAGTAGATGTCGATACCTAAACATGGTTTCGTCTGCCACTACCCTTCTTCCCTTCTCCAAGTTTATTAGAATTTTTTTTTTTTTTTCGTACGAATTTTTCAACTGTTATTCATTTCTCAGAATTGATTTTTTTTTTTTGTGAACGATTTTGACTTATACTTTACCAACCGTGTTTCTCCCCACCAACAAACAATGGCTCAAGTCATATGGAATTCAGACATTGATGTGTATAACAAAGATGTTATACCGGTAAATATAGCAAGAACTATTGCAGGATATCTTCCTATCCAGGATTTATTATCATTTTCCCTAGTTTCCAAAAATACCAACCTCGCTGTCAATGACCCCAAACTATGGATCTCACGTTTGAAAGGAATGGATGTTTGGAATACCGCAATATCATTGTCCAAAGAAGATATCAAAAAGAATATTCAAGGAGATTACTTGAACAGTCCTTTGACTTGTATGGATTATGTTTACAAATCAAGTAAGAATGCAAAGTATCAAGTTTTGAAAATCTATAAATGTTTACAAGGATATTACAACGACTTGTTGATTAACAAAAACTACAATCGATTAAAGATATTTAAACATTTTCACACCCCTGAGGACCAATCAAAGATATTAAAGAATTTATTAAAGTATAATAAAATCGATTATATTGATGGATCAAGACTGATTGTATACGAAAAGATTGTTGAATTGTTTGAAATTTTTGAGAATGCATTGTTGAGAGAGTTGGAGATTCATTTTGATATGGAAGATTATGAAAGAACACAGAACTTTGTTAATATTTTAATTGGTTTGAACAATCAACAGACGTTGATTGATTTCTTTTTGCAAAAATCCATATTTGATGAAAATAAGGAGATATTCAATTTAGAGAAGTTCAACGGGGAAAAGTATTTTAAGGACGGCAGTATAAATGTTGATGTCTTGGATCGATTGATAATTGATATTTCTGATGTTTTTAATGAACAGAGTCATATAATTGATTTGATATTCCCCGAAACTGTGCCCATAATGTATAAAGTATGTGAAGAATTGATATCCAACCAGTTATCTGAATTGCTAATGCTATTGATTGAATCGTCCAAGAAGTATGGGTTGTATTTTCAGACAGTCCCGTTGGTCTATGAAAAACTTACTGTTGAATTCGTTGAACACTTGAATGATTCGAAAAATCTTGGTGTGTCTTACCGACAATTGGTAATTGAACTATTGGATATGCTGTATGAATCTTTTGCCGCTGAGTATATGAGAGAGGAAATATCGTCGTTCAAATCTGAAACAAAGAATAAATTGGCCAATTGGAAGGAAACAATATCCAAGCGTGAGGCAGAAACATCACAAAAGATTCTTGAAAGTGTCAAGTCGGAAACCAAAAATGACTTTTTAACTAGTTTTAAGAATGTATTTGCCATTAGTAAAAAAGACGACGATCACGAGTCTAAATATTCTGAAATCCAAGCCAAGGCTAAAATCTTATCGGAAAACATCAAAAGTATGAATAAAATTTTCAGTCCCGAATTAATAGTCGAAACATTGAATGATGTTAAAAACTCCAACCATCGATTACTAAAATTCAAACAATTTTCTATATCATCATTGCGAGATGATATTTTCCAATCCATACAGTTTTTGTTTATCGATGTTTTAGAGTTGATTGGGTCAGATCATTTGAACCCAGGGTTTGAGAAGGCGTTGACGTATTTACAAACTTATAATCCAAACTCTCCTACATTTGTCAATATAGATTCCAATACTGGAGAAAATCTTGATGAACCATTGGTGTTGTTTTTTGATTTGATCAACATGGCCGATATAATTATACAAATGATTGATATTTTCTATAAAGAAGAGATTAGATTAGTGATTAAAAATGAAAACTCCATCCTAAATCCAAGTTTGCAAAACAAAAAGAAACTAGAAGCACTAGTCGACAAGTACGTGGCGGATGGGTTAAATATTGGGATTGAAATTCTTGTTTACAAGATTGAGAATATTTACAAAGTCAATCTCAAAGAAACTGACTTTAATCCAGATTCTACCCAAGTTAATTTTGGTACTACTGAGGCAGCCAGGAAAGCAGTTTTAGAACTAGAGAAAAATATGAATTTATTAGTTGATAGTGCAGATAAATCAATTGTTGATGTGTTCCAGCAAGAAATTGCCGAACGTTTCTTCCAAGTTATTGTCAAGATGCTTAAAACACAAACTATTTCAACCACGGGAGCAACTAATCTTATCTCGGATCTTAATTTATATTTTGATTTCATTTCAGAGAATGTCAAATCAAACAAGAGATTAGTTATCCCATTGTATCAAGCACTTAAGAAAATAGGAAATATTTACTTGATTAGTGGTGATGATTATAAAGCAATTGGTAAGTTGGTGAGTGATTTAAGTAAATTCAATGGTATTTTCAATCAAGAAGAGATTTATGAGTTTGTCCAACGAAGACTGGATTGGTTGGTTATTAAAAGACATGTGGAGAAAGTCATGTACGGTTTTGGATTTGGAGATTGTCTGATCATGTGAGATTCACGTGAAATAATTGATTTTTTTTTTTTTTTTCAATTTCTCATCCACAATCAATGATTTTTTTTTCCTTTCTTTTTCTCCTTCATTAATCAAGTTCCATCGTACTGGTATGATCTAGTGACATAGAATGCTACTACGATCGAATAGACTTTCAAGATGTCTAAGTTATTCAAATAGATTGTCAACTTCAAGTTTATCAAGGTTACAAACTGTCAGTAACCTGAAAGGGAAATCCGAACTATTATATAAATTAAGAACAGTGTATACTTCGAATAATATTAATTTTCTTGAAGAATTCATAGATAACTATACCCCGCAGTTTAAGGATTTACTTGAAAGATTGCATGTCAAAGAAGTATCAAAATATATAAATCAAAATATCGTTGATTTGATTCTACGTGGAGAACGTCAAAAAGTGGAGGCTATTGAAGGGCTCCTAGCATTTCCAACAAACCAAAAGGATTTTATCGACAGGTTGATACGTGAATTAGTTGGTAAAAATGAAATACTGACATCTTTTGAATGTATTGTTAAATTATTACAAAATGGAGTGATTATTCGTTATGATACCATTGTGATGTTGTTAGACTCTTTGAAATACGTTTCTGAAGCTGATTTTGCCAAGGTGAGTTATGCAACATTGCAATTGTATAATCATTATAAGGAATTAAAAGTGGATGAATTGACAAAAATCTTGACGTTTTTAACTGATTCTATACATGGGAATTATTTTGCCAATTATGTTTATAACGACTTGAAGGCAACTGGAAAATTTAAGGAATTCACACCACAGACATACAATGACGCTGTTTATCGTTTGCTCAATGTGAATCTCAAAAATATGAATCCTTATAAATGCCTAGAGATCTGGAATGACAACAAGGATAACCTAAATCCAAGTGAGAATGTTTCGTTACTACTAAGAATTGTCAGATTATGCAATGAGAATGGGCTAGATGGACAAGAGATTCTAGCATATTTACCATCAGAGCAAATCCAGGTGTTAAATTATAAGCTTGAATATTATGGTCAGTGTTTAGATCGTAAGCCGCAGTTTCAAGAAACCGTTAAACAAATTAGTAAATTAGAAAGATCGACAATGACATCGTTGTTGTCATCATTTCTCAGCTACGGAGAAGAAGAAAATTCAGAAAAAGTCATTCAAACTATTTTCAAATCTTCTTCTGGTATCAACAAATATGAAGTTGATTTAATTGTACAGAAATTGTTGAAACAAAAGAAATTTGAAGAAGCTATGAGAATGGTTGAGAATATGTCTTGGTACGATTCACAGTTGGCATATGTCAGTCTATTTAAGTATGTCCTAGAAAACCAGTGTCAGATGAATGGCCAGGTAGATGTATTTTGGACTGATTTGAGAGATAGATTGAAAGATATTCAAACTGATGAGATAGCCAAGCTGCTCACAATTGAAATGCTCCGTCATATTACAAAGAAAGATCCTCGAGATGGAATTAGAAATTATGTGAAATTTGTCGAGTTTTCAAATAATTCTACGGCATCTGACAATTTATACTCGGATTTGAAGCTAAAGAACTATGGAATACCTAATTGGTTTAAACGTTATATAAGTTTAAATGACAAAACTACAATGCTTAAAACATGCCGTGTGATGGTTCCTTATATTTTACAATGGAGAAACTATTGGACAACAATATGGATTTTTAATGAGTTTAGAAAATTAGGATGGGATCTTCCGAGTATATTCAAACTTTTAAAATCTTCAGATAGCAAGAACTACCTTTCAGGAATTCTCAAACCTAAAGTCATCAAGTCAATCTCTAACTTTTTGTAAATAATAATCACAACAACAAAATAAAATGTATATATACAAGGAAATAAATTAACTATAGACAATCTATTTGAATCTCTTCTTGTCTGATTTCTTATCATACAATTGACCACCAACAATTTCTTCAGCATTTTCACCCATCATTGCAAACAATTCATCATTCTTCTTTTTGGTTTTTTCTTGTTCTAATTGTCTTAATTTCTCTTCTTCTTCAACAGTAAGTTCCTTATCTTCTGTTCTCTTTTCATCCTTCTTATCTTCTTGATCTTCAAATGAAGTACCATATTTAGATCTAAATCTACCAATCTTACCAGCTTCAGTAAGCAAGTCTGAACTTTTCAAATCGTCACGATGTGGATTCCATAAAGAACTTGTTCTTTGATCATTAATCATACGAATTTCATCCTTTGGAGCTTGACTGAATCTTTTAATAACACTTCCATCACTTAATTCAACAAGTGTATCAAATTGATGAAATATAGCTGGACGGGCTTTACCAAGTCTGATTTTTCTCATCACTCTACGTCCTGATAATGAAACATCAGAAGGAACAGTTGCATTTGGATTACCTTTTGGAATCACCGATTTAGATCTTATAAGTGTAAGGTGTACATTTCTACCTAATTGTTGATGAGTTTTAGAAAACATGATTCGAAACTTATATTGGGGTTGTAGGTTCTAGTACATACTATGTTCGAAAATTTTCATATAATTTTCTTTTTTTTTTTCTTCACTTTGATTGATGTTTTTGAGCTAAGTCGTGCATAAATTGCCAAACATCAAAATTTTTCGTTTTTTCGTTTTCTCTGCTGTTAAGCAACAAGGCAAAGAAAAGAAAAGAAAAAAAAAACTTTCTACCATCTTCTATTCATTGACTATTGATAATAACCAAGCCATGGCATTTTCAACTCAAACACCTACAATTGTTGTGTTAAAGGAAGGTACTGATACCTCTCAAGGTAAAGGACAAATCTTAACTAATATCAATGCCTGTTTAGCCATTCAAGATACATTAAAACCAACATTGGGACCATTTGGATCAGATATTTTGATTGTTGGATCTAATGGCAAAACCACAATTTCAAATGATGGGGCCACTATTTTGAAATTATTGGATATTGTCCATCCTGCGGCACAAATGCTTGTTGATATCTCCCGATCTCAAGATGCTGAAGTTGGGGATGGTACTACAAGTGTTACTTTGTTAGCAGGTGAATTGTTAAGAGAAGCTAGATCATTCATTGAAGATGGAATCAACTCACATTTAATTATTAAAGGTTATAGAAAAGCATGTGAATTATGTATTGAAAAGATTGATCAATTGGCTATTGATATAAATAAAGAAAATCCAGAAGAATTTAGAAGTTTATTGGAAAAATGTGCCACTACAGCCATGTCAAGTAAATTGATTAGCAATAATTCTAAATTTTTCACAAAAATGGTTGTTGATGCCGTGATGAGTTTGGATTCAGAAGATTTGGATGAGAATTTAATTGGTATTAAGAAAGTCCCTGGTGGTTCTATGGAAGATTCATTATTTGTCAATGGTGTTGCATTTAAAAAGACTTTTTCCTATGCTGGGTTTGAACAACAACCAAAATATTTCAAAGACCCAAAGATTGTTTGTTTGAATGTTGAATTGGAATTAAAAGCAGAAAAGGACAATGCTGAAGTCAGAATTGATCAAGTTAAAGACTATCAAGCCATTGTTGACGCTGAATGGCAAATCATTTTCAATAAATTGGAAGCTATCCATAAAACTGGTGCCAATATTGTTTTGTCAAAATTACCAATTGGTGATTTGGCTACGCAATATTTCGCTGATAGAAATATATTCTGTGCCGGTAGAGTCAGTTCGGATGATATGGACAGAGTCATTCAAGCTGTTGGTGGATCTATCCAATCAACTTGTTCCAATATTACCCCATCTGACTTGGGAACCTGTGAGGTATTTGAAGAAGTTCAAATTGGTAATGAAAGATATAACCTTTTCAAGGGATGTCCTCAGGCTAAGACATGTACTTTAATATTGAGAGGTGGTGCCGAACAAGTAATTGCTGAAGTTGAACGTTCATTACACGATGCTATAATGATTGTTAAACGAGCCGTTGTAAATCACACTATAGTAGCTGGTGGTGGTGCTATAGAAATGGAATTGTCTAAGTATTTGAGAGATTACTCAAGAACCATTGCTGGTAAACAACAATTGATCATTGCTGCTTTTGCAAAAGCGTTGGAAGTTATCCCAAGACAATTGTGTGAAAATGCTGGGTTAGATGCCATTGAATTGTTGAATAAATTAAGAAGTGCTCATGCAAAGGGTGAAACATGGTATGGTATAGATTTCCAAATGGAAAATATTGGTAATAATTACAAGAATTTCATTTGGGAACCTGCATTAGTTAAGATTAATGCATTGAGTTCAGCCTGTGAAGCCGCAACTACATTATTATCAGTTGATGAAACCATTCGAAATGATGAACAAGAACAAGCTCAAGGTGGTGCTCCACCTCAAGCTAGAGGTAGAGGTGCTTTTTAAATGAAGTCGGTATAGGTATGTTTTGTGTTAATAGAACGTCGATAATTGTGTTTTTTTTTCTACTTCTGTAATTACAATGTTCTTTTCTTCTATACTTGTACACTTCTACTCTTCTACTGTGTCACGTGAATTGCTACAGGACAAGGTGAGACGACATTTTTGCTACATATTCACGAGTTTAAACTTTTCTTTTTTCTTTGGTTTTGTTACGCGTTGCCTGTGTGAGTTTGGTGAATAATACAATATAATGCGGATTGTACTTTTTTTTTTTTTTTCAATTTAGGGCCAATTTGACCTCGATTGGAACATATTCTTGGATTATATACCGCCTCGGTTTCTCTTGGAAGGAGATTAAATAGCCATCATCACATCGCATGAATTGTATCAATGAACATTTTCTTTTTCTCTCAATATTCGTGTGTCTTTGTTCGACATGGTGATGGTGATGGTGATGAAGACAACGTCAACAATAAGCAAACGTAGGATAAAACACGATGACTTAACTGAATGATGTGGCTATGGACCTTGGTTTTTTTTTTTTTTTGTTCTGGTTAAGTAAAAATTATAATTTATTAATAGAAACACAGTTTTCTTTTTTTTCTATATCTGTTATCAGTTGTGTTTCTGTTTATGGACTGTTAAATATAATGTGAATAATCGAATAGAAAAAGGTACAAGCAGCAACAAATGGAAAAAAAAAAAACTACATCTGCGATATTGTCAACGTTACGTGTTTTACAAATATTTTAATGAAATAAGATAAAGACACTTGTGGCGTGTATGTAGAAATATTAGCAATAATATTATATATAGATATACTTCAAAGAGACAAACTAGATAAACGTTTACAAAGAGTTGATGAGAATTGTATCCCTATCACTTGTATCTGACATGAACAAAAAGGAGTAATTTTAGTTTAGTGTAGGAGGATTATTCATCTAACTAGAATCGAACTAAATCCTAGTATTAGATTCTCGACAGGGGAAAATTCATGTTCAACAATTAGGGGGCGGCATGATATTTGAAAGAAAAGGGCGAATAGAATTTAGACAAACAAAAGGAAGATGGAGAAGAAGGAGAAAAATTTTTTGGATGCGAAATTTCGCGTCGCTCTTTTTTTTTTTATTTTTTTTTTTTCTCTCTACAGTTGAATTAAATGTACAACGAATAATAACTGCATGAAACAAACTCAGCCATTGGGAAAGTAGAAGAAGCAAAAAAAAAGAAAAGATCTGAAATTGTATAGACGACTATTTGTATCAAATATCAATGTAAGGTATTAATGTACTCGTTCACATAATGACCCTTTTTTTTATTCCATCATAACATGAAATCTAGGCTCATCTATGATAATGAAAGGAGGATTTGAAACTGTGGAGAAGAACCATAGAAGCAAAACATTTTGCTAAGTTAGCTCTTTCTCTTGATTGGTTCATACCATTGTTTTACAAAAGGGTGATTCATGATAGTTAGTATATGAAGTTAAAGGGAAAACAAGGAGTTAATGATTAAACACGGTTTTATCACCTTTCTATAAAAATAGATATACGTTTCTGTGGGATACAATTAAAGACAAATAGATGAAGTATAAATTCATACCTACCCACACCCACACAAAATTAGACATTTATCGTCTGTCCTTCACCCTTAGCCCTTTGTTCAATGTTTCTTAACAAAGCAAATATTAATAAAATAGGGAACGTCACAAAATTCACGATATATATATAGTTATTGAAAAATAAAATAATGTCTCTCGTATATATTTATTTATATAAATTTTAGTTTTAGCACTCTCGCGACATCTGGTAATGTCGTGCAATTATATATCCACGTATGTGGTTTTGTGTGATTAAACAATTCGCGTCACTAAGTGAATCCCTCCTTTCAATTTGGTAATAAACAATCGTCAATAATAATACAAAAGGGAAGAAAAGATTTACAGCTACTGTTCTACACAAACCTCAAAATGTTATATGTACAATGAAACACAATAAATATATATTAATCAACCCATTTCCAACTAAATAGAGAAAGAAAAAAAAATTTCATCTTCATTTTCTTTGGCTTTTACCAGATTCCATATTCTGCTTTTATATTTATATATATTTATATATCTACTACTTTGGTTTCAATTTCATTATCAAATCTTATTGAAAACCAACTAATACCCACTTTCGTTTCATTCATTGTTTATTTCTTTTATCAGGGAAACCAGACAGAGAAAAAGAAAAATTTATAAAAAAAGGAAAATTTTTTTTTTTTTACAACCATTTCCCTTGCATTCCTTCATTCCTTCATTCTTTTTATTTACAACCAATTGGACTAATCAACTCCATTTGAATATTCCTACATTTGCATTTGCTAGTATTTATGAAAATAGAATACCTAGAATTATAGAATCAACCTTATCTATCCATTCACTGTCATTCCATTATATAACACTATAAAGACCATGTCATTCACACAACAACAACAACAACAAGCACAATTTCAAGCAAAGAAAGTTAGATATGGACCACCGTCTCACATTAAAAGAAGAGTTTATCATCCTACTCTAGAAGCTTTGGAATCTCAAGGTAATAAACTTCTAATTGATGAATATTACCAAGATGTAACATCCACATTATCAGATTTGGAAAGTAAAAGTTCTGTTAACCCAGCTATGATTGATTTACAACCAGAAATTCAATGGTTTATGAGACCATTCTTGTTGGATTTCTTGATTGAATTACATTCGTCTTTCAGATTACAACCAACCACTTTGTTTTTATGTCTTAACATTATTGATAGATATTGTGCCAAAAGAATTGTTTTTAAACGTCACTATCAATTGGTAGGTTGTACTGCCTTATGGATTGCTGGTAAATATGAAGACAAAAAACTGAGAGTTCCTACTTTGAAAGAATTAACAATCATGTGTCGAAATGCTTACGACGAAGAAATGTTTGTTCAAATGGAAATGCACATCTTGAGTACTCTTGAATGGTCTATTTCTCATCCAACTTTAGAAGATTGCTTACAATTGGCTATTAATGCTTCCAAACTTTCTCAACCTTCTATCCCATCCAGTTCTCCATATCATCAAGAAGAAGCTGATAAGAATAAATCAGTCGTCTCTGCTGTTACTGCTGTAGGTAGATTTTTGTGTGAATTATCCCTTTACGATAAGTTTTTTTTATCTGTTCCAACTTCACTAATTGCTATCACTTGTAACTTGTTGGCTTGTTCAATGCTTCAAATTCCAAATGCCTCCATTGCTTTAAAAGACTTGTTGGAAGAAACTATTTTGAAACCAAAAAGAGAACAACTTCAACAACAAAGATCCCAAAAGAAAGCACAAACCATGGTTCCTTCTCATCCTATTCTCAATCCAAGCACAAATACCATGTACAATAATAATAACGAAAGCAACTATAGCCATCAACAAATGGGTGTTAGACATTCCAGTATTGATGATGACATTGACTTGGATTATGATGAAGAACAAGATGACGATTATATTGATGACTTTTATGAAATGGACCAAGATGAAGAAGAAGCAGAAGACTACAGTCCTAATGATACTAATGACACTACCTTTGATGAAGAATTGGAAAACAAGCCACCAAAAGTCCACGGGGCATTCTTAAGTGGATTGGATGAAAATTCCCTTTTAACTATTAAAAAAATTGCTTTGGTTTTAATTATTCAATTAAGTAAAGTTACTGAAGTTTTGTCCAAAAAGTATGAAAACTTGGGTGTTATTCAAGTTATTAATAATTTCCATTCAAACTACAAATTCGTAATTCAATCAATTTATGAAAAACAAGAAGATATTATTAATAATATTGATGATGTTGAAAGCACATTGATTCAATCAACAGAATTGTTACTACAATTTCCAAAACTTGATGACGACTTGACTGAAGATGAACTCACTGAAGATGAAGAAGACATAGATTCCGAATACGATCATTTATCATTTAGAACTCCTAAATCACCACATCCATTTTCCTCATCATCTTTAAGTCTAGTGGATGGTCAAACTGTAGCACCAGTTACTCCACCATCAGCAACTTCACAATACTCGGTATTTTCAAATAAAAGATCATCATCAAGTAGAGTCAATTCTGCATGCAACACTCCAACCCATATTTCCATCAGTTCATTTGCTCCTCCACAACCACCACCAGGATCTGTCTTGAGAACCAAATCAAAAATTAGAAAACATAGTGGTAATCACAACTATAAACGAGATAGCAAATATGACCCACATCAATTTTCCCCTATTAAACCAACAAGTACAAATAGTTCAGTAATTGGTGGTGGTTCATCACCTTTAATGCATCAACAACATTTCTGAGTATTATCATTTTGTTTTTGTTTTCATATATTATATTATTTTTGAAACGTAGGATATGTTTTTGAATTGCTTTTCTTAAAAAACAGTTTGTTTTCATTTTGCATTGTAACTTCTAGATGAAATTAGATTTCCCAATTTTTATTCAATTCTTGTTTATACCTTAAATTTTAATATACTTTTGATTGTTTTAGGAATAATTTAGTAGTGAAATACTTGTAGAATATGAATTGTTGGTAAACTGTGTTTGTGTGTATTCTTTGGTAAACCCATTTGATAGAATTGTTTTTCTTTTTTTTCATGAGAAATTGTTGCAAATTTGCCATGAAAAAAAAAATAGAAATTGAAAACCCCTTCAACATTATACACAGAACTATTATTATTCAACTCATGATTATAGACATACAAGAGATAATTGTATTATAAAGGGTATATAAATAGTTAACAAGTTCATTACCCACAATCCACCATACAAGATGTAAACAATTTTATTGGTTGTATTCTTAACAACCTCCGAGTTGATCATTAAATTAGAGCACATATGGTAGCACTACACCTTCGCGTCTACCAAAGTTATCACAAAAATCAACATCTGCACAACCGCCACTTGTTTCCCCCCTTTCAATCATCAGGTGAACAATTACCCAGATTGTTGAACTAATTTTTCTTCTGAAACGGGTACTTAAAACTATACATTGATCTAAATTATAGTATCGATCAACTCCTTTGCAATTAATTGGAATTAAATTTCCCCAAAACTAAACTAAAAACCCAACATTAGTTTAATTATTGAGCAAATAACTTCATGTAATAATTTTTCCGAATTGAGAATGTTTTAAATTGTTCATACTTTATTTCATTGTGTGTGTATTCGTGTATTGGTGTCAAACTTTTTTTTTTCTTTTTTTTTTTAGTTTTAGTTTTGTTTTTGGTCTCGGACATGGTTCAGTTTACACGACGGACCTGAAAGATCACGAGTATTCATGATATGTATAGTAAGAAATTACATTCTTCATTCCCAAAAGAACATTCTTATGGTACATCTTTGTTTATTTATTTTGATTAGATATTGAATTTTTATATTTTGGGGATGGTGATGTTGATCAATTGATTTGGGTATCAGGTACGACTTCTTGATTATATATCGTACATTTTCAATTATCTATTAAGAAATCTTATAACTGCTACAAATATCAAATCCATATCTAAAAACAAACTATATTTTTATGATATGCTTGACATTTTCCTAGGTATTCATATTCATTCCTTGTAGCAATAAAGAATATCAAGAATCTTTATCTTGGTAGGATGGCTATACACAATCGGACCAAGTCGTGCACATGCGTCTAATATTTTTATTTCATGGTTTGTTTATTTTTGGATTGTTTTCGGATAGTGATTTTGTTAAGGGGAAAATTTTTCTCTCTCTCACACTCACACTCTCACATACTCTTTTACACTTATCAATCCCTACAGAATCTAAAATTATTTTTATACAACTGCTCTCTCTTTTTTTTGACAACCAACATCGTTTTAAATCAAGTCTACTTATAGGATACCCCCTTGGCACCCATTTACCCAACCACCTACCCATACCACACCACATCGTATCATTTTATTATTTCTCACAGGCAAAGTGCTAATTCTACCATCGTATTAATACAACAAAAGTCATATTCATATTCACTTTCGCTTAAACACCCGAGATCAAAAAAAATATGCCTTCAACTACTCAAACAGACGACAATGATTCCATAATATCGAAAAATTGGGTTTGGGTACCTAACCAACCCGACTTGTTCACAAGAGGTTATATTTCTGAATACTTGCCTGATGGTAAATGTAAAGTCAATATAGTGAAGGGACAAGATTCAACATCAACTAGTAGTACTATAACAATTGATCAAAAAATCTTGGAGAATTGTAACCCTACAAAATTCAACAAATGTGAAGACATGGCAGAGTTAACCCATTTAAATGAACCTTCAGTCGTTTACAATTTATATCTTCGATATTTGGATGATTTGATCTATACATATTCTGGGTTGTTTCTTGTTGCTATCAATCCTTATAAACTGTTGCCCATCTATAATCAAGCTATTCTTAAGAAATACCACGATTTCAAACCTGATGGATCAAGTTCAAGCGGTTTGAAGAGCCAACCGTCTCCTCATATCTTTGCTATCGCCGAATCCACTTTTAGAAATTTGTTGAGTAATAGGAAAGATCAAAGTATTCTAGTGACTGGGGAAAGTGGTGCCGGTAAGACTGAAAACACCAAAAAAATTATACAATATTTATCTTCAATCACCAATGATGATGGTGGACAAGAATCAAACATTGACGTAAAGATTTTACAGGCAAATCCAATATTAGAAAGTTTTGGTAATGCAAAGACCATTAAAAATAACAACTCATCAAGATTTGGGAAGTTTATTCAAATTTATTTTTCTCATGACAATAAAGAGGAGATAACAGGTGCAAATATTGATTATTATCTTTTGGAGAAATCAAGAGTTATTAGCCAGGCAAGTCAAGAAAGAAATTATCATGTATTTTATCAATTCTTAAAAGGTTATGAAAATTTATCTAGTTTGGGGTTGAACAAGGACTTGTCAACTTATGGATATCTTAAATCCGGACAAATGACTATTGCTAATGTAGATGATTTCAAGGAATTTAACTTATTGGTTGAAGCTTTCAAGATTATGGGATTCAGTGCTAGCGAGACTAATTTCATTTACCAAGTGTTGGCCATTATTTTGCATTTAGGGAATTTGGATTTCACATCATGGAAGTCAGAACAAGCCAATTTCACACCTGATTCTCCTATAGAGAAAATTTCCGAATTACTAGGAATCGACAATGGCAAATTAGTTGAAAATTTGTTAAGACCAAAAGTCAAGGCAGGTCGAGAATTTGTCACCAAATCCAAGAAAGCCAGTGAGGCTAAATTTGCTATCGACGCATTTTCCAAATATTTATACGAAAAGTTGTTTCAGTTTATTATTTCCAAGATCAATGAAAACTTGTATAACCAAGAGAACACCAACGGTAATTTCATTGGCGTTTTGGATATTGCTGGTTTTGAAATCTTTGACATTAATTCATTTGAACAATTATGCATTAATTATACCAATGAAAAATTACAACAGTTTTTCAACCATCATTCATTTATCTTAGAGCAAAGTGAATATTTACGTGAAAATATCAATTGGGAATTTATTGACTTTGGTCAAGATTTACAACCTACAATTGATTTAATTGAAACTCGACAGCCAATGGGTATATTGAAATTGTTAGATGAAGAGTGTTTGATGCCAAAATCATCTGATCAATCCTTCATGGAGAAATTAAATGCTAATTTCACAGGAAAAAACCACAAATTCTCACAAAACAAGTTCAAGAGTGGCTTCATAATCCATCATTATGCCGGAAAAGTTGAATATAATGTTGACAACTGGTTACAGAAAAATACTGATCCAATTAGTGAAAACATTTTGGCGTTATTACCTGAATCAACAAACCAATTTATTGCAGAAATGTTTAGCAATGATCCACACTTGGTCCAACAAACCAACCAACGAAACTCTAAATTGAAGACAGCGTCTCAAAAACACAAGGATCAATTGAAGGTGCTTATGGATCAATTGGAATCGACTGAACCTCATTTTGTTCGTTGTATCTTACCCAATTTAGAAAAGAGAGCAAATAAGTTTGATAAAAACTTAGTCCTTGGTCAATTACGATGCAATGGTGTTCTTGAAGGGATCAGAATTACACGAGCAGGATACCCTAACAGAATGATGTTTGATGAATTTATTTCAAGATATTCTATTATATGTGAGAAGGAGGTATTTAGCAAGAATAGTAAAACTACCAGTGAGATCATTCTTAAGAATGCCAAGTTAGATCCAGATACATACAAGGTGGGGATTACCAAGATTTTCTTCAAGAATGGTATTTTGGGACAATTGGAAGTTCTACGAGATTTGAGTTTAAAGAGTATTTTCACTGACTTGCAAAGAGCCATAAGAGGTAATTTGGCAAGAGCAACTCTTAAACAACAAATAAAAGAAATTCAATCTGCCCAGATCATTGCCAAGACAATGAAGATTTTGGATGAAGTGAAGGAGACGTCTCCGTGGATGAATTTGTTTTTCCAGATCAAACCATTGTTGGAAGATTCAGTCAAAGTTTTGGATTCTAAAGAGATGCAAGAGAATTTAAAGAATATGACTGTCAAACTCAAAGATACAGAGAAATTAAAGAATGGCTTGGAGAAGGATAATGAAAAGCTACGTGAACAATTGAATAAATTGGAAGACGAGATTATTGCAATCAATGGAACTATTAAAGACAAAGATGACCAAATGTCTAGATTAAAGATTGAGCATGCGAAATCACACAAGATGGTTGAAACTCTTGAAACGAAGATCAAAGATTTCCAACAAGCTAACGAAGAATTGGTTAATGAAAGGGAGAAATTGACTAATAGATCTTTGGACCTTCATGATCAACACAATAAGAAAGTTGAAGAATTAACTGAGTTGAATAAGTTACATGAAGTTGCTCAAGAAGAGTTAGCTAAATTAAAGGACAAGCTTGCTAATGTAAGCAAATTAGAAAAAGATCACCAACAAGAGTTGAAAAGTGTTAGAGAACAGCATGATAAATCTATTCATGAATCAACTTTGAAGAATTCACAATTGGAAGAATTGACAAAGAAGTTAAAGTCTGATTTGTCATCTCATGAGAAATTACTTCCTGAACACAAATCATTGAAACAAGAGATCAAGAAGTTGAAGGGTTTGATAACTGAAAGTGAATTCAAATATGCCAACCAACAAAACACTATTACATCCTTGCAGTCTCAATTGACAAAAGATGAAAGCAAAAAGGTCAAATACGAAGGCAAGATTGAAGAAGCCAAGGAAAAAGTTTCATTATTGAAAGCCAAACTTGAAAAGAAATCAGCTGAACTTGACGATTATAAAAAACAAGTGAAGCAATTGAAAGCCGATTTAGCTGCTGTTAACACTAAACTCGGTGAGCACGATGAATTAAAACAACAATTGAGTAGTTTGAAATCAGATGAATCTAAACGTCTTGATGAATTGGCGTCATACAAACAAAAATTGTCCAATGCCTTAAACGACCAGAAATCGATTGAGTCTCAGTTTAACACTCTCAGAGTTGAATGCGATGATTTGAAAAAGACCAAGGCAGAGTATAGTAACAAGATTCATTCTTTGACTTCACAAATCAATCAAATCAATCAGGACATTAAACAGAAGGAATTGGAAAAAGAAAATCAACCACCAGATCCACAAATAATGGAAGAATACACTCATATGAAGATAAAACTCAATGAACAAAGTGCCACCTTGAGGAAAGAGAAATTTGAAAACAAGAAGTTAACAGAGGAGTTACAATTAATTAAGGAGAGAATCATGTCTGGTTCTTTAACTAGTATGGATTTAACTCCTAAAAGAAGATCCTTGGCAATTGGTGAAAGATCAATCATTACTAGTAACGTTGACTTTTTGAACCAAGAAGTTGAAAATTTGAAGTTTCAAGTACGTCAAGAAGTGGCAAATTTCCAAAGAGCCGAAAACTATGCTATTGAATTACAAAAGAAGTTGAACAAGTTGATGGCTACTAGAGGCATCAATAGTGCAACAGATTATGAAAAGAAGTACAAGGAGTCTCAAGATAGAATTCACAAGTTGGAAAGCAAGATTGAAGGGTTAATCACTGCTGATGACAGTTTTAATGACAGTATGACTTCCAATTCATCTAGACATTCCTTAATCAGAAGCGATAGTTTTAACAACAGCTTAAAAGGTGTGAGTCAAGAATATGTTCAAATTTATCAAGATGTCACAAAAACTTTGAAGTCTACTCGTGAAGAATTGAGTGTTTCTAAATCGGAGATTTTGAGATTGAAAGCTTTGTTGAGAGAATCCGAAGATGAATTATACCAAGTTAAGCAAGAAAATTACAAAACCTCAGTGAATGACTATGAGCAGGATTTGGCACAATTAAAAGTAAAACACGAGACTTTATTATCTCGTAATAGAGACATTTCTGAAAGCTTGGAGGTCTACAGGAAACGTGCTGATGAGTATTACAACAAATTGGAAATGGCTGAAGCTGCTGTTAAACTTTCTAAAAAGAATGAGGCTTCTGCTGTTGAAGAAATGAAAGAGATGAGAAATCAATTGATTTTAACCAAAGAAGAATGTCGTACTTCCCAGATTTTGATTAAAGATTTTAGAATCAAGATTGGCAAATTTGAAGAACAGATTGTTGTGAAGGATCAAATGTTGCAGTCATCTAAAGAAGAAATCCAGTCCCTCAAGGATAAATTAAATTATCATTTGAGTAATTACGAGAATAAAGAATTAACAGAGAAATATAAAGAAGAGATTAGGAACTTAAACAAGGAGTTAAATTTCAAGATTGACAATGAAACAAAGTTGATTAAAGAGACCAAGAAGTTACAATTGGACTATGAAGATGCAATATTGGCTAAGGATAATTTGACCAAGGAATTGGAGGACCTGGTGTTGCGTGAAGAGAGATTAGAATTACGTATCGACGAGTTGTCTAACAATTTAAGAACATTGGAGAATGAAAATGTAATTAATGATAGAAAAATCGTCAATTTCAATAGACAAGTTTCTGGTTTGAAACAACTTATTGAAGAAATATCCACAGAAAGAGATCGTATCTTGAAAGAAAAGGCTGAATTATCCAACGAACTAAACAAATTGAGTACTAAACATGATAGAACTACCACTGACTTGAAGCAAACTCAAGCTGAGTTGGCATTTATCAAGCAACATTTGGAAAACCAACGTGAAGATTCTGAAGCCATCAAATCTGAACTCAATCAATCCAAACTTTCCACAACTTCTGATTATCGAGAACAACAAAAGATCCGTCATGAATTATTGGTCACTAAAGAAGAAAACTTCAGTCTTCTGAAGACCAATAAAGAATTGAATGATAAAGTTGAAAGTTTGGAAGAGAAATTATACAGTAATGAACAATTGAAGTATTTGGAAAGTAAAGTCAAGTCTTTAACAAAATCTTTGGATTCTGCCACTGTTGAAAAGAATGAGGATGAAAAGAATATCAAGAATTTGGAAAGACAAGTTAAGAACTTGGAAATTAGACTCGAAAATGAATCTAGTTTGAGCAAACGTTATAATGATGAGAATTTCGATTACCAGAATAAAGTCAATCATTACAAAAGTACAATTGATATTTTACATAATGAGAATTTGGAAAAAGATTTACAATTAAAAGGTATTCAAAGAGAAAATATTGAAATCAAAGAAACGATGTTGATGTTGCAAAAAGAAGTTTTAGAATTACGTGAGAAATTACGTGTATAGATTAGATTACTATCTTTCTTAATATTATGTACAGAATAAATACAAGTTGATATATATATATGTGTGTGTATAAAAATCTATGAAAACCATCTTCTCTTTTTATTTTCTTTCTCTTTTGTAAAATCTCTAGGTTGTGTCAATTCAGGACCACTGAATTTACCTAAGCCATAATGACGAAGCCAAAATTCAACATCACCAAATGATTCTCTTTCACCTTGCATAACTACAGATGGCAATCCTGAGCTAACACCTTTTGTAACAACATTTCCAGTAATGACTTTTTCCAAAACATTTTTCAAATCACTTGAAGTTAATCTATTGATTTTTTCAACCATTTCATCAACAGTAGTGATTTTACCTTGACATTGAATTTGTCTACCCAAATCTTCTAATTTAGCTAATCTACTTTCAACATTCATCAACAAGGAACTAATCAATTGTTTTTTAGCTCTTTCAACTTCATTCATAGTCATTCCATTTTCTTTAGTTAACAATTTACTCAATTCATTACCAATCATTTGCACCCCTACACCAGCAGCTTGAGGAACTAAAGATAATGTGATTCCAAAAATACCACTATCTATGTATGAATGATTAAAACATTGACAATTTTCAACATAAGGGTATTGATTTAATATTTGTGTGTATAATCTTGAAAACATACCTTTTCCTGGACCCCCAGCAGAAAATGAAGAGCCACCACCAAGTAATTTTTGTAATGTGGCTAATGAATATAAATCATCATTTAATAATCCAGTAGTTTCAAAACCAACTTGAATATGATATAATTCAGGTAAATTGGCATAGATTGGTGGTTTATGAGGTAATGCCAATTCTCCACCAGTATAATTGATAACTCCTAAATCTGGTTTTGTAGAATTTTTTGTAGCTTTCCAATCACCAAAATTATCCATAACTAAACGTAAAGCATATTCATGTGGTACACCAACCATAGCAATGATTACATTTTGTGGTTGGAAAAATTTTTCATGATAATTCAAAATATCTTGCTTTGAAACAAGTGGTAATCTTTCTCTTGGAAAATATAATGGTAATCCAAGTGTGTTATTCTTATATGCAACAGAATGTAATTCTTCAGGTAAATATAAATCAGGTTTATAACTCAATTCTTGAGCTTCATAATCAGCAGTTTGTAAACATTCTTCAAATTCTTGATCGGTAAATTTTGGATATCTTACAGTTTGAGAAATAAGTTCCAACATTTTTTCAACATCTTTATTAAAAACTGAACTTTGGTAAATTATCGATTCTCTTTGTGAAGCACTCATATAATTGCCACCTAGTTTGGATAAATTCTCCAACATCTCTTGTCCATTATATTTTTCTGTAGATTTCCAAGCTAAACGATCATGTAAATGTGATAAACCTGGATTTTTTGGATCTTCAAATCTAGACCCGGCATCAATATAAGCTCCTAAAGCACTGAAATGACCTGGTGTTGAATCAGTTACTAATCTTAATCCATTAGCAAGAGTTGTCATTTCTATATGTGGTTTCGCTGTGGATGCCAAAGTTTGATTGTTTCTTGAAAAATATGTGCATGGCTTCACATTCTTTGGAAGTCTCCTTATAGGAATTCTAGACAACATCGTGAATAAAAATGTGGTATGGGGTATTGGTAAATGCTAAGGTATAAGGTATATTCTTGTTGAAAAAAAAATGAGGTTTCAAACGGAATAGGCAAAAAAAATAAAGAAACGAAAAAATCAGGCAGAAAAAAATAAACACTAGTAAAAAAGTTTGTATGTAGTAACTATATGCAGGTCATTTTTGATTTTTGGTGATAGAGTATAATTACATAAGCACAACGGTTCTAAATCATTACCTTCGGTCGTATTGTTCATGAAATTAATATTATATTGTCCTACCAGAGATACCATAATGCAACTAAAAATAACACCAGCATGAACAGTAACATTCTACCTTCTGCGGTAGTACCTAACCATAATCCATAACCGATAATATTATCCAGAAGATGTGTAATTACTTTATTTGTGAAAAAGTCCCATTTTGTTGGTTTTAAGTAGATAGAAGTTGGTCCACTTTCAATATAGTTATCACGTTCGATTTCCTCTAATTGTCCAAAATTCAGAAACCTAGATTGTTGAGATAATCCAGTAGAAACAATCTCCAAACATCTTGACATTGGAGATATTATCAGTTTTGGTGGTTTGAATGGAACTGATATCCTTAAATAAACTGGACGATGATCCGATAATAACAAGGAGTTCACCGAGTCGTATTTATCAATAACTGGTAACGAATGTATTAAATTGGTTCTTAATAAATTTAAATGTTCTCCATCTTCATAGGTTGACAAGAATAAAATTCGATCACACCACGAAGGACTTCTTTTGGAATTGAAAATCGCAGTGTTAATATAGTATTTATAAGTTGGTTGGAATTCAATTTTACCTTCACTAAAACCCAACAAGACTTCACCATTCTTCAACCCTTTATGTAATTCATCATATTGAGAGAATAACTGGTGCACATACTCACCATCAATGGTACTATGTTGGTCAGCTAACGCAAGTAAATTCTGAGTTACCACTGAAGTCTTTTTGTAATTTTGTGTAGTTCTATAATTAAGATCTCCCATTATAAATATGTGATTGTTTGGTTTAATCAAACCAAATCCATCGCCAAATTCAAGACTTCTCATAATAGTCAACAAGTTTTGGTTTCTTTGTTGATAATAATATTCACCTTCGAATGCATTCAAATGAATACCAGCAAAACTCAATTCCACAGATTTCATGTTATCCGGTGAATATTTCAATCTTATACCAACTCCACCTTTCATTGAACTATACCCATATCCAACTGATGATGTTGCTGTTCTGATATTTGAAAATCTTGGGGCAAATGGAGAAAGGACAATTAAACCAATTGACCCAATGTGATTCATGGCTAAGGTTTGGAAACAATCCATACCATACTTCTCAAATAGCATTACTTGGATAGTCTCATTATATGATATTAATTGTTGGTTTGACAAATCTTTAAAACTACCATCTAAAATTGAACAGAACTCTTGAAATGCAAACACATATAATAATGACGGAGTATCAGGTAACGATTCTGCGACTTTTGATTTGAATGAATTGTTCTCAATCACTTGTTTGTTACAGTTATAGGTAAACAAATATAATGGAAGTTGATCTTCCTTAGAGTGTTGGGTCTCCTTGGTTTCTGACATCTTGATATGTCTTGTTGTTGGTTGTTGCTGTTCGTTTCAAATTTCAAGTTTCATTTGCTTGTGGTTTTTTTATCATGTCGCAAAAAAAAAATGTACCAAAGAAAAAAAAAAAATCTTCTACTCTATTCTTAGTGAATGATCATCGCCATCATGAACAACTTTATCGAGACGCAGAGGTCTAACATTGAAGAACTCGATATAATTGAAGATTCAGTGTCCAAAAAGTTATTGAAGAATCCATTTATATTACCATCACATCTACAACCCAAACAAAATTTCCTTATATCAAAGATCAACAAACCAAAATCAACAAAACGACTCACACTTCAACAACAATATGAATTGAAGTACTTTAATGATCGTTATAACCAGATTATCAAAGACTTAAATCATTGTTTAAATTCAGAAAAAGAATTATTTGATAAAGCATTACCCGAACCATCATTTGAAAAATTCGATGAATTGATCAATAATATCCCCGAGAATGAAGAGATGGTCACTGATCCAAGAGTTTTGTATTCAAGTTATAGTTCCTTGGATAAAGAAAAATTTCCAAATGATGTCACTCTTAAGATTAAAAATGGTAAAGAATTGGAATTCGTAAAAAGAAAACACATATTGAGTTATGTTGCATCTCATTTAAAGAATTTGGAGATTGATGAGACATTAGATATGCACAAGTTTCATGATATTTACGTTAACAATTTTGGAAAAGTTTCCTATATTGAATATCTTTATAAGTTTATGAGTTTCCCTTACAATACCACGAATGGGTCATACACCACGTATCTTACTGAATTAAGCGAGTTTCTTACAAAGAGACTAATAGAATTATACCCATTGACTGATTACCAGGAGCTATTGAAATCTTGGAAACTGAATTTTAAAGTTGAAGAAGGGAAGCCAAATGAAAAAGGCGAAATATTCTGTGAACCATGTAACAAAATCTTTGCCAAACAAACAGTTTATGATGCACATTTATCCGGGAAGAAGCATAAGAAGAATGCCCAGAATATATCCCAAAAGGATAGTTTAATTCCTTGGATGGAATATTTGATTCAAAAATTATGCGATGAGTTGAAATTAGATTTAGAATATACTAGATCAGAAGTTGAAAAATTGGCCAATGCATCAGAACGTGAAATCCAATTAGATAAACACTTGCAACGAGAAATTGAAAACGAGTTTGTCAACATAAACGAAGATGATAATGATTCAGAAGTACAAGTATCAGATGACGAAGGTGATGATTCTTTTAAGAATTTACCTCTTGGACCAGATGGCACGCCGATACCATTCTGGCTATATAAATTGCAAGGGTTACATAAACAATACAAATGTGAAATCTGTGGGAATATTACATATAAAGGGAAAAAAGTATTTGTCAAACATTTCAACGAACCAAAGCATCAATATGGGTTGAAATGTCTTGGTATTGATGAGGATAAAATGGTTTTGTTTAAGAATATTGTTAAAATAGACGAGGTAGTACAATTGTGGAGGCTGTTAAAGAAAGAAATCAAAACCCAACTGAATGAAATAGAAATAGAAGACAAACATGGTAATGTAATGTCCGAAAAAGATTATTTAGATTTAAAGAAACAGGGCTTATTGTAAAATCGTGGAGAATTTTCACGTGACCAACTTTAAAATAGGGTGTACAGGTACAGCAACAAAATTTTAATTAATTTTTTTTTCCCTTGAGTCGTGTGCGTTCACAAAGATTATATAATCTGAAACGATCTTGCGAAATGATATGCAGACATTGTGGAGGGTGTCGACGATTGGACAACTTTATAGAATCGGAGATGTACCTTTTCTTGTTTATAAATTGCCAATGCTACAACTTTCGTGCTTTTAAAGAAGAGGAGGAATACCAAGTGTGAGTAAAGTTCGATATTGTTTTAGGTTGCACATTGCAATTTTAATTTGTTGATTTCTCTGAACAAAGAAGATGAAAATTTTTTTCTTCTTCTTCTTCTTCTTCTTCTTTATGTGTACTGTACTGCATTTTCTTGATTCGGTTTAGTTTTAGTTTTAGTGTTGCGATTAAGCTCAGTAAATTTTAAGGCGGAGAAGGAGTCAACTATCGATGTGCAATTACCGTGCATCTCACTCACTCTCACACTCTAAATCATAGCCCTGCAATACAACCAGGCAAAAAATTTTTTTTTTGTTTTTTTCATTTTTCAATTTTTTTTTTTACCATTTCTTTCTTTCTTTCCTTTATCATCAACAAGAAAAGAACAAAATATCCAATTAGTTTCATTTATTCTTTTTATTTGAACGTTAGAGTGTTTTTATTTTTACAATTATTATAAAAAAATAAACACATACCTACGATTCAAATTTTCTATATTTAACTAACCCAATTGAAATATTAAGCATTTTATGCTAAGCGTAAACAAATCTTTTTCAAGAAAAGCCCCTACTTCCTCCTCCTCCTCCACTTCTTCCTTGTCTGCTTCATCTACAGCATCTACTAAAGAAAAAGGTTCCTGACATAACTAATACCCCCCATTTTTACCCGCCGCTTAATCGTCGTTACCAACAGTTAAATGCCACCTACCCAAGCAATTTTCAACCACGAGTTGTCAACTACTTTGGACTCAACCCATGCTTTTGAAGGACCGGAAAAATTATTAGAGATTTGGTTCAATCTGGAAAAATCCGAGTCTTTTGATTTAAGATCAATCAAATATGAATCAATTGTCAAGATTTTGAATTTGGTTCATTGTGAAGTTTTATCAAAAATTTCCAATCCGGAAATGGATGCTTATTTATTGAGTGAATCTTCATTATTTGTGTTTGAGAACAAAATCATTTTGAAAACTTGTGGTAGAACAACCTTGTTGTCCTGTTTGGGGTTGTTGTTTGATACTGTTAAACAAGAGATTAATGAATTTATTAGAGTTCAACAAGTTTTCTACAGTCGTAGAAGCTTCTTTTTCCCAGATCAACAATTACACGTTCATAGTAACTGGAATGAAGAGGTATCCGTTTTGGATAATTATTTTGATAATGGGAAAAGTTACATTGTTGGACACAACACCAATTGGCACCTTTATGTTGCTGGTGATCTTAGTGTTCCATTCCATGATTCCACTTTAGAAATTATCATGACCAAGTTATCTCTTGGTGCATCAAAGAAGTTTTATACTACCAGATTGCCAGGAGATGTAGCTAGTGATGATGATCACGATTTGGGTCATGAATCTGGACAAGAAGTTTTGCATGCAACTGGATTGAACTCATTATTTAAGTATAACAAGGGTCAATCTGCTAGCAAAGAAACCCATGATGGATTTGCTTTCACTCCATGTGGATTTTCAAGTAACTCTATGAATGATGATGGTTTTTACTATACTATTCATGTTACTCCTGAACCAGGTTGGAGCTATGCTTCCTTTGAAACCAACATGCTTGGTGGTAATTATAAGGAAATCATTGATAAATGTATCAATGTTTTTGAACCAGGTCAATTTATGGTTACTTTTTTGACCAATTCTGATGTTCAAACGTTTGAATGTTGCTTAGAAGATGATTATAAAATTCATCACAAAGAAGAGTTAGATGTTGGAGGATATAAATTGTTTTTTGTCGAATTCGTTCGTATCTAGAATGGTTTATATTGATTTTGAGATATGTAGATATTATCTAAAAGAATCTACGTATGTTATTTGTATAGCCTTTTTCTTCACTAAATAAATGAAGTTTTTTTGCTGCATTCGTATATCTTAACCAACTTACACGACCCAAGTTTGATTTTTTTTTTCTTTTTTTTTTTTTTTCTGTATCGAATATAAAGATACAATTTGCTCTTGTATTAAAGATCACGTTTGAAATTCTTTAATTACTAATCACTACTACACTCATAATGCTACAAACAGCCGAAGGTATGTTTATAACTAATAATTTGACCAAACCATACATGAATGAAACACTAACATTATCATTAGATGATCAACTTAAAGATATGTGTCCTATTTGTAAAACGGACAAGTATTTATCACCAAATATGAAGTTTCTAATTAATCCAGAATGTTATCATAAAATATGTGAGAGTTGTGTGGATAGAATATTTTCATTAGGTCCAGCACCTTGTCCATATCCTAAATGTGGGAAAATTTTAAGAAAAAATAAATTTAAACAACAAATATTTGAAGATTTAGTAATTGAAAGAGAAGTTGATATTCGTAGAAAAGTGAATTCTATATATAATAAAACTGAAGAGGATTTTCCTGATTTAAAAGAATTTAATAAGTATCTTGAAGAAGTTGAAGATATTGTGTTTAAATTAAGTAATGGTATTGATGTTGAACAGACAGAAGCAGAATTGAATAAATATGAACTGGAACATAAATTAGAGATTTTGGAAAGAAATATGAGAGAATCTCAAAAGAATGATGATTTAACGAAATATAGAGAAGCTATGGAAAGATTAAAACAAGAGAAATTGAAAATCCAGAAACAAATGGAAATCGAAGATTTAGAATATCAGAAACAACAACAACAAGAATTATTAGATAAAATGACTAATAGTTCATCAAGTTCTGAAGAATTGATTAAGCAACAACAAAATCAAATGTTGAAGAGATCTAGTTTAAGAAGAAAACAATTACAATCTATAAATATTCAATTAGATCAACAATTCAATCAATCAAATCCATTTCATAAACAACTTGCTGAAGATATTCTGGCAGTACCATTTACTCCATTCCAAGGAGATCGTGATTTGAATAAAAAATATACTTTATTACCTGTACCTAATGAAGTTGACAAGATCTTGGATATTGAGAATCATATTAGTGATAGTTATTTCGATCCTTATATTAACAAATTGGCCAAAAATAAGACATACCTTGGTGGTGGATGGAGATTACGTAATGTCTTTGAACAGGCATTAGATGAAGCATTTATTGGTTTGGGATGTAATATAGAATCAGAAAAAAGTAATTATACATTATAGAATATGTACATACACATATATATCTTAATAATCGATGAATTTTATTTCTGGATGGAAATATACAGGACATGACCAGTATGATCTTTTAACATTTTCCCATACACTTTTATCTTCATTATCTTGTAGCATTTCTTTTGGAATATCAATTTCCTTAAATTTACATTCTAATCCGTAATTACCCAAATCAATTTCAACCAATTTTTTATAAACTTCATAGACAACTTCACGATCAGCACCTAAACCATTGAAAAATGAGAAAACACCATGTGGTTTTAATAAACCAACAACATAATCAAACAATTCAAGCATATCTGAATAATGTTCCAGAAAAGTATCGTAGTAAATCCCATTGAAAAAAACTTGTCCATTACTTAATAATTCATCAAGTTTATCTTGCCATCTACCTTCTAAAATAACAACATTTTCTTTTTCATACCAACCATCTTTTTTCAATTTTGCAAGAACATCAGGATGTGCTTCACAAATGTAATGTTTAGTTGGTTTTTGATTTTGAATAAATCCATCAATGATACCCATACCAAATCCAATATTTAATATATAAATTTCAGAATCTTCTTCATTTGTATCTGAATCTATAATGGCACCATTGAAAAGTGTATCTGCACCAAGTTTCATAATATCAGTTTCCCATGCCATCATAACACCATCTTTTCTATCTTTAGTTATAAGTGAATCATCAGTATATTCCAATTTAGTGTTTAAATACGAATTTTGGTTTTGGGATGGTGCATCTACTGGATCATCTACTTCTGCAACAGTCTCTTGTTTTGGTTGTTCCTTTGGTTGTTCATTTAATTGTTGCTCTGGTTCGTCTTTCACTTCGTCCTTCTCCTCGACCAAGTCAGGAATAGCTTCACCAAATTCTTCATGATTCAAATCATCAGTATCTTCAATAATTTCCATATCAAACTCACCGACTTTTCTTAAAACTAATTCTGCTCTTACACCAGCATCAACGATTTGATCATATAATTTACAATTTTTCAATCCTCTTTTAATCAATATACAACCAGGAGTTAAATTTTCAACATCAGTGAAACTCCAACCTGCACCATATTCAAACAATATTTCAACCATTTGATTAACTATTTGATTTTCATCTTCAGTACAATCAACTGGAACATTTCGACATATTAAATGTAATGGAGTTGTAGTTGTTGATGGTTCAATTTCTATATTATTTGTATAATTATATGCTTCTTCAACAGTGTAAGTTGAAGGAATTCCACTCTTTAAGTAGTGTTGTAATTTTTCAATGTATGATTTGTCAATAGGACGAGTTTCAAATCGGCATAAATCGTGTAAATCAGACATGGTAAATTGATTATTAACTGGTATTATTCCCGTGTTACGTTTTTTACTTTTTTTCCATGATTGTAATTTTTCAAGATGAGATGTCGCAAGAAGGGTCGTGGGGAAATGTGCAAAATAAAAAAGAAAAAAAAAAATAAAAAAATTAAAGAATCACTTCGTACCGACATTGCGACATTTATGCAACCAAATTGGTGACAAATTACGACTGTCAATATAATAAAAAGGAACAAGTTTTACTGTTTTGACAGCTGCAGTAACTATACAAGAAAGCCTGTAACTTGATGTTTATTGTTGTAAAAATCTGTATCATTTACTCGAATTCATTGTATGACTTTTTTTTTAATGTTCTTTATTATTGTAAATCATAGTCACTGCTCGACTTCTTTAAATCGCTTGATTACAATCCCAAGCGCGGCGAAGGAGCAGCTTATCACTTTAATGATTTAGAGCTCTGTAAAGGTATGTCAAATTCCACTCTGTGATTTAACGCAACAATCAACTGGATGATTTGATATTTAACAGTATTTATGTCAAGTCTATAATCTACGATAAAAAAAAAAGAAACACAACCATTGAGAAACGTCGTAGATGCTTGATATATATATAATAATTAAATTAATCGATATAAAGTACGAAGAAAAAAAAAACATAAAAAATAAAACATGTAGGGGATTGAAGCTTGATTTCTACTGCATCGTTCCACAGTAGCATAGTCTCATACACTGCATAGGAAATGGAGAAATAGAATCCCGTCCCCCCACCATTAATTACATTTATTTTTTCTTGCTATGCACTAATAGAGAAGAAACGGGTACTTGTTGTAATTAAATACTTAAAATCAACAACTGGAAATTATTGTCTTGTATTGTTAGTTTAATCTTCCTCTTGTAGATACAAACAGGACTAAAGAGTATATTTTTCAGTGCTGAATTTGAAGTAAAGGTTTAAGTTTTTTTTTTTTTTTTGAGATTATGTCTTAGTTAACGGCTGGCAATGTAATCACAGAGTAAACTAAAAAAAGGTAATTATATTATGATGTTTCACTTTGAAATAATTAAACAGACATAAAAAAAGCAATGGAATAGAGTTTGTTCATGTGTGATTTTTTGAATATTGTGTTCTTGTGCATTGATTATTACGGCGAAGTTGTAGCGACTCATTTTTTTTAGTGGGATTTATCAGGTGAGAAAAATAGCAAAAGATGACTCAAGGACACGACTTGGATGCAAAATCATACGATTTTTTTTTTCTTTTTTTTATTCCCACCGCATTGTTTCTTGTTTTGTCCATCTCTCGTTGAGGAGAAGGTTCCAAGTGAGAACCGGAGTTCGAATGAGACAGAACAAGAGGCAAAAAAAAAATTTGCAATCATTCTGAGAAGTAGTACTAGAGAAAGAGGGTGGGTTGGCTGGGATTAGAAATAATATACAATTCTTGGCTATACCAAAGAGAAGTAAACAAAAGAGAAACATTACAGTGAAACAACATAAAGAAGAACCCTCAAACATTCCACCTCAAACCCTTGAATTCTCTCAGTAATGTAGCCAATCAAATCAATATCAATTTGTAAAAGAAAGGGTTGGTAGTTCTGTTCGTTCATGACCTAGAAATACCGATTTACATTCCGGTTCCTGCCGTATGAGTTGGTTCTTTTCTAGATCTCAAAAGTACAAAAAACTAAAGAACTTAATTTAGTGTGTGTATTGTTTAAGCACCTTAAATAAATAAAAAAAGAAAAATTAGTATGACATAGTGCATTATATTCCAACCGCTATGAATACAACAACAACAACAACGCAAAAAAAAAGTGGAGTGATAATCAACAAGGACGTTCATACGCTAAGTTACGTCTTTTACATACACAGAAAAACCCATGGGTAAAGTTTCTTATTATTCCAAGCTCCAATGTACCTTAAATCAAGTACAGCAAATCAAATTTGACAAAATCACAGACGCTTTTATCCCACAAATTATAAGAGAAATTTATAATAAATGTACATTATACATGGTTTTACATTGTAGAATTATAACTTGAACATTATTGTATCCGCCATTTGAATTCTCTCTTTTTTTTGTATTTGCAGTAGTTTCATGTAAATCATTGATATTAAATTGAAACAAAAAGAAACGTATAGAAAGAAGGAATTAAGAATAACAGCAGTTTTATAAATCCATTCTATTTCTAATCATTGTATTTTGGTTTATGGCAGTCCAGGCTAAATGGATAAATTTTAGAGAGTTTAAAAAAAAGCTTCGATTAAAAAAAAAAAAATTAATGTGACTGTTTGCATGATTCTACATGAATTCAAGTTTGTAACAGATTTTTTTTTTTTTGAATACCCTTTAGTGTACATTTCTTTCCATTCTTTCTTCATTAGATATATATAATTATCAACATCATTTTCTTCTTCTTTTTCAATAAAAACAACAACAACAACAACATAGTTTCAATTGAATAATAAGACCAATTGTTTAGCCAGATACCTTTCTCATTTACTCATTATATTTCACTCATAGACCTTCCCAGTTTATTGAAACCCAAGAATTTTCAACAGACAAGGGTTAGTACAAAGGAGAAAAAGAAAGGGGAAATCAAGCATTAACTGGCATTTTATATCTTTGATTTTTCCCAATAAAAGAACCAGTAAAAGGAAAAAGAAAACACCCATTTCATAACAACAGACCGTTGATTTCGAATACTTGAGTATAATAATAATCATTAAAAGAAACGTTGATAATTGGAATATAAATATAACTATAAAAAGCTCCTGAGAATAACCAATTTTAGAAAATAAAAACCACCCCATATACGTTTCTTCTTCCTATATTAATCCCCAAAAAAACGTACACCTACCACCAAACGGAAAAATCTCATTGATATTAAGAAGAATAATCCCTTTAGTTGTTAATTATTTCTTAGTACTAGTTACTATAATTAACTGCAATTGAAATCCGTTATAAACTAATTGGAAAATTATTGCGAATTTTTATTTTATTTTTCTTGATCTTTCATTGTTTACCTAAAAAGAAAACTAAGAATCAAGAATCATTCAAAAGGATTAAATATCTTTAAAGGAATTTTTTTTTTAAAAAAGGAGGGGATTTCAGTAGATGATATTTAAGTTGAATGACTATAACGCATTTCTAACTTCCTTGTTTGATAAAAAGAATGAACAACAATTGGAGAAAAACAATAATACAATAATGGTTCAGAACAACTTAAATCCTGATTTAAATGATGATACTACTAATAATCATCAGAGATTCCCACTTGATTTTGACTTTGGTTTAGCTCCACCACAATATCTTCAACCTAATAATGATAGTCCTAATAGCGACTCACAGAGTAATGCTGATGCCAAGTTTGGCTTGACTAATGGATCAGGGAATTATCACAATTTTGAGTATGAATTGCCTACTAACACAGAATTTATCGCTGAGATTGCTGCATTTGATAATAAAGAGAAGTCAATGGCTACTACAACTCATGATTCAACAAGCTCAATGAATAACAACAATGGTAGTCACACTGGTAGTAATACCCATAATAATGGTACCCCGAACCTTGATCAATTTTCACGATTCAATGCATTTGATGAAAACTTGGAAGATTCAATGATGTTGGAAGATGATACTGATAGTCCAATGGTATTTAATTTGAACAATCAAGGTAGTTATGCTAACAGTCTTCAACCACAACATTCCCAACATCCATCACTACAATCACAACCACCTACATCACAACATCAACTTCCACCACCTGCACCCCAACGACAACAACAACAACAACTACAACCAGGGCAAGGAACACCACAACATCAAATGTCTAATTCCCATACACCTTTGTTTCAAGGTCATAATACCCCAGTTCTTGCTCAAGTGAAACAACAATCATCACAACAACACCTGAGAGTTGGAAGCAGTCAAGAGTTGACATCTATGGGTACACCATTAGCATCCCCATTATCTATTGATACCAATAATTTTAATCCAAATAGATCAACAACAAATAATAGCAAAGAATCATCTGTATTAGATTATCAGAATTCCAAAATGTTGACTGAACAAGCGTCTAAATTATCATTTGGAAATGGTCATGCATTACAGCAACAACAACAACAAGTACCACCATCAAGTTCAAGTAGTATAATTGCAATGAATGGAAATGGGACTCTTGCAGATTCCCCACCAGTGTCACCATTAAATATTAATAATACACCAAAACCAAAAGTTGCCAAAACTAAACAAACAAGAGGACGTAAATCAAAACTTGAAAATCAATTAGGTAATAATAATAATAATAATTCTAATGACAACATCAATTCAATAAATCATAATCCACATCCAGGTCGTCCAAGAATTAAATCGGCTCATAATGTCATTGAACAAAGATATAGAAATAAAATCAATGACAAGTTTAATGCTTTACAGAATTCAGTTCCTACACTAAGAATATTGGCAAAAAAGAAAGAACGGGAGAAATATTTAGCACAACAACATAATGCCAATAATAGTAATCATGATTCAAATAGTAATAATGAAGATTATGATTCATCAGATGATGAAATGATTGAGAATAAGAGTAACATGAATGGAACTCCAAACAATTCAATGAGTAATGGTGTACTTTCATCTTCAATGGATGATGACATTGATTTAGAAGGATTAGAGCCAGCCAGAAAGTTGAACAAAGGAACAATATTGGCTAAATCAATTGAATATATCAAGTTCTTAGAGTTAAAAAATGATAGAATGAAACAAGAACATGATGAATTGATTTTGAAAGCAAGAATGTTAGGATTGGTTATTGATGATGAACAATTATAAATGAAGATATATATGATACCGCCTTGCTTAAATTTGATTATTTCTTCTCCTCCCCCATTTACCCTTGTTATTTTCATGACATTTATATAGTACTTCTTTTTTTTTATTTTGCTTTTTTATTATTCTACTACTTATTATTCTTAATATTATTTATATAGATATGACTTTATTGTAATAAAATTTCCAAAATTCATTTTCGATTGAACATTGACATTGAATATTGACATTGACAAAATGATTAGATTTATTTCTATGTGGTTTTAATTTGGTTGTATTGACATTGTCCTTGTCGTCTTCGCTGCCGCCGTCGTTCCTTTAATCCTGCCACATTGTTTGTAGGTTCATGGATGGGGTCCAATTCTTATTACCGTTGGATATTGGCATAAAGTTACTTGACCGCTACAGTTTTCTAATTATCACAACGTCATATCTGCATAATGTCTGACCTTTTGTGTGTGATTCTATTTCTGACATGGTGTGTGTGTGTGACCGTTGTATGTAATCTAGTAATCCATCAGTTGATTGTCATTACTAAACCGTACGCGACAATTGGTTGTCTGAGCCAAATTAGCAACCAAACAATGTATGGCTATGCGTGTGCGTGTTGCCAAAAATAAAAAAAAATCTGAGAAATGAATTTATTTATACGACGCGAAATTAAACGATGAGCTTTAATAGTGAAAGGAACGAACAGGAGAAAAAAAAAAAAAGAAACCAACGACAAAAGCCAAAATGTGAATTACAATGGGAATAAAACACGGTGAAGAAATTATTCTCCCATTGTACACTACCGCCATTTCTCATTACCACTAGCAGTACCACTACCACCAGCGCGGACTATCGTTTACTGTACAATCAAATCATCATACCATTCGTATAAGCACATTAAAGAAATTTTTTTTTTTTTTATTTTTCTTTTTGAATTTTCTTTTTTTTTTTTTTAACCAATAAATTTTCATTCGATTTTAATATTTAAATTGAAGAATATCCCACAGGCTTATTTGAAATCTTAAATCTAATTTCGATCTTTGATTTATCACAGTTATAGACCCACAAGGTTTCTTGTTTATTATTTATTAGTTCAACCTATTCTTTTGTCAACACAGTAATGGCTATTGTTGATACTGCCATTGATGGCATCAATTATTTCTTATCCTTATCATTAACTCAACAAATCACCATCTTGGTTGTTTTCCCATTCATCTACAACATAGCATGGCAATTACTTTACTCCTTAAGAAAAGATAGAGTTCCAATGGTTTTCTACTGGATCCCATGGTTTGGTTCTGCTGCTAGTTATGGTATGCAACCATACGAATTCTTTGAAAAGTGCAGATTGAAATATGGTGATGTTTTTTCATTTATGTTATTAGGTAAAGTTATGACTGTTTATTTGGGTCCAAAAGGTCACGAATTCATTTACAATGCTAAATTATCCGATGTTTCTGCTGAAGAAGCTTATACCCATTTGACTACTCCTGTTTTTGGTAAAGGTGTTATTTATGATTGTCCAAACTCTAGATTAATGGAACAAAAGAAGTTTGCTAAATTTGCTTTGACTACTGATTCTTTCAAAACCTATGTTCCAAAGATCAGAGAAGAAGTTTTGAATTATTTTGTTAACGATGTTAGTTTCAAAACCAAGGAAAGAGACCATGGTGTTGCTAGTGTTATGAAAACTCAACCAGAAATCACTATTTTCACTGCTTCTCGTTGTTTATTTGGTGATGAAATGAGAAAGAGTTTCGACAGATCATTTGCTCAATTGTATGCTGACTTGGATAAAGGTTTCACCCCAATCAACTTTGTTTTCCCAAACTTGCCATTACCTCATTACTGGAGACGTGACGCTGCTCAAAGAAAGATATCTGCTCATTACATGAAGGAAATTAAGAGAAGAAGAGAAAGCGGTGATATTGATCCAAAGAGAGATTTGATTGATTCCTTGTTGGTTAACTCTACTTATAAAGATGGTGTTAAAATGACTGATCAAGAAATTGCTAACCTTTTAATTGGTGTTTTGATGGGTGGTCAACATACTTCTGCTTCCACTTCTGCCTGGTTCTTGTTGCATTTGGCTGAACAACCACAATTACAAGATGATCTTTACGAAGAATTGACCAACTTGTTGAAAGAAAAGGGTGGTGACTTGAACGATTTGACTTACGAAGACTTGCAAAAATTACCATTGGTTAACAACACTATTAAAGAAACTTTGAGAATGCACATGCCATTGCATTCTATTTTCAGAAAAGTTATGAACCCATTGAGAGTCCCAAATACCAAATATGTTATTCCAAAAGGTCACTATGTCTTAGTTTCTGCCGGTTATGCTCATACCAGTGATAGATGGTTTGAACACCCAGAACATTTCAACCCAAGAAGATGGGAATCTGATGATACCAAGGCTAGTGCTGTTTCTTTCAATTCTGAAGATACTGTTGATTATGGTTTCGGTAAAATTTCCAAAGGTGTCTCCTCTCCATACTTGCCATTCGGTGGTGGTAGACACAGATGTATTGGTGAACAATTTGCTTATGTTCAATTGGGAACTATTTTGACCACTTATATCTACAACTTCAAATGGAGATTAAACGGTGATAAGGTTCCAGATGTTGATTACCAATCCATGGTTACCTTACCATTAGAACCTGCTGAAATCGTTTGGGAAAAGAGAGATACTTGTATGGTTTAGAACACCATGGAGTAGCTAGAAAAATCCCATTATTATTTTTTTTATACATATTTATGCCTTTAATACAGTATACATTTTTTTAACATATAGATATATCTACATTATAAAACACTAGAAGTTCTTGCTAAGTAAAAACAGTCTTCGATTTTTCTATTTTTTTAATTATATTTCATGACTCATATCGCGGTATACGTTTCAGTCGACCCACCAACCGACACAGATCACCTGTACCGCACCGCACCTCGGCCCATTATTTGGATGTAATTTCTTTTTATATTTTTTCTTCCATCTTTTGCAATATCTCAGTATGTAACAACTCAGAAAATTTTTCAACCACTCGAGAAAAGAAAAGAAAAAAAAAAAGAGAGAGATAAACAATTAATTAAGTGTTCATTTCTTTTAGACTACTGCCAAAAAAAAACCATATTTGTTGAATATTAGATATTAGAAATCATGAGTAGTGCATTTACTATTAAAGTCCCAGCATCATCTGCCAATATTGGACCAGGGTTTGATGTCTTGGGATTAGGTTTACAACTTTACTTAACCATTACAGTCACTATCGATCCAAGTAAAGATACAACATCTGATCCTCATCATGCTATTTTAAGTTATGAAGGAGATGGTACAGTTCCGTTTGAAAGTAATAAGAATTTAATTACTCAAACTGCATTATATATAATGAGATCTAATGGAATGGAAAATTTCCCAATTGGTACTCATATTCATGTTAATAATCCAATTCCTTTAGGTAGAGGATTAGGATCACTGGCTAGCGCTATTGTCGGTGGTATTTATTTGGGTAATGAAATAGCTGGATTGAAATTAGACAAGCTTAGATTATTAGATTATTGTTTAATGATTGAAAGACACCCGGATAATATTGCTGCTGCCATGTTGGGAGGATTTGTTGGTTCCTATCTTAATGAATTATCCGACAAGGATGTCGAATTAACTCAAACTCCTTTAGAATACATATTACCTAAAGAAACTACTCCAAAGGACAAAATCGTATCCGTTCAACCACCAATGAATATTGGAGAATATGTTACATACAATTGGAATAAGAAAATTAAATGTTTAACAATTATTCCAAATTTCGAAGTTTCCACAGATTTGTCAAGATCTGTATTACCTAAAGATTATCAATTGAAAGATATTGTTTACAATTTACAAAGAATTGCCATCTTAACTACTGCATTAACACAAGATCCACCAAATAAGAAATTAATCTACTCGTCCATGAAGGATAAGATCCATCAACCTTATAGATTTGGATTGATTCCTGGATTGAACAAAGTCTTGGAACAAATTACTCCAGATAAGTATCCTGGATTATGTGGTATTTGTTTATCAGGAGCTGGTCCAACTATTTTGTGTCTTGCAACTGATGGATTTGATAATATTGCTAAAGATGTTGTTGACATTTTCAAATCAGAAAACGTTGAATGTGACACTAAAGTTTTAGATTTGGCATATGATGGTGCAACAGTTGAACGTTCATAGATTCATAGACATTATTACATAAAAAAAATAAAAAAGAATATCAAACAGTTCTGTAATATTATGGATGATGAAAGTTATGTATAGATGGTTTTGTTTTTGCAGTAAATTCGAGAAAGTCTCTTGAGATTTATCCAATTAGATATTCGTAAACCCGCGTGGGAGTCAAAAGCAAAAAAAAAAAAAGCAGACAACAGAAAAGAGAGAGAGAAAGAAGAAAATAAAAATTAGGCCATTCAATAATCACCGAATCAACATCTTTTATTATCAACAAAAAACAATGGTTGCCTCACTTGAAGTGGATGCAAATCCTGAATTCAAAACGAAATTAAGCAAATTGATTTTAGAAAGTTCCGGAAAACAACCGATTTATTTAACTAAAGTTGAAGTTAATGGAGGTGAACAATTTTCAAATAATTTCTTTGAAAAATTATTAGCACCAATTCTTAAATCTGGTGATTTTACATTGGAAGATTTAATTGCCAAAATTGGTGATTCAAAAGATAAATTGAAAAGAACCGAAGTGTTCAAAGATGTTGAAGTATCTTTACAACCAGATAATTACACATTAATCCCATCTAAAATCAAGAATTATAATTCAGAAAAATCCATTCCAACCAAAGCTGTTTTCAATTTGAAACAACACATTTTGAACATAAATGAAAGTTTTTTCAATTTTAACAATGAAGAGTACTTAAATTTGAAATTGAATCATTTTAATAAGAATTTCAATGAAAATGCCGAATCTGTTGCTGTGGGTGTTGATTATAATCCATATAAACCATTTGATCATTTGATCGCTAATTGTAGACTTGTATCTAGTTTGAAGAATCCAAGTTTTAAATTTTTAATGGATTTCAATTATGGTCAAGAAAACAATGAAATTTGGCAAGGTACTAAACAAGAAATCTTGGGAGGTAAAATTGGTATATTATTTAATCATTTAAAAAGTGTTCAAGTATTCACTGGATTTGAACTTTTTAAACGTAATTTACACAATTTGGACGATTCTAATCCAGATGGATTTAAATTCTTTGATGGTGAATTTTTGAAAACTTCTATTGTTAATCAAATCAACTATACTAAGTATGAATATTTGAATGAAGTTACTAAAAATTTCCCAACTAAAGGTTATGAAGTATCTTTGAAATCACAATTAGCATCTAATCAAGAACAATCTAATGCTGGTAATCGTGGTGAATTTTTCAAAACTGATTTCGGTGTTAAATTCCATCAATCTTTATTCAGAAATTTTTTCACAGCTAAATTGCAAGCTAATGTTGGTGGAATTTATTCTTTTAATTCAAAATTCCCAATCCATCCCTCTGATAAATTCTACTTGGGTGGATATAATTCATTCCCAGGATTTACCAAAAATAGTGTTGACCTAACAGGAGGAGATCAATATTATAAAGTTCAAGGTACTTTATATTCCAAAATTCCTTCATTTTTCTATACTCCATCTAAAAACTCACATGAAGATAATCCATTGAGAATCTATGGTACTGGTATTATTGGTAATATTGTCAACACATCATCAAATAAAACTATTATTGATGATGAAAATGGTGTTGTCAGTTATGGTGTTGGTTTAAGATATTTCAATAACTGGGCTAATTTTGATATTGGTTATTATATAAGTAGAAGATTTGGTGGTGATAACAGCAACACCAATGGAATTAAAGATGGATTACAATTTTCTGTATCAATTGGCGGTTCAAACCGTTTTTAGAAGGTCGATATATATGTATACAGTTTTCATAAATAAATATTCATTAAAAGAAGTCATTGATGATGGTACTGTGGGGGGGGGGGGTAGACATCTTTATTTTGTAACATTCGCGGTGGTACATCAACAGGACGCGAAGGAACTGAAATCTCAAGAAGACAAAAGAAAAAGAAAAAAAAAAATAGAACATTAAAAATTGTCGCAAACTGTAAACAAACTATTCATTCATTTATTCAATCATCGAGATGGGAGTCCATGGTTTACTACAATGTCTTAAAGATATCCAAGATCCCGGCTCATTAGAACGATACCGGGGTAAAACATTAGCTATAGATACATATGGATGGTTACATCGAGCGATTGTATCATGCGCCGAAGAACTATGTTTAGGTAAACCAACAAGAAACTATATTACTTATGTGGTTAATAAAATCAATATGTTACGTTATTTTGGAATAACTCCTTATTTTGTCTTTGATGGTGCTGCATTACCTACTAAACAAGAAACAAATAAAGAACGACAGAAAAGAAGGCAAGAAGCTAAAGAATTGGCAGAAAAATATCTAGCTGCAAACAACCCCCAATTGGCAGGTAAACAATTCATGAAAGCAGCATATGTTACGTCACAAATGGCTAAATCTATTATGAGTGAATTAGATATTATGGGTATTAAATATATTGTGGCACCATATGAAGCTGATCCACAAATGGTTTATCTAGAGAAAATTGGTTTAGTTGATGGGATTTTAAGTGAGGACTCTGATTTGTTAATTTTTGGATGTAAAAAATTAATTACTAAATTAAAAGATGATGGCAGTTGTTATGAAATCAATAGGGAAAATTTTGGGAAAGTTCGTCAAATTCCTTATTTGAACCAGTTATCAAATGATCAACTTCGATTAGTCGCCATGCTTTCGGGATGTGATTATACCAAAGGTATACCAGGGATTGGTTTAACAAAAGCTTTTCAATTAACTAGAAAGCACAACAATCTAGAGAAGATACTTATTGCATTACGTTCAACAGGGAAATCGGCTCCACCAAATTTTCGTGATGAAGTCGAACTTGCAAATTTAGCATTTCAATTCCAAAAAGTATTTGATCCACGAACTCAAGAATTAACAACATTAAATGAATATCCAGAAGGTGTTGAGTTTGACCAAGAAACATTGGAACGTTGTTGTGGGAGAACTTTGACTCCAGAAATATACAGCAAGTTATGTAATGGAAAGATTCATCCAAATACCCATGAAATACTTGTCTCACGTGAACAAAGCTTGACGTTACTACAATCCAAATCTGTTTATTCTCCAAATAATAGCAAGTCAATTGGAGTCTCACATCAAGGTAATTCATCGAGTGTTGCGCATAGGTCCAGGTCTGATGGAGCATACACTAAAATCGTGCCACCAGGGAAATCAGTGCTTGATTTATTAAGAGTTTCCAAAAGACCATTACGTCTTGAAAATCCAAAGACTCCTGAGAAAGATAGAAGTATCAAGAGGGCAAAAGTGGTATATGGTACTCAAGAAATAAAGATATCTCCAACACGAAGAAAGATGCAAAAACTTACCGCACCAAGCCCAAAGGGACTACTCAGCAAGTTCTTCAAACCTAAATCATATTTGAATAGTGAACCAACACCAGTACTTCCAACTCCAAGTTCCGAACCTATATGGAATTCTAGTTTGCTTGAAGACTCAGAGATCCCTGAAGGTAGCTCTCCACAAAAATCCGTAGACACAAAGAACATACTTGCTGAACTCACAGATAATGACGAAGAAAATGAAGGATCCATACATTCCAGCCCAGTTAAACAAAGTGATGGAAATACCACTATATATTCTAGTTCAGATAAAGAAGAAGAGGATAGCAAGTCGGTACATTCAAGTCCTCGAAATGACAGATTTGATATTTTTTCAAATGACGATGAGATTGAAGAATCCCCAGTTAAGAATCAAATTCTGTCGCATGTACAGATTAATTTGACAACCCTAAGAGAAAAGTTTCTGTATCGACTGGATAACACAACAATTAAACTCACACGAGATACCACTCAATTCACTGGATCTCCTAGAAAGAGAAGAACTCCATTACAAAGTAAGAGTGTTAATTTACCATCTATGAAATCACCTATTAAACTACCTCCCAAATCAGCTAGTTTTAAACAAGTTGCTGCTAGTCCGGAACGTGATGATAGACTGGTGCATAAACCACAACAATCATCACCAACAAAACATAAACACAGTATAGATCTTAGACAATTTGCATATAGAGGATAATATAATTTCGTATATATATATATATATATATATATATATATATTAAATGGCTATTATTAACAGCCTCTTAATATACATGCACCAATAGCCAATCTAGTTAATTGACCTTGTACATCACCATCTTTATCCAATTTCGCATCATTTAGTTTATACAATTTTCTGAATTTTGGTAAATCAACTAATTGATCAAAAATATACTCATCTGTGATATCAACAACATTTCCATTGATAATTTCATTTAAATCAAAATCATTTGATTCATCATCCTTGATAATTTTCACAATTATACTATTTGGGCAATCTTCAGATATACCAAACTTTTTCAATGCATCACCAATGTTATTTAATGGAGATAAATTTAATATAATTTCAGAATTTAAATTTTTCGAAGTCATACAATTGTTTTTATAATTCAACAAAGACTTGTGAATACTTTGTAGTAAATGTTCTTTTGAGATGATATATTTTGTATTAAGGAAACAGTAGTCATATTTGGAATTAGCAGCAATTAAGTTGGATTTAATTGTTGATATATTCTCTGGATTTATATTTGTATACAACGATATGTATACTTTATATTCTGGAAACTGTGGGAATGTGATTAATGACATTATCTGTGTGTGTGCTGGTGTCTGTGATATCCGATGATGGAAGGTTGTATGGATTGTATGGCAGATTTTTTTTTTTTTCTGTTTTCTCTTTGATTCATCCTTCGGCTGCTTCGCGGTGCACGAAGCGGGCGAGCGGGCGGGCTGGCCCAGAATCTTTTTCTTAGTTTTTGTTTTGTCTAAAGCCAACAATCAACAAAAGGAAATTGAGAGACAACAACTTTTTCTTTTGGTTTTCTCTCTTTCCGAATTTCTACGCAAGGTATTCTTTTGTACCTCAGAATAAGCATTATTACGTCCTACGACATCCCCCACTTCCGCTTGAATGTTCATACAACTAGATGGATAAACTAGAAGAACCAGTTGATCTGAATGAGATGATACATATCTTATTCGATGATTATGATTCAAATTCACCAAATGATATAGAACCCGTGAGGTATCCTGAACTAATATTACAAGAATCAAACAAGGGTAATAAACTTTATTCATGTTTTCAAAGTTATAATAGACAATTTATAAATGATTCTAATGCTACAACAAGTACTAAACAAGGTGATATTGTGCGATGGAATGGATCATCAATGGAAATGTCAATGGGTATTATTCTAGATAATTGGTTAAATCAAAGTTCGACGGGACAACAGGGTTCTAAATCGTCGTCTACGAAACTGAAAAAGAGTATATCTCGAGCAAATGCGTTATTTACATGGGCTTCAACTGATGAATATATCGAAGAAAGAAAAAAGGAACTACGTCGACTACGCAAGATTAATAATCTTGAAGACAAAGAAGACAAACCAGTCGAACCCGAAGAAGAAGAAGAAGTTAAAGTTATGAGTGAAGAAGATATTAGAAAACAAGAATTGACAGACAATTTACATATAACATTCCCTAAATCATCCATTAATAATAAACTTAACAGACTTATAGAAATTGAGTCCAATAAATTTGTTCATTTACGTATTCAAAGAATTAAAGCACATTATAGCGAACAAATGGCTAAACAAATAAATGAAAGAAAGCGGAAAGATCAAGAATTACATTTGAAGAAATTAAAATTAAAAGAAGAAGAATACGAAAGGGACATGATGTTGCAGAATCAAATGAAATCATCCAGTGCAGGTGGATTCTTGGGTACTTTGTTTGGGTTTGGAAGTTCGACTCAGAGTGGTGCTTCTAATGCAAGTGTTGAGAATTTCAATAATAGATCATCTAATGAAAGTAATAGAACTATTGATTCTGCTACTTTTTCCACAATATCATCGTCCAAAAATAAAAGATTCCCATTATTCGCAGTACAGTCATTATTTGGAGGTTCATCCAAAAAAAATTCAAGTAAGGTTGTATTGTTTGATCAAGATGATTCAGCTAAAGGTACAGAAAGTGATGATAATCACAGCTTGAGAGGTTCACTGATTCAAGAAGCAAACGAGAATACAGGCGAAATTCCCAATGAAGAAACCACATGCAACAATAATACTCCTAAGGTGTCAATAGATGATCAACAAACAATCAGTCCACTTCCAGACAAGTCAATTGAGACACCACGAGAATCAATACAACAGGAAACGTTTTTTTCCATTGATCAATTAGAGAAGCATATGTCAAAATCTCCAGAAGAGGCTCCACATAACAATATTCAGAATGGATTACCACATCACATGCCGCTGCAAATTGCCTCTACAGACAATAATGATGATGAGGGTGGTGGTGATGACGATGATGATGAATTTGATGATTTTACTTCTGCCCAACCTATACATGAACCTGAAATTACAATTTTTCAAGATCCGCCTAAATTGAGTCGTAATTTCTTCTCCATCGATAAAGCTCATGGTTCATCAGAAACCAATCAAAATCACAATGATTTACTTGATGTATTTAGTAATAATGATACATCTAGTAAACCCACAAGTCCCGTGTCAAATGAAGCTAACTTGTTAGATTTATAGTAATGTTACGCGTTCAATAATATGTATTTCATCTTGCTGTAGGATTTGATTTCTTGGGAGTTTGATAGAAGAATCTCGAGTTACATGGAATATAAGTCATGATTATGGTTGTTTGGGGGGTAACACCTGGCAAAGTTAAACTTTGATATCATAACGTGACTATGACCAATAGGAATAATTTATTGTACTTGATATTTATTGCCAAACAGACCAGTCATCAATAGGTAATACAATGTGTAATTAACTTTTTATTACCAAAGAATCGGGAAATTAATACTCTGTTTTTCTATGTAAATTTGCAATAAAATCAAAATAAACACAAAGATGGTTGATAATATATTCTAGAATATCAGTAGGAGATAATAGTATTTATTTGTATCAGAAACTTCATTAAATACCCGACTCTTCAAACTGATTTAATGTTCAGAGCATTGGAATTTTTCAATCTTAGTCATTCGTTTGTTTCCACGGATCTTTTACACTTGAATACAAGAGTTCACAACCTTTAAATTTAAGGTTTTATAGTCTCTAAGCCAATCCACTTGACATATAAACAATTAAGTCATTATAATTTAGAACTAAGCCGTGTGGTTTAAGAAAAGATCACAAGTCCTCATTCAAATGAGGCTTTCTATCAGATTATGGTAAGCATATCGGACTTATTTGAAAGCATGCAATCCAGCTAAACGGCATACAATGTTACTCTGGTTTTCGACATTCGGTAAGATTGTACTATGTCAGGGTCTTAGTGTAAACCCAAGTACTCAAACCATGTCAGTACATTGTCAATATTCACTTGGGCTTTTCTTGGCAAGTAAGGTTAAATCAATTCATGAATCAACAAGATTTGTTGTAATGATCATGGAAGTACAAACATGAGGTATTTCCTAAGTTACATAATTTTATTGTCGCATGAGACAAGTTCTATTTCCGTATTATTTTAATTCATTTTGCATCTCCTTTCAATCGGAATTCATGTGGATTTTACATTGTTCCGGACATGAAACAGATGCAATGTTTCCTCTTTCTCTTCTTCACAGAATGAAACTCTTAAGAAATATCATATATTAAATTGATATTTATAAATAAAATATAAATCATAAACCCCACCACTGTGGAAAAACAAATAAATAGAGAATAATAACAAAAACAAAACAAAAACTCATGTAAAGAATATTTCAAAGAAAAAATGTAAGAATCAAATAATAAAATCAAAATATACCCCGTCAACTAATTATAGACTTGCTAATTATTAGTATCTTGGGTGTCTTTCTTACTATCAGCTGGTTTGTCACTTTTGGAAGTACCATTAGTACTCTTATTATCACCATTACGTAATTCCAATGACTCTTCCATTGTTCTACGTATCAATCTAGCAAGAGCTGCTTGTTCTTCTAGTCGTTTTAAAGCAGCATTCAGAGTCGTCTCGAATTCATCTCCTTCTTTTGGATTAAAGAATGACGACATATGTAATTTTGAAGGAGAAGCAACGGAATTAGGTACGGAAATTTTGGAAATGCGTTAATATTAGGGGGTAAAACCAATAAAATATTATCCGTTGTAAAATAAATTGTTCGGAGAATATTAAAATGACACAAAAAAAGTAACAGGATAAGCGAAACTAAACCACAAACAATCAAAAAAAAAATAGCAAACTAAGTGGAAGATATGGGTTAGACTTATCGGGGATTTGAGGGAAATGCAAAATAGGGTTTTTGATGGGGATTCGGAAAACGGATATGCAAAATCTAAGTATGATTTATCAAAATCGAAGAATGTATAAATGAGGTTCTGTATTTCCTTTTACCAAGATATCCAAATACAAGACCCCTCTGGAAAACTCAAAGGGAGAAACTGGAATCAAATTGTGTTTCGTTTTTTCTTGAATATAGTAGTTAATTAAATGATATACCTTCAAGTTTGTAAAATTAGTATAGATGCTTGAAGTAATAACTGACTATACCAGCTGATAGAAAGATAGTTTGATTGGACCAGGAAAAATCTGAAAAATCTCTAATGATTAATTTTGTGATAGAAATAAGCTCTTTTAGATGCAAAAAAAAAGATAACTTGTTTAATTCTGAAAGACGACACTATTATGTAGATTATAAAAGCCGTCTATAGTTGTAAAGAACTAACTTTTGGGATAAATTTGATTATGAATAATCTTGAATACTTCGTCTTCTTTCAAAAATGGAGAATTCATCATTGAGGATCAAGCTATTTATTTATATTATCCTACAGTGATATCAAGGTACGAATGATGATGAAGCAGGGCGTTTCCCCAAATTACACCAAATGCTTATTATCATTGTCTATATCCGGATACTAAATGAGATTCGACAATCAAACATTTTTCCGACTACAATAGCAATCAGTGATGAGGATAATATAATAATCGGAAATTCACGAAATGGTCATTAATCACTTGCACCTTTTTTTGGCTGATATCATCAAGCAGATTGAATTTCACGAAATCTAGAATCACCATTATTAAAAATAGTAAAACCACTTCGGATAGGGAATTATACTATAAATGAATGCGATCTTATTATGGATAAGATTCGGAAACTGGATATAATCTCAAACTAACAAAGGGTGCATATCTTTGATTATGTCTCGGTTATTTTGTTATTGATTAACAAACTAGGCCAGTATGATTTCCTAAATCTTAATAAAAGCACAGCCAAACTGTGGCAAATAATTAGTACAATAATGTGTTTGCGTCTAATGTTGGTCATATTTCCATTTTAGTGAGAAGAAGTAGCTAGACTTCAAGCAAAATATCAGTTTTTTAGCCGTGGTCATATTTCCGTACTGGTTTTAGCAAATTTTTAAATACACGCCAGATCATGTTTTATCATAGACAATAGTCGCCATGTACATATACACTTAAATATATTACAAATTTCTTTTTTTATATATATGTATATATAACCTAATTATTACACATTAACTTTTTCTTAACCACTTCTTGAATGGATTTTTGGACCCGCCATTTGGTTTTACCATACTTCCGATACTGTTGGTACTGAAACTAGAACTTGGTCTGTGTCCATTGCCATCATTTTCTAAGTTATCTGAATTTCCGTTAGTATTGTTCAACGAATCAACTTTAAGATTATTCAATCCAGAAGAATTGCCATACATCCGGGTATCAGCATCAATAAATTTCATCTTTAATGTTGCCAAAGCATGATCAGTTAATTTCTTATACTGGTGGGCATTTGGAACATGGTCAGAATAGATTAAGCAGTTGCGGCTAGTATCTAACCAGCACTTATTCAAAATATCATCGGTAAAAGAATCCCATATAACCTGATTATTGTAATTCTTTGGAAATTCATAATTCTCTAAATAGACTTCTAATTCCTGAATTTTGTTTAATATTTTAGTACAATGTTTTTGAATATCTTTGAGAGTGACATTGGAATCAATAAAAGAAAACATCTCTTCATTAAGCAACGATTTGATAAAATCCCATTCATTTTGACCATGAAATTCCAACAACTCCAGCTTTTCAAATTCCAAGGAACCGATCTGATACTTGTTTTCATTATTAAGTTGCAAATCACTCAATTTGAGGATAGGATCAAGGTCAGGGGTTCCAGATTGGGACCTTTCATAATCCCTGCTAGGACTATTCATTGGGGTCAGGGCATTGCTATTCACATTTCGGGAATGCTTATTGTAATCCAATAAATGGACAATTTCAGTTAAACGTAAATACTTGTCAATCAAATAAGGTGTGGTTGGTAACTCATTTGATGTATTATCCAAACCAAGATCAAATCTTTTGACTTCATGACTCAACTCCAAAATCTTTTCATTGAAATCATTTTTTCGACCAGTAATCTTGTCAAAATAGTCATAAACTTCAGGTAAATGCTTTCTTAAAAACAGATTCATCCTCACCAAATGTGGCTCCTTGTGTGGACTAAATTCTTGCCTATTTGCTAAATTCAAAAGCACTTTAGCTACAAGGGTTAATGTACGTTGAATAGAACCACTGTAATGAGTCTTACTAAGGAAAAACAATTTTGGGTTCAATATTGCTGGACAAAAGAATCTCAAGAAAATAAAAGCTGAAAGACAATTCAAACTTGTAACTTTATCTTCTGGATCACAGACAAGCTCCACTTTTGTTCTAAAATTCTTCAACTGTAATTTAATTTGATCTGGCAAATCATTTGACGTTATATAGATTTTGTGCCAAATTTCTTCAACATATCCAAGCAAATTCTGATAGTTTTGATCCACAATTTGTTTAATACGTTCGTTTCGTTGACGTTCTTTATCAGAATCATATTCATCATCATCACTATCGCTGACAACACCGTCATCATCATCACCGTCTTGTCCCCCTTCAGAACCATTATGCTTCTGTGAATATGAAACATATGAAGGATCAATTTCACAGGATTTCTTCTCCAGAGCGATTTTGGTTAAAAAGTCACCAAAGACTTTTTCAAGATATTCTTGACCAATACGTAAATTGTACTTCTCCAACGACTTGGAGAAAATTGAAGAACCTCTGAAAAGCGTGTTAAAAATATTAGACTGGGATGAATTTGTGATTGTCTTATGTTGACTATTTCTTTGATGGTAACTCTTCCTGGTAATAATATCGATATTGACAAGCTCGGTCTCCATCAAACTTTTAAACCATTCATCTTCAACTCCAAGACTTTGAAATATGTCCAATAAAACCAAACTAACTTTTTCAAAATCAGAACTAGGAACATTTTCATTACAAAATTTGATCAAATCTTTCATTGGAGCATTAACCAACATCTTTTCCAATGGTTTGAAAAACGTTGGCGGAAGAATATGGTACTCTTTGAGATTGACCTCAAGCAATAGTTTCCCAATTGGTATATTACTATTGTCATAAATTGTCAATCTAACAATATCCAAGTTACCTCCCAGGTTTGAGTTGGAACTATCTGTTGGTAATGCATTTACCTGAATAGCATTACTTGACTCGCTACTTGTCATGATTGTAGAGCTTGATTTGATCTGTCTCGTCAAAATATCAGGTGTCACATATACTGTACCAATAAGTTTATCAGCTACTGAATATGATGAATCATTATAGGAACATTTTTTTATCAAAATATGAATCATTTGGGTAGATATTGGCAAATCAGTCAGAAACTCTTCTTTCCAAAACGGATTACTTGTATGACTGACTGATGCTGTTCTTGACCAGGGATATCCCCACATACGGACTTCAGCATAGACTTTACCATCTCGTTTACTGGTTATATTATCAAATTTTGCTTCAATTATATCAATGGAAATTTTCTTGGAAACTCGGAAATTGGCTCGCTCAAAATCGTGCAATTTTGGCCGTTCAGGATGTTCAATCAACTTGGACTCAACATCATAGGAACCAATATATTCTCTTTTGGCAAAATAATTTAACCCCACAAACCAGTCTTCTAAATCGATATGTAATGGGAACTCGATAAATATTCTTTGATTGCTTGGAATGATTTTGCCATCTCTTGTTAAAAAGGGAGTCAATAACTGATCTGGCGATAATGTATTTTGTGTCTTTATTATATTATTGTATCGTAATTCCTTAAGTTGGCCAATAAACAACACATTCGAGTTGTCAAATATCGAATTGTGGACTTCCCGGATTTCACTAGCCATAACCTGTTTTACGTCAATTGAATATAAAAGACTTCCATGCAATTCATCGATAATTTTTAAAGTACCATTACTGTCTAATGCACCCATAGTATAGAACCATCCTTCATTGATACTATTGTTGTTCTCAGCCTGGAGAATTTGTTGTGGCATCATATTCGATCCATCAAAGTTGCTAGTGAATTCATCAATCTTTGGTTGGTATACTGGAGCCTTTGGACCTGGCACAAAATTCAAATTCTTATACTTGTTAGGAATTGGACCATAAATCTTGAATCGACACACCAATAATTCATGAGTTGGGGAGTTTCTTGTTGGCTGAGAAACCACCTTGTTCTCAGCGTACCACTTTTTAGCTAAGCCTTGTGGTTTGAGGTTTTGCCATACTATTAGACAGCTTAAGAGATTTCCAAAATTGGTTTTTGATGGGACTTTAATATATAATTTATCATTCTCAAATGTCTTGATAAAAATTGCCGGTGGTTGATTTTCAGTATCCTCCAAATGATCTTGGTTGTGATTGTGGTTTGTGTTTTTTCTTAATCGACTACGTTTAGTTGGAACCTGTGGAGGTTTAGGAGAAGATGGAGCTTTCGTAATAGAATTGGGGAATATTTGCACAAAACAGGATTGTAAGGATTGTAACAACAAGAAGTGGTTTTCGTTTTCGTCTGAAGAATACAATTGACCCAACTCAGTGATTGTCAATGTATGAACATGGATCCAATTGATTGTGTCTGTAGAAACAAGGAAGTTGTGGCCCTCAAAAATCCCCTTTTCACGGGAAATTATTTTATGAAAGGCTGATTGATACGTTGGTGCCATGGGATAGGAAACTTTAATGTCAAAAACTGGTACTGTAAAATTTAACCTGGAGTTGATATATAACACCGAGGAGACAACACAAATGGACTAATTGAACGATGTAGATCCAATAAAAGATTATCTAGATTGATCCTTGTATTATTAAAACTAATTGGTTTTTGTATAAAGAGAAAGAATTTTGGGAAGGAACGTTGGAGTGTTTTTTTTTTTAAAACGTATGGTTTTTCCTTATATTTTTTTTTGTTGTTGTTTAGTTGTTTAGTTGTCTGCTTTTTTTTTTTTTTTGTTCTCACACTTTACGTATTTGGAAAATTTATAAAACAATAAAATTCTGAATGTACGTTACGCAAACAGACGAAAAGTATATCCCAACTGTAATATTCGTGTTTTAAGGAAAATTGAGTGTTGCCTGTGAGTTGCAAAGAGGTCTGCCTGTGGTTGTCATCCTGAACAATCTAGACATGTATGTTCATGTCAATAGTCAAGACATATCAACCTAGTGAATTAATATGATTCAAGTATAAGAGAGACAGCCATACTTTGTATTTTGTGCTGGTTAGTTCCAAATGGTTGTCCAAATGCAAGTCGTGCATTCATGTGATGATATTTTAATTCTGGTAAATTAACACGCATAATGTAATATCGTGCCTTACTATAAAAAAAATCGACAATCAATTAAGCATCAACGCGTTTTCCTGCTTATTGTTTGAGGGATAAACAATCGGATTTAGATGCCAATTGCACAATACCAACAATACTTTCAAGGGTGCTGGTTGACAATTCATCCAGGTATTAAAATCACGTCCAGTTAGACTTTTTGCTATACCATTTGTTTGGGGGGGGAGGAAATTCGTGTTGTTTACATGTCAACACTGAACCTGTCAACCATAATTTCTTAAATTGGTCTGGGTATATAAGGTTTTTCTCAGTACCCTAGGCTAATGCCGATCACAATTATGGTTTAGAAAAACAAAATGGTTATCACTGCTCATTGCAATTGGATCAAAAGTCATCATTAAACATCATCAGGAGAAATGGTGCAGCAAAGACATATATTATTATTTCTAACTGTCATTGTTGCAACAAAAGATCGATCTCTTAAAAAAAAATATACACACAATTCATTTTCAACTAAAAAAAAATCGTTGTCAAATCGGCACATGTAAATTAAGTAACAAAAAAGAGAGACAAACCTCACTTTGTAAGTCAATGCAAAATAAGCATGGTAGCATGCTGATACCCAGCCTTAAGTTGTACATCTGCAATCCATGGTAAAACAAATTTGACCTTTGGTGTATTATATGGTTTGGCAAAGATTTTTGACTAGTTGTGGACAATCATCCGATACTCCCCATTGAAACAAATAATATACCAAAAGGAAGACTTACAATGCGGTATTAAAGTGTAATAATTCTGCTCCCTTATTTTTGTCGCCATGAGCATGAGTAATTCCACATGCAAAATCATCCATAACCGTTTGAAACTAATATGAGATTGTGATCCTGGTCAAAGTGGGTCGTGTACATAAGTTGCAAAACACCCATAATTCTCTCAATTTTTTTTTTTTATTTGTTCCTCTTAACTATTGACTCACTCATGTGCGAGAAGGAAATCTCTATTGCAATAGAAAAAAAAAATTTTCATTATCATGAACCAAATACCAGTGTTTACCAATCATATAACAATTACTGGTTTTTGTTTATACATATAGTTTCCGAATATTGTTTATTTGAGATAAGATACGAAGATTTCACAGATGTATTAATTAATTACAAGTTTGTTTAAGAATAGTAAAAGAAGAAGATTTAAGAAACACCAAGACAATAGCGAATTTTTTTTTTTTTCCTAATATATTTCATCAAGCATTAATTACTATTATTTTTATTTTTAATTTTTACACATAATACGATGAGTAACTTGTTATTTCATAATTTTGATAAACCAGGTGCTACTAACGTTGATCAAGAGGTTGAAGATTTCAATTCTACTGCTTCAAATATCATCAGTAATCATGGATCAAGTGATGGCAATGATACTAATGATGATGCCGATACCATCAATCAATACGATGAGCAAGAAATGATTAAATATTTACAGGATGATCAACAATTGGGTGAGGTTCTAAGTGAAGACGAACAACATATTGAACATTCTTGTGCTTATTGTGGAATTCATAACCCATGTTCCGTTATTAAATGTAATACTTGTAACAAATGGTTTTGTAATGCAAAAACAAGTTCTTCAAGTAGTCATATTGTCACACATTTAATCATGTCTCGTCATAATCAAGTTAGTCTTCATGAAGAATCGGATTTAGGGGATACTACATTAGAATGTTACAATTGTGGTAACAAGAATGTTTTCATGTTGGGATTTGTTAGTGCCAAACAAGAATCTGTTGTGGTTATATTATGTCGTTTACCATGTGCTAGATCAAAAGATATTAATTGGGATACGAGTCAATGGCAAGCTTTAATTGATAATCGTCAATTTTTGTCCTGGTTGGCTCCGAGTCCAACTGAAGATGATTTGATTAGTGCCAAATTGATTACTCCACAGCAAATTTCTAAATTAGAAGCACAATGGAGATTAAATCGATCTGCTACAATCAATGATATTGAGAATAATGACAAGACAGAAGAAGAAGTCTTGCCGATTTTAATGAGATACAATGATGCTTTCCAATATCAACAATCTTTTGGTCCTTTAGTAAAATTGGAAGCTGATTATGATAAGAATTTAAAGGAATCTCAAGCATTAGAACATATTCAAGTCAAATGGGCTTTGGGTTTGAATAACAGACACTTGGCTAGTTTCACCTTATCTACATTTGAAACCAGTGATTTGAAAGTTGCAGTTGGTGATGAAATTATTTTGAGGTATAGTGGGAGTCTTAGAGAAGCTTGGGAAGGGCATGGTTATATTTTAAGATTACCAAATGCCTATCAAGAGGAATTCACTTTAGAATTGAACACTTCCAAGATTGCACCACCTACTGATTTGACAACTGATTTCACTGCCGAGTTTGTTTGGAAAGGTACTTCGTATGACCGTATGCAACAAGCAATGAAGGATTTTGCTACTGATGAAAAATCTGTGTCGTCATATATTTATCATAAATTATTAGGTCATGAAGTTGAACCTGTTGAGTTTGATATTGAATTACCAAAGAGATTCTCCCATCCAAAATTGACAGAATTGAATATTTCCCAAACCAACGCAGTTAGATCCGTTTTACAAAGACCATTATCTTTGATTCAAGGTCCACCAGGTACTGGTAAGACTGTTACTTCTGCGACAATTATCTATCATTTATCTAAACTCAATAGAGAAAAAATTCTTGTTTGTGCGCCATCTAATGTTGCAGTTGATCATTTGGCTGCCAAATTGGATTTGTTGGGATTAAAAGTTGTTAGATTAACTGCAAGATCAAGAGAAGATGTTGAAAGTTCAGTTAGTCATTTAGCATTGCATAATTTAGTTAACAGTCATGCCAAGGGGGAATTGAAAAAATTGATCAAGTTGAAGAACCAAGTTGGTGAATTGTCAGTTGAAGATACAAATAAGTATATTAAATTATTGAGAACTTCCGAAATGAAAGCTTTAAATAAATGTGATGTTGTTTGTTGTACTTGTGTTGGTGCTGCTGACAAGAGATTATCACAGTTTAAATTTAGATCTGTTTTAATCGATGAAAGTACTCAAGCCAGTGAACCTGAAGTTTTGATCCCAATTGTGAAAGGTGCCAAGCAAGTGATTTTAGTTGGTGATCATCAACAATTAGGGCCAGTTATTTTGGATAGAAAGGCTGCTGATGCAGGGTTGAAACAATCATTATTTGAAAGATTGGTATTTTTAGGACACGTTCCAATCCGTTTAGAAGTTCAGTATAGAATGCATCCATGTTTATCCGAGTTTCCAAGTAATATGTTTTATGAAGGTTCTTTACAAAATGGTGTTACTAGTGATGATCGATTAATTGAAGATTCAACATTCCCATGGCCAGTCATTGACACACCGATGATGTTTTGGGCAAATTATGGTCGCGAAGAATTGAGTGCTAGTGGTAATTCATATTTAAATAGAGTTGAAGCCATGAATGTTGAAAAAATCATCACCAAGTTGTTTAAAGATGGTATTCAACCAGAACAAATTGGGGTTATCACACCATATGAAGGTCAACGTGCTTATTTAGTTCAATTCATGTCAATGAATTCTACTTTGTTAGACAAACGTGATCAATATCTTGATGTTGAAATCACTAGCGTTGATGCTTTCCAAGGTCGTGAAAAAGATTACATCATTTTGAGTTGTGTTAGAGCTAATGATTCTCAAAGTATTGGGTTTTTAAGTGATCCTAGAAGATTAAATGTTGCTTTAACTAGATCCAAATATGGGTTAATTATTTTGGGAAATCCAAGAGCCTTGTGTCGTAATAGATTATGGAATCACTTATTGATTCATTTTAGGGAAAAGGGTTGTTTAGTTGATGGTCCTTTAGATAACTTACAATTATCTATGGTTCAATTGAATACTAATCCAACCAAGCCAGGTGGTAATTTCAAATCTAGACCTAAATTTGGTGCTGCTTCAACTGTACATTCATCAACTGATTTTGATAGTGCTAGTGTTGTATCATATGATAACACAAATACTATAACTAAACTCAATAATGAGTTATGGCCAGCATTAAATGGAAACCTGAAGTTTAGTAATGATGGTTATCATAATAATAATGGTACTAATAATCATTTGGTTTCCAATTTTTACAATAAATTGAACAAACTTGATAAAACCTATGAAGGTGGTAGATATAATAACAATGAAAATAACATTGAAGATGATATTAAAAGTATTACTAGTTCATTCGCTGCCGGATTGAACTTTTAAACCTTAGAGAATTATCATTCAAAGCAATAGGATTGTCATCGTTGTTGTTTTTTTTTTGTGCCTTTAAAATTGGGGGTTCATAGGAAAACTAGGAGAAAAATTTTTCTCTGTTTTGCTGGAAGGTTGAATTTTTTTTTTTTTCCTTCTCCCAATTCTATATAGTTTTTTTCTTTGTTTTCTATTATATAAACAATTTGTTAATTTCCCTTTTTCTTTGTTCAGTTTATATTTATTATCTTAGTATACTTGAATTGTCATATATCAAATGATAGATAGTAATTATACAATCATATTATCGTACGTTGATTAATTATACTCGCATGACAATACGTCACAATACAAGACAGAAAGACCCTTTAATCTAAACCTGAGGATAAACAACACTTCAAAGGGTTGCTTGGTCTATACACACCATCAGAATGATGACCACAAGTATTGAGAAAGGAAAATAATACTAACTATGATGCATTGTACGTGTATTAAAAGCTTGTGATAGGAGCCCTCAGGGGAAATATGTTATATGTAAGGGACAGACATTTAAGGGTCTTCTGGTTGTCAAAAATTTGGACGTGTTAAGTAATAGCAAGAAAAGATATGAAGTGTTATGATAGTTGCAAATACGAAACTGATGGAATAGAAGAGAGTAATGGACGATGTCAATGCTCAATTGATGACCAATACTGTTGTTGGTTGATGGTTGTACTGAATACAGGGGTTGAAATGTCTTAACATACAAAATTGATGTTTCGAACTCGAATAATGCTTGGGAAAGTTAACCAAATGGATGCGTTTTTGGTCCATGCATACTATGCGATCCCTCATTATTGTGGTTTAAAACATATACTGATGAGCTTCAGAATGAATTTCCCAAATTATAATGTTATAATCAAAAGTGAGGTTATTATCCCATTGATATATCTTGAATATATCCATATGGATACTTACAATAGGGTATTGCATTCATAATTACAAGAACATGGATGTACAGTAACGTACAAGAGGTCCAGATTCCCCCCTTGCATCAAAAAATTACCCCTTAACGAAAATTAAGATAGAAATTGAGTCAGAAATCATACAAACCTGGTTAAACATCGATTAGAATCATTGAAAGAGTTTATCTATGATGGAAATATTGTTTAGATGTTTCCATTACCTTTTCAATGTTCATAATTTAGAGTTTTGTGTCGATACTACTAAACAACAGTTTACTAATTTTTTTTTTTTTTTTAGTTCTTGCTGCCAATCTTCTTGTGGTTACAACCGTTGAACGGTCCCTGCTGCTTAGAAATTAAGGTTCTAGGTTTGAGAAAGTTGTGTAGATCACTAGTTTGTAAGTTGTCTCACAATAAATTGATTGTTTTCGTTCGATGTGATTAGTATTTTCTATGATAACAAATATTCAAGGGTTGAAAAGAGGATAGGTGTGAGAATTCAAAAGCAACCACCCAAAAAAAAAAGGAACGGACAAGGAGAAACGGATTTTCCGCAAAAACAAAGGCACAGACAAAATTGATTGTCGCAAGAATAATAAATTTGGCATTCCCGTTGTTTCTAAATGGACTAATTTTTTTTGTTTCTTTTTTTTTATGTGTCGCTTTGTGTTTGATAGACAGAGTATGAATATTAATTTGGATTACAAAGAAAAAAAAAATAGATATTTTTTAATTAAGAATGAAGTTTAAAATTCAGAAATGGATTGAACTAAATGTTGAGCAAAATAACAATTTGAAAGATAAGACTATTATTTAAGAGTCGGTAGTTCCACCATATAAATCCGAAATTTTCGTTCTTTTTGAAACAACAACGAGAATCAACTCTTCTACATTAAGATAAATTAAAAACACTTTTGACTGAGATTTCGGATTTGGACAGGAAAAATTATAAACCCGTGGGAGAGTGAAAGAAAACTGCTCAAAGGCAAACAAGCACTTGAACATATTTTCTGTTCCTGAAATTGTTTCGGATTGAAGAGAGAGATATAAAGAGAGCAAAAAAAAAGGAACCACAGTATACATTTTCAATTTCTGGATATTATTTAGGGATCTAATTTAGGTATAAGCCACTGATTCGGGTGAAAATGTTTCTTTTAATAGAATTTAATTGCCAAATTAAGATCGAAACTACATGTAGATGTCTTTGTGGGTGGAGATATACGCCTGAATTTATTATATTCATGGTTTGTTCAAGTTATTTAATTTTTTTTTTTGTTCTCACTCTCATTCCCACATAGTTGTTGTGTAATTCGCATAATGTAGAAATCATTTTCTAATTACAAACAAATGATAAAATTCTCAGCTAAAATAAGCAATAAAAAAAATAAAACAAAAGCAAAACTATCAATGTACAATGAAAAATTAACATACCAATCATTCGGCGAAATTAAAATTTTCTAGTTAAAAAAAAAAGTTGGTTGTTAATTGTCTTTGATTTGTATCTAATGTCAGGATTTAATTTAATTTGTTGGGTAATTAACTAAAAATCAAGCAAAAAGACTAATTAAAGACTAAAATAATAGAATAGGTACTGATTTTCCTCCCGATCTAGTTAAAAAAACCTTGTTTCAGACATTTCACAAATTCAACCAAATGATTTAAAATTAGATATCTTATTGAAATTAAAGAAGAAAAACTCGCCTTATTTTTTAAAAAAGAATTTTGGGTTTGTTTCCCTTTTTTTTTTGTTTAATTTGTGTGTTGGTGTTCCTAATTTGGAAAGCGTGTAAAAACTTTTGTCCATTTCAAGATTGTCGGGACGTAAGGTTTTAAATTTGTTTGTTTCTTTCATAATGCAAATGTATAATGCAAATTTGAACAAGTTTCATTATTTTAATTTTGCATTAGACTAATTTTTTTGGTTTGTTGTTTTTGGCTTTTGGCGAACCAGAATAATGGCGGTGTTTATGTTCCACCACTGTATCGAAAAATACGGAAGAAACTCCGACGTGGACAAAATTATTTCCTGGTGAGATCAAGCATGAATTAAAGAAAAAAAAATTGAATCTGCATTAACAAAATTAAAATAAATAGATGAAGTACTGATTGACATAGACGTAGGGCTAGAAGCGCTGGTAATTCATATTTCTCTAATTGGAGGAACCCATAAAATCGATAATCAAAATCTACTTTGCAACTACAAAAAAGTTGTGTTGGTAACCAAATCAGGCAAAAAAAGTGAAAAAGAAAAGGTGATTAAAATGATTTTCAACAGTCTTGTACAAAACGGAAAATGCAATCTACTAACCTTAGCAATGACCCTTGATGATACAAAAGAAAATAAAATAAGGAAAAAAAAAGATGGAAATGGAAAATTAGGCAGTGTTAAGATCATCAACATAGCCAATCAAATCATTTCATGTATGGACTAAAAGACATTTATCCCAAGCTGAATGTGCAATCATTTACGTTTCATAAGGCCCCAAGTTGAAAAGATTAATGTACCTTACATACAAAAATGGATTATTATTATTGTTATTGTTATTTTATTACAAACCAAAGGGAGCAAATACCTGATCTCTGGAATTAACAATTTAATAGTTCATATGAAACCTGATATTTGACTCTGTTTCTTTTTTTTTTTCTGAAAGGAGTTTCGACTTTGCTTTGATAATTGACAAAAGAATATAAAACCAGAAGTTGTATTCATGTCAGGTATAACTGTAAATGGAATTAAACTGTACCAATTTAGTAATCTAATGCAATAATGATTTTGGTTGTCAATTGCAGCTCCTCATGAAATAACAACTTGACGCGTTTTTGTATTATTTGACCCCCTAAACGGTAATAATACTTAATCATTGTGTAATTGTAATCTAAAACAAACTAAATAAATTTTTTGTGTATTGTGATACATCCATTGATCAAAGAAGAATCATAAAAAAAAAAGAAACTGCGATAAACCAATATCTTTAGCAAGCTATACGGTGGTGTATGTGTGTGATTGGAGGTTAATCCTTAACCAGAACAAAGTCTTCCTCTATCTCTACCAAAGAAACCCATAGACCTCTTCAAGATTAATCTAGTTTAAACTTTCTCCAAGAGAATCCCTTTCATAGAGTTAATCACCTTTTTTTTCTTTATTTCTTTGTATTCATGAAAAGTTTCTTCTATCATGATGGATCATATAATCAAACAATAGAAAATAATGATTCCATCTTATTGATCTAACTCTAATACGCGCGGTAGGAAAGAAAAAGAAAAAGGAATAGTCCCATTGCGATGGCACCATTCTGTCGACACTTGATCCGTTGTTCCGCGGTGAGCCCATGCCGGCACACTCTAGCACAAGACCACGAGACAGAAAGAGGCACCAAGAAGAACAAAAAAAAAAGTGAAAATTAGAAGTGAAACATTGGAGAGAGTGAGAGTGAGTGTGTGGGTCCCCCTAATAATTGATTTAGTTAAACTCCCCCTTTAAAACAGAAAATAACACAAACCCAATTGTGAGGGATGCTCAAATAATTTTGTCGCTGTATTCAAAATTCCAATTAAAATTTCAATTATAATTACAAATATTTTTGTCACCACCAAACCCAAACAAACAAAATTTTTTTCATTACACAACCACCAAAAAAAAAAGAATATTAGCACACAAGAATTTTTCCTTTTTTTTTTGTTTCTGTTTAATTGTATTATAAAAGTAAAACCCTTTTTCTCCTTTTCTTTTTCACTCTGTATGATTTTTTTTTCCTCTCCCTCTGTTTAATATCGCTATTCCTTTCTTTATTATCTTTTTTTTTATTTTTATTTTTTACAACAAGGTCAACATTTTTTTTTCTTCTCAACCAGTCCTGGTCCCAGGTTTTCCATCAACTTCAATATCACAACGTCCCATTTTTTTCAATTCACTCTACTTGTTCCTCCAACGTTACTTTAATTCTTTTTTTTTTTCCACATATAAAAAAAACCTGTGCAAAAGGGCCCCTTTTTTAATTTTTTTTTTTTTTCGCTCCCATTTTTCCCCCACCGGTAGTAGGAAATAGAAGAAAAATTTGCACTAATATATTTCCTGCAAACAAAAAACTTTTCAGGACCTTCTGGCCACAAAGAAAAAAGAAAAATAATATAATTACACCTCCAAACAACCATAACCATAGATCAATTATTTGTTGTTGTTGATTTTTGTAACTAAACATGTCTTCAATTGATAAAGATATACTAACTAAAGATGAGGAATCGGAAGATACTACAAAAACCGAAAGTAGTATAAGTTATTCCCTGAAAATTGACCATATGAAGAATCCGCATCGTATAAAGCTAGCACCTGATGAAATCAAGTTAATTATGTTTTTAATAGTTGAGATCAAACCGTTTAAATACATTGGTGATAAATCTTTGAGTCAAACTAAAAAATGGGAGCTTATAAGAACAAGGTATTATGATGCAAAAGCAAATAATAAAGATGTGGAAGTAATTGTACCTACTGTGCGAACACTTCAGAGACAATTGACTGCCGGTCTTAAAAAAGCAGAAACCAGGAGGAAGAAAAAGAGAGTATATGATTCAATTGACCAAATATCAGACACCGAGAAGTTGATTCAGAAGAGGCTTGATAAGTTAAGTGTTGAATCCGCAACTGATCAAGAATTAGAAGATATGATTTATGATTTGAATGAACTTTCGGATCATATTAAAAAGACGAAATCAAATCCACAACCACGTCCTTCATCAATTCAAAGGATAATGAATCCATCTCCTGAATCAACTCCACAAAAACAGCAACGTCATTTTCATGATCTTCATCATCATCAACAACAACAACAACAACCAAACAATAATAGTACTCAGACACATGTGTTGTCTGCTCCAGTTCCACCACCTCCTCCTCCTCCTCCTCAGCCAGCACTACCACAGGTTCAATCATTTTCTCCACCTATAGCTCAAGCAACTCCTATAGCACCAAGACTTTTTCATGATCCGCAGCCTTCTCCAGTGGTACAACTGCTGTTACAAATAGTAGAAGAGTTGCAAACAGAAATACAAAGCATGGCAGATCGTTTACGATCTATCAAACAAAAATTGGATAGACTAAAGTAAGGTCATTTTTAAAAATAAAAACTTATCCTGTATTACTAGAAAATAAAGATAACTCGATAAAAATCAGTACATACCTATTATGTATTATGTATTATTATTATCAAAAAGAAGAAAATAAAATGTATATATATATATAACTATATAATAAAAGAAAATCATTTGGTTAAAAGTTGTCTTGCAAATAAAGAATGTCCCTTATGTGAGGGTTGAATGGTCAGAAGAAAAATTATACTCTCACTTGAATACAATTTGCCTTTTATATTATGTGTGTTGCAAAAAAAAAAAAAATCATCAAAACACAAATCCTGGATTTGACAACAATCAATCCTTAATTATGATTAAACTTATTGTCATTGGTTGTTTAGTTTATTCTATTCAAGCTCATTTCATTAATTATTATCCTCCAACAGAATTAGCCATATCTGATGATGAAATCGTCAATAGAGCAGTGACTGAATTACACAATATTGATGCCGCTACTGATTTAAATGAATGTATGACATGTAAAACAAGATTACAAGTAGCTAAATTTATTGCCTTGACAAGACCAGATCTAGTTCCTCAGATATTTTCAACTTGGTGCATTGAATCTGGAAATGATGAAATACAATGTCATATGAATTATGGATATCCTAGTGAGGATTATTGTACTATGGGAAATGATTTCACCAAAATGGTTAGTCTAATGAATCCTTCAGGTTTAGATGGTGATTATTTCTGTTATTATCATGATCGCAATTGTGCAATTTTACCTGAAACCCCACTTGTTGATATGAGTAGATTGTGGCCCCCAAAACCAAAACATTATTTACCTCCTGATGATTGTGGTGAAAGTTTCCATGTATTGCACATTAGTGATATCAACCTTCAACCAGATTATAAGATGTTTGCTGAAGCTAATTGTACCCAAAGTTTATGTTGTTCACCTCATTGCAGAAACTTGAAAACATCTGCTCCTAGTAGTGATGCATTAAAAGATGATTATTCGGGATATTATGACAGTAGTTATAGTAAGAATCATTTTGAAAAGGGTAGCTTTATGGATATTTCTAAAATTAAAAAACCAACTTGGAGTCCAGCAAGACAATTTGGAGAATATACTTGTGATACCCCAACTTTGCTCTTAAATAGCACCATGCAATGCATTCGTGACTTGCACCAAAACCATCTTTCATTTGAATTTGCTTTATTCACTGGTGGTACAGTTGATCATTCTGATAGAAGCTTCATGAGTAGGGATAAAAATATTGAATCACAGGAGACTAGTTATAGGATTTTAAAACATTACTTGGACACAGTTGATGTGATTCCCACGTTTGGAACCAGGGATATTTTCCCCATGAATCAATTGCCGCAAAAAAATCTAACAGAAAATTCTAATAGTTACCAGTGGCAATTTGATTTCTTAGCAGACTTGTGGCTGGAATTAGGATGGATAGATCATGATGTTTCCAAGCAAATCCGGTATAATCAAGTGGGATATTCCATGATAACTAAACGGGGATTGAAAATTATTTCATTAAACTCAAATGTTTGGAATGTCAAGAATTTCTATTCATTCTGGGAAGTTTTAAAAATTGATTCATTTGGAATCTGGAAGTTTTTAATACAAGAACTATTAGATTGTGAAAGAAATCATCAACGTGCATGGATTATTGCCCATTTACCTCCAAGTCATCAATCATTACCATTGCCAACAAGAGTGTTTGCCCAAATTATTGCTCGTTTTTCACCAAAAGTTATTGCTGCTATCTTCTTTGGTAGTATTCAAGTAGATACATTTATGGTACAATATGGAAATGATGGCACTGATACAAGGGAATTAGAGAATTCCATTAACCATGCGCTTGTGGGACCACTGATTAGTCCATTTCTGGGAGTAAATCCTGCTTGGAGATATTATGCAATTGATCAACAAAGTTTCAATGTTATTAATTCATTCACATATTATACTAAACTTGAAAATACATTTCATAATGATGGTGCAGAGCCTAGTTGGGAATTTGGATATTCAGCCAGGGATGTTTATGATCCAGAACAGATGTGGCCCATGGATTGGAGTTTAAATACTGAATTCTGGCATCATGTAAGTGAAAAGATTAAAACAATTCCTGAATTTGACTTGTTGTATCAACGATTAGAAACCAGATGGTTTACTGGTGGTAGATTGAATGATGATGGGTATTGTAAAGTTACCAGTTTTACTATGGAAGCTAAGAAACAATGTATGATTACTGATGATCAAGATGATTATGTTGAACCTAAACAATCTAATGATTATGTACCATTTATCCATGTTGGAGCAGGAACAGAATATATTGAAAAGGAAGTAGCATATCCAAAAGAATCTAGTGGATATGAATCATCTGGTAATGCAACCCTTAATTTGGAAAGTGATTTAGATATTGATGACTTTGAAAGAGTAGATGAAAGGGAGAATATGACTATAATCGAGCCACCACCTAAAAAAGTAATAGGTAAATCACTTGGGCTAAGAAATAGAAATCAAATTCCAATTGCTCAATTATGAAGATTCTATGGGAGAGAGATTGCGAGAGAACAACAAATTTACTAATGTGAGTGATTCGATTTTCTTTTTTTTTTTTTTTACTTTCTGTACTTTGCTAGAAATTTATTGTCCATTTGTGTGTAGTTACAAAATAATAATTTTAATTTTGTCTTATAACGTTTTTGTCTTAAAAGGACAATCAAACGGGAATGTTTTATGAATATTTACAATTATGCTTTAAAAGGAAAAACAAAATGAGAATAGGAACAGAACTAAAAACAAAAAACAAAAAAAAACGGTTATCGGATAATTAAATTAATTATAAAATAGAGCGAGAATAAAGTGTGGGTAAAATGATGAAGAGAAAAAGAAACGAGAAGCAACCAAACAAAAAAATAATACCCCTTGCATTTGCGTAAGAATAGTGATAATAGTTGCGGAACTCTATTTAGGGTATTTCCGACCTAATTCTAGATACCCTGCATGAATCCAAAAGAAAGGACGGATTTGGACAACAACAACAACTTATCAAGAAAGAACGGATTTCTATTGGATGGATGTGTTTGTGAATAGTAGCACAAATAGTTTTTAGGGTTAAGCGAGGTAAGGGGAGGAGATGATGATCATGATAGTGGAGGACGACGAGGCGTTGAATTTCAGGAGGTTAAAGTTAAAGCCACGTGTCAATGATAAAGGCTAATTGTTTAATGATAATACAGGGAGAGAGTTGTGATAGTCTACATTGGAATAAGATGTTGATTATAATAAACAGACAATAGTATAGGAAGAAGTATATTAACTATAATGATATATATATGTCAGTGCTAGTATTTTGATTTCAAATAAAGAAAAGTTAGTAATGACATGAATTCAATAAAAATGGAGCGTTCAAGTTCCACACCTCTAAATTTTCCAATAGTTTAAACGATACACCAATAAACGCAATTCACGATAATGTATGGCATCATTTGGATACTCAAAATCATTTTCAAAGTTAATCTATTGACCCAAAATACTTCTCAAGTACTTTCAAAGGGAAGATCTGATTTCCTTCTTTTTTTTAACTTCGTTGTGAATTTTCTTTTGTTCAATTTTCCCTCTTTGTCCTTAAATAATTACTCATTGATATATCTCCAGCTTTATTGAATTCAGATGTTGGTACATAAAACCACGATTTACAAAACAGAACTAATTTAGATACCGAAATAATTCAAACCATTAAAGAAAACTACTCTTAATATAAATAATTTTTAAAATAAGGGATAACACTATCAATTAATGATCACTATTAAAACGTTCCATACGTTTGAATAATTATAAGAGGGGAAACCTCATCATTCAAAATAATCCCATGTACACGACTCACATGCAAGTTAAATAATTGTAATGGTATACGTTAGAATCTGATTATTGAGTACACACTGTTGTTTAGTTTTACAACAGTGTTCATCTTAAAACTAAAATGTAATTGAATTTTGTCGGACTAAATTTGAATTGAGAGTTTGAGTGTTGCGGGTTTATTTTTAGGTGAGGCAAGTTTTTAATTTAATTTTGTTGCAAATTTGCAACAATTATGCAAGTATATAATGAAATGCAAAAATATTGACTATGATACATACCATACCAATTTCGACTTATAGAAGTAGACACTTTTGCAAAATACAAATTAAGAAACCATGGTGTATGCGTATCTCATTTATTTCTTCTATATATAAACTATGATATTTCTAATTTCATTCATTGAAATCTCTTTTCATACTATCACGAATCTTTCTTAATTTTTCTTCAAATTCAGCCATTATTTTCAAACTCTCCTGTGTGTTTTCTTCTTTTTTAGATTGTTCAAGTAAATCTTTCATTAAATCAGTTGTTTCATCACACATTGTTTTCCAATTTTGAACCGTTTGATCAATCGATGAATCTTTATTACTATCAACGATATCATTTATATTAATTTGACATTTGTAGAATTTCCTTTTCTTTACTGGAATCTCTATTGTTGATGTTTTTGGTTCATCAATTACCAATTTGTTGTGAACGGGTAATGAATCAGGTAGAGGTGAACTCTGTTTGTTCTTTTCTGATTGGACTACATCATTTTTGTTTGACAGATCTAGATCTTCTGATATAGTCAAAATATCATTAGCTGTTGTAGTCATAATTATGGATAAATTTTAAACAAAACTGGCAAGTCATTTGTTTCATAATTGTAATTTCATCGCGATATCATGAAAGTTTGATGTGGTTTTTGTTAAACGGGAGAAAAAATATCACATGATTCGATCATATCAAATCGATACAAAATTGTTCACCAAAAGCTAGGTAAAGACAAACAGAATTCTCTTCATATTTGCAAAATACTATTATATAGCTTTGGATTATTGCATAATCTGAAGAATAAAGACTAGAGATGAAGTTTGTTTAGACAAACGATGGGTTTTTTTTTTAGTAAAGAGGAGTTCCAATGGAAACAAATGTTGATAATAACTGAATGAAGTTTGGAATATAAACTATGGGGAGGAAACGGATGATATAGAGATCATTGAAATAAGAAGAAGTAAACAAAAATCACTACAATAGTAGAAACATAAAATAATAATAACTAAAGATATATATTCTTATATAACAAATCTTGTAATATCAAGATATAGTGCTAGAACAATCGATTGTGAAGGTCAGTAGTATTTATACCTGATATTGCAATACCTGATTTTGATCAAACTTTCCAGAAAAGGATTCCATAAAAACAACTTATATCGACTCATGAGAGTGACCATAAAATGCAAACAAAATAACAGTAAGATTGAATCGCTACATTTTTTTTAAGAAAAATTTTTTGTTCGTTGTTGGAATTCTTTCGTGTTCCATTAATCGAGTCGTGTATAACGAGTCAAAAAACAATCTACCCTTTGATTGGTTCTAATCTATTTCATAATCACTCGAAAGAAGGATATGACGATTGAAAAATGATGAAAATTCAATAGATAATTAACAATACTTTAGACTATACTACTGTTAGAAACAAGCAAAATCAAACATATTGATTTTGATAGATACATATAAAGTAGAAAGCTTTCCTTTAAGATGCTAAACTCATCGATTTTTCTCATTTCTATTTTAGTACTGAAATATGCAATTAATTAAACATCCATTCATTGTTACATGTGGTAACTAAATCTCACTCTGATCATGTGATGGAATAATCTAATATCTCTCACTAAGTTATATTTCCAATTTAAAAGCGAATGAAAAAAATAAGTTCCCTTTTCTTTTTGTTGACCAAATATGCCATACTATATATTATTAAAAGACAGGATAAAGCGTTGGCTCTATTTGCAGTAACAGATAATAATCAAGTGTCCCACGTGATAGAAGATCCGTGACAGAAGCAAATTCTTTCCGCAGTTGAATATTTACTACCATATAATTATATTTGTGGGCATTTCAATTATATTCTTTTTCAGTAAATCTAAGTTGAACAACATAGTATGATCAATCATTGTTTGTTTGTCTTAATGTAGTGTATCATCATACCACCTGAGGCAACAAGATTACCACAATTCTAAAACAAATTCATTATAAACTAGACGATGAGAATAGAATAATTGTCACCTCAGTTTGACTTTTGTTTATATCTATTGGAATTAAAATTTTATTATAAATTCATTGAAACAAATAAAAAAGAATTTTAAACAACAGTCTTGATAATTAATGTTTGTTAAAACCTTACCCCTTACCTGATTTATTATTAAAATGAACGAAATTGGAAAGTCACATCTCTCATAATTATTATACTTATACTTTTCTTTTTTGTTTCTTTCAGATAATTATGAAACAAAAAAAAAAATATACATTTCATGACTATACACGGGACTTAATGCAAAAATCTTAAAATGCCAAAAAAAAAGGTACCAAATACAAATATAATAACCTTTTTGCAGTTATTAACGGAATATAGTATAATTCATAGTTTTTGAAATGTTTTAAATATCGTCAAATTAGGAATATAATTTTATCTTTTTTTTTTTTTCTGATATCATTCACGTAAATAATATCTTTCATTCTTTTATCTTACATTTAAATATCATTTAGATACTTACAGAAAGAATGTTAAGTTAAAGGTTTGATTTTGTATAATGATTATAATTTTGCATCTTAATTTATTCATACTTTTTGTGTGCTTGCATGTAACTATTTGAGTTTCTAATGTAACAAAATCTTTAAAAATTAGACAAAGCGAGAGAGAGAGGGAGGGAGAAAGGGGCTAAAATCAGGGACAACGCAATGAGATGGTACGATTTATAAGCTAATGCTACATTAATATAGTCTAATGATATTAGTTTATTATACTTTTCTATCTATCCCTGTGTGGTTGTGCTCCCCTGAACTTTTTCTCAACTTCAAGTAACAACAACTCATCACCAAAAGTTTATCTTTACTGTGATATTAACTTTTAAGAAATCATGCATGGCTTTCGCATACTGATGTGTCCTGCACAATTATTTGACGGATTTGCGCCCAAACAGAAGTACGCCGCAAATTGCCGGCAGAACACTAGAGTAGGAAAAAAAAATAATTCATTATGAACAGATTACGTAATCAGAAATATCTTCATCAGAGAAAGATTTTCACTAGATTTGATCATCAATCTTAGCTGTCTTTTTGGTCTTTCCGCTCCCTTCCCCTGAAAGTCATAAGGATCAACTATCGATGACACTAATTAAGAGATCCCTTTTAAAGTGATTCTCTCACTTGCAATAGTAAATCTACGATATAGTAAATGTAAATCATAAATAAAGGGCAACGTATTTTATATCATAATATACAAGTATATATATAATCTAGAAAGAAAAATCTATGAATTTGTTTGTAGACATTGTTGGGTTGTTTGTTGTGCTTGATGGAATTGTTGTAATTTGTTGTAATTGTTGTTGTAATTGTTGAATTTGTTCTTGTTGTTGTTGAACAATCAGTACAATATCTAAAAATTCTTGAAATGATTGTTGTGGTTGTGGTTCTGGTTGAGTTTGTTGTTGTGGTTGTTGTTGTTGAGGTGGGATCATTGAGTCCCAATTGTTGTCCCATAAATCAAACTCACTGATCAAGAAATCATCTAAAGATTCAACTGGTGAAGGCAATCCAAATCCTTCATTGTTGTTAGATAATGGGTATGGTTGAATTGGAGCACCACAAGCAGTAGTAGTAGTAGTCACGGCAGGAGAATTTCCACAACCAGAAAGAACAGGTAATGGTAAATCATTAATACTATTCATTGAAGTATTAGCAGTCATTGGTGTAGAAGGTGGTTCACTCTTTGCACTAGTAACACTAGCAATACTTGAAATACTACTTGATCTTCTTGAACTAGCAGGAGTACTCATTTGTTTTGGTTTCTTTTCTTCATTATCATTAGTGGTATCTTCGGATTGAACAGGAGATAAATCAACAAAAACAAAATCCTTTGGTTTACCAGGTTTATTTTTTGGTCTTCTTAAAGGAGGTCTTTTAATAGTGAATTTTGAAGCAGCAGCAGCAATTCTCAATGAATTGTTCAAACATTCCATTGAGGTTTGGATTGAGTTTAGTGATGCATTAGATTGATGTGATGTTGTAGAAGATGAGGATATACTGCTATGACGAGATGGTTGGGTTTTTTTAACTCTCCATAATTTTTTGCCATTAGCTGGTGGTAATACTTTTGAACTCATGATTTGTTATAATGTGGGTATAATATATTAACAGTAAAAGGTGGGTATAATAATAAGGGTATAATAATAATAGTAAGTTAGGTATAGGTTGGATAGGGTATCAAAAAGGCAAGGGTATAACGATTGGGTTGGTGATATAAGTTGATGATTATGATGATGCTGATGTTGATTAAATGAAATATAATAGAATAAGTTTTTATATAATTAAAACGAAAAAAAAAAATTATCCAAATTTGAAGGAGGAATCGATTGGTTTAAATAATTGATGATTATTAGGGTTTTTAGATTTTGAAATCTGCTTGATGTCTTTTCACACCAATTGATATCTCTTCACATATTGAGCAAGAGGAACAGAAAGAGGAGTAAATTAAAAAAAAAAAAAAAAATCTAAAATTTAAGGTTAACACTTTTGTGTAATAATGTCTTTTTGTGTACAAAGAGTTTTTTATATATTTAAAATTTCACTCATTTTTTGGTTAGATGCACAAAGTCTTAAATGTATTTTTAAATTTTGCATTTTGTGTAATTCCTGAAGTGGGGCATTTATCACCAATTGCCACAAAAAGTAAAATCTAATTCAATTATACCTAATTAGGAAATATTGCACAAAACCCACATTAAAGATAATCTTTCTCTTTTTATTTGATTTTTTACTGTAGTATTCTCATTACGCTACCTTGGTTACATAATCAATTAAGTATGGTAAATCATTTTTTTATCACCTCACTGAAATTTAATCACTATCATACATAAATTTTTTTTGTTGTTGTTCTTCGATTCCAATTGAGAAAATTGGTTGTTGTTCCCCCTTGAATTTGCCTGATTAGTAATATTGGATGTTTTAGATGTACAATCGAGAATTACATTCTACAAACTGCATTGACTATATTATACTTGTCTCACTAGTAAAGAAAATAATGTTGAGTCGATTCAATTGGCTATATAAATCAATAGTGGACTATTAAACCGGTTTTCTACGTCTCATATGTGAGTTAATTATCCTCCCCCTCCCCCTCTTCAAATAACCGAGTATAAATAATTCATTCAAAATCAAAGTGTCATAACTATTTGGATCAACTGATAAACAACAAAAACTTGGGGTAACCGTATATCTACCTATTAAGTAAAAGTGGAGTAATTAATCTTCGGAGAATCCTACGTATAGTTAACGATCTCCCACTTACCAAAAAAGACTTGACTAATAGAACTCCTTCTTTCTAAAACAATAGTTATTAAATGAAATAATAAATCCATAATGTGTGTTATAATTGCTTTGTGTACGCAATGTAGAAACAATTAAATTCTTTTGCTTCTTTCCATAATGAAGAATTCGACAATCCCTTTACTTCTAATATGAAGTATCATAACCTTCACGTTCAATAAGTTCAATTTCTATTCTACTCCACTTTTAAAATATTCTCCTAATCCACATCAATCAATAGCACCACCTCCACCATTAAACGCTTTGCAACCGCCGTTAATATTACTACTGAAATTCATGAAAAGAAAAAGAAAAAAGAGGAGTAACGATGGTAAGTTTGACATCAACGGGTTTCTTGTATCGTTTATTTTAATTCATAAAACTTGTTATTTCCGTTCATACATATCTAGACAGTTTATAGAATAAATAAAATACAATAAAATAATAAAAAAAGGGGGAGAAAGAAGAGGAGGGATGAGTGGGTAGGATATAGGATATAGGATATTAATATGCGCAATAGTAGACATGTTGAAGGACTGCATATAAAACCATGCATAATAATAGAACAAAAATAAAAAGGTTACACAGTTCGCAAGTAAGAGAGAAAATTTATTATCAATTATCGTTAAGAGTAAATCGATCATAAATATTTTATTATACTTTGCACTATTGGATATTATTATCGTCTATTTAACTTCATATTAGTGGTTGGTTAATTGGTTTATTATTTTGTGTGCAAAAAGAATGAGAGATTGAGAGTGTTTCTCAGTTTCGGTGGATATGTGCACAGATGTACAAAACCTTTGTTTCCCTTGTTTTAAAACGCAATGTGTAAATCTTTCAATTCATTGAATTAATTGTGCCTTAGAAAATGATTGATGACTGTTGTTGTTGTTGTTGTTTGACTGTGTAGAATACTTTCCTAATTAGGCATGTTTGAATCATCCCGTATAAGCCCTATTTCAATTACTGTAACAAAGGCGATGAACAACACTAACAACACCGACAACTGATCTTCATACAGATACATTATGTAGGTTAATTTGGTCATTATGTATAGTTTTACTACAATTCATATCCCTTTTTTTTTCTATCGACTACTAATAACAATTTAAAGTGTAACAAAAGAAAGTAAAAATTAGATAGCAAACAATACATTTCTCGTCGTCCTCCTCAACATGCATTGCTTTTATTTCTTTTAATTTCATTCTTTCTTGGTAATTATTCAACAATCAAATATGACACACATAGAAACGGCATATTTAGTTGTCCTTATGGTGTCACTCCCTTTTGCAATTCAAATGGGCAATGGGTTGTTAAGGAATAGTTAAATACCAATAGTAGAAGAATTATAAACAAATTCATTCACCTAAATTATAAACAATAAAGATCGTCGGAAATTTTCCAATTTTCTAATTTTCCAGTTCTTTTTTTGTATTATTTATTTCAACATACATTTCATTAGTATAGTAATTATAGTAAATAATACATCTATTTTTACAGACAATCGTAAGTGTATTAAATTGCCCTTTATTTGGAATGATTATTGACTTACCTAATTAGTTAACCTAATTGTTCAAACGTTTCTATCTTTTGCAGTTCAATATTCTATATATGATGATCCAATTGTTTCATCTTTTTTTTTTTTATTTTTTGATCAACTTCATTATCAATTGAGTTAGGGAAAAAGGTGTAATGGATAAAACATGGGCATTATACTACATTTTCATCATGTTCTTTTTTTTCATTTTTTCATTTTTGATTAACTGTACACGCACTTATCTTAATTTGTGTAGAACTTGTGTATTACCCCACATTTCATGATTCATCAACAACATCAACTTTAAAACAAACTAAAAAAATGAAATTACCCCTCTATTAATTAGTTACTATTATTATTCATGTGTTTGTTTGTGAGTGTGTGTAAATTTCCATTGCCCGAATGTCCCCAGAGCCATTGTCCATTTTGTTAAATAAAATAAATAAAAAAATTGTAATGCTATTGTAATGTTATTGTAGATTACTTTGTATATTACTCCTCCCCCACACATTTACACAAATTTTAATAGAATTGTTGATGACCTACAGTTGGAAAAACTTCGTAGTCGATACGTCTAATCAACATAAAGTGGGACATTTTATGTCCCTCCATCTTTCTGCCCCCCTTCATGTCTTCTTATGTTAGTTTATGTTAAATATTTTTATTAATCACAAGCGCGCAAAATAAAAATAAAATAAAAAAATATAGATTTAATCCGAGGTCTTACATCAATTAGTTACCAACGGTCTATATCACTACATCAAAAAACAGGCTAAACGAATACGTTTCACTCATCTGTAAGTTCATGAAAATGGTTGATTTTATTTTTTACTATAATGAGGCGGACTTATATTTTAGCAATTAAAGGGTTAGTAATTCAAAGGGTTTTTTTTTTTTTTTTAATTAAGGAAAAAGATTTTTAATCTTTTAGTCCGTTAGTCCATCCCTCTTCAAGAAAAATATTCTTCAGTAGACGATCAAGTGAATTTTCATTAAAGTTGTTGTAGTCACTCAACAAAAATAAAGTGAAATTTAAAATAAAAAGGGAATGTATGAAAGTAATTCTAAATATTTTAAAATTCAAATGAACAAAGAATTGGTTATGATACTTTAGATAATAGTCATTCAGTATTTGATAGATACATTCATTTTAAGGACTATAATCTTGAATTCTATTTTATCATACTGGTGTATAAGCATTTATTTTTCCTTCATTACCCTTCATTTTCCTTTATTCTTTATGCTATAGTAATGGTAACAATAATATTATTATTATCGAGATTTGTCGATGATGTGGATACCGCGGATAGAAAAAGGTTTAACAATGTCAAATAATATTAGTACCATTACTTCCCGTACGGCACTACGAAAACGAAGGAACTTTACCCCACAATTCTTCCAATTCATTGATTAATTGTGTCATTAATATAAATTGTCATTTTTTTTGCTTCAATTAATCTGAAATTCATTTAAAGTACGGGAATAAATATAGAATCCATTGTTCTTGATTGGTGTAACTTTGCTCTTGAGTATGTGTGTACTGTATTTGTGTGTGTGTGTGTGTGTGATCTATTATTTAGACACATTGTATATTACTAATAATAATCCATTTGACATATATTCCTTAATTCTTATATTAGTTTGATTTATACATTGAACAATGACCTGCCTAATTAGGAAAGTGGGAAAATATAATAGATTGTTTGCTTTTGTTAGTCTGTTTTGCAATAGTAATAGTTGAAATTATTATTATATACGATAATACAATAGGTAGTGGAAAAAAGAAAGATATTTTTAACGCTTTTAACATCAACATAATAAATCCTACATGGGGTATTAACCTTATTTACATATAAAACTGCCCCTCTTTTCCTTCGCTGAATTACCCCTCGTTGCCTACTTTATCTCCTATTGTCTTTTTCAAATTTAAACTTTCCTAATTAGGCAATCAAATTAATCACCATTAATCTTTACACATATATGTGTGTAAATCTCCTTTTTGAAACTACCCAATTAACTAATTAATGAATTGGGGGACTTTCCTAATTAGGCTATTCAATAATAAGGGGTGGAGGGGGCAAAGAGACAATATTTCCTGTAGTTAAATCCTCTTGTAAAAGTTTTAATGGTTATTTTAGAGCAATTGAAACTATGTTAATTATTTGATCTACGATTTGTAATATTTCTATTTTTAAAAAGAGCCTTGATTAATTATTCATCCCTTATTTATTGGAATGCTATCAACTTTAAAAGAAAATTTCATTTCATTTCATTTCGATTCAATTAACCCTGATTGAAGGTAATAATGTTGTTGACTCAAGGCGAGGGGAGTGACCAATGGAGATAATTAACAACCTACAGACGTATTGACGTTTCTTTGGAATTAGGGGTTCGGTTAGTGATAATAGAGACTTTCGATAACTATCCTTTACCCCAAATATTATTATTCTACTTTTCAATATTCTAGATTGGTTTTTTGCTTCTTCAATTAATGAAAAAGTGGAGTAAATTCGGTTATAAAAGAATCGATCTTTACAGATTCGACAATTATTCATATGATATTTTAATTCATCTTTAATTGAAAGTGTTCTATATATGTACTTAATTAAACACAAACTGGAATATATTTTAAATGGCCTTGGTTTAGTTCATTAAATAAGGTCGCAAAAACTAGATATATAATTTATTTTTTTTTTTTTTGCTTCTTGTTCTTCTTCTCCTTGGTACACACACGCCCTCGGACAGTTGCACACAAAAAGTTACAATTTAAATTGTACATACTGTATGATGCAACTGAATGAATGAACGAATAGGAACAGCTATGGTTTTTGTTCAATTGTTGACAAAATGTTATATGTATGGAAAATCTTTCAGAACTATACTTTAAAATGCTCTAAGTAAATTCTTGATGGTGGATTTTCCTTATTTGTAAATTATATACATATTCATCATCTTATTCGATACATCATGTTAATAACTCGTCACCAGATGATCTGCCATTGTTAACAAAAGAGACAATAATATGGTTTCCGTATTGGTGAAATTTCAAAATATTTCAATGTTCCATCAATCTATCAAACGTTTTGCAAAAGTGGTTCATACATATATATCTGTGTGATTTATTCTAGACAATGAATGTTTATTTTGTTGCTATTGCCTCCTCTACGACCCAAATTTTACGGATTTTCAAAGCCAGAGCGGATATTTTAGACAGGTATTACATATTTTTAGTCGGTATTCCTTTTTTTTTTCTTTAAGTTAACAATTACTGTAAGTTAAAACTAAATTTATAAACCCTACTTTAATACCTTATCACTACCGCCTCTTGATATGAACAATAGGTATATATGTGAAAGTACGATTTAAAATAATAATAATTTCATCAAACCATTGCTATTACATTTACTGGAAATACTGAAAAAGTGGAAAACATTAATATTAGTTGTTGATGATTTAAGGTTATGAGTCCTTTTTTTGTTTTTTACTTTGTTCATTCATGGGATTGCTTTCCAATGTCGATAAAACTACTAAAATTTCATTCACATCTTTAATTTTTTTTTTTTTTAGCTTTCGTTCATTCGTACTTTCTAAAAAAAAAAGTGGAGAATAAATATTGAATTCAGGGATATCTGAATTTTAAAGTGGGTAACTAAATCCACTAAAGATAAATTTATTAAAGAAATTAGGGTATCCATCAATGGTTTATTAATTCTCTTTAAGAAATAAAGTTTTTCTACTCATTTTTCATGATATATGTACTAAGAGATAAGAGAAGAGGATTTGTTTGTAAATTTGAACTGTTCGTTTAATCCCAGAGGGTTAGCAATGTGAAAATTAACAAATACTTTGAATTGTCAAACAGAATTTAGTTTTAATCAATTAGCCACAAATATTCATCTTCAATATCTTACTCTCGCTCATAGATTTCCAGTAGAAACATTTTCTTATCATCGAGAAACAGATTAATGCGCTGACATAATCGGTATATCAAATGTGAAGAGAGAGTAAACATCCAGACGCTAAATGCATGCTCTAACAAATAAAAATCTAACCTTATTATCAGCATTTCAAACTATTTACATAAATAAATAAATAAAAAATCATTACAACATGCATTTAGTCATGCCATTCAACTTATCTGCCACGCATGAATTGAATCCCATCTCATTTTAATTTCTCATATCTATCATATCTACTCTTTATTCTTATTCTTCTCTTTTTCTTCTTCATGCTTGAGTTTCTCTAGTCTCATTTTTTCATATTTCAATTTAGCTTCAGGTGTTAAATCCAAAGTCATATCTTCAGTAAATTTAACAGAAAATCCAATATTCTCCCGTTTTCGACGTTCAATTTCCTCTGGTGAATGAGGTGTAAATTTCATAAATTGAAAATCACTACCTGATTTATAAGTAACATAACCTCCTAATAATATAGCAAAAGTTCCCACTATAAATCGATTTATCATTGGTACTTCCTTCATTTTGTGATCTTTGATGTTTGTTTATTCTATTCTTGTAGATTTATTCTTAGTTGATTATAACAGTTATTGATATTGATGGGTGTTTTTTTTTTTCTTTCTTTGTTCTCACTGTTGCTTGTTCTCTTTGAAGATGAAAGTGATTCGTCACACTCACACGACCATTCAAGAAGGAACAAAAAAAAAAAAATCTAAAACACTCGAGAGACAGGAGAGACAAACAAAATTAAAATAAAAAAAAAGGAGAACAGGGAAAAAAAAAATCTCACTAATCGTTGACATAAGGCAAATCCAACAACTACATTTTATTATTTGATACCCACAGTTTGTAGTTGATTATCACCTATAGATAGATTGATTTATACACATTTACGCACAAGATACAGAGATATACATCTTGACAATGGCTGCACTTCCAAAGAGAATAATTAAAGAAACAGAAAGATTAGTTAGTGATCCAGTTCCAGGTATAACTGCTACACCATCAGAAGAAAATCTTCGATACTTTGAAGTTACAATAATTGGACCATCATCATCACCATATGCTAATGGGTTATTTAAATTAGAATTATATTTGCCTGATGATTATCCAATGTGTGCACCAAAAGTTAGATTTTTAACTAAGATTTATCATCCAAATATCGATAAATTAGGAAGAATATGTTTAGATGTTTTAAAAGATAACTGGAGTCCTGCTTTACAAATTAGAACTATTTTATTAAGTATTCAAGCTTTGTTAGGTGCTCCTAATCCTGATGATCCTTTGGCTAATGATGTTGCTGAAGATTGGAAAAAGGATGAAAAGAAGGCTATTGCAATGGCTCAAGAATGGACTAAACTCTATGCTATGAATGATAATGCAAATACAAATACTACATCTTAGTAGATGTATATATATATATTGTGTGTGTTTATGTTATATTGATTAGAATGAATGATTAAAAAAAGAAAGGAAATATAATTTTCTTCAGGAATAAGTGTCACGTGAGTCTTTTTTTTTTGTACATGAAGAAACTTAATGTTTACGTAATCATTTAGTGTCCGGATATATAAATCGGATATATTACCACTGAAAAAAAAAAGGGAATTAAATTAAGACACGCGATCGGCTAATTAAAGGAAAATTGAGTTGAGTTACACAAGTCAAGTTTAGTTGGGCTGAGCTGAGCTGGGTTGTAAATTACATAATGCATAATCGGCACTCACTGACATAGACACACCAGATTCAATTTATAATAAGAAAAATATTACACTAACCAAAGTAATTTACAAAAAAAAAAAAATAAAAAAAAAAAACCACGCAAATATTAGAAACTGCAATTCAGCAACAAGATACTCATACAAGTGGCTATTGTCTTTCACAGACTGTTGAACTGAGACATGTTGTCAACAAATCAAGGCTTGTAGAACCAATTGGTTTGGTTGATTATTAATACGTCATAGTACTATATCATCAATTACGAAAATAAAATAAAAAAAATTAATGTTTGGTGCACACACACCCGGACGGAAACCAAGATTTTATAATGAATACAGCACAACACGCTATTCAATGTCTGTTGAGAATAGTACTCATTCTACTACTGGGCTATGCTGTTACATTTTGGTTTATACAATCAATAGAGTTCTTCCCATCCCCCTCTCAGCTCGCTCACACTCCACAGCCAAAGGTAATTGGTAATTGTAAAAAGCGGGTATTTTTTTGATTTTTTAATTAATCATAATATCGGAAAAGAGAGCAAAAGCGGTGATAAAAAAAAAAAAAAGAAAAAGAAAAAAAAAAACTTGTAACCGTTTTATCCACATCTTTGAGTGGATTATAAATTATAATGTAATGTAAAGTAATTAATGAATGAATGATCAACTAAATTGGTTGGATGTAGTAATCCCTTACTGCTTGATCATCAACTTCTTCTTCTTCTTCTTCTTCTTCTTGCTATTGTTGTTTCATCCTTAGATACCGCTTTTAAAAAAAATGAGTTATTTTTTGTTTCAATAATTTTGCAATGAGAGGAAGAAGAGGAGAGGCGCTTTCCAGATTAAATTGTACATACATGAGAGAGAAAGAGAGAGGATACAATTGGCAATCACCAAACCGCACAAAAATCTTTCTTTGTCCGTTCTCTTCTTGTTTTCCCTTTTGAACAGATCGCCAATTTTTTTCTTTCTTTCTTTCTTTCTTTCTTTCCTTCCCGTTTTTCCTTTTCCCTTTCCCTTTCATTTCTTCTTACTCAAGTGAAAAAAAAAAAAAAATAAGAAAAATTAGAAAAATCTATAGATCCTGTGAATCTACTCTTTCTTTTCAATCATATTCATCAATTATTCCCTAAATCTAAATCATGTCTCTGGATTCAGATGATTTGTCTATTCCTCCTACGCCAAATCTAAAATCAAAAAGATTCCCTTCTATAAGATTTAAATTGAAAAATCAACACCATTCACAAGATAAAGATGCAGATGACGATCTAAATGACGACACTCCTCCTTCGAGTTCATCTTCTCATCCAAATCATTTCCAACCTCCAAATTCCCCTTTTGCAGATCTGAATTTCAAGAAAAATTCCGGCTCAGATAAAGAATTAACATTTGATGCTACCGATGATGAAAATTATTCAAATGAAGATAGTTTGCCAGATTTACCTAATCATAATCATAAAGAAACTAAAAGAGCAAGATGGGCTACCATCAAAAGAAGTAAGAAACATAATAATAACGACCATCATCATGGTGTAATGCGATCAGGTACAATTAGGAAAATATTCCACCATAAACCAAAAACTCACGATCTTGGATTTAGTGATAATCATCCTCCACAAACTGAACCAGATCAAACTATTTCAACAGTACCTAGAACTATAGTCTTCAATGGCCCTGTTGATGAGCCAGGAGAATATTGCCGAAATAAAATTAGAACAACTAAATATAGTCCCCTTTCTTTTTTACCTAAAAATATTTATAATCAATTCCGTCATAATATTGCCAATGTTTATTTCTTAATTTTAATTATTTTAGGGGCATTTGAAATTTTCGGTGTGCCTAGTCCCGTATTGGCTGCTGTTCCTTTAATTGTCATTGTTATTATAACTGCCATAAAAGATGGTGTGGAAGATTCAAGGCGTACCGTCACCGATATGGAAGTTAATAATCAATATACTCATATTCTAGAACAAGTTGGTTTTGATACTGACTATGTGTATCATAATAATAATGTTAATGAAGAAGAAATCTCCATGTGGAGAAGATTCAAAAAGGCAAACACAAGATTAATGGTTAGATTTTGGGGTGCTTCAAAGAGAAATTTAACTAAAGAAGGAAGAGCTAACAAAGCAAGACAAAAAGCAATGGGTGGTAATAATGAAAATGATGGAGACAATCCAAGAAGATCTTTTGATAGTGAAGTCGGATCCCCAAGAAATTCTCTTGATAGTGCTACTAGACCTTCAATGGAAAACCCATTCCATGGCCAAGATCATCAACAACACCCATATTCACATCATAATAAAACATTGAAATTTTCTAGAAAGTTTTGGAAAGATGTTAAAGTTGGTGATGTTTTGAGAATTTATAATAATGAAGAAGTTCCTGCTGATGTTGTTTTATTAGCAACTAGTGATCCAGATAATGCATGTTATATTGAAACTAAAAACTTGGATGGTGAAACTAATTTGAAAGTTAAAACATCCCTTAAAGCAACAAGTGAAATTTCTCGTGCTGATGATTTAATTACAAGACAATTTGAAATTGACTCTGAAGGTCCTCATGCAAACTTGTACTCTTATCAAGGTAATTTCAAATTCCCAGAAGATCGTCAAGAATCTATCAATATCAACAACTTATTATTAAGAGGTTGTACTTTACGTAACACCAAATGGGTCATTGGTGTAGTCATTTACACTGGTGATGATACTAAAATCATGTTGAATGCTGGTGTAACTCCAACTAAACAATCAAGAATGTCTAGAGAATTGAATTATTATGTTTTGTTAAATTTTATTTTCTTATTCCTCATTTGTTTTATTTCAGGTTTAGTTAATGGGTTATATTATAGAAAGAAAAATACCAGTCGAGATTTTTTCGAATTTGGTACCATAGCTGGATCTCCAGCAACTAATGGGTTTGTGGGATTTTTCGTGTCCTTGATTTTATATCAATCATTAGTGCCAATTTCTTTATATATTACCATTGAAATTATCAAAACTGCTCAAGCTTATTTCATTTATTCTGATGTGGGGATGTATTATGAAAAATTGGATTTCCCATGTACTCCAAAATCTTGGTCTATTTCTGATGATTTGGGTCAAATTGAATACATTTTCAGTGATAAAACCGGGACATTAACTCAAAATTTGATGGAATTTAAAAAATGTACCATCAATGGTGTTTCTTATGGTCGTGCTTATACTGAAGCCTTGGCTGGTTTACGTAAACGTTTGGGAATTGATGTTGAAACTGAAGCAGCTCAAGAACGTGAATTGATTAAAAAAGATCGTATTAATATGATTGAAAAATTGCACACCGTTAGTAAGAATAAAACTTATGATGATGAAATTACTTTTATAAGTTCTGCATATGTTGATGATTTGATTGCTGGAGGTGAACAACTGGAAGCTAATCATCATTTTATGTTGGCATTATCGTTATGTCATACAGTTATGACTGAACAAGATCCAAAAGCTCCAAATAAATTAATGTTGAAAGCACAATCTCCCGATGAAGCTGCTTTAGTTGGTACTGCTCGTTCTTTAGGTTTCAATTTCAAAGGATCAACCAAAAGAGGTTTACTTGTTGATATTCAAGGTACCACCAAAGAATATCAAGTTTTAAATACTTTAGAATTTAATTCCACCAGAAAGAGAATGAGTTCAATTATTAAAATTCCAGGAAAGACGCCACAAGATGAACCAAGAGCTTTACTTATTTGTAAAGGGGCTGATTCCATTATTTATGATAGATTATCAGCTACAAACAATAACCCAGAAATGTTGGAACAAACAAGTAAACATTTGGAAGAATATGCCACTGAAGGTTTGCGTACATTATGTATTGCTGAACGTGAATTATCTTGGTCTCAATATACCGAATGGAATAAACGTCATCAAGAAGCAGCTTCTTCATTAGAAGATAGAGATGACAAAATGGAAGCTGTTGCTGATTCAATTGAACGTGAGTTGACTTTGTTAGGTGGTACTGCTATTGAAGATAGATTACAAGATGGTGTACCGGATGCTATTCAATTATTAGGTGAAGCCGGTATTAAATTATGGGTTTTAACTGGTGATAAAGTTGAAACTGCTATTAACATCGGGTTTTCCTGTAATTTATTAGGTAATGAGATGAAATTGTTGGTTATTAAAACAAATTATAATGGTGAAGAAGATCAAGAAACTTTGGGTGGATTGCAATTTGGCCATAATGCTAGTGAACCTGAAATCATAGATACTGTTATTTCTCATTATTTGAGAGTCAATTTCAATATGGAAGGTTCATTTGAAGAAAAAGAAGCAGCCGTTGGAGACCATTCACCACCAGATGAAAGATTTGGTGTTGTTATTGATGGTGATGCATTGAAATTAGCCCTTTTGAATGATGAAACCAAGAGGAAATTTTTATTACTTTGTAAAAAATGTCGTGCCGTGTTGTGTTGTCGTGTTTCTCCTGCTCAAAAAGCTGCTGTGGTTAAATTAGTTAAAGATACTTTGAATGTTATGACATTGGCTATTGGTGATGGATCCAATGATGTTGCCATGATTCAAGCTGCTGATGTTGGTGTGGGTATTGCTGGTGAAGAAGGTAGACAAGCTGTTATGTCTTCTGATTTTGCCATTGGTCAATTTAGATATTTAGCCAAGTTGTTATTAACTCATGGTAGATGGTCTTACAAGAGATTTAGTGAAATGATTCCAAGTTTTTTCTACAAGAATATTATTTTCAATATTGCATTGTTTTGGTATGGTATTTATTGTGATTTTGATGGCACTTATTTGTTTGAATTTACTTATTTGATGTTTTATAATTTAGCATTTACATCTTTACCAGTTATCTTTTTAGGTATCTTTGATCAAGATGTTGATGCTAAAGTTTCATTGTTGGTGCCACAAATTTATCGATCTGGTATTTCAAGAACAGAAATGAGTGATGCTAAATTTTATTGGTATTGTCTTGATGGGATATATCAATCAGCAATTTCATTTTTCTTTCCTTATTTATTATACATGGTTTCATTTCAAAGTGAAAATGGTAAACCAGTTGATCATAGATTTTGGATGGGGGTATTAGTTACATGTATTGCTTGTATTTCATGTAATTGTTACATCTTATTCCATCAATATCGTTGGGATTGGTTAAGTTCTTTAATTGTTGCAATTTCCATTTTAATTATTTTCATTTGGACAGGATTATGGACAATTAATTATCAATCAAGTGGAGAATTTTATAAAGCAGCACCGGAAATTTTTGGCATGACAGCATTTTGGGCATGTATGTTTGTTGGAATTTTGTGTTGTTTAATTCCTAGATTCTTTTATGATTTTGTCACCAGAATCTTTTGGCCAAAAGATATTGATATTATTAGAGAATGTGTACAAAGAGGAGATTTTGCAGCTTATCCAATTGATTATGATCCAACTGATCCAAATCGTCCTAAAATTTCCAGTTATTCAAGTCAGGCTTTACAAAGAATGAGTATGAGTAGTGGCAGAAGAATTCCTCAACTGCCAAATGCAGGACAATCCCCATTTGCTGATAGTAATAAGAGTCATTTTTATGATAACAACAACAACTTTTATAATGATAATGATGAAGATTTAGAAGACAGAGTTACTCCACCATCAATTGAATACGATCGAGGGGCTATATTTGATAATGTTAATAGAAGTGATAGTGGATCATATCCTCAACCACCGACTCCACCACCAGGAATTGCATTTAGTCCAATTAGAAAAAGAAAGAATTATATTCTGGGAATGTTTAGAAATAATAGTGATGGAGCACATGTTCATATGAATAGTAATGGATCAAGTCAAAGTGTATTAACTGAAGAAATTCAATTAGAAGATTTTGATCAAAAAAAGAAACGTATTTCTGATTCTCAGCAACAAGGGCAAAAGAGAATTTCTTCAATGTATTAGTAGTTTATAATTTATATATATATATATATATTAAGATGATTGTATTAAAATTGAGATTTCGTAGCCGAGAAAGAAAGAAATGATGTTGATATTACATATATTGGGAGACATTTTTCCGATCGGAATAAAACAACACGAAAAAAAAAAAAGAAATCACGGTGAAAAAAGAAAAAAGCAATTGCCCTTTGTCACCAATTATTGTTAGGAAATGCAACACTTCTTAAACAGACAAAAAAAATGTAAAGAAATCCGATAGGTACCAAAAGATGCTTAATCGGAGTTGTAACTATCATCAACATCATTCAAGAAGAGTGATTAACTAGAGTTCTAGAGAAAGGTGGCAATCAATGTAAGAATAAAAGGAGAGATGTTGTTATCTTGGCAAGGAAAAGGAAATAAAAAAAAATCAATGCATTGCATAAAGCAATTCAATTTAAAAGTACGCGTCATTTTTTTCATTCTTTCTTTCGGTGGTTGTTGTAGTTTATTAATTATTTTGTAACAAGTAAAAGTAAAAATAACTCATGGTTAATTCCTTCTTATCGTTAACGTGGGGGCCGAGGAGAAGGAGGTGGATGACAATATTCATGTACCTTGAATGAAAGGCAAATGTTTAGTATTTGATAATGAATGACTTGAATGATCTGCTGGTTATCAATATGTACCTTGAAATACATATGGATGATTACTTTAAACACACACAGATACACACAAAGTAAATGTAAAACATTTATGAAATAAATGAAACTGACCAATAATAATTCATCTTTTCTTTTTTTTTTTTTTTGCTTTTTGGAGGAAACTCAGTCTTGTACGATATGCGTATTACAAAGTTTGCTTAGATGTGTATGTAATGTAGTATACCCCAGGTTTGTGGTTTTTAATTTCTGTTAAAATAAATATGGAGTTTGGAACTGGAAAATTAGGTGGTATTAAATTCTATAAATTAGAAATAACCAATTCAATTGAATACAATGAACAATATACTGAAAAAAAAAACGAAGAAACGAAAAAAAAAACAGAAATTCAAGAGATGAGATCCCATTGAGCTTATATATTATTTATTTATTTTTTCTTCTTATTGTGAATATCCCTCTATCCGTTAATATTTCCAAAGTAATAAAAGCAATCAATCAATCAATCAAATGCAATATTAACCCTAAAATAAAAAAAAATTCATTGCAGGTCGTGCATCTTCGCATGAAAACAATTTATTCAATGTCAGAGTATGGGTGTGTGGGCCCGGATTTTAACGGGTGCGCATGAATCAACAACAGCAAAAAAAAATAAACGAATTTGATTGGCTGAGACTTTTTTACTTAGCACCGAAAATAATAATAAACACCAAAAAAGACACACACTCAGAGAGAGAGCACAGAACAGAGAAAAAAAAATTTTTCTTTCTCTCTCTCTTAGTTGTTGATTTTGATTGTTCAAAAGGTTTATAAAAACTTGATATCCTTTGGCTTTTGAAAAATTTTTAATTGATTTTTTTTTTTACTTCTTTTCTTCTTCTTTTTCTTTTCTTCTTTTTTTTCTTCTTTTCTTCATCAACAATTAGTAACTATTCATTATGTCTTCTTCTAACACTAATGCCCCAGTCAAATCCTCATTCATGATTGATTTCATGATGGGTGGTGTCTCTGCCGCTGTTTCTAAAACCGCTGCTGCTCCAATTGAAAGAGTCAAGCTTTTGATTCAAAATCAAGATGAAATGATCAAACAAGGTAGATTATCTCACAAATATAACGGTATTGTTGACTGTTTCAAGAGAACCGCTGCTGATGAAGGTGTTGTTGCTTTCTGGAGAGGTAACACTGCTAACGTTATCCGTTATTTCCCAACTCAAGCTTTGAACTTTGCTTTCAAAGATAAATTCAAGGCTATGTTCAACTTCAAGAAATCCGACTACTGGAAATGGTTTGCTGGTAACTTGGCTTCTGGTGGTTTAGCTGGTGCCACTTCTTTGGCTTTCGTTTACTCTTTGGATTACGCTAGAACTAGATTGGCTAACGATGCTAAATCTTCTAAAGGTGACGGTAAAAGAGAATTCAACGGTTTAGTTGATGTTTACAAAAAGACTTTGGCTTCTGATGGTATTGCTGGTTTGTACAGAGGTTTCGGTCCATCTGTTATTGGTATTATTGTTTACAGAGGTTTGTACTTCGGTTTGTATGATTCTTTGAAACCAGTTGTTTTGGTTGGTCCATTGGAAGGTTCTTTCTTGGCTTCTTTCTTGTTGGGTTGGGCTGTTACCACCGGTGCTTCTACTGCTTCTTACCCATTGGATACCGTTAGAAGAAGAATGATGATGACTTCTGGTCAAGCTGTTAAATACGACGGTGCCTTTGACTGTTTCAGAAAGGTCGTTGCCGCTGAAGGTGTCGGTTCTTTGTTCAAGGGTTGTGGTGCTAACATCTTGAGAGGTGTCGCCGGTGCTGGTGTTATCTCCTTGTATGATCAATTGCAAGTTATCTTGTTCGGTAAAAAATTCAAGTAAATGTAATGGTAAAGTAATTTAATTAGATTTTTTCCTTCTGTTTATATTATTTTATTTTTTATTATTTATTTATATATATAGTTTTCCATTATTATTTTCCCATATATCTGTTGATACATACTTATATATATAAGTAAAAGAAAAACTTCAATATTACATAATTTGAGTTTTTTTATTGTTCAAAAATCATCAATTCCAATAGTAGTAGTTATCTCGCAAAAAAGGAAGTTGAGATAAGACACGATGAAACATCCTTCTCTCTGCTAGATTACGTTGCATTTCATTTACAATTAGTTCAGATCTAGCACGTGATACCAGAAGAAACTTCCTTGATCTTACATTACACATTAGGCAAAACACTATCAATTGCGATAAGATAGACCTGTATATAATCTACAAGTAATGGTATAAAACTCCAATTGTTAGTCTTTTGGGGGGTATTTTTTAACAATTGGATTTCAAAAATTTCTACTGAAATTTGTTCAAATTTTTGATCAATTTTCATTGGTCCTATTCAGAAAAAAAAAGTATATCAAATTTAGTAAGTTATGCATATACTAATATTATACCACGTGACTAATAGCACGTGGAATATTTAGTTTTTTAACACGCGTTTTACTCAAAAAAATTTTTCTCTCTTTTTTGTTTTTTCCAAACTTCTCGTTGAGTTTTAATTTTTTGGACGTAAACTAAATTCACAAAAGATAGGAATTTCAAGTTGGGTCTTCAATTTATTGTTGTTTTGAAATTAAAAAAAAATCCATCAATCTTAATAATCAATTTTTTTTTAAAAAAGAAATGTTGAAATCATCAAGGGATTCATTTTATGAAGAAAGTGATTTTAATTCAGGACCTAGATTAATTATTGAAGAATCTTCAACTACCAATCCAACGACATCAACGGCTATGTTTCTTGAACCTTCTAATTCTATTGCTGAATCACCATTAATTCATCATGATGATGAAACTGAACCTGAAATCGAACCAAATTTTGTTAAACTGAAAGAAGCTGGGGATGATGGGAATTCATCTGATGGAACTGTTATTTTAAATGGAGATGAAACCGATATTGAAACTGAATCAGAAAATGAATCATCACCAATGAAGAAAAATAATAATGATACCACCTCAATAAATAATAGTAATAATAATAATAATAATAATAATGACAATAATACAGTTAAACCAAGTGATGTTGTTTCTTCAGCATCTGGAGAAATGTCAACATTTATTGAATCTGAAGAAACTAATAAAACAGGTAAGAAATCAAGAAGTAAATTTTCAAATAAAGGTAGAGAATTAACATCAGAACAACGAAATTATATTTATGGATTTCATGATGCTATAAATATTTATCAAAAACAAGTTGAATTATATTTTGATAAAGTATTAATTGATATTCAAAATGATAAAAAATTTACTGGTATGAAAACTAAAATCAAAAATCTAGTTAAATTACCTAAATTCACTATACAAAATCAAGCTGATTCATGTCATTGCAATCAATCTACATTTAAAACAACTTTAGAAAAAAGAAATGTTCGTCTAAATGGTAAAAGTTTGAAAAGATCTGGTCCAACATCTAGAAAAATCCCTGAAGAAGTTGGTTTACAAGCCATTGAATTTATGAAACATAATCCTGGTTTAAAAAGAAAAGATATTATGGAAAAATTTGGTATAACTGCAAACCCAAGAACTTTTAAAACCTTTTTAAAAAATCATAATTTTACCTATAGAGGACCTGATGGTAAACTTGTTTGAAATTATTCTAATATATGTAATATTTTCTTTTATTCTTATGTTATTATCTGTGAGAGAGTTTTTTTTTTATTATTATTATCTTTAAGTGTATTATCAAAATTAAATATGAATATTCTTCTTTTACTTTGTTTACTTTTGGTACATATGCTTTGATTAATCTCCTTGTAGTTTTTATCTACCATATTCATCTACCATATTCGTCTAATATTTTATAAAGCTTTCCAATAACTGCTTCAGAGTTGTCTTTACTGACATCTTCCATACCATAATTATAAATTGACCATAATCCGTAAATTGCAAGTAATGTACATGCAGCCATGGCAAAATATCCCTTTGATGTAAAACCAGCAGGTAATGGTTCAGGTTGAACATTTTCTCCATGCAAATTTAAAAAGTCAAGATTACCAGCAGCATTTCCCTTGTAGGGCATACCAATAGCATTACATGCATCAATATGATTCTGTGGGATGCCTTTGTTTCTAGCTTTAATCTCTAATGGGTTTTCAACTAATAACAATGCCAACCCTTGTTCTAAATGCCAATCAACGTGACAATGGAAAAACCACACCCCAGGATTGTTGGCTTTAAAACGAATTACTATAAATCCATTTGGTTGAACTTCAACGGTATCTCTCATCATTGGATATTCTGGATAGTTGGTATATTCAGGATTTTCAGGATCAAAAATCAACAGGTTATCTTCATCATCAGAATTAAATCTAGAAAGCAATTGAAATGTATGTCCATGTAAATGGAACGGATGCTTACCAGTATCCAAGTTATTTAAAACAATCTCAACAATTTCGTCATCTTGTAATACAAATGAGTTTGTATTTGTACCATAAATCAACTCATTTGTAGTTACGTTATCATCACTGGACAACACAGTATACAATGTTGGAACTTTTGCTGGAGTAAACGACTTCCCATTGAATGTGGCATATGTAACACCATCACCTAATACATCCATCGAGAAATTTACTTGAATGGTATAGTCCGGATCAGGATACAACTTTGTATTTTTCAAAGTTTTAAAATCAAAATCATTAAACCCTTTCAAAGGATTGATAGCTTCTTCAAACTTTTTATATGGTAGATGTTCAGGTAATTGGTTCTTTTCATCATAAACCATCCAATTTGTGGATACAATATGCAAATCAGGAGGTAAGAAATCCAACATTTCCTGATCCAACACATTAACAAATCGGTAGTTCTTCTTGGTATTAGATTTGGTTTTTACCAATACAACATATCTTTGAGCTGCTGTCAAATATAATGAATCGACTTCAATTGGTTTAACTTTAACCCCATCGATTTCAACAATAGTTAATGTATGATCTTCAATATATACATAATGAGAAACAAACAATCCCATGTTAACCACTCTTAATAAATAAGTAGTATCTGGTTTGACATTCCATGTGACATTTTTAGTTTCATTAAATAATCCATTTTGTGGGATAGGTTCAGCACCAGTAGGATTAAATCTGCTCATAAAATTTTTCATAATTTGCGGGGATTCCAAATGATAATGATCCCCAACAGATAAAGTTACTTCTTCATCAAATTCAAATGGATATTCATCATCTTCAATAATAAATAATCCCCTTAATCCATCACCATATTGAGAACCAGTATGTGAATGATACCAATAAGTACCAGTTTGATTACCAACATTAAAATCATAAGTAAAAGTAACCCCGGGAGCAATAGGACATTGAGTTACATATTCAGGACCATCTTGGGTATTGGAATCACGTTGAAATAATCCATGGAAATGTAATGAAGTATTTTGATTTGGTAAATTATTAGTTAAATTAATAATGATTCGATCATTTTTACCTATTCTAATAGTAGGGTTGGGCCATTCATTATTGATCCCAATCATCTTCCTTGGGAAAAGTCCATCTGGATTGGCATCCACAAATGAGATGTTCCAGTTGAATGTATGAGTCTTTGCTTCAACTACTAACACTGTTTGGAGCAATAAGAACAACAAATGAAGTAGAAACATTGTTGGTTAGTCTTGTTGATATTGGTTGTAAACTCGTTGCAAAGTTGAATTGCAAGGAGAAAAAAAAAATCAAAAAAATCAAACAATCAGAGCATCAGAGACAAAGGACCAAAATGCAAGGGCGGGTAGTGTATACGCCGACAATAACAGTACATTGTTCTTACTAACCTCATATATATATGTATATTATACTTTACATTGGTTTAATAATAAATTTTTAGGAAAACTATAACCAGCAGATTTCCAAGATGTTAAATTTGAATTCTCATAAGCATTTTTATGATTTCTAATATAGTCATCAGTAGGGTAATCTTTAGGATCACAAGTCATTTCAATTGCATCTTTGGGTTGATAAATTCGAATATAATCAATTAAGAATTTACTTGGTAGTTGTAATTCATCAGTGTTCAAATCTTGATTCCACATATATGACAAACCCATGTTGAACACCAAAGACATTGGTTCTTTTGTGATTTGTCTCCATCCAATATAATCATTTGGATGCAATGCTGACCCATTAATTGAAAATGTTGTTATACCATCAATAGCAAAGGTAATATAACTATCAATATCATTTAATGAACTTTTATATTCCATTGTGAAAATATGAAACTCACTTGTGTTTAATTGAGTTCCCAATGAAATTGATTCTTGATAAACAGTGCCAATATCTTCACGTATAATTGTGATATTTGTATTTTCAATTCCGACATAATCATAATCTGGTCTCCACCATTCATCAAATGGTGCAACTTGTAAAGTTTGTACACCCCAAAATTTATCATAATGATATAAACCTTCAATAATATCAATTTCAGGAGCTCCTCTTCCAATTCCAGGACTTGGATGATCTTCTCCTAAACAAGTACATTTACTTAATTTTTGACCTGGTAAATAAGACATTCCTTCATTTAAAGTTGATTGATTTGGTAATATACCTGAATCACATTCATCATAAGTATATGGCCAAGTACCATCAGTAGTTGCTAAAAAACCAGGTCTTGCCAAATTTCCTAATGACCAAGCAGCAGGCCATAATCCATGTTTGATATCAAAGGGTAATTTGGCTTTAATTTCAACTCTTGCTTGTTTATTAAAACATAATTTATTCCAACTTTGAATCATACCTGACACGTATTCCAATCCGGAATAATTAAATTTATCAAATGTAATCTCTAAATTCCCTTCAGTTGTAGTAACCATTTGTGGAAGATAATATTCTAAATCATGGGTTGCTGAATAATAGATATCAACAGCAGTGAAAAATTGATCATCACCTTCATGAAATGTCCTACCATCAATTTCAAATTCATCAGAAAACACAAGAGTCCAATTATCTTGAAAATTAGTTACATTTTTGGGAGTATCTGGATCAATTAAACTTGTTCTAATGGCTTTTAATTGAGGATATGTTATATTAGTTAGCTTTTCAATTTTATCTCCATTTCTAATTGGATTATTAATAATAAAACTACTCATTATTGCAAAAATTATAGCTAGTATGAAAATCAATAATATTACAACAATGGCAATAATAAATCTAAAACTTTTTTTAATGTCAATTTTTGGTTTTGTCTGATTTTTAGGTTCAACATTATCTTCAAGTTCTTTATCAATATAATAAAATGGATTATCTAGATAATTGAATCTTTTAGAAGTTAAGTACGATGATGACGCTGTTGATGACATATTAAAAATAGGTTGATAAGTATGATGCACAAATGAAATAAAAGAAAACCCAATATAAGATTAAAAATCGCAGACATAGATCAAGGGAGATCTTATTTGTATTATGTATTTTGTTGCTGCGAAGGTTTTTTTTTTCCCCTTTGCAAATAAAATTGCAAAACTTTCCTAAAAGAAAACGACACAAGAAATTCGCACCATATGCAACATCAAATTGTGTTCAAGTCACTTTATGTACTGATAATGTCACTACAGTCCTAAATGGTTGTACGGGATATCAAATTTGTGTATAAAGAAATTTATAATCTATAGTTAACTATAAGAAAAAAAAAAAAGTAAAACCCAAACTACTACTAATATACATAAGACAAAAGAAAAAAAAAATCTCAAGGAAATTCACTGTTTCTTGTACCTTTTCAATAAATATTCCCAATCAGTAATTTGTCATGAACAATAAATGGAAAGGGGGTATATATATACATATATATAAATTAAGGAAAGGAATGTAATGAAAAAGGGGTGAAGTGTAGGTAAAAATCCGATTTTTGTTAATTAAAATTAATCTATTAGGAAAAAGAAAACATTATATCTCTCTCTGTCATTCTCTATGGTTTATTACTTCTCTTTTTCCTGTCATGGTTCGATGCAGTTTGTTGTATCAAAGATTAGATATCAAAAACTTTTGGTGCTTCACCTTCTGGACCAATAAATTCAGGGTCTCTCCATGGACCAACATCTTTCAATAATAATTCATCATCAGTAACTTGAGATTTACCACCAAACTTAACTGGCAAGTTTTCAGCTGGAATTTGTTTCAAAAGTTCTTTAGAATAACTGTAACCAAGAATGTGAATCTTTGAAACGGTTACAGGATCCCAAAAATCCTTTGAACAATTTGAATGCAGTTGCAAAACCAAATGGAGCATTAAGTAAATAGAATTTACCCATACGTTCTGGATAATAATCTTGACCGATTTTACTTGCTTCTTTAACATAACCAATGACATTGTATGCAGAGGATATACTGATACCTTTCAAATCCAATATAGTACATGAAGTTTCAACCAAATGACCGGCTCTTCTTGAACAAGCAGGTAAACGATAATCAACCATGGCTTCGTATTCCCAAACAAGGTTACGGATCATTCTTTCTTGTGTAGTGATTTTCATCATTTTGTTTAAATCAACTTTACCCAATTCTTCATAATAACAAGGACGACCATCTTTATCAGTTTTATAATAATAAGTTGGGTACATTTTGGCAACAATTGGTTTTTCTTCATATTTGAAATCCTTGATTATGGTGTCAACACCAAATTCTTTACGCCATTTTTCACAAGCAATAAACATTTCTTTAGCTTTGGCGAGATCAAACTTTCTTGCTCTCAAGAAACGTAAAAGACTGGCATCATCCAAACGTAAAGTGAAACCGGATTTCTTCAATTGAGCTCTAAATTCTTCAAGAATTTTACGTTGTTCATCAGTTAGATTTGAAGTGAAACCGGAAACAGTTGATGGAGCATTGATTTGAGGATAAGAATCGAGAAGCTCTTTTTCACGAGCGAGTGCAGTGGAATTAGATGGCTGAACAGACAAACTAGTGTTGTTGGTTACACTAGATTTAATTGAAGCTGCAGTAGACATTGATTATTAGACCGATAAGTATAAGTACAAGTACAATAAAAAAAGGTGACAAGTCCTTGTTTTAGGATAATGAAATAAAATGAAAACAACAAAAAGGAAGAACTTTTGGATGAAAGAAAAAAAAAAAAAATTTTCTTTAGTTTCCGATTTTTCCAATGTTTCGTACCCAAAGTGAAATAGTGAGTGAGTGAGTGAAAAAAAAAGAAGAGAACAACAAAACAAACTGAGAGATTATTTTTTTTTTTTGTTGGTGGTTGTTGTTGTTGTTGTTGTTGTTGTTGTGTGTACCGATCAGTTGGAAATCACTCACACACAAAAAAAAAGCAATGCCCGATTGTACATTTTTGTTGTTTCTTTTTATTACTACTTTTGTTAGTGCCCACGTGACTTGCAGGCGTTTTATCTATTTGGAACTTTAATAATTTATTATTACAATTGCTACCGCAACGTTTATTAGATTTTCTTTTTGTTATATTGAGATGAGGGAGGGGAGATCTCCGGTCAGTCACTCATTCATCTAAAAATATAAGATAAACATAACCTATTTCAATTACATAATCTCCCTCGATTTTGGTTATGATTTGGTAAAACGTGGTGAGAGTGGTAGTTCCATTCAGGAGTGGGATATTCACACTCACGGAAATGCCGTAAGCCTTTTTTTTTTTTTACAAAATTTGTTGAGCCCAGTTCTCAAACGACACCTAGAAAGAGTGGGGAGTAATTACGTGGCTAAGTAAAACAACAACAACAACAAAAGTAAAATTCTAATCGACTTTTTGTTTATTTGCTGTCGACGGTACAAAACATTCTTCTGAAAGATAAGCAAATTCCATTTCGACCCTGAGAAATTGCGTTAGTGCATAGAGGTTACGTCATTAATATTTGATTGCATTCTCTAATAGTTAAAATTTCCTGGAGATCCAGTATAATTAAAAGGACATTGCACAGTGTTTCCTTTTGTCTTTCTATAATCGTTTCTTCATTCCCTTATTTTTGTTTCGCCCGGTATGACGGCGATAGTCGCAAATTTTCATATTTGCTTGTTTTGTACGCCAAACCTAATGCCAGTCGTGTCAATGTGTCAGAAATAATTGTCGAATACTTTTATCAAATTTTGGTGCGGGCAAATTACAACCCAAACAGTAAAGGGAGAAAAATTAAAAAAAGTAGAACGAGAGATATCAATTTATACAGTTGCATCTTAAAGCAAGGTCACAGCACTAATATTAATCAATAATGTTTGAATGGGCATTTGGGAAGAAACTAACACCACAAGAACGACTTCGGAAGAATCAAAGAGCACTTGATAAAACTCAACGAGAATTAACTCGAGAAGTTAATAAGCTTCAACAACAAGAAAAGAAGTTGATTAGTGATATTAAAAAATCAGCTAAAGCAGGACAAATATCAAGTGCTAAAATTCAAGCTAAAGATTTAATCCGTACTAAATCATATATTTCAAAATTTAATTCTATGAAGACTCAGTTACAGGCTATTTCATTAAGAATTCAAAGTGTTCGATCAAATCAACAAATGGCCATGTCTATGAGAGATGCAACTAGAGTATTGGGTGGAATGAATAGATCAATGAATATGCCACAATTATCAAGAATAGCTCAAGAATTTGCTAAAGAAAGTGATTTAATGGATCAAAAACAAGAATTTATGGATGAAGCTATAGATGATGCTATGGCAGATGATGAAGATGAATTGGGTGAAGAAGAACAAATTGATGAAATTTTAGGTAAAGTATTGGACGAAATTGGTGTGGATTTAAATACTACTTTAAAAGATACTCCTACAGGAATTGCTAATAACGAACAAGCTGCTCCAAGAGTTGCAGAAGCTTTGGGTGCAACTGGTGGTGGTAGTGGTGCGGCAGATGAAGATGATTTACAAGCACGTTTAGATAGTTTAAAAAAGTAGAAGGTATATATATATATATATATACATATATTATTCACACGATTTTGTTCAATTAGTTAATGTAACCTTTTTCTAAAAGATAATCTATAATTTGTTCAGCAGCTTCTTCAACTGAAAGACCAGAATAGTTTTTGACATGAACTTCTGGATTTTCTGGGGCTTCGTATGGAGCACTGATACCAGTAAATTCTTTAATGATACCTTCTCTAGCCTTTTTATATAAACCTTTTGGATCTCTTTCTTCAGCAACTTCAATTGGAACATCAATGTAAACTTCAACAAATGGTAAGTTATCCTTTTCATGTAATTCTCTGGCTAATTGTCTGTCAGCTTTATATGGACTAATAAAAGAAGTTAAAGTAACACAACATGAATCACTAAATAATTTAGCAACTTCAGAAATTCTTCTAATATTTTCATTTCTATCACTTTCACTGAAACCCAAATCTTTATTTAAACCAAATCTAATGTTATCACCATCTAATCTATATGAATTCAAACCTCTAGCTAAAATAGATTGTTCTAAAGCACAAGCAATGGTAGATTTACCAGAAGCTGATAAACCAGTTAACCAAACAGTAACCCCTTGTTGTTTTCTTAATTGGGCACGTTCAGGGTGAGTCAAATTTGGATGCCAAGTGATATTAGTAGCCATTTCTATAAATTGTATATCTGGTTGGAGATAAAAAAAAAAAAAGAAAACAGAAAATAATAGGAAAAAGAAAAAATTAAGGTACTTTAATGAAAGATTTATAATAAACAGTTGGTGATTCGAACAAATTTCTGTTAAATTAATTTTTTCTGCTTTTTTTGCAATATTGTCATTGCACGTGATTCGATCTGATTTTTCGATTATTATCGATTATAGTTTTGTGAAATAATCAACGAGAAAGAGAAATTTAATTTCCGGGGAAGTCAAATGAGGTAAAGAGACAACCAAGTACTCATTTATTATGATTCAATGGGATCAAAATTACCAGACTGGTGATCTAACAAAGTAATTGATTAGTTGATGCCACTGCTTTTATTCTTTTGATCGATTTGACCAAGAAATTCTGGTATTGATTGCGTAATCCTGGAGCCACATTGTGATATCAACACCAAGAATTACAGATACACATTTCGGTTTATGGTAATATCTACAACGGTCAATACAAATTCCTAACTTATTAGCTTTTCTTTCTAGAAAGTCATTAGACCCTTTGAATTGTTCTTTTAAATTGTGTGCAGCAAATCATACCTAGTTCGTGTACACCGTGACAAAAAAAACCAAGTGGAAAACAAAAAATGGTTCTTTTTTTTTTCTCGTTTTTTGATTACAAGAGCGAGAAGAAAAATTTTCATCAACCAATCAACCAAACCATAGATACCACATCGTACTACATATCTATTCCAAGACATCATCATGTATTATGAATTATTTGCTATAGCTCGTATAACGGACCCTTTAAACGTATCAAGAGAAGCATCCAAGATTGCCTCAACAGTAGGTAAATTGATTCTTAATAATAGAGGTGTAATTAGAGATATTTCATCACTTGGAGCAAGACCATTACCAAAAATCATATCAAAAGAACAAGAAAGACATTTTCAAGGTTATCATTTCATAATGGGATTTGATTGTTCTCCTAATGTACAAACACAATTATTAAGAACATTAAGAAGAGATCCTAGAATTTTAAGATCAAGTATTATGAAACATGATTTGACTAAAAATTTGAATCCTGGTACTAGTATTGAACAAGCTTTGAGTGCTACTAGTAAATAAGTGAGGAAGAAAGAAGTGTCACGATGTGGTGTGTTGTATTTGTATTGTATTCGTGTATATAGTTGAAGAGAAACAATAGATGATGAAAAGAAAGCATGGTTTGATTTATGTTGTATTACCCATCCATTGATGTAATAATTGTATGATTTTTTTTTTCTTCTAAACCATTGTTACATGTCAGTACTAGACTGTGCCTTGAGTTAAGTGTACCTTATACAAAATAAAAAAAACCAGGACATGAAATAAGAGACACTAACTCGTGTGTATGTACCTGCAATAATTTTTTTAAAACTGGAGACGCGTATATTTAAATTGAACTTGAATGAGGTGTGCCTACCCTTTATAATCGTCTATTTTCTTTTAGTTATTGTAAAGAAAATAAAAGTGGTGCAATTTTTCTTTTTTTTTGTTTTAGTTTCCTGCCCACCAATGTTATATATGAGGGTATAAGTTTTAGTATGACGTGCCCGTTGGAGGAAACAAGATCTCGGGCATTAAACTGTTAACTGTTAAGCGGGTAGTAGTGTACTGTCAAATACATCCTACTGTACGGTATCTGTCCCGATGAGCCCCAACTTCAAACTTCAAATTCCCCCTTGCCTAATTAGGTAATTGCATGTCCATAAATCAAAACAAAATGGATAGATTTGGTGTGCAATACCTTTGTGTAACTATTTCCATTTACCCAAAAAAATTACTCTGCCATTTTTTTTTCATCGCAGTTTTCACATTTGATACAAACAACCCAAAAGGAAAAAAAAAAAAAACTAGTCCAATTAAATTGAACATCAATTCCTATCTTTCTTTTTTTTTTCTTTCTTTCTTTCTTGTTCTTCTTCTTGGTTGGTTGGTTAATTAGTTTGTTAGTTTAAATATCAACTATTTTTCTTAATTCATTTATCTATTCATTATAAATCATTTTTCTCATTGGTTGCCCCACCCTTCATTTGACAGGAAGAAATAAATTTGAACCGTTTTTCAAATTACCTTTTTTGTTTATTTATACACATATTTTTTTCCATTTCCTAATTTGTTGTGTTTTTGTTTTAAGTGCACGTTGGAAACGATTAAACTATTGAGAAGAAAAAAAAAATAATAATAATAATAAACCATCAACAAGAAGAAGAAGGAAAGAAAAAATTTAGACAACCAACCAGACAACCAATCAATCATTTTACTTTTCCCCATTGGTTGCTGACTTATTTATTTATTTATCCACTCATATCAACACATTTGCATTCTTCATTACCAATTTGACTATGAATGATAGTTTTATTAATAATAATGAGAATGAAGTTACAATATTAAGCCAACAAAGCACTTATTTAACTACTCCAAACTCAAAATTAAACAAACCTTTATCAAATAACAACTCCCCTACTCCGAGAAGTCTATCACCTTTACGAAGGAAGCAACAGCAACAAAATACAGCGGATTTGACTATAAAGGATTCAGTAAGAAGTGGCAATTCAGCCACTAATACAAGCAGTTCATCTTCAACAACAACAACAACTTCACAGGATGAATTTAAAATTTTACAAAGAAACTTTGCTGACTCATTACTCAATTATAATGTATTGCAGAATGAAAACAAACGATTGGAACATGAATTGAATTTGAAACGGGTTCAATTGGATAGTCAACAAGAGAAAATGGAGTTTTATGAACAATCTTTAAAAGAGTTGGAAATTGATTCAATTCATAAACAAGAAATCTTGACTAAACAAATTGAGATGTACAAGAAAATGATTGACAATTTACAAGCAAAAGTGTTTGAATTAAATCAAGAATTAGAAAAGAAGAAATTGCAGCAAAATCATAATGATGTTGATTTACCCTTTGATGAAGAATTGATTCATAAATATGAGAAACTTGTTAGAGATTATAAAATCCTTGATAGTCAATTTGAAGTTGAAAAGAAATCAAAGTTGGTGTTAATTGATCAAATTGAATTTCTTTCCCATAAAAATGAAGATTTGGTCAAACAAATTGAAACTCCTACTACTGAAGATGCCATTGATGATTATTTGGTTGATCTAACTGATAATGCGACTCATACCATGCATGAATTAACTGATGATGAATATATGGAAGAAGAAGATGAATGTGACTACACTCAAGATTCGATACTTTCACCTGGTTTAAATATTGGAAACAGTGCTCAATCTTCCCCTATCAAACAACAACAAAACTACGATGATTCAAACTCCTCAGTTAAAGTATCTCATGATTTCCAATTTCCTCCTTCTCCAGAGAAAAATTGCAAAGATCCAAAAAGACAATCACTACCTAGTGAATTAAGAAGAACTCTGAAAGTATCGGAGAATTCTGAATTTGTATTATCACCATTTAAATTGACTCCATCTTATTTATCTGCAGCAGAAGATACTGGAGTTTTCCCTGATACCCATGTTGTTAAAAGATATTCTGCCACCAAGCCAACCCATTCACGTTATAATAGTCATGATATATTACCAATTAAAGTTGAATTTGAAAAAGAATCAGGAAATATAAGAAGTACATCAGTGCCTGAGAAAGTGTTGAGAAATCAACTGATTTGTGCAATTATTCAAGAAAATAATACCGAATCTGCTAAGAAAGATCATAGAAAGGGTACTTTATCTGCATTAACTGGATGTGATGTTGTTGATGAAGAACTAAATTCGTTATCCAATAATTTTGAGCACAATGCAAGTGAACACGAATTGGGATCATTATCATCATCTAAAAGATCTAGTTATATAACTGGTGGAAGTGGTGGTGATGATAAAACACGACAAGAAATAACAAAATTGAAGTTTGAATTACAATCATTGAGATTACATAATGAGAAATTGTTATCATTCATTGGATTTGAATTACAGAAACAAAAGAACAACATTAAGAGATTGTCTAAAAAACAATCGAATAGAACATTGGGATTAGCATCGAATAATAGAAACATTGAATATTCCGATGCTAAATTAATTGAAAGATCAAAAGATATTTTAATAAATAAAAAGAGAGTATTAAGATCTGTGTCGATAAATACAGGATTTACTGATAGGCTTGCTAGTGACCCAATCAATAATTTAGGATTAATGCAACCACACCAGCAGAATTTGTCATCCCCACCACTTGATTCGAATTATGATAAGGGATTTGTTGACATTGAATCCTTGACTAATAATCCTACCCATCATTTAAATGATAAAATGATTAAAAAATTTGCATCTCAAGTATTTAACAATACACCCGCATTGTATGAATTTGATCTGGATAGTGACTTTGAAAACACTGCCAACTGGGAAATTGAAGAAGAGGAGGAAGAGGAAGAGGAAGAATTGACCAGTTCATCAGATGAAGATATTGGAGTGTTTAATCAAATTAAACAATTAGTTATTGGTGGACAAACAATTAAAGATAAAAAATTAAAGAAGCGAAGAGGACATAATGATAAGAATGATCATTTAGTGGATGATACATTGAAATTTAAATTCATGACTATCGCTCTAGGTATTGTTATAATTGGTTTGAAATTAACCCCACAAAATTCTTCTACAATTGCAAAATAGTAAGGTTGACAGGGGGTTGTTTCTTTGTTAATTTTGTTTTTTCTTTCTTTCTTTCTAGGCATTAAATGTATTATTACGGTGTGTACTTTTATTCATTTTTAATTAATATTATTTTCAGTATTAGTAAACCTGGTTTTACAAAGGAGTAGTATCATAAATCCATTTGACCTTATACAAATTAAGTTTAGTGAACCTTATTAACAATTGAAAAAATGAAAAATAAATAAGCAAAAAGTTTTTTTTTTTTTTTCATTTTCAGGGCTTACTTCTTTTTACATTCTCTTTATTTTTTATTTTTTGACAGGTTGGATATTGCATGTAAGATTATGTACATATGTAACGATTAAAGTGTATCCAATTGGGGTTTTATTGTAATTAATTGATTAAAAAAAAAATTTACTTGTAAGTGAATGCAAAATTGATTATTTCTGTTATTTGGTAATCGCACGACGATCGATCAATGTCTGTTGTTAAAAAATATTTAATTAACAGTGCTTTGTGACCGGAACCAACAAATAAAATAAGAAAAAAGTCACACCACTTTTATCACTACAATTTTCATATTGGATCAGTATGGCTAGAATTAAATTTTTAGCAAGTGTCGAATAATAAGCAGATGTGTAAGATCTTTAGATTATTGTAAATAATTAATATATATTTAAAAAGAAAAAAACCTTACGACTCTTTAAATATTATATATATATATTATAT